CCGAGGTTAGTGATATCGAAGTTGATTACCTCGAAGTAGTTCCTAATAACTATTAGCAAGGGTCCGCTCTCGTGCGTGATTCCTAGTCCTAAACTTTCTCCGTTTAGACCGATGATTAGCGTTAGTCGGGGTTTCTCGATACCCGAGATTAAGTAGCGGTTTCGATAACGTAGGCTTATAAAGTTCTCTACTACTCCTAAGTCGATTATCACTAAGGTTAGTCGAAGTATAATATTAGTAGTAACTTTTATATAGTGTCCCTACGCTATCGCTGCGAGTTGTTGTTCCTTATTTATCCTCTAGTTTCTATGCTAGAGTCCCGCGTATTCTAGGCTCTACCTTAGAGTCCGTTCCTATCGTAGCGGCTTAGGTTCTAGGCTTCTGTCGATCTTTCCTTGGTAGTGCGTTATGTAGTTGTCGTCGTAGCAGGCCGATACGGTTCTAAGATCGTGGTTAGGGTATCGAGCGTATCCTTAGTATAAGCATCGTATATCGTGGTATAGATAGTTTAAGTTACTTAGTGTCTATTCAGGGATAGTTCCCTCCTTGCCCGGGTCTCCCTCTTGTAGCTAGTATATACGATCGATAATATCGTAAGCTCGTGCGAGTCGTTTATCGGTATCTTACACGTTTGTTATTATATCCTAGAGTTCGTTACTTAATTCTCTCTAAGTAATTGTCTTAGGGTTAGTTTAAGGCTGTTTAGTAGTATCCGCTCCTAGAACTAGAGGTAGAGTTTCTAGGATCTCCGGGGTTCCTAGAATTTCGATAGGTATCTTCAGGATCCCTGTGCCCTAGTCCTAGGAATCGTCGGATAGTTCCTAGAAGTCGATAGTGTTCTAGGGGCCGTACTAGGTCTATCCTTGACTCTTAATATTTTCCTAATTAATTTCTAGGACGTCTTCTTTTACGTACTCTATACTAATCAGGTCGTAGTCTCGTATAATTTCTTCTAGAGTCGGTTATTAGTTAGCTGCGTCTCTATCGTTAGTAGCTCGTAGCTACTAGGGTCGGACCTCGTTGTTTTAGGTCGCCTATAACTATTATAGCTTTGCGTTGTTGCGTTCGTTATTACGCTCACGCGCCTATAGCTTTACGTTGTTATATCGATTACACTCACGCGCCCTATATCCTAGCTTACCGCAATTAAAGTATAGGTTGTTATCCTTTTGCTGCTTTTCTTCTTCGGCTAGGAGTCTCGCTGCGTCGAGCTCTATTAGTCGTGGTCCGTAGGGGTCGCTATACTCCCTCGGCTGTTGTCGTTGCTGTCCTCGCCTGCCCTCGTGGCGGCGTATATGCCCGAAGGACTGCTGTCCTTAGCTTCTCTACTAGCGTGTTTCCTTTCGCTAGAGGTATCTTTCGTAGAGTCGGTTATTAATTCGAACTACTATCGAGACTATATCACTAAAGGTCTTAGGTCGTTCGATTCGAACTAGTTTATCCTTGATATCGTCCTTGAGTCTATCTTTAAAGATTGCGATATAGGTATCCTTATCCTAGTCTAAGTAGGAGATAATTTGTTAGAACTCGGCGGCGTATACGCTAGCCGATCTAGTTTACTTAAGACGTCGTAGGCGTCGTTCCGTACTACAGATAGCGTCGATGTCTCTAAAGGTCTGTTCAAGCTTCTTCTTGAATGCGTTGTAGGATTTAAATATATCCTTAGTAGTATCGCTCTACTCGTCTTTATCGATCTTCTCCTAGTATTCGCGAATAAATAGCTTAAACTAGTCGAAAGCTTGTCCGCGAAGGTAGGTAGAGACGAAGACCACCTTATCGTCCTTATTTGCGATCTAAGGGTTTATGCGTAGCTATATTTCTATCTGCGTGATGAAGCCGCGTAATTTCGCACGACTTCTGTTAAAGAACTCCGGCTATAGGAGTTTCACGGAGCGTTGCGACTGTCTTGCTTCCAGGCTAGCGATATACTCCTGGAGCTAAGCAACTATATCTAAGAGCTCCTTGGGAGATACTAAGGTCTTTGAGCTTGAGGAAACGTTGCTTACGGTGCTATCGTTTCCTGCTATAATAACTATGCTTCACGGTTCAAAGACAGGGCGATTAATGTATTACGCGTAGCCGACTAGTTACTGTGAGTAGAGCTTTAAAGGGTTATACTTGCCTAGTCCTACTACGGATTCCAAGAGTATCTCTTAATCGTACCGTTGCTTCGTAAAGCCTTACTACGGGATAGATCCTGTCGAGTATCTTGCAGAACGTGCTAGAAGTACGCGCTAAGTAAGTCAGTCACTAAGTATTGCTACTAAGTAAGCTCCTCTACTTGTAGGTTAGGTTGTCTTGAAGGTGAACTGTGAAGTGTAAAGTACTAAAGGTAGTAACCGAGTAACAATGTGTAATTGATCGCGAAGAACTAAATATATAATGCTAAGTAAGTGTCCTTATATATCTAGTCCTTCGTATAGGTGTAGATACTGTAGTAGATAGGTCGTAGATCTATAGTAGATAATCTACCCGTCCTTTAGTGCTAAGACCCACCTAGTATCTACCGTTAGGGGATCACGTGTTGATTGTGCGTGCGGCTGTTCCTGGCGTTCTTCTAACCGTCCGAGCGTATAAGCGGGTATACGATGTCATAGTTAGGCACAGGCCGTTTGTAGCTCCCTGCCTGAATGTTTTACCCGTGGCCCTTGAGGGGACGCCTAGGTGTTAGGAGTTGCACGTGATGACGCTAATACAATGCGTCCAGGGGTTGATTGGATCTCGGTTGCCCCTCAACTAGCTGCGGTCTCCCCGCGCCTCGAGGTTCGTAACACGTAGCGCCCTCTTCGTAGCTTTTAAAGCGGTTAATAATCTCGTGAAGATCGGTAGGAGGGTTCCGCTCCTCTACCTATCGTCGCTATAGGTGCGTTTAGGCGCCGTCTCAAAGGAACTCGACGAAAATAGCGTCCGGAATCGCCTATTCGTATTTAATCGCGGCCTGCCGGAGCTAAGTAGCGTACTCTATAAAGGGCTATCTCGTACCTTATCGGAGCGTCTTGAACCGATCCTATCTCTTCGCGGTACTAAGATGCTCCGAAAACTCGCGGTTAATCTAATCCTTGTAACCCTGCTAGGTCGTGATAGCGGTTTCGTATCCGTTCGCTGCCTAACGTTCGTAGCTACGCTAACCTCTTTAGGACTTCCCTGTTAGAGTACCGCTGGCGTATATAACCTTTTCCTAGTCGGTTAGCTCTACGGTGGATAACTCGGCTACCTGCTAGAAGTAACGCTCGTAATCGTAGAGGTATTTGCGTGCTGTATCCTCTTGGATCTTGCTACTATAGTCCCGAATCTTGTTGATCGTCTTTAGAAGGGCCCGTTTCTTCTCCGATTCCGCACGATTGCTCGTAGCCGCTCTTGGCGCGGCTATTAAGGTCGCCGCCCTTACGTTCGCATCCGTTAGTTGTAGGAGACGAACGGTTTCCCTAATAAGGCGTGCTGTCGCTTCTCGATCCTACGCGCCTTGCTATAAATAGAGGTACTACTAGCCTATCTCGTATAGTAGTAGGAGTAGCGCTGCGGTCGTCAACGAATCCGGTAGGTCTTAGGCGTGAGGATTCGGGCCCTGTTGGTTAGGACCTTGGACGTTCGGGTCCTAGGGCTCGTGGGTTTAGGCCCGGGAGGCCTGTTCGTCGGTTAGGGTATACGGAAAGTGTTCTATAGTGATTGACTGTTCAATTCGAGAGTGAAAGGAGGCTTATACTAATCCGTTCGAAGCATTCCTTTCCGACACTCTCGTAGTTTTTTACTTTAGCTCGCTTACAGCCCTAACTTCCGGCCGTGTGCGAGTAGAAGGATGCCCCACAGGAGGAATCGCTCGCGATTGGGCCGCTTAGACCCCTTTTCGCTACGTCAGTTGCCTTTCAAGGGAGAAGCCCGCACTACGGTGAGGGTTTAAGGTCACCATAATGTTATTCGAAGCCTTCTCTCTTGACGCTTTCGCTCGCAATAAGGGCCCTCTAGTACCCTTCTATCGCGCGATCCTCTCCGTCGATCGTGAGTTCAGATCTTCTTGGGAGACCCTTTTCGTGAGCGGTCTCCCCCGGGCGGCCGCGGAGGGTCGCCCGTTTTTAAGGGTTTGCTACCATATGTGATCGCGGGAGTCGGTAAATGGAGCATGTTTTGTTATATTCGTAAGGAAATGGGTCTAAATGAGTGTAATCCGGTAGATACCGGCAGAATTCTGGGTACCCGGGCCGTACGGATGATGTAATCAGGCCACACGTGGCCGTCAGGATCACAATAAGGAGAACAGCGAAGATAGGCTATAACTTGACTAATTCGTACGGCCGATTAATAGTAGTAGCAAACTAGAATAGGAAGAGAGGGAAGAGGGGTAAAAAGCTCTTGAGTAAGGGAGGGAATGTTAGTCTCTATGTTTATATATAAAAATTAGTAATAACTAGAAAGTGCTAGGAGATAACAAAAAGAGTGTAGATATATATTCAGGGGTCGTACAAGAATAATAGCCGAAAGAAAAAAATTAAGTGTAGGTCTAAATAAGAAAAGTGGGCCCTCCCGGTCGTACCCCATCAAAAAGAATTAAGAGGTTTAAGTGATTTAGGGTTAAATCGTACGACTGCTATATATGACTGTAGAAGCTAAAAATGAAACTAGGTATAGATTATATATAAACTTAGAATACCTGAAATTTTTAATTTAATCGTACGAAGAAAAGTGCTTGCAGTCAGGGTAGGAAAACAGGGTGCAGTGAGGGTAGTGGGTCTAAATTCTGCCTATACATAAGGCCTCTACACCGCCATGCAGTGAGCCTCACTGCACCAGGTCCCTTGGGTTAGGCTCAGACGCACATTCACCATGGCTCCTATGAGAGCATTCCTCCTGATGCGTCACCCGGCTTGCTTTTCCTGAGAGATTTTGTCCCTATCCTTGACTCTCTGGAGATCTCCCCGCCGGTGTCTCTTACTTCGTTTCTCACGCCCGATGCGAAATTCATTATTAATAATGGTCCCCCGATCCCAACACAAGACATTCTTACTATGTTTGCGATGCGTAGCGAGAAGCTTTCCAAATTCCACCACCATCTTCATCGAGCATGGGATATCGCCAAAGTCAACAGCTCGGGAAGTCGGACCGTTATGTATGAGTCTACGAGCGTCACTGTCTTCAAGCAAGATCCGGAACGTGCAGAAGTCAAAGTCAGGGAGTTCAATATCGTGGAGCTAGTACCTTCGAAGGATGGCGGGGGTCAGTCTGATGTCTTTAAAGCCTGTGAGCTGAGCACGTTCTTGGATGGTTCGCCAGTGTCAGCGAGGTTGAAGTCGATTCTAGAGGGAACAAACGCAGCTTGAATTTTATGTAGCTAGTAGTCATAAGAACTGTAATAAGTGGTATTCTATTAATCACGACTTGAAAGTTCCTGTTAGCTTGTACAGTAAGCTACCAAACTCTTGCTTAATTCCTCAGCACCATAGAGTATTCTTGATCCGAAAGGTGGTTCATAGCGGGGTCGACGCATTCCGCTCCCATCCGCCATTCCATCCAATCATCCATTCTCTTCCTCCACTTCCCCTTCCTTTTCCAAGTTGGCCAACCCTGTACAGCTCGTACATACTCCGTTCTCTCTCTTCACCAGTCTTTTCTCTTTTCTTTATATTCCTTCAACCAATCTCAACCCAAACCAAAAAATGGCCGGCCTCGGCGGAAACCCTCATCGTTCTCGTCGCGCTAACAACCTCATTGGGCTGCTACATAGCCGACTGGAACGAAACCCACATCTATAACGCGCGATGGCCCCCGCACGCGAAATTCCACAACGGACAGACGATGTCAATGGGGCTAATCCTCGGCCTAACATCACTGTACTATCTAACTCGGATGATTTCGGTCGAATCTGTCATCGATCGAAGTCCTTGCACCCCATTGTCGTTGACGATTATAGTAACACATTAATAAGTCGGACCTAGTCGGACGAACTCGCACAAACTCGCACAAACTCGCACAAACTCGCACAAACTCGCACAAACTCGCACAAACTCGCACAAACGCGCACAAACTCGTATGTACTGTTTACAAATCCACTGGTCATATAAGAATATAAAACGTGGGGTACTTGGGCATTCGAACTCATCCATTAGCGAACCCAGTCTTCCAATCTTGACACTTCACATATCACTCGAGTGTACCCTCAAACCTCAGCCAAAATGAGCCTCAATACCGAACTCGCGGGAGTGCGCGACAACTTCTACGCCAATGCGCCACAGTCTATCACTGATCCCATCAAGGAATCACTTGAGAACCTGAAGGCCGCGTATGATCCGAGTTCGTATCAACTCCCCGTTCTGATCTAGGTGTTTGTGTAGGAGAAAGTTTTAACGTGAATCTTGGGCCTAGGAACCGCCATCCAAGTTGGTGCTGCCCTCCCGGACTTCACCTTGACGGACGCCCTTGGCAAGGCTGTTTCCAGCAAGACTCTCCTCGCTAATGGGCCCATCCTCATCACCTTCTACCGTGGCGAGTGGTGCCCCTTCTGCAACCTGCAGCTCGCATCTCTCCAGAAGCACCTGGCTGAATTCGAAGCTAAGGGCGTCTTCCTCGTGGCCGTTACGCCCGAGCTACCCACCGAGACACTATCCACGACAGAGAAGCGAGGCCTTAAGTTCACTGTGCTCTCTGATGTAGGCAACAAGTACGCACGGAAGCTAGGTATTGTGTGGAAGATGCCTGAGACCTTGAGACCGGTCTTTAAGACTCTGGGAAACGACCTCGTTAAGTCCAATGGCGATGATTCTTTCGAGTTGCCTATACCAGCGTCGTTGTTGGTGGATGGAAAGGGTGTGGTGCGAAAGACTTTTGTGGATCCGGATTTTACCAAGAGACTTGAACCCGAGACAGCGCTGGAGTGGATAGATACTCTGTAAACCAAGGTAGCTATCCTTTACCGCGAAGCAAGTGTATATTCTGCAGCTAGTGGCTTGGAATTATTCATTTGTGTCGCCGCGTGAAGATACTATTTATAGTGAGCTGCCCCTGTGTCAAGTAATCCTTTTTTTCTTGTCATACGCAGACCTGGGCGAGCATTAGATAGCCAAATATTATTTCTATACATAGACCCTCTGCCGCAAGTCAGATCTAGAATTAGCCACCTGATTCATGGTAATCTTTAAGTCATCCTGTACAGACCATAGAGTTATTCCCATAGAGTTGACAAGACCGCGGATGGTATATCCCAGATCTTAGCGGGTGGATCGAGGCTTCAAAGAATGACAGCGCGTGGAAGGTCACCGAACGGCTTGAATGAAATGGCTTGGCTCGCAACATTTACGTAATCTCGATTATCTGTTTTTTTTTTCTACGTTCTTGACATAGTCTTACTCCTTTGCTCCTGCTAGCACCACATCAGTGCGCCGGCCTGTTCCGTTGCGGAATTGCTGAAGCAAGCTATGCAGTTGTCCCACTGCTGAGGCTAGGGCCTCCTCGTCCCTTCCCTCCACACACACCGACACCACCAGGTATCTGTTTCCGCCTCGATATCTCTTCGCACCCAAAGCATACTTCGGATTTGCCACTTCGTGTTCTCCCTGTGTGTAGGCGTTATCTTCACCCTATGAGGGACAGTTGTGCGACGGCCATTCCAGGGCTTTTTTTTGTTGTGTTTTGCTTTTCGCCACTTCAGCCAGTCGCAATATGCCAATACGGCCGGCTCTGTTAGCGACGTGCAACATCTTCCTCGAACCTAGGCTAGCTTGCCAACGGGTAAAAGGGGCCGCAGTTAAACGTTTGGGTCCAATCGATTTCCGGGTACAACAGTGCCGGGTCCGCCCAGTTGGAGCAGAGCTCCATCTCAGAATCTAGCTTGGAGGGGTACTCGTGCGTGAACATGTTGGTGCTAAACTCGACGGTGTTGAAGTACGTGTCTGTGAGCGTAGATAGCGAGTCGACGGGCAGCACTGGACTAAGACCAAGACGAGGGCTGGTGAGGTTGTTGTCGCTATCGTTCTGGTTGTCTACCGATACTTTCTTCTTGTTGATGCGGATCCTCCCAAAGTAGGGGATGGCTACGACGTAGTCGTCGTCGGCAATGTAGGCGCCGTGACGTGCCGCGTCGACCAGATCGAGGATGCGGGTGGCCTGCGCGGCGACGGCACAGTCCATGATGGCGACGGTACGCCGCAAACAGAGAGACACGTCTCGTACGAGCGCCCAGTCCTGCTCTTTGGTAAGTGGTGTAGCCCTCAGAGGGGATATCAGGTGCCCTATTATGAGGACCATAGCTGCGCTAAAAGCCTGAAAGTCCATTAGCTCGCATAGGGCCGTGCCGGCGCCGGGCCACGTCCTAAATTCGGTGTATGCCGTCGCCACGCCGCGGGCGGCCTCCATGGCGCGGTCCCAGCTGTGCAGGAACTTGGATTCGCCCGCCGACTTGAGCATGTACGGCATGTGCACGAGCTTGAGGGTCGTGAAGAAGATGACCTTGCTGGCTTGCTGGTTCCAGCAGTCGGAGAGCGACATGTCCGGTGCTAGAGGGAGCCAGTGCTCGTCTGGGAAGAGGCGGTATGCCTCTTCCATGTCCTGGTCGATCTCGACGGTCGTCGCATAGCTAACTGCAGCGTGGTGTGCCTGGTCGCGGTCGATGGCCTTCCCGCAGATGAGTGCCACCGACCACATGATGCGGCTCATCAACGGGGCGGAAGACGAGTTAGACGACGTTCCCGGGTGGTTTGCTGAGACGGACGTCGGCAGCCCAAGCATCAGGGCCATGAACCGTTCCGTCTGCCATGCCATGGACCACGCATACGCGGCGCGTATGTCCAGCGCGTCCACCTTGCGGGGGAGGCCTAAGCTCACGGCCGTGGTGATGGCTTGTCGACACCAGTACCACGCGGTTTGCGACCTCCCGATATTGATGGACAGCTTGTACAGCATATTCATGCTCTCGATGCCATCGATAGTCCCGCCGCGCTCCCCGTCCAGCTCCAGCAGCGACTTTGCTATTCTTATGTATGCGTCGACCAGGTCGTACTGCGGGTAGGCAAGGCTCACAATGGACAAGACGCTTCTAGACACCTGCTGCACGCAAAGCGCTACCCACAGAGCCGATCTTGCTATTAGTCCTGGCTCTACGGAGCTGGCGGCTACTGTGAAGATGAGCTGTCGGGCCAGCTGTCTCTTTCCGGGTCCCAGGACGTTGGTTGCCCCGGGCTCTCCATAGTAGTATGGCTGCCATATCGGCCAGTACTTCTCTGTGTCTTCTAGTATGGCGTCAAGGTCTTGTATCGACGGGAGCAGCGAGGCGAGACGATCTCGGTGTTGAAGCACGCCAGATACAGCTGAGACGGGCAAAGGCGGCGGTGCCGTAGATGCGGGCGCATTCTCTCTGTCCAGTAGTGAGGCGCCCTTGAATAGGAGCATCAATGGCGAGTCTTCGACGGCCGGCTCCGTTGACGACAGCTTGACTCCGCCACGATTTGCTGCCGGCACTGGCCACCCGGCCACGGTAGATGGTGTCGTCGCCGGTGAGTGCGCCAGAGTCGTGGTGGAGGACAGGTCGCCGCGAGCATCTAGTTCACGCACGACAGACGCACCGTCTCCAGCAAAATCGGAGCGGGGTGACGGCGTCGCATTCGGAGGAAGCTTGCGGACAATGGCCTCGAGGTCCCGTAAGCGCCGCTTCAGAGTGTCAACCTCGTCGCTGGGCACTTCGTGGCCTCCAGCCTGCTGAGCGACGCAGTCAGCCTCATGGGCCAGACATGCCTCGCAGGTGCTTTCGTCTGCCCGGAAGATGCAGCGGACTTTTCTTCGGCGGCACTCCGTGCAGCTTTTGGTGCCGAGCCGCATGCGCTTTGAGGGCGTCATAGTGTTGTGCTTAGACAAGGGCCGCGGAGCATAGCCGCCTGTGCGTATTTTCGTTGAGGCAAGCACCTGGATATTCCACGTGCGCCTGTGGGTTTGTAATCGTGCGAGCCATCGCAGCAGCTGCGTATGAGGCCGGAAGGAGCGGTTTGTTCGAAATCGCTCGAGTTCCGGGCGATTCGGCCGAATTCGGACGAAGGCGGGGAGTGCATCGCCACCAGCAATGTCAGCCATCGCCATCCCAGGCATCATCACTAATTAATCTAATGAGGAAAGAAATCTCTCATAATTAAGTAAATTCCTATAACTGCACTAAATAGCTATTTAAATAACGCATGATATCCTCTATATATTCAGCGATATTTGATTCCTACGGCATTTGACTCCAATATCCATTGTCAGGAAACCAAAATGCTCACTTTATATTTCCTTCAGTCCTCACGGGCTTTCCGCACAGCGTGGTTGCTTGAGGAACTGGGTGTTGACTATGAGCTGAAGTTTGCGGAGCGCAGAGCCGATGGTTCCGTTCCTCCAGAGCTCGGAGTTCCTACTGCCAAAGGGAAGGCACCAGCAATCCAGGATGGTAACCTCATTCTAGGCGAGTCTGGTGCGATTGCAGAGTGAGTACCGATCTGAATGACTGATTATTTCAAGGAGATAATTTGCCTGGTAACCAGCAAAATACTGACCTTCTGCTCCAACGTTAGATACCTCATCGAGAAATACGATACGACGCATCGGCTTCTTCCTACCCAGCCCGAGAAGCGGGCAAAGATTCGCGAACTCATGTGGGCTGCTGAAGGCACCTTGATGCTTCATGCCGAAGGGGTTTACTCTGCCCGTTTAGCGGCTCCTGCGCAAGTCGCGCATGAGATTGAAGCGAAGTTGGCTATGTCTGTACAGCTTGATCTGGATTGGCTTGAAAATACCTTGCAAGAGACCTCAACTAGGTACATTGCTAGCGACGATGTCACGGTTGCAGATACCATGATGGCTTTCTCCGTTATGGACATATTCGCTCTCAAGCTGGCTCCTGCCGGAAAGTCGTGGCCGAGGATCAACGAGTGGCTCAAGATTGTCAAATCCGGAGAAGTCTACCAACGTGCTGTGAAGAGAACAGGCCATCATTTCTAGTCATGCACGTATCGTGTGTTGGGACAGAGCTACTTATTACTCGAGTTTTCTCTGTTGGATGTGTCCATATCTAATCGTGCATGGAAAACACGTCTGCCGTCCAGACGTTCCCAATCAAATAGACCATCAGGCTCGAACGAACTGGCGAAAAAATGTAGCTAGAGGGCTAAGCGGAGGGCTGACTTCTCTAACAACGGCCAAAAAATATCTCATTCTGTACTTTTGTAGTTGTGGAGGAAAAATAGTTTTTAATAAGTTTGGATTTATTGTATGTAAAAAAGCTTCTTAACAAATACTGCTTTGGCAAAGAGGTGCTTGATCCCGTCTTTTCATGGTAGTGATAATATGTGATTCGCTTATCTGCGGCACGTAACGCAGCAATTACCGGTTCGATATCCTATGGTTGCCATGATATCACGTTCGCAAGGCAGAGTTAACGCGTTCGAAAACACGCGGTGGGGACGTGCAAGTGTGACTTCCTCAATGAATGATCCGCGCTAAGGCCTTGGCAGTGGGGCCAGAAAAGAGTTTCTCAGTGTGTACTGGTCAAGGCGATTTCGAGAATGGCTGTAGAAGCATCTGTGAGCGAGTCGACGATCTAATTTCCAGGGTCAAATGGCAGGATTTCTGAATTACTCAGCGGTTTCAGTTTAGCTTAGTATGCAGGGATTCCTTCTACGAGGGCCAGGCCCAGAGGTGGAAAGCTTGACAGATGCAAGTGAAGATTCCGGAGCCCATTAAAATACAACTAGACTAACGATTACAAGGATAAATCCTAGATAGACGATCTATAGCCGGTGTTCGGGTTTAGCGTTTGTACCTAATTTCCACGATCTTCGGCTTATCTAGAAGTCGCTAAAGCGCCCACTAATCTGCTTGCCAAGCACAGATCCCACGATAAGTCCGATGAATTAAAGTCCGAGTTGTTCCGAGTTGAAGCCAAACTTTTCACCGAAGAGCGCCGGTAGCTCCACGACGATAAGTGTATTGCCGAACATGAATGTTACGGCATAGGCAAGGCCTGGGAGCGCCACGCCGTCTTTCCGCGATAGACTCAGAGGGTGAAGGAAGTCGTGAATAGTGAGTGGGCGAGGGTCAATGCGTTCCAAGTGTAGGTATTGCCTTCTGAAGGACGATTTGTTCTGAACGACCTTGCAGCCAATTGCGTGCTTTGGGCTGGAAGCCTACTGGCCTTACTATATGGGAGGCATTACTTCATGTTGTGGAGTTCGAAAGGCGTTCCCAAGGACTGTGAATCTGGCATCCTTCATAGGCTGTTGAAAGACTCTAGTGCTCATAGCAGCTTTGTAAAACTCGTTCTAAGAACAAGCCGGATACATTCACAGAGTACCAAGACCATAAATACCTCGCATGTGTTACGTGTCAGGAGGAAAGTTGAAACCAACTCGTGGTCAGAAGGAAGTATCAAGACCGAATAAAAAAAGCTGGAGAAGGAAACTATCTTGCTGGGGCCTTTTGATCTTTCCCTTCCGGGCATCTTCCTCCTCTGGCAGTGCTTGCTTTCATGCACCTCCATGCCTGATTTTTCCGGCCTCCATCGTTCATTATCACAGCATGGGGAAGATGACATGTACGCTCGATAAACTGAGAATCATGAATCATCGGCACCCATCACGGGAGTCAGATCCCAGTCCCCCCTGCATAAGAACACTCAAAGCCGCCATTCTTGCAACGTCCACACGGCTTGTTCTTGTCACACCGTACCCTCCGATGTCGACAAAGGTCACAAGGTTTCTCTCGAGAGGTATAGTTATGAGCTCTTGCAGGGCGACTCTTGTTGACATTTTCATGCGAACAGTCGATTTGGCTATTCACACAGTGTTCACAAGGACTGCCCTTGTCACATTTAATTTTCTTCAACCGGCATCGCGAACAAGGCGCTTTCAAGGCAGGAAAAGAAGCACTGGCTGATTTCAACTGAGTCCATTGTTGCAAGAGAGAATATGCCTCACGCCAAAGATCTGCCCCAGGCACATCACATGCACAATCCAGCCATAGAACCGAAGAAATTTTGTCTTTCAAGCACCTCCACGAGACGCTTTGGAGGTGTTGCATGGTTTTGGCCAATTCCTTAGCAAACCAACTTCGTTCTGGTCTCCCAGAAGCTGCTATGCCACCCATGACGAGGACCCAAAGATAAAGAGCATCACCATTCTCGCGAATAGATAAAGGGCCAAGAAGCTCGTTCTTTTGCAACTCATGTTGTAGCAAATCCACAAGAACAGAGAAGGGGACCTCGTTCGCCATCGGAAATGTCACACCAATACTAAAAATAATTGTCGCTAACCGGCATACTTCCGATTCGGCAGGTGATCCCGAGTCCCTCGAAGAAGGTATACACATCAGTTTGTAATGGGCTAAGTTGCGCCGGTCACACAATACTTCTGCTCTATGAAATGGTCCGTGGCCGCCCACAAAGTTCTCGATGGTAACAGTGAACGCCTTGAGCTCGCGTATCACTCTACGAAGTGCAGGGTCGAGAGAAAACCCGTCGAGCCAGTCAAGGTCGGCAGCGATACTCACAAGATCGCCGAAAGGATAGTCACCCATCTGATCCATGCTACCTGATAGCGCGTAGAAAACGAGTGGTGGACGGGATAAGAGAATGGTAGAGTTGACCAAGGTACGACTATATGAAGATTAGTCCACAGCTTGTTTATGAATGGTACGCTCAATATTCGGCGGAAGAACCTACTAGAAGGCTGCAGCTGCGAGGCCGGGGGTCTCAATTTTGCTCAACCCACCTCGTAAGCCAATCAATTTACATAGGCCGTCTTGATGAGAGAGATTGGGTTCTCTTGCACTGTGGATGTTCAACCACTGCAGGCCTTGAAGCGGAGGCCGAAATGGAGACACAAAGGCCCGGGCTTTCTTTTCATATGTCAAGGGGTTTTCAACACACATTAGAACAGCTAATATGGAGGCATCATATGTTGCTGTGATGGGGCTTTGTAATCCCTCATTAATTGAGCTTATTGCGTCTAGATAGCATGTTCGCAGATGTGACAAGGTTTCGCCCACTGGAGTCAGTGTTGCATTGGGGTCTGCTGGGATGAAGTTGTTTATCACCATGTGAGAAAGCGAAGATAGTAATAAAGCTTTGAAGGTTGCGGGGTGATTCAGTGACATGGGAAGCCAATATTGGAGATAAGGGTTAGGCACGGTGCGAGATGGAACGACCCGTGGTGTCATTACCGATAGTCCTGTGGAAACAATTAGCAAACGGATAGAACACTGCTCGATTCTTCTTCGAGACGTACTATATTTCATGGCGTTGTGGACCAGCCACGATGGAAGAGTAGATGGGAATATTCCCAAGGGTATAAGTGACACAAATTTGGGTATACGGTCTGTGCAGTGGAGGCGACTGACTTCATTGGGATCTAGTGCCATCTGTAAGCCGTCGATTCAAGCACGCAGATCCAATGGGCGGGTGTGGGATACAGGTATTAATCTCCTCCATGTGTGCGTTGGGGGTTTCTTGGTGCGCGGTCTCAAGGAACAATCCATCCGGTATATCCGAATCAGTTAAAAACACATTTCCGGGAAGGCTGCTTTCGGGCAGCAGAGATGTCTCCGGCGCGTTCAGCCTCGCGCAGGTTGGAGCCACAACCTGCGGGAACGACATATTGTCCCATGGACCATCCACTACTGTCAGCTATTGTCCTTGTAATCGACCCCAGGCTCACGGCCGACCAGGATATGTCAAACGCATGCGTTGCGCCTTAGTAAGGAGGAATGCCAGGTTTTCAAGGAGGAGCCGCTCATTTCGATCAAATCAATGGTGAAACATTACTGCGCTAGCAGGGCATTGATGACTAATACGTAGTAACGTCTCGAGACATGGAGCGGTAACTTACCGCTAGGACAGGGTTTATGCTGTGGGATCCACCTTCCTTTACGTCTGTATAGTCACTCTGGTATTCTTGGCATCACGGCTGTCGTAACACCGTGTATCTTAGTCATCCGCGGGGGGGGGGAATTTAAACCTACTCCATGACATTCATTCTTCAATCAATCAATCAAACTTTTCTGCAGAAAGATTGGTTCCGCTTGATCCTATCCTCGATCCCATTCGCCTACTAGGATTACTAGCCATTACTGTCTCAGCTTGCTCCGACAGATCATTTTCTAATGTATTCTATAGTAAGGAGATGCATTTGGAGTCGCGCACCGACCACCCCTCCTACACTAGACCCTTTCTAGCTATAGTGTACTGTATCGACTGGTATTGGCCTACTTCCACCTACCCTCCTTGTATTCGTTACCACCTTCTAATTCAATGATCTTTTGAATATGTGTAGGGATACTCTTAATCCAGCGCTGAATCTTCTCCTGAGGCATCTCTCGCCACACAGTCTGCCAGACAAGATTAGACCTCAACATGGTCCGGTTCCGGTTCTAGAGGTCGGACCAAGGACCCTGCAATTTCTTAGGTTCTTCCCAACTCGCCCTGCAGGACCCTGGAGTGCATACTTCTGCCAAGAAATTTCTGTTAATAATTATGTATAATATACACGCGTCACGCGTTAGACGGTAGTATATACTACGATATACTACTATCTGCTAGGGAATATTAGTGCTGTATATGTAATATGGATTTATTTACAGCTAATATGAATATATTATAAGGATGCAACTATTTGCTTTCTCATTGGTCAACGCTCATTTACAATATCAAATGCCTGAAGTAAAACGACGTCCCTTTTTCGTGACTTTCTCTTCCCTGCCCTTCGTTTTCATCGTTTCAGGGCCACAGCATGCGCAGCGCGCGTCACCAGTTTATAGTTGTTGGAACTTGCATATCGCTTGGGCAGTTGGAGCCCAGATTACGTGATGTATAAATATTGTATTGTCAGCCCAATAGGCTACCGTCGCCATCCTAGGCAGTTAACCACTACTACCTGTGAATTCATCTACGACACATAGTATTAATGATACAAAGAATCAGTTCGACTTGGAACCTTGTACCTGGAACCAATCGGTTGAAATTTTCATCTCCCTAGATATCCACCGTCGACCTCAAGTATCAATTAGCTTCTTTTCCAAGGGCATGTAGCGAGAACTCACCACGAGAATCTCCCCAGTTACATAAGAGCTTGCATTACTTGCTAGAAAGACTACAGGTCCTTTGAAATCATCAGGCGTGCCCCATCTTCCCATTGGAATCCGCCCAGAAATCGAGTTGTAGACTACCTGGTCGGGGGCAGTTCGTGTATCAACGTTCATATCGGTAGCGATGTATCTGCGTTTTATATAAGGTTCGCATCAGTCTCGAGTGTCACAGAATTACGGAAAGTGGCTCTGAGAACAGTCTTACCCCGGCGCAATTGCATTCACCCGAATTCCCTTGCAAGCCCACTCATTGCTGAAAGCTTTTGTAAGCTGAGCGACACCTCCTTTACTAGTCGCATATGCCGCCATACTTACGCCTCCTTGAAAGCTGGCGATGCTTGCTGTATTGATGATCGAGCCTTTGATGTTATTGTCCAGCCAGTACTTTCCTGTATCCCGACAGACGCGAAAGGTGGCGGACAAGTTAACCTGCATAATTTCATCATACGCACGCTGAGGAAAGTCCTCAGCACTGGAACGCCTCTGAATGCCGGCGACATTAACCAAAATATTGAACCACCTATGCTCTTTCACTATCGCAGGGACGATGTTGCGTGCCGCCTCTGCATCCCCCAGGTCAGCTTCATGAATAAAGCATCGGCGGCCCAGATTCTCTATTTTCGACTGTGTTTCAGTCTGGGATTTCGAGCGCTAAACGAGTTTAGCCATGGGATGTCCAGTCAGCAATCAAGGGCGTTTATACCAGGACAAGAATTATGTCTGCGCCGGCCTCTGCCAGGCCGAGAGCCATGGCTTGGCCGATGCCTCGCGATCCGCCAGTGACCAAGGCGGTCCTGCCTGCAAGACTGAAGAGACTGGAAATCATGCTAAAAAAAATCGTAGTAGTATGCCTCCTGACAGCAATCCTCTGCTAAAATCTGGTGAAGCATCTCTAGCATTTAATACTAACGGTGGCCCGGTCAGCTGCCTGTCCCTACTGCCATCAAGTCCATGACTCATGCATTACAAGCGAAAAGTCTGGGTACTTTTAATTGACGTGCTTTACGGCAGGGCAACGTTCCGCTGACTCCCGACGCCATGAGTAACCCAGCATAACCGCCCCATGCCTACGCATTGTTTGCCCGATCTGATATACCCGGGCTCTGCTAGTCACCCCAACCTCCTTCACTTGTTGAAAGCCCTTTCAATCCAAAGACCCACTTGCTATGACCTGAGCAATCTGGGCCTTTTCTAACCACCCTCTTTTGAATCAATTAATCTGAAATTCGTATATTCTCCATTTTGTATGGGGTTTATCTATTATAAGAATTCAGTCTAATTATCAAGGTCGATATTAGAAGATGGCGCATACCTGACTGCCTTGAGGGCCTACGTCTGCGGCAAAATCAGCCTTGGGACGAATTGTGGTGTCAATTTAGGCTTTTGCTAAACCAACCTCGTCTGGCCCCGCTAACTTAGATTAACACCCCTACTATTCCAATTTGGGAAAGGGGTTCGGTGGGGAAGAACAATTACTGTAGCGTATTTCCATTAGCGTGTTTCAATTAGTGTATTATATTAGTCAATGAATTAGCAGACTAAAATATTCGATGTGTTAACGTAATTCCCAGTCGAGCGAGCCACCTGATTGAGCGGGCCACCCCAGAACACCATACTAAATGCAATATTTCACAACTTCATACTTCAACGTCGAAGGCGAATTATATAGCCTTAAGGCATCTTAATATTAAATATATTATACTAGATATTTTTATAGGCTCTAGAAATATTTCGGGGTGTAATAATGTAGATATATATATCCTCGTCGCTCGATCGAGGCGTATTTTTGGTAATATAAGTAAATAATCATTTTCTAAATATATCAGTTGTACTAAACTATTTCTAATTCTAGAGAGTTATAGTAGATTAAAAATTTAATAAAAAGATGTTCTGGTTGTTGATATATTGTGACTTGAAAAATCGCGTTTAGTATAGTGTTTTAGTGTGGCCCGCTCAACCAGGTGGCTCGCTCAACCGTGAACTACGTTAACTTATCCACTACCTACTAAGTCAGCAACGCGTCTTTGGAACCTGGAAGATTCCGCAACGCATCCTGCCATCGAATCTGCCTACCAATCTGCCTACCAATCTGCCTACCAATCTGCCTACCAATCTGCCTACCAATCTACCATGACCAAGAAGGAGACTACTACAAGCTTGACGAGGTTATCGCCAATCTTCCCACTAAAGAGGAACTCTCTCAGCGGATTCAGCCCTTGACCGAGTTGACCCCTGCCTCCGATCCTCCGCGGCTACAACTACCCAGTGGCTTAGACCTAGATAGCCCATATGCAATCTTTACACTCTTTATCAGCAAACAGATTTTCGAATTTATCACCCAGTCTACCAACGAATACGCCCAGAAAGAACAAGCAAGCCTACTCCAACTATAGAGATCAAGGTCTTCTTTGGCGTTCTCATCTGGATGGGGATTTACCCAGAGAGACGTATTGAGAGCTATTGAGAAGAGATCGGCTAGAAGGGCCCTTGCATTGTATGTCATTCTATATGACCCAAGAGCGCTTTGAACAGATTAAGCGCTATCTTCATGTCTCTCGACCAGGGGAAGAACCAGCGAATACTAGGGAGTGGTGGTATAAACTGGATCCCTTAACCTCATCCTTCAATAAGGCAGCCTAGCAGTAATACCGGCCAGGTTCAAATATCTCTATCGATGAGACTATGATTCGCTGTTTTGGGCGTACTAAGCATACTGTCAAGATGCCCAATAAGCCAATTGAGCAAGGATAGCAGGGGGTAGCCTGGGCTCAATAGTCTAGGCGACACCCTTCTCTATCACGGGGATCAAGAAGAGTTCATGGAGCTCGAATGCCGTACGAAGATGGGCGATTGGAGGTGAGGGAAAGGATCCGAATGCTTCAATACGGGGCGGTTGCCCAGAAACCAATAGGACATGTGAAGGCAGACCAAGGCCTGCTAGATTGGACGCCTGTCTCTGGCACATGATTTACCATAGCTTTAGGGATAGGTATGGGCAATAATTTTGACCAAGAATTATGACTTTTAAACATCATTAATGGTTCAAATGAGCGAAATAAACTATCTCTTAAGACATAACAAGACAGATAGGCAATACATTGCAAAAGACTTCCAGACCGGCGTCAAAGGCTCGCTGGCTTAGCGGTAGCCAGATACAATTATGGAGGGTGAATAGAACTTTTGCAATAGAGGCCGACTTACCCGGGGTGGGGATGGTAAAGCTTCACTGATAAGGAAGTATTCAGAGGATTCTTGAAAAGTCGGTCTGGTCGCAATAATCCCGAAATGTGGTCATCTTCACTCCCAGCTACATATGATTAGTCTGAAATCATGCACAGGAGGAATGCGACAAATACCTCTCTTGGGCGCACGACCGGATCCCCACCCTCGTATCCAAATTGCTGCGCAAACAACACATTCTCTCCAAATTCCCTTCCCAGCCCACCGGGAAGCAACTCCTCAAACTTCTCCAAAGGAACCTGGTTGTACTTCCCGTGGGGAACATTCTGGCTCTGACACCAGGTGTCTAAGTACTGATTCCAACTTAACATCTCGCTTACTGCGAAAAAGTTTATACCAGGCGCAGCATTCACGACCGTTTGAACACACGAACCAAAATCGCGGTGCACGTCCAAGAACGGGATTGGTGCATCACCGGAGCCAATTGCGGTAATGTTGTATGATCCATCATTTTGCTGTTCTCTTTCAGATCAACTGCCTGCTAACATCCTGCCTAGGAGCGCTTACCTTCTGAGGTGTGGTTGGCAAGCCCCACTCCCACGGAAGATTATAATAAATCGCAGCCTGGATTTGGGAGAACTTTTCTTGTAATCCCGGAAGGCTCAACGCATAGTCAACTGCGAGAGCCTTTGAATCCATATGATAAAGTCTTGAAAATTTGCCGTGGCTCCATTTAGACGCGTTCGCCATAGAGCTGAACACGTATCGTTCTAGAGTTGGTATTTGAGCAGCACTGTCAGCTAAATTCTTGGCCTGCATCAGCTCCACCTCGAAGCAGTAGTGCGTAATATCTTGATTTGCTTTCTTCCTCTTGTGGCTCTCTTCGTCCTTAAAGATAGTCCAGAAGTCAGTCACCCCGAATATCACGTTCGCGTTTTGAAACGCAGCGACGAGACTATTGATGTCGTCGAAATTTGCTTGCACCATTTCCACTCCTTTCGCCTTCCATATCTTTGCGCTTTCTGAAGACACATTTCGTGTGGTGCCACGAACTTTCCACCCGCGGGACTTTAGATAGGCATTTGCGACAGAGCCGCCCTAGATGGCGTCAGAAGGTCGGTCTCACGCCGTCGAAAGCTAGGACGATCCCGATAATACTCACTTGAGCACCCGTGATTCCTGGTATAACGATAAGTTTCGACATAACGGAACGTCGAAGCTTCTGGAGACCTTTTTTGCAGTGGGTTTCCTTTGAAAAAGGTCTGGGTATTTATTTGTTTTATCAAATACTGACAGATGAAAGGGAATCAACTCTAAACCACCTGACCTTTACCACGGTGAACATGCGAAATCTTGTACAGCTTATAGCCGTGAAAGACAACCGCATCTTTGAAAGCTTTGACTGTCGTTGCAGGCCACTAGCCAAATGCGGACGTTTCACGACATTGTAAGACGTAGGTGGCGTTCTGAGTTAAGGCTACATCACTAATACATAATTTCAGAATAAGCCGATACAGTATAGACTAGTATGCATATTGGCGATTGAGATCAAGCTGAAAATAGAAGATTCTTGGGGAAAGGTTGAAATACCCCCTGAACGTTTATGGTACTTGGGGTTACGACAGCCAAGTTACTAGGAAAACCAAAATACCATACAAAACATAAGATAATGTGGGTCAATCTGGATTACCCTGTCCTAGCGGTAAGTTACCGCTCCATTTCTTCAACGCATAAAGTAAAATTACACAAACATCCCCCCAGAGCTAATAGCAACTCCGAGTGAATTAGATCACACAAAAAAATTCCACTTTGACACGCCGAACTCGCCGAACTCGCCGAATTCGCCGAGACGGAGGGTGGTACCCTTCGGACTAGGGCCAACCGGAGTGCTTTTTTCTGTCGAAAGGTGCACGGTTACCGTAGTTTAGTGGAAGCTTAAACACGAAACACAAAAAGGATCCAGACTCCCCCAATTTCAATGCATCAGTGGCTCCTCACTAGACTTCATATAGGTCAAGCTCATTGGCCCCGAAAGCTTAGGCAGCAAACAAAAAAAAATTGCAAAATCGAGTGCTCAGACCACTATGTGCCGATCGAAAAACTCTAGCCAAACCTCCATGATATCCGTGCCTTTCTGCCCACCCAAAGCGCTTCCCACCCAAAATACTCGATAGTCTTATAATGCGCGAGATTAATGTACGTATCTTGCCAGAGACATTGCAGGTACGTAATGAGGGGCAAATTATGGCAGGTGACCTCAACACCATAAAGGCCTGAATGAAATCCATTTTAGTATGAGTAGAAAGCCCACATCCGTCAGATCCCAAGATCGTATTAATTTTTATATATTATTGATAATCGGTGGCAGGAAAGCTGAGCTGCTCTTAGCCAGTAGAGACTCGAACGAATAACTCGGAAAACCAAGGTACCAACTACCAGCGCCACGACGCGTGTTGTACTTTGAAATTGGTACCACTAAAATCAGCACAGGTTGCCCACGTCCAGAATTCTTCTTTCTTTTTAACGCTTTCAAAAATGCCTCCAGTATATGGCGGACAGATTTCAGCCAATAGAAAGTCGGACGAAAACCCGGAATTGTCACGTGCATTCCATCTGCTGGCCGGAGTTTGCTTTGCGAGGGGGCACACAGGAAGGGAGAAAACATCCAAACAACGTATATTCTCACATAAGACTGTTGAATGGTCGTCAACTTACGATACCAACGCAACGAACTCAATGGGCGCAATGATCCAATCCAACTGCGGAATAAACGAACTTAGATTGACTGACATTCGCAGTGTATGCATGTTTTCATTCTGCCAGCGGCCGCCGATTGTTGTGTTCTGTGCCAAGAAACGATAGATCGAGATTGTGGTGTTTCATCAGGGACAGACTGCGTGACTGCGTTGTCATAAAGCTGACAATCGCACTAACAGAGACTGATTGGCAGTCTCTAAAGCAAAATGTTCCTCAGCATGCCAGAGCACTTATACCGATAGAATGATTCGGGAATTTGGATATTACCCCGAACTAATGGGAGAGCGGGATTATAAACTCTTTCACTCTCGGTTTGCTGAAGCTTAGACAAGGCTCGGGACTCTTCGAAATTTGAGGCATCATGTTATTCGTTCTGTATGTTGGATTGCCAGGATAGGTATACGGAGTCATAGTATCGGACGCCCTTCGTTCAGGGGGTCTTTCTGTCTCTTTCCCTTCTCCTTCTTCTCCGCCCCGAATGGATAAAGGATTAGGTGGCAAGGGTAATAGGGACCGAATATAGCCCGGGAGCAGCGATAGGATTAGTCATGTATGTATTAGAGCCCATCTGAATTGCCAGCTCGGGGCCATTTAGCAATTCAGACCTTTGATCCATTCTATTGAGACACATCCACATGCTGCTAGAGAGAATCCAAGTTTTCTAGCGCTTGTTCTTATGCGTGATCCCGAACCTACGTAATTTTCGCCTTTCCCCCTTCATCGCATAGTATCCACAAGACCTTCTGTGTCTGTTCTGTTGCTACGACTTTCAATTTGCGAGTCCAATGGAACGATTGGCTGTTGGAGGGGGTTCTCCGACCCGACCACGGGTCCGGCCACGCACCTGGCGGACGGGAGCACGCACGCGGACCAATCAGGATGGCGAGCGAATCGAATGGGGTCGCTTCGGCCCGCCACTAGGATATAAGAGAAAGCCTGTTGATCAGTAAGGTACGAGAGCTATAAATAGAGGATAGAATCAAATAGCAGATCAGATTGACACATGAACTGATCCTTGAAGAAGGAAACCAGGTACAGGAGATATGGGCGATCTTTTATCCCCTTCGTTCTGCTTTAGCGAGCGCTCCATGCCCTAGCTGCAGGATCATGCATCTGGTATACCGCACACTTCCTGTCGCATTGGCCAGATTAGGAAATCCCTGCCACTGCGGTGATATACACTCTGCATCAACAGCTGTTATCCTGGTCCTTAGATCTTTCCCGGTCCAAATCCAGTGGGCGCACAATGGCCACCACCGTTCTGATCCGCTCCACAGCAGTACATGTGATTGCCGCCAGATCTGATGTTGTAGCAACCATCACCTGTGATCCAAAAAGCTGCCCTCTCCGATCCATAATCCCCTTCGCAAGTATAGTAGTCTTTATCATCACCCGGTTCGTCTGCACATGGGCCGGGAATGCCGGCGCAATAGAAAAAGTTGTTGTCATCGAAACTGTATACGACATTGTGTGTGGGAATGTTGCCAGTCCAACCCTCGCCCCCGGCAGCAGTCATACTTTCATCCTGACAGGAGATGTACCCCACAGCCGAGGCACGAACAGCCGCCAGCAAGAGACATACAAGCGTGCGTGCTTTCATATTGGAGAATAATAGGAATCTGTCCTTTAGAAGTTAGATTTCGAGAGAACTACGCGAGTTAGACACGACACCCTCACCTGAGAAAGCGAAAAAAACGATGAACCAAGCTCAACTTGAGTAATTCTGCGGCGTTGTGGACCTCTAAGGGGAGTTAGGGATAATTGAACTTCTTATAAGCTGAGGTCTGTTAGTTGGAGTCGTCCTCTGGTTTGGTGATAGACAAACTTGCCCCTTTTTGACATGCTAGTAACAAAAATAAGCTGTCTAGTTTCCTGACTCTGTGAAGAGATATTTCTCTCCTAAAATTAATTGCGCTGATCCTGTTCAGGTCCCCGCGAGACCCGCGAAGTTCAAGCAAAATAGGCAATAAGACGGGAAATCAGGATCGTGGAGACCAGATGAATATGCTCCTGTGGACGGGATTATCTCTTTTTCTTTCTGTTTCGTAGATTAAGGTTTTGTGGGCATTAAAATACGAAGCGGTGTGGGTGCACTGAAGGTAGGCCGGAGGCACGGATACCCCTTGACTTCATAGAAAACTTTCAGAGGCACTCCATGGTCGGCGAGCTCGGCGAGCTCGGCGAAGGCTAGCGAGCCTGCCATTAGAAATAACATCGATCGACAGACAGTTCACCCATCCCTTCCATGCAGAATGAGCATGCTAAACTCCCACTGAACCTGAATCTATTATAGGACAGGCTTGGGTCCAATCTAGCCTTTAGATTATACTTAGCTCATCATTAGGTGTCACCTAGAATTAGCGTTGGGAGAAAGCTATTAGCAACCGTAACCTCCTTGTTGGGACAAGACTCAATTAACCCAGCATGAATGTTTCACCTAGTGGATGTTCGGAAATTATATGCATTAACTGTAAATTCAGCTCCGAAATTAGCTGCGGCTGAAGAATGTGTGGAGGCAGCCCGCTGCTTACAGCCCCCTAATAGTGTCGAAGGGGCCACGGGCCTCATAGCTAGTAGTCCTCTATCTCTGGAATAGATCTAGTTCCTTCGGTAGCAAAAAATAGGGTTTTTATGCAGTCCAGTTATCCGGTGTCGTCCTTCTTATAGCTTGAACTACCTCCCTTCTATCTGTCCTGGAGTTGCCCACTGCAAACAAACCATTACATGTCCAAGAGGTATTTGATTTGGGTTAAGTCTCTCTACATCCTTGATATCTTAACTAATGTTTTGTACTGAAATACAGCTTCACTATGCGTTTATCAACAGCGATTTCCCTTATGTCTCTCGCGGCGCAAACTGTAGCGGCAGGCAAAGGGGCTTCTATGTATGCTTATACCTGTTATGATTGCCACTGCGATGCTTTTCAGTCGGCCGAGTTTTACGGCCAGTGGGATTGCATCAACCTTTATTCCGGAGCCGCAGCGATTGGGATACACCGGAACAGCATTCTGTACCACACAGAATGCACTTTCTTTACTGAACCAGACTGCGGTGGTGAATCATCTGCACCTTACAGTATCTCTACCTTCCAAACATGGACTTGCCCAAACTCTGAAATTGGTTGGGTCCAGTCGGTGCAATGCTACCAGCAGTACTGAATGCAATGGACTGTGACGGCAGTTGTTGCGGGGCTAAGGGACATTCAGAACCTCTAAACCTCTCCCTGGCTTCCTTCTTCTTTCCTTACTCTCCTCCTGCAGGTTAGATCCTCTGGGGTATCTCCAAATTCACTACGTTCCTTCTCCCCTCTCCGTTTGTTTAGCTTGGCCCATAGCTATCTCGCTGCTGTCGGACTGTCCTGGTGATTTTCCTTGGCATCCTCATTCGCGACAAAACAAGAGACTCTGCCAACATGATTTTCCAAAATTGTCTGACTTTCTAAGACACGGAGGAATTGGTCCCATCCACAGATCAACTACACCAACACTGTAGATGTGTATTTAACATATCCTCTGCGAACCACTCATTTAATCAATCAATCCACTCGTTTTCTCTTAATTCGCCAGTTCTCATACGTATGCATACCCGTAGCTGATAGTTCGTCAGCTAGTACTGGCGGGGCTCTGATTGTATTCGAGGCGTATGGCCTGTTTTCTGACCTCGCTCCATCTCCAGGCCGATTACTCACCCTGGAAATATCGATCAGAGATTCTGCTTACCCTGGAAGCTGCATCTCTATCACCGACAGCGGCAAAGTGATCGTCACGATTGGCCAACAGTATCTCACCCTGGTCGTTGACGCCTCGTTTGAAAGCATCAATCACGGAGTAAACCCCAGCCTTACGGATGTAGATACGTGGAAATGGCGTGGCGAAGGTCTCGTGATGGACCAGCCCGACCCGTCCGTTCAAATGAAACTAAATTTTGCCTCACTGACAAGGATGAACCGGCACCACAGCGACCGTAAAGCATTGATTTAGGTGTCCCCTTGTATGGCAAGTAACACTCTTTGGCACCAGCATTAGCTATCAATATCAGTCTACGCAAGTGAACGTGGATTTGAAGTCGCATGGCCTGCATGACATGCATCGGTGTGTTGGTAGAATCGTTTGGGGGCTGTTCCTGGAGCGCTTGTATTGGGTGTATTGTTTTGTCACGCTAAATTTGCACGGCTCATTCATTCGGGACAATACAATACCTTTGAACCAAAGCCAAGACCCGCCCGTTAACCTAGTGTATGCTTTGGCACGGGAAATTATTCTGAGGCCGTTGAGATAAACGATTCCTACCCAAATCACACGGGCGGATGATTGATCCAGGTTAAACTTGATATCCACAAGAAGCCACCGATCCATGGTTCAAGGTCCTACGCTGGTTCAAAGCGGTGTTCCATGCCTTGTCGGGGAAATATTTTAACTCAAAGTATGTGTATTCATGCATTGGAATCAGCGAACTTAGATTAGGTACAATACAATTCAAAGCCAAGTTGCCTCCATTCCATGCATCTCTCCTCTGTTTCCAATCTCTATGAGCGAAGCCTTGCCAGGAGTCCAGCAATAATCTCCTTCGTTGAAGCCAGCAATGACGGGCCGTACTGCAATGAAGCCCAGGCAATGACTCCAAGCACAGGAATTACAACGGCACTTAGCCTCATGATCGCGGCGATAATTTTGGGTTTCAAGAATTCATCCGTCAGTTTCTTGAAAATGGCAGGGTCGTTGGGTATCGGGTATGGTTCGTCTGGAATTGGCACCCCCAGGAACGGGCAGATGTCCTTCCAGTCCACACCGTTCTCGAGGGTGATAAGGTGCAGGCGATCAGCTGGAATAACTTCCTTGGCCATTTTGATGCTACGGCAGAACGTTAGTTTGGTTTTTCTGATCCAGTTGGTCCATTGAGGGTCCACGTACTAGTCATTGTAATACTTGATTAGCTCGGCCTCGTTATCTGGGTCGCCCGGTTCCGTGCCCCCCGAAACGGCCTTGTATACGAGGACGTTCAACCTCGCAAACTGGAACAAGGTGGGGTCAAAATATTTGAGGATATTCATGGGGAAGCTCGATGACATTTTGTAAACGACAGCGGCCGAGTTGTTGATCGATTTCACCCATTTCTCGGGATTTCGTTCAGTAAGGATGAATTTAACATCCGGATTCTCTGCGTAAGCATGGAAAAATTCCTTCCCCATGTAGCTAGGGATCTCAACTAGACACTAGGGCCATTTAGTTAGCCTTATCGACCACTTCTAACCCCGACAAGGGTTTGGGCTGGAAGGCATGGGCTCACATCGTAATCGCACAACCATTTGTCAAAGTCAGCTTTGCCGTATCGCTTGATTCCAGATGAGGGATTGGACTGCGCGTCGATTGCCTCGTTCAGGAGTTTCATGTGAGAGGCAACCCTCTCACAGTAGCACATTCGGCAAAATGATACGACTTAAAGCCCAGGATTTTCATGGCGCTCCACATACTCAAAGTTCCTGAGCTGTCGATGTGTCCATTGCAATTAGCAAATTCCAAGTTGACATTTCATGTGAATTTATCGGAAATCCATTAGCTTACCGGCTAGGGCTGGCCACGATCACCTTTATAGGTCGGACCTTGGCCGGAGTTGGGGCTTGATCAATATCTCTTGACATTGTGTAGAATGCGCAATTCTTGAACGATAGAAAAGCAACCTGGGGAATGGGACTTGGCTTTGATTTATATGGTTTTGAGAAGTAGAACCTTCGTAGGAGCCGTAAATGTGGCTCATTCCTATTTTATCGACTTTGCGCCAACTCCCAGGTGGCGCGCGGCGGTCGACAGGGGGGCCAACAAAAACAGCCGCCCCGCCTCGCAATCTTCGCTCCATTTTAGCACCTCTGCATGCCTGATTCGGTCAAGCGTTGCGTCTAACCAGGCCAGTTCAAAGAGTGCCCGTGCAAGTGCCATCTTATTATTCATCAATAAAAAGTTACCGGTTCCACGGCACGACTACGCGCTTCTCAAGTAGCCAAACCACGAGCGAGACCAGATCACTGCAAACGATATGTACCCCAGGAATGGGGCTAGTACTCGGTGTTACGACAACCGAAATGCCAAAGATACCGAATTACTATACGAAACACTATGGAAAAGTGGGTCATTTGGTATAGCCCCTGTCTACGGGGTAAGTTACCACTCCATGTCTCGACATATAATCATCGCAAGCTACAGGTGAGCCTAAAAAGCTAGGGACGAGCTAACCAGAAAGCTAAATGGTGAAGAGGAGCTCCAAGATCCTGGAGATGTGCGGTGGTTCTTGAATATCCGCATTCTTCGAGATCGTGAGGCCAGAAAATTATGGTCTGTCAGGACTCCTCCATCTCCGCGGTGGCCACAAAATATCACCTCACCAACCGACCTAAAATCCTTGCCCCTCTTCCTGTTGAAGAGATCCTCTACTACAACGGTCAGGCTAGTCCGAAACTGATCTACCTCTATCAGCAGAAGGTTATGCTTGTGCAATATCTCACCACGTCTACGAGACTCTGTTGCGATACAAGGCAAGAGCGCATCAGGAGCAATGCCGCAACATCGGAAATAAATCCTGCACTATCTATACGAAGAAAATTGATTGGAAATCAATTTGGACTTCACCTTGGATATATAGTCTCTTGTATATCAAGAAAGAATAAATGAATCAACTTTCTTCTGAATTACAACACCTTACGTTGCCTATCGCCGGCTCGCGAGATATCTACACTGACATTTCTGAGAAATGAGGGCCTTCTCCCTCCCACACCTGCGTAGTCAGTTGCTTGCCTCCGTAGGTGGCTCTAGACGCAGCCAAGGCTCGATTTTGCTCCCTCCCGGCTTTTCTCTGTATATAGAAACCACTGCAATACAGACATTTTGCCTCCCTACATGGGAGCGCGGACGAGCCCTATCTGACGCTACCGTCTAAGACCGCAACGACAAGTAACTCGTTACGGCCAAACTACAGTGGCGCCCCAAAAGTCTGAGACCGCCGGAAGTACCTTTTTTACCGCCTCCTTATTGAGGACATACCGCCAACTAATTACAACTTATGAGTGGTGCGGCCACTATTTGCCCGCAGAATAATTAACGTGATACTTCGGGTTGTCTCAGACTTTTGCGGCGCCACTGTCTACTCTTCTTGTCGGTCTTGACTGCGTGAGGTCACCAATAAACTAATTTTTTGGTCAAAAAGCATTAAAACATTTGGAGGCCGCGGAGAAATCGGCCACTCGGTGGTTGATTGCGTTCTCAAACCCCAAACCAACCAGCCCTAACCTATTTTGAACGGGTAGGGGTCCGACCAGCGGAAACCGGCGGGATATCCAGGACCGATCCCATTCGTGCACCTTGTCCCTGCACGCTTATCAAAGCAAGATAGAAGCCACGTAACTTAACTAGTTAGTTAACTAACCTAACTTAATAACCTAACTAAGTTAACTAGTTAACTTAACTGAATTACTCCGTAATGGCTGACTAAAACTCGGCCACCGCCTCCCGGTTTAGTTGATTTCGGTTGTGGCGGAATTCTGTCTTTTTAGCATCATCCTTCTAACGACTTGACCATTATCAATTCCCATTAGTTCTTGATTGATTCCATCGATACTACTCGTAGTAATCCACAGATAGCCGGTTCTCCATACGTTAGGCAGTGGAGTTGTCTGACTGGCGGTATTGAGATCATTCCGACCCTTGGCGGAGATCATGGGGCTGTGGGGCCCGACGACCATTCGATCCAGTTCGAGATCCTAAGTTCATTTGGATGACCCCGGTTGGCAAGCTCACGATATCATGATTCAGCTTTTTGTCATAACCGAAACCTAGTAGTTAGTTACTGGGTCCCGCAGTTAGTAAGTTACCAGTAGGTCGATTAATCGCCATGTGGGATGGGTCGAGTCCGCCATCCTCATCTAAAGGCATCATGGTGGGGAATAGAACAGACCGTGGCTTGAGACTTTGTCAGAGTTTGTCAGCAACATAAAAATGCTTTGAAAGATTTTCCGTGCTCTGGAGTGATGCAATGCCGAACTGAAAAATCATGTGGGTATGGAGGATTTCCACTTTAGTGGTGTTGAATCCGTGTAAGTTCGATCTATATAATCTTGATCTTGCATCCTGTGTCTCTCAACCCTGCTCATTCCATTCAGTTAGCAATCATGCCTCTCAAGCCGATCACTCTGTGGGGCCACCCGGTGGCCCAAATCCTTGGAAGGTGGCCATGATCCTTGAGGAGCTGTATGTCCCTTACAACCAGAAGTTCATCGAATTTTCAGACATGAAGAGAGAACCATTCGAGTCGATCAACCCCAACGGTCGTGTTCCTGTCATCGAAGACCCCAACACTGGCATCACTCTATGGGAATCCGGTGCGATCATTGAATATCTGTTGGACACGTATGACAATCAACACACCATCAGCTTCACTCCTGGCTCGAAGGAATTTTTTGAAGCGAAACAGTGGCTGCATTTTCAGGTGTCTGGACAGGGCCCATACTTCGGCCAAGCCGTATGGTTCACCCGCTACCACTCCGAGCAAGTTCCCAGCGCGGTGGACCGCTACGTCAATGAAATTCGCCGCGTCTCGCGTGTCCTCAACCACGTTCTGGAAAACAAGGAGTACCTCGTTGGCGGCAAGTTCAGCTACGTTGATACTGCGTTTGTGCCGTGGTATGGAATAGTTCAGGCGTTCTTCTCGGAGAAGATCGATTTGGAAAACGAGTTCCCTCGTCTCAACAGTTGGCTTAGCCATGTCAAGGCCAGACCGGCAACTACCAAGGTCAATGAGGCTCGGCTGGTTGCCATTGGGCAGGCATAATGGAAAGCGGGTAGTGCGTGGAAAAAATCACCTTGAGCCTGGAAAATGTCTTTTTGGGCCTCGGAACGAGAACATTGCACAAGCGACACGATTAAACATTGATATTTAGAGTTCTTGGATATTATAAGTGTTTGCTCACCTAAGCAGTGCTCAGATGAGAGGAATTTAACTCAGCCTGACAGCTGTAAATAACAGGTATTTTAGTACTATATTTTGAACAGCACCGGAATAGCTATATTCCTCTATTGTTATCGAACAGTAATTTACTCTAGATGATTAAATTCTAACTGATTTCTCGTAACTGTGACCAATCCATGGTGTATATTATATAATCAAATTTCTCTGGCAGCCCCGCAATCAACGTCATTTGCCCCGGAAGATCGCAGGCGAACGAATTTCTTTCATCTTAACCTCTGTTATTAAAGAAAAGTCCTCTCTATACCATACTCTGATATATTGTATAGCCATGATATGCCTCTTTTACCCATTGAACCGTATCATAGATCTCTTCATCCCGTCCTTTATGGTGATGATAGGGATCGTTTTCGGGGTCTACACCTTCCTGGAGGTTCTCGCCACCGAACGCAGACGTCGTCTAGCATTTAATTTCAAACACTGGCACGATCAACAGTTCACGCGGCTGTGGAAAACGTTTGGGCCCTTAGGTTCCAATGTTCTCAGGTCCACAATATCTCCTCTGGCCGCGGTTGCGAACGGCGTTGTTTTGGACATCGGGTATGTAATCTGGATACTTCTATACAGACAGTAACCCTTAATTTCTACGGTAAATGACTATGTATAGGCCCGGTGATGGTCAGAATCTGGCGCACTATAAAAGCGAGAATATAATGAAGTTGTATCTTGTTGAGCCGTGCGTTGGATTGTACAAGAGGCTACGGGAGAATGTGAAGAAAGCCGGCCTCGAAGATGTTACTACGATAATCGGTCAGTCACTACTTTATTCATTCTATCCTTTCAAACTTCCTAAATGCGACATCCAGACTGTGGGGTTCAAAATGACAATGTTCTTTATGACCATGGCATAACCCGCGCCTCTGTCGATACGATCACCACCTTCAGTGTACTCTGCTCTGTGCCCAATCCAGAGGAGATGTGTCGCTTCCTGTACTCGCTGCTTAAACCCGGTGGACAATGGGTGATAGTCGAGCATGTTATCGCTAATGTGAAGTTTCCACTTGCCCGTTGGATCCAGGGTATGTTCGAGGTTGTTTAGTCGACACACCCCCTTAGCTCTCGATATGAGATGATAGGTAAGAGCAAAGTGAGAGCTGAATGAGACGAAAGGAAAGGTAGGCAATTAGGGCCTAATACAATAGGGATACTTTTATGTATAGCTGCTTAATAAAAGCGTGGTGTTTTTCGCTAGTTAGGCGTTTTGTGAGTCTATTAGCTAGTATTTCGGTTGTTTTAACCTATTAGACTATTAGCCGTTTAGCCTGAACTTCTTGCTGAATCTAAAGTTAGTAGATATCTACGTAGCGAAGTTTTGTCTAAAATACTGATTTCTCGCGATTTAATAGGTCGACGGTCTGTTTATTATCGTAATTCAACGTTTCTAGTTAGTTAATATCGAATTAGATAAAGGAGAAAAGGTATTTAATCTAATATAGCTATTTAGCTATATAGCTAATTACGAGTAATTTAGCTTCGGTTATTAACGTAGTAACCGTCTTTTATTTTCGAGATTTCTATTTAATTAGTCTACTAAATAGCAAAAGAAAGGGGTCTCCGAGCAGCAAAAAGAATTGCTCAATTACAACAAGGTAATAGTCCCTGTTGGTATCACCAGCTAGGTCCTGTGTACACAGTTAGGTGGACAGTGTTTATGCTTTCAAAGCAACAGTCAATTGATTCAAGGAGATAGATGTAGATTCTCAGTCTAGTTAGAAAACACCCCTAGATCTCACACGCTGGCCGTCGGTGGTCACAACACCGCAGCCGCAGAAGGTTATCTATACCGCATTTGTTTTATTACTCCTGAATGTCTCAGGACTAGGCTGGGACTAGAATGACCGTTATAGGATACAGTGCCAGGCAAGAAGTTTGCACACACCCCTCCTTCCGCCTAGTCTACCGCCTGCTATTTTCAACCACAAACCTAGCCCAACCATCATATAAATCATCAAAATAAACATCAAAACAGCTATCAAAATAAATATCAACTAGGTAGGTTAGCTACCTTATTCAACCTCCACTAATCAATATAGGCAGGGGGCTAGAACTATCACCCTCTACACGATCGCGAATCTGCAGTCTTCGTACTGATGCGAAGCTTACCTACGGTGAAATCGCTAGCTATTTTCCCCATATCCCACGAAGCACGATTATTGTTATGATGTTAACTACTTGCAGGGTGGTAAGCCTGTCAACTAGGTAGGAGAGGATGAGCACTAAGTTGGATTGGAACAGAGACTGTTTCTTAGGGAGCTTTATCTTCTTCTCCCCAGGCTGATCTTATACATCCCCCATCAACAGAAAGAGGGGTAACCAGGTAAACATATCAGCCCGCATAAGAAATATGTCGGTCAGCGGGCAACTCTCTTCCGGCGAAACAGCGGTGGAAGGGGGGTGAGAGGTCACCGAACTGGTGCGTCATAGCCAACCTCCTAGGTGGCCTCAAGCCGAAAAGTGTGAATAGCCTCACGGGGGCCAATACCATAACAGATTTGCTATATAGAAAGGCGCCGCCGCGCTAATAACCAAAGTTAGAGTCCTATAGCCGATTAAGGACTTCTAGAAGCTATTTGTGGGCAGTGTTATAGGTACAAATGGCTTATTAACCACGATTAAAGTGAATTACCTGGCTAGCAGCACAACCTCCTGCCCTAGTTACGTTACACTCCCCTATTACCCGACCATTGGTCCCAGTACACAAGGGTTATATAGGTGGACCACTGCGCTACCGTACACTGAGTCCAGTGTTGTCTACTACGCCAAGAGTATGACACAACAATGTGAGATCACCTTCACCACGCAAGGCGCCTCATGCGAAACAGTAGAGAACGAATTTCGGTCTGGTAGATGATATACCACAAGGTCATCCTGGACTAGAACCTCTTCTACTCTAGCTGATAGATTAACCCTGGCCACTCTCACAGTAAACGGCGGACTACAGCTTCTTCAGAGCTTTATTTCGAAGAGCCCTATTTCGAGTCCTAGTTCAACTGTGACCACGACTACCACATACCCAGCACAGACGAACAGTCTCCGTACAGCAGCCACCGTGAAGTCCCAAGAAGAGTCGTTATCAAAGGCTTGGATTGCAGGTCCTATCCTGGGAGCTTTTGCTGGTGTTTCCTTGATCATTAGAATGTTTATTTGGCATATCAAACGGAAACCATCGAACCGGACGCTTGAGAATATCCAAGCAAGATCACTAGATGTGATAGAAGAGAAACCTCCAAGCCTACCCGAATACAAGGCAGAACTACCAGCCTATGGTCTGAAACGTCCGGGTCCTGTGGAGCTTCCTGGTGATGGCATTTATGAGGCCCTTGGAGTGGAATCTGAAACAGTGTGAGCTATACATGCTTGGGCAACTCGCTACGGAAACGTGAAAAATGCCTGTTTACTTAATAACACCTAACCCATGGGGGAAATTGCAGTCTGGCCTACTGCAATTAGGTTGCCATGTATTCTAGTAGTTTAAATTTAACCAATTTCAATCCAATTCTTTATTTATAGTTTCCCCGTCTAACCTGCATATGAATGCAATCACGTACCGGACCCAGCATCATGAAAATTTACAAAATTAATATCACTAGATAGTGAACTTTTCAGGCCCTCCGACAATATTATCATTATCTCCCTATGTCTAATATTTACCGAGTTATTCAGGTTTGAAATTCATTATATATCGGTGGGCCTTCCCAATCTGTCAAAACCGTCACATAAGGTTATTACTTAAGCCACATCCCTCAAGTTCCCTCTCCATTTCTGCCTTCAACTTTTAAGCAAAACCTTTACAATTAAAACACGTATAATTTAATCTATCATCTAATATTCATAATCCTCTAGGCCTACTATAAGAAGATCCGGTGCTAATTAGGGCGCTTTCCCCCCGCTGCTAGAGCTTAGAACTTAGGCCCTTTCTCCCAGTCTAACCTTGGGGGTTACGCACTCACAGAATACAGGCCAGCCCCTTAAGTCCAAAAGGCATTTCGAGGTCTATCCCATAATATGAATGAAACAAGGAACCTACACATACGACTATAGGGTGTGGAAAACAAAGCTTCCCGTCCGCTCAGCCGTACTTAAACAACACGCCAGCTAGTTAGTAGTATGGTGGGGACTATATGCGAAACCTCGCTATTGTATATTTTTATCGAAATTAGTAATAGATATTTTATTTCACTACTACCTCCCCGTTGAAGAATGCCCGCATGATTGGGACCTTCAGTTTCACATGATATACATCGTCCCGACCTAGAAATCGCCCGACAGATACAAGCAATACTTATTGCCAATCTGGAGCCTGAGCCCTTCTCTAATCTAGTGGTGATAAATAGTCTCATCGCCATAGAGGGTCGATCCAGTCACGGGCGGTATAACAATGCCCGCCGCCACTAATTCATTCACGAGATTGAAGATCATGAGATCGCAACCATGAGGCGCGATGAAATCCACCGCCACGGGTAGATATTCCTCCTGCTCGGTAATAGTAGAGTTGTATTTGGCTTGGCCGACTATAATCGAGTCATACTTAGTTTCATGTAGGGGTTGCAGAGACCGGGCTAACTTACTGGGAACTACCATATCAGGAACACCGGCAAAGTTCGCGATACGAGAGGCTGAGAATCCACTTGGAATCCCAGGCATGCTGCGATACGCATTTCGATATGTCGGAGTCGCAGTCGCGCCTACATACAGAATCAAGCTGTCCGAGCATGTATCCGCATCAAATACTTGCACCGTGCTATTCCACCAGGCTGTAAATATGTCCTTGTTCTTGATTTCCGCTTCCAGCTGGGATTCGGGATACTCCAATCCCCAGGTCCAGCGAGATAAAGGCACAGGGTCAATAAAAGGTTTGCGGCCACCATTCGCTGACGCATAGTCGCTATAAAGTGGCTCACCGACGCGAGGAAATTGCTGCTTTGAGATGAGGATGGGATAAGTGATGTTCAACATGGTTTCCAGCGTCGTATTAGCGGATACGCTTGACGGCTTGGTAGATTCCCAGAGAGAGTCATAGTCTAGAGCAGTCACATTTCCACCCCCTAAAAAGGAGGATAGGCTGGAGAGAAAGTCGAGAATAATACCATAGGCTTCAGTAGAAGCACTGGTGGGAAAACCAATGGTTTTGATGGTATTGGGGTACTTGGTGTAAGACTTCAATTCAGCACCTGCGTAGAGGACCTCGGATGCGGCCCTCCATAGCTTTGCATCCCGAGTGAGAAATCCAGCTGTGTCAAGAAGAGGGGACATGGGCATCACGTTGTCTAGCGACACGAGATTCCACGATGGGCGGTTCCCGAAACAACCATTCACTTGAGACGGGTTACGAATGGAGCCACCGGTGTCACTCCCAATAGCAATGTCCAGCCACGGATAAGCCCCAATGCCAGACCCGGGCCCTGAAGAGGATGAGCTGGGATCCTGATATCCATCTCCTCGTGCATTGAACGGAGAGTGGTAATCAACCCAGTCATCCGTGGCCGTCTCTCCATTGGCAAACTGGCTTGTCTTCATCTTGCCTACAATGACGGCACCAGCATCGATCAAAGACTGAATAGCCGGACCAGTGGTGTTAGCAGCAGCGTAGGTCTCGTAGTAGGCGCGGTTTCCGCAGCCAGTCTTGACGCCTTTGATGTCATAAAGGTCCTTCACACCAAGACGGACTCCTGCAAGAGGCTGCTTTGTTGTCGTGGTGAAATAAAGACGGGACGGGACGCCAATGGTCAGAGAGGCGTACCCTGGGAGGCTTGCCGTGAGTACATCGTAGGAGCCATCTCCTACCGCGTAGAGGCCCTGTGTGAAGGATCCCATCACATCGGAGTACAGCAAATAGACCTCGAACACATCACCAGTAGTCACGTCCAAGAAGTATGGCCCTGAAGGAATACTCTTCGAGGACGTGGTTGTCCTCTTTGTGCTATATGCGGCGGAAAAGCCTAAGAATTTATTCCCCCAACTCGATGGAAGAGCGACGTCTTCAATTGGCTTCTTGCTGGTGCCATTGTATGTGACGTAGATATCTGTTCTAATTAGCTAAGCTCAATGAAATGATAAAACGAAGATTTTCCTATTTCATACTTTCAAGGAAGCCGGTATTAAAAACATCATCAGCTGCTTGGTAGGCATTCACGAGGTTCTTGATAATCGAGGTCGTAAATTTTGAAACATCACTCTGGATGACTGTTAATGGAACTAGGCCATTGTCCTGGCTCAATTGGCCACTGGAAACCTTAAGAGTTGTCACCGCAGTGGCAGGCACGTAGTAGGAATTGCCATTGACTTCAATGGTCTGACCCTTGGAGGTGCTGGAGGCTGCAACAAGCGTAGACAGCAATGACAGAAAAGCTGTCAGACTAAAGCGAGCTGCGGAACCCATCTTGTGCCTCTTGTTATCCAAAGTCGACCGTCATTTCCCTGTTAATATATACCTGACTGTATGTACTGTCTCTTCAATAAAATTATGTGTCATCAAAACTGTTTGTATCTTCGTTATCTAGAGCAATCTGGAGAGATAAGAGACTTGTATGTAATTACGGCCCAATTAAGCGAGATATCTGCAGGGCCTCCAGATAAGCCAAGACCAACTTGAATGGAACGTTTTATTGGCATGTTCTTGATTAGGAATGGTCTGTAGCCACTAGCCCCAAGGAGAGTATTCTAGCGGCATGAGGCGTGCCTGTCTTCCCTTGAATCTTGTATATCTATCCGATCTATCCCGCATGCCGCTTTTCGGCAACTATGTGTCGATCCGGGAGAAGAGAATACGGCTAATCATCCTAAATCGGGATTGTTTTCCCACGGGGTTGGACTCGTACCGACTAACTGTTGATTCCTTTGTGTTAAATGCTTGCCTTAGAGTTCAACAATTGAGAACTCTAAGATTCAGTCTTGTTCCAATCTAACTTATATTACTATACCTCATCCAAGGACTTATTGTAATAATACATCGAATTCCCTGGAATCCCTTGATACAGTGGCACCGCAAAAGTCTGTGACCACCCTTATTCACCGCTCCCATCCCCGCCTTCCTAAAATAGACTAGTACCCACCCTCGTGCTATGAATCGAGGGAGCTTTGTGGTGCGGCAGAATAATGGGCAAAATATAGCGGTGAATATGGGTGCCACTATAGCCCTAGACTGCGAGATTGCTAAGGCTAGGCTTAGGAAGGCTGGCCGAAAGCAATATAGCTAAATAATTCACATAACCCAGGCCCTATAGGGTAAGCCCCTTCCAGCTATAAATCTACTAATATTTTTTGATAGATAGCTAGATTAGACTATCTTATTAAAAGATTTCGAAGAGCCGATTGCAAAATCCTACTAATTAATGTAGTTAACTGTTTCAACTCGTAACAACCCCCCTTGCCAAGACTTGTTAATGCGGATAACCCCCTCCTTCTCTTACGGACCCGTTATGTTTAGGATATAACCATATCGACAAGTTCGATTTCTTGGATAACTACCAACGCGCGCGGCTAGAGGCCTTCCAACAGCCAACTATTATTCAAAATAGCTTCGCAGCTAGTAGCCTAGTACCAGTCGATACAGAAAGAATGCTTTCGAAGCTTAATATCTCTCTACGAATGCCTACACCACTAAGCAGCCGGCCAAACAGCAGATATAGCCAATTCACGCCAAAAACACGCAGAACCGTGGTTCAAGTACAAAAGCAAGCCTCGATACTCAAAGATCTGCTAAAGCAGTGGTCGAATAGCCCTCCGAGGCCATAAAAAGCTATACTAGATCAGATCAAGGGCCACTGCATATCGCTACACAACACCGCGCTACTAGCGCAAGAAAACGCGAATCTACGCACAGCGAATCAGAAGATAGTGAAGAAGCATACTCGGTCGACTAAGCAGATACCCTGCGAAGAGGGTTTGACCGTAGAAGAGGGCCTACAGCTGATTGCGCAGCTAGATTTGCCAGCGGAACCACCCGTGGTAAGTTCCCTTGCGCAGGGCGAATTGCCTATTCAGGCAGATAAACCAGCGAAGAGGGCTCCGCCTAGGTGTAGTGGGTGTAGAGAGATTGGACACAGGATCAATACAGGTAAAAATCGCTATATTTAGTTGAATTAATGGGTGCTGGTCGAGGAAATCGATTTTGAATCTTTCTAATGGCGGTAGATGGCCCGGTCATGCGGTAATTACATCTACAATCCCGACACTATGGTCCGCAATCCGGTATCCCGGCTGAGGTTGATTTTTCATTGGACCATCTACTCCAGACCTCCAACCAACGGTGGGATTAAGTTCGAGTTGGAGGACTACGGTGCCCAACTTGAATATTCATCATAGCTACTACTTCTTGTATTTCATGATATGTACATAGAAAGCTCTCCTCCGTATTCCATCCCACCGCGCAGACAAATATTCATCCAGCGGTAGTTGTCTTGTTCCCCAATCTCTCTAGGTACCGATATAGCTCAACGAATGAAGTCATCCATTCTTCTTCCCTGGCGTCAAACGGCTCACGTCCATATTCTAGGGGTCGAAACCATTGTTTATTGGTCCCGGATTTGTGGGGTGTGAAAAACGGTCCTTGCTCCGGCTCATCCAATATCAAGTCAGGTTGCTCTGACCAAGGAGTATTCCCTGTTCGAAAGGTGTCGCCGTTCTCATTCGTGACTTGACAATGCCTGAATCGGTCCGGATCTTTGGGCCAGAAGGTGTAATGGTGGGCCATGCCATCAATCACGACACGAGCAAGCTGGTAGATCACTGGGGAATGCTGCGGTCCGTGAGCCGAGGAACCGTCTTTGTTGAGCAAATAAACGCCTCCGGCGGTTAGGCCAAAATCATCCATCATCCGAAGCAACTCTGCCAAAGAAGAGTCGAACGGAGTCAGCGGGAAGAAGGTGTAGCGGTAGTGTTCGGTGTGAACCAAGTTGTGCATCTCGCTCTTTGCAATTTCGTCGGCGACAAGTTCATCCTGGCGATGATGTGCGTGACATTCGACCGCCGTTTTTGTTCTGGGTCCAGCGTGCGTTTCAAGAGATCGGGATTGTTTTCCAGCAAGGTACACGCCCGACGCAGCTGGCCCGAGGCTTGTTCGAAAAAGCAAACTTTAGCCGCATGCACCGTTGTCCAACATTCCTCGAGCTGCGCGAAAGATGCAGTAGATGTAATTTGCGGAATACCCTTGGAGCCAACGATGAACCGATTCAAATCTATTATATCGGCCTCGTTCTGGATATGCTTCAAGATGCGAGCGTGAAGGTCGTCGGTGATCGAGGCGAGGGGTTTCAATTCGACGCACCCGACATTGAGCCCAATGACTGATCTATACCAACGTTCATTGAAGCCGATGCCCATCCGACGGGCCAGATTCCAGTAGCTTTTGATCAGTTCTTTTCTTTTGCAGAACGTGTCGGGGGCCACGCCGATCAGGTCTCGGCAGCTGGGGTGCGAAGCAATCGCAGTAGTGACTCTGGGATCGTCATATACCAGCAACTTAAGCACGTCCAAAACACGAAGATCGTTGATGATTGCGTGGGCCATTTCCGTGGGCATCAGCGACATACTTTGGACGATCTCCTCGAATCGTGGGTCGGTCATTTTGGCGCTGCTTCCGCAATACTCCCAAGGATGAAATTCGACCCGCATCCTTTACCCTTGTTCCCGGACTTGGGAAGCGCCGAGGACATTGCGTCTCATCTGAACCAGGACCAGCAACTGTGTCGTGATAAAAAGCGACCGAGCAGCCTTGCCCTGCAGCTATCCAAAACACCACCAGGGTTCTTGAACGAAGTATCGTGGCATCTTACCCCTCAAAAAGAGCTGTCTAAAGAGCTTCGAATGGGCCGATGCAAGAGTATCATCGAAGGGATCAAGGACTACTTGGATCAACTCGACAACCCCAGCGCAGACGAGGCCGAAGCGATAGCTGTGCGTCTCAGACAAGATCAACAGCTATGCCGACAGAAGAAGGTTCCTAGCACTCTCGCCTGTCGTCTGCCAAACGCAAAGTCTTCTCTCTTTGATGCAGTTGCCTGGCATCTCACACCTCACGTCGACGTCCCGAAGGCCCTTCGATCAAAACGATGCGAAAGCATCATCGAAGGAATCAAGGCTTATATCGGTCAACTAGACAGTATCGAAGGTGACGCCGATGAGGGCGCCTTGGTCAATGGGACTGCACATATTCCCAAAAATGAATAATTCGAGGCAGCACTCAAAGTACTGGAGTATCTTCAGGCGAATGACTCGGTGTCGCAAATCACGCCCTCAAGTTCGTTGACGGAAGTCCTTGCGGCAGTACGGGCCCAAATCTCAGTGGACAACAATACCCGCGTCGAATACGTCAAACAAGCGCGCAAAGCTAAGGGCGAAGAGCAAAAGACGAAAACCCGGCGATGCTACATGTGTCGCCAGACGTGCACCATCCTCAACGTCCACGACCTGTACCCCTCTCTGTGTCGCCCCTGCGGGGCCTTCAATCTCGGTTCTTCACAATTGTCACAGCCTGGGAAGTTGGATGTCACCGGAAGAACTGCCCTTGTCACTGGTGGAAGAATTAATCTTGGATACCATACGGCTCTGAGGTTGCTCCGCTGTGGTGCAAATGTGATCGTGTCCTCTCGTTATCCTGCTGACGCGGCAGATCGATATTCCAAGGAGGCCGATTTCACGCAGTGGGAATCAAGACTAAAGGTTGCCGGCGCTGATTTTCGGACGGCGCAGGATGCCTTCCGGCTGGTTCATGTGGTGAAGGAGCTGTTGAGGTCTTGGAATGGAGAAACCGGGCCGACGGAGCGGGGAAACCTCGATATCCTGATTAACAATGCGGCGCAGACCTTGACAGATCCAGTGAAAATAGAACTGGTAGCTATATCTCGCGAGGACCAGTTGAGAGAGCTCGCATCAACCAAGACATTGTTAGCGGGTTGTGTTGGCAATGCCTATCAGCCCAGAATCAGGGGCGGTGTGCAAGAATCTTGGGTCTCGCGTATTGAGAACAAAGCCGAGCAATTGCGAATCGACAACGGAAATAAGACTGAAGAAAGTGCCGTGACTCATCAGGGCCTCCCTATAACCGGCTATCAAGATCCTAACAAGTCATCATGGGTGCAGTCTCTCCAGGAGATCCCGTACGAAGATCTCATCAACGCACATTCCGTGAACGCCTTTGTCCCACTGATTTTGTGTCGCGAACTACTCCCTTGCATGGGAGCCTATGATGCCAGATCAATCACCAAGCCGCTGGGATATATTGTCAATGTCTCATCGCGAGAAGGTATTCTCGAGGATACGCCCAACTCCCGCAGCAAATCCGGCCATCACGTCCACACGAACATGTCCAAGGCGGCGATCAATATGATCACCGAAACAGAAGCGATGCCGGCGTGGAGGAATCGCCGCGTGGCTATGAATTCAGTGGATCCAGGGTACATGAGTGCGGCTCCAGAGTGGCAGAGAGACGAGGGATGCCCCATCGGCTTTGAGGATGGCGCTGCTCGCATACTGTGGCCAATTGTTGTGGGGGAACGGGAAGGCAGGGTGATCGCCGGTCGATTTCTAAAGCATTTTGAGCAAGGAGCAGCGGTGATCAGGCGATGATAGTGATAAAGATCGCCAAAAGCGTACGGTTGATAATGATAATATCATCTTCCGTCAAGATTTAAACATTATGATTCTACTCAATTTCGCTGACAGTAAAGATGACCTTTACCACAAGCATCGAGAATTAATAAATCAAATATACAACGGCGATAGTCAACTCAAGACTTTTGCTGCAAAAGCTGACACTCCTGGTCGATTACGCACCCCAGTTCAACTGAATGCTCATGTAGTATTGAACGGAGGTCCATTTAAATATATCCGTTTCTTAGACTAGCGTCTTGGCAGTGGGGCCCAGAAAGAATGAATGAGTACTCAGTACATTTTGGTGAAGCTGGTTTTGCACTTCTCTGTATAATTTTCTATATCGGACTATTCCCATTCGGGTTAGTGGCGAACATTTCCTGGTAAAGCTTTGCTAAAAGATCTCACCAAGGCTAGCGCCACTATAAAAGCAACCCCCCTGTTGGGCGAGAATATATTTAGGGGTGCAAAAGCATTTGGCACCTGACTGCAGTTTCGCCCAATGATTCCTAAGCATGGCTGATTACCGTAGATCACCACCGATCACTTTGATGGATCCAATCGCTCATTTAAACTGTGGTAACCTATCAACTACTTGCAGGAAACTGTTAACCTAGGTTCAAGTTTGATTTAGCGTAATCAGTTGGCATTTGCGCCCAGTGTGGCTTCTTGTAGCTCGTATCAATGACGTCATTGCAATGCCCTATTAAGGATAGCTCGCTGTGATCCGTTCTACTTTTAAAGAGTCCCAGATCTTGGCGCGCGTTTCTTACGTATCCGTATTGTCGAGCAAAACTTGATCTTGTCGACTCTTGATCGCTCGGGGCCACAGGACTCACGACAGGGTATCAGTTTTTCCTGGAAGATTGTAGCCGGAGTTTCAACTTCGTGTCTATGCTAAAGGCAAGTCAGAGCATCTACCGCTAAAAATCACGGCTGACCGCTGTTGCATTACATCTCACCTCATACTGACCGCTTGTTGGTATGAATAGTTTAGCCGAAGTACATCTTGAGAGGGATTGTCCCAGATTTTCGCATCCAGACTGCGCTTCACCCCTCGTCGAACTATCGCTGAGATAGTTAAAAGGCACCATGGTGTTTCAAAATTATACGCCGGAGCTAGAGTGGATTGACCAGTCGGATATCAATTCTCGTAGCCGCGTGCGAGCTCACGTTGCTCGAGAGCGGACACGACGTGTGTCATGGCAAGAGCAAGAGATCATGAACAACCTACGAAAGAGATTTCGGGGTCGCGTCCTTCCATCAACCAATGCATCATCCGGCGTTTTGGATGAACACTACGCATTCGCTACCAGCAGCCCAGAATACCTGGGTGGCGGCCGCGGCAACCCTTTTGCGCAATATCTGATTGAATCAACCACTGATATGTTAGCGCTTTTGGATCACTGTGAGCTTTGGCTTGCTTCTGCCTTCGCTAATGATTATCAACTGATTGGAGATCAGTCATATACTCACTGAATTTTCGCCTTGAGACAATTGACCACTGTGAGGCGGATTTCAATTCCTTTAAGAAACTAGCGTATTCGGCTGCAGTAAACGATTTAGCCGGGTTGTACGTGCTCCTTTTCTGGGCAGCCAGCGATAGACACGGTCTGTACGCGCAATCTGATGCGACTGAGGCCGAGAATTACCAGGCCGTGGCCTTTCGCATCTTGAGCGATCGTATGAGCGAAGTCGACGTGGCGACAAACGATGGTACAATCGGTGCGGTCACTACCATGGCATGTTTCGAGGTACGAAACACCGAGGATAAATTTGTGCTCTAGTTCTAATATAGGCGTATACAGTTGTTTTCGGGAACATTGGAAGACTACGAAGTGCACATGAATGGTTTGCAGCACATCATTCGTTTAAGAGGAGGTTTCCAGGATCTACAGCTTACGAATCCCCAGTTAGCATTATTTATTGCTTGGTCAGTCTAATCATTCCTGCTACTGATCGTCGTCCTTGAGCTCACAAGCTGTCAGTATCGACTACTCCGGCGCAGCAAATCTAGTCAACAGGCGGAGATTTCTGCCTCTTCATGCTCAACATCCGCATGAAATCAGCTCTCCAATTGCAATACAGCCTCCCTTTCCCACAAATTCCGGCGACTCCCTGGAGCGATATGACCTTTTTCAGGACCTCATCAAAATCACACGGGCCGTGAATACTGTAGTTGTTGCTCTCAACAATACACAGCTGAAGCTCCCACTTGAATTGATGTCCTTCGCATCCTTGACCTCCATGGACGATGAGCTTTACCGATTATGGAACCTACGGCCAGGTGGTAGCATGGTCGGTCGTCGGATTTCCATTCAAGCGGTCTGGCGTATCACTGCATTGATGTTTATCAGCAGCATCTGTCATCTGTGCCAAACTCATCCCCTTCCATCAAATGACACGTTAACCGAGTTACTTCAACAGGAGATGCTGGCGACTATGGGCGATTTTTCCTCGATTATACCAACCCTCATAAGCTGCATCGCTGGCTACTCAAAGCAACACTATTCGTTGGCAACACTGGCGATTCACTTCGCGTTGGATGATTGGAGGATATTGGGAATAAAGTTGCTGTCCTTCTTTTCAACCCATTGGATTTGTCAAGGGCCAATTCAGGATATTTGGCTCAGGAGGCTCACTTCCCCTCTCTCCGTTTGAGCAGGCACAATCCCATCTGCAGTCGTCGTCATCGCACGGCTCAGCATTTGCTTCTGTCGATCTGAGAGATGGTATTTTAACATTGAGAACCCGCTGACTCAACATCTACACACTCCTCTAGTTATCTGTTTTTGTATGTTAAACCGGGTCAATTCGGAATACCAGTGTTGTAACATGCCAATACTAGCCTAGATGTTGCTATGCCGATCTGGACGGTTGTCGAGTCGAGTCTGGGCTCTATTTGAGTCGCACTCGGGTCGGTGTTAGGTCGTTCGGTGCTCTCCTCTCCTTGGGATTCACGAAATGAATCAATTCAAACTTGTCGGGGACGAACCTCGCTGCATGTCGATTCGCTCACTTGTTGGCCCTTTCCATCACCTTCTCCAGGGTCTTCACGTTGACGTGGTAGGACTCCGAGTCCACAAGAGTCGCCGCATCGTCGACCCATCCTGATACTTCCGTCTCTGCGGCTCCCGTGCGCAAGTAGAGTGCGCGGATTAAGGGCGCGTTGAATAGAAGGAATAGGATTGGGGAGATCAACGATCCTTGTGGGATACCGGTCGGTATTGGAAACTGGTCGGAGAGGAAGCCTGGCATCTTGATTCTCGTGCTCCTCCTTGTGAGGAAAGATTCTACCCATGGCACGAAGAAGCCGACGCGTATTCGTTTCATGTCAAATAGTAGCCGTGTGTGGGACACATAATCGTATGCGCCCGAAATATCGAGAAGCAGCATACTCACCTTCCTACCGTGACCCCATACCCGGTGTATCCTGTCCAGGATACGCTGGAATGCAGGGTCCATGCTGATACCTTTCCTTCCCGCAAGATGGCCTTTTGGCAGGATCCCGTATTCTTCCACGGCCAACGCGATGCGTGTGACGATGATAGATTCCAGTATTTTACCGAGGGTGTTGAGCAAGGGGACTGGTCTGTATGACTTTGGCTGGCGGAAATCCCTTGGTCCTCCCTTACGGAGCGTCACCGTGACCGAGGCCTGGAAGTGGCGAGGATTGTAACCCGTTCGCATACAAACGTCAAAGATCCCCGTTACGAGAGCGATAAACTCGTCATTAGCAGCGAGGATCTTCCACACTCGGTTCGGGATGGTAACTTCACCAGGGGCTTTATTGGGCGGAGCTCGCTTAATCGCATCACGGACTTCTTGCGCGCTAATCGGTGGGAAGTTGATTTGCTCCGGTATGAAGGCACCCAGGATATCAGAGAGATCAGCCTCCGGGGGTTCAGGGAAGAAGACCTGTCGGAGTAGTTGAGCTTCCTCCTGGTTGGTCACTGCCATGCCGGTCGGCGATTTGAGTGCCGGAATATTGCTAGAAACAGATTGGTCTCTCATGCGAGCCCATTTCGACACTTTCCATAAGCCTCGAGGGCCATCGTTAGTTATCTGTTGGACCCATTGACGGAAGCCGGTCCCAAGGGCCTTCCGGATCACTCTTCCCTTCGCGTTCCGGGTCATCTTATAGATATCCGAATCGTGATCATGCCCGGTAAGCTTCCAAAACCTGCGATCGCGGCGGGCTGCTTTGATCGCTTCCGTGCATTCAGGTGTCCATCCTTGACGTGTCCGTTCGGATGGCCTTGCCCAGGGTGTTGAAGTCCGGATTCCCTGTTGAATGATGTCGAGTAGATGGTCCACTGCGTCGTCGATATTTTGCGGCATGGGCTTACCCGGTAAGCGCATCCACCGTTGTTCTGGAGGTTGACTGAGACGAAGCTAACGAGCTTCTCTACATCTATGGCCTTCCATTGGCGGCCTTTGAGCGGATCCTCCGCACCTGGAATGTCTATTCTGAGCATGGTGAGGATAGGGAGGTGATCAGAATCGACATGGACCTTCTCGTGCACCTCACAAGCAATCATATGTTCACCAAAAGCGTACGATGCCAGCACTAGATCAATCGCTGTCTGGTTCCCTGCTGGCTCACGTGTGATCGTGCCTGGTTGCAGCCAGAGATCAAGGCTTGCCGAGTCCATAAGACCGAGAAGATCATCGGCCTTCTTATCCCTTGTGGCGTCCTTCCCCCCCCCCCCCGGGGTGGTGGAGATTGAAGTCTCCCACAATGAGGTATGATACCTTCTCCTTGACCTGGTGTCGAACTGGCAGCAGAATCTCCGCTAACTGCCGGAGAGCACCCCATTGGTCTGCTTCGTTGTATACGTTGACGATCCGTAGCTCTCTTTCCTCGCCTTCCAGTCTATCGCGGGTCTTAATGCGGTACTCCTGGCAGTCCTCCGAGTGCACGATGTGAACCCCTGGCGAGAGCTTCTTGGACACGAACAAGCACACCCGCGCCCTAGCACCAGTCTCCGCTTCGAATGGATAACAGAAGTCGTGAGTGTGCTGGGCAGGGCGGTGGGTACCATCTTTGAATGGGTTCTTCCACGGTTCATGGATGGCGACGATATCCGCGCCAACGACCTCGGGATCCCGCAGGAACTGCGCCATTACCACGTCCTTTGATTTGTTCACATTATACCGGTAGATTTTGAGCTCGCGGGACACTGATGGCATGTTTCCTTGGTGAGTTGATCGGTGGGTGTGATGGTTCATTGGCGCTTGGATTGAGAGGATTTCCTGCTGTAGATCTTTCGCAGCATGCCGGAGCGGATGTTGAGCGAGAGGTCTTCACTATGAGGCTGCTTCCGCTTCCAACTGTCTCTATCTCTCCCCTTCTCCCCCGCTGGCGCTGCTGCCGTCGATCCTGGCGGTGACGAGGGTTGGAAGTCGCCATCTCTTCGGCGGTCCTCTGATTTTCCGTGTTCCTTCAGCTGTCGTTCTTGATCCACCATGTTGACCTCGTCAAGCTTTGAGCTAAGCTCCGATTCCGGTTATTCCAGTTCTTGACCCACCTTTTCGATAAGCACTGTTATCCTAGCAGACTTCCTGGTGGTTGTGCTGGTCATGCTTGTCGTGTTGGCCTTCCTCTCTTCAGCTTTCTTCGCTCTGGCCTCCTTCAATTTGGTAGTGCAGGCCCTGGCCTTTTCAGCCTTCGACTGGGGGCTGCTGCTGCCGCCGCCGCTTCCGGCCTCCGATATAGCCTCGGTTGGTCGAAAATCGAAGGTAGCTTCGAGGGGTAGTTGAATGAAGCTGCTCCCGCGGAGAATTGGAATGCGCTCTCCCGGTGCTGTTCCGTGGAGAATCGAAGTGGAGGTGTGCTCTGTTCTCTTGAGGCTGTTCGCTGACTGGGTGGTCGATACTGATCGGTTGCTCCTGGGTCCGGCCCTCCGAAATGGCCTCTGGCCTGGTCTGATCCGCCTCGGTATCCATTGATTCCGATGCTCGCGTCGCTCGCAGCCTTCCTCCCCTGCTTCTTCGTAGCCTGCTTTCCGGGCTTTCTTCTTCTCTTCGACATACCCGATGACGATGTTATCATCGTCTGGGTAGTTGAAACTAACTGAGCAGCAGCGCTGGTCTGCTGAATATCCTGCTGGCAGTCCAGCTGGCTATTCTGCACGCTGGTCGATGTTCTTTCCGTTGATACAGGGCCGGGATCCTGTGGTTGTCCCCCGTTGCTGGGACGTGTGGATGCCGAGCCGCTTCTATCGACGCTGCTTGTCCCACTGAACTCCCGAGAAGGCCCCCACTAGCTGAGGGAAGACGACTGGAGCGAGACCGACGGCCGGTTGATGCTGTGTGGCACAGGGACATGATGGTATCGGCCACGATATCTCGACAGCTCCATCATCCAATCAACTTCCCACTGGCGCTGCTCACAGCCCGTATACCACGTAGCATGTGCGCCCTCGCAGTTGGCGCACTTGATGTTTCCTTCTGTGTCCTTCCAAGGGCAACCCCAAGACTGGTGGCCCTCGGCGCAGTACACACACTTAACGGGATCGGCGCAGGTGGTTCCTATGTGACCGTACCGTTGATAGTTAAAGCACTGACGCACACCAACAGCCCTATCGTATAGGACTGCTGTCAGACTATCGCAGTCCCACAGGACTCCCCTGTCGATCACCATATTGGCCGGCACTGGCGAGGTGAATTCCAAGAAAATCGAGCCAGGCTTCTTCCCATCCGGTATGCGAAGCTGAACGTTCTAATCCGAGAGTGATCACCGAGACAGACTACCACTTCACGGTCACGTACCACCTCTGACAGGCGCCCCGGGGAGCTTGATGAGCTGCTGCTGGAGGAAAGGTAGTGCGCTGGTGCTGGCGCTCTAGCTGCTGCTTCAACATACGAGCGAATACCCGTTCTCATCGGGGGCTCCACGGCCGCTTTGACGGCCTGAATCTCCTGGCGGAGTGAGCTCAGCTTATGCTTCCAGTCGTTCAGGGCCCCAGGGGGGTCGACAGGAGATCCTTGGTGAGGCCCACCACCTTGCGGAGAAAGTCTATAACCTTGGGAGACGCTCCAGCAGGGGCGCGGGCTCCTCTCTGACCACTGCTAGCTTCTTTTAATAGTGCATGCACGTGGTGGTTGATGTTCAGTACGCGTTCGCGATTCGATGGCAGGTTTCTCATCGGGCCTCCGGCAGCCCGTGGGAGGCTTGGCCCAGCACTGTTCGCGCGCAAGATCGCAATACTGGGTCAGATGGCTCCAAACTGGTATCGGATAATGGCGTGAAGAGTTAGATGAATTTTGCCTGTATCTGTTTAGCGTCAAGGGGCGTGGTTCCTGAGATATTTCAAAAAATTGATTTGGCGCTAGGGTTGTTTTTTTTCTTCTGTCACCTGTCACTGTACTTTTGACTCTTTTTACTCTTTTTATCTCTTATTGCACGGTCTCATCTTTGAAATCGGCGTCATGATCACAATTTTTCCTCTCTGATCCGGATTATTCAGTCGCCAACCTTTGTACAGTTTAACGCCGAAGCAACGTGCCGACCAGATCCCCCCACCTGACTAATGCCACTTCCAGAATGATTTATCATCTGTCGTCCATCTATTTACATAAGGCAAAGTAAAAATGCCTAACACTTTACTCTGGACTCCGTACCTCCGCACTGGATGTGTTGTCAGCTCGGAAATAAGCTCGCACCACAGGCCCGCCCCTTAAATCCATCCCGACTGTACATGAACTATGACTGATTACTCCTGGTTAAAGGTACGAGGTAATGGCTGGATGAACTCAAAAAACTTCATATTGCAGCAAGAAGCGGATGGATGAAGGAGAAGTGGAATTAGATGGGGTCTCTGAGGAGTACTTCAGCTCCGAAGGTAATAAAAGTTCATCACACGAAGTCCTTGGTGTCCAGAATATTAGTCTTCCCCGTGAAGAGAGCTGCTTCCATATCCTGAATATCTTGCGGCTTCCTTCCAAGCAACTGTTCAAGTGTTGGATCAAGATAATCAGTTTCACCACTAGCCATAGCATCATACCACGATGCCCAGTTAGGAAGAAATTCTTCCTGCTCGGGAGGTAGGGTCTTATGAACTCTGTGGTGTTCAATAGCCTTGGTTGCTTCGACCACTCGAACATTAACGTGACGGCCAGTGTACTTGGAATACAGTTCGATAATTTCCTCGACATTCAACAGGCGCGGCCCGGTCAAATTGACAGTCTGGCCCACATAATCATGCTAGAGTTATCGTATCCAGTCAGATACACTCAGTTAAGAATAGAAATTATTATCACATACCCAGCGGGAGACTATCACTGCTGTTGCTTCACCTAGATCATCTCGGCTAGCCCAACTATTTGGGCCACCATACGGTATGACCACATCGCAATCACCGTTCCCTTCAAGTTGGAGGAATCCGGCAAAAAGATTCCATAAGTGTGCGTACGTCGCCTGACGTACGATCGTCCAGGAAAGACCAGAAGCCTTCAGGTACCGGACGGTTTCCACATGAGCTTTCATTACCCCAGCAATGGTCTGATCACCAGTCGGGCCACCAAACGTCAGAGAGGTATAAATCACATGCTGGACTCCCGCCGCCTTAGCTGCATCTATGGCGTTCCGATGTAGGCTATATCGCTCTTCTCCCACCGATGGATATGAAACCAGAAATAAGGTCTGCGTCAGCAAATGACTGTAGAAGTGTCTCCGGTTTTGTCATATCACCATAGCGAACCTCAATACCCGCCTCGTTTGCCCTTGCCGAGATAGTGTTGCTCGAGCTTGATATGCGAAACGAAGAAGGAGGAAGAAGTTTTTTGTCTAGAATTGTGTCTAGAACCACACCGGCAAGGCCGCCTGAGGTACCTGCTCGTTGCTGTTACCAGGCATATTCATGGCCCAGGAGACGTGTACGCACCTGTAAGAACGATCATCCTCGGCTCTTTTGATGTAAGTGACTCTTCGCAATGATTCCAATTGACCCTGGCTCTGTAGAATGGATGTCAATGGGCATTAATGTATTGTTAACGCGAAGACCAGCTGAATAATACGAGAGCTTGAATCTCTGTGAAATCCATATTCGACATGATTTAGTCGCCAGTGAAGTCATTGCAATGTCCTATTTGGGACTAGCACAGAAGCCTAACCATGTTGTCGAGCTGAAGACTGGTAAATTATCAGGAATCAGGTCAGCCAGACATCGGAACAATTTCGGGCAACAGGACCACCGGATTAGGTTAGCGGTAAGTAGCACTTCACTTCCGTCGACATGATGTCATTGCACGGCCCTATTACGGCTAGCTCTTTCCCTGCTTGCATGGTGTATTTTGCGCAGTCTCTCAACACGGACTTTACACAACTGCTTCGAGACAATGAGCGCGATGTTCCAGATGGCCGGTACAGAGAGCCCTCCATGGACTTACCACTGCATTCGTCACGTTCATGACAGATTTACAACAGAATTTATATCTGCCATTCATACACCTCTGCACGCCGGAACCCGATTTCAGATAGCAATACTGACCTCTGGGAAACCAAAGAGAGAGTCACGATCACTCAAAAGCATCCGCATATCAGGGGGTAACTTCGACGGGATATCCCCAAAAGCCATTACGGTAGCTGCCACCGAGGTGTCCAAGATCTCCCAGCGAACGTGCTGTGGCTGACTACATCTAAATTTATATTGTTCGGTAGAAGGACGCGGTCTTGCGATGGTGCCGTCTTAGTTTTCAATTCAAAGCAGCCAGAAACCCCACGCGCGCAGAGAATCTACATGCTAGCCTTAATAGGGCAATACGATGATGAAACTACCCCCCGCCTCCCTCCCCAATCTGGATCACTGAAATTGATTGAATGTCGACGCAGAGGACCTCAAGAGCCAATAAAATGGGCCCGAGCAAACCTTGCCCAATAATACTTCGATTTGAGTATCAAGCAGAGAGGGCAGTCAAATGACCTTGGTCTTCGTTGCTCAAATTTGATCAAGCGAGGGGATCAAAAGAGTATGTATTATTAATCAGGCTCTGTGATATCTCCCTACATCTATATAAAGCGAAATCCCGAGTTAACTGAAATGCCATCTTGCTTCCGGGAAAAAATCTTTTTTCTTCAGACCCGATCGGTAATTGTTACTAGGAAAAAGATTCGCCATGGAAAATCTCAAATCCCCTAAATTATTCTCGGTCAAAGGCTTAGTGGCCGTCATTACTGGCGGAGGAAGCGGTACGTGCAAAAGGATATTGGGTATCCATTTTTTTTTTCATTATTTCAATTCTCCTTCTTGTTGCTTATACGCGGGGCCAATACCTTTGAAGGAGTAAATGCGTAACATACTGACCGTTTTCAGGCCTTGGGCGGAATATGGCACTGGCCCTCGATGCTAACGGTGCTTCCAAAGTCTTCATTATCGGTCGCCGAGAGCATAAGATCAAAGACACGGCTGCCTCCGCTGTCAATGGCTCAATCATTCCAGTGGTAGGAGATATATCTTCTAAGGAGTCCCTGCAGACTGCCTACGACCAAATTAGCTCGAAAGCAGAATACATTGACCTCCTTGTCGCAAATAGTGGCATGGTAGGGCCTTCAGCAAATCCTCCTGCTCGACAGAAAGGAAGCGAACCCACGCTGTTAGAGCTCCGAGATTACCTCTGGGCAACACCGATGGACCAATTTTCGGAAGTTTCGCATGTCAATATTACTGGGACGTTCTACACAGCAGTGGCGTTTCTGCCGCTGCTTGAGGCGGCCAATGCCAAGCGCCCCCTCCTGCCCCGGGGGTCCTTTCACGTCCTCGACCCCAAATCGTCATCGTCAGCTCCATCGCGGGCTTCCTCCGTGTCGGCTTGACGGGATTTGCATACCATGCATCCAAGGCCGCCGTGAACTTGTTGATCAAGATGCTTTCGACCACATTGGCAAAATATCAAATTCGCGTTAATGGTATTGCACCAGGGCCATATTATTCGGAGCTATCGGCTAGCCTGTATGAAAAGCAAGGGATAATTGGGCAAGGAGTCTCCGATGGATCCTTTCCGAGTGAAATGATTCCGCTTACCAGGGCCGGTGCCCCCGAAGATATTGCCGGTGTGATACTCTGGATGGCAGGCGTCGCAGGGGGTTATCTAAGCGGGACAATTGTCGTTACCGACGGAGGAAGACTGGGTAATTATCCGTCAACATATTGATGCTCATGAAATGCTCGCGCTATGTCCAGATAGCGAAGTGAAGTCAATGCTTGCAACAACAAATAATTGCGTGCAAGCCAGCATCCCGGGATGGTCCTCCGGAGGTCAGCATCGCAAATCACCCTAAGAATGTTTCCCCTAAACCTCAGGTTCTAATCGCTTGGCTCGTGAGAATATATCCCTTGACTGATGGGACCGATGGTCTTAATTAATTCTCATTTGGGTCTTCATTTTGAAAATATAGCATACGTGTTCACCCTTCATGGATGTAAACTAGAAGCCCAGAAATCCGCTACACTCATTTATCTCAGCATGCAGACCATTGTTCATCCTTAGTTCAAGTCTTGCATAGAAATGTTGTATGTGATTCTCCTATCTTTGATACCTTTTTTCATTCATCATTGATTTTATTTTGAAGAGACGTAGCTCGTATGACACCCCTCGCAAAGATACAGTGCACAGCGTCAAGAGTAAAATATATGTGAACGTTTGCTATTTATGCCTTTGCTGATGCCCTTCACATTGTTCTTTTATATCCCCAGGGTGACCAATGACTCTTTTCGATGCTCGGCAAACCCACTACCTAGTGTTCTGGTTCGCCCAATAACTTTATACTCGCATCATGGTTAGTTACAAAGCAGAATTTGTCAGCCAACGATACTGATTCCAAAGCCCAAGTGTGATTCTAGGAACACTTTTTCCTGGCCTGCTAGCCCCGTCCCCACAGTCACCTAATTCTTTCTACCCATGTTTTGCCGCTTCCCTGTACATAAAGACAGTTACGCTCACTACCTTAGCAAAACATGCCCTTACAACTCCATAATCCACGTACAATCTCGCAAGTCGATCTATACCTCTTAGTCTGTACCATGCTGTAACGACCGCTGTACTGGGCTAGTTGACACGTAATAGTGGGTCATGGGTGACCTCATTTAATGTGCAATTTGGGACTGGTGCTGACTCAGGATCTCTGCCCTAAAATTTACTCGAAGTGGAATAAACCCCAAACAATTTGTCACAAGTCAGGAGACAGAGCAGACTGAACTATGAATTTAGTGCTCAGTAATGGAAAGTATTTGGGAAAATTTGTGGAACTAGATCGAACTTGGCAATTTAAATACTTAAAAGGAATCATGTAGTTAGTACAGTACTCATGGATTAGAAATCAGTAGCCGTTACGGACGTGATTTTATGGATAAAGGAAAAGTATATAAGATAGTCGACGTCAATACTGCCCAACAGCTAATACACAAGGACTAGAGCGTCTCCGGATTGTGTTCGTAGGATACGCTTTCTCGAAAGATAACGACGTCGTTTTCTCCGAACCTCCTATTCACTACCTGACATCGAAATCAACGGCCATCTCGACAGCCATGACGACCTACGAAAAAGCTGATCCTCAGTTCGTTGAGGTAAACAGTACGCGCTTTGCGTACCTTCGATTCGGTTCGACGGATAAGACTCAGGTGCCTCTGGTGTTCCTACAGCACTTCCGAGGCACCTTCGACCACTGGGACCCAGAACTGATTAATCCCATCGCCGCCATCCGACCCGTTATTCTTATCGATAACTCGGGGGTTGGCAAGAGCAGCGGTGTGATTCCGGACACCTAAGCCGCATGGGCCAATAACGTCATCGATGTTATCAAAGCGTTGAATATTCCTCAAATTGACCTCTTGGGTTTCTCGATGGGGGGGCTTCGTGGCACAAATGGTCGCATTGAACGCACCCACTATAGTTCACAAGCTCATCCTTGCTGGCACTGGACCCAGTGCCGGGGATGGCGTCGAAGCTAGTGACCCCCTAGCAACGCAGCGCTTAGCTACAGCGTCCAACGAGCAACAGTCCCACGATGCGTTTTTATCCGCTTTCTACACCCTGTCAGAGAGGAAGCAGGCTCTCGGCGACCGCTGGTGGAGACGCATGACCATGGCCCGCTCAAACCGCTCTGACTATGTGGACCCTGAAGGCACCCAGACTCAGATCGGTGCAGTCGTCCGCTGGGCGAACCGTGACTTTGCCTTCGAAGGATCATACGACCGCCTACAGGAGCTCCAGATTCCTGTCCTCATTGCTAATGGTGACAATGACATCATTATCCCCACAAATAACAGCTGGATCATGTTCAAGAAGCTGGTCAATTCCAATGCTCACCTGCACTTGTTCCCGGATGTCGGACACGGGTTCTTGAACGAGTATGCCGATCAGTTCTCTAAGCTGATTAACATCTTTTTGGAATCTTGAATATAAAATTAGGCGAGATGTTCTCACATGTCTTCGGGTACAATTTGTTCTCTTATTCCTCTGAGTGTCTAATAATAATCGTGCTATCTAAATTATGGACTCGTGCTCTTTTCGCTTCGAGATGACCGAGAGTGTAATAATTTTACTCTTATCTCGATACCACGCTCTTCTTCGGTAGTGGGTACTATATGTGACAGGTAGTTGCTGTGAGATTGTCTTTACGGCTCCCAGACAAAGTGGCTCGGTAAATTTGCCTCTGCTACCCCTATAAGCGCAGTCTATTAGATATATCAGACATCTCTCATTATTTCTCGTCTCTATTAGATACAACATGCGTTTTGGCCTGATGTGCGCTCTCCAAGCTAACTGGTTACCAAAAACAATTTTAGTTTCTAGAATATTGACCTCTGGTTCAAACAGCACACCGCCCATATCCACTCCAGCCTTTAGTTTTCTACCGGCAAGCTCCTTAATGTTGGGTTGAGGTAATTGGCCTCCCCGTTCTCCTTGCCAACATTCCAGGACACCTCATTACGGAGAAATGGAGTCTGCTCAGAAGGCAATGGATTTTGATGCCCATTGTGACAATTCACATGTAGATGCTTGATGTCTGGGTTGATGCCTGCTGCCGCAGGCAATATCTATCGTGTCAGTCACGAGCTGAGAACTAAGTTCCTACCTAGAGCTCCTCAACATAGAATTCAATCTGCAACTACGTAAGCTGCTCATGGCACGTGCGATTGAAAATCGTCCCTCCATGGGGCTCGAAATGTAAAGAAGAACGAGAATTTGGCTATTTAATCCTAATTCTGCAGCTTCTCATTTACCACGACAGTAGAGAGTCTCATTTATAACGAACACTTGATGTCCTAAAACCCATACACTGTGTTAAATGGTTGGACAGCTTTTCTCCATGCCTCTCGCTGAGAGACAGTTTCCCACCACCGCTTCAGATGGGGTCTCTCAAAGATCAGCTTCCGGAACCCTAAACCCACAAGCAAATGCACAAGAGGCATATAAAAGGCATCGACCAATGAGAACTGGCCCCCAGACATATAGATCTGTGCTGTCAGTATGTCATTAAGGGTGTCGAGTTTTGGTGCCAGGTCTGCCAAACCGCTCGAGGTTTCGTCTTCAGAAACAGGTGTGCCTCGAAATCTTGTTTTTCATTGTCTGTCAGTAGGAACTCTCTCTCTCGTTTCCGGCGACTTTAATAAAGAGAGATGCTCACTTAGCAATGACATGCTTGAGTACAAATGGCTCAGCAATACGATCGAAGTGTGTTAGTTCCACTGATGCGGCTTGCTCAAAGAGACCAATTCCCTCAAAATCTGTCGGACTGGGAACCAGGGATGTGGAATCACCATACTTAGAAGCCACGTAGCGAGCGATGGCACGGGATTCTAGGTAAATAATAATAAGACCAGTCTGCCATATTTAACCGAAGATAGAGACTAACACCTACCAAATATTGTAAAATCTCCGTCAATTAGTACCGGGACTTTGGCATACGGATTCTTGGCCACATGTGCGGGTTTCTGTAAGTCAATAGTCAGATAGTCTGCCTTTCCGAATAATAATATGCCAAGGAATATCAACCTTGTGGTCCCCATTTGCGAGGTCCAGATAAACTAATTCAATATCGTAAAGCCCCTTCTCAAAGAGAACATGACGTGCACGTAGGGTATTCCATGATGTAGGAGCGCCGACAAGTTGAAGCACCATTTTGTTAGAGATAATAAATAAAAGATAGCGAGGAAATAGTTGGAAATAGGATACCCAAGGATGAATCTTGTAATAAGTCTCTGATGTGCAGATATTTGAGAGTTTAAGTAATGGATTGGGGGCTGTTGCTACACAGTCGGTGCGGTCATTATAAAGCAAAAGCGATCCGTCAAGACAATGTATGTTCAAGATATGCCAGGCAGACGACATCATGGGGTGTGTATTTTACTCTATGTAGTTAATAGTCAGGCGGTTAGTCATTACTAGCTGCATACTCGAGGCCCCATGAACCCACTAGGAATCTCCGCCGTCATGCGACAATAAGGAACCCACAAAACTCCCGAGGCATAAAGTGTAGATGACATGCTCGATTAGCTGAACGAACCAACTATTCACCTCATTGCTGGCCCACGGTTCTAGTAGGATCATTAATAGTTTACTCATGATTTTTTACCAAAAGTTTGACTAGAATCCAGTAAGATAATTTAAATAATGTTCTTGGAATGTCATCCGTCCGTGATCTTGAAGGAAATTCAATCTTATTATGAAGAGTGATCCCACTTATCGTGTGGATGACCTACTGCGTACAAACCGTGGTCCCCGTTCCGTCTCCACTTAACTTGAGGACAGGGCGGCGTTGCTGGATGCTCCACTTGGTGTGGGGAACACCAGGTGAGAAATTACTGGAAAGGGAAATAAGTCAACCCGCGGTAACGGATGCCGAGGCACCCACCCCTCCGTCATTTCGACAGTCAGTAATTTATACTCTGGTTGAGTCATTAAATAATGAAAACCGCAGGCAAACGGACTTAGGTTCAAACAGGACATCGATTTCAAAGCAGATTTCGACATTATTAATCCATAAAAATGGGTCACAGAAATGGGCTCGTTGCAAACAACACATCACAAACTACGCCACGACGAACAGTCCAAGTCTTCAGTTTGATGAGTACAGGAAGATATAAATACGACCCAAACTTACCGTCATGAATGCCACGAACTAGTTGACAGAACCCATACCACCTTAATCCCAGTTCTAAGCCATCTTTTAAAGAAACCCTTTTTGCGTTTCTTCTTCCTCCCTAAGAAGCATCCGACAGAATGGCAGCAGTGAGCAGTGGTCTCGTGGTTCTCACCGGTGCTACTGGCTTCGTGGGATTCAAGACACTCATCTTTTCGCTGAAGGCCGGGTACAGTGTGCGCATTGTGGTCCGCTCCGATAGCAAGGGTCACGGAGTTCTTGAAGCGTCTTCCATTAAGGCGATGAATCTCGGTAGTGAGCGACTCTCCTACTTTGTTGTCCCGGATATCATCGCTCCTCGCGCCTACGACGATGCGGTGAAAGGAGCAACTTATGTCATTCATTGTGCGTCTCCGATTCCCAGCTTTGGTGACGCGCCTCCCACTGCGGAGCTTTACGACAAGTTCTTCGTCCAGACGGCTCGGAAGGCCACTATCGGTCTCCTCGAGAGCATTCGCAGGGCCAGCACAGTCAAGCGGGTTGTCATAACCAGTTCTATTGCCGGAAATATCCCCTTGAAGTACTTTGTTGGCCAAGGAGACGATAAAGTTTTCGACGCCGAGAGCCGCACCACTCTTGATCCTGGCCCATATGACATTGAGTTCCAGGCCTATAGCGCTAGCAAAGTTGCTGCTCTAAATGCCTCAGAATCTTGGATGGAGGAGAACAACCCTAGCTTTGACTTAATTAGTATCCTTCCTGGTTGGGTATTTGGTCGTGATGAGTTATGCACAACCGCTGCTGACCTTAAGACCGGGTCTACCAATTCCGTCCTTTTGGGCTTGCTAAAGGGCTCCCAGTCGGATGACCCCTTGATGGGCAACACGTCTTTTGTGGACGATGTCGCCCAGGTGCACATCGGCGCCCTTGATCCAAAGATTGAGGGTAACCAGGCATTCATTTTGAGCTCGGATGGTATCAATGGTGCGAAGTGGGAGGACGCCATTAAAGTTGTTAAGCAGTATTTTCCTCAGGCCTTGGTTGATGGACGATTGAAAAGCACCGGGAAACAACCGACGGCTGTGGTTCGGGTTGACGCAGGGAAGACTGAGAAGACCTTCGGTATCCGTTTGCGCAGCTTTGAGGAACAGGTCAAGAGTTTAGCTGGCCAGTACCTTGAACTTACCGGGTATTAAAGAGCTGTTTCATTTTTACTCCCTTCTCTAGCGGTTTCCGCTGGGAGCAAATTCCGGTCGAGATGCCTGGTGGTATGTGTCTAGTCAATTTCAAATGCCAATTCTTTGTTCCATTAATTGGAGTTGATAAGATATTTGTAGTTCTGGAAAATTATGATTCGATCCTTTACATGAGTTGTTTGCTGAGATTCGTTTGCACGCTGTACGGAGCCTGTAGACCTGCTGCAATCTACGGGGTTCTTGTAATTTGTATTAGGATGGGCTTCGGTTCTTACGTATACGTATTATTTTAAATCGAAGTAACCACAAGGAGCTTGGTGTGCAGTTACGATAGCGATGTTCTTAGCAGATGTCAGCCAGGCAGACATTAGTGTCTCCCACATGCGCATGAAGAATGAAAGCCCAGCTGGTCAGTGAGAAAGCCTAGTTGGCTGAACGTACTATATGAGCAAAGATGACCTCATAATCTCCTCACTTCTGGGTCTGGTTTCCGTTTCTGGATTGTTCATCGATTTGAATATTAACTTGTGACCCCTTTCCCGAAGGAACAAATTACTCAAAGACGGCCAACTAATCATAGATGAATCCTATTCACAGATTATTACCTAGTACGTCATGGTATACCTCATGGTGAGAGTCCCAGAGGGCATCAAGAACAGGATCACACATAACTTTCAGCCAGACAAAAGAATCCAGAAGATGCTCTAAATGGAACCTGCTTATGGTATGATGTTGTTGAAAAGTCGAGAACTCCGCTGTCAGCCGAGAAAGAAACCACGTATTCTGTTCCGGAAGATCGTATGTTGCCGCAACCCCAACGATAAGTGCCCAAAGCAGAGCTATGGATGGACCCACAGAGCAAAACTCGAAATTGTTCCCATGTTCCAAATTTTCTCGCAGCCTTTGGAGAAGGTTATGGAATGTCAAGGAATTCTTAGGCACGTTCCTCAAAGCACGGTGTAAAAGCACGTGGGAGGCGGAGTTACCAATTCGAACGAGACTGGAGATAGATAGATTTCGTGTGCTCATCATGAGTAATTCCAGAATACAACGATCCGCGCGAAGCAGGAGAACCCGCACGGTGTTTCGTAGCTCCGGTGCTTTATCTATTTCAGCTCGTGCAATTAATATCAGGCGGAGGAGACGTAGAATATAGAGTAGCTCTGGAGCTCCTGGGCCAGGAGTAATCAGCCCACCTACAGCTGAGTGATTCGATAGCGTCACTAGAGCTTCCGGTAGATATACGTCGTTCCTGTCATGTATTGCACGGAAAAGTGGATAGCGTCCGTAATACACCGCTAGATTTACGTCTACCCTGAGGTGAGTTAGCAGTGGAAGACGCTTCGAAGATCTGAACCATGCACTGACCATGTAACGGCCCTTTCTATGATGAAATTATCCTTCAAGGTTCCAATCCCCCCTCTAGCTTCGACGAGGGACACTAAGCCTTTAAGATTGACATCTGCAGCACTGAAATGTCCAGCTAGGGTCTGTGATATCATGTATATTAGCCAATGTGGTCGAAAATTCGGCACTTCGCACGTTTGGTCCCATCAGCCTCTAGGATAAAAAGGCACCTAGGATCTCCACGCAACAACGATTATGTACCGTGATATCATATACACACCTCGATGTTGACTAGGGTCGCTACAGCGCCGACCACTGCATCCGAAGTCGCGTACCGCTGATCGGTTAACCGCTCATTGACCATCTGCATTGCTACACCCTTGTGGTGGTAACTTGCATGAGTTATCCATGATAAAGGACGAACTATGTTGGCGTTCCAGACAGTTGCGGCAAATGCGAGAGTTGCATGGAATAAAATCATATCGCTCAGAGCAAATCCAATCCAGGTATTGTTTGGGTTTACTGTGGTGATATTTAATTTCAGTCCATACATAACTGGAGATGACAAAACACAGCCATTAGATCATTGGTCTATTCGGGTACGCACGAATTCTTTTGACTAAGTAGCTTACAGTATTTCGTCAGGAGGTCAACTGTCCCGTTGCAAGGCACAGGTATTGTGTTAAATGGATCCACAGGGTGATTCGCAAACGCATTTATCGGAGTTCCAGTCCACACAGTCACGGACGAGGAATCCTGAGGCATTGAAGGGCCGTCGATAACCATGGGATCACTCGAGCCAACTTCTTCTTGTTCTCCTTCCTCCCCCACTTCCTTCTCATAGCCTCCGCGAGTGTGACCGTCTGTATTTTCGTTTGCGACAGGGAGTCGGAAGCGGCCTTTTAGCTCAGCCTGTAATTTCGTAGTAAGAGCCGAAGTGTTGTATGGAGACGAGCTCGCGCTCTGCGGACCTTCTGATCGCAGCTGCAGGGCTGTGCGCATAGCATGGCTTCGGGCCGCACGATTGGCCCGTTTGCCATGATTGTCGAGAACAATGAATTTGTAGTCAGGCATCGATAGCCAGAACTAAATAGAGAACCGACTCTCCCAGTGGGGCTATCGAAAGCTAATTTAATAGTACGGGGTAAAGGTTAACCGTGGACTGCCATATTAGTAATCAATTTATATTTTTATTTTGCCTACGCGTACTCGAACTTTCCAGGACGGTATTACTAATGCATGGCATGTCGTAATGCCACGCTCACTGGTTCCTTGAAAAATGCGGATCTTGTTGGAGCGGAGAGTGGAAACCCCATTGTGACGAATAGAGCGAAATACATGTTTTTACGGGAGAACGGGTACGGCTGACTAATATAGGCCGTAACCCCTAGTTAGTTAGATAGTAGTTCTACCTAATACAAAAAACCCGCTTCGAATAGCTTAGCTAGTTAGCTAGTTATAAGGCTTCTTAGTAGATAGCCCTATAGCCCTTGACTGCCAGATTGCTAAGGCTACTAATATAGGCTTAGGAAGGCTGCCCGAAGCGGTATAGCCTACCCGTAGGCACTGGGCTTGGCATCCCCTATCAAAAAATAATTCACGCAACCAGGCCCTATAGGGTAACCCCCTTCTAGCTTGAAATCTACTAATATTTTTTTGATAGATAGCTAGATTAGGCTATCTTATCAAAAGATTTAAAAGACCCGATCGGAAAATTCCACTATTTATGCTACTTTGGGGGGGATTGAAACCTTAAATTCGTGTTTTCCTCCCCCCCCTCTTCTACATGGCCCGACTATATTTAGGCTGAGGATTGTAGAGCTTAAAGGAGCGTTTAAAGAGCAAATCATTTAACTAGACGTCCGACAAGATACTATCACTTGTCGAAGTTTAATCTGAAGAAAGCGAGCATAGAAGATAAGAGATAATGAAATCAATTCTATCGTAGCATAGCTCAATGAAGCGTCCGGCCCGTTATTGCTAGATGAGCCCTGTGCTTGGCAAAAATAATTATTTATGTTCGCAATACACAGACGTGCCGTAGTGGTCTTATTTCTCCATTGTAATACACATAGGACGACTACAGCAGATCGATATATATCGCTCACAAAGCCTCTCCTTAACGTAAGTTGAAGTTACTGGAACAAAAGGATCTTCATGATAATGATTTGTCGGAGTCAGGTGATACAGTAAAGGCTAGCATAGACACTGGCGGATGAGATTAAGCGGAACCAACATTGATTGAGTCAAAATAGAAGATGTCCTGTGGCAGGATGAAATATCCCATGAATGTTTCTGGTACCTGGGGTTACCACAACCAGGTTGCCAGGAATACCAATTACTATACAAGAAAAGGAATTTTGAGTCAATCTGTAATCCACCTGTCCCAGAGGTAAGTTACCGCTCCATTTCTTCGACATTATTGATAGTTTAAAAATCATTCCGCTGTTTTACACATTATTGAACAAGAGATCCTGGCCTTAATCACAGAAATTATCAAATGCCGTGTCAAGTATAAGGATTGGATGTGTTCTGTGCTATATTTGAGTCTCATACCGACTTTCTTTTCCGTCATCTATAACAGAGAGCCTGATGGTTCCACGAAAGGTCGGGCCGTGAGGCAGGAAGCACCATGTGGAGAAGAATAGCAGGCGAATGGCATGGCACTCATTGTGGGAAAATCACCAGTCTCAAGATACGTATGATTCCGCTTATTGCTCGAAGGAAGTATAGGCGGGGACGTAGTATCGAAGACAGTATTCACCGCGATATCTCCGTTGACACACTGGGTTGGGTTGTTCGCCATAGCATATAAATCCTGCGACAGGGCTAAGGTATTGCTCCCTTCAGTTGACCCTAGGAGGATATGCGTGCCTTCAGGTTCCTGATTCCCATTCACTAAGAGATATCTTCTCGCTTGGTCTTGGGCAGTCGTAATCTCGAAGTCAGGCAAATTCCTTGATGATATACAAACCCTCGGCTCCCCTACACCTGATTAGCATAGCATAGTCTCCCCGGGGGTGGGGGTTCGGAATAACTTACCGGTTTCTGATGTGAGAAGCTTTTCTTCCATTTCTCTGACATAATACAACTCGTCCAGAAGTTGTACACGTTCAATCGGGAATATCTGTTCCCGCACGGGTTGCTCTGCAGCTTTTAGTTTTCGCGCCGTGACTCTATGACTGCTATGCAATTCACAGAGGATGTGAACGAGAAGCCTGATACGCTCTGTTTGAAAAGTTAGTAAGTTACAAGTACAGAGAATGACTCATTACTCTACCAGCTTTATGAAGATGGTCAGGCTCTCGGTGACGCACTCCAGACGGCCACCATGGTGGCTTGGTCTCGTTTGGAGTCATTTCGTATGTTATACCTGCCACAGTCTTTCGACCGTTGTAGGGATAGAGGATTTGCTTACGTGGCTCAACAAGTTTCACATAGAATTTTGCAATGAGCCGGCAATTTGTCTGCTGAAGATTCTCGAAGACCTTCGCATAGTAGCGGCGAAGAAAGTATGTGTCTCGGAGCGAGATGACGGTTTGCAAGTCTGACCCACGCTTATTTTGCCTTAAGCCCCCCATTGTTATGGCCTGTTCAGAAAACAGCTGAGTGGGCCATGATACGGGTTGTCCCGAAAATCTTGAGGTAATAGGGATCTCTAAGCTCCGCCCGGCTTCTTGATAGCTTGTGCCATAGTGAATCTGATTCGAGAGTGATCTGAAGCCTAGCTGGTCTGCAGTCGACCCCCCATATGCCATTTTCTGTACCATTGGCGTCTCCGCTTTCAGGAATTAGCCATATGCCTCACGGGTTCTAGCTTCATGGCCATTCAACTTACGCGGAAGATGTGGCGGGTCTCTTCCAAATGACCCTGCTACTGCTTTCAAGAACGCGACTATGACTCTTGAGGAAAAAATACTCTCGTAATGGTTGGAGATAGAAGGGGACCCCTCGACATGGAGTTTGCCCTCTTCGTCAATGTAGATAAGGGCATGGTGGAAATGGGCCCTCTGGTCTTGCCAGGCTGGTGTTTGCATATTCACTGGTAGTCTCCTGGTACCAAATCTGTCATAAAAGACGATACTGGAGAACCTCCTCGCGTGGACAGCGGTGGACTATGGCTCGATAAACCTCACTTCTCAACCGCTGGGTCAATGTCGCCTGGCTGTGAATTGGAATGAAGGGAAAGGGAACCTCGATATCATTGACTGAAATTGGAGATGAGAACACTTAGAATCTTCTCAGAATACTGACCTTGTAATGATCTGGGCTAACGCCGCCGGAATCTCCCCAGGGGCGCGGACGCTTATGGTTGAAATAATATCGCAGTTTTGGTGCTGAATTTAACTTTGGCTACCGCAGGCTATCTAGACTTTTGTCTTGACAAGGCAAACAATATCGTGCTGCAACATACCGCATTTGTATATAGGCTTACCTTGGGTTGAGGTGCCTAGACGTCAATAATAGCAACAGTGTGATAGACGTTATGCAGATCGAAGCCAATTAGGGCCAATCAGTGTACAGAAAAAAGCGCCACGGCTGTCTCTTGATAGTAGTTCGTACCATCTCGAACTAGCGTACAGCGCTGTGAGGTAAAGCAAGGTTCAGCCTGAGCACATGTGGGGCTTTTCGGGTCTGTAGCTGTCACAATAGCACATTAATCCGCCCAGCACTTTTGGCGGTTCATTTAGCGGGTTGGTGAGCGATCCTCAACAAAACCATAAAATTTGAACTGAGTTCTACCAATATGTCTTTGCTGATTGGACAAGGGCTCGACAAGATTCATTAATTATTGCCAGAAGTTAACTAACTACAGGTCAGTTTGCATACTCAGGCGGCCTGCGCATCCCTGGTTGGATCATTACAGGAATCCTTGAGACCATTTCACCGCCTATGATTGGTCTTCCTTGAGTGCTAGTCTTGTCAGGGTAATTTGTATTGCCTATCCTTTAATCCGCTTTGACATCACGGGGGCACTACATGAGTCGTATCACAGATCCAATCACTCAAATTTTTCTTATGGCTGACTCACTCTCTATTTCGGCCACCTAGCCTTAGAAAACAATCATCGGACAATTTAAGACGTCCCTGACCTCGACCTCCGGCCGGTCATACTTCTGGTCTGCGATGCTCTACTGTACTCAATTCTTACCACTTGCTCCACAACTGCGAAGGTAACTTGACCGTTGGTCCATGCCACGTAGACGACAGCTATGTATTAATGGCCCCAGTTTGTAGCATGCTGAATCAAATCTCGGTCCATCATTCCTACAACGGGGGAAAATGTATGTAGAGCATTTGAAACACCTTCCCAGGATGGAAGAGTGGCTTACTCCTTGATCACAGACTTTTTTCATATGAGACCAGTCGCAAACAGCGTATCTAATGGACGATACTATAGGTATATATCACAGGTTCAAGAAGTTTGCCATTCGTGGATTCATGGGTCCCAGCTCGCAAGGGGCTTGGCAAAAGTACTTGCCCTGTGGTCAAAAGTACGACACGGATGGGCTGGCGATGGCCTGACCGTTCCACAGGCTTTGGAGAGGCTGCGAGTATTCGGGCATTTGTTTCGAATGCTTGTTTATTTGGGACACAATATCGTGAGGATGCATTGTCTAGGCTTTACCAGCCATATTTTACTTCCTGCACATGTCGGGTAAGCCGCATTAGAGTAGCTGCAGGGTACAGCGTTGCTGAAGTTGAAACTGGCTTTATAAATGATGCAATTTTCATCGGCTTCCTGTATCTTAACACCCTGGAGAACTCATTATCTATATACCTTCCTCCATAGAGGATATAAGTTTTGACTATTAGCACCCAAGGTCTCTCCAGGTGGTACCAAATATCTAACTGTATCTATGTCTCCTTCAATGATGACGAAGTACAATGTTAGTCAATAATAAAAATCTACTTGTACGTCGAAAACCCGTAAGTTAGGTAAGGGAGAGAGAGCAATATGTCAAATTGGTGGTAAATCTGTCTAGACCGTGAGTGACAGTTCCGATAGTGGCATGTTGGTATATATAAGTTAGAGGGTTTATTTAGGTCTGCCGCGCTTTTGAGGCGTTCCCTGACTAAACCGAGTGTGCTAGATACGCAACATACGTGTTTGTACATACCCTGTCTTGGTTGAATGCAAAAAAGACCCCAATAAAAAGTTCTACTCCGTTTTATAGAACCACTTGTCCTTCTACACAAGGATTATATACAGTGGTGTTCCATAAGTTTGCAACACCCGAAAAAGTTCAAACCCATCTCATCAGCTATACTTTGAAAGACAAGTTGAAACACAGATGCCGGGAATATCTAGAAAGAGTGTTCAAAAGACACTCAGAAAGATCTGTTAAGAACATAAAATCGAGGCATATTTTGACGGCCTATTTTCTTGGTCCCTGATTTCAGACTTTTGAACTGCCACTGTAACAACACGACTGAAAGGAAGACCAATACAGCGCGTTTTTCTTATCGCTTGCCCAGCAAGCCGACTTCTGATGTTATACCGGGATATTGCATTATTATGGATGTCTACATGTCGGGATTTGATTTCGTTCGGCGCTATAACAAATGCCCAGAATATTTTGTTATCTTCTAAGCATATCAGGCTAATAAGAGGACCACGAGCTGCATGGTTGCCTTGCAGCCTATACCTGACCCCAAGTAGGTGTTAAGTGCTCGAAAACCTAATAAACGATTTATTCCCGAGACCCTCACAGCAACCTGTGAATGCTGTCGGCGCCGATCAACTACCACTTTTTGTTCCCATAAAAAGCTCATGTTTTATCTCTTGGTCAGAATTTGCCGGGCCTTACATCGTGCCAGCCCGAGATTGTCCGTATCGGGCCCCTACTCTGAATACTAAACCTTCCATTGCCCCTCGACTCAGACAATGTCCCAACTGGCGATTCCCCGGAGTGGACTCACATGCTGTAAATGCGCGAATAAAAGCAAGATGCACCATACACCAGCCATATCAGCACTTTGATAAGATTAGCGCGACGAATACTTACAATTTCCGAAAAAGGACGATAGCGGCAGGTGTATTGGACTTCTGGCCTGCCGCAGGAATTCCCTAACTTTGCTGACAAACAACGGAAGGTAACTAACTAGTTAGACAGTCTACCCAGTTTGAGTTAGCTCTACAATTACTTGATATTTACAAGGTCTATTCGCAAGGCTCGACATTTTATTGGCTCAATAGGCCAATAACACTTTTTATAAAATCCACTAGCAAATGAAAGGGCGTCACTCATATGTTGAATGGGCGTGATGTTGAGATTGATCTTGTGCGGTTCAGAGAGCCACAGATGGCTTGGGGAAGAAAATTATGAGCAGTGCATAGAGTATTATGTACACTCCATGTGGACACCGCATCGATAATGACCGCTATGCCCTTCACGTAAGATATTGTAGGTCAAGATATGAGCAGCATAAATCGAGCAAGCTTACCTCGATCTGCAACAGCTCGAGTGAGCGACCGTCGAGATCAAAGTGACGTGTCATCCCTCATGGCACCAAATTTTTCGAAGGTAGGGCCACTGTAATAACTGGCGAACCGCTGAAAAAGCATATGTCGCTGCTGTTGGTCTTACCACAATGGGTGTAATTTCAAGCTTATCGTCCCAAGACTTGACAAGAGCTCAAAAAATGTACTAGGAATTGAACTATCCATTAAAAAATCTGCATAGCTAGCTCTTGGCAAGGAATTGCTAAGAGAAAGAGCTTTCTGGGTCAGGAGGATCCTTGTTGTCTTGATTTCTGGTCGATATGCACAGGAGAGAGTCCTTCCATTTTAGTAGCTTAGGCTCTATATCGGTGTTGTCTTATTGCATTTAGCTTTTTCGATTGATCAGAACCGTTTCTAGTGAGGCGTTTCATCTGACCAATCATCGCGCTATATTCAGTGATCGAATGCTAAAACAGCTCAGTTAACAGTTTGATCAACAGTACTCCGTACAGTGCGGCAGTATACGAAGTACTTTCCATTGAAAAATTTTTGAGGATGACAGCTCGTTCAGCCGCAGGGCAAATCTACACTGGGTACATCCCTTTGTATATAGTTTTGGTCATTGAATCTAGCCTCTTGTGGCCATATCATAGGTAACTTTTACCGAGCTCACCACGACAGGGTAAATTCCTCTATCAATGGACGCTCTATACACAGGCTGGTACTCAAAGGATATAGCTTTCCTATCAGTCGTCTTATTTGCTTACCTCTGTATTACTTGCCAGGCGCAGACAAGGTAGACCGAGGGGGTGTGGTGGATTTAGATAAATCTCTATCATATGGCCTACAAAATCAATCTGAATGAGCAAATTTTCTACAGTAAGCCATGTCGTTCAACACAGGGTTGAATTGACTAGGATAGAAAGAAAAGCCTGAACGTGGATAACTCGGGCCTGCGCACGGACTGCTCTTAAGAGGTCCTTGCGTATAATCCCGTATTCACTACCGGAGCTAATTGGACAGTCCGTATGGACCGTTATGTTGGTACACCTAATTAAGTTAGGTAACTATCCATGTTACAAAAGCGTGGTCTGTTGGTGGCCCTTTATCGTACTTTTGAAGAATGGCCGCACCCCTTTTTTGATTTGACATATAGGTATGAAATCATGCACTTCGACCGTTCCAGAAGTAGGGTTATTAAGAGACGAGAAGGCAACGAGCTAGGCCTAGAACAACAGGCTCTTTTCACCAATTGTGCTTGATTTGACTGATCTTTTGAGTTTAATCAAAACCTAGAATCTCATGCCTATGAAAATACAAGATGCAAACACCGGAATGAAAGAAAAGTGACCATTTTTGGTCTGCATACGTACTGCTGGATCTAGCTGACGATTCATGTACTTATTTTCGTCGGGAAATGAATTAGCCTACTACAGAACGGAGTGTAGCATCACAACTCCCCAAAAGATTATTAAAGATTTCCTTAGAACGTATCTCGGCATATATCGGTGGCGTGGTCATCGGCGCAGTGCGTATTGTATCTATCACACGAGTTTTCTTTCAAAGTCTGCTTAACTAACGTAATTCCCGGCCGTCCTGGCCACCCCATCCAAAATCGCGTAATCCTGCACACATACTAGATTCAACCAACTACCATGCCACCAATTCGCGCTGAATCCTCGCAGAAATCAGCTAATCAAGAGGGCAAGATCTTGTTAGCCCTTGATGATATTAAAAATGGCCGTATCAAATCTATCCGCGCAGCGGCTAGCCTATACGCAATACCGCGGTCAACACTACAAACGCGCCTACACGGCCAATCCCCTCACGTCGATATACGCCCAACAGGCCATAAACTTACTCAATTAGAAGAGGATTCGCTTACTACATAGATTCTCTCTATGGATTCGCGTGGAGCAGCCCCCGGCCCACTACTATACGAGAGATGGCTAATATCCTACTGGCTGCGCGCGGTAGTAACCCTCCGCCTACCGTTGGCAAGAACTAGCCATCAACCTTCGTTTCACGGCGTGATGAGCTTCGATCGCGCTTCTCGAGGCGATACGACTACCAGCGCGCATTAAACGAAGACCCGAAGACCCTACGAGCCTGGTTTACTACCGTACAAAGCGTGATTGACGAGAACGGTATACAATCGGAGGATATCTACAACTTTGATGAGACAGGCTTTGTAATAGGCCTTATATCTTCGTAGAAGGTAGTGACTAGGGCTAAATACTACGGTCGGAGATCTCTTCTACAACCAGGAAATCGCGAATAGGTTACTACTATCGAAGCTATATACGCATACGGCTACATACTACCGCCGTGCGTAATCTTCAAGGGCAAAGTGGCTATTGTAGGGTAGTTTGACGATAACCTACCGAGAGATTAGCGAATCGAGGTCTCTACGAATAGCTAGACTACCGATGAGATTGGCCTACGCTAGCTAGAAAAGCACTTTATCCTATATACGAATTCGCGTGTACGCGGTCGATTTCGGCTACTAATTCTTGACGGCTATAGTAGCTACCTTACACCCCTATTCGACTAGAAGTACGCAGAAAACGATATTATACCGCTATATATGCCTTCGTATTTATCATATCTACTATAACTGCTAGATGTTAGCTGCTTTGCTCTATTAAAGAAGGCGTACGGCCGTTTCGTTAGCGATCTTGCGCGCCAGAGATATAACCATATCGATAAATTCGATTTCTTACAGGACTACTACCGCGCACGGCTAGAAGCATTCCAATCAGCCCGGTCTGCGTGATGTAACTCACTCATTTGATACCCCAGTCCCCCCAAAAAAAGAAGAAATATACAAAGAAAAAAAATCTCATTGTGATTAGTTACGATCTGCTGGATGGTCTATCATTTTCAACAAGCGCGAAGAACGACTGAGAGGTTACTAGTCCAAGCGATAGTAAGGATCAAAAGGATTGATTTGCTAGAAGCTAAGTTAGAGCGGTGCAACAGTGCCAAAGGAAGTATCGGTGAGAAAAGTCCCGCCTATGCGTCAGCACAACCAGGAGATATGATCAAAAAGAGACACTAGACACTCGACGCGGCGAGCCAACTTTTGTACGTGTACCGAACCACCCTCATGCCGCACGGCCCTTTCATGATTATCACACTGCAATTAACCGCATCAGCTCGCGCAAAGGGAATCCCTTTCTGTTTCCCACTATTCTTACAGCGGCGTTGCATGACAACCTGTAAAAAGCACCGAGCTTGATCTCAAGTGGCCGATCAGGCACTCTATGATCTTTGACGGACCTGCTAAATTTGGGACGCTCCATGGTATTTTGGTCCATCTCGCGTGGTAAGACACGCTGTTTGTATCCTTTTAACTTTCCTCTGATCATAGTCACTCAACGAGACGTAGGTACCAGTAACCCTCTAGGCAACGCCGATTCCCCAATATTTGCATCTCGAGATCAGTATTATCACCAATCCACAGTTCGAATGTGCACGAGAAGATCAATTCTGGCGAACAAGAGTGGACTTTGATGGTGAAGCTGACAAAAACGCCATCTCCCGGGATAATAAATAGCGAATAGCTGTTATAGGATTCTTCTAGTTTCTGTTTAGGTAAGGCAGAGTAACGACCTAATGGTAGGTTAAGTTAAATTCTTTCCAGTATCTCACAGATCCTGAAAGTGCGCTCTTCTTTCCCGTACATCCCGTATTTAGAAGCCTCATGTAAACTTCTGGCATCGGACGCCGAAGAATATTTTACTGCATATCATCCAACTTCAACGCCTGCCCGAAAAGTTCCTTCCGATATCCTCTCAGCATGCCTCAAAATACTATCACACAGAAACACTTGAATATTACTATCACGAACTTTGATCGGAACTTGATGTGTATCTAGCTCAAGTTCCATTTATGCTCACCCGAAAGCGTAGGTAAAAGCATGGCCGGGAACGGGAACTTGGGTCCTCGGCCTGTCACTGAAATCAGATTCTAAATCTCCTCTTCCCGCAATTTATACCACGGAACTCTATCTATGTCAACTCGTTCTGTTAGACTACAAGCCCGACGACCTGCATCCACGGCTTGATTCGCTCTGTCAGGTCGAATCTCTACGTATGGGTCTCACCGTAGCGCGCATGCTGCTGGAATTCTACGTCTCCCCTCCCCATCGCCGGGAAGTTGCCGTTAACAATTCAGGGTTTATCTAGCTCGGCTTTTCCGTGGCACTGGCCTGCAAGCTCATGGTCGCCGCGTCGGAGCCCTCCATCCATCCTTACACGGCCGATTTGACCCGTGAGATGAACCTCTCAAATATGTTGAACCGGTGCGTCCTGCGCATCCAAGCGCTTCTTACATCCTACCTAGATGCAGAAAGTGACCTCAATGGTTTCTACCGTTATGAAGAGCAGCTGAAGCTAGAGCGTTAGCAGTGAAAGTGGGACAGTGTTGCAATCCCAGCAGAATGTGTTATTCGCATTCGCCATGGAGGGCTCGTCAGATCCAAGTATCGCTCAAATGCCGTTGGAGGACGAACTAGAAGCTTATTCTACCGCCCCACGCGACGAGCTTGATTTTCAATAGCCAGGTCTTTTCCGTTTTTGATGAAATTTTTGCAGGCTGAATGGCGCAAGGGCCTGCCGAATTTTAGTATACAGTGCTCAATTGTGGTTCACCTAGACAGGACAAGCTACAGACTCTGCTTGGACTCGGGAATTATACAAATGATTCCCACATTATCTCGTCCCATGAAAACGCCATTTGGGATAGTCATAGCCCAACCTTCTCCCTCATTCTTCAATTTCCATTCTAGCCAGGTTCTGAAGCACAATCTTCCTCGCTATCGCATCATCTCCCCCGGTTCGGCTCCGGGCTTCCTCCATAGTCCTCTTAAACTTCTTATTTGTACAATGAAAGGTATCTAAGATACCAGTAGGGCCGAAGTTTTCGTCAAAAGCAAAGTGATGGAAGTCGTGTTGTAGATTTGAAGGCATCCATGGAATGTTGTATCCCGAGTGCGTGCAGATGGTACCGAATTCAAGAAACAAGAAGGTGAAAATAGCCTGAGACCAGTGGTGAGGAACAAGCAGTATTCCAATAGAGTTTGGTAACAAGTTAGAAAACAAGTGTTCTGCAACTGTGCAGTACGTCGACGCTAGCCCAACTGGAGCTGTGAATTCGTGGTGTTGTTTGTGAAATGTTGAATAGAGTCGCTTCGAGTGAAACAAGCGGTGGACGTAGTAAAAGCCTACTTCGGTGCAAAAGACATCAAATATGATCGTAGCAATTGTTTGGAATGGCGTGGGTAGAAATTTCGGGGCTACGGGCATCGGTTGTGTGGTGAAGGTGCCCAGAAGAAGCATTGGAAATGCAACGAGCATCTGGTTTCGTAAAGAGATCTTCGCGATACGAAAGTATGCTTTCCCATTGACCCGGACGAAAGGCTGTGTTTTGTATTTGAACAACCACCTTGGCCATCCAGTCAAGTCGGGAATGGCAAATATAGCAGACCACAGCCAAAAGAATACAGACGTGATGATGAAAGTTCCCCATAAGTTAACCTTATATACGCCGTGCGTATCGTCCAGATATTGGTAGAATCGGTGGCCGGTAGCTGAGGTATTGAAAGATATGAAAGCGGCGATAATAAGTGCATTGGCACCAAATGAACTTAACTCAGTGTTAATGAGAGACGAAGTTAGATAGACCCATCGGTTATGGTGAGGAATGGGATTGCCTGATAAATCCTTGGGGACAGATATAGTCAAGGTGGGGCTATCCGTCGTAGGCGAGGAGTCGGACGGCGCCATGGATGCTAACAACACGCACTGCAAAGTGTATGGACGTAGCTGAAATTCAGGACTGAGTGTAGCTATAGACAGATCAGAAAGAATAATAGAATCACCCTGGATACTTCAATATACTCGAATTTAGCGCCTTTTATCCGTCAGTTATGAGGTTGCCTCATTGGGATACATACCTTAGTCATTACGTACCAGAATGTGCCCACTTCCCGTATTAGATGCAACACATGCTCGTGAACCTCGGCTATGTGAATGCGGGGGTTACTTTTAGCCAGTGTTGAATGATAGTGAGTGCGACCTTACCTGCGTACCGATCGGAGCTAGTGATCTTTTACAACGAGACAGCCATTGGCTAGTGTACTCGACCCTGGTACATAAATGTGGCATAGCCGCGTCGAAATCCAGGTTGTAATTAGAGGTCTAGAAAGACACAGTCCATGTGAGGACGATATAAATCTGTGCTGATCTAAGTGACATTCAAGAATGATGGATGGTGTGTGCAATCGCCACCGAAGAGCACTCACAGCGTCTACATCCTTCTTGGGACGCACCCACCCGATTTCAGCCCAAGGGCCTCACACTGGGCGTAGTACATGCAAAAGATTTAGGCATTCCTCGTTCTAATATGATTGTTTCCAGCCACCCGACGAAGTACCCGATAATTTACGGGTAGCTATAGCTGATAGTCTACCTCAAGACAATTAAGAGCTAAAGGCATACTTGACTTGGAACCATTACCTGTAGCAGGATGCCATACTTTCGTCTGTGAACTGATGTCTTTATTAACCATGCAATAGCCATGTTAGTATTGAGGCGGGTCCCAATGATTTTTTGAACTAGAATAGAATTGGTAAGTTCTTTTGTGTGACGACGAGATCAATGGACTGGTCTCTAAACGTCATGCCGGGCGATGGTTCTGTTGAACTGTATGCTACAGTGGAGAAGAAGGTGTGACGAGATGTGCAAGAAGCTAATATTGGAGACTAGGCGAGGATCTAAATAGGGAAGATTACTATGCAAAATTATTAGACTAACCAAAACTAACAGGTTCAATTCTACGGCAGAATTAAGGCAAGGTTATTAGAATAGAAGGATATTTCAGCCAGCTTGATATTGGTTAATCCGCCTCGAATGTGAAGTTCCTATATATTACAGTAATTTCACCGCTATTTTTCAACTGTTCTGGCAATCACCATTTGCCCCCAGAAGTAGAGCGCATAGCCCATAAATATTCTGAGCCACCCACGGCTATGCGGCACAAGAGGTTTGCTAAAAGCATTCTTTGCAACAAAAAGGTCGCTTACAACGAACATAGCAGCTCCCAAAGCCCGCGAGTGCAACCGGTCGGCTGAAACAATCAAAGGAGACGTGGAAGTAGCGACAGCAAACATTGTACCAATGATAATAGCGTAAATAGTAACCAATGGCTTCATATCTGGAGCAATATTGAGGTCCAGTACATTCGTTTTGGGTGTGGAATATGGCGGAGGATATATAACACCCAGCCATTTTGCAATGCTCAGAGTCCCTGTGAATGTGGCGGCAAAAACCTTCAAGGAGGTTTCGTGGCAATCTTGCAGGAAGGCTAGAGTATAGGCGATATGAGCAGCGGCGAAGGCGGCGATGCCGAGCTGGAAAGATTTCGATACTTTCCCTCGCACTTCCGATTTGCCGGAGCTTGGCTTTTTGCTCTCCAAGTCATAGAATTCATGCCGAGAAGGAATAAGAAGATAGTCGCCAAGCATAGAAAATCCAAGGCCGGTGGTGATAAGACGGCGATAGCCTGACCATTCCGTCGATGGTAAAAGCAATGGGCTGCTGACGAAAGCAACGGAAGAGAGCATTTTGAACACTGCCGTACCAGTGTATGACCTTGATTTCCATTCTGAGAAAACCAGCAAGGGCAGCGAACATAGCAGAACAGATGCCGAAGTCGAAATTGACATATCTAAGGATCGGTAGAGACGTGAGACTGGATGAAGTGAAACAGGTGTTTGGATACTCGGTACAATTTAAGTAATGGCCAACCTGTCCGTGAACTGTTTGTCGCTCATGATTAAGCAATTTCCTTGGCGACAAGCCGAGGCCGAGGCACCACATTGGCTTGTGAGACAGACCGATGTCCTTGATTAGATATATATGAGAACGAAAGTAACCAAGAATATTCGCAATTACTCTATTATTGAAGATACATTGGCGCAACGAATTCACTTCCAAAATACTCCGTTAAGCAATCATCTACCATTATTCCACAGCATCCACATTTGGGCAAACTACCACGGTGGCAGTAGTAGTGATAGTCTTAACACGAGGACCATTGTTGGTCACGGGGAGAGTCAGGGTAGGAACATTGTCCAATGTCACGGGGTGGGAATAGTCTGCACACCAACCAATTGTCTTAGGCACGATTCCGGGCTTTACATATCTTGAAGTAAAAGTGCTGGTGGTGCTAGGTGGAGGAGAAGGACGGATATGGGAAGATTGAGGGGGAAGGCGGGAGCTGGGAGCGGTAGGGCTCACCGTGACATAAACGGTAGACGCCGCAGCGCTAGGGCAAGTAGAAGTCGCCAGCGAAGGAGCAGGGTCAACACAAGCGGTGTTGTTGGCGGGTTCGGAAACGGTGAACTTGTCACCCTGCGTGTAGATTATGTAGACGTTGGTGCCGTTGATGCCACTGATCTGGTAGCCCCATTCGGGCTTAGTATCGCAAGGAATATGGACAGTGTAAACCAGATCCGACGTAGGAACGTTCAGAGCCAGTGGGAGGTAAGACGGAGGCCAGGACACAAAGTTCCACAGATAGAGACTGAAGTTGGTGGGATCGGTATCAACGCTGGTCCACTTGACGGTGATGGTGGACCCGGCTGCGTAGGTGGAGTTCGCAGAAGGACTTGTTATTTGGATGGAGGTTACTGGCGAGGCGAGCGAGAGAATCAATGGAATCACGAGACGCATCATGATGTCGTTGATTATTTCGTTGCGCTCCTTGGGAGGTTTTGTTTGTTGCACAGGGCGGGAGTTCGGTGTCAACTGTTAGAGCACAATGGCAGATGAAAAAGGAGAGGAAGGAAGGTCCACTGAATATAAATTTGAAAGAGTGACTGGTGATAATTAGGAGCAACAAAAAGAATGACTTGGAGTTGGAGGAGAAGCTTTGCCAGCTTCAGCACAAAAATGGGCCCCACGGAGATAAATAGGCACTCAGCTGTGAAGAATAATTCTCCAAGCCGTCAGGGATGAAGCAACGGCAGCCTGATCGTTTGGGGTAGATGAGCCAATGACCGCACATTAAAAAGTCTTGGGATGGCTCCTGCCGTAAACCTATTTAGGGTAGCCGTTGATCCTGATCCTGGCAGTGATTGGTAGGGTTTGAGACAACTCATTGGGTCGTGCTCGGCTAATTCCTTGGCTATACGTCCCTGAATCAACCACAATTAATTGGTCAATCTTGACATGCTTATCTCCAGTCTCTGAATAACGCCAGGCGATAGCGGAGTTACATGCTATTAGAACCACACTGAAACCATGTAGACCGGCGTCAGTTAGCCTTTGGACGGATTTGGTCGACTGACTATCGAAGCCCGTTTTGCGCGATAGAATCGACTCAATTTTTGAAATACTATCGGCTTCTGGATTAAAGCATGATGGCATTCCAATCCAGGACCAGATAACTATAGAGGGTAAACATATCACAGCGGAAATCAGGCTCGTTTACGGTGAGTTCATTTGTATTCCTTACTTCTATTAATTGTTGTGGCATCTAGATCAACAGACGGAGGGAAGTGTACGAGGTTTGTCTCTTCTATACTTGGCCTAAGAATAAGCTCCTCCTTTAGTAAAAATCAAATTCTCGTATCTTGCAATGATGACAGCATCCATTTTTTGCTTGACAGAAGAAGCTTTTTTCTTTCTCACTCGACGAACACAGTTACAAAATGTATCGAAAGCTCTGAATCTCACGGTCAGTTTTACCTGTAATTCCCGTCTGCAGTATATCGGCAGTGGTGATTTGTGTCGATGGTCTATGTACCTCGTCTCGGCGATGGTTTTCCATGCGATCATGAACCCAGAGGCAGACTAGGAAAAATACTCCGAGCGCCAGACCCGCCAGTGAAGTTTTGATGCCAGTCTGTTAGATGATTAGCTCAATAATTTGGCCAAAGTTGAAAGAATAATATCAACTGATTTGTACTTAACTCACAGGATAAGCTGGTGCCTCAGAGGAAAGAAAGCACTGTGGCCCGATCATGTTACCGACACAATATGCCTCTAGTATACAGGCACTTGTCACGCTTCGCTTCGTAAAAGAAGCGACATTCGAGCTCAGCACACTGAGCACTAGAGGAATGTTGACCCCGTATGCGGCAGAAAGGGAAACTCCAACAAGTCTTCCAACCCCGTTCAGCGGGTCGAGCTTCCAAACCACATTTACACCCACCAGGGAGATTGCTGTGGTTATAACTAACCATCACGATGATACAGCTGGACCGAACATATGTCGCAACGAGAGAAACGAAAATGAGCGCAATGAGCTCTACCCGCCCACTGGAATCTGTAAGCGAAGGGCTGTGAAGGTTGAGAAGCCAAGCCCCGATATAATGATGGATAGAAACTAGGTAGTAACATGACCTAGTTAGCTTTGCGTCGGACTTAAGAATACACACAATTCATGTTGGGCTCACAGCGTTAGCCCGCCATTCCATAAGCTTGCTGCAAATATGTACAGAACAAGGAACCAAGTATGGGGATCTTTAAACGCATTCAATGGCATGATCCCATTTAAAGCTCCCATTATCCATGACTCCAGTTTGATTCTCTAGGGTGCGTTGCAAAGCGACTGCACGTTCGTTTTCGTTCAAAAATACCGCGATGCTAGGTGAGTCCAGCAGGACAGCAAAAAGAAGCACCCCGTGCGCTGCCGTAATTACACCGAGGAGAAGGAAAAGCAACTGCTAGTAGGTCACAGTAGAGACGTTGATATAGCCAACTCCGTTTCCAATCAATCCTCCTAGAAGGAAGGCTATGTAATTTCCGAAAACCCCTTCTCATATGGGAACTCTTGAAATTTCATGGACGGAAGAAATTATTAATTCCTAGAAATTAAGAAAGAAATATAGAGCTAAAGAGGTTAGTTTAAACCCAAAGGATTACGACGGGAAAACCGTGGCTTGTGGCTATTAAAAGCTTGGGATCTTACCGCCGGTAGACGATCCTTTCGTAGAAAGACCACGATATTCCACCAGAGACGATATTTTCCTAAATAGCCACGTTTAGCAAGATATACTCGACTTGATAAACTATAGAACGCCTAATATATGATTTTCTAAGTACTATCGTCTTCTTCTATACCATTATATAACGAATTTATCTCGCAATACTACGCATTATTGCTAGAATCGCTAGAGCGTTAGATCTACTTGCTATTTACCTTACCATTATACGTCAGCACCAAGGTATCATACGCAGAGATGAGTCCTCCTCTCCTCAAGATAGCATCGTCGATATACGTTCGTATCATATTTCCTTTAACTTTTCAAATTAATTACGAACTACAGGTCGATGTCCACTTGTCCTTCCCGAACGAAAATAAATATCCCAATAAATTCAAGATATATAGATGTTATTTGAGATATCAAGAGATCTATTCTTATTAAAATATACTTAACTACGTGTATCTTGACTTCTTTCGCATAATTCAAATATCATTTACCAAGATGTGCCGTCATATTAGCGTCCCATTAAGGAATTGAATTTTGTACATATTCACCCCTGGAAAATGTCTACGTCAGCTTAATTTACCTGCATGTTTATTGTTATGTATTGGTCGAACCTCGAGTCACCACAGGATGCAAGCAGCGGAAAGAACCTTAGGGCTAGTTGGTTCTATTGGTGAAACATTGCCCGCAATCCGAAAGATCACACGGTGTTTACGGGCGGATGGGGTATTTGTAGCAATGGGAATGAACTGCAAAGCCCACTACCACCTAGAAGTACCACTCTTTGAATCAATAGTAAGTTAATCTTATTTCATACACGCCATAAATTGAATTTAATAATCTCATTCGGCATTCGGTTACTACCAATGACGAGGGATTTCAAGGACAATGTCAACATCCAAAACTTCCTAATAAAATACCCATTAGTGGAAAGGTGTGCACTGGCTAATGAGTACTTGAAGCAGATACAAGTGGGCTTAGAAGCAGTTACATAGCTAAAGAGATCTGGAAACTCTATAATCAGGCGGGAGTATTTATGCAAGCCAGTAAATGCAAGCATGCTTAATTGCTAGTAAAGATATGAGTTACACATCGAAGACCCATCCATCACTTTGACTGGTTTGCGTAAAATCTCCATCAAGAAAATTGATCCATGCTCCTCGACATGTGACTGAGTTGCTATCAGACACAATAACCAACACCACCCTCTATGGCGCAACTCTGTCCTAAGTTGCAACGCGCAGCAAGGACCAATGCGCCTTGACCATTGCAGACATTAACCACAACATAGCCATCACTCGATCCACACTCGTAAGTGCCTGGTTGGCACGCGGTTGCAGTTAAAGCCACTGCAAGAAGCGCCACGACTGTTGTAATATAGCGCATTTTTTTTAAAGTGAAGATTGAGTGGTTTCTGTACATTGTTAGATAAAAGCTCCCTATTAAGTGGTATAGGAGACTTACGCAAACGTTTGAGTGCGGTCACAGAGAGTTTGAGTTATGTATTTTGCTTCGGGTGGTAGTGAGAAGCGAAGTGAGGTAGAAATGAGGGTGAAAGATACGGCTTTATACTCCTAACCCTCCCACATTCCGCGAGAAATTCCAACGGTTACTCTAACAATTTATTAAACTTAGTCTTTGGCTAATTCTAGAACCGATCAAGCATTCACATACCATAGAGTCAGGTACTGTGCTGGACCAGCATTGAATCGATCCGCGCACAAAAAACCCGCAAAAATGTAACCCACAAACATGCAGCCTGCAAACACACAACCCGCAAATAGAGAATCCTAAACACATAGTCGGGATGCGAAACGGAAATAACTCCGCTGAAGAAATGCCTGAACAGTGATTGGGTATGAGTAATTTACAATTACGCGATTCTAGAACAGGTAACGTCCGCTGCCGGGGACTATAGTATGTTTTGGGCTTTCAGTCATATGCAAATATGCGACCCATAACAATACATGAGTACATACATGTCATGGCTAGGGAGAACAAGGGACCATCAATTAGGTTAGCAGAATGATATTTCAGCAAGCTATCCAGTCTAAAGGGATCTTTGGACCTGAAGCATAGATATCTGTAATATTCCCCTTTCATTTTTCGATACACAAAATGGAATTCTCCATTCTAGCCCACATTCAATCAAACATTCCAAGTCGTTTACGCGGATCTAAATGTTGAATACTCGGAATCCGGCCTGAGTAAGCAGCCGACGCCTAGTTAAAGATAATCGGGCCTAAAGAGAGGAGGGGGGTGGGTTTTGCGCATTAATAAGTCTTAGTAGGGGTGGGAGGGTAACGTACTTCATACCCGAACGGATCACCCAACCGAGCGGACCACCACGTCAAAAATCGCGTCTTCCTGCCTATATACTAACTTCAACCACCTAAAGATAGTCAGGCCATGTAGGGGTTGGGGGGTCGGGACTCATAGTTAAAAAGTCTTGGTAAGGGGGAGGGATATTAAAGATTGTTGGGCTATGTAGGGGTTGGGGGGAGACTCATAGTTAAAAAGTCTTGGCAAGGGGGGGGGAAAGGATATTAAAGATTGTTGGGCTATGTAGGGGTACTCATAGTTACAAAGACTTGGTAAGGGGTGGAAGGACACGAATTTAAGGTTTGAATTTTGTTCCCCCACCTCTAAGTACCTGAAATCTTGATATTTTTCGATCGGCTCTTTTATATCTTTTATAAGATTGTTACGCTCAGGCACGAGAGAGATATTTATCAATCAACATGGTAGCATTTGACCAAAACAACTAAGGATAAGAGAAGGAAAGAAGGGAAGATGGCGGAATGGCGAGAGAGCTATCTAAATAGTAGATTGATGCCTTAGGAACCAGGCATAAATCCTGCTGACGATCGTCACAAAGATAGCCTAATCTAGCTACGTATCAAAAATATTAGTAGATTTCTAGTTAGAAGGGGCTTACCCTATAGGGCCTAGGTTAGATGAATTATTTTTTGATATGGCATACTAAGGCTAGTTCCTATGGATAAGCTAACGTAATTCACGGCCGAGCTGCGCACCCCAAAATACATAGTAAATGCGATAAATTACTACTTTATATCCCAACAACCATATGTTATTTTTACTTGAATATTAGGATATAGGCTTTTCGTAGCATATGAAAAAGTCTTTCTTAGTTTTAAGCAATTTAAATGATTATTTCGATGCTTTACCATAGAATACGGCGTAATTTTAACATAAATATATATCTCTCTATCGATCCTTCAACTAATTTTCCTACACTTACCTAGTAGGTTAGAAATAATATCTAGATTATATAGTTTTAATATCTTATCCTAAATAGATATGGTTGTTGAGATATAAAGTAGTAATTTATCGCATTTACTATGTATTTTGGGGTGCGCAGCTCGACCGGGTGCGCAGCTCGGCCGTGAATTACGTTATACTACTTTCGGCTAGCCTTCCTAAGCCTATATTAGTAGCCTTAGCAATCTAGTAGCCTTGGGCTATGCCTAATAACTAGCTAACTATTAACTATCTGGGCTAACGTAATTCCCGGCCGATCTGGACACCCGGCCGTCCTGGACACCCCAAAACATCATACTAAATGCGATTTCTTTGGTCACAGTATATCAGCAACGAGAAGTAAGTTTTGTTTGATTTTTAAGAGTATAGCATTTCTTAGCATTAGAAATCGTATGGTATAACTAACGTACACAGAAAATTATTATTTAATTGCATTACCAAAAATACGCCACGGTCTCGTGGTGCCGATATATATCTCTATAGTTTGAAGCCATAAAATTCCTATTGACTTATTATTATATTTAGAGAGATATATTAAGTACCACGATAACTTTAGACTTAATAGTAAGCCTTGAGTGTTGAAAAATCAAGTTGTAGAATATCGCATTTACTATGATGTTTTGGGTGTCCAATCGGCCGGGAATTACGTTAATCGAATCGGGTTTTCTATATTAGCTAGAGCGCTAGTAGGTATAAATTACGTAAGTAATCTCTATACCACTAGTATTTACTAAAGTATATACTTTGAAATTTTGTATTAGCTAACTAATTATTTTTACTCTAGCAAGATAGAGCTATCTTTAAGGATTAGATAAATACAGTATTTAGTAGAGTTTGGGGGCGGGCAAGATTTAAACCTTAAATCCTCCCCAGGCCAAGACTTTCTTAACTGTGCTCCCCCCCTACATAGTCCGACTATCTTTAGGCAGGAGACAGATATGCATCCCATTAATATCCCGTCTCTAAAAAATGCCATCATAACAAGCTCGTCAGGTACACACGAATCATACTTCTGGTGGATGCAATAAATGAAAGTCCACGGGCGAAACACATAAAAAGAAGTCTGGGTCGTCTCGCGGAACTAAGCAAAATTCCGCCTATCCTTGTCACCAGTACTGACAGTACATTCGCGTCGCCTCAATTCACGATAATGAACATGGCTACTGAGATACAAACAAGATATTGCAGTCTATATCAACTATAGGCTCGAGCATGATGAAATCCTTGCCCACCTGAACTCAAGCATGAAAGAAAAAATCCACACGACGCTACTCTGTGGGGCGGATGGGTCGTCAGTAATCCACTCCGTTTTGTTTTAGTTTTCCATTTTTTTCACACATTGATAGATTCCGCTGGACTCAGATGTCATTAGAGAGTCTTAGCATTCAGCGATCAGCAAGATCTATGCATCAATCTCTGAGCTCATTACCAGGGGTAAACACTGCGAGGGGCGCGTATAGACAGATTTTGGAAAGAATCCCGCTGAATGACAGAAAACTTGTTCGTGAAGCTCTCATTTGGCTAAGCTTTGCGAAGCGGCCCCTCTCACCGGACGAACTGAACGAAGTAGTGACAATAGAGGAGATGAGTACCGTCCTCAACGAAGACATAGGACTGGTTTTTGCACAGATTCTGTGTCGGCTTTGCCAAGGACTCATTACCCAGGACAGGTAACCCTGGCTCATTCGACAATCAAATATTTTCTGAATTCGAAGTGGATTCGGTCCTCCAGGGTCCGATATTTCTCACTCAATTCTATTTCTGCCGAGAGGATCCTCGTGCGGCGATGCCTCGCATATCTCAGCCTAGAAAGCTTCCAATGCGGGTACACTACACGCTCAATACCTTGCCAAATTTACGAATATATTCGTGTGAATATCAGTCCTGCGTATACGAATATTAGTAGAGGTTTGCAAATTACGAATGCGAATGCGAATACCTCAAAATCTTACGGATTTGTATTCTTGCTGATCCCCATAGCTCTCCATTTCTACCAGCTTTCTTCTGGTCATTGATGGTGGTCTCGCATGTCCGTATTTTTTATAGCATGAGCTCTAGTGAAAATTATTAATCCAGCTCTGATGTTGACAGCTTGCCACGGAAACCCTCTTATAATCTACGGCTTTAGCATTACCTCCGTGGCGAACCAACAAGTCGTAAATAGGTGACATTTGGCTATATGGAGCCAGATGTAGCGGAGTTTTGCCCTCGGCGTCTCGAGAGTTGGGATCCAAGCCCAAGCGCAACAGCGCCTCTACTGTATCAGTATTCCCATCATAGCGCTCACCGGCTGCGTAATGCAAGGCAGTCCGCTTCCCATTGTCGCGAGCGTGTATATGACACCCTGCTGCATGGAGAGCCTCGAGAGCCGGCACACTTCCACAGCTGGCCGCTCGGAGAAACGGCGTCATCACATCGTTGGTTGCGCCTTCGACTATAGCACCATATTGGAGAAGGAGTGGTACTAACTTGCCAGCTCTATTGAGGAGTGCATGATGCAAGACGCTCCTTGCGGTGCCGGGCTTCTTGGGTTTCACACCGGATTTAATATGCGGTTCCGCGATAGCCCCGTACTCAAAGAGGATCTGTACAGCGTCCTCATTACGGTTCACAATTGCCTTGTATAATGGTGTGGTCCTGGAGGAGTCTCGTATTTCGATATTGGCTCCAGATTTGAGGATAAATTCGAGCATCTCCTTGTTATTGTCACCTACTGCGGCATGGAGTGCTGTGTCTCCCGTACGAGAGGCAATGCCGTGCAAGTTCGCACCCCTCTCAAGGAGGAGCGACACCGCCGGGATGGAACCGCTTGAAACAGCGTTTGCAAGGTCAAGTGCGGTTGCTGGTACCCCTGCGTCCAAGAGCAATCTGATAATATCTGTATGGCCGTATTTTGAGGCTAGCTCTAGGGCAGTGAAGCGCTATAGCTTTGTCGATGTATCAAATCTAGCTGCTAGCAACAGTTTAGTGATTTCCATATGACCGCGTAGAGCTGCTAGAGGCAAGGCTGTTGCCCTATACTCAGGATTTGTTGGTGGTAGAATTTTGTTTTTGAACAGAAATTCGACGGTATGTTGATGCCCGTTATGAATAGCAAAGTGCAAACAGCACCAATTTTCAAACTTCAGGGTTTCCCAAAAAGTGCGTTGATATACAGATTCGCCAGGCCGGTAAGAGTATAAGCGGTCCCCAGTGGTTCCAATTTCCGGACAGACATAGTAATCCTGTGGAATCCGCGAAAGCAGGAATTTTATGGTCCTATTGTGGCCATATTCCGCTGCCCGGTGTAAGAAGCTTCTCGGATCCCAGGGCCGCGGTAACGCAGCACCATTGCTAAGGATAATCCGGATAACTCCATCATAGCCACCCTCAACCGCCTTGGGTAATGATTTTGCTAGAGTCCTCCTGGTGGCTCCTGTTGCCCGCTTTGACAATGTCGCCACTGCCTCTTGATGACCTCGCATAACTGTTATGTCCAGGCCCTCCAGCCCTTGCTTGGATAAGGCTTTCACTCCGTGTTTCAGAAGCGCCTGGACAGCCCAAAGCCGATTCTTTGAAGCAGCGAACTTCAATGCAATTTCAGCTAAGTGAGGCCTTCTATATATCCATACCTGTTTCCGGTTTCCGGGAGATCGTACAGCTGAATACAAGGCACGAGGCGTAGAATCCATACACTTGAGAACAACCTGCAGTATAGATTTCTGCTAGCAGTTAATTGCACAGATCGAACAATTTACTAATATGTCAGCCGCCTTGAATCGGTCATCGTAAGACTCCTTGAATCGGTCAGATCTTGGCTTCTGTGGCAATAGCTTCAAGAATAATGTCTTATCTCCTTTCTCGCATGCGAAGTAAAATGCCTTTTCTATCCCCTCAGCTTTCGGGTACGTTTTTGATGAACTATTCTGTATCTGGTTCACGTATGTCACAAAGTCTGGCTTTGGAAGATCGGATAGAATAGAGGCGAGGCGGTGATTACCCGCCAACTTAAGGTGAAAACGGTCCAGATATGTAAGGTTGGAAAAAATAAGCCCGAGGATGTCTTCTGGCAGAGAAGCCAGGCCCTTTATAGTCGGGTCAGAACAAGTAATCCCAGGGATCATGACTTGGGGCATACCTTACCCGTTGAATGGTTTACCTTCCTACTCCTCTGGACAACAGATGAGCTATTACCTTTCAATTTTCTAGGTCCCTTAAACCAGCTGGTTGTCATGGTGAAAGAGTTGACGGCGTGAGGAATGGTTGTGGCAGGTTGATGCAGCTACTGGATGGTGAAAATATGGAGAACACACAAGTATGAAACTATTCATACAGGCTCTATTGATGGTGTGGTGGTGAAGAGGGAAAGAGGAGAATAGCAAGACGGGCCTATCTATCACGGTGGGGTGGCGCGACTGGGTGCCTGAGAGCCCAGGCAGCATTTCAGCAGGGCGCAGCTGGCGTGCACAGCCTTTATGATCTTCACCCCATAAAGGAAGTAGGTTATCTACCGCGTCATGTGATACATGTGCGATATGCTGCTCCGAGGGCCGAATTCTAGGTTTTGATTTATTCATAGACTGTCCAATCCGTCCAATTATTGGCAGTTATGCAGCCACGACTATAATTACAGGTCTCCCCACCCTCGCTTTCAGAAAATAAGCCGTTCCTTGCACGAATGACTTCCACGTCCGCTCCAGCCGGTCGCCCTCTACTCATAGCTCTAATTACTATTCCGTGTCTCTGTACTTGTTAGGCCTTTCCCGGCCCTCCTCTACTTCTATATACCAAAATTCACTCGTCTTCGCTATATATATTCAAGTACCGTGGACAGTACTGCTTGGAATTGCCCTAGCGGTCCAACTCGATCGATTGAATCGCTGATGTGAATTTCGAAAAGGGCTTTTCGAGCGTAAGAAACTCGTTTGTTCTTTTGCTTTCCAGCATGGCCTTTGTCCTGGGGAAAGTGGCAATCAACGTCCGGCAGACAAAAACAAGTAGAAATACGTTATATTTCCAATATGTTTTATATGGATCCCAACTATCCAGACACTGAGGCAAACAACTTTCTCTCGTTAGGTACGTTTTACCTCATTCAGAAGCCCCAAAGATGGTGAATATGAATGGAGAAGCAACCTACGTGCTAGGGCGTGAAATTAGTATAAATATAATATGATTCTCGTCTGAGGGTTTAGAGTTGTGACACAGCCTCGCGCTAATGCGCGGGATATCACAGTAGTTCAACAAGATTGGTTAGATACTAGAGAGCACATGCCTCGCTCTCTACCCCTAAGGTGCAGCACCACATGCATTCGCAACATGCATTCGCAACATGCATTCGCCATTAGCTCGTACTCATCTAGGCGCTGTTACACCGGGAAGGGGGAGGGGGTTGTGGGCACAGGTAGAGAAAATTGTACGAAGAGCCGCATCTTCGCATCTTGCTCTTCGATTGCTAAAGCCAAGATGTGGAAGACGAGACGAGACGATATTCATGGGTACATAGGGCTAGATGGGTCGGAGATTGGGGTATGATGGGGTATGTGGCATGGAAAAGGGGGCAGAATGATTGGTCTTACAGCCCGTCCCGCATTAGCATTTAACGTTGAACTGAAATCAGGCATATAAGCAGGAGCATTTTATTCGTTCCATCAAGACTGGCTTACCAAGCTAATGGTCACGTCAGTAGGGTACCAGCCCGTCAATTTCCTGGCTCCGGCGTCCTTGGCTCGGTCCTTTTATATTAAAGACGCGGCTGTGATTTTTCTTAGTGAGAGAGCCATGATACATCCTTGGGCTAATGCATAGGGTTACACATTGGAAAGAGGACAGAGAGGACAAAGAGAACAGGGTTCCAGGTCCGCCAAAACGTGAAACGCGCTATGCATCAACCGCGTCAGCTACAACCACGATCCTATCAGCGAACGTTCACCTTTAAAGCCTAATAAAATCCAATTTTGGTGAGTGTTGTCAAGTCTCTTCACGGAGAAGGGGATACTATGTCATGCTTTGAGTTCCTAAAATTAACTTTGCGCCATTTCTCGAGGATATACTTTACCAGAAACCGTGATTAGATGACAACAGCCTTCTAGAAAAGGTACCCACCAATCGAAATTAGTTTAACCCTGTGATCCGTTAAACCGTGGATTACGTTGGTGACTAATTCTTAGTTAAGCCCAGAGTATCCTAGCTACAAGGTTTATATGCCTTATCCTTTGATATGCCGATGTTTATCTATAAGATCATTCTTTATATATTTGTGCTCTTAAAAAGTAATCACCATCTCATAAATTTACATTTACTCACTGCCCTATTAACCTGACCAAAACGGATACTCCGAGCAATACAGTGCATTATTAATATCAAAGATAGCTAGGCAGATAGTGAGCTTAATTTAGCGTAGTCAGCACTAGGCATGTTAGTTAACTAAGCAAAACTCAAGATTCAATCGTAGTAAGCACTAATAATGTGGTGACATGTGTCATGCGCCTGGACCCGCTAATCGAACAAGCAAAAAGACAAAATATGTCAGAACGCTATCTTCTGGCATGAACGGAACCGATGCTAGGCTTTCAAGGGCACTCTATATGGGAACCCAAAAGTGCGGAGATACACTAGATAGGCTAGAAGGCTATAGTGCATACTGTATCTACTGTAGAGGTTGTTACTACTAAATAGATCAGGGGGAGACCCCCTGAGACTCCTTTGGGACCCCCCTTTTAAAGCTGTCTAGTGTAATCTTGATCGTGGCCACGTCAACTAAACAGCCGCAGCAAAATTGACGGCATTCACAACGTCGACGGCATAGGTGAGATGAGAAGGACCAATAAGAATGCCATTCTTGCAAATGTCATCAAGAGCGTGGCATGCAGTAAAGACTCTCGATTGGGGAATACTGTTTAGGGCCTGTCCTTTCACTGCTCTCTATTAGCGGGGTTTATAAACAGTATCGTGGTGGTGGTGATTCATACGTGGATCTCCAAAGAGAAGAACACTGGATATCCAGCTGGCGGTAGAAGCATCAAGCTGTGCGATTGCTTCGTGAACGATTTGACATCCCTGGGAGTATCCCGACGCGATCAGTTTTGTATGAGGGCATTGGGTCTTCGCCGCCTTGATTTGTCGTGCCCTACATACTTGAAGTTAGCTGTTGGCTTATTCAAATATTTTGTATCCATATTATCCACCTTCGACGTACATCTCTGTGACTCCATTTGGATCCCCTCCTGCCAGGTAGCCTTGGACCGACGCCGAATAGTCATTGACACCTTGGATGGTAAGGGTAGAAGAACCGAATTTGTCATCCAGAGCATCGAATAATGGCGGGCCAACCAAAACTCCGACCTAAGGATATTGAGCGTTAGCATAATTACACACACTACGTATCTTCTCACGTACATTGCCCGGCTCAGCTGTACCACGAGCAAATATCACAGTCCATTCCGTGCATGTTCCCCCTAGCTCATTGTATGTCTCTTGGGCTCCAGTTAAGGCACCGAGAAGGGTGTCAAAGCTGGTAATGAGTTGACTTGCATCTGTTATAGATGTGTTTATAGCGGGGAGATGACCGAGGAGAATGCTCAGAAAGCTATTCAATCCAGCACCCCGTTCCGTGATGTGCACATCATCTGGCTCCGCTAACGGAAATGCATAGGCATTGAGCCCGATAAATATCAAAGTAAAATATTCCAACTTGAAGAACATTGTTCTCTTTCAAAATTTGACTGTTCTATTAGATTTGGTGGGCTGCTAAGAAAATGCTCAGCTATACCACTTACCTCACGGCGTACCGCAACACATTTTATATTCCAGTGAGCACGACCATTTTCTGGGATTCACATGGAATTTCCATATAAGTTGCCATTCACACCGAGGTCTTCAGGAGCTACAGATATTTGAAGAAAGTACCAGACTAGCGGAATCTACGTACTGCACAGTCGAATGTCACGATCCCCACTTCCCCACCAACCCTAAAAGTCTATTATTGCATAGGTGATTGACCGATTGGCCGACTGCGGGGAGAGCCGGAATTTAGTCGGAGCCCAGTTATGAGGCTACCGTGATTGCTTTCTTCTTGCTTTCATATCTTAGGGTCGGGCAAGGCTGTTGGTTGGTTGCGGGAGTCTAATAGGTCAGGTGCTGTGACTGTATCGCAGAAGCTCAACATAGATATTATGATGCTCCATCAGTGAGATCACTAAAAGATCCGAGGTTGCAGGCTGACTGGAGATTCCTCTACATCTCTTATCTTCAAATACGACATGCGAGGCTTGCAATGCCTGTTGACGACAACAGGGGTCACATGGCCCTCTTTGTGCTTACTCCGAGACTGCACTCAAACGCAGCCCTGAAACTGCGGGGGCACACCTCCCAGGTGGAAAAGCGATTATCCCTTCGGCCGAACTTTCAAAAATGGAACCAAAGTCATGGGGCAATTAGGAAGACCTAGTAGACTCAGAATATTTTGCATGATAGACTTGCCCGCCCGACGCGCGTTCCTGGATTCTCAAGAGCGTCGAGACTTTCTTCGCACGAAGATTCCAAGATCAAGTTCAGGTCCCCAAATTTTCCAGGATTTGATAAATAATCGATCACCCTACACAGTTTGCAGATACTAGTTATATTCCTCGTTCTCGGGGTTTCCAGGTACCGGATATCAGTCATAACAGCGAAATGGAGGGGACTTTCATTTGACAGCTCAAACTCGCCTGCCAGAGGTCAAAAAATGCACAGGTTTGTCAGCACAAACCGACAATATAAACCCCTGGGAGAAACGCATGCCACAAGAAAATGATCGTTTTAGACTGGCCACAGGTGCCTGCATGATGATGATTACGTCCATCGGCTTACCCTGTGGGGAGTGGGTCGTGGGTAACAGATGGAGTTAGGGCAGCGTCGTCTCAAGCCTGAATTCAGAGCCTTCGGAAAGGGTCTAACCAGACGTGCTTCAACTTCTTGGTAGCATGACAACTCTTATACTCGTATTTGGATCGACTAGTATTACTTGATTGGCTCGTATACTGAACATTCTCGTGGTCCATCGTATCAATCGGGACTAAGAAGAGGATTATGGCCATTTGTCGGGGTCCCACTGTACAGTGAGCACTCAGCTTAACCCCGCGGCGGGACAAAATCCTGCTCCGTCGACTTTGTCTGAGTACGTCTGCCAATTTTCAACTTTGATCTTACTCTTGGCTATGACTCAGGCCAAGTCTTCTCTTCATCTCGGTTTCTTGATTACAACGCAGGAGCAACTGACGGAAACTGACGGGAATCTCTCGCGATTCTAGGCCCATGGTCAACTTCGAAGTGTGTCTCCGACACGAAAGCAAACCCCACCAAATGGCAAGCCAAGAAAGCGAGGTTGTTCCACATCTATTCTAGAATGTATCTCTATTGACAGGACACGAGACTTTTGCGCCAATGAGTGACAAGATGATTCCAAAAGCATTCTGGTAACGAGACTCTTAATATGGAATATCCAGGGCGTCTCGGCCAACTGTGATATGGCATGGGTGAGGATTGCCACTAAAGCCATCCATCGCGCAATAACTGCCCGGCGAATAGCATGGCATGGCCCCGGTCCAAGAAATGGATGCCTAGAGTCGATTATTATCGATTACGGCAAGGTATCCGTCATGCAAATGTCCGACTCTGCGCCCGCGCTCCGTCTTCTGCATATGTGCTTCACCGCGGAGGACCAGCGACCACTGGTTACAACGCTCTTCTCTGAAACGGCTGTACTTGTAGAATTACTTAGATATGATCTTATCTAGTGTTTTATGATCTTTCAAACCCTCGGGTACGTGATATCACAATGCTACAGAGTGCCCTATTAATCAACTGCATCTATGTTAGTAAACCCAATAGGCCTTTTTTCTACTTCCCGAGTTAACCGCTACGACTCTCCCGGCGACGGCCACCCCCATGATTCATTAGTAGCAACTATCATCAGACTTTGTCGGTGATTTGAGGAAGCCCGATATTTTCTGCGTTGCAACCATTACTTGAACTTTCAAGTGTAGGGACGGAGCGTATCAGACTACAACCCTCTTGTGTCCTTCTCGGATACATGTTAGACAGTCCAATATAGCAGAACGGAAGGTGGAAGACAGATTTCGAATCGAGGCGTATAACTAGCGTTGCTAAAATGGGTCTACCGCATTCCAGACTATAACAATGAAATCTCATAATGCATTTGGTTCCCGAAGTGGCTGCTAGGAAAACAGTCCGTGTATCTAAGAGTCCACTGAGGACTCTTGCCCCTTGTACATGGGAAAATCTGACTGGGTTGTCTCCTTCGAACCCAGGCCCCTTGCCAAATCCAATCCTTTGTACATCATTCATCCACAGAACCTCCTATGTGTCTCAATCACGAGGTTTACCCCTTGGCGAAGGTCTTCAGATTATCTTCACTTCCGTTCCAGATGTCCGAGTCCCCACCGTAGCTGTAGGAGTCCGAGTTCTGCCAGAAGCTCTGGTACGGCCATCCACCGGGCACCGTGCCCACGGAGCTTGAGTAGCGAGCCAAGACAAGTGGATAGTCCTGGCTAAAGGCAGTGCTACCCCCAGTGCAGGTATTCCACCAATCGGCAGTGGTGTAGATCATAGGGTATCTACCCGTCTTGCTTTTGTAGGTCTCGCCAAAGTCCTTGACCCAGGCGACCATATCAGATGCGCTCAGGCCGTAGCAGGTCGCCCCGGAGGGATTGTATTCAATGTCCAGCATTCCTGGCAACGTGATGCCATCGTTGGACCAGCCTCCGCCATGAGCCAAGAAGAAATTGGCCTGCGTGGCGCCCGAGCTAGAGTCAGGATGGGCAAAGTGATAGCCTCCTCGGATGAGCCCGGCAGAAGTGGCACCAGTGTAATGGCTCGAGAAGCTGCTGTCGATGTACGTGGTACCCTCGGTTGCCTAGTGAATTTTGCGACGAACAATGTCAGTCTCGAGTTGGGTACTATATCATAATCGGCCCGCTTTGAACGGGCACACACCTTGATCATTACAAACCGGGCTCCAGAAGAGTACGCGCCGGCGAAATTGACAGTACCCTGATAGCCAGAGATATCGAAGCCCTGGACGCTGGCTTGGGCGACGCCAGCGGCGACCAGGAGCGAGAGAATTGCCGTCTTCATTGTCGGTTCAGAGATCAATTCCTCACAAAGTCCTCGGCATGGAGAGAGTGGTCAATCTGGGGGTTGATGGCAGGGGTGAGATGGCTCTATTTATGGGCAATGCCAGGCGACGGCGCACGCTTCATGGCGTGCCCTCGTCGGCGCGTTGCCCGCACCATGTCGTATCCCAAAATAAATGCATCAAAGCAGATCATCGTCTAATTAAGGATCAGGGTAGGACCAAAGGAGAGAATACGAGACCATGGCATGCCGGTTGGGGCATTAGCCGATGACGATCAATCCACTAGTGGCGGGGCAAAGGGAGGAGGGGGGTTGAGGGTCAGTTCAATGGAAATTAGCATGATTGACGCTGATAACAACCATTCAACATCTATGTACCCGAATGTCGTGGTGAGATGATGCTATTCTCTGCGGACCGACCGAGAGATGAATGAGACTATCTGGCGGTTTGTCCACGACCACGCCCATGAATCGCCCAGTCGATGCCGAGGGGATTCAAGATCCTCGGTTCCAGGATGCAGGATGCAGGAACCAGAGATCTTCTCGATGCTTTCATTCTCAATGGTGATCGAACAACTCTCATGGAGTCTGCCCTACGTTTCGTCTGTCTCGCAAGCCACCTCGCAAACCAGGTTTGGGGGCCGGAGCTGTTGGCCAGTCATGTCGAGTGAGGATTCTTCACGTGTCTTGAAAGCCTGGCAATTTGTATCAGGAAGAGTCCGATCATCCGATGGAAGGTTGTATCCCGATGCGCTTGGGTTGTTTCATGTACAGACTTGCATAGACTTGTCCTCAACTACTCACTACTATAAGTATTCGTGATTCGATTCTTCTTCTTATTGATGTCGTATCTCGTACCGATGTGGATTAGGCTTTTTTTCTGCAGACTCGGCATTTTATCTGTTCCTTGCAGATCGCCAGGTACTCGTTCGTATTCATGGCTATTATTATCAGCAGGGCAAGTAGAATTATAATTACTATAGATATGGGACCATGTTCCGTTCCTATTGGCTCTAGTCATTCTTACTCATCAATGTACGGATAGGGAGATAGGGATCAATTGGATGATTGAAGCTTGGCCGACAATGGGAGGTGTTATGTATATTCTTCCATCAAAATGGATATGACTTCATGTCGAGAGGTGCCTAGCTCGCTAGGTGGTGCATCAGGGAGCACACCTTATTGTTCAACATCTACCTCAATACCTCCATTACGCGAGTGTATACCGAGCTTCCAACTTGGAACCATGGACCTAGAGTATGTCCTCCAGGGCTCAGTACCTATATCCATGATGAGTTCTAGATAGCATCACGTCCAGGGCTGCACTTCCCGACCACGTGACGATCATCCTAGTCATTTCCTCGTAATTTCCAATCTGGGCGGCGATAATACCGAATACATTTCCTCGTTTCTTAGATGCTTCGTCTCCCTGCTCAGGTTCTCGCATAATCTCACCCAAAGCAGCCCTAGGCTGGGATTCGCTTAGGTCCAGTCAAATGCCACTAACTGTAAGTGTGCTACAGGTACCCCTGGAGATTATTGCATAGGGTATTCACCCTTTGGTTTTAGGAGTAATCACTATTACATTGATCACTCGGCAGGGATTAGTTCGCCGGCGATCTGCAGGGCCTCCGATCCAGTCGTCTTCGGTCAAGAATCGAATCTCCCGAAACGAGCTCCACTTCTGCCCACCTTCCTCCTCTCCTGCAACCATCGACCCATCGACCCATCGACCCATCGACCTCTCCTTGTCTCCTTTCCTCTTCCGCTAAACCCCCGAGTCCGACCTCTCCAGTCCCGCCCCTTGTGGCTCATCCCAGTGGCTGGCTCTCGTATCGGAGGCTGAACTGGCAACTCTCGCTGGAGATGGATTGCGGCCCCAGCCGCCCTGTGCCTGCTCTCTCCTCACGATGACGAGCAGCTCGGGCAACAAGGACTTTCGCGACCAGCTCGGCAAGTTTCGCCTCGAGTCTCCCAATCTCTCGTCTCCCACGGCCACCTCCTTGCCCAAACCATCCCCTCGCTCGTCGTACCATTCCGCTTCCTCGCCCTCATCGCTGCTACAGCAGCAGCCCCCGCCAACGTCCGACTCGGCACCGACGCCCGACGCCACGTCCACCCCGAGCGCGCGCAGCAAACGCGTATCGACGGCATGCGATTTTTGCCGTAAACGCAAGAAGAAGTGTGACTTTCGGTACCCGAATTGCTCGGCCTGCACGCGTGCCGGAGTTCGCTGTACCATCCCCCCGCCCGGCCCCCAGGTCGCGAGTGCTTCGGTGCCCCGAGATCAGCTGGAAACCCTACAAAAACGAGTCCGATGGCTAGAGGAGGTCGTGCGGCGCAAAATGGGCGTCTCCGTGGTCGACCTGGCGACGGGTTCCCCCGTGGACGGCGAGGGAGATCCGGATTGGTGGTATCAGGTCCCCGCGATGATCGCGACCGGCAGTCGCTCATCCGTGAATTCCATGCTGAGCCCCGTGGGGAGCGGCAGCTCCTCGACGACGCCAGGATTGGCAGCCATCTCAGAGTCACCCTCGGGGGTGGGTGTTGAGCTGCCCAACGTGGGCGAGATCCTGCGCGATCAGCTGGAAAATCGCCGTCCGTCCGTGGCGCGGCCATCCGTCGCTCCACGGGTGCTACGCCTGGCCTCACTTGAGGAGGCGGAACGAGTCGCAGGCCAGTACTTTGACAGCATAGGATACCAGTACCCATTCCTCTCCCGGCCGGAGTTCTTCGGCCATCTGCGCCACATCTACACGGGCGGCGTGCCAACCCCAGAGGTCCATAATGCGTACCACATCATCATCGCCACCTCATTGCTGATCGGATCGGCCGAGCCTGCACAAGCCAGCGAGTTTTATCACGCGAGCCAGGAGACTCTCCCGCTCGCGCTTCAGAACGAGGACTTGCCGTCCATTCGGGCCTTGCTCGGGTTGGCCCTGTATACCATGTTTGCAACCACCGGTCCCAGCATCTGGCATGTCTTGGGGGCTACCCTCCGACTCGCGATTAGCATGGGCCTGCACAAAGCTCGGTCATACCCAACGATGATGGAAGAAGAGATGGCCAAGCGTGCCTTTTGGAGCCTATACAACCTGGATCGCCTCATTGCCAGCACGTTGGGACGACCTCTGGGGATTCCAGACGACGATATCAGCGTGGGCCTCCCACGGGAGCTGAATGACGATGGGATGGAAGCACCCGGTGCTAGTACGATGACCATTCCTCTGCAGGTCATCCGCCTGCGACGGATCTTTTCTCGTATCTACCAATACTGTAAGTGTGAGACCTTGCCAGGAAGCTTCTCCTGACCATCATTCTTTTCCACTTGTTCCAGACCTCGTGCTGAACTTGCAATTCCTTCGAATTTAGTGTACAGCAATCTCCCCCAACCATCTCCACAGGAGGTCGCCGCCACGCTAGGTCAATTTCGTCGCGAGGTGGATGACTGGCGCATGGCGGCCCCTGTTTACCCTTCTGCACTCCTCTACTCGACCTCTTACTACGACTATCTGTATTATACTACCTTACTGCTGATGTACCGGCCGAGCCCTCGAAATCCCACTCCGGATGCAACCAGTCTTGTCAGCTGCGGTGATTCCAGTATTCAAGTGATTCGATCCTACTGGGATAGCTACTCCGTGGGCAAGCTGAAATGGATCTGGTTGACGCTGAGCCAGGTCTATTTCGCCGGCATCACCATTTTGTGGTGCTTGGAACAGAATGCCCGTTGTTTGCGCGACTCCCGGCCAGCTCCATGGCATCCCGACGAGCAGATCATGCGTCGGGGCATCCAAGCTGTTGTGGTGCTGCTCGAGCAATTTGGTAAGCGGCGTCCAGGAGTGGACCGACTGGCCGAGACATTCCGCCATCAAAGCACCACAATCTTTAGCCAAATGGCGTATCGACAACAACAACTGGAACAGCAACAGCAGCAGCAACAGCAGCGCCATCATGTACAACCTCTTATGCCACCTCAACCCTCCGTCACTCTCGCCCCTCCACCCCCACCTCCAGTTCCCTTGGCCCCTGTTTTGGATGACGTTTTGCTGGTCGATGGCCGCGGGGCCATGCCCATGGTCGACCCGCAGATGGCAGAGCAACTTTATTATTCATACAACTGGTTTCAGGAGGAGATGGCCAGTTACTATACCCTTTGAGCGCCCTTTCTTGATTTCCATAGATGGATGGGGCTTGCCTGCGTTGGGGACTAGGGGGGACGGGGGAGTTGGCGGTCATGGACTAATCACCTCGGTGTAATTCACATATACACAATTTCTTTTTGCCAGCCATGTCGATTTGTTTGTCATATACCCCTTCAAATGAATGAAACATTGATGAATCACCTATCTTGGTCTTCTTAGATACCTCTTATCCAGTCCTGCTTCCTATAGTTTCCCAGAATCTGACCGGATTTGAACTCCAAAGTCAATACTCCCACAAACGCGATTGCCCATGTGTGTGCCGATGGTTAGAGTAGTTCAAGAAAATGATACCTTCCAGTCGTAGAGATAGGATTTTCGAGGATCATGCACTCGTTATTGGCCGGAGGCTGCCCGCAGGAAACCCCTCCCTACATCCAGTCCCATTTCACAACAACAAACTTCTCTCTTTTACACCTTCGTCATATCAGTGTGCGTTTTCCAATTCTACACCTCCCAGTTGATCTTGCATATTGAAAAGATATCCTTGGTATTCGAATAAGGACCTAGCTTCGAACATTCGCCATGGAGGACTTGGATAAAACCTCAACCCCCGCATCAGGCCTCCCTCTCGCATTTCACGGCACCGCAATTCACTCTCGCAGCTTGACTGAACTCCAGATTCTGGAAAACTGCTTCATTCTGGTCGATAAAACAGGCAAGATCCAAGCACTGCAAGCAGACGTGGAATCCAGTCAAATCAGCTCCATCATCTCGGATCACGGATATGCGCCCGATGTGTTCCCAGTCAAGTATCTTCGTCGAGGCGAATTCTTGTGTCCGGGCTTCGTGGACACCCACAATCATGCCCCTCAGTGGACACAGCGTGGTGTGGGCCGCGGCATATCACTGATCGACTGGTTGAACAAAGTTACGTTCGCCCACGAAGCCAAGTTCGCTGACGCCGAGTATGCCAAGCGCACGTACGCTTCGTGTGTCGAGGGCTTCCTCCAGCAGGGTATTACGACTGCATCCTACTATGGATCTCATCACGGTGAAGCGACGTGTATCTTGGCCGACACCTGCTACGAGAAAGGCCAGCGAGCCTTGGTTGGCAAGTGCAATATGAATCGGAACGCTCCAGACTGGTATCGCGATCCATCCATCTCGGACTCCTTGCGCGAGACACGAGCATTGATCCAGCACGTCCAGGGTCTTGATCCAGAAGCTCGGTTGGTGAAGCCCGTCATCACCCCTCGATTCGCAATTTCGTGCGAATCGGATCTTCTCTCGGGTCTGGGGGCTATTGCTCAGGAATATCCTGACCTGCCGATTCAGACCCATTTCAACGAGGAAAAGCAGGAGATCGAGTTCACCCGCGAACTGTTTCCAAATTTCCACCTAGAAGCCGATCTATACCGGCATTTTGGATTACTTAACGACCGATCTATCTTGGCCCACTGCATCTATCTGGAAGAAAAAGAAATGGAGATGCTACAAGAGCTCCGTTGTGGTGTGGCGCACTGCCCAATTGCCAATACCACCATGCGCGATTTTATGATTGCGCCCATTCGCGAGTACCTTCGCCGCGGGATCAAGGTCGGTCTGGGGACAGACAGTGGCGGTGGGTATTCCTCATCCATGTTGGATGCGATGAAGCAAGCTTTCGTGGTGTCGATCGCCCAAAAGACGCTCACCAACGGACGAGACGAACCATTGTCACTGGCCGAGGGGTTCTACCTCGCGACAATGGGCGGAGCTCAAGTTTGTGGCTTGGAGGATAAGATCGGTAGCTTTGCGGTGGGAAAGGAGTTCGATGCCCTGGAGATACATACTGTCGATCTTGAGCAACGCGGGGTGATGTCGCCCGTCGAAGAGGATGACTCGACTTTCGTCATCTTTGAAAAGTTTCTCATGACGGGCGATGATCGGAACATTGCCAAAGTTTATGTCCAGGGGCGATCGGTGAAAGTATGAGCTATGTTCACCTTGGAGGGCAGCCAGATAATGCTAAATGGAGAGAGGATACAACCGGAGACGAACCGTTTCTCACAGGGAGGCAAAACTCATAGCCCTTGACTTCCAGCTGCCCATCTGGTGAAATCGTGATAAATGCTCAGGATCGCAAGTAATGGATCGCTTAATATGTTTCGCTCTTGAATTCCAGACAAGCACCGAATGCTATGCACAAAATAATGGTCTTACATCAAATGAGAATAAGTGGGAATAAGTTATAATCAACTCCACGTCCCTTTAGCAGGGCCAAAGTAGCCCCGGCTGGGTAGACTTTTGTACGGCGTGCCTTGCCCATCGGCGGTGTTAGAATATACAGTGTTACCCCACCAGTTCAAAGGGCCAGCCGGCAAAGTGATACAGAAGAAAATAATCACTGTAGAGACAGCGACGCCGCAGTCCAGCGCGGCAGATAGGACATAATCTAAACTACTGTTAGAGATGTTTCAACGTAGGTGCGGGGAATGTACGGGGCGTTGCCATACTGTATTTAGACCACCACGCAGGCTTGCGACGTCGTATCAACCCATTGAAGATCATGTTGATCACCCACCAGGAGGAGAAACTGACTCCCGTAGCCGGTGGGACCAGGCTCATCGCTCCAAAGGCAACCGGCCAGGAGACACGGTTCACTGCCTTCCAGCGACGGCCCAGGAGATACGTGATCACGACAACCACCGGGCCAACCAGGAAGAACCACAACAGGTTGCCATAGATCTGACCGGGTGAAAACAATCGGCCCGGTCCAATCGCACCTGAAGAAGGGAGCGTATGAGTATGAAGGTTCAATGACGACCATAATCAGTGGCCGAGATGCGAGGAACAGCTGGATAGAAGAGACAACAAGACGTACCCCAAATAAGCGACGAGGAATACGTGACCCGGCCATGCGGACAAGTAAAGTTACCATCTGCACCCGAGGTGCATACGTCGTCAATTCTCGTAATCATAAACACTGTCACGCCGCACTGAACGATGGCACCGATCAGAGTGGCGCATCCTTGGGCGGCAAAGACGGTTCGTGGTGCAATGTGGAGGTAGTGGGCCAACTTCATGTCAGCGACGAATCTAGAGAGATAATACATCAAATATCAGCACACTGCAAGCAGGCATATCCAAAAGCCGGGACGGGACGTACTCAAGCCCCTGCTGAACAGCGACATAGCCATAGAATTTAAAAACCATGTTCGCGAGCGGTTTGCCAAGAAAGGCGTATCCGCCAATGAATTCAGACATCAGATTCAGCTGATTGCTACTGATGTTTGTCAAAGCCTTGATGACTCCAACAGGGACAAAGTAGATGGTTGGCAGCAAAAATGCCACCAGGACAGCCCAGGCGGGTAGTCCTGTTTGCCACACTTCATTCGTCACCACGCTGAGCACAAACATTGACAGCGTCACTGCGGCGAACCACCACCAAGGCACATTGGGATACACAGACATGAGGCGCGCATGCACATCTTGCTTGTTGGTGCCTTTCCACTGTTCCCACAAATCTCGACCATGATAGAGCCCGATATGAAAGAAGATACCCGTGAGATTGGCGAAAGCGACGCCAAAGGTAATAGCATACCCAGCGGGCAGAAACATGGGCGAGTAGTCTCGATAGGCAGTCTGATCGACGGAACCATCGGGGGCCATAATGCGCGACGTGTCGTACATGTTGCCGGTATTGTCAAAGGTGTTCGAGTTGAGCAAGGGAAGATAGGCTGAATACCAGGTGTTGGTATAGTACACGATGGGACAGATGAGCCAGAAGAAGAGCGCAAATGATCCCATGACATTCAAGCCGGCCCAGAACGGAACCAAGAGTGGGCTTTGATTGGCATAAACCACCTGGGCCCAGTCAAAGGTCAACACCGACATGCCCAGTCCGGTGACCTGCCCGAATAATTGGTTGACCACGACATTGGAAGGGACGATCCAACAGATGAAGCTGAAAGTACTGAGGCCGGTGAACAGATACCCCGGAGCAAAGTACCAGATGGCGCCGACCAGGAATACGACGAGGAAGAAGCGCAGGCGTGTGATGCGCCAGCCATCGGCGATAGAATTCTCTCGCGAATGGAGAGTTGTGAGTAAGGCCGCATTCGACAAGACCTGGGGCCAGATCATCGAGGCTGGGCTGACCAGCCAGCGGGCGGCCATCCCTGCCAATCCAAATCCGAAGAGCTGGGTCGTCACACATAGTAGGATCTCGAACCCGCCGTGCGAGGGCATCTCATAAAACTTGACCACTGCCTCGATGATTTGAGTTGCTGCCGCGGAACCAATGGAGACATTGGCCATGATGGTGATGAGCGCATGTTCCTTGATGTTGAAGTGCCGATCCGGGTTCAAAATCCCTAATGGCATCCATCGTGCCCAGGCGCAGCCCACTGGAAACGCGAGCAGCTGGGCAACCAGGGCACTGATGGTTACGCTGGGCTGGCGCAAGCTAAAGAACTGATTCAATCCACTTCCAATCTGCCGATTCGGAAAGAAGAAGAAAGTTAGTTTGGTTGAAGGATTGCAGGCCAGGCGCCGGAATACAGCGCTAACATACGATAGTAAAGAGCAAGCCAATAGTCCACATGCGGACGGTGTTTACGGGCAACGAGAGGTCATTGATGGGCTGAACGACCGCGCGTACCTCCGGAAAGGGCGAGTCATCGGCATCGCATGACAAGACTTGGTCAGCATCGTGGTCGTGTAAGATAGAGAGATCGTCGTCAGGATGTTTGGCAGAGTCCTATCACCATACAATGGCAGAATTGTATGAGCAAATGGATCCAGATGCGGAGCGAGATCGCCCGCAAGAAAGGCACGGTACAAGGGAGGATGGGCCATCGTGAATGGGGGCAGGGGCTCAATAATGGGACGAGGGGAGGCAGCCACAAGGCTAGGCAGCATTGACCAATAGACGACGGATCAAGTCATATCGTCTGCAAGGATGCGACCCGACCGGGAGCTCGACAAATTGACCATCCCAGTGACGCCAGTGACATCCACTGCGAAAAAGAAGGTTGTCGGCTGGGGCCGCAACCATGTGGTCGACACTCTGAGAGGAGGGACCGCAGTGGCCCACGCCACCGTTGCCAAGATGCGACTAACGATTTCAGGACCAGCGAGTCCTGAAACGAATGGAAATGAGGGGGGTGCAAGTAGATCAAAGAGGGTAAATACGGGCCAAGATATACAGATGCACGGTTCAATGATATCAGGAAATGTGACTGGGGAGTATATATACTTGGGTGGGCATAGGTGGTAGAGATGGGGGGTGGAAGGACCAAAAGTATTGGTTTGCAAAAGAATGTTCGGTTGAACCTTACCTGCACAGGAAACCGCGGACAGTCTATGGACTTGTCGCCAATGGAAGAGAATACGGGAGAATCCCGAGGCTGCTGCTGCTGCTGCTGCTGCTGCTGCTGCTGCTGCTGCTGCTGTCGATGCTGACACTCCAGTCGGCGTGCATCCCTCTGGGTCTCGTTCTCATCCTCGTCCCACTTCATCACGTCGTGGATTCCGGGAGAATCCGGGCTACGACCAACGCTGTCCAGCGGGCAATTGGGCAATATGGGTTGGCCAGATTAAACAGTGACCCACGGCCCCAATCACGACGCTCATCTGCCAGTAGTCGACCACATCGAGGGGTAGGAATAATGAATCGGGCCAAGATCTCTCCAACCTCAAACAACGGATCAGACGCGTCAACCCGATCGGGCGGCCAAGGACCGCACGTTGGAAGGGAGGGGGCGATCGCGGCCGTGGGTGTGGGCTATTTGCGACCCTCTTTAGGCCTGAAAATGTGAAAATGTAGTGAAAGGAAATAGACACTGGGGAATCCACTCGAATCAGGATCTGATGGAGTGGGCTCCAGCTGCAAGAACGGGAGGGGGTGTGGAGGGGCCGGATGAGAGGGAAAAGACAAAAAGACAAATGAGAGTGGAAGTTGAAGAGAAGCGCACCGAAAAGACGATCGTTTCGGACTCGAACGGGGCGGGTTGGCCCGCCCCGCTTGGCATCAAAAACCGCGAAGAGTGACGAGGACCTCCCGCTCAGGCGGTCCAGAGCGCCCTTGTTCGGCCAATCTGGCGGCAAGGGATTATGAACCAAATACTTAAATGGAGAAAAAGGAAAAGAACAGAGAATCTAAGTTCAAAATCCACAGGAAATCGCCAATTGATAAGGTCTGCGCTCCTCCCAACTCTCCCAGCAATACCGCACGAAAGTCGCATCCCAGCTAATGGAGCATGAGAGCCAGACTATTCGACCCCCAAGGATCAATGCTCCCAGAATTTGAATCTGGGGACGATTTCCACCAGTCCACGGAAGTAAATTCTTCCTTTTACTCATCTAGCGATCCAACTGAGAGATCAATTAAGGAGGTGCCGCTCCATCACTGATCGCACGGACGGTCAATCTTGCCGCCATGGGGGAATATAACCAACCTGCCAACGACAGTCCAGTGCCATTTGCCCAGCGCCCAATCATCATTCTCGGTGCCGGCATCATCGGATGTGCCGCGGCACGCCAGCTGCTGCTGCAGGGCTTTGATGTTACCTTGGTTGCTGAATTCCTGCCCGGGGATCAAGATATTCGTTATGCATCGGCCTGGGCGGGGGCTGCCTGGCATGCGGCAGGGGGCATCTCCCCCGATCAGCGCTACCTCCAGGCTGTGACCCATCGCATCCTGCTCAAGATGGCCCTGGAGCCAGAGACAGGAGTCAGTTTAGTTGACGCTCGAGAGTATCTTGAACAACAACCGACCCCTGATTCCGCCCTCTGGGGAAAGACCGTGGTGTCTAGGGTCAGTCCCCTTGCGAATATCAGCTACATATCAGCTGCTCCGGAGACACTCTATTCAGAAATGTCCTCCAAACCTGATCGGTCATTAACTTAATCGTGTATCTAGTTTCGCAACTTGTCTCCGGGGGAATATCCATCAGAATTTGCCTGTGCTTGGGCATATCAGACGCTTGTCACCGATCCCACCCGACACATGCCATATCTGAAGCAACAAATCCTGAAACTAGGCGGCCGTTTCATCCGCCACAAAGTCGACTCCCTGCAGGAGTTGTACGGCATGTTCCCGGACTCAGGAGTCTTCATCAACGCCAGTGGCCTGGGCAGTAAGACCCTGGCAGATGTCCGGGATGACCGTTGTTTTCCCGAACGGGGCCAGAATGTGTTTTTGAGAACTGATCAATGTCGAACTATGTACTTTCGCAATGGGCAAGAGTACACCTACGTGATCCCCCGGCCATATTCCGGGGGTGTGGTATTGGGCGGCGTCAAACAACAAGAGAATCTGTAAGCAGACGCCACTCACCAAGAGTCCGTTATTGATTCATCGATTCATATTCTCATCTCCATTCGTCCCCCAGATCTCCCGATGTTGATTTCGAGATTGCTCGAGACGAAATCGCCCGCGCACACCGATTGGCCCCCGAGATTGTCCCTGCGAACCCACCCGAAAGCGCCATCAGCCACATCATTGGCATTCGCCCATCTCGAAAAGGTGGGTTCCGCCTCGACTCAGAGGTGCATGGATCCCGAACTCTTCTCTCGGCATACGGTTTTGGAGGTGGTGGATATGCGTTTTCTTATGGTGTTGCAGAGGCGCTGGTCCGGATGGTAGAGCAGGCTGAACGCGATAATGTCATTTTGTAGGGGCCGATTCAGCCGGACTCTCTAATAGGCACCACTAATCCCTCACGGTCAATCTCATTGCGTTGTTCAATTCTGCCAGGTTACTTCCAGGGCATATCCGGCTACAGATGGCTAAGATTCAAAGCCGACGAATCAAAATTTTCTATGTGCAGCGCTAAATACAGGTCCCTGTGCCACCAACCCCAATTTTTGGGGGTTCCGACCCTTTTTCACAGATTTACAGTACCAACATAATGAATTCGTGTACTTCATTCTTGGAGCAGAGGGCCATTCATAGATTTGCAAACTTCACGCCAGCCTTTTGAGCAGTGAAAGTTGCAATCAGATCCATCAGGGGCGGGGACAGGGCATCGTAGGTCTCCAGTCCAACGGACTTGAACTTGGCTCGAAGCGCATCCATACCCTTGGGGTTGAAACCCTGCTCAATGATCGAGGACACGAAACCGGCGAATTGGGGCTCCTGCCAGCCCTTTTGGTCGGACAACTCGGCGTGAACAAAGTCTAGCCCACGGAATGGATGCTCCTTCTCGATGCGGCCATACAGATGAACCCCGCAGTCGCGGCAGGAATAGCGCTGGATCACAGCCGAAGGATCGATGATGGTGAGCTTCGACGCGTTGGCCTGAACGCTGAGGTTGTCGCGGGGGATCACGCCGACAATGGAGAACAAGGCCCCGCTGGGCTTCCAGCACTTGCTGCAGCCACAGGCGTGGTTGTGGGCGATGTTGCTTTTCAATGCAACAACGACCTGGTCGGATGGGCAGTGGCAGCTCAGAGTACCACCTGGGAAGTTCGGGTCGCCCCGAGTGATGCCGTTATCGATCAGAGGGTGAAGAGAGGAGGCCATGGTGATGGTAATTGGAATTGAAGCAAGATCAATAGTCCCAAAGTGCTTGGAATTGTCTTCCTTATACAACCATATATAGACAGACCATGGCAGCTGTCTATAGTTCGTCGATCGTGATACCCCCTCATTGTCCGGTTCCCCTCGCGAGGGGGAGATCGGACTCGGAAGGGTATCCCGGGCGAGCCCGGGCGCTTTACCGACGAAGCCGTGATCCTTTGAATCATCTCCATACTGTAGGCCCCTCGAAAGAGATGAATGGTTAATCTTATTCGTCCCCGGGAGTATGAGGGAGATGTCCGAGATACGTTGCGGGGCATGTCTCAAAATGGTAAATGCATCCGCCGACTGGTAGATGAATATCTTCGCCCATCCAAAAAAAGGTGGGGAAGTTCTCCAACTTTCCAAGTGATAGTCATCGCGAGTCCGGCCCAGACAGTTCTCCCCGCAATGGCGTGCGAGACAGATCCAGGTACGGGTGTTCAATTGTTAGCCCGGGATGTCCACCACCTCTGTCGAAATGTACAGAGGAGGGACCTATCTGTGGTGACATCACGGATCAGATCGTGATTGAGCGAGTCCGGGAGATGAAACAAGTAAGATACCGATTGGGGATCGGGGACGACGAGACAGGAGGCTGTCATCGCTAGTCGCTGGTACCCAGGGTCTTCGAGATTTCATGCGTCGGTCTGAAAGTTGGAATCGTCCAAGCTGGTGGGCTGAGGTAAGACAACGATCCGTCACCTCGCGGAAATTTAGTAAGGCCAAGGCATGTTTCAACCTGGACTGGCCTCATCTTTATACAAGACTCATCTGATATCCCCCAAGGTCCTTAGACCGAACAAAAAGCCCAGCCAGCAACAACCTTGGGGGCAAAGGAGCTTCTAAAGAGCGGTCGAAGAGGCTATGATTGGAGAGCCTTGACACCTTGGTAACCAGGCTGCAAGGCTGCAAGGCCGTTATCTTATCTCTCGTCTGTATCTTATCGCGTACTTCCCCGTTTTGCTGCCTTCCTTAAAAAAACAAGGTAAGGCACTTCACGTCTGTTACTTCCAACGGCGCTCCTTGGCGCAGAATAGAACTTTTGCTCCTCAGAAGCTTGTCAAAATTACCCTCAGATCCTAATCCTAATCTTGACGAGAACTACCCTCTCCCAGCCATCTATACCGCACAACTCGCCCAGCGCGCATGGCCGTGACCTGGCTGACGTCATGCCCCCTTCAGATCCAGAGCAACGGGCGGCGTACACCATTCAGGTACGAAATTGAGGATAAACGAATGAACTGGCCTGCTTTAAAGATCGCTGACACCATGGGGCAATAGAGATTTTATCGTGGCTATCGAACTCGACGAGAGCTTGGCGGCTGTGGTGTCGCCGCCTCAACTCGGTGGCTGAATGTAATGATAGAAGTCCCCTTCCACACCTTCCGCTATGTAGTCTCGACAGGCTGACTGATGTATATCGTGGGCATCAGGCCCTCAAGCCTCCTCGCCAAACCCGTGCCGACCCTGATGCCGATATCGAAGATGAAACCGACTCAGTCGACGGCATCAGTCCAGCGCGCAAAAATTGGCAACGAGCCGTCAGCATTGCATTGCAGGCTAGCAGAGATGGAGGATCATCAATCGATCAGGAGGTTCATGGCCATCCAGATGATTCCATAGACTCTCACACTCCCACGGGCCCCCTGACGACGATGGGTCTCGAATACTTTCTTGAAATGGTTGATTCAAAACATCGCCATGGTAGCAACCTACGCGCTTATCACGCCGCTTGGAAGAACTCTCCCTCGAACGAGAACTTCTTCTACTGGCTGGACTACGGTGACGGCAAGGAGATTGAGCTTCCACAATGCACACGCGAACAACTCGAGAAAGATCAAGTCCGCTATCTCTCACCCGAGGAGAGATTCAACTATCTGGTCAATATCGATGAAGCGGGTTTGTTGCGGTGGGCTAAAAATAACGAACTGGTAGACACTGATAACAAGCGCTTCAAGGATAGCGTTCATGGAGTAGTTCCGGTGGATGAAAATTTCCCTTGTTATAGAGATCACTCTGATCGAATTCCTTCCCCAGCATCGGACCCGACATCATCCGGGTCACCATCCCCCTCCATCCTTCCCAGCAGGAAAGACAGCGAAGACCCAACTCCATCCACCAGAGATGACTATGAGCTTAATAAGACTGTCAACAACTTCTCGCGCATTCGTCCTGCGGCCATTTACGACCATTTTGCCGGAAGTCTATCCATCAAGGATGAAATGTGGATCTTTGTGAGTGCTTATGGTCAAAGCCAGGGAAAGTGAAAAATTAATTTTCTAACGCATATCGAATTCAGGTTGCGGACACATCTTTCCGGATCTACATTGGAATCAAGGAGCCGGGGGCCTTCCAGCATAGTTCATTCTTACGAGGAGGCAGAATTTCGGCAGCTGGCCTGATCAAAACGAAGAACGGACAAGTCCGGGGACTGGCACCGTTGAGGTAAGTGTCCTGCTGTACTTCCCTATCTACAGGTTTTAACAAGCACAGTGGTCATTATCGCCCACACCTTGCCAACTTCCGTGCCTTTCACCACTCGCTCCAAGACCGGGGTGTTGATTTGTCGCGAGTATCCATGACCAAGTCATACGCGATTCTAGCGGGCATCGAAGGATACACAACGGCCAAACGCAAGATCAAAAACGTTCATGAGAAATTGGATGAGGCCAAGCAAAAGCTCCATTCCATGCATCTAAACACCGATGAACGGAAGGGTGATGAGAATCCATGATCAACGCTCTGTTGTCACATTTTCTATGACTGGACACCAATCACTGGGCTCCATAATTCCAAGGATGGTCGAAAAGAGACGCAAACTTCAAAAAATTCTCGAACATCCAAGGTGCCACCATCCTCAATGGCCACCGAAAATCATATTTGACCGCCATGTTGAAAACTTTAGCTCTTCACTGTTCTCAGCCATGTCTTATCGAAATTTGGGACGATGCCGATTCATGGCACCCCTACCGGAGCATGCTAGAGAGGCACTTCGTGCGAGCCAAAGTCTTGCTGTATAGCAAAAGGGCCAAAAGTTTCCCCAGATTGGCAGAGGCTCAGATGCGTTTGGTTTAGCGAAGGGCTCTGGCACAAATGACGTGCAGATCGCGAGGTGAATGGAAAGGGTATCCAAATTCCGAGCCCCAGCTTGGGATGGCTGAAGTGCTTCCTCAGGTCGAAGTGGCGATACAATCCGACATCCACCCTCAGAACATCCAATTCTGAACACCCTGTTGCTTCTGCCTCGTCTGTTTAAGTGGTAGCTAGCTGGCGATTAAGTCAGGTTCACACAGCCAAACAATACACTTGGTCCAAACCCGTATTACGTGTCGGAGGTGAAGGAAGATGAACACAAGGATATGAATTGAGTGCACTCCAAAATTCTAAGCGATTTCCATTGATATGTCCCTCGGTATCTACTCTTTCTTCACATCCGAGCCGCCAGCTTTGCCTTGATCTCACGGAGCGGATAGTCATGACGCTTAGTCTTGCTCCTCACGCTCTCGCCGTCTTGGGGAGTGATGTAATGGGCTTCTACCGCAGGGTTGTATCCCAATCCAGAGATCCTCTTCACTTCTTCATTCGACACGGGATGATTCACCTGGCCATCGGCCCGTTTATAAACAGTGACCACCACGGCCCCGCCCAGCCCCAGGTTATGCTGTAAAGCAACATCAGTGTTAGAGACCAGACGATTGTTTGCCCAGCCGCGTAGCTGCCACGTCAGCTCGGCACATTGAGCAACTCCTGTGGCCCCCAGTGGATGGCCTTTAGAAATCAATCCGCCCGATGGGTTGATCACAGGGCCACGTCCACCGTAAGTGATATCGCCCCGACGAACCATCTCGTGTGCTTTTCCAGGCTCCGAGAACCCAAGCGCATCTAGTAGCAGGAGCTCGTTTGTTGAGAAGCAGTCGTGGAGCTCGCACACTTTGATGTCCTTCACTTGCACCCCGGCCTCTTTCAGAGCTAGTCTCGCTGCATCCCGTGACATATTGAATCCAACAAGATCGATGGCGCTTCCAGAGTATACCTCCGGCCCATCAGTCAGCAGTGCCTGGCCAGCTATCAAGATAGCCTGTGATTTGAGGGATGGCCGTGCATCCAGGAAGCGTTGAGATACGATAACAGCTGCGGCAGCACCATCACTAGTGGGCGAACACTGGAGCTTTGTGAGCGGACCATAGACCGGGGTAGAGTTGAGCACTTCGTCCAAGGTGTACGCTTGCTGGAATTGAGCATATGGATTTCTTTGAGAGTGTTCATGTGAGATACGGGCAATCTCTGCGAAGTCCTCGGCTTTGGCACCATACCTAGCTCGGAGTTAGCAAGGCCTGGCTGGTAGTTCTGGAAGGATTCTTGGATCTGCACTGACTTCTGCATATACTCCTGTCCAGCATTTCCAAAGTATTGCGCGTTTCGAGGTGCATCGTGTTTTCCAAAAGTATCCTCCATCAGCTTCGTAGAAGGGCCCAAGGGACTGGGACGATCGTCCCAAACACTCTTGATCGAGCCAGGTCGCATCTGTTCAAAACCGATAACGAGGGCGCAGTCGATGAGTCCACCTTGGATAAGTCGGCGAGCCGTATGAAGACCAGTACTACCAGTAGCACACGCTTGGTTCAGGTTCAAGACGGGGCATCCTGTCATCCCCAGATTGTAGACTATTCTCTGGCCACTAGATGCCGATAACATAGATCAGAAACGACTGGCGCTTAATGCTTCCAAGAGCACAAGGTATAACTCTATTCATACCTGGTTGTATCACCATAGCAATAGCAAGCTATCACTTGTTGCACCTGGTCGTAATTGATTTTCGCGTCTATCAATGCTTTGACGGCAGCTTCATACCCGAGTTCAGGGTACTCCCTGGTCCGGCGCGGCTTGAGGAACTGGGTCAGCCCAACTCCCAGGACGTATGCGTTGTTTGAAGATGTTTGCGACGCCATTCTAACAATCAATTTTCGTTGTGATTAGAGAAGCCCTGCGTGGACAAGATCAGTGAAAGTACCAGGTATATAACTGCGGCGCGTTGTGGTTACCGAAAGGTCCGAGGCACAAAAAGTTATGAATCCCTTGACCCCGCATTTGTCGTCCAGCCGAGCTGCTCCCCAAAAATGTGGATGACCGGGATACATCTGACGCATAATTGGCATGATCGGCATTTTTTTTCAAATCATATAGCCTATATTCTATATTATTACGGCTCCTCTGATTCCGACCGTCTACTTATCTGGATGCCGTCTCCAATTGATCGCTTAACCGTAAGACGGTGGAAGGAACTAAAAATCGTGGCCTTCATAGTGCCTCTTAAATTCCACCGCCAATTCAAAGCCGGTAGTCTTTACCATAGTAAATTTTCGCCCACAGGTGTGGCCGATGATACCCTGCTCCATGCTCCAATTGGGTGCATCCAGGGGCAGGTTGTCTTATTCTTGAATGCTTTAATTGGAGTTGAATCATCGCTTTAGATCTGACGATGGTACAGGCATTACGGATGCATGAAGTTTGGAAGACTGGGTACACGCAATTGGGTCCGGCGATACAACATCCGTACTGTCGAGCTTGAAGGGCTTATAAGAGATAGGTTTCTATTTAAAAAAATGAAACTATGGAGGAGAGGGTCCCCTAACAACAACGTATCGGACCGATCATTACATGGAATTCTTTCTTCTTTCCAGGATTCTTCTTTAAAGGGCCCTGGTATCTACTAACTCTTGCCTTGTATCATACTGTCAATCTTCTTGTGTGAAGTTTTGTTGCAATTGAGTTCTCGTCCGTACTCTACGTACAAGAGGCTGTCACTTGAAGAAAGCCGAAATGATATTCAAGCTCCGAGCTTGCGCGTGTATCGGTCCTTGGTAATGGTTCAAGGCCAGTAGTAGATACCCCGTGCAACATCCTCTCTTAGTTTCTCATTCACACGAATGAAGTCATGACCATGCAACTTGGTGAAATCACGCTGGATCAGTTCGGCAACTATTCCACCAAAAACGATGCTCCCGTCAACATTCAGGTGTGTGTGGTCGGTAGGAATCAAGTTATATGTATAGGCATCCGTCGGTCCAATAGCATTCAGGTAGTCGGTGCTGGCTCGGTTGAGATTGATGAATGCGGCACCGGTGTTATGTGCTGCAGTGATAGTGGCAGCAGTTTGGTTCGCGAGGTCTTGAATGATCATTGGTGTTCCTGTCGAGTTGTCATAATTGCGCCTTGACAAGGGCGTCACAAGAATAGGCGTTGCCCCAGCATTCGCCGCCTCTGTCACGAAGCGCTGTAGGTTCTTGGTATATTCTGCAAGCGAGATGTTTGCAGCTGCCTTTTGGTCATTGTGACCGAATTGTATGGTGACGAATGGCTGGTACTCGTGGCTAACATTCCGGACCGTTGCAAGGACGTTGTCCCAATCGCCCCCAGCTCGAAAGCTGACGGTTGTCGCTCCGTTATGTCCGTAGTTGTGACCAGATGCTCCATTGAACAATGTCGTGTTTAGGAATCCATCTCCCCAGCCTCCTCCATCTGACGATTGCGTTGCTGTGGTGCTGTCGCCTGCTAACACAAAGTAAGGAGGCATTTTAGGCACTGAGGCAGGAAGCGCTTGAACTGGCAGAAGAGTGATGAAAAGCGATAGAAGACCGATCATTGTCTCTACTAGACACACTTGGATATTCAATTGAAAGTGCCTTCAGTTTTGTTATGCATCCTTTTGAAGGTATTTATGCCTGGCGGTCTGCTCTCCCGTTTCAATTAATGAATATATTCACGGCATTTTTGCAGTCCAAAAAAATATGTTCCACCAACAGAATATCAGAACTCGTTACTCTGTGCCAAATTAATTTGATAATTGCGGGGTAAAGAAAAGACTTGCGGCGCACTTGACGCCCAGATCGCGGAGAAGGCAGATCGTTCGCGAAGAGATACCCCGAGATGCAAATTCCACGCTTTTCGTAAATTCTGTATCGGAAGGCTAATTGAATCTTCCTTTTGTCCGGTTTACGAGCTAGCCTGTAGAGCCATAGTCACTGAATATGCTTTGACAGCAAAGTATTTTTGATCGATCCATGGATGTATTGAGAGAACCATTGCCTTCCTGCTCGGATCAATGGAAGCTATATATTTGACGGAAACAGAATGTCTTTGCTGCCAAAAGTTAGAGAAGAGTTGAGATGCGTCACTGTGTATTGGTCTCTTCTTCACTGATAATAGGCTAGTTAACTAGTACAGGGTGGTTCTCTAACGCTCTAGCTGCCTAAAATCTCCAATACAATCTGCGTGTTTGAATAAACTGACCCTCTCGTAGGTTTGAACGCATAACCTGCACTTAACGGGGGGCACATTCTATCACATCACTGGTATCTAGATGCACCGAGACTCATCAAGCAGATAGCATTTATGGTATGAAATGCCTTGACACGGTGTGTAAACTTATATGGCTGTTTGTAGTTCATATCACACATGAAAGGCACATCAGCAATCGAGTCGACAGTGCTCAAGGGAATGATACTTGCTAGGTAATAGCGACATATCAGTACCATTAAATGAGCATATTCGCTTATCTTCAACACATTCCTTAGAACACTTCAAAAAATTTGCAGGGTACGAATTCGAACAGGTGGTGCAGTGCAGTTGAGCCGTGCCTTGATAACCTGGAAACGTGTTTATTTGCGCAAGGAACGTGAGGAATTCACTTTCTGGCTTCAATTTTGTTCTAAAATAAATCATGCTTGAACAAGCTATCTCGAAGCATCGCGACTGTCCTCAACCACCGTTCATTCGCGGGCACAACTAGAGCTACACAGGTCATAAGGAATCCCGCGCCTGGCGATAGAGCCCAGCGAAACCATTATTCTACGCCAGCGGGAGATCTTCAACCGCGATGTGCCACGAAACTCTGTCGATGATGAAAGCAATTCCAATCGGATTACTGCATGGTGATCACAGCACGGAATCGCACGGACCCGGAAATCATTGCATCTATCTATTTGTCAGAGACAATGGTCGGGGGTTTTCTTTTAAGTTCCCGACTTACCGAACGCTTCATTGGCACGATCGAGAGGGAAGGTCTGGACCATGCACTTGATGTTCTCTAATTCAGTGAAACGAAGAGTTTCCTCTGAATCAACTGCATGTCCACTGGGCCATCCATGAACGGAAAGACCTTTGTTGACCTATAGCGAGCGAGAGTTAGGAACCTTGGTGGAATCAAGACCGGGATACAAAAGAGGAGAAAGACCCACCATAAGTGCCGAATCAAGAGGAATCTCACCAGGAACTAAACTCAATTAGCCAACTGAAAATTGACGGGGGCTAAGGAAAGCAAGGTACATACTGGCAAGAATCAGGAGCTTTCCGAGAGGTCCAAGACCTTGCAGCAGCGGAGAAATCGCCTTAGCGTTGGGCGCGGTGGCTACAATCAAAGAAGCGCCTCCCAGCTTCTGAAGCGCGGGTCCAACCTCTTCTTTGCTGGTGTTGATGTACTCATGGGCACCGAGATCTCGTACAAACTTTTCCTTCTGATCGTCACGAGAGATAGCGACGACGCGGTAACCAAACCGGTTCGCGTACTGGATGGCGAGATGGCCGAGACCGCCAAGTCCCTGGATAGCAACTGTAGAGCCAGGTTTGACGGCCATTTGCCGCATTGAGTTGAAGACTGTCAGGCCCGCGCAGAGAATTGGGGCGTATTCCGCGGCTGGGACGTGAGCAGGGACTGCCACGCCCGCCTCGGCGCGGAGAATAACATATTGAGCATCTGTCCAGTCAGCTATCTTTCCGGACCTTGCACAAGTAAGGACGACTTACATCCACCATTCTTTGTCAAGCCATTGATGTCCTGGCTCTCGCACATTTGGTAGTGGCCCTTGCGACACGAACCGCAAGAACCTGTAAAGGTCAGCTTTCCCCTCCACCTCATGCTTTCTTCTGGAATCGAAGACTTGCAAATTGTATAGCGTGTTTAGTGAAACATACCATCGTGGCCTCCGTGCCAGCCTCCACCAATACGATCGCCGACTTTCCAGTCCTTGACACCATCGCCTGTGGCGACCACATTTCCAATAATCTCATGGCCTGGTGTAATCGGGCTGGATTGTTCAGCAAGTCAGCCATCTCCACGGAAAAGCCTCTTCATGCAACGATCGAGGCTGAGGAATAAAGACGATGAGGAACACACAATTTACCACCCATGCCAAACGTCTGGGCAGCGGTGTCGGAGAAGCAGACACCGCACGCCTCGACCTTCACGAGGACCTCACCAGGACCCGGCGGGGTCAACTCGACCTCTTCGATGATGAGTTTCCCACCAGCCTCTTTGAAGGCGGCCCGGGTGTAGTGAGATGGGAAAGACATTGTAGGGGTGTTTAGGAGGTAGGTGCTAAGGTGAGAAGCAAAGAGAGAAGAAACTATGAAGGGGTAGGAGAGTAAGCAAAGTGGGAGTAAGGCGAACAACAAGAGGCTCTTTTAGCCTTTTATACGGGCCAGTCTAGAAAATTGGATGGACGATTCGAGACTCAATGAAGCACGATGACGGCGACGGCGTCTGACGGGACTAATTGCTTCGCTTTGGACAAAAGCTCTCCGGCGCCGCTGATGAAAGTCCAATCAATGCAAATGGTGGCAGTATCAATCGAATCAGCATATGCCATTGCAATGAACAGGAGGATCGCGGAGCGGGGGTTCCGGGAGCATTGGCATTTACTCTATTGGGATCATCACCAAAGGACACTAGACTGGGTGCGGCTAATTCACCTAGTCAAACTTCCTGGTCTGGACTGATTAGAAATCCTCCTGGTCTTGGCCGCAGATCCCGAAGTATACCAGGCCCATCCATCTCGCCACACAGCAGCTCTGATTTGACCCACCGGGGCAATCGGAGATATGTAATAAAGCCGACGTATCTACAATGAATTTTGAGATTGAAACATTATGAAATACTTGTCGCCTGGTTGCAGGAGGCAAAGATGGCAAGAAATCCGTCCAGATGCCTGTGGTCTAGTATCATCATACGGAGAAACGCGATCTCCTGTCTCTTTCTACCCAGAAACCGAGGTACTACGAATATCCTTGGCGCACAACTGGGTTACGGCTACAGAAGAGACTCTGGTCAAGAGTCTTGGCCAAGTCTTCAGCTATCGGGGCTATCCACCTGGCCGAGTTCGGCCCACTGGCGCTCCAGCTCTTGCTTGATCCACGAGGTACGCCAGCCCAGGACTTTCTCTACACAGGATAGAAACTTCAACGAGCCCTGTTGCTCGGTCCAGTGCTTCAGGCAGTACCCAACTAGACAGAAGTTAGTCGAATTTATACATCGCCGGGGACTAGGAAGACCAACATCGATGGAGCAGATGACATGCCATGAAATAGGCATTATGAACACTTTCGTTGGACTGAGACAAGCCAATAACGCTGACAATATGGCTAGCAATGATTCTCTATCAAGGTGAGGTTAGTCACACGGTCCACTACGGCGATACTGATATTGAGTCAATTCATACTTCTGACACCCGCCGCGAGCGTGCCATTTGGTAATCACTCATGGGTCGTGAACACCCCTCAGAAAATGTCAAGAATATACAGACGGCATGATAATACTGCATTCCAACAACTAGACTCTCTGTTAGTGCCCGAGACAGTGACTGGAGATTCATTCCAAGGGGCGCAAACCTGCGGGGGCCGACATCATCCATATTTCAGGAAACGGTCGATTCACAGTCACATCCGCCGGTTGGTATCGGAGTGGCTGCCAGGTGGTTGGTTTCGCGTGGTGCCACTCTTCGACGGCGCGGGCCACTTGGAGTCGTGCATCTTCATCCACGGGCTCCTGGGGCACGTTGCGGCAGATTCGCAGAATATCTGCGCAATGAAAAATCACCATGTTTGCAAATGCAGCATCATCTGTGCGTTGAAACATGGAGGATCGCTCGTAGTTTTGCAGGTCCAGCTGCAACGGCTGATACTGTACCACCGATGCGTAGATGGCCTGTCGCAGAAATTGCCAGCTGACAGCCTCTGCCAGTCCACCCGAAGATGCGGAGCGAGACATCAAGTTGATCAGGCGATTGGATCCTAACAGGTGGAATTGCGGGTCGGTGCTGTTTTCCAGCTCTTCATATATCCGTAACAGGACTACTGTGACCAACAGGTTCTCATCGTAGGTCTGTTCAGGCTGATCTAACGCCGGAATGAGCAAGCCCAAACACTGGTCATGGTATTCCGAAGCCTCCCAGTCGCTCTGGTTGCTGAGAATTGCGTCATGCCGGGCCGCAAGAGCCATCACTGCTTTGAGCAACATGGGGACTTGTAATGCCCGGCGGGGAACGTCGGTGCTAAAATGGCATTGAGGGTCGCAAATGTCCGCCTGGGCGAGTGAATCGCGTCAGAAGCAAGATTTTTTTTTCCATACACAAGAATGCCGACTTACCCATGGAGCAATTCGTTGAATGAAGCTACGCATCAGCGACGCTTCTCGCAGTGATAGGGCAGAAGGTCCATCCGTCGTAGGAGGGGAGTGGTGGTAGCTTGCCATGATCTGCGGCTGCGGTGAAAGCTCATTGGAATGCAATTGCACCAGTCGAGGACTAGCATGGTCCACGTTGGGAATCTCTGAAACTCCATCGACGTGATGCGGATCCCAAGGCGAGTCTGACGATAGAGGTCTCATTGCGGAAACGGTCTGATTCTCTTGAACAGACTCTTCTACGGGCCCATCTGCCTCATCGCAGGCTTCGAGTACAAACGTCACTGAACAGTAGAGAAGTCAGCTTCAGCTTTTTCTCCATTCATCTCTACTCGAAGTGTTATTGATCGAACTTACCAGGCCGGGCCGTATCTACCCAGACTTGATCTTCATTCCATTCTAGGTCGAATCTTGCCGATGTGCCACTGCTCTTCTGGTAAACATGGCGGACTGTTTTGAAGTGGAAGGGCGGGTCGAGCTGGCACACTCGCCCTTGGCGCGCGCAGGGCGCACAGGACGAGGCCCCTGGAGGAATCACACAGCGGATGTGACGATACCGACACCGTTCACAGCCTTTGCCCACTCTCATTTCATGTCCTCAGGTCCTCATGAGGGCAATATTTGGATTCTGTATGTACACTGAGGTATTTTCATCCCCACGCTCTTCTTTCTGGCCCTCGTTGACCCTTTTGGCGTTGGAGTTGGAGTGGAGCTGGAAAGAAGAATCCGGGAAAGTTCAAGCCTGAGGTCCCCCGCATTTGCTGAGTCAGCAGGATTTCTCCACCCCTTCCCGAAATGGAAAGTAACCAGCCTTGTTACGCCATTTCTGTTTCTGTGATCCTTCGACATTTTCGACTCGAAACATTTCTTGTCCTCTTCAGATTAAGGTTATATACAATAATGTGCCAGGACATCTACAATAATGCTTTCTTCTCGCCAAGGTGACGTCAAGATAATCCCAATGCTCGTACTTTCTCTCTCGCCCGAAATCCCCCGCTTGTCCCTTGGCTATCCAATTCTGCTGCGTGCCAATCGGATGCAAAAGTAGAACTGCATCTATCCCGATAACAGGCGTATGGCGAGCGGTTGATACGCTCGACAATGGTCCCTTTCATTCTTAAATGCCCAGTTCAAGATGAAAAAGAAATATTCATTAATATTTCCCAGCGAAAAATCGCTACCAATGATTGATTCCACCCTTCTCTAGCTCGAGGTCTTTACAATCAACACCTGCCCCAACACGCTAAACAGGGCCGATGGGCGGCCGTGAGAGTGAATTGCGGCAATGTTCGTATGCATGGGATCCTAGACTTGATCCAATGGCAGCGATTATGACCCTGCATCAATATCAATAACTCCGCCGACTTAGTCTGTGACAGCCAGTCCGTCGAATGGCAGAGATTTAGAATAAGTTGACTCCGCCCCAGAGCTCTCTGATATAATATTAATGTAGATGTCCCGGATGTTGTTGCCTTGATGCACGACATATACCTGGGCAGGACTTGATCGCCGAGGCCTGTCGCTTGCGCAAATGTTGTTTCTTTTGGTCATTTTTGCCACATTATGGCAGGTAGCAGTAGCTGATTCAAACAACTGTTCGTGAGATATACCGATATAGATGCATTCTATCCCTTTCTCTTGATTATCTAACTGATGCGAGATATACAGGCTCAAGCAATGTCGTTACCTCCAGTCAAAGCGATGCTAACAATCTGGCTAACTGCGACACTCTCCATGGCAGCATCACCATCGCATCCTCTGTCAGTGGGACGATCACGTTAAACAATATTGAGGAGATCAAGGGCTCATTTACTGCAGAAAGGGTATCGGGATTAACTGGCCTCGTCGCGCCTGACCTCGATACCTTCAAAGGCGCCTTGACGTTGCACAGCCTGGGATCCTTGACTAGCTTAACGATGGATGCTTTGTCTGACGTCTCTTCGGGAATTTCTATCACGGGCAACTCGAAACTAAAAGCTCTCACCATGAAGGATCTAGAAAAGGTTGAGGGTCAATTGCAGTTGACAGGGTCATTCAGCAGGTGAGTTTCATGTTTCATGCTATGCCCTGCATGGTGAGACAACAGAACTAGCGAACTCAATGCAGTGTCTCACTACCTTCATTAGATGAAGTGAACGGCGAGACAACAATCCGTGGCTCCAAGTCCATGTCTTGCAGCACTCTGAACAGCCTACAGTCTGAAGGTGTTTATCGCGGGGGTTTCTCCTGCATAGCCTCGGGTTCAAGCGGTTCCTCGCTGAGTCCTGGTGCGAAAGGGGGCATTGCAGTCGGCGTCATCTTGGGGGTATTGTTCATTCTATTGATTCCGTGGTATGTACTACGGGCGCGTCGCCATCAGAAAAGCCAAAATATGCCAAAGGCAGCTCCACACTCGCCGTCGATAATAGTGTATAATGAGAAACAAACCGCTCCCCCTAATCAGCCGAGTCTGAAGACTCTACTCCCAAGGAAACCTGTGGGCTCCACCGCTGCGCAACTGGACGGTAGCTCCATCTACGAAGTGCCGATGGTATCGACTCCCGTTCGTGAATACCACGAGTTAGATGCGGGTCCCGTCCTCAGTTCACATCAAAGGCCGATCAATTCTGATGTGTGACAAAGCGAGGCTGAAACCCCATGGATGATTGTATCTCTATTCATGAATCTGCACTCATCGTCATTGTCCACACAGAATTCCCCATGCTAGAGTCTACCTTCTAACGATTTCTTCTAAAGCTACGGAAAGTTTGAATGGTGAATATCTGGCGAATGCGTCGTTGCGCCCTTCTACCAGAGCTTACAGACAACTTCATGTGTGAAAGTACATATTTCATTCATTCATTTTAGGGGAAGTAAGGATAGCCAGAAAATTTAGACAATGACCTTGTGGCCAGCAGGAGCCTCCTCAGGCTCGCCAAAGATGTCGATGTTCCAGCGAGGCTTGTCTGTAGGGCAAATCGGTTAGTAATTCATTCCAAAAAGTCCACCTTCGGACGTGCTGGGGCAATCGGGTGTACACACTGGCAATGTAAGGAGTGTTGTAACGCTTGCGGTCATTGCCCAGAGTGTTGACCTTCTCCACCTCCTCGGCAGTAAGCTCGATCTCCTTGAAGTTGTCGCGAATGCGCGAGGGAGTCACAGACTTGGGGATGACACTGTGATCACCGACCTGGGACCAGGCGAGGATAACGTGAGCTGGGGTGACCTCCTGGCCGGTACGCTTAGAAACAGCCTCGGCGACCTCCTTGATCTCAGGGCGGGTGATTAGGAGAGGGATGTTGAACATGTTGTTACCGAAGGCCTAATAATATGATATGGTTAGCTTTGCGAGAATCTTTTTGCTAGATCCCAGGGTGTCACGCACAGAGTAGGCAGTAACATGGATGCCCTTCTTCTGGCAGTATTCAATCAGGTCGTTGCTCTGCAGGACCGGGTGACGCTCGATCTGGTTGGCAGCGGGCACAACACCGGTAGCGTTGATGATGGCCTCGAGGTGGGGAATGCAGTGGTTGGAGACACCAACGGCGCGGGCCTTGCTCTTGGGGAGCCGGGTCATGGCTATAACGATACACCGTCAAGGTCAGCCGATCCTATCTTGCACCAAAGTCTAGCATCAAGAGTCTACTCACCCTTCCAGGTGTCAACGATGGAAACACCGTCATCAATGATCACATCACCACCCTCAACGGTGCTGCCCTCGACAAGAGGGAAGTAAGACTCGCCCTTCTGGAAAGCGACGGGCCAGTGGACCAGGTAGAGCTTCAATAGCGTCAGCATACTTCCTCCGATGATTGATCAGTTCTTCAGCTGGGCAAGATTCGTACATCCAGGTAGTCGAGCTCAAGCTCAGCAAGGCAGGCATCCAGGGACGCCTCGACAACCTCGGGGCGGTGCTGGCTGTATGGAATTAGAATCATTTCGCAATTTTAACTTCCCATGTGGGAAAAGAGTGTGTATCATCAATTACCTGTTCCACAGCTTGGAGGTCTATGGTCGAGAAAATTCAAGTTAGTACACAAGAACATGGCGACAAGTCCAACTTCTCTTGGAACTACTCACAATGAAGAGGTCCTCACGCTTCAGACCAGGCACATCCTGGAAAGCGCGCTTGATACCGGAGGCAACCTCACGCTGATTTTGGTAGCTAAATCGCGATATCCAAGGTTAGTGTCTTGCATTCTATGTCAATTGCCGAAGGTAATTAGGCGATTCATTGCGGCGGGGAACTGGAAGGGGGTTTCTCGTACATGGTAGCGAGATCCTAGCGATTGTTAACCTTCCTTTCTCTACTTTGTTCTTCAACCTGCATCGAGGACAGGAGAGGAGCTTACCAGGTGGCGGTAACCGGCCTTCAGGGCCTCATAGACAGCTACGCCGACCTGGCCAGGGGCAGACTGCCAGGTGCCAAAGCCCAGTTGGCTGTATGAATGTATTAGTTTCCCCGTTTGTGGTTAACACGGCCATTTGTAGGCAGAGGGGTACGCGATCGTCATGCTGGAACACATACGGGATCTTAGCACCGGTGTTAAGGGCGACCTTCTTGCCGAGAGACATGGTGGACTATGGGGATATCGCAAAGGTGATGGGAGGGCAGGGTAAGTAGAGGAAGTTGAAAAATGAAGCAATGTAGATTATAACGGGGACGCGCCACTTAAATACGTCTTGCGCTCTCACTATAGAATAAAACAAATACTTTCATTAATGACAGCATCCACACCCGCGCAACGTGGATTTCTTTCTCCGGCGGGGTTCATCCCACGCCCGCCTTCGGAGCAGACTCCACCGAGTTTCGCGACTTTGCGAGGGCATCGCGCGGTCAGGGTACTTCCCTGTTGGAGCTGGTCTGGTATGTGTCGATTTGGGATTTCTGCAGGCCTCAATCCTCTCTCACTAGCTGGTCTTTGCCTTGATTTCGACGCTATAGAGTCATAGACAGTGCCATTGACAGGGTCAACCCTCGATCGTTCTCGTTCGGGTTGGACCTTCTCTCCAACTCGCAACCCCAAGAAACCCCTTAATTGAATCGATTCAGTGGCGTGGTTCCCCCACATCTGCTGAGTAATTGGTGATATCATTCTAATTATCCGCGTGTTCTCCGTTTCTGGTCCTTCCGGATATGTGTACCTTTTTTTACCGACCCGCCACTAGTCGCTTTTAGGCAGGTTAGGATGAGGCGTTCCATGGCCGAGACGATGTTTTGTAAGAATGGTTATAAAAGCTTGTGCCTCTGCCCTCTGTACCTTGGGGTACCTTGGGGAACACACTGGAAATGAAATCTCTCATCAATGCAATTCGGGCACCCGATTTGGTCTAGTGAGGGGCATCTTCAGGTTTGGACAATGCATCCACCGATTTTCATTGGCTTTGAATATTGGAGTTGCACAACATCTCCATACTGGTTTCTCAGCAACTGATGATTGCTCCTCCACTTCTCCACTTGAGGCTGGCCCCTCTCGGAGGATCGCCGGTCTGGTCGGCTCGATCGCTCCGACTCTCGCATCTTCTCCGGGCCGAACGGATTCCCTGCTGTCGGTTATATGCATACTCCGTACACGTGTCCAGAATAACTGGGCTCTTGATAATCACTAAATGATGCCGTCTGAGCCGGGCTCAGGGTCTGCGAGGCTGATAAGGTGGGAAGCAATGGGCATCTGGCTACTCCAGACATATACTGTAGTGCCCTAATTCCAAGGACCATAGTTGCGAGTCGCTCCTTTATTTAACCTGGTCTGTTTACCTGCTTTCTACATCCATTGGATTCTCAAAGGAATCGAGTCGAATCAATTAAATCGGGTCATGCATTGAGCTGGACTAAGGCATATATATTGCCAGCTATCTCTAATCATGTAATGGAGCGAGGACTCCCCCAGAGCTTCAACTGACTGCTCTACTGACTCATAAAGACCTTCAACAAAGCTGGGTAGTTAGGAGTTCCCATGCCCGTCACCGGATCCCAACCCGCCGCAGCACTGAATCCATTCGTGCCACAGCCCGCATTGGTACCCTGGGTCACGTCGTAAAAGGCCTCCGGATGGGCGTAGAGCACCGGGTTCACGAATCCCACGGTCGGCTTGCCGGCAGCCAGTCGCTCCTCGTTAATGCGAGTCAGAATTGATGCAAACACAGGAGCCGAGGCCGATGTGCCGCCAATGGAAGTGGGGACCAGCTTGTTGTAAATGACCACATTATCGCCAATAGCTGAGACATCGGGGTAGCCACGGCCAATTCGGTTGTAGATGCCCCCATTCGCGCCAAAGCTGTTGTTGTTGACACTCTCGTAGTATGGGTAGCCCGGATCCGCCTTGGAAAAGTAGTCGGCCACCGCCTGAGCCTGGTAGTCGGGTCGCTCGTAGATGTTGCTGAAACCGCCACCGGAGGGGAAGCGAGTAACGGCCACTTCCTGGTGCGAGCTGGCCGAAGCACCCATTGGGATGACGGTGGCACCGACTGCTGTCAAGTATGGGCATGAAGCAGGGAAATCCGGAGCGAAGACCTTGCCATTCTCGCCCAGGCAGTTGCTGGGTGTGGGATCACCACCGCGACCAGCCACGCCTGAATCACCCGAGGCCACTACAACAGACATACCCTGCATACCCAGCTTCATGAATTCGCTGCATTGGCGTCGCTGGTAGGCAATCGGAAGGTCGGCCTCGGCCGAACCATAGGAGATCGAAAGAACGGTGGGCTTCTTGTAAACGCCACACTGCAGGGGACCCTTGTAACCGCCAGGCTGGGGGTCTGGGTATGGCGGATCCAGAGGGGAGATCTCGCTACAGTACGAGCCATCGATGGAATCCAAGAAAGTGTTCAGGAATCCCTGGAAGGTGTAGTTGTTCTCATACACCATGTCATCGGACTGGAAGAGAATAGAGTTCTGGGGCCAGATGATCGGGTATGAGATTTGGAAGTCCAAGTCAGATTCGGCGCCAGCAGCAACAGCGGAAGTTGGGGCTGCTCCACCGTCAACACCCTGTAGCTTGGGGTGGGTGCCAGTGGGGATGTTGCTTCAATGATGGTCAGTTTCAAATCTGCTTGGTTTGGTAAATACAGATACGTACCTTGAAAAGGTAGCAAAGAAAAGGTCGAGGTCCTCCTGGGCATAGACATCGGCAATGCTTTCGAAGATGGCCAACTCGTTGCCGGGGGTTGCTGAAGTCCCCTTGGGAATGTTGTACATCTCTATCAAGGGTTGTCAGAAGAACCCTCTCTCTTGTCACGCGAAGGATGACCACCGAGCATTGCTTACTCTGGATACAATCGGGAGTCACAGCCAAGTCGCAGAGATCCAACAGACCCAAGCCACCGAGCAGTTCATCCAAGATGCCCTGTGCAATGGGCAAAATACTCACTGGCGTGCCATTGATGCGACGCTTGTCAAGATCACGCTTGTTGGTCCTGGAGACACCAGTCACCTCACGGAGGGCGATGCCAGGAGTGATAAAGTCGATGTGCTCCCGCACCGAATGAGGGACATGGTACCTAATAAAGTGGTTTGAGTCAGCCAATATTATTTGCATGCGCTAAGATATTGTCCAGCTTACTCGCGACAGGCAATGTGTGATCGACCGGTCTCAGCATGAGAGTAAAGATAATACTCCGCGTGCAGCAACTTCTCCAGCTCATCGGCACTGGCGTCGAACTGCAACCATTGTTTATTGACGGAATGGCTGATGCGGTCTACCGCAATGCCGGAAGATTCCAGCCACAATCGCACGTTGTCGACTGTATCCTGACTGGGTGCGAAGAGATCATGCACCTCGGCCTCCGTCATGTGCCTCCCATAGCTGCTAGACGATGGGTTGGAGCTTGAGTATCCATCGAGTCAGTCAAAGCCCCGAAGAACCTCAGTAAAGCGCAGCATACATTTCCATCAGAAGATCATGACCGCGGTCCAGATTCGACTGCGTCAATCCAATTCGCACGGGGAGCGTAGTTGATCCATCCAGCTTCTTGCTCTGGATCCAGGAATCGGGAATATATTCACGACGCTCATGAACTTCGTAGTCGTGGGGGGCAGGCATTGCCATGACGGCAGCCGCAGCTCCGAGGAGCAGCAGCATGGATGACTTCATCATGGCAGGAGAGGAGTTCAAAGACAGGGGAGAGAGACCGGTGTCAAGTCAGTCACTCCATACACAATGGAACAAAGAGTCAATCCTCGAGGTCGAACCATGTATATATATACCTCTCTCCACTGACCTCCCACTCGTGATTCCCTCCTTACTACTCTTTTCGTCAGACCTTATTATTGTTTCCCCCTGTTCCTGGGAGGGGAAAGACCCTACTTTCCAGCGTCAAACGAGCCACAAGCCCAGAAAACATCCAATGAACAGTCTCACAGGGCCACCGAATGCACAGGCTAAGCATGCCATGACCGCGGGTTCTCACTTCATGTGTGGAACGACGATCGGCGTGGCAAGCGGGTCTGGAGCGGGACATTTACTTTGAGCATCTGGGGTTGGTGGATGGGCTGAACTTGGGATAGTTACTGTAGTTAGTTAGTCACCTCCCCAGCTGAGTAAGAACAGTGGTCGATCGGTGATGCTTGGACCTCACGATGAAAGCCGGACGGGAATGAACTTGGCAGATTCGGGGCTAGGAAACTACTGTAGTATCCATTCTTCTTTCCCTCTACTTGGTCTATTTACGCTGCATCGCCCTGGCCGAGCGGCTGTGCGTAAAAGACAAAACGAGAGCCATCAATCTGACTTCGATCTGCTCGGATAAGATTGATGAGGGACCATGTGATGGCTCTTCTTTTGCCTCCTCTATTCTTCGATTCCATCTTCAATTCTAAGTTTGTGGTATGCATTCATCTGTGTCTTCGGATGGCAAACCGTTCGTGTGACCCAACAATTGGCGGAGACTAGCAGACTACTGCGGAGTAGTTTGTTGTTAGTATGGCCCCACGATGCAGAAAGCCGTGCTCGGCGGTATTCTGCCTGCTGTCTCGTGGATCAGATTGGATTTTCGAGAGGAAATTCCGTTGGGAGTAAGCTAGGGACCATCGTGATGCTCCTAGTTATGCTCTCGCTGCGTTGTGGTCCTTTTGGTCTCATATAGGAACAGTAGAGCATGTCTCCCTGGACGTTTACTCCATGTGCAGCCAGGATCTCAAGAGCTAAAAGGGGAAGCTCGTCAACAACCATGGTTAGCCACCTTCAGTCAGTGCTAAGTAGCCCACTAGAACGTGGCCGAGAGGCTTCCAAGTTCCAATTGCCCTCGAGGAGGGTTTCTTTGCCTCGGCAGAAACGAGGAAGTAGAGAACATCCCAAACTACGATTAACAATCCTTCTTGGCGTTGCTATTACTGTATTTACTCTTTCTTCATCACTAAGACACTCGCCAATCAAATAGTCATGTCGTGGCGGAAAAGCAACAGACTACTCTGTACGGTAGCAGTAATAATCAGAGCTCTCCATATCCCACAAGGAGCAGCTCCGAATTCTCAATGCTTGAATGATTATCATTGGCTATGAAATCAACAAGGTTTCCCTGAACTGGCTGACTCTCCACACCAACGGCTCCAAGTGGGGGCCATTGGACTCCATTTGGCAATCCACTGCTCCCATCCTCATCCGCAGGGTTTGGAATCCTTCTGGTCAGGCCAATGAAGATATCCATCACGTTGATCTTGATATAAGATGGAGCCTGATTCCCAGTGCTAATTACGCCATTCCTTACATGCCGTCTCTCAGAAATATGGGGAATGCCGCAGTGGGACATATCCACAGGCACCAGGGGGGAAAAGGGGAGACGCTACAGTACATAAGCGCAGTACCGTACGTACTACGGCGCCGAGCAAGCGGGGATATTCGGTGGAGGGGGTGGACGACGATCCCTTATCTCCTTTTGATTTTTGACTTTCCACACACAGAAAGATTGGCGGGTTGAGCTTGAAGGTAAATGATGAGACCCTTGGGATCTACCGAGGCGCATGTGCTCCGTCGGCGTCCTTTGGCTAGCTGCTGCTGAATAGAACACATTCCTAGCCCGATACAGTAACTATGCTCCGTAGAGACTACAGCGAGACTCGAAACTTGGTTCGGCACTTTTAACTAGGCTCTACTTTCCCCCGCATCACGAAATCCATGCCATTATTTCGGTCATGTGGACTGTTTTGTCTCGATACAAAGGCTGAAATGGGATTCATGTTTACTCAAATAAACAGGGTAGTATAACTGAGATGCTATGCCATATTAGCTAAGAGGCTGCAGTGTTCGCTTATCGACCAGTTCACGCCGCAGGCAGATGCAAGGAGAAGATCAATACCCCTTCGAGATTCGGCATGAGATGATAGGGGATACAAAAATAAGCACCAGTGGCGCCAGGGTCCCCCGTAGTGTCGACTGTCATCAACGTAAACAAAAAGCCAAGGAGCCACCAAGTTAGTCTATCGGCTATCATTATTAGGGACAGCCAGCGACGCTTTCTGTGGCGATCCTGTTCTCTCAGGGCTTGTTCTGAGCACGACGCCCCGTACCCAAGAGAGAGTCCAAGAGAGAGTCCAAGAGAGCCTTGAAGACTTCTCCGCTCCCCCTGCCGAGACTTGGTTTTGTTGATCTTAATCTGATTTTCCCAGGCAAAATGAGGTCGGAAAATCACAGGCCTTTTGGAAAGATTAAAGATTCGATTTGAAGGTGCCAATGGAAAATTGTTCGAACCTCTTCGAAATTGGCTGCATTCGCCATCATCACGCACGAGATATCACAGTCTCATGCATGATGCAGCATGCACGGTCTCGGTGTGGATTGGAGAGATGAAGATTGCACTGACTCCGTGCGATGCGTCCTCTGATCCTGCAGGCGGGGTAGCGCAAGGTGGTGGAGCTCAATTATCGGGGCGAGCTTGCGATCGTGAGGCGACCAGAGACTCGGCATCTTGATCGACAAGCACGAGGTGTGAAATGATTCGACATCAGATCGATAAACTCGAATCAACTTCCGCCAGCTTCAGGTCCGCACCATTTCCACAACATGTCAACCAGCTGTTGACGGTGCAAAGGCTTAGCAATGTAATCATTCATGCCTTTGGCAAGATACGTCTCGGCGTCACCCTTCAAAGCATTCCCAGTCAACGCAATGATGGGCACATCTACTCTCATCTGTCGAATCTGCTCGGTCGCCATCAGGCCATCCATCACCGGCATGTTGATATCCATCAGAATCACATGATACGCCAGCGGCTTTTGCTTGACCATACGCACAGCCTCCGCGCCGTCCCAGGCGGCATCTATTCTCTGGAACCCTAGGGTTGCCAGGAGTTTGATCATGATCGTCTGGTTCACCTTGTTATCTTCGACCAGCAGAATTTGTTTCTGTCCGGCGACCTTATGAAGGAGAGCGGAGGTGTCCACGGTCGTGGATTCTGGAGTCGATGGTTTGATGCTCTTAGGAATTCGGAGGGCGGGCCAGTCGATGCGCCGCATCTTGGCCCGAATCCAAAACACGCTACCCGATCGTTCTGGGTTGGCATGAAATCCGACGGCACCGTCCATCAATTCTGCGAGACTCTTGCATATGGAAAGGCCCAGCCCCGTTCCCTGATAACGACGTGTGGCAGAGTCTGCAAATCGCGTGAAGGGGGTGAAGAGCGTGTTGACGGCGGCCTCGGGTACGCCAATACCAGTGTCTTCAACTTGAACAGACACAATGTACGACTGAGGGTCATTCGGATCAACCGAGCATGATGCTTTAACATGGACGTAACCTTTCTCGGTAAATTTTACTGCGTTGCTCACCAAGTTTTGGACCACCTGCCGGAAACGCAGCGGGTCGCCTTTGATATTTTTGGGGAAATTCGAGGCGATAAAACTCTCCAGAACCACTCCAGGCTTCAGAGCTGGCTGGCAGTTCCGAATGACAGCGTTCACAATATTGGGTGCGTTCAGCACGTCCGTATTTAGAGAAAAAGAGCCGGATGACAATTTCGAGTAGTCCAGTACGTCATTGATGACTTGCAACAACATCGTAGTGGAGTCTTCCAAGATGGACGCATACTCTTGCTGATCATTTGTTAAAGGCGTTCTCATCAACATCGTCAAGGCCAGCATCATTCCGTTCATGGGAGTGCGCAGCTCGTGCGACATGTTCGCCAAAAATTCAGTCTTGAGTTTTGACGACTCTTCGAATGCTTCAATTAGGCGTTCTTCTGCGGCCCTGCGCTCCGTGAGATCGCGGGTCACTTTCACGAACCCTACGTGTCGGCCAAGCTGATAGATGGGTGTGATCATAACGTTTGCCCAAAAGCGAACCCCGTCCTTTCGATAGCGCCAACCCTCGTCTTCCACTTTGCCATCTCGTATACAGAGTTCCAACTCTCGCGCCGGTTTGTTCGCCTGGCAATCTTCGCGCCCGTAAAAGATGGAGAAATGCTTCCCAATGATCTCGTCCGCTGTGTAGCCCTTCAGAATAGCGGCACCGGAATTCCATGTCGCGATGTAGCCCCGAGTGTCTAGCATAAAGATTGCATAGTCCTTCACAGTGTCGACGAGAATCTTATAGGTCTCATTCAGGTAGATTTGTTCGTTAATATTGTGTTTCGGCTGTTCAGCTCCCATGGAGTGCGCTTCGAGCAGGACGTATATCAGGGTCTCGTCTTCAAATATTGGCGTCACTCGGAGAGAAAAGTGCATATTCCGTTGGGCGCGAACAGAATGAATGGCCTGTGGGGTGCGCGTGGTAATGGCAGCGCCCAGCGCGCCACTCAGCGACGCAATGTCTGGCGCCGGAACACTGCGCGGAGATAATTCATAGATGCTTGTATTCAAGAGTTCCTCTCGGCTGCGACTGAATAGAGCTAAATGGCTATCGGATGCTTCAATGATCCGAAGCGAGCCATCGAGCACGATTGTCGGGGTCGGCGTGTGGCGATAAATCCGGCTCATGGGGTCATTGGGCGTGATTGCAGGGGAACTCGACAGCGTCGTGGTAGTAGTCTCACGATCATGCAACGGAGGTCCTGTAACTTTGTCGGGCGTTCTGATCTCAGATTCAGCGGGCGGCGTAACGACCATGGCGAAATTGCCGGGCCGACGATCTTCGAGGTTGAGGTGCAGCATCTGCTGGTCCAGGACCATCTTGTTCCTCACTACCCTGCCACTCGGCAGGGTATGATAGGATCGAAAGGGGACTGGGGGAGAAAGACCATTCAATCATTGAAACCATCCGCTAGATCGGATCCCTGGAAGAAGATTGAAGGTCGAGACAAGATAGCGAAGAAAAGTTCCGAAACCGAATCACAGACTCGGATGGATTGTGGCGCTCCGGTCGCACGATCGCACGATCGCAATAATAAGCATGGAAGAGGGAAAGAAGACGTGGACGTTCAGTGGAAGATGCGGCGTGGGTCAGCCCTGCAGAGGGGCTTTCTGCGATTTAATTTCGGGATTTGCACGATGTGCTCTGCTCTCCACCAGGGAAAGCTTGCAGGTTTGCAAAACCGGGCAGCAGAGAATCGAGGCCGTCAAATACACAGCCAAGTCTGTGGAAGCGATTGGACGGGCGTTTCTACCGGCGGGGGTGGGGGGAAGGCTCGAGCCGCTATTCCGAATCTAGCGTGGGAAGAGCCAGTTTTGATCCAGCGAGAGAGATCTTGGTAAGGAGGGACGAGGTGGCGATGGTGTCAGTTACTTGAATTGCAGCGGATAGCGAAAAGATAAATGGGGGATATATCTGGCCCAGGGGGTATATGACGAGGTAAAGATGTCGAGAGATGGAAGAGATGTGAAAGAGAGAGGAGGATGCCAAGCTTCGAGGACCGGTATATGGCCACGCGATGACGGCATTCAAGTCAGGTGCTTCGAATACATCAACCAGGGCTAGCAAGGGACATCGCCACTTGAAAAGGCTAACTGTTGTGGACAAAGCTCAAATCATTTGATGATGATAGAAAAATAATTAGATATTTAATCAGGATAACTCAGTCTCTTGTTTACGCACCTTGCCAGAATGGAGATTCAGTATGCCTGAGAGGGGCCGACACTGGAGGATTTATGTAGCAAAACAGTAGTATGATATACGAGCCTCACAATTAATAGGCTCCTTATGATGTAAGAATTATGAGCATCGAATCAAGCATAATCAAGGAAAAATCGGGATTTCACCAGGCAGGTATTTTTTTTTCCCTGAAGCCCTGAAGATCTCCGGTTCGATTAACAGTGCCATGTCCTCCAGATGTACGCCATAGAAATGCCAACAATCACTCCATCGGTCCGTGTATTTACGGACCGAGATGCTCTTCTTCGTCAAGCCTTTGCCAGTCATAACGAGCTCTATCTGCCTCCGTCCACCCACAAGTCGACTTTAATAACTCGGCAGTAGCAAAATGGCCATTGCTTTCGGCCAGTTTCACACTCCGGACAAACTGCACTCGACCAGGACCATCAACCTGGGCGCCATGGTTAAGGAGAAGCTGAAGTGTATCAAGGTGACCACGCTCTGCAGCCCCTTCCATGGCTGTCCGCCCAAAGGTGTGCGAGCTTGGGGCATTGACGTCGGCGCCATGGTGCAGAAGACGGCAGACGACTTCAATATGACCTTCGATAGCCGCAAATTGCAATGCAGTGGCCCCCATACTTGTTGCAGCGGGCTGATTCACTTCGGCTCCTTTCTCCAGAAGCAGCATGAGAAGCTCCACATTGCCGTTCTTTGCAGCGATCTGTAAAGGGGTCTTGCCCCCGACGCCAGTTTCGATCTGGTTGATTTTTGCACCCCTCCGAAGAAGAAGTTTCACCATGTCCATATTCCCGGCGTTTACCGCGAGTTGCAGAGGCAGCATCTCGGTGTTCACCCTATTGTGGATGTCAGTTCAGAGACCGGATCGCTACTCGGAGTCCTCCATAAGATGCCCATACTTATCAGACAATGCGGATGTCTCCAACACACCCTGGTTCACACTTGCACCAGCTTCCAACAAATCCGGTACAAGATGATAATTCTTCCAGAATATGGATGCTGTGAGGGCGCGGCTCTTGTCCTCTTCGGACCAAATCCCCAACTCCAGGAGGAGCTGTAGTGTAGAGCGGTCGCCCTTTGAGGCTGCGACATGTAGAACCGACGGCGCAACTTCTTCGGCTTCCAAGTGCCACCAGCCTGAATTTTGATTGGTGACTTCTTCTCCTTCATCTGGAGGATCCGTCATGTATACACGACCTTTTGGATCAATTCCAAATTTGAGGAGGACCCGGACAAGATCAGTTCTTCCCCAAAGAACTGCCATTCCTACCGCAGTGGGCGCCTGGAAAGGAGTCGACAACATTTTAAGAAATTGCCAAACGACACTGTCGTCGTCCGTTAACACTGCTTGCCAGACAATTGCATTGAGTTCATTCTCGCCAGCCTTTGCGCCTCTGTGGATGAGGGTTTGTGCTAGATTCAAATTGCGTCGTGTCAGGGCTGCCTCCAGTGGAGTTTGACATTCGGGTAGCCCCAGATTGTCTAACCAATAGTCGAAACGTTCAAGAAAACCAAGTCTCATCTCGTGTTGATCCACACCACGGCTTAAAAGATACTCTACCAATCCGTCCTCTTGGCCTTTGAGGATGGCACAGGTGAGTATTATTTGACCATTGTTGGACAGGATAGTCGGAAGGAATTTGATCGCCTCCAGACAGCGTGCTGTTTCCATGTCTGGGATGTGTGGAATGCGAAGGTCTTTAGGGGTAACACCTGCAATTTTGAGGAGCTTGATGAGCTTACAATTCCCTTGTGCAATGGCTGCGCCAAGTGCGCTATCTGGGAAATCGTCGTACACATCATCCGGTGGAGCTTCTAAGCTCAGGAGGTCTATTGCAGCTGAAAGATCATTCTGCTTGATTGAACGAAACAGCTTGAAGCTATAGCAGTCTCTCACAGCCGGCCAACCAACAACCGCTCCTGCAGATACCAGGGCAAGATGCAGCTCGAGGTTTTGCTGAGCCAAAGCTCTCTCCACGAGCGTTCTTTGGTCGGCATCTCGTGCCATTAGAAAACTGTCAGCAGCCTGGACAGCGACACCAGTTTTCAAAAGGAATTTGGTTGCCTCTTCCTGACTAAAAGTCACGGCGAGTATGAGAGATCCGATCATATTGTAGGAGAGAGTGCTTTGACCTCTCGCGTTCATAGAAGCATCGAGAAGGATCTGCATCATTGCAATGTCTCCTCTCTTGGAAGCTAGACCAAGCAAATCGGTTTCGAAATCAGGGCAGTCGCTATCCAGATACGTCCGTTGGGCCGCATATATATTCGCACCATGATCGATCAACAGCTTAGCTGCTCCTAACTTGCCTAGGCTTACAGCAAGGCCGAGAGCTGTGAAGGTTGGGCCATTTGCTCTATAGCGTCGAACTCGTGTTTCGAGGTGAGGTCGAGATTTCAAAAGTACACGAAGAAGTTCATCTTCACCAGAATGCTCCCTTGGAATTTGGCCACTGGAATCGGAATGATCTCCCATGGCCTCGATAGCGATTTGGAGTGCAGGCTTCCATTTAAAATCGTTAATGTTGGCATGGAATGACAGTAAAAGGCGAGTCAATTCAATGGAAACCTTTCTGATCTTGACGTCCGCAGCAAACTCCAAGGGCGATACCAGTAACTCCTTGCCAGATTGATACGAGGTGATGGGAAGGTCGGGGCTCACCCCAGCCTGCAACATCATCTCGACGAGCCTCAACTCATGCAGTCGGATTGCAGATTGGAAAATTCTCTCTGAGATAGCATGGGCGGACGGCTGCGCGGTTGATAATAGGCGTTCAAATGAGTTGGCACTAGACAAGCCCGAGAATTCGACAAACTTGAGAACCCGATGATCCTCTTCGGCGAGACATTGCTGTCGATCGGGGCTCTCATTTTGTGTGTGAATAGACAGTTTGTTGGAGAGCAAAAACATGGTGAACCGGAGAATCTGATCCAGGTCATAGTCGGTTACACTGTTGATACAGTCAGAATCGCGGAACACGAGTCAGTAGAGTCTACTTTGGTACCTGCCCTTCACAAGCTCGTGAGGATGTGCGGTCCTCGTTGGTTTTCTTTAAGCCGATAAAGTTGAGGAGGTCCGAGTTCAGAGCATGCATGAGTTCTTGATGTATATGTGGAAACATATGCCCGATAGTGTTCGCCAGTGATGCGGTAACAGTAAGCGTCCCCGAATGGCCCTCTGTATAATGTGAGTTTGGGACGATTGAACAAATTTTCGAATGCTGACCTGAGCTAAGGTATGGCTGGAAGGCATAATTGCGAGAAAATTCCCTCCACGGGAGATTTGCGGTCCATTGCAGTGGCTCCATTTTTGGTTGGGGGGAGCAGACCACCACCCCTGGAGGAGCTTCTGGAGATGTAGCTAGCGTATGTTAGCACTTTGGTGACAACATAAAATTCTAGTGGACATAGAACTACCTTGGCGGAACCTGTCCATTGTTGACTGATATACCTGTCTTCGGATTTCACGTTGAACTTTGCACGGGTCTTGGAGTTCCCCATCGATGAAGACATCAGTTTCTCGTCCTTTTCGTTTCTTGGACTGATGGTCAATGTATATCCATACGTTCCGTCCATGCCGTTTCCTGACGTTCCATTTTCGAAACTGACTCTGATATTGGTTGGCCCTGTGTGGAGTCAGAGACGGCTAACCTTGGTGGCATGGATCGCAATGTGCATCTCTTACGTTTTACGGAAGTTGTACTCGACCCGCATAATTCTCACCAGTTCTTCGAGGGTGATATTCCCTTTGAGATACAGACGCTCAATCTCGGGCCTATGGGCCTCCCAAGCTGCGTCGTCGTCCATCGGTAGGATTGTTGAAAGTGATTTCGTTAACCTGAAACTCCCCTCGCCAGGGGAAGTGGTCGGTTATTAGAAGGCAAAGGGGTGGAAGTCATGGTGACCTCTTCGTTGGGTCTTGGGCTCCACGAAATACGGCTTCGCCTCAAGCCCCATATTATGCGTGACGATTTGAGCTGTCTCCAATCAGGACCAGAGTTGCGATATACTTCAACTCGTTGATTTGCTTCACTGGACAAGGGAATTGTTTGTCACTGAGCGGAGATCCGTATCGGGTACTGATTGGACCGAGACAGAGTCGGCGTGCATATACTTCTTGCGCCTCGTCCCATACGTTTGGCGTTCAGACCGCCCTGCTTAACCCAGGGTATTTCCTCCTCTTCGATTATGACCTCGGACTCTTGTTGACTTGTCTATCCTTCTATTTGAACCCGGGTAAACTCGAACTACTTCTCAAATTGAACGGCGCCTTTTCATGCATTCTCGTGAATAGCCCTCGGTGTCTCTAAAGTACACAGTCACGAATCAGCTGATCCGGCAGCTGCCTGCGTTGATTGGGTTCCTGTTGCGAGAAGTCTTGGTCCGTAAAATATTTTAGCCTTTGCCTGGTCTGGATCTTTCATTAAGTACCTCTTGTCGTCCCACAGCGCAGAATGAACGACCTTCCTAACATGTTGCTCTCTAAGAATTTTCCATCTCCTTCTGAACAAAGCTCCTTTCAATATGGTGTTTGGTTCTCACGACTCCGACCCCGATCGAAATTTGGATGATTCGGCCTTGGGGCTATTTGCATCTCACGACTTCGACTCTGCAGTGCCGTTATTTATGTCGGAAGCAAACAGCGCACGACTTGAGCAGACCGAGTCGATCGCTGATGGTGATTATCCAGTCGGATTTCCTCTCGTGGCAGTAGATGACAATTTTCAAGACTACCCCGATCGAGAGCATAGCTGGGCCAGCTTTGGACTCTCGCTTGATAGGCAATCTGACTGGATTGGCTACTCTCCCGATCCCGATCCACAAATCTGGTGGCCCGAAATGATTCATTCGTCTGATACTGGGGTAGAACCCGTCTTGGAGGAACTCACCCCATGGATCCCTTCATCGGCGTCATCGGCGTCATATTTCTCAGACTCTCCTCATTCATCCGTCGGGTGGTATCATGATACCAGCAGCTCCGGGATCCAGAAAAGGAAAGCCACTCGTGCCATGGAGCCAGTGAATGGGACTATCCCATCTGAATGCATGAGACAAATCAACCTTCTGCCAAGTCCGAGCAATGTAAATGTCCATAAAGATAATCCCGCGCCCGACATCACCATTGGTTATCCTGGGGATCAGACATGTCATTCACAGCCCCAGAGAGACCATTCTGAGTAAGTTTCTATCTTTGAACCGGTCACGTTGAAAAAGAAAATTGGAGTTTCTGATTCATATCTGTAGTTTAGGCCGATATCGTTGTGGCTGGGAGGGTTGCGCATCGTCAGGCAGCTTTCCAACAGAGTCTACATTGTGGCGGCACATTAAATCTACACATGTCAGCCCAAATCAATTCAAATGTCCTGATCCAAGTTGCAGGAAGTCATATGGACGAAGAGATAAAATGAAGACGCACATGCAAATGGTGCACGGCAAGTCTGGGTAGAAAGCGGGGATGGCGGCAGGGCTTAAAGACTAAGAAATAGGATCAGTTTGAAGTGTGATCGATAAGCAGCATAATTGCTCATTGGAGAGGCAATTGTGTTATTTGCGAAGCTGGTAGGTCAATAGCTCCATCTCTCACACATAGTCAATATTCTTTGACAATGTTTAGAGTGCCAGGAAGTCCGCAGCAGGCCTGCCATCTCTCACGAGCTATTTTTGTCGACAGGAAGGTCAGGAGATATTCTCAGTGTCTGTTAAGGATTAAAGATGACTAGTATTAGTGCCCTAAGTTGATCAAGAAATGTACAGTCAATGCTTTGAAAAATAACATAGTCATGTATGCTACGTATGTAAGAGTGATTGCATTTGGAAATCCGAGTTCTCATGGTACGATCAAGTCCCCATAGGCCCAAACTTCAGGCAGGGCCCGACCCTGTCGATCACAATCTCAACCCTGGAAAAGCGGGACATATCCACAACCCTATCGCACCAATCTATCAATCCGGGTTGGAGGCGATGGATGAACAGGCCAATCCAAAACAAATACCCGCACGTAGACAAGGTTTGATGGCCTCTTGATATGACAAAACAAGCATCATATCGACAACAATAGTGGGCCTCGGCCCATCCAGGCTGTATGCATGGACTGGGAGATATTTGCTGTAGCACATTACCAGGTCCTCCTCAGGGGGGCTAGTGGTAATCGCTTCCGTCGGAACTTTATAACAAGTGAGCCCAGATCCCCCTTGGATCGTGGCTGATCGGATGTATTTGGCAGATCACCCGGTAGTTCATTCTCGAGTGCAGCAGAGATACGAGTAATCAACCTGCGAAATGCTTGGTGGGATCCGATTCTACTGCTTGGCGATATTCGCCATCGCCTCTGGTCTGTTCTTTCAACAAGTCAACGGGCAGAGTGTGCCACCAGGGCAATGCGCCACAGGCGTACATGCCATCATGGCCCGTGGACAAGCGGCGACTGGGGAAACGGGATTCGATCCGTTGAATGTCATGATCTCCCTGCAAGATCTCATCCTGAAACAGATTCCTGGCTCGACAAGTCTCGGACTACCTTATCAGTATGGTGCACAGGATAAGTTCGTCGCCGTGCATGATGGAGCGCAGATGCTGCAGAACTACGTGACTAGCTATGTGGCCAGTTGCCCAAAGTCCAGGATTGTCGTCGTGGGGTACTCATTGGTGAGTTAGGGTATTCTTCGTGGTCGAGGAAGACGTTTGAACTTACGACAAATCAGGGAGCTTGTCTCGCAATGGATGCAATTTGTGGAACATCCTCTCTTGGATTAATTCCAGTGACGGCACTTGACAGCAAATACTCCTCCAACGGTATGACTCGAAGCTCAAATTTTACCCAAATTCTAGACGCTAAATAGCATGGGCAGTGATCGGTGTAATCGCATACGGTGACGAGACCTATGTTCCTCTACAGCAATGGAACGTGGGCACTTGCGATATTGGACTTGGGGTAAGTGGCAGGAATCCTTGCTAGAGCTGTTGACCTGTATTGACACTTACTGGTAGCTGTTCCCCCGTCTCGCCCCTTGGACATGTGAGCCTTTTGCTGCATCTATTCACAGTTATTGTGATATTGGCGATAATCAGTGGTTAGTAATAAGACGAACCCTTCCTCGGCCTAAGGCTCTAGTCTAACCACATATTTGTTGCTTCATAGTTGTTCGCCATATCCACTTGATAACAATGCAGCTCATCATGCTTATGTGGCCAAATACGACCAGGACGTGGTGGACTTTATCAAATCACGCTTGTGATTTTCGCGCGGCAGTGACGAGAGTCAAGCGCTGGGCTCATAGGCATCAGTCGAAGGGGGAAGTGGGCGAAACGGCCACTCTCAGATAGCGTATCTACCAAATGGGCTTGGTTAGACCGAAGAAGGGTCACAGCCGTGATCTCGATTGTTTTCCTTCAAACTGAGCTTATCTGTCAAGAAACTCACAAGAGCCTCCCTAAAGATTCGGAACTGAGCTACTGGACGGTGATTATCGTCTCTCCAGTCTCAAGTGCTGTTTTGTTTACACAAGTTCCTATTGATTCCCTGAATCGTTAGCCACTGCACTTTCTTTTCGATGAGTCAACCCATAACTCATGTCTATTCGGTCTTCTTAAGTTGTCAAAATGCTTATATTATTACTGGCGCTCCTGAGAATCCAAGCCACAAAGTAATGACCCATGCGACATTTCCAACCTATTAGTCTGTGTCGCCTTCGCGCTTTCTAAATGCAGGAGACCAGCCTTACGCTCAATCACTTCTGACCCTCACGCGAGCCCTTGCGAACTCCAGGGCTGCCTAGCACCATGCACAAGGCCCTCGGCATTTGAATTTAGTGGGGGTCAGAGTATAGAAGATGGCGCCTATGCAGGTCTTCATCGTTTTCAAGTCACGGTAAACAGATTATTTGCCGTGTGGTTGAAACCTCTGCAAGAATTTGATAATCAGAATTTACTTTCTGGATCTGAAACAGTTTTTGCCCACTACAACCAAATGGCGGTCCTGTTGTGTAGCAGCACTAAGTGCGCCCTAGCGAGTTAGTCAACTTCCCGAAAGAGTCCCCGCAATGACTCGACTTTCCCAAGAACGACAATCTTACCCATTGGATCATCTCATTTCCTGACCCTTGAACCTCTCACCCTTGCCTTTTTACTACTCCTTGAAAATACCGGATAGACAATCTCACCATGGCATATCAAGTCCAATACGCCGAAGAAGGCGACGCACCCGGCCTCGCGCAAATCAACACCCTCAGTTTCGAAGGCCGAGGCCTATTACCGCAACTCTTCCCGGAGGCCACCCAGGATGCCATCCAAGCCTATAAATCCATGTACACGATGAAGCATTTCGCCAATCCCCAGATGCATGTCCTCAAGGTCAACGATCCAAGCAGCGGGGCTACAGTAGGCTATGCTCGATGGCACATTCCCGAATCGCTATCTCCGCGAACGAATGTGCCCGTCTTGAGTGAAAAGGCTCAAGAAGCCGCGCGAGATCCGGTTCAATTTGCGCCCCGCCCGATGAATGAAGCACTCTTCGGAGCATTTAGGACTTTACTAGAGGAATCTCGCAAGAAGTACCTTACGGAGAAAGATATGAGTGAGTGACTCCCTATAACCCTCAATAATCCCCAATCTAGTCGCATTTTGTGTGTTTTGTTGAAGTGATGATTAACTCGGACAGTGCTGGACTTGCTAGCCACTCTACCAACCCATCAAGGGCGCGGAATTGGGTCGACCCTTTTGCGATGGGGGACATCCAAGGCAGATGAATGGCAGGTACGCATTTACTTGGAGGCCACGGGGGAGGGCTATCCGGTATATGTCAAGCATGGATGGAGGCCCGTTGAAGAGGTGCATCTTGATCGGGAGAAGTATGGTGGACAAGGTCGAGAGACATTTATGTTGATGATTCGAGATCCGAAGCCTTTACACTAGTGCGGTGGGGGGAATCAAAGGATTGGAGAGATGATGCTTTCCCTGGCGACTGTTCGTAGATGGTAGAGTGTACATACCATGACCAATGACGACAAATCACATGAAGAATAGTGTATCTATGGCAGGGGACCACCCACACGTATTTTAATATAGTTCTTACAACTGATCAGTTCAGGACATGAGCGTGAGACTGACGCCCAAATTTTTGAAAGTCAAAATCCTCCTCTTTGGGGGCTATAATTCTCTAATGTTCATAGAGAGCGCTATTAAATGCGACTCGCTTCCCGAGATATCATCCTCCAGGATTTCATCAGCCAAGAAAGAAAGAGAGAAAGATTAAAAAGAGGCTTTCTGCTCTGTGGTGCATTCTTCACAAATTATCTCCTCATTGCTGGCCATTCTGGTCGTGTTGACCATCACCGATGCTCGTTCTCTTCCCACCAGTTCATCCTTCTCGCAGGTCAAATGGGCCAAATGCCCACCGAGTTTTGGTGATCTTGGCTCTTGGTTTGACTATGAATCTCTTATGGTACCAATTGACTAAGATAATCCGGATGACGAGAAAGTCCAACTTGCAATGCTACGCCATAATGCGTCAACCCCGGAGCAAGGAATTGGCAGTCTGCTCTTCAACCGCGGTGGAGCAGGCTATAGTTCAGCTCCATATGTTCGAAAAGGCCGTTGACCTATTTGGGTGAGGAAGTTTCGGATCGTTTCGACATTATTGGTCTTGGTCTCCGTGGTATTGGCATAAGTTCTCCCATCAAATGCGATCCCGAATACGAAAACCAGCGTGTATCTCTCTGGCCGTCCAACCAGACAGAACTTGACGCTTTGATCAACAAGTATGCAAACTTCGGAGAGATTTGTCCTAATATGACTGGACCCTTGGTGGAACACATGGATCCGGTCAGCGCTGCCAAGGACATTGAAGCAATCCGCCAGGGATTCGGCGACGAAAAGTTGAACTATCTTGGCCTGTCGTACGGGAACTTGATAGGTCAGACATACGCCGAAAATTTTCCCCAGAACATCCGTACGTTGGTTCTCGATGGAAACATGGACCACAGCACCGATCTTATTTCATACCTTACCGTCAAATCATCCACCTATGAAAGCGAGCTGGTTCGGTTTACGGAGTGACGTGGCGAAAGCAAAGAGTGCCCATTCAATGGGACTTCAGCCGACATTCTCAAGATCTAGGATGATTCGGTTGGGCAAGCAGACAAGACGCCCCTCCCTGCACCTTGATGCAAAGCCAATAGCACCTGTCGAGCAGACGTGACCGGTTCAGAAATCCGAAACAATGTCAACTCGCTGCTCTTCTTCAAGTCTGGGTATTTCTAAACCTGGAAGAAACTCGGTGAAGCCCTGTATGCTGCCACCAAGGGAGATCCATCTGGACTTTCCGACACACTGGCCTTCAGTTCTTCGTCGACATCTTTCCAGGGTCAGCCCGTCAGTCACCTTGACTGGGACCACCCCGAGGCTTCTCTTGTCGGTCTCCAGTACCAGGACGAACTCGCCGGCACCATGTTGCCACATGTCAAGACTGGCGATGATGGATAGATTAAGTGTATAGGATGGCCCTTCCCTGCGGTCAACAAAAGTGCACAGAGCGAATATCACCGGGGCACCGCTCCTGGTTAACTCACAGTTTGATCCATCATGCTCATATACCTGGGCCAATAGACTGCGCGATCAGATCAGGAACAGCACTCTTCTCACGCGGAAGGGTGATGGTCATACCTCATACTTGGTGGTTGGCGAAGCGAGGGCCATTGCAAACAATTACTTTGTCGACTAGACTGTCCCCGCCCGACGACACTATTGTCAACAGTCGATGGGCTTCTCAGCCCTACCTTGAATGTTGTATACTCGGAATGTTAAACAAACTAGAGAAGGTGACCTCGGTGTCCTGGTTCCTGAGTGTTTCCTGTTGGAGAAATAGAAACGGAGTAGTGGAAAATGGCAGAGCAGTGTCTACTATAACTAACAGAGCATGGACTTGTCGGGAGCAATTGCTCTATTGTAGTCAACCTTTTTAGTAGTGATACTCACTAAAGAGACGTTCTTGTATACAGAGCACTACCAAGTCTGTCGTACTTGCTAACGGGGTAGTTCCATGCTGTTGGGTTTGCCTCCCGTTTCCTCCTTCCTACAACTGCCTCATGAGAGTCAGTTGCTTACCTCTGCAAGACTTGATCTGTTACGGTCAAAGAATAGCTACTCTCCTTATCCCACTTGGCTGCGTGAGATACCTGATACCTCCTGAGTGCCTCGGTTTCTCTCGTGTCATCCTTCGGACCTCCTTCTCGGCAAAGACCTCGGCCGCCCGGACGGAGTATATCCGACTGGAGCACGACATCTCCCACTGAGTGACGAATATCGTATAGAGTTGCACGTTATTTATGAATAATTGACTACAGATTGAATTTCTAGCCCTGTATTCAAGCTTTTGCACCGCCGATTCAAGTCACTACTGACTCAACTCCCAGAAACTAACTACCGTCCGACGCTGCTTCTTCCCCACAGGCGGGGTTACACTCTCTCCAGAAGAGGAGACTCTCTACATTAATCCAATCGTCTTACCTCCACCCACTTCTCTCTCTCTCTCTCTCTCTTTTTATTACCAGCTTCATCTCCATCTCTATAGTCGCTTCTTCCTACGATTCCCTCCCACCATGACCTCCAAACCCAAATTCGCCATCCTCGACGACTACCAAGACATTGCCCGCGGGCATTTCGCTCACCTCCAAGACCGCGTCGAGATCACCAGCTTCCCCGAAACCCTCGATCCCCGCAATCCAACACAACGAGATGCCCTCGTCCAACGCCTCCTCCCCTTTGACATCGTCCTCGCCATGCGCGAGCGCACCCCCTTCGCTGCATCAACCATCACCGCCTTACCCAACCTGAAACTTCTCTTGACCACCGGCACCCGGAACCTCGCTCTCGATCTCGACGCGCTAACCCAGCATGGCGTCGCTGTCGCAGGAACCGAGGGAAGACCACCGGGCGTCAACTCCACCGTGCAGCATACGTGGGCGTTGATCCTGGGACTGGCGCGACATATCGCTCGGGACGATGCGGCGGTTAAAGCGGGCGGGTGGCAGGGATCCCTCGGGATGAACCTCTCGGGGAAAACCCTCGGTCTACTCGGACTGGGCAAATTAGGATCGCAGGTGGGCAAGATTGCCGTGCAGGCATTTGGCATGACCGTCCTCGCATGGTCCACCAATTTGACCCAGGACAAAGCCGACGAGCAGGCTCGGGCGCATGGTCTCCCGGCCGGCAGCTTCGCGGTGGCCCCCTCCAAGGCGGATTTCTTCGCGCAGGCGGATATTCTCTCGGTGCACAGCGTTCTCTCCGATCGCAGTCGCGGGATTGTCGCGGCACCTGATCTGGCTCAGATGAAGCCGCAAGCGCTGATCATTAATACCTCGCGTGGCCCGTTGATTGACGAGTCCGCCCTGTTGGAGACGCTACGGGCCGGTCGCATTCGTGGGGCGGCGCTCGATGTGTTTGATCCAGAGCCGTTGCCGTTGGCGAGTCCCTGGCGCACGACGGCGTGGGGTCAGGAGGGGCGGAGTGAGGTGCTGTTATCTCCACATGTGAGTCGTCCATTGGTATTGAGTACAAGTACGAGTATTATTCAGGTTATGGCATGATGCTAATCTCTTTGTAGATGGGGTATGGAGAAGAGGATCTGTTGCATGGATGGTATCGGGAAGTGGCGGAGAATCTGGAGCGATGGTTGAATGGAGAAGCGTTATTGAGGAAGATGAATTGATTGTAAAAATAAATCGAGGATGTATAGTGAGGATGATTATGAAGACTAGGATCAAGATCAATATGACGAGAGTCCGTTTGCATGTGAACGGAGATGCTTTCCGTTTCCAGATTCTCCAGTCAACCGGGAACACGGTTCGTTACATGTGCAACCCGATCGGCCGCTAGAAGATTCCTAGTGCGATCCGCCCGGAGAGCCTAATGAGTTTAGTTTAGTTTCATGGGTTGAGTGATGTTGATCTTGGGTGGGTTCTCCGTAGTCCCTGGACGAGTACTAGTAGTAGTACTCCGTACATCGTACAGGACTACTCCGTCATGGACCTCGTTCCTGGACGGTTTGCCTCGGCCTAGCGGGCGTCCGAGGAGAACCGGGAAAGGACGAGACGCTTGGCTTCGAGATCCTGGACGGGCGACAGTCATATGCTATAATGACAGCTAAAAAAGAAGACTAGCATTTTTGCGGACAGCCGGAAGAATAATATAATCCAACAGGTACAGATTCTCCTCATCCTATGCCCCCCGGTACTCGGTCCCTCTGTCCGGTTAGTATACCCCAGGGGTATACAACGAGTAAACAGTAAACACTGGCAAAGTAAATCAATCTACGTGATGGCCTGAAACTCGACCCCACTGGGTCAAAAGTCAATCGCCCTCGGTTGAAGGGGGAAGAAGAAGAAGATGAAGGAATAGGGCCAGGGCCACGTATAAATGCCATGCCCTCCATCCGTCATCACCAATTGCCCTGTTTCCGTCTACTGCCATAACCTCCCACTCCAACTATCCCCAACTTCCTATACAACTCCTACTTCCTACTTCCTACTTCCTACTTCCTACTTCCTACTTCCTACTCTCCTCCAGACAATGCCTTCTGCAGACCCTATTCCCACCCCGGTCCCCGTCACCGAATCCCTCCCGACTCATCCCGATCGCCTGCGCGTCAATCGCAGCCCCAAAGCCTTTGGCAGCGGCGCCTACTCGCTCGTCGACCTCCCCGCGGGCGCCGTCTTCGCCTCCATCACAGGCACCAGCCCTGGCCGCAAAGCCTACACCAGCGTCCAAACCGGACGCGACACGCACATCGAGCTCAACTCCGACCTAGTCTACTGCAACCACTCCTGTGCCCCCTCCCTAGTCTTCGACATGGCCCGCATGGAAGTGCGCGTCGGGGACGACAAGCCGCTCAAGGTCGGCGATGCCTTGACCTTCTTCTACCCCAGCTCCGAGTGGGAGATGGATCAACCGTTCCAGTGTACCTGCGGGGCTAGTGAATGTCGGGGATGGATCTCGGGGGCGAAGACCATGTCTGCGGACGAATTGGATGGGTATTGGTTGAATGGGCACATTGCCGAGTTGTTGAACGAGCGCAAGTGATGGGAGACGAGGAGAAGAGGAAAAGAATGTTGGTGGGGGGGGGGGATGATGATGGTGCAATGAAGCCGTGGGGGCAGGTCCCTCGACATTGTCTGGAAGAGTCCTATATATACACATTTTTATACCAAAAAGAAGATGGAATAGAAGATGGAATAGAGATAGATACCAGTGGATTCAAATGATACCAGCAGGAATGCTTGATTTCTACTCGACATTCGTAAAATGCCTCTCTAGTTTCAATTGCCGACGCAAAGAACTAGATCTTGTTCATAGGTCCAAATCAATTCAATTCAGAACGAATCACTAAGCTATACAATCTGGAAAATCAAACATGATACAATGCATAATCACTCATAATCATAATCATCCCAAAGTCCACGATACTCTCCTAATTCTTCAAGGCCCGCCACTCGCAACCCCGGCAATCACCATCATCTGAACCATCCGGCGCCGATCAATCTCTTTCTTCAACATGGCCAAACACGTCGCAATCACCACAGACTCGTCAATCTCATGCACCCGGAGTGCCTCCTCATCCATCTGCAAAGTGCCCCCATTCCCCGCAGAACACCGCGATGTCTGCGGTGTCCGAGTCTCCGCGCATCGAGAAAGCTGCGCCAGACGACGCTGCGATGACTGCACTGCCTTATGATCCCCCTTCGAGTGCTCTACCACACTCAGGATGAGCAAATTGACTTTGCGACCATCAGGACGTTTCTCTTTCGCATAAGACCATCGCAGCTCACTTCCCGAGGGGGTAGTAAAGCTGATCGATCGCGAAGTCCAATTCCCCTTGAGCTGTACCACCTCAGGATCCTCACTAGATGTCTGCAACAAATGCAACACGGGATCTCGATTCGGACCGAAAAAGTACTCCGTGCGAATCACATCGCCGAGTTTATAGTTGGACAGCACACTATTGCCGGACCAGAGCCGGTCGCGGGTGGAGACGTATGCCAGTTGGCCGTCGGGATGGGTGATGTCAATTTCGAGTTGGCGGTTTGGAAGAGGAAGCCTGAAACAACCGACGCCTCGGGCGTCGATGAGGAGGGTTTTGTCAGGGTGGAAGGGGGATTGATCGTTGAGTGTACAAAGGGTGCTCGAACTACTTGCGGATAGAGAGGTGCGAGCCTCTTTCTCCGAGTAGATGAGGTCGGATTTGGTGGTCAGTGTAGTAGTAGAAGACATGATGAGATTGAATTTGAAATGGAACTTGGGAACTTGTTCTACACAGCACAGTGATCTCGTTCCCCTTATATACTTGATCAATTCATCCCATCTCAACTTCATGGTTCAACTGCGGATACGAGACTTGCCTAATCGGGACGGACAACCGTTGGATTCTCCTCAGCGGTATGAAGTGCTGACTTGCCGTGAACATCATTCGTCTGACATCTACCCTTGTTGTGTGATTGGTACAATACTCTTTTGCTTTTAGGACTCTTCTCGTATTGAGCCTCGCTTTGTGGCGCAGCCCCGTGCCCGATGACCTCCTGTGACCCAATGACGGTAGTTAAGCCCTTCGATAAAATGTTCCATGACCATCATCGAGCTGTCGCCACATTGTACAGGGCTTTATTAGTGTCCAAAAGCATAACCATAGACATTCTTCGCGCCCTGGTTTGAGTCAACGTCAACACTATACACCACTTCCTTACAATCACTTGAAATGATCCAACGTGTAGTTACGAGTACGGGAGTTGAGATCGGTTTGCTTCTACTCGTCTCAGGGGCCTTGTCCTGGTATCTAGTATTGCAGTGCATCAACTAGCAAATTAATTGGTCCAACCTAATCATTAGACGCTGTTAAATATCCCGAAGTCTTATTGAACTTATCCTAGCTTGGAGTCTAGTGATACTTGGAGTGTTGGGCCATGCATCTCACAAGCCCCCAGCTCGATATTCCTAAACGGATATTGAATCTGATCAAACTCGCTCATGTAGCATATTTCCCAGCCGCCTTATATACAACTGGGCTTGTGGTTTAGTGGTATAATACTCCCTTAGCATGGGAGTGGTCCGGGGTTCGATTCCCCGCGAGTCCAGCTTAACTTTTTGCCTTTTCTCGGGCCCTAGCTAGCATGGGCTAGGGAGTGTTCTTTTTGTCGGGCATTGAGCTTGGTTGCTGAATAGGTGGGAATGAAGCATGTCCCTCGGACAAACCGCAAACTTAGTGTAGTAATGGTTCGTGCAAATAAATCTATGGTATCACGCTTCTCTTTTTGTCTAACACAACAAGGGCATACTAGGCATTCTTTACTTAGGACTCAATTGGTCTCCTTTGGGGAGATCCACACGGAATGAATATAGGATGGACAATTGAAATCCCTTTTTTTACGTGGGATTAAAAATAACTCTTGTGGGAGTGTTACGCTTTATCCCGGGTCGAATTCTCTTATAAACGCGGTTGACCAAGCGCGTTTGCTGGAGAACAGCAGTTTCGCGAATATCTGCTTCACCCTGTCGTGGACTAAGAGATTTCATGTAGATTAGTATGTGGAAATTGTGCTGGACCTATGTTTAAGTTCTGCCAGGGATTCTGAATGACGGGATTGGAAGGTCCGCGACCTAATTCGAAGAAATCTTGTTGGAACCTAGCGGTCCGCAAGTGTACCCGGAGATATATCTTCGTGATGCAAGCTGACATTGCATCTGCTGGCACTAACTCTAGATCCAACAACAATTCTCACTCATCTATGATCTAAATTTATATATATATAGCTGGACGTCTACTATGTACCCTCAGCCTCCGAAATCACACTCTTTTCCAAATCTCCCGACCAGTCAGGACAGTGCTCAGCACCATGGTAAGCCCAATCACCAAGTTTCCCGTGGGCACCCAGCCCAGAAGGGTGATAGGAAGAAACAAGTCGCAGCCATCAACCACAATCTGCCTCACCAAAGCGACAGTCTCGGGGGCGTTAGCCTTCTCATTGGTAACGGGCTTAGCCTTCTCATTCTCAGGCTTAGCGCCGTCCTTCTTCTCGTCCTTTGCTTTGGGTGACGGTTCAGCAGATGCCGAGAAAAGCAAGCCATAGACTGATCCCAGGAGTGAAAAAGATAAAGCATAGAACCAGAAGGTGTTTGCCTCCTTCATGACCCGTCCTTCCCAAGGGACGAGATAAACGTCCATGGCGTGGAGCTGTATTGTAGGCATTAGCCGGGATACGCAAGACAGGGGAAAAAAGGAAAGAAAAACTCGTCTCCAAAATACAGATTCACTTACGATAGTCAAATCCTCAAGCAGAAAGTACAGTCCAAAGCAAGTCCATTTGGCCAGATCGATCCAGCCAGGCACAGAGCCCATCCCACCATTGCTGAGCAACGTAGAAACGCGATGGAAGGACTCGATGAATCCGAAGAAACGGAAGAACCGTCGAGCTAATCGAAGATTGCAGTTAGCATCTACTAACCTCTGTGACCAAGATAGACGACAGCATATAAGACTCCCAGCACGTACTCAGCGCCAATTGCAACTTGGCAGTGGTAAATCGGACTGCGGTACTCCCCACACTAAACACCGCGGCAATCTGTGCCAGGGACTGGATTAGACGGAGTGTCTTCTCCAGTCCGGCGCCAGAACTCAAGAATCGGTTCAAGTGCGCAACCATCTTCAGGCTAACAATATGTACAACGCTGCGAAAGACAAAGGACGAATTGCGAGGGGTTTGTTGAGCTGAAAAAGGGAGACAACGCATCCCGCTGAAGATCCCGATGGATCCATCGGGCATTTGCTTATTCATCCCAGTCACCGCTGGGCGACGGAGGCTACAGTTTCCTCATTCGACTTAGAATGGCCTGTTCTGGATAATTGCATCGATTCTTTCGACAAATACTTATCTTGATTGGCTGGTCACGGTTGAATTTCCTGATCGTAGTGGGCTGGCTTCAATACGCAAGAATGCAGGCATCACTGATGGACAGAATGCTTTATTGTAGGATCTAATGTGCTCTTAGATCTGATCTTGTAGAAACTAGACGAACAAGAACTAGAAAACAACCGTGGATGTGCAAGAACTATGTATATCGATTCATCAGGCCCGCCTATGGAATAAATTGCGTCCAACGCTCAGAATTGCACTCGCTCATCTCACGATTCACTCCATCGAACTACCGTCCCTTGCCACCAGAAATATCCTGACCCAGCCGGTATCCGCCAACCTTCTCCCACTCCACCTTCTGGCGGGTAATGGGCAGCTGTCTCCGCAGCCCCTTGAATGCACCCTCGGCCATGCGCACGAACGCGCGGTTCAATTCCTCCTGGTAGTCGCGCTCCGCGGTAGCAGTGCGGGAGATGATGGACTCGGCGGTGACGGAATTGATGGGGATCTTGACGGGCTTGGTGGTGTTCAGAGCGACGTTGCCGTCTTCGTAGTAGTGTACATCGACGTGGATCTTGCCCGTCACGGTTGTGGACGAGGAGGAGACGGGAACTTGGTAGATGGCACGGAATCGGCCGTTCCTAAGAAACAGATGGAGGGTTTAGCTCATGTTCTCGGGGTGAGCTTCAAAGTCAAGATAGACTCACCAGAAGTTGTTAGGAGAGTATCGGTTCGCGACCAGAAGGATTGCGATGGCAGAGTCGTTCTCGATGGGATAGACACCATACGAGCAGTTAGGGTAGTGCTCCTTAGCATGAATGCCTAGTGACTTGAGCAGCGATTTACTAAGGACCTCGATTAGCGGGAACTGCAGCGGTTTGATCGATGCTCTTCATGCTCACATCAGATCGGCATTCTGTGATTCCAAAGGCGATGACTGCGCATTTGAGGCGATCTTTGCAATGCAAATAGTAAGCTTTCAATGCTATGGTGGTCTTGTCTGGATCCTCCTCGCTCACCTGTGTAGTATGGTCGATCTCGAACGAGGTCTGGCTCTCCGAATCGAAATAGCGGTTGCCCTCCACCTTGTTAAATTCACTGACAATCACCTTCAAAATGACAAGGTTAGTATTCAAGAGGCTCGGGGGTCGCGCGGAACAACATAATCAAGCACGGTCGCACCTCCTGGCTCGAGCCTGGTAGCTTCACCGTAGCGAGCTGGCTCTCATTGTATCGCTCAAAAGCAGGGGCGAGCGAAGAAAGGATATCGCCCTCCTCGGACGTCAGCGCTTGCACATCTATAACCGGACGCGAGGCTCAGCAAGAGAACACGAATGAATCGGGAGAGGCGGGTGTTTGTTGACAGGTAGTTACGGAGGCCAGGACCGTGTCCAGGAGAAGGGAGAGTTCATACCGGCAACGACATCGGCGAGCTATCATCGAAGGAACCCACTGTTAGCTTAGATCGAGGTATTTGAAGGGACACACTGCTTGAGGGGAGGGGCAGCATAGGCAGAGGGGTAATCCGGGGGGAAGGTCTTAGAGTGTGACCTGCATACATACCTCGCCGGGCGGGGCGCCTTCAATGAAGGCAGATGCAAGCTCAATGGTGGAAGCCATACTGCAAAGAGTGGAAGCAGTACAGGGAAATGTTAGAGATGACGATGGAGGGAAGTCCGCAGCTGTTTGGAGTGGAGGACCCAATTGAGCTTGGGGGGCCGGAGACGATCCGCACGTGTTTTGGCCGCGTTGGAGTCTCCGCTCAGCTTGGCGGGAGATTCTCTGGAGTACGTATCCGTACTGTTTTTGATCGCTGTCCATGATTTCCACGTTATGATTTGGTATGATTATTTTTCCAGGTACAGAATGAACAAATTTTCTACTTCTAGACATTATAGTTCATATGATAAATGATGATATTAAGGTATCTCGAAGCTGCAGATTGTGGATCTCATCCCTCTGAACGCCACGCCAAAAAAAACAAAGAGAGGAAGAAGAACCGAATGATAAAAAAGACTTAATAACCCGCAACAAAGCCGTAATATCCCTCATAATTGCGTATTAAGAATGTCATAATGGAGTTCAATGTCCGAATAAGCAGCCCCGGGCTGATCTCTCATTCGATGCTCATGTTCATAAACCCATCGCTGGCTTCGGTCATGCCTTGCAATCCCACGCGTTTCGTGGTGGCAGCGTGAAAGCTGGTTCGATTGCCATTACTAACATTACTAGCATTGCCAGTACCACCAGCGTTGCCGCTGCCGGTACCATTCTCACTAACAGGACGCTCAGAAAATGGTGGCCCTAGCTTGGACGGAGGGCCCCAGATATTGGGTCCGTTGGTATCGACAGTGGAAGAATGGTTCAGCACTGGACTGCTTTGAGCACTCACACTAGGCGAGACAGCTCGCCGTTTGAAGAGATTCGGATCAAAATCATCATCCCGACGTCGCTTGCGACAAATTTCGCCAATCGCAGTCATACCGGGCGCATGTGGGGTGGAAGATCGCGAGCGCTGCTTGGAGTCGGTTGTAGACCCCAGTGTTGTGGAGGGAGTCATATCCATGGCGATATCTTCGTCCGCAGCGAACGGGGCACCACCTTGACGCGTTGGAGGTGGCGTACGATAGCGCCCATCGAGGGAGTTCCAGAATCCCACTCCGCCAGAATGGCGGCTGGCATGCTTGCTGAAGCTGCTGGCCAGAGGGGTTGTTACTTCAGACTTGGCAGCGGTGGCAGTTGGATCGATGTCCGAAGTGTGGACCGGCTGAGATGGTTGGAGCGATGGGAAGGCACTGAGCGTGGGCGATGTCTCGGGCTCAGTATCGCGGACCTGCCGGATGACTTCTGCTTCCCGTTTCATGTCACTGTCGACGGGTGCAACCTCCTCCATCAAAGCGGCCCGAATGCGGGCGAAAGTTTTGGTCTTGGGCTGTACGTGACAGGATCATTAGCATGAAGGGCAACGGAGAAAATGAAAGGCACCCAAAATAGATTTTACTCACCAACAGACTCCCTCGTCGGGTGACTGCACGTCGAATCACACCAAGTGGTCCACCATCGGAGTGCGATACAGCAGTGGGACTGCCTCCCCTCGGGGCACGACTCTCGCCGTCATCACTGAGATCGGATAGTCGGAGATCTCGCGTGCCCAAGCTCAAACTCTCTCGTCGAGAATGAATCGAATGTCTGGGAGCAAAATACCCAGCCGTTGGGTTCTCGACGCTCTTCATAACTGGAGGAGAATGAGGCCCAGGACTAGGCTTGGAGCTGTTCCCACTAGCACTGCTTGAGCTGTGACGGCTACGTCCCTTTCGGAACCGGGCCCGCTGGAAGCTCATCAGGCTGGCTGCAGCTTGGGAGTACCCACCCATCCAGTCGTTCCCAGGACTCTGAATAGTACCCGTTGCAAAAGGGCTGGGTCCGCTACCCATTCGCGCCGCCTGCGGCGTACTGAGCATCACATCATCCCGGTCCCCCATCATGGCATCCTCGTCGTCTTCACTGCTACTCGTGTCGGACTCCATCATGTTCACGCTCGAGACCGAGCTCGAAATCGCTGTTCGGTCTGCGGGGCCAGACGTTGAGAAAGGCGGAACTGAAGTCAGACCAGGCGAACTGCGTCGCTGCGGGATCATCATTTCGCGCCCTCCAACCGTCGGGGAGGAGTCCGGGGACGACTCTGCAAGAGTCGAATGGTGAAGATTTGTGCACGCGCGCGAGAAGTCAAGACCACGAGAGCGCCGTGGAAGCACGGAACCGGGGGACCCATACGTGATTTGGGAGGAGTCAAGCTTGGGGGAGAGAGGAGCACGGCTGAAAATCGAGGGCGACGCGGAGGCCTTTGCGGAGAGGTTCAATGAGAGGTTCGGGTGGTGCAGGTTCGACCTGCTGGGGGTGGCTGGTAGAGATGGAAGTACGCTGTCGTCTTTGCTGGGAGGACGACTCAAGTCTCCCGTGGCGGGTTGAGGGGTGGATGTGGGTTTCGTGGCATCGGATAAGGAGCGCGACTTTGGCGAGCGCGACACAGACTCGCGGTGGGCGAAGGGCGTTTCCGAGTGTGTTTGTGCTTGGGATTGGGATTGGGATTGGGATAGTTGCTGGGTGAGCTTGCTTTCGAACGCGTGGGCGGAGGAGCTGCGCCCAGGCACCGAAGGCCGGACCTGCGCCATTCTCCAGGAACTAATGACGGGCCAATGGCCTCACAAGAGGCATTGTTGGTGGAAATCAAGTCCTGGCACGGTTTCTCAAGGCGAAGTCGTGAAGTTGAACAGGGGAAGCGTTTAAAAGCGGGTGCTTGGGCCTGGCTTGTAGCCGCCGTCCAGTTGGCCCACTAAACCCAAAGCGGACTGGGCCCCCGCACGTTGATCACTTTCATCACATCCAGAAGATGAGGTCGGAGACGATGATAAGAACAAAGAGGTAGAGGAGATAAATAGGAAGATATAGGAGGGAACTAGGGCTTATAGGGACCAACGGACAATGAGGGCACCTCACACCCTGCAATTGGAAGACAAAGGAGAAATATCAATCAGGTTTCATGATACTAATATTCCTTTGCAAACTGTAGACAGGGAACTACCTAAGAAGCTGGGAAGAGCGACATCATTACGAATCATTATATTCAAAGGCCGCAACCACAATGAAGCAGATATCTGGTACCCTAGTTACAGGTCATGCCAAGCTCATCGAGGTGCTGATAGGAGCCACATACTTCTCCCAGTCATTCATCTCCATCTGCGGCGGTTTAAGAAGATCCTGATCACGGGCCTGCCACGCTTGGATGATCACCGCACGAGTCCGAGCAATGTTTGAGATGGTGGAATCGGCCATCGCCGCCAGCGCTTGAAGAACAATCGAGCGCCCGGATACCGGTTGACCATCGGGACCCGACCAGAGCTCATCTCGCGCTGGATCAAGCTCCACGGCGGCAACAAAAACGGGCCACATAACGCTGGCCATGGAGTCGCGTTCAAGCAGATCCGTGACCAGGCGGAGGATCTGATGTACGTAGTCGACCACCACAGCCGTAGTGGGTGAAGCTCCGTAGAGGGCACAGTGCAGATATAGCAATGCAGCGAGTCGTTTGGCTTCCGCCACGGAGGCAAGGATCTCGTCATCCCCGTCTCCAATATCTTGGACTAGATGTTCTAGTTGTTGTTCAAGCGAAGCGGCACGCACGGAGAACATGGTGGATGGATTGCCCGATTCAAGTTGCCGCCTTGCCCGGCTCAGTTCAGTGATAGAGGAAAGGATAGCGACCAGCTCGGGGCTGCAACCCATCCACAAGTCAATCTGCTGATCATCCGTCTTCCAATAGTCACTTCCAAACAACACCGCCTCGCCACAGGCAGTTCGACCCATGACATCTTGAAAGGCAAAGAAATGCTCCGCAAAGGTGGTCACCGGGTGAGCAACCGTGTCAACTCGCTGCCTCCGCAGTCGAATCAGATCTTTGGCGCCCTTGAGATGGATCGTCCAATGCTCATCACACTTGTCAAGGATTTCATAGAGGCAGAGCATCATCATGATGAGCAAAACCTCGGGATCCGTGCAGCAAGTTGCGGATCCCTCGTATGAAAGACGACGGCGGAGATCCCTCAATGTCTCTGATTTCAAGCGGAGTCCAAGTGTACCGTAATTTGGATCCCGTCGGGCCCAGTGACATGCAGCGAGCGATTGAATAGCCTTGAACAGCGTGGGGGACGCTGAAACGCTAAAGGGAAGGATCACAGAGGCAAATGGTGAAGAAAAGGTGGAGCTGGCTGTAGTGCGAGGGCAGACTTGACGGAGATAGTAATCAAACAGTTCTGAATGGCCAATCATCGAGATCCCCGGGAAAAGAGAAGGAGCAGGAGAGGGTCCAGGATTCAGCGCAGTCGCGAGACCACTGATGTTGTGTATGGAATAGAAGCCGTATGCTGGTTGATCAGCTAATGGCTCGCTCGTGGTCATGGTATGATGGTTGATGAAAGGAACAACTACCAATTGTTCATTCAGAGCAATATCTATCTGATCGGGATTTTCAAAGGTTGCCATCCCGCTGTTGATGAAAGCCCAGGGATGAATTGCAGGCAATTGACACCATTGTCGCAAATCATCCACCGAGAATGCAGGAGAAGCCGCATTGGACCCCGAGGCCGACGATGCATCAGTGCGGCTTTTACTCCACACGCCAGCACGGCCAAAGGCCATGCCCCGGCTCACGAATTCAGACTCCCATTTTAGGACAAGGTTGGTCGAGCACGGTAGGCCTTTCTCCAAGCAGCGAGTGCAGACGGGCTTTTTCGTGTCGCATCGCACGCGACTGGCCCGACATTCTAGACAGCCGCTACGAGACCGGGTTTTCACCTGGCCCGCACGGTCGGCGGCTTTTCTGCGTGGCATCCAATGTGTCGTGGAAGGGTTCCTCACATGGTCTGCTTGATGGACCAGTTCCAAGGGTCCATCGAGTGTGAAGGGGAGACTGAAATAAGGAACTAAGCACCACGGAGCAAGCTCTTGACTAGCTTGAACGGTCAACCGCCAGAGAATTCGGGGATTGCGGATTTTGGATTGCGGATTGCCGGGTCTTCGTTTTGCAGTCTGAGAAGCTTTTTCGAGATGGAGGAAAACACGTGCTCCCCGCAAAAATGTCGAAACTGCCAAAAGCCAAAAAGGCGGCGATAAGCGCCGAGTTTATTGCCACCCCGCAAGACACTAGCAGCTAGCTAAAATGCTTATACGGTCGATGAAAGTTGACTGTAGAAAGACTAGCGTTTTTATTTGGAATTTGGCTTATGTATAGACAATGTACATGTTCCAGGCAAAGGACGCGACAATGATCCTCAGGCAGTGCTAGACATGTCCGCAGGCTCCATCTGGTAGCTTTCCTCATGCCCAGACTGCTGGCGTGGAACAAGCGGCCGTGAAACTGCCTGCTCCTCATCCTCAAGCTTGCTGAATCCCTCTAAGCCAGCAAGGTCGGCTTTGTCATAGGGCACGTCACATCGAACTGACCGCAAGGGCGGGTAGTAGCGGCGGTACGAGAACCAGCCGATTAACATCCCTAGACTTGCACCCACCGTCACATCCCATACATCATGCCGGTAATCATCCAGGCGAGAGATGGCAATGAGGGCAGCACAGAGGAGCGGGAAGAATGCCAACAAGCACCGAGCCAGGTCTGTTCGAGGTCGAAAGACATGCATCTGGCCACAGCAGAAGCTATTATTGAACGAGTTAGCCGGTATTGTATCTTGATGGAATGGATCAAAACTCACAGGGACAGATAGCCCAGCCCACTGAAAGCAAAGCTGCTATGACCACTGGGAAAACTGCGCCAGCCTTCCTGCAAAATATGTTGATTGGACTCGGTGCACACTGTCCACGCGACCAAAACATTGTCGGCCGTGCCTCGGGAAGGCTTGCACCGCGAAAGGAGATCTGGGCGAGGTCGACCCACGGCATTTTTAATCAGATCCGTTAAGAAAGAGGTCAGCATCAGGGCTACCAATAGCCCCAGCATCGTGACCTGTGTTTTGTGCACACCGGGTTGTAGCATGGCCGACCAAGCGAGGATGATGAGGAAGGGGATGACACCCGCGTAGATGACAGAGAAGCCTAGGTGTAGAATGAGTATATACTGGACCAGGAAGGGAATATCCGAGGCTGCGCACCAACTGGAACCCGCTCATGGACGGTGAAAGGATATTGAATGCTCTTGTTGTCAAGGGAAAACATGCGATGAAACGGGTTCACGAAGACTTGGATCTACACCAGGAAAATAAGAGTTAGCGAGAAAATCCACCAGATAAGGGAGAAACATCGACTCACTACCAACCATCCCATCGCCAGAAACCCCAATGCAATGTAATCGGCCGCATACGAGCGCTGGTAGAAGCGAGCTGCGGCTCCCACCAGTCCCACGCGGTGCAAGATCGGCTGGGATGGGGATCCCGAGTTGTTTAGAGGCATCCTGCGTAAGAAAAACTCGCGAGGATCCTCCCAAGATTGATCATCCGCCTGTCATTAGGCAGGGTGAGGGTATTCGTCAAGGCTCCCAAGTTAATCAGAAGGGGAGAAGCGTTGAAGCGGCCAAGCGCATTTGTGTCGCAAGCACAGACCCACTTAGCTCCGGCCGCATTCCTCCATCTTCATCTTCACCTTCACCTCCACCTCCACCTTCGCTCGACTTTCAATCTCAATCAATACCTCTGGTCAACCTCGATCCCTCTCGATATTCTCCAATCGTCATCTCTCTGGTAGAGTGGACAAGCATCATGGCTGACGCCAGCGAGCAGCGAGCCGTCGCTACCGCCTTTGCACCCCCGCCGCCTATGTGGAAGCACTTTACACGCGACAACCTCGATAAGCTCGACCAAGTCAAGAAGGAGGCCTCCAAGGACACGGATGGAGCCTATACTGATGAAAAGAAGTGGTCGCCAGCAGAACTACGAGCTTTGGATCTGCCGCCTGAGCTACGCTTCCTGGTGCCGCCCGAGATCCCCACCGGGGAGTACACGGTCTTTGGAGAGCCGCAGACTGTGTGTTCAAGCGTTCAAATGATGTCCTCTGGAACATGAGCCCGCTGACTCTGAATATAATAGCTATCTACAACTCTGCCATCCTTGAAAGATCAAAGCATTGAGCAGCTCTACCCAGAGCCCGCGACAGACGCCGACCAAGCCATCTCAGAGCCCGCCCAACCCCTCAACCATGCCTACTACTTGCTGAAGATTAGCAAGTCCCTCCTCTTGAACTTCCTGGAATTTGTCGGAATACTCTCGGTGTCGCCCGAACAATTCGAGTCCAAGGTGGAGGACCTGCGCAACCTGTTCATCAACGCCCACCATCTGCTCAACCTGTACCGACCTCATCAGGCGCGCGAATCGCTCATTATGATGATGGAAGAACAGTTGAAGCGGACTCGAGAGGAGATCAAGCAGATGGACAAGGTCAAATCAGACATTGAGAGCTTGATGGAGCAACTGGAAGCAGAGGGCGGCGGGGTCAACTCGGCAGAGCGTCTTGAGAGCACCACGGAGTCAAAGACAGCAACAAAACGCTCAGTCGAGGATGCGCAACTGGTGTGGGATCTCCTAGACAAGGTGAATTGAGGAAGCAAAGCTGGTCTTTCCACTCGACCCCAAGCAACCTAATCATGCACGACTCAACCTGGGCACCGAAAGCGGATCCCAGAAAGGAGGCCAACTACGAGAGAGATAATCATATCTACAAGAGCATGGTCATTGAAGCCAGACGAGATAGGCATAGAGCGGCAGCCACCACACCAGGGAGATTTGCACGCCGCTTTCCCAGGGAGGACATTCATTTCACATGGGCGCCGCATGCCTCAGAAATAAGGTCTCATCTCGTGCGAGAACTCTCAGCTTACAAAGCATGTTTCCCTCATATACAGCCTAACCGGACGCTCAATTGCACTCGAAGTTCCTCATGATGAGGAGCAGTTCCCGAACCAGAGTTGGTCTGGTCATGCCTCCCATGCCGCATAGGGCCACGTTGCATCGCAAATGGCATCTCAAGGATATAGATTATAGCTGAAACAGTTGCCTCGGCCATTACAATGATTCTTTCTCTCCGTCTGCCTTCAGTCCTGAATTATTTCTCCAAGACTTCCCCATGAGTATAGATCTACAGTATTTACATATCTCAACTTTGTCATCCCAATTGGGACTAGCGGCTCGACCCGTCTCTCAATCCGAGTCACATGATCCACGTCCTTCTATTCCGAAACTTCCGGCGATCGTCCGCTTCTCCTCCGGAATCTACTCGTCTCCTCGGTATACTTCCAGGATTGTATTCTCGACTGCTAACAATTGGTAAGTACCTCGATTATTCACGACATCATGTTCTTTTGCAACTCCCTATAAGGATGATTGATGCCTTTTTCTTTGTTTCAACCCCATCTGAAAGCACTATTCTTACCTCTTGTGCTCTTTGATGACACCGTGCATCTACAATCTGCGCTTTGCTGATCGCAGCCCAGTCTTGACTGGGATCTGTTGATTACATCGCCTTTATTGCCTTCTATGGACTGTACATGGTCGTCATGCAAGGTGCTAACTCCCGTGTGAAGATTTAGGATTTCAACTGATCGACAACCCTTGATCAGTAATGAGTGCCCGAGATAGCGTAGCTAGAGATAAATGACAAATGGTCTTTTTTTCATCCCAATACTAGTAACAAGATACCAACGGCATTCCTGGGTACCCTAGGACTCTCCTCGGAGACTCCCTAGAAAATAATGATGTACATGGCAGCAAAATATTGTAGTTGAGATTGTCCCAAGTCTATGTACCCCGCATCCCCTTGTATCGTTTCGTCGTGTCCCCTAATTGGAACGCATATCCTCAATCCCTAACGCCATGCACAATACAATATTCCAAAGCCACAAGACTGTGCATTAATAACCCAAAGACAAGCCAGAAAGAAAGATGAATTACCATTCTTAACCCAAATGCGAGCTCGCACTCTGTTCTCGCCATGCCTTGTCAATGGCACACTCGGCCAGCCGTTTAAGCTCAGTGACAAAGTCAGCGACCATCTTCAAGTGTTCGACCTCATTATCGGGCAAATTTCTGGAAAAGACGTGAGCTATCATCACAGTGGCCATTTTCAAGTGGTCCAAATCATCACGCGAGCGTGGATCCAGTGGATTCTGGAGAATACTGCAGAAAATGGTGAGGAGGGCGGACATGGGGTAGAACACCAGCGTCCTGGTCAGAATTAGCCAAAGAAGATCCCACTTGGAAGGAAGAGATAAATAAAAGAGAGTTCTCACCAGAAGACTCCCTCCACCAGCACCTCCTTCGCGGCTCCCAGGTAACAGAGTGTTGACCGGCTGGCTTCCACCGAGAGAGCGAGACTCGAGCTCACTCCGTCCATCATCCCGGTACCCTGCATCCACGCCTTGCACCGACTGCTCGCCTGGTGAATGACGCTCATGCACAGATAGTAATTGACTCGCAACATGACAGAATGCATGCTCATATTCGGGTCGGAGGTCTCTTGCGAGAACGACATGGTCGGGCGCCACTGCGGAGGAATCGATAACCGCCACTCCTCCAACTCGTCATCCAGTTCCCGAATGGACTTCAGCAAATCCGCGTCGGACTTTTGCATCGCGCTCACTGAGTACAAGTGGCTTTGAGTCCGAGACTTGATCATGCTCAGTCGCAAATCAAAAGGGAAGACCGGCTCCAAGAGTTGATTATCATCTTTATCGGGGTCATTGAATGCCCTATCAATATATCCTTCAGGCATGGTCAAGTCGCAATCCTCATCGGCGATGACGGGTGGTTGACCGGTGCGAAGGGAAACGTCCTTATCCAAGGTGTAGCAGATCCAGAAAAGATTGCGAAGATGCTTCTGGCGTTTTAGGCTGCGTTCACTGACCGGAGCTGTCCGGTTATGGTTCAGATTTGCACCTAGCATGAAAATTTGTCGTGCAGCGACTGCTCCCAAATAATTTGTCACTCGCATATTTCCCGAAGCGAGCTCATATAGCGTCTGGTTTGTTAAGGGAATCGTAATTTAGCCTCGTTCACGACATAATGTATTTCTGACAAGGGCAATCGGAGAAAAAGTCTTACCAGCATAGTGACGGCCTGTAACGAGTCCATAGTTGCAGGTTCTTGCAGGACTTGGGATATCATGAATTGGCACTTGCCAGCTAGTGATTCGTGATCAACTGGAGTCTCCTGGGCAAGCACCTTAATGGGAGGCAGGCGGCAGATAAATGCGAGAAAGGCAGTAACACAAGCTCGACTGCTGGTCTGTCGGTATCCTGTGCTCGGTTGTTGATAAGCTGCATGGATGGTCTCTTCGAATAGATCGCAGTCAATGACTGGGAAAATCCGTCGCATTACAGTAGAGCTCTTGTAGGCCTCAAAGTAGAGCCTTACGACATGCCAGTCGGGAGGCTCGAACAAATTCTGACTTGTCAGGCTCATCATTAATTTTTGGTTGGCCTGGGCGCGCTCTTTCTCCCACGGTGCATGCAGGGGACTGAGCTTGTCGTGTGAGATGGTCTGACCGGTGCGAGACTGGATCCAGGCTTGCCCTTCGGGTAGGAGGAATGGTACGCCTGTTAGGAGACTGATCACACCCAGTTCTCGGCCAGCAAAATGCACTCCCACTGAATTTGATAACTGAGGAGGGTTGCTGATAACAGTGCTAGGCGAGCTACTACATGTTGAGTAGTCATAGATGGTCTCTGATAGATCCGGTGGGGCTGTATGAAGTTAGGAAGATAATTCTATAGGGCCATAGCTATAGCCGCAAAGAAAGTACGATTGAGGACGAGAAATAGCTTACTAGGACTTGTATCTCGTATCAAGTTCTCAGCTAGAAGCTGTTCAATGCGACTAATACGCTCCGACAACCGCGATGCTTTAGGCCGACTACAAGGATTGTCAGTCAAACATTCTATCACCGAAGGTATAGCAATAAACCAAGATAGGAGATTGGTACTCACGTTCCATCATTTTCCGTCTTCCGCTTTCGCTGGACGACTCGATCAAAAGTACATGGCAGGTTATGGTGGCTACACCAGTTGCACTGCGGCACGGCGGCATCGCATTTGATCTGGATAGTCAGCCTCGAACATCCCGACTTCAGTATAGACGGAAAGATTTCTCTACCTTGCGTCTATAGCAGGAATCGCAGGCGCGCGCCGTGCGCTTGGGCGCCCCTTCGTCTGATGAATGCATGGAGATCTTTAAAGTGTTCGGAGGCGATCTCTGCGGAAGTGCTGGAAGGCGCTGAGTCAGCGGATATCGTCGATCCGCGGGTTCGTGGCTTTTATGGGCCTTTTTGGGCTTGTGATAGTGGGGTTTGGCTTCTTTTGGGGTCAGTTTTCAATATGGAAGGGATTGTAGGCCATTAGAAATTAGCAATATGGTAGATCAGTCGCCAAACGCGGACGGCAGATGGCTTACGAAGGGATTTGGCTGGTAGACCCTGGACTCGCCAACAATGGGAAGGTATATACTTTACTAAGGAGCTTAGGGCCAACCTTGGTACCTACAACTCTTATCACAGCGAATGAATACAAAAATAGACGTGCAACTATAGCATGACAGTCAAAGGAATGATATCAAAACCCCAAAAAAAAAGTTTACTTTCGCTGTTTCGGACCAAACCTCCCATATGACTCGTCGCTTGTACAACCATCCGTAAGCCTGCCTCCAAACTACCAAACAAAAGACACCAACATGAACACCCAGTCTGCATCCCCAGCCGCTGGGAGAATTCCAATTGGACTTTTCATATCATTTGGCTTCACATGACAGTACAGATACAGCAATCGCACTCCTCATCGCCGCAGTCGCACCCAAAACACGGCTTCGATACACTCTTGATCGGCTTCTTGATAGAACCACCCGAGCTAGACGAGGGCAGAACCCAGTTGATCGGAGATGCGACAGAGGAGATCATCATGATCGTCGTAGTCAGAATGTACACGCTGTGCTCACGAGTAGATAACGGTGAAACAAAGAACCCTGGAACGAGGTCAGCAGGTCATCACTGCGCAAGTACACTATGAATCATGAACCTCGCGATCTGACCTCAGATAAGACGCGGTAAAACGTCGTAGAAGTTTCTTCACCAGTGGGCGCTTAGGGAGTAGCCACGGGTCCGAGTTCAGAGGTAGGGAGAGAGATAATTGGAAACTGTACTTCGTACTGATTTCCACAGTGACAGTAAGCACGGAGGAGTACTGGACTGAATCAGTCCCAACGAGAACCAGGCAGCCATTTATCTGCCCATTTCCTTCCCAAGTTTCCACTTACGCTACTGCGAGTAGGGCCAATCATACTTCCAGAGTGATTGGCGTTGGATCCATGTTTCTTCAGGCCGAATCGTCTATCCCTGATGTTTTGGAGATCCCGCCACACACGTCACAGGGTCCGAGCTGGCAGAACAAGGCCTTGATGGGGGTTTGTTAGTTATACAATAGCGAAGTATTGTACTAGTTGGGCTGCAAATATTACGATCTGGACGGAGCGTGCGTTATCGCTTAGTAGAAGAAATTAATGTGCGACATAACCAATGTGTACAGGTGTGCAAGTATACAGGTACAAAGGCAAACAAGAAACACAATGGTTTGAGAATCATCATCAATCAATTGAACTATGTACAACAACTTTTTTCATCATTCATCGTGGGGAATCACCGTCAAGATGGGGTATCGTCTAGTCATCTTGGGGGTCCAGATCATCCATCTATACCATTACGCGTAGTCCGGCTTAGGGGGGGTCGTCACAAAATATCAATCCGTCATAAGCATCTTTACAGCTGCTCAGCCCAGGGGGCAGCGCCCGGCTGCATCTGGTTCAGCCACTTGACCAGCTCGATGAGCTCCGCGCGACGCTCATCGTCGAGCTGGTCCTCATCGCCAGTTAGAACGGCCTGGAAGACAGGCAGCAGGCGAGGAGTGAGTTCACGGATGGTGGCATCCTCCCATTTGTCTGGATGAAAAAATTATAAAGTCAGTTGAAAGGTCCACTAGAAAAAAAGATCGGAGGAAAAAGGAAGGGAAAGAACATACACATCTGGCAGATCATACGGTACAGGGGGTCGTTCTCCTCAAAGTCGTTCTTCAGAGGCAGAACGTTGACCAGAACCGGCAGGACGTCCTTGGTAGGGATGTGGTCGCGGTGGCGCAGGATCATGCGGGAGACGCAACCGGTAGCGTTGTCCTGCAGACGAGACACGTTCATCTGCAAGCAAGACTCCAGGTGGCTCAGGATGGTAGGGAACTCCTTGACGATCTCGGCATCCGAGTTGGAGCGCTCGACGAGACGGCCAACGGCGTAGGCAGCGTTGGAGCGGGTCTGGGGGTCCTCGTCACCAAGGCGGTGCAGCAGCAGCTTGAGGAACACCGAGGTGAAGGGGGTCACGGCAGCGCCCATACCGTTGATGCACTCAGCAAGAACACCGACGGCGGTGGCGCGCTCCAGAGACTCGGTGCTGCTGGCGTAGCGGAGGATGGTCTTCTCAAAGACCTTCCAGAGCTCAGCGAAGCTCTGGCCGAGAGCGGCAGCCATACCAGAGACGACATCCAGGGCGGTGTCAACCACGACCCAGTCGAACTCGGAAGTCTCCTCACCAGCCTCGATGGTCTCCTCCTCGGGGACGAACTCCATCTGGCAAGGGTGCTGCTTGGTGATGATGTCGGTGACCATCTGGATCACGTTGTGGAGCACGGTCTCGTCCGCGATGAGAGCAGGACCGCAGAAGCGGAGGTTCTCAGCCATGTTGCGGTTGATGTCCGCGACGGTAGCACTAGAAGTCGATCAGTCAGTAAAAATGAATTGTATCGACAACCAAAACAGCAGCAGCAGAAATAAGCCAAGAAGCATTGAAGTAGGTATCAGATAAAGAATCGCCGTTCGCATCAATCACACTCTTTGGTGCGTCAAAGTGAGCTGGGTTAAGCGTAAAAATCATCATGTAAAAGACCAAACCAAAAGCAGACAATACAAAACAATCATATATAACGTACCGGTCATCTTCCTCGGCCCACATCTTGATGGTGGCAGTCATGAGGATCTCGCCAAACTTCTTGACCTCCTTAGCGGGCTGGATCTGAAGAGGCAGACCGGGCTGCCACTTAGGCATCTGACCACTCTCCTCGGCAATGGCGAACAGCATGGCGTAGGAGCGGTGCAGAGTGCTGATGGTGCTCTTGCGGACACCCTCGTAAGGGTGCTCAGCGAGAGGCATCACAGTCTCGATGGTCTTCTCGAAGTAGGGCAGGAAAGAGCTGCGAGTGTGGGTGACCAGGTCACCAATAACCTCGACAGCAATCTCCTTCTCGAGAGACAGAGGGGTAGTAGCAGTGATATCATCCCAAGCATCCTCATCATCCTCGTCGAACTCGACATCCTCGATGTCACCGTCCTCGTCATCATCATCGGGACTGGCAACCTTGACCTTACGGCCAGCAACGATCACCTCCTGACCAATGAGATCCTTGGCGGCCTCGCCGAGATCGAGATCAAGCGCATCCTCGTCCTGCTCAATGCACTCGAACAAACCCTTGACAACGCCGTCCAGGAAAGGAGAGAATTGCTCAGAGTAGACCTTAGCCATGGCACCCCAGAAGATGTAGGTGCTCTCCTTCAGGCGGGAGTGGCCGAGGTGCAGAGCCTCCTCGGTAGCACGCATAAGGGGCTCCACATAAGGCTGGTAACGCTCGGGGCCAGCAGCAGCGGCCATCTCACCCATAGCGTCGGTGACACTGGCACGGAGGTCAAGCTCCTCCTCACTGTCCTTGACAGCGGCGAACTCCTGGAGCAGGTGCATCGACTCGTCGAAGAACGAGAGGAAAGAGTCGCCAGCAGAAGAGGCGAGCGAGCCAAGAGCACCGGCAGCAAGACCCTTGATCTTGAAGTCGGGGTGCTTGAAGAGCTCGTGCAGGATGGGCACAAGCTCAGCCTGGTAAGGCGCAACGTCCTTCTCATCGAGACCGTCAACAACGGCATCAATGGCGCTGATACCGGCCTTCATGATGTCCATAGTGGGACCATCCTCCTCACCCTTGTACTCCTGCATGGCAGTGGCCAGGTTCTTGAAGAGCAGGGGCATGAGGCGCGCGTGCTCAGCGCTGAGGTCCTCAGCAAGGTCGTCGGCCAGGCGAGCAACGGCGTGCAGGGAAGCCTGGCGAACCTTGGGTTCGGGATCGGCAAGGAGCTGGAGAACCAAGGGGGAAGATCTCCTTCATCTGAGTGCTGATGAAGTCAGGAGCGCCCTCAACGCACATACCGAGGGCCATGATACCGGCACGGCGGTAGTTGGGGTCGGTATTGTTAAAGTACTGACCCAGAGTCTGGAGCAGAGGGACAACGACCTGGCTGGGGGGCAGGCTCTGGGCGAGAATGTCGAGCAGACCCAGGGCGGAGCGGGGCGGGGTGATATCGTCGTCATCAGCGGGAGAGTCATCCAGCTCAGTGACAATCTGCAGAGCAGTGCGGGTGAGCTGCTCGCCGAGACGCATTCCCTGGATCTTGAGCTTGCGGTACTGGACGCATTGCATCAGGAAGCTGATGGCTTGGGTACGGACGTCCTCGTCAGCCTGAGTGTTGGCGGCGATCTCGTTCATGAAGATAACCAGATCCTTGAGGTGGACGGTCAGGAGGGCGGGATCCAAGCCAAGCAGGGTCTGGAAGACCTCAAAGGCCTGCATGATGCGGTCCTCCTCGGACTGGTCAATAGCGTCCTTGAGGACCGCGACCATGGAGGGAACCATCTCCTGGAAGGCCTTGACGGGGGCGACATTCTCCTCCGAGTCAAGGTGATAGGCGAGCTTGCTCAGAGCCAGGAGAGTGTTGATGCGGACCTCAGCACTCTCGGGGTCCCGGATGGTCTTATTGAACAAGGTGAACAGGTCCTGGAACTTCTCCTCGAAACCCTCGCCCAGAGTCTCCAGAATGGTGAACAGGATGTAGATGGCAACGGCCCGCTCGTCCTGGTTGCCGCCGTCCGCCGCCTGCAGGAGGATGTTGGGCAGATCCGCCCACTCGCCGTCCTGGAGATCAATCTTGGCAATAGCTGAGATGATCCGGGCGACGGAGTGACGGACAAGAGCAGAGCCCTCGCCCATGGTAGCGCGAAGCAGCTGCTCCCGAACCTGGGGCTTCTGGTCCGCGGCAACCTTCAGCCAGTGCTTCTGGACAAGCCCACGAGCCTCGACGGCGGACAACTGGCGGAGGTTGGGGTCCTCATGGCCAGTAGCAATCTGGATGAGGAGGACAAGAGACTGAGGCTGGCTGTAGAACTCTTTTTGCAAGATGCCGGTGGCTTCCTTGACGTTTCCCTGGGAGGCTGGATGAGAGAAGCAAGGGTTAGCGAGGGGGAATTCATCTTTGCAGGATTGGACGGAATGAGTTTTGTGGTGTTCTCCGGTACGTACGATCCAGGACGATCTGCAATTGCTGCAGGAATCGTTGCTGATTCATGATTGATGGTGGATTATATGGTATCACCAAGCAAATACTTTCGTGGGTATTTTTTTCTTCTCTCTTCTCTCGTCAACAGAGTGACTGTGTGAAAGTCACTTTGAGGAGGGTGTCCCTAGCCCCGAATAAATTTCAGGCAGAGGACAATTCAAAGATGAGCAGCTTGTCGATGACAGACAAACAGCTCAAGGGGGTATCTCAATGGGAAAAACAGAAAGGAAAAAAGTAAAGAAAAAAAAGGAGAGGATGGTGGGGTGGATGAAGAGAAGAAAAAAAAAAGAAGACGCGGAAGAAAAAAAAAAAGGTTAGGGGGGAGGGGACCTCCCTAATTGGGTTTAGGGCGGGAGGGACCACAACCGCGTCGACGAGGAAAAATCCCAAAGACACGGAATTACTTGGGCCATTAGGCCCTTTTGGGGTTGGGCACATATTCTCATTACCTATAGTATTCTCTCTATTTGTGCGGTATGCTCCTGTTGTGGTGACGTGGAGTTTGGGTCGCGCATCTATAGGGTTTGGTTGAGTTTCTTCGAAATTTCTTGTTCTCGCGAGGGGCATGGGATCTACGGAGTACTGCTAATAAATATGGAACGTGTATTGTAGCATTGACTCAAACAATCAGATTAAATGGAAACCACCTCCCACCCGACAAAGAATTCCAAAACGCCCAGTCTGGTCTGCGTGCGCCGGTCCCCTCGGCTGTGTGTATCCGTGGCTGCAGACTATTGGCGAGCTTAGCAAGCCCGAGACAACAACTGCTGCAGAAGAATGAGAGTCAGATTTGCAAAGAGTAAAAAGAGTCGGGCAATGTCGAGCCTTATGGCGCTTAGTATTCATCAGAGTCGTAATCGTCATCAACCATAAACGAGCGGTAGCCTCGGGACGCGAGGTTGGCCTCGAGGCCACCGTCTGCAGCTGGGTCGAGATATCCTAGAGTTCATCAGTGAATGGAGCAGTCAGGCCTGGGTCCAAGCGAGTACATACCACCACCGCCAAAGTAGCTGAGAGCTACTGGCAGGAAGATAAGCGCGTGGGTGGCAGCAAACGCCACCAGGGCCAGCCACACGCGGAAATAGTAGATCTCGAAGATCTTGCTTCGAGTAAACGCCAGCACGCAGACTCCAAGCAGCTTCGTCACCGTAATGCCGCTAAACACACTCCCACCCACATTGACCAGGGCCGTCCAGGCCCGGGCGTCCTTGCCGCGGAACTTGGCGGGGGCTTTCTCCAGAAGGGTTCGTGGGGGGAACATGAACGCCCGACCAATATGCGCGCAGAATTCCACGCTAATACCAACGCTAATTACCAGATTCACGAGAGAGACGGCGTTTAGTGAAACACCAGCAATGGCCATCGTTCCGATGATGTCGACCACCGTCATGACCACCGTAGTGGTGATGACGGCTCCCGTAGCGATTGACCCGAGAATGGCAGAGGTCAAGACGAAGATGATGGCGACTGCCGATCCCAGCAGGGTACCAGTCAGCTGTACGATGGAAACGTACTGGTCAAAGAAGATGTAGAACTTTGAATATGGGAACACATCGATCTTGTGCTCTTTGGAAATATCATTGGCGATTCGACGAGCTGCAATGTACGCCTGGATAAAGTCATCTTGACTTCGCAGAGGAGTGTGGCTCGTTCGGAAATGACTGGCATTGATCATGGTATGTTCCTTGTCGATGAGGACTGCAGAGCTGTAGGGCGCCCTTCCTCCGAGAGGACAGGAAGCATCGGTGGGTGCATCGATCCATTTCTCGGCGTAGTGAATAAACTCGGGCCCGGTTGGCATTCCGTAAAGAGTGAGGTTCCAGGGCGGATTGCGACCCTCGAAACAAAGCTTGTCATCCTCTTTACAGCAATCCTGTTGGGGATTGAGCCAGTAGAAAAAGTCATCAACCCAGCTAGCGGCAGATCCTGCAAGGTAAGACACATTCGGACGCTTGGATTCCTGTTCCAACACGAATGGCAAGGAAAATTCTTCACAGGTGGTGAATCGACCACAGAGCTGCTGCTGGTGCTTTCGCTCGGTCACGTTGACATTGCGAGTCACAAAGTAAACTGGGGGTCCCGTACGGAAGTAGGCGTCAAGATCATTGAAGTATGAGATAAGGTAGGAGTCACTGGGGAGTGCAATCCGCTGATCCAGACCGAGGGCGACTTCAGGAATCAAGGCCAGGCCCGCAGTCAGAATACCCAAGAAGACGATGACAATGACTGCCTTGACACGGCGGTCCAAGATAAAAGGAGCATATATCCGGCGGATGAAGCTTTGCAGAGTACTCTCTGCTTCATGGTCATCATATATCTGTGCTTCAGGCATGCCAAAAGAGTTGGCCTTCCGAACGGTAAGGCATGGGAAGCAGTCTGCGCGAAGACTCTCCACTCGTCGCTGGTTAAGAGCCAGCACGGAGATGAACATTGTAACCTGCAAAATGGCATTGATGAAGACGGCACCGGCTGCGTACGCGGCAAAGTTCTTGACAGCGGGCATCCCTACAAAGGCGCCCAGAGAGAATGCCACAGTTTCCGTGAGAGCAGATAGGAAGACACTGGGTCCAATTCTGCCGACGGCACGAGCAACTCTCTCATCGATCTCTTCGTCCGGATGGCTAAAGTTGACACGCTCAAACTCATGAACGATCAAGAAGATATTATCCACGCCCACGGCCAGAACCAAGAACGGAATGACTTCGGCAATGATCAAAGTCACTTTTACGCCGGCCGCTGAAAACAGTCCCACGGAAGCAGAGACTGACATCAACACAATCAAGATACCGGCAATACCAAGGGTGAACTTGGACTGCACGAAGGCGTTGGCGGGGTTCGTAAGAAGAGACCGCCAGGTTACAGTGACAGAGCCCAAAGCCAGAGAAGCATAAACGAACATGATCACGTAGCTGATGACCACGATCTTCGCATCTGTGTTGGTGGACTTGTTCAGCTCTTGCTCAAGGCTAACCTCGGCGTTGAAAGAAACGCGGAGACCACGTTCAGCGGCTTCTCCCTGGACGTCATTGAAGACGGCTCTAAAGCTGTTCTCCCAATCAATGGCATTCTCTTCGCCAGTAGTGCCCTGGGCAAAATTGTTCACCACCCACGTCACAACCAGCGCTTGGGCATCCAGAACATCTCCAGTGGTTTCATATCCACCTAGAATCATCTCCGGCTTCAAGGGCTGTGAGAAGTCAGGGAGGCAGCTAGGGTCACCCGGAGATTCAGTGCAGTGGCGCAATCGATCTTGCCATGTGTCGGGATCAAGATTGGCCATAGAGCCACCGAAGTACCCGGTCAATGATTGCACCACACAGGCATCACCCGTGGGCTTGAAGCAGACGTCATCCAAATTGAGGCCCTTGTCCTGCGAAATCATGCGACGCACGCGAGACTCGACATCGAACCACCAGACAAGGGTGTCATACTTCAGAACGGGGCCGGTTTCATTGACCAGGAAGGCTTGCTCGGCTCGGAAGAATGGCCCAAAGCTTTCATCGAAGAATTCCTTTTCTTGAGCGGCTGGCGAGGACGGACTCACCCAGAGACGCACGGGATCGGTTTCAATCGTGAATCGAAGCCAGCCCAGACTAAGCAACACCACCACAATAAAGCTGGAGACGATCGTAATGGCGGGGAATCGAGAACAAGCTCCGCCAATGCGGCGGAATAGAGCAGACAATAGCGAGTTTGGCTTGTATACACCCAGAGGTTGTTCCATGTAGCCGCCACGATGTACAACCTCCCCTTCATCTTCATCATCACTAGGAGTAGGATCCTGAAGCAAGCGCACACGCTCAGGCTTGCGGAACCGACGTTCCTTGTACGTGATATAGCTTGCGAGTCCCATCACAAGCGTGAGGAATGCAGAGTAGATGACGATGACAGCAAATGAGAGACATGGCAATAGTCCGACATGGCACGAAGCCTGAGTAGACACGGCAGGCAATTCGGGGCATACGTCGGGGCAGTCGACGCAAGAGCAACGATACGATTTGTCCGGGTCGTTACAAGCCTTGGGCTTCATAGGCAACGGCTTCATCCCCTTCGAGTCGGGACCGCTGGGTTCAGTGCGATAGTTGATTTGGAATGGACTCCCCAGGAACTTTTTGTCACCCAGGAATTTCACGAACTGAGAGTAGTTTTTCGCACCCCCGCCGATGAAGTCGATGGCCTTTCCACCTGAAGCGCCATTTTTCACGCTCTTGCAGCTATCAAAAAAACCACTTTGGTACTCCTCGGACCAAATGTTCTCCAGCTCGGTGACTAGTCTCTTACCCGAGCGAGATTCTTCGGTTTGAGTGACGTTGACAAAGAGCGACTGATCCGGTGAGCATGTAAAGGTACAGAAAATGTCGAAGAAGTTGTGGCGGCAGGCTGGACAGGACGCGATGATGCCCTCAGCCAGCTTCAAATTGCTCGAGAGTGCATCGATCTACCACATCACAGGAAACTGGGTTAGTACATTCCTTTGAGGCTAGGTATCACATCAGATTGATGGCGATCTCACCTGCTCATCGAGACAGCAGACAGGGCCTTTCTCCCACTTCGATCCGCACAGCCCAACCAGCTTCTGTCTGACCTCGTCCTCCGGGTCATGTGCCCGTCCATTGTCAGGGCAAGGTAACTCGCCTCCAAAGATTGATTGCTTCCCGCAGTGTCCGCGGATTGCACAGCGGCCCTTCTCATGGATCTTGGTCTCGCCCTGCGCGCCGACCAGGGCTGGTTGCAAGGCCAGTAAGCCCAACCCCACGAGCGCTCCAACACCCCCCAATGGCCGCATTTTGTCGGCACGGCGATCAGGTCGGAGAAACGTCGCGTTCCTTCAGCTCCTTTCCCGACCTATCCAGGTCTCTGAATGACTGACAAAGCTTCGTTATCAATAGTCGGCCCTGCAGACCTGCTCATGCGAGAGGTGGAGGCAGCTCTGCCGATCGCAAGGCCGAGTTCAGACACAGTCAGCGCAAGGGACAACGACAAAGCTGAGCCTGATACAGGGAAGAGGCAGTTTCAAACTCGTTACACATCCACAATCCCAAAGAACACGAGGTAAAGGCTCAAGGGGAAGACCGGAATGAAAGCGACAAGGAAGTTGGGAGCTGGAGAGAGCCCAGAAGCAAGAGAAAGGCAACATGACGTGGGCCCGACCGAGGAGAAGCGGGTCTCGCCGCCCCCGCCCAGTCCGGTCAAGGAGATCAGAGCCACTACTGAGGTTGAGCTGGAATGCCGAGACTACCACCTGCTGAAGGTCTGGTGAGCTGATCTGGGGGCTAAGGTCAGGCACAGTCAAGGTTCCTGCTCCTCGGGCTCGTTTTCTGAATCGGCATGCGTCTGTGCCTATCTATAGGCTGATTTATGCGAAGTTACAGTAGGTGGAGGCTATATACCTACTGTACAGCCTTTCATGGAGAGCTTCTATGAAGGCTTTCCTTATCAAGTACCTTACAGGCTTCCAAGACGAGGGGGTGGCTTTAGGAGGTGATCGGACATGTAAGGTTACTTGTCGTACTTGAGCCTATTCTAAAAGAAAAGCCTTCCGCTGAAGCTCGGTAGTCTGCGACCAGTTCTACCTAAGTTGCAGTAACCATCGAGCATTGGCAGGCTCGGAGGGCAAGTCAAGTGGCACACTTCCAAAAGAAAGTGACCATACGACCATATGCAGATCTGAAAGACAAATCATAGTCAGAGCTAGCCAAGAATGCAAGGGTGATCAACTGATCAAGGATATCACTTTGTAAATAGAAAATCATGAAATCCCCGGTAGCGCCGTAATCTATGGACACAAAACTCCGCTAGGTGACAAATACAAATAATGGCTTGATCTGCATCGCCGATCCAGTTAGCGATGAGAACATGAAGAATACTCCGAACAAAGGATGGAAAGAAAAAGCAGGAAAGAAACAGGACGTAACCATAGGCCAAAGGCCCACTGATGCAAGGCCTTCACAGCTCGACCGAAGAGACCGGGAAGAGACCCTCTTAGTAGCCCTCATCCTCAGCCGGTTGATAGACATGGCGAGTCCGCGCAGGATCCCTGCGCATCTGTTGACCTGATCCCGTAAATCCAACTTGACAGAAGAGTTAGTCCTCAATTCTCAGTTCCACCAAGAAGTAGGGAAAACTAAACACATACCTCTTGCATTTACCGAGTCACCAGTGCGGAACATGCTATCTTTCTTGCCAAACTTGCCCTTGCCCTTGGCCGCGAAATTCTGCCATTTATTCTTGCCCTCCTCCAATTCCTTATTGGCCTTGACCTTGCGAGCCACCTTGGCGGGACGGGCAGGGGTATCCCCAGCCTTACTAGGTTCCTGGCGGGCTTGGTTGGCCAGAGCGGGATTGATATCGGCCGCTGCCGAGATCACATTGGCGTGTGAGACGGACGGTGGAGCGGGAGAAGAGGATGCTGAACTGCCTGAGGTTCCATCAGCCTTGCGCTTGCGAGAGTCATTGCCCGCGATGGGGCGGATGTCCTTGGCCGTCAGGTTCTCGACGGTCGCATACGACTTGAACGAGACCAGATACACGGGGTTGCTGGAAGAGCCTGTGATGGAGGTGATGCGAGCAGGGTAGAAGGCATTGTCGCCCGAGACCCAGCGGGCGAGAACGGTGTCATTGACGGAGAAGGAGGCGGCAGGCGGAGGTGCGGTGGCGGTGGCCTCATCTGTACGATCGAAGGCGGCTTTGGATGGGCGCGAGACAGACTCTTTCGATGACCATGTCTCCTTGGGCGGTGTCGCAGTAGGCTTGGGCTTAGCTGCCGGCGCGGGTGGTTTGAGCTCGGCGATAGCAGTTTCGGTAAGGGTTATGAGTTCTTCGAGTTCAGTCTTGAGACTTTGCAACTCCGTGTTATCGGGTTCTACCTGCAAGCTAGATTGGACTGTTTCGAGCTAAGAAGAGGGCGAAGCACCGCCGATTAGTTGGGTTGTGCTTCATATGGCGCGTGGACCAGGTGAAGGGAGAATTACCTGGATCTTGAATTCTTTCACCTCGGCCTCCAAGGCGGCGACATCGGACATGGTGAGCAAGGATTAGGGGGTGGTCTAGACAGAAGAAAGGGCGTTGAAAGAATCAGGTAACCGATTTGAGAAGTCTCGACAAGGTCTCTTAGACTCTGGGCGCTAGTCGACGAGTGGATATGCGATTGTGCGGAGAACTTTCTGCCAAAGTTGACCAGCCCAGTTCCGCGGTCATGTGATCGGGAGCCTCCAAGAAGGGACCGTACTTCATATTGAACGCCATGGGGTCGTTGAATAGAGTAGAGGATGATATTTGAATATTAGACCTGTTCAATGACTCCTAAGTTTGGCAACGATGTAGTTCATATTTCCTTTGCAGGACTTTGAAATGCAATATATAAAAGAAAGGATACTCGGCGTCCAGCCTCGAGGACGAAGTACATCCGGTCGAACACAATCGTTCCGATAAGGAGATAAGAAGGTCCCGATAAGCCCGGATCGACAACTGGAGAGGGGCCTTGCATGCGAAATCGGAGAGTCTGAATTGGCTCTGCTTATTTTCTGCAGGCTACCAGCTCGGTCCATTATCGTTCATTTTGATTTGCACGTGTATCTGTGACGGTAATCCTGTACGGAGTTACGGAACTACGGATGGGGTTACGCACGGCAGAAAAAAAGTGAGAACGTCATTCAAGACCGGGCGACATGGGAAAGAAAGCAAGGGTTTGCCACGCGGGTTCCAGAACGATTTGCTGACTTGGAGGCTGCGCGGATACGGGAGCCACTACTGGACTCGAGAAGTGAACATACCATGGAACAGGCTAGCGCGAGGCGTGGTCTGATCTCTGATCCTCGATCGGAGACGCGGAGACATTGGCTTGGGACCCGAAAGTGGGGCGAGAACCTGCGCGATTGAGGAGGGATATGTACTTTGTTGTACGGAGTACCGTAGTAGTGATGGATAAGATGAACAGGAGGTTAGGGAGGCGTATCGAGGGAGGAGGAGTGTACATGGTATGATGTGTATTTATGGGAATGGGCAGTAGTGATCCTTATATACTCCTCCGTGATTTACCAATCTGCGAGGGTTTCACCCTAGGACCAAGATGTAACGGAGTATACGAGATCCTCATGAGTCACTCGTAATGAAACATGGCGCTCGACACTAGACACGAGGGCCAGAAAGACTGCGTCCGACTGGATGGCCCATTGAATGGAACCGGCCCAAAAAAAAGAGAAAGAACGAAGCGGCATGTTCCAAAAGCGAATCACACGAACCCACCGAAGAGGATCGAAGGGGCAGTTCGCTCGTTGATTTCTAAGCAGCGCCCAGTCCGTCCTGGAGGTTTCTGCCAGAACCAGGCAGAATCAGGCCAAATCAGGCCAACGTGGTCACCTATTTGCTGCCCCATCCTGCCTGAGGCCATCAACATGATGAGTCAGCCCCCCACCACCCCTCCATCCCCCGCACGCTGATTGGCTGCCGAAGTTCCGAGATCACCTGCGGTCGGAATTCGGGCCAATGAAGCAGCCGGTTTGTCCACCGCCCAGAGATCCCCGAGAATCGCCTCCTCTTTCATCATCTTTCCCTCCTCCTCCCCCCCTCATACACTCTCTGCATACAATCCCCATACCAACCATTCCATACAAATTTCATACAATCTCATACATCATACTCTCTCCCTCTTGATCCTGCCTAGCCACTACTGGGCAGTGCTTCGATCCTGGGCTTGGTTGGGGCCACAATCTGCTAGTGCTTCCACCCCATTCTAGCCTCAGGCCCCCGGTTCTGCACCTTTTTTTCCCTTGATCCCCTCCCCCTCCACCTCTTTGCACCCCCCTCCTCGACTGTATCTCGCCCTCTCCCTGCCAGATCTCCTAGCCTAGGGGTATCATCACTCGCACGCTTTCCAGGGTGATCCAAAACCGCTCCGAGATCCATACGTTTCATCAATCATCCTCTCAATATCAGTTCAATCATCCATCATCGTTTGCGGGCGGACCGCCCGATCATCGCTCTCGGTTTTCTTTCCAGCCTTGCCATCCCCAACCAACTGATCTCCCCGCCTACCCTCCTTCCTTCTTAACGAGACTAAACCTGACTTCCCTTCTCAATCTTTTCATCCTATTCCTATCACTCTTAACCCCACTATCATCATGAGTGATTACGATCAGCTCTACCAGCAGGGGCTCTATCTTTCCCCAGGCCAGCAGGATCTTCTGCTAGCTGCCCTCTCTTCCAACAATCCCTCCCATAAACAGCAAGCCCAACCTAATCACACTCCTCAAATCAAACCCGATCACAGCCCAGACCGTGCTTCGTCTAATGGATTGAGCGGTCCACCTTCGGGTGGGTTCGACAACTCGCAACTCCATGCCTTTGGATTCGGGGAGGAGGAAAGCCCATTCTTGGACTTCAACCCGGAGCTCGACTTTGAGTTTCCAAACTCCGCAGACTTGATTGGCGACCTGCCTGGTAGCGGTCCCTCCTCCGAGTATGACATCGGCGAGAAGCGGAAGTCGATGGATGGACAGTCTGAAGTGGATGGGGAGGAGAATGGCAAGAAGCGGCGGGAGAGCGAGGCCAAGAAGCCTGGCCGGAAGCCTCTCACATCCGAACCCACCACGGTAGGCATCCCGCGGCATCTTATTTGATACATAATATTTGTGAGGGTGGGGTTTTATTGACAGGATGAAACAGAAACGCAAGGCCCAAAACCGGGCTGCTCAGCGTGCTTTCCGTGAGCGGAAGGAAAAGCACCTCAAAGATTTGGAAACTAAGGTGGATGAATTGCAAAAGACGTCAGACAACGCCAACCAGGAGAATGGCCTCCTTCGAGCTCAGGTCGAGCGACTGCAGGTGGAGCTTCGCGAGTATCGCAAGCGTCTCTCCTGGATGACCAGTGGTAGCGGTATCTCGGCGATGAGTGCGATCCCAAATGCCCACTCGCGGGGGGCGTATGGCCTGCAAAATAATGAGTTCCTCTTCGACTTCCCCAAGTTTGGTGATCTTCCAGGCTCCCATCTCTTCAATGGCCAGGCCAACAAGAACGATCAATCCAAGAACAAGGGACAGAACTCTCGTGCCCCGGGTGTGCTCAGTCGCGGAAACTTCAACGGCTTGCCCAATCTTAACACGAGCAAGTCCAATTCTAGTACTACGTCTAATTCCAGTACCCCCACTGGACCTGGTAGCGCCAAGTCTCACTATGCTGGTTCAAGTGGTACTACTCCCGGCAGCACTACTTCCACCCGGGCCCCCTACAACAACATCAAGCAGTTTGGATTGTCGACGCATGATACGTCAACTTCGGACTCTCCGTCGTCTTCATCTGATTCACACCAGAGCCAGCTCCTCTCGTCGAATGGTACTTCACCTGAGCCGAGCCTGAGCTCTCCGCCCGAGGCGAAGCCCCACGATTCTGGTAACTCATGCGATATCCATGGATCCATCAATGGTGAGGAATCTTTCTGCGCGAAACTTGGCATGGCATGCGGCAACATCAATAACCCCGTTCCAGCTGCTCGGGACAAGACCAAGTCCCACAGTGTCTCGAGCGATCAGCCGGCCTCCACGGAGGATCCGGCCGGGCTTGATTGGCTGGCTCAACAAAATGGCGGTCAGTTCGACCCAGTCCTCTTTGGAGACTGGCGCGAACCCCAAGATGCCGTTCTATCCCAGGACTTTGGATCTTTCTTCAACGATGCTTTCCCTCTGCCGGACTTGGGTAGCCCATCTCATAACCTCACCGAGGTGGCAACTCAACAACCACCCAAGAAGAATCTGATTGCACAAATCGACAGCAGACTGGAGGAAGAAGTCGTTCCTGGAGAGGACAAAACCCAGATGCTGTCGTGTACCAAGATTTGGTATGTTGACTCCGGCTTTAGCAGCGAAGTACGCGTAGCTCGGTTTCTTTCTCTTACTGACATTACACACAGGGATCGTCTACAATCTATGGAGAAGTTCCGGAATGGCGAGATCGATGTCGACAACCTCTGCACCGAGCTGCGCACAAAGGCTCGCTGTTCCGAGGGCGGCGTGGTCGTGAACCAGCGTGATGTCGACGACATCATGGGTCGTGCCAAGTAACACTATGTCAACGTCCCAACGATGGGAATATAACAACTGGCCAATCCTACAACTTTCACGACTCATGCAAACCTCATTTTACGTCCATTGAACTTGTACCACGTTTTTGATTCCAATCATACCCATCATCGAATGTCATTTGAAAACCATACGGCGTCATGAAATACAACTTCGGAACAACAAACCACGGCGAAATACCAGCTGTCCATACCACAGCGCTCGGGATTGAATCTCGACATTTTTTTGTCGCTTGACAAACCATTTCTTGGTCCATTTGATTCCTGGGGTACTTCTTTCTGATCTATTTCCATTTTCTATCAAATTCTTTTTGATTTATCTTTTTCTTTTTTTTTCGTCTTTCCAAACTTCTCTTCGTCTTTCACTTTCCAGTAGTTATGCCTTATGTCCTTCATGCGTTCGCCTTTCTTACTTCCATCATCAAGCCTGGCGAATGGAGACGGGGGTTCGTCAAGCAGGTGGACCATCATTGTCTGGCCATACACTACGGCGCCTGGACAAGGCGACCCACAAGTCGACCTCTTGTAACGGAAGGGAATATTCTGGGTTTTTTGGGCGAATTGGAATTTCAACTTAGTCCTTGGCTTGGTAGGTTGGGATGGTTTGCGCTCCTTAATGGTGGATATTGCCATATATCCCTTGTACCACAACCAAATTCAATTTGCGTCTTCAGGCAATTCTCTCCATCTGCCGTACAAGTAATCATGATCTAATCGTATTTTAAGTGGCTTGCCATTTCAGGGGTTGAGTATGCTTAAGTGCCACGTGGGTCTGAATTAGAGTGCCCATCTTAAGCTTGTCTCGACCACAACCAGCCACACTGTGAAGCCACATTGAGAGACATGGGGTTCTCCAGCCTTGGTGCATTGCACAATTGGACCATTGACTGTCCAAGTCGATCGAATTGGGCTAAAAGGAACCCCATAGGGCAAGGTACATCCACATTAACTTATCTGGAGGTTGGTTGGCCCCAAACTACACAATCTAGCTCTACACAAAACGACCGTCTAAACCGAAGCTGTAAGGGTATCGATGTTGGTTCTCTTCCAGAGGGAAGGGAATAATAGTAAAGTACAAAGAAAAGCGGGGGCAAAAAACATGGGGGGACTGGGCAGATAATAATGATTTTTTTAACATTCTTTTGTTTTGCTTGTTTTGCTTGCGTCTTCCACCCTCCGCATGACAACCAAACGCAATCTTCAGAGCTCACTTCCTCGACTCCATCGAACGTGCTCGTGCTACCAAGCGCCAACCTATCCTTTCCGGTAAGCGTTACGGGAAGGATATGAAAGCATTTGGCAGCACAAAATAGAAATCACCATCTTGTGCAAAATCGAAACGGGGTAGATAAAAAATGAAAATGATCCAATAAAGAGACAAAAGAATTAGAAGATGACGCGGGAATGGCGGGGGCGGGGGTTGTAGTGGCATCGAGGAATCAAATTGACGAGAGATGTAGGGGATGCCGGTCGTCGAGGATCAGCGACGACCCGAAGGGATGAAAATCAAGAGATCAAAGAAAAAATAGGGGACATGTCAGTGATTAGGAATCACCACCGGAAGGAGTAGGCTTATCGCCAGATGGGGTTGACGGGGTAGGAGAGTCAGTCGAGCCGCTCTTGAAGCTGCCGCCACGACCTCCACGGCCACCGCGACCCCGATCACCGCGGCCACGACCACGGCCGGCAAATCCACCCCGACGAGCACCCTCACTATCACTGGCGCTCTGGTAGCCACGCTGTCCGGCGGTAGCACCGCCACGGGTGCTACTTCCCCAAGTGCCAGCATTGCCCTGGCCGCGGGGGCGTTCCTCGAAGAACTTGAAGTTGGGCTTGCGAGGGCCGGAACCAGTGCTTGGTTTCTTGTGATCAATGGGCTGGCGATCGAGGGCAGCCTTGGCCTCCTCGACAGTCGCGAAAGTCACAACGTAGTTGAACTTGCCGTACTTCTCAATCTTGATAGCCTTGCCTCGATCCTCTTCGGGGAGCAGCTCGCGGACCTTCTGTTCACTGTCGACGTTGGAAACGAAGAGTCCGTTACTGGGCTTCTTCTCACCACGGGGAGCCGGAGACTCGCCAGTCTTCTCTTGTTGAATGGTGCCGTTAGCGTCACCGGCAATCTTCTCCTCGCCCGCGGGCTGAGCAGAGGTGGCGGCAGGGGGCTGCGGGCTTGCAGACTTGGGAATGACGGGCACGGGCGAAGCACGAGCGGGCTGACCAGCGGCGGCGCCGGAAATGGCAGGGGGAGCTTGACCAAACTGCGCGGTGGAGGGGGCAGGGCGACCACCAGCACCAGTAGGAGCAGGAGAGGCGGTGGTAACCGGCAGGGCACCGGGGGCAGGTTGAGCACCACCAGCCGCAGGCTTGCCGCTGCGGTGGGCAAAGTTGAAACCTTGAGCCCGCATCTCAGTCGCAATTCGGCCACCCTCGATCTCCAAGACCAGATATCCAAAGGCAGCATCTGCAAGATTGAAATTCCACATATTCTTGAAGGCGCTCTCGTCGACCTGGCCGGCAGCATTTCCAGCAGCAACGGGGCCACCGAAGGGGTTGCCACCGTTGGCAATGGAGGGCATCTTCTGCACCACATCCAGAGCGTTGTCCAGTAGGGTCTTTTGGGCCTCGTTGGAGGAGATGGCCGACTCAACCTCGCCGCGCACGGTCTCCCAAACATCGGTGAAAGACGCCTTGGAGGCAGCAAGCTTGCCACGATAGTGGTCAAGGGAAGGGTTGACCGAGAACTCGTTGTAGGAGGATCCATAACGGAAGTGCAGACCAGCGGAAACGGAGAAATCGGCCTTGAGAGTGACGGAGAGCTGGTTCAGCATACCCTCACGGGCGGGCGAGGCGTGAGTAACGAAAACACGAGTCTCCGAAGGGTCGTAGACTCGGTTAGCCGTGTCGATGAGCTCACCCATCTGCAGCAAAGTGGTCCACATGGTACCCTGGCCACCGGCAATTGTCGTCTTTCCCTCGCCGTTGTCGAATAGCTTGTGCATAACCACCGCACCACCCAGTCCAAGCAGACGCAGCTTAACACCACCAATGTCCAGCAGTCGAGAGTTGGCCTCGTCGATGATGTGCAGATTATTCACCTTGTACTCGCCCGAGCGGAACTTCTCCAGAACGCGAACATCCTCGCAAGCACCCCAAACTGTGTAGACCGGAACCTCGAGGGTGATGCGCTTGTCAAGCAGCATGGGCAACTCGGAGAGGGGTAGCTGGTCAGGAGTAAAACGCTGCTTAATCGACTGCTGAGGGGGGACCTGTGCAATTGTCCGCTTCACGTTCTCGGGGAGCAAAGGAGAGTATTGGGCGACATGCTTGAGGGTTCTGCGCAAAGACAAAAAAAAGTTAGCTACAGCCCCCGATTTTTAGGGTATTGGATCCGAATGTCTTGCGGTCATGGGTGAGGCTCGTTTCGAGACCCAGTGAGAATAATAGAGAGCGTTCTCTGGGCACGTACTTGTCTGCAATCCGCTCCAGCGAGGTATCATCGTAGAAGCCAAAGTCACCGGTGTGAATGATGTGGTCCGCACGAGCTTGCTTGGCCAGGTCATTCAAGGACTTCAGATTTCCTGCATCGCGTAATCAATTAGCCTCGTATGGGATCGAATCATCAGAGTTTCAATCATACCTCGCACGTCCGCAATACACAAGATCCGAGTTGGTCCATTCTGAATGACTCTACCATTGTTTGGGAGCAGTGGCACAGCTCCGGGTGCCGGACCAGACGGGGTCGCACCGTTTGAGAGGGGATACCCTTGGGCACCAAAGTTGTGAGGGCGAGGCTGAAAGTAAGAGATAAAGTATTAGCCAAGGTCACTTGAGCTTGAGGAGTGGTGCTGTGAGGCCAGAAGTCGGGCATCCAGCTCAGCGCCGCAGGAGGGGAGACCAGAGAGGCGAGACAGGAGCAACTCACCGAAGCCATGGAGTGAAGGAGGGGGATGAATTAAAGAAGGTAGAGGTTGTAGAGGATTGAAGGAGGATACGAGGAGGAAGGAGAGATGAGGAGAGAAGAAGAAAAGAAGAAAGACGGAGGAGGCGCGAGAAAGTCGAAGGGCGAAGATTCACTGCGCATCGATGAAGCAACAACTGGGGGAAGCGTGACAGGCAGATTAGGTAAGCACCCCTGGGCACAAACACATTTGAGTAGAAGGAGAAGGATGAAAAGGCAAACACAAACAGGCTACCTTGGGACTTATAAATGAGTCTAAGGCAAATTCCGTCAAGTCTTAAAAAGATCACTTCCGTTAGTTATGATCAAACATTGAAACTTTAAGTTTGCTCGTGGCTCGTAAAAAATGTGCTATACGTAGATTAAACTAAACGTATACAGTTCACCTATCAACTAACCTATGGCTTCCGATTAGACGATTAAATAGGCTCCTCTATGGACAGCAGATGTATGGAATATTCTCAAATCAGACATTTTAGTATAAGAATATAGAATGACAAAGAATGCCCCTCGAACTGGGCCCATCTATTAGATATTCACTGGGATATAAATCTAATTCCATGAGTTCTAGAGCTCAAAATTGTGAAAAAAAAAACTTGGGAAGGTTCTTTCCAGAGCAACCAGCACATAATAAATACTAGACTAATTGTTTTGATATCATTGCAATAACATTTCGAGGCATAGCTGAAGAGGTATTACTCCGAGAGACCGTATACAGACAATGAGCTCATAAATCCTGGGTAAAAGCATACGGCAATTCAAACGTACCAACGTGGAAATATTGACATTGACTGGGCCTGTATTGGCTGAGAATAGGTATATACAAAGGAGCGGCAACTCAACACTGTGCTCGACTTCTTGGAATCACAGCTCACCAGCAGGATCCATGAACCTATCATATCTCGATCCCCTAGAACCATAGGTCTGATAAGTTGACAATGATTCAAGCAAATTTGGACCCTTCAACGCTAGCAATGCAAAGTGGCCTCCAACGGTTGGACGTGCACGACAAAGTATCGGAATACCCGGCTCGCCGCCACGCGCAGAGGTCGAAACGTAGCGATCCGAAAAGGGCCAGTTGTGCTTTCCATTGGTCATGAATGCCCACAGGTCATCGACGAACTCGTCCCGCGTGCTCGTCTCCAAGGTACCGGCCAGCCACATGTTCCAATCAGACTTGGCCCAGTCTTGTCGGTTGTCCAGTGCGACGCCATATTCCCCGCGGACCGTTACGAAGAACTCTCTGCCCATTGAGAATGCTTCTTGGGGGAACGTCTGTAGTCCTAGTAGGACGTCTGGGTATAAATTGTACGGAATCTTCCATGTACCCGGCATGTCAGGGTATTCCAGTACAAAATGGGTGTGGTCCTCGTCCGTACCAAGTCCTTGTCTGAAGAAAAGGTCTGCATGCTCATCACCGATGCGAGAATATTCTCGATCTCCGCTCAGCTCTCCATATGCCTTGAGACCAACGGCCGCCTTGATGGCTAGATTGGTCTCATTTGCCAAGGGGCCAGCGGCATCATTGGACGAGAGCTGTTCGGCAATATCAATGCTATTTTCGACCAAATAGTCGGCATATTTCTGGAACAGTCCCATATACTGCTTGCCCCAGCTTTCATCCCCCGTGGCGCGAACATATGCGAGTGCCAGAATGAGCAGGTTCCCGCATTCTTCAATGGGCATGGGCTCGGCTCGCTGATCGTCATGACCAATTGCATGGGGGTAATGAGATCCAAGGTCGTGAATAGTATAAGGGAGTTTCCATCGACCAGCATCCAGGTATCGCATCACAGGTTCCAGCAACAGGCGAATCCAATCAGGATCCATCACCCAGTAGATAGGGAAGGCAGGCATAATGATGTCGATGGTATTCACATTCCCGTCACTGGAAAGCTCCTTGATAAAAGCCAACACTTGATCGGTGGCCAGTGAATCGTTGGGAATGGTCAAGTCAATACCTCCATATGCTTGACGAGTTGACAAAGCCACAATGTCTGCATACTTGGGACCGGCAGCAGCGGTAGCAAAAGCAGAGAGCTCATCATCAAGTTTCCAAGATTCCAGTTGGGCATCGTCCAAGTCATCCAAGAAGAACGAAAGTGCTTCGTGAGTTGTGGGATACTCCGATCGGTAGAAACCAGTATATGCGTCACCGAGGTAATTGATAGCTTCCTTCCTTTCATAACCGACAGCGAAGGTCACAGAAGCATCACCCACGATGTTCCCCAAGTCATGCGCAAGAGCTACAACACTTTGAGCGGACCAAGTCGACTTTTCTCCAGATAGATCGCCATTCGTCACAAAAGAGGTGCGGACAACCTCAGGAGGTCCAGCGAGTGCCGAAAGGTTGCTTGAGCCTTCCTGACGGGAAGCAAGAATAGCCTGTCCCCAAAGAGCCATATCGCGATCTTCTGCATATCGGGGGGCATCTTCGACCGAGAGCGTGTGGAAGAGCAGTTTGTCGTGTTCTTCAAAGTCATAAACCGAGCGAGGTTGCCGGCCAGTCCACCTCCCGTCAATGTCGGAGTAGATCTGGATCTCACGGCCCCATGAATTTCCGACTTGCACAGTCAAATAGCCTAGTTTGCGAAGTTCGTTAGTGCTTGATATTGAAGGCCGTGAGACCACCCTACTGGTTTGCATAGACTTACTGAAAGGGAGCGACTGTCGCAAGTAATTTGACGGCGAGACTGGCGAGAAGAAATCCAGTGTAAACGCCACAGATCCAGCTGTCAGATCGAAGAGCGAATGAGTCGAAGTGAACTCGGCGCGTCGCACGGTTGCTGGGAGGATTGGGCTGGCTTCCAAGTTGGGAACGCCCATCAGGCTATACACTTGACCATCGACGCGTACCATCACTGACCAACCGAGTTCCTGGCCCGCCCAGAACTGAGGTTCGGCATATGGAAGCTGATCAACTCGGTCGGCTGGCATCCATGTCGATAAGTATGGATTGCGAACCGCCAGTGGGTATGAGGGTGGCCAGGCTGGGTGATGCGCGACTTGGCTGGGATCGTTGCTGCAAAGAAACGAGAATATCGAGCAGCCCAGGGAGCCCAGTCCCAATTGCTTCTGCCAGTGAAAATGCATCTCTCGTGGATTATACTAATGAATGTTTCCTCCCTTTTGCTGCTTCGTTTCAACTGTGGTTTGCTGATGCGTGAGCACGCGCATTCGCCGAAGGATCACAGCAACAGTTGGCAACGGCGAGCTCCTGCCAACTCCCGAATCATCCACCCGAGAATTTCGAGATAAACTCAAGCTTGAACCTGACCTGATCGGATCTTGGTAGCTTCCCAGTCGTTCCCCTGGTCAGGAACACGAAGAAAAGACAAATCCAAACGGCCCTTTGATGACCCGCAGCGGATCGTGCCAATTCTGTGGCGTCATGAGGGGATCGGGGCCATCCCCCCACATTCTTCTCCACTTTGCACGGCCATGATACTCGAGACAACTCATCATCGTGCTTGACTGGATGATGATTGCAAGGATTATTCTTAGATCAGTACAGTGGAACCGAGTCCACCAACCCCATTGCATTCCCCAAAGAGGCCGCGACAGCCTGTGCCCTCGGGCCTGTTATGTATGACTTTGCGGGGGAAACTTCAGTGTCAATGACAGCGGAGATTCAATCATAAGCAACCTCGTCCAAACAGTGAGTCAAGCTACTATGGATTATTGATTATTGATAAGATCATACAGTGCCACCATCTACATGAAAGGGTATTATAACCTTGTCCTACTTTGTCGGCCCGGGCACGACAGCAGTATGTCTGGTGACAATGCTCGATTACGAAATTAACTCCCAGGGAGTCAGTCACATTGTTTCTTCTAAGTTTATGTGCTAACGATGAAATATTCAGTACGATAGAGAAGCAATAAAACAAATAGCGCACAGCCCTCCTCCTACAGCTGAGCTTTCTCAATCCGCCGTCCAATCTCATCAAAGTGAATCTGCTGCCCAGTCACCAACGCTTCCTGGAGGTATGCTCCAATTTCAACTGCCTTGACAGCATTTGACAACTTCATCGGAAGGGGAGTGTTGTCAAGACAAGCAGCAGTGAACTCATTAGCTTCCTGTACGAAGGCAGCGCCGAAGCGGCCGATGAAGTTGGGGGGTACCTCGCGCGTAATACCGCCAGAGTGATAGTGATTGACAAAGTTGCGCTGAGGGTTGCTGTTCACTGCCAGCTTGCCCTCGGTACCGATGATCTCAGTGGTATCCTCCTGGCCATGGGCCATCATTCGCGTGCAGTAATAGTAGGCGATCTTGCCGTTCTGGAATTCCACAATTCCGACAGCATTATCATAGTCCTTGTACTTCTTCAGCTCGGGCTGCACGGCAGTAATTCCGTGAGCAGAAATGCTCTTGGGGATGATGTCGTCTCCGAAGAACCAGAGAGTCAGGTCGATGTCATGGACGGACATGTCGACAAAGACACCGCCAGACCAGGCGGCATACTCCACATAGAAGCCCGAGGGATCGAACTTGTCGCACGTCTGGCTGCGAATGATAGAAGGTCGACCGATCAGTCCTTGTTCCACCTTCTCACGGGCATCCCGGTAGGACTCGTCGAATCGCCGTGAGAAACCACACATGACCTTCAGATGGGGCTTCTTCTTCGCAGCTTGAACAACAGCCTTGCACTAAGAAAGAAAAAAAACCAAATGTTAGTTTCAGGATCAGACACTCAGCACTGGTTGGGATAATCCATACCACATCGACGTCGATAGAGAGAGGCTTCTCGCACAAAACATGCAAATCCTGCTCAATTGCCTTGATAGTCTCTTCAGCATGCACGGAGGTAGCAGTTCCAATAGCCACAGCCTGAAGACCGGGGTGCTTGAGCATCTCATCATAGTTGTCGTACAAGGTCACTCCATGTGGCTCGAGGTTCAACTTTCCCCAGGAGATTTCGTTTGGATCGGGGGTAAAAGCGGCCACAAGTTGAGCACGAGGAGTTCGCTGGAGGAAGTTGATAGCATGGATCTTTCCAACGCGGCCCAAGCCGGCCATTCCAACTTGAAGCTTTTGGATTGCCATATTTGCAAGTTGTGCGTGAAAAGAGAGTATGAAGGTCGATTTGCTCTCTTGACACTGGGGTTCTAGAGCAGTTTAAATAATTTGGGCGCAACGTCACATACGCTCTTTTATTAGACAATCTTCTATCTCTTGTACAGCCAGGCAAGTATCTCCATCGTCTCCATTTAAACTGTTGTGGGCTGGCTGGGGGAATTGGTTAATTGAACGGAAAGAATTTCTGAATTTGCCCGAAGAGGTAATTTGGGACTCGACCAGCTGCTCCGCGTTAATATGATTAGCTTGTTATAATGATAATATAATAATAGTTGGTCGAGCTTCATGGAGAAAGTTGCGATCCACTCGACAATCAGTTGCTCGATAATTCGAAATGAAATTGTGGAGATCAGTTTCCCCGCACTCCGGAGAGATTTGCCTCTGCTTTGTTGAGGCAATTCTATCCTCAACTCTACGCCTCTAGCACGACCCAGATGCCCAGGGGACAGAAACGAACTCGGCTTGTTGCAGGATGGTAGGTCCGATGATTTGTCTACTGGAATTGTGTACGCTGATCAGATTCACTAGTCGCCGATGTCGCAGTAAGTTGATCCACCAAACTTGGGCCCCAGTACCAGAATGAACTTTGACCTGAATCGATGACCGCCTACAATAGTTCGGCATTTGAAGTGTGAGATTGAAGACTCCGTTCGAGATTGAATAGTATTAGACTGACAGTCCAGTGCAGGTGATATCAACTCAAAAGTCTGCCAACCCTGCCAAGATGCAGGGTCTGAATGTGACCGAACTACGATTCGTTTCCGTAACGGATTGACACAATCAGATGGCATCGACAGAACATTTCTGGACCAAGATAACTGGCCACAAGTACGTGGAAAGAGTATGTTGATTCTATTATTACTATTTGAGTATTTGAACCCCTAAATAAGTCATAGTCCGCTTCCACGACGAGACTCCAGAAATTGCCAGCCTCTACGTCAGCACTTTAGACTATGGCACTGTTTTGCCATGTCAAGACATATCTAGTGAGGGTCATACAAGGATATTCCACTCGAATAACAATCTCCACAATGAACAGTTCCATATCGGCAGCACATCAACTCAACAGCAGCTCTCAAAAGGCTTTTCCCAATCTAGCCAATCCCTATTCTCCTCTCCGCCGTCCAGACCACCAGCTCTCCCTCAAGCTCTCCATAACTTCACCCAGAGAGAGGCTATACTGCTCCGAAACTTCGTTGAAAACATGGCACTTTGGGTGTGTATACGACAGTCTCTGCAAACTATGTCCAGAACTAATTTGAGCCGCCACAGGCAGACATAACAGACCCTTATCGTCATTTTGAATCTGAAGTACCAGCAAGGGCACTAAAGGAACCAGTCTTACGCTGCGCTATATTTGCATTTTCATCCCGACATCTGAACCGCCAAAATGATAGCGAAGCCGCAGAAGCTTTACGGTATCACAATGAATGTGTGCAGCTGTTGATACCCGTGCTCTCTGAGCCAGAGCACATCACGGAGGAGTTTCTGGCTACGGTCGCAATTCTACGCCAGCATGAAGAGATGGATGGTATGTCTTGCTGAACATATACACTACAGTAGAAATCAGGAGAACTCATGTTCTGATAGGCGAGGATCACCAGTTTCACCTCACAGGCACATCCCATATTCTCAATTCGGTCCAAAGATTTGGCTCATCAGGTGGTCTCGGCGAGGCAGCAGCTTGGTTATGCCTACGTCAAGATATTTATGTGTCATTAACTACCCAGCGGCCTCTTCGGACCAATTTGGAAAACTTCCGCGGCTCAGATATCTTCACCAGAAATGACGATTTTGCCTGGTCTAGCAGGATGGTGTTTTTACTAGCGAAGGTTCTTCAAAGTGCATTTTCCGATGTATCTCCTGACAATTCGATTGACGTGGAGGTTGAAAACTGGGTTACCTCAAAACCATACACCTTTGAACCGGTGAGAATGGTGGCACGGGGAACGGAAATTGATCAACGGTTCCCGAGCATTTGGATGCTCCTACCTGTCCATGGTAAGTATATGGCCCCATCAATGTTGGCAATCACAAGGCACCTGCGCTGACTGTGATGCAGTGATTGGCCTGCAGTACTACCATATCGCAAAGATTGTGCTAGCTTTGTCTGCATCATCCCCGATGAGCACTACCTATGAAACCTTCCGACAAACTCGACAAACAGAAGTAAGCTTTTGAATATATTTCATTACGATTGGATTCGGTCCATTGACACAGATGTCCATTATTATAGCGAAACATCCGCTATCACTTACTTCGTATTCTAGGCCTGGCTCAGTCGAATGCCCGAGCAGAGAACACGCTGTTTACCGCACGACATAGTTTAGTAGCATGTAAGTTGTCGTTCTTTTTTACTGGTGCACCCAATAACGATCTTGCAAGGGGGCTGGGTTCTACGGCATCGTAGCGACCAGAAAGCTGCAGAGTGTCTATTGCATGACATGCATGAAAGGACTGGATGGAACATGGATACTCTGATTGAATCACTCCGCCAGCAATGGCAGGATGATGACGGAAGTAGCGGAAATTAATAAGCGTTTCTCTTAGGATGGAATCTATTGCACGCTTTTGGGTCCGCTCTTAGCTTATTCGAACAACATTCAACTCAAGGTTGGCCCTTAAAACCAACCAGAGTCGGATAGATATTTTCAGGAATGTGCAGTGCAGAACATGCAAAAACGTAGAGAAAGGAATGGACTTTCCCTTAGTGTGGATTGGATGAATTGTAGGTATGCTCGCAGTCCACTTTTCAAGTATGGTACATGTACAAGTCGTAGCGGTGCTGTCCGCGCGAATAGAATCAGTTCCGGAACAGACGCAATCCACCTTCCTCGCGATCTTCGTCAGACTCGGCATCACTGGCACTCTCGTCTTCTTCGCCCAGCAAGCCGCTCGCGGATTTACCGAGCAAAGAAGCGAAGAACTCATCTCGAGCTCGAACTGTCCACGAGCCACGGTCTTCGGAGGCCATGAAGTTCTGCAACTTCTCCTGGACATTGAAACGCATCTTGCGGCCCTTGGAGGCTCGCGTATCAACGTTGTCTTTTCTGTTCTTATCGTTGCGCATACCGGTGATGGGGTGGATGGGCAGGCGGGATGGGAGCTGGTGGAGGGTATCAAGGCCACCGGTCATGGCTTCGGAGGACGACATGCGTTGCTCGACAAGATCGCGAAGCAGAGATTGATAGAAAATGGTATCGTCGTAGATGGGTTCAGAAAGCCCGCTAGAGGTGGAGCCATTGGGGACAGTCGTTTGGCGCGCACGTTTGTTTGCACGATCACCGATTTCTGTAGCAACATGTGCATCAAGGACGGCGGTGATAGTCTGAGTACCAGAAACAGAGCCCAGCAGCTTCCCGCGGGCATTGGGAAGGGAGCCCGCGGTGCCGCGAACCTTGGAGGACCACTTGTCGACGACTGCTCGACGGTGAACGAGGGACTCGGACTCCAGGTTAGACATGCGTTCCCAGAGCGAGGTAGTTGAAGTAGAATTGCTAATTGGATCTTGACGTTTGCGCTTTTTGGCCCCGTCTTTAGAATTGGCATCGGCAAGAGCAATACGCAGTTCTTCGAGCGTAGACCAAAGGGCAAGGGCGGCATTCTCGGCAGACTTGATTGCCTCCGAGTTTCTCTTGTCTTCTTCACCACCCTCACCATCACCATCAATCTCTTCCTCAACCACTCCATCCATCTCATTCATCGCTCCCAAGCCCTTCTGCAGCTTGATCCTAGTGTTCAAGAGTGCATCAAACGTGGTACGTTGCTCCTTAACAGCCTTTCCTTTCGCCGCATCTGCTTTGGCTGCTTGCGAGATAGTCGCCGCAATGGTCTTCTGGTCTGACGCCATCAACCGCCGTAGCTCATCTCGATCATCCGAGACTCCTTGCTTGCGCCCGCTGTGATCATGGACAGCCAAGCCAACAACACCGGCAACGCGGCCTTGCCCGTTGCGCCTGGCCGTCGCCCGCGCCCCGAGCTCACCACCCTCGGGTACGTCGTCTTCGTCATTTTTGGCGTCATCCGTATCCAGATCTTCCGCCTCCTCATCCGCATTATGAGAGGACTGTGACAAGTCGTCGTCGCTTGGCAACTCCGTGCTCTCTGGTTCGGACCCCGAGGCGGAGTCGCCATCATCGTCCTGACTGGACGAAAGCTCATCGTCGGTACGTGCCGCAAATGGATCATCGTCGCTCTCTGCATCTAGGTCATCTCTGCTAACGCGAGCGCCCGCATATTGCTTCCCCAGATCGATGAGCTCTTGCTTTCGAAGTTTTCCTTTGCTGTTTGAACCTTAGCAACCGTCGATTCGCTCATATGTAAGTTGAATTCACCTACCCCACAGATTGATAGTGCTCTCTGCCAGCATTCAGATCTGACTCTTTTCCAGCCCCTTCCTCGCCACTTGACTGCTCATCGTGGTCAATATCCTCGGGGTCAAAGTCTGGGACGAGGTTAGCCCACGGTGGCCCACCACCAAAAAAAATGGGTGAGTTCAATCAAACTGCACATACCCTTTGGAGTTGGGTCTTCAAGGTCTGCGAGCTGGTCTGCAAGGGACCGCCCAGCGCGGGGTTTACCAGGAGCCATGATGTGTCGATGGTTGGCAAGAGAGCAAGAACTCTCGGCCAACTTTTTTTTTGTTTATCCGGATAACGGATTAACTTACTGCTTTGGGGTTGGTGCCGATTATCGCTTATCGAGGGCGGTGAAGGGCGGTGAGCTCAACCCGCAGCAGAATAGTTATCATCTTCGGGCTTTTTTGTTGCTCTCCACGTCGCTCCTCCCACTTGTTGTTGTGTTTGTTTTTGTGCTTAACTTACACAGTTACTGACATGCTTTCGCCACAAGCTCACACAATGTCAATCTGCAGGAGGATGTTCTCGACCTCCCGGTGCCTCCTGAGCCATGACAATCCCCTAGTGAGTCTCCAGCTATTACGATCTTGGTCCTCAGGTTGCCTGTTGGCATATTGCGGAGGATCACATACCCAGCCTACATGCACCAAGTTACACAAGCTCCGATCATGCATTTAACTAACTCGTCGCACATCTAGGGCCTTCCTCGTTCCGGTACTCCTCCGCCCTTCCCACGTCGTCGTGGCCTGCCTGAGAAGCGCACGATCCGAGATGTCAAGAAAGTGGTGGCTGTTTCCTCTGCCAAGGGGGGTGTAGGCAAATCGACGGTTGCGGGTTCGTTCTTCCTAGTTGCCAATGCAGTCTTTAGATTGGCTCTCCTGGTCATTCCATCGTATATATTTCTTGGACTAAGCTAAGTAAACATTTGCGTGAGCAGTAAACCTTGCCCTTGCCTTTGCGCGCCGAGGTATCAAGACTGGAATTCTTGATACCGATATCTTTGGCCCGTCTATTCCAACTCTACTCAATTTGTCTGGCGAGCCCCGACTCGACGAAAGTATGACCAGAAATATCATGTTCACAAGGCCCAAGACCGTTAAGCCTTCAAATTGACTAACACTAGATAGACAACTGCCTTGTCCCCCTTACGAATTACGGCCTCAAGTCCATGTCAATGGGCTACCTCCTCCCACAAACACAATCCGATAGTGCCACCGGTGAAGTGCCCATGGATACAACCCCGATCTCCTGGCGAGGCCTCATGGTCACAAAAGCATTGCACCAGCTACTCCATTCCGTTTCCTGGGGGCCACTCGACGTTCTCGTCCTGGATCTTCCACCAGGAACTGGCGACGTCCAACTCACAATCAATCAAGAAGTCATCATCGACGGCGCCGTGATCGTAACGACTCCTCAAGACATTGCACTTCGTGATGCAGTTCGTGGTTTTGGCATGTTCCAACGTATGGATGTTCCCGTTCTCGGTATGGTCCGCAACATGGCCTACTTCGCATGCCCGAACTGTGGCCACCAAACCCAGATTTTCTCGCACGGAGATGGACACCACTCACATGGCGAGAATCGTGGCGTGGTAGCAGAGTGCAAACGGCTCGGAGTCGACTTCCTTGGTGATATTCCTCTTGATGCGAAGGTGTGTGAAGACGCAGACCGAGGGATGCCGACGATGGTGTCGGAGGAGAGCGTGGAAAGGAGTGCCCGACGCCAGGCTTTCCTCGATGTCGCTAAACAAGTGGCTAAAAAGATTGGTCTGCCCTGGGACTAGGATCAGAGACCCGATTTCTTTCACGATTGTATTATTCTGAAGATTCCCCCCCGTGGGTGTGTACATTTTACCTTCTTCCTGGCCCATTTCAACTAGCGCTGGTGGCCTACGCTCTGCACGATAGCGTTCTTGTTCTGTACCAACAGATTTTACATCTCTAAGCGGTGCTATTGCTGCCGCTCGTAGATATGTCTAATGGATCGAGGCTTATTCACCAAGGTCTAAGCTGATTCCTTGGTACATTGATATCATATGTCCACCGGATACGTTTCAAAGTGCGAGTGTTGGGTTCCAAATCGTTATTGCCTTAGCATTGAGCATTTACGAGAAGTTTACAGGCGCACTCTCCTCTGAATATGTGAATCAGACACATTGAGAAAATACTCGTATAGGCGACAACCATCGCTGCCATTCGAAGGGTATATCCGACATAGAAAATAGATGACAAAAGATCGAGATATGGAGTGACAAGATGCAACAACCAAGCAAAGAAAAGACGATAGTCCTGATAGATGTCCGTGTATATGCCAAGCAAAATTCGGACATGGATATCAATGGGTGTGAAAAGGAAGGACTCGTTGCACGTGTATGGCAATGAGATCCAAAAGAACCAATAATTTACAGCGCTTCCTGGGCCGTTTTGAACACTTCTCTCTCAGGCATATCCGGTCGATGAGATGTGGAAGTTCGACTATCGTTGGCAGTAGTAGAAACAGCATCCGCATCTGAGTGATGCGCACGTAAGGATGCAGTATCAGTAGAGATTCGACCGCTATCCCTTGAATTGACCAAGCCAACTACGCCTCTGGCACTTAAAACAGCGCGTGTGCTAGCGGCGTCAGTCGCAGTACCTGGGACCGCACCCAATTCTCTGTCGCCACCGACGGTGCTGGCATCTTCGCCGTTATCGGACATGAACTCACTTCGACCTGCTACTGAGCCACCAACCGACGATGGTCTGCCTTTTAGATAAGGTAGAGAAGCATCGGATGACATGGGCAAGGTTCCTGCGGCGTGAAAAAGCGCCCTGGTACTTGCGTTTTCCTCGTTGAACATGAGGTTGTCAACACCCGGGAGCACGAGAATAGGGCCGCCACTTCTCTCCGACGGGGGGCGCAAGGAAGTTGATTCAGAGGGACGGCTAGGGGCAGTCTCTCTGTTCCACTGCTTCTTCTCATTGGGGGTATCCCAAGTAACCGCTGGGGTTCCGCCTGTTGAGCTTCTCCTGGCATCCGTCTCGAGCCTGCTCTGAGGGTTCTTTTGGGGGACACTTGAATACGAACCAGCTTGTCCAGCATCCACGCTGCGACGTGTCGTAGTCTGACCGGACTTTGCGGCTTCGTCTGCTTTTTCCATGGTCCGTTCATCATGTTTGCTACCCCAACCGCTCCAGAGCATCAATCCGTAATTCTTCTTGGCGTGCCACTTTGGAAGTACACCAGGAGCCGCACGACGAGCAGCCAGGGAGCTTGGAGGCGGGCATTCACCCTCGAAATCCTGGAAGCCATGCGCCATCTCTTTGATTCGCCGGCTCTGGACCCGGAGCTTCTCCCTGGAGAACTTCTGATCCCACTCATGCTTGGCCTCGAGCCACTTCCGGATTAACTCTGGGTTCACTGCTCCCACCTTTGCGGGCGGAGTTGCCAAAACGGGATAGGATGACGGCGGGTCGAGATGATACATATGACCACGCTTATCAACTCGTTGGCGAATCATATATTGGTCAAAAGCGGGAAGAGGATCGCCAGCTTTGCCGACGGAGAGTCCAGCTGGAAAGGTCGGCTTGTGTGCACCTGCGATGCCTGCCAGACTATCTGGGCTTTCTGATTCACTTGATGAGACTGGAGAAATAAGATTCTCATCCATGATATCCACCTCGGTCTTCTGTGCACGTGCTAACGCCCAGGAGCCAAATTGAGAGATTGAGCGGAACATATACTTGGCCGGCCGAGTGAAGCTGAGCGTGGGAGCTACATGGCACAAGTTGTCCCAGACTTGGAGCTGGACGTATGTTGGCTCGTACTTGCTCAGTGTTTCACGGTCAGGATCAAACTCGTCAAGATATACGTCGCCGGGAGGATAGGCGCTTGGATTGGCCGCTTTATGGGCCACATAAAACTGTTCATCGCGAAGGGTCTCGCCGCCACCGCTGATCACTTGAAGTGGCGGAAGACCTCCCAATGATGGCTGAAGAATGGGTGATACCAGAGGGTGGGATATCAGTTGATTTGTGGCGTACATCTGGATCTGATCTTTCAGTTCAACCGTTTTCCCTTGTAGAACGACATGGATGTTTTCGGGCTCGCCATGCAGGGTGCCCGGGTCTGAGGTCTGCTGCATGCCCGGATAAGCAGGTCCCTCGGTGGGGGTCGTCTTCTCGTGAAGTGTATAACCGCGAATAGCGGTGTCTCGGGCATCCTTATTTGCGGTCGGTCCGGCATCCTCGAGGTCCTTGGCTGTGAAAGTTTCTTTGCGGGATAGCTGCTTGATCTTCAGGATCTCGTCGGCATTGGGCGGAGGCCAGGCTGCGGAGGGCTTATATCGGAATCCGTAGGCCGGGATATAATCCCCAGGGTTGTCCTTAACGATGCTTGGGAATGAGTGTGTCAAATCGACCCACGGCGAAATGAGAATCGCGCCCGCGGGCAGCGGAATGCCTTGGTCGCGCATGATGACCAGCAGTGACAAGGCCATGCCACCACCGGCGGAGTCTCCGGCGAGAATAATCTCCTTTGAATCGTAGCTTTTCAGTAACCAGAGATATGCCGCCAGACAGTCCTGCAAGCCACACGGGAAGGGGAATTGGGGCGCCAAGCGATAGTCGGGCGCGAAGACGCGACCCCTCAACTTGCGAGCATGACGCTGCAGCATATATCGATGCGTATCGACACTCCCAAAGAAGTACGCTCCGCCATGAATATACAGCATAATCCTGTTGCTCCGGGCATTGGACTTCTTCATCTCGTTGTAATGGTTGCGCATCTCGATCCATTCGCCCTTGAGACCCTCGGCCGGACCTCGCCATTGCCACCATTTCTCTCCTCCAACCCGTACGAGACCCTTGGGGCCAAGTTGTTTCGTGAGTGCATCTGCCGCGGAGGCTAGGAACTCTTCGGGTATTGTGATTGACTCCGTCCTCACCCAATGCGGGCTGGGGACCGACTGGCGCGTGAACGCCTGGATATCTTCGACCGGGTGTTTCGAGGCATAGTTGAGGAATTGACGAATAACTTGAATACCTTCATCGTAGGTAAGGTGGACGGTCGGCTGATTATGGCGCGATTTGCGGTGTCGGTACTGCAAACGGTTCAGACAATTAGCACGAGGGTTCATATACAGTTCGTCTATCGCGTCAATCGTAGACCCACATGATTGATTAACGTGTGGATGACGGTAGGAGTCAAGGCCGCGCCCAACGCGACGGTATGCAATGGCATGACTGCGCCATTCACCCGTCGAGGTTAAGGAAGAGTGGAAGAGGATCAAGATGGGACACTCGACCAGGTTTATAGAATGCCAACTGGAAGGGGCAGACCGAGGCCCGACGTCATATCCAGGAGATGTGCGGAACGACGCTCAGCCACCGCGCGAATCATGCACGCTGAATGGCAGGGAGCTTTCAGGCGAAGCGGAGTAAAGCATCAGAGTCCAAGTGGGTCAATTCAGGTCCAAGCGGCCAAGGGGAGAAGCAGAAACTGCAACTAAGAATCCAAGTAAATGTGGGGACAAAAGCATAATATAATATGTAATGCTGCATAGCATGCAAGAATATTCTGTTCCTGACGAGCTGCTGGTTAACTGGCCAGTTTTAGGCTAACTATGGCTTCAACCAACCCACGTTGGATCACCCATTTCAACAAGCTTCTAGAGTCATGGCTATATTCTATAACCAATACGTAATCAAAACCATGTTGACAATACCTATCACGACTGAAACCACAGTACTTGTAGTTGTAGGGGAGTGTTGGCGGCCTGATAAATAAGGCATTCAAACGGCGTCATTCCCAAGGATGTTGAGGTCTACATCTCCTTGGCCGAATAAATGGTTATTATGATCCCCGTAAGGTAGATGATGACCCGGGTATTTAGGAATCCTTTTTGTTTGTGATTTGATTTATGGCATGCCGTCTCGGGATTTGCACTATTCAGTATCGAAGACAAAACCATAGATTGGCTGACAAGTTTGACAAAGTTTAGATTTCTGGAGTCAACCTGATCAGATAATCGTACGGTATACTTATAAACCGAAATCGCTTTGGATCGTGACTTGTTTGTTTCTCGCCGATTTGACTCCCTTCGTACGCTCTCTTTGTACAACTCAAGGCCGCACGTCTCTACTACATACAGCCTCGACTAGCGTTAAGAGAATAATTTGTTTGTACGCGTGGCTTCGGTATTCTTAGACCTATTTTGTACTCACTACAATCATTAGCCTAGTGTTACCATAGTCGAGCTTTGATTGCATCCGCACAGTGCCTGTCGCTTCTTATTCCCCACTGCTTCCACTGCATTCCAATCTCAATTCGATGTGGCCCGTTGCCCAGTCAAAATGACAAACGCCACGTAACCTATCCCAATGACTCCTGCTACCGTTCCATAGCCAATCACCGCTGCCTTGGGTACATCAGAAGAACCGATTCCTGTGAGCTCAAATCCAAAACCTACATTCACCACTCCCAGGATAATCATGACTCTCCCGAGCCACCGGTGCAAGTAAGCAAAGGGACCCTTGTCGCCCGTCCTCCGGAAGTATCGGTGCTGTAGAAGACCCATGCCAGGCTGGAAGAGAACCAGACATCCTACAACCACCATGCCGATGATTGCGTGGTGATGTTTCAGAAGATGAACATCCTTGGCCATTGCAACTCCAAGTCCAAAGCCTGCAATAGTCACGGCAAGCGTGAAGAGCTGCAGCGAAGCATGAATTTTCACAACTTGAGAAGACCGCAAGATACGGAGTATTAATGCGGATAGGGGAAATAACAAGCCAAATGCGACTATCATCAAAACTGCGTGAGCGGTCCTCTTCCTATCGAAGCCTTCATGGTCAAAGACCTCTGGGAAAGCGCTCGTAATCGAAGACTTATCCAAGTTGACAAATGGATTCTCACTGTCTGGTCCCGTTGCTTTAGTCAGATTGACGAAGAACGTACCATAGACATCATGCTCTGCAATCCTCGCTGTCACACTCTTGGTATTCAACGGTGCTCCGTACTTGACAGCCCAGATCCAGGGACTGAAAGTGTCGGTCAGATTCACCATGCCACCGCCAGGAAGGCTGCAACTGTCACACCGGACATTAGCGGTGATGACTCCATCGTGTACCCCGCTTCCATTAATGAGTGAGGCCTGCGTATGTCTGTCGTACAACGGCTCATAATGTCCCTTGCCTGCTCGCGGAGAGAGAGTAACGATGTCACTCGAGGTATACACCACGAACATACTAGAGCCGTGCATAGCAACTCCTTGTCCCAACGCAAACCACTCCACAGAGCTTGTAGAGTTCATCTGAAAGTATATGGGTCCCAGGCTGGAGTTAGATGTGCCATGAGGGACACGAATTGTGTATGTGAGCTCATCATTTCCGAAAGGGTTGAAGCCCTGGAACTGTGCCGCAACAGAAGAGAGTGAAGGCAGCCATTGGAAGATGAGAAGGTGCACTCGTCGCATTTTCCTGACGTGAAATCCATTCCCTCCTACTGGAAAGGGAGGATACAACGGCTCATAAGTATTTTAACGTGAGAAACGCTCACTGTTAGGATAGTTACACAATGCCTTCTCTCCAGGCAGCTGTTTCTATGTCAGCTGGATCCACGAAGTGGACAACGAACAACCTCATACCTATCAATCAATAGCATTCCCTCCGCGGGCATCCCTGTCAACTGCTTGGGTACAGTGAGATTGGTGTGACCGACAGGTTACCAAACCAAGCACACCCTGGATTGGGGAGGGATTCAAAGAGATCCACGATTGTAAGTCATTAACCACGATATGCCAAGCAATTTCAAAGTCGAACATTACGCAGCGTTCTATGCTGCGCCGCCAGAAACGTCGGATAGTAAGCTCTGCGATGGTGATGACTTACCTACATACAATCTTTTAAAATTGAACCAATACCTTAAATTGCCTAAGGAAACTTGGTGGAGATTAGCTTTTCTCGGTAGATCACAAGGCTCATATTGAGGTACGTATGATTGAACGCGTGGCGTCTTTCAGGGCGTGTTGCTAAAAGTGAAAATGTGGCGATATAGGAGACTTACAATATCAGATCTTTATGATACATATCCATATTTAACTTAATCGGTACTTATTGCAGATTAGCCAGGCATGGGAGAGCTTTATGTTGAATCCTAGTCTTAGATTGAATAATGTGGACAGCGTTCTGCACAAACATCGCAGTTCTAGCCATCGTTCTTCCTGAACCACCCAATAGGAAGAATCAATCCCATCATCGTCACCTGTGAAAATAGCCGCTTGTTTGGGCTAAGGTCTTACAGGTTGGAGGAATACCGTGGCACAACCTCGAGCGTAAAAGTGAAAAATGCGAAAGGCCAGCTCGGCGTGGGAGAGTCCAAGTACAAAGTTTCCAATGGTATCCCCGAGATACCAAAAGATTCGGAGTGTAGCTGTTAGGACTGGTTCCCCTAACGTTACATGCGCTACTTATATTGGTCCCGATCATGCCAGAACAGTATGTTCTGACATATTTGGTCTTTTAGCTTGTTCGATTAGCGGGTCTGGGCGCATGTCGTAAGAGTAGCGCTACATCGTATACGCTAGATAGGCTAGCTGATATACTAAATTTATTTATGAGGCGGATTATATGCGCAGATTGTATAGCAGATTAGTTCGAATTATAGAGGTTAAAATACCTAATGGGGGTGGGGGAGACCCCTCTACCCCCCTTTAGAGCTGCTGGGTTAATCTTGATCGTGTATAGTTAGGTGATGTTACTGCCTGAAGTCTTAGGCATCAAACACAGATATTTGATATCACTTCGATGCACTGTAGGTTACCGCCTGATCATGACCAATCAAACCCTTAGGATTATTTCATAAGTGAACCAATGAGCATCCTCTATTTATCTCGAAATTTCACCACCATCTTCCCTACACCCCTTTACTTAAGAAGTAATAAGCTTCGCTACGCTCCGCAATAATCATTAATAAAAAGTTTCATGTTCTAGAAAGTACTCCCCAGGTTATAGCGTTCTACAAATCGGGGCACGTTCACTCCGAGCAGAATATCCTTTATCCCGCAAGATGTACGGAGTACTCCGTACGGAGTAATAATAAATCTGTACTCAGTTGTACCGGAATTCACGCTGTTTCAGTCGACTCCGGTGTGTGGACCGATTGCCGATCTCGGAAAGTGGATCTCCACTTGTCGCCGAGATGAAGATCTACAACCTGGCGTCCTAACCCAGAGAGCAAAATGGAACAATACTATTTGCCCGGCCTGAACGCCCGAACCCACTCTGTCAGCTAAGCAAAGCACTATTGCTCTAAAATCCACTCCTGGGTTGGAAATTCAGGGGAGAAACAAGCGAGCGTTGAGGCAAATGGATTGGCTGTTGGGATTCTTTCTCTTTACGGGATACACCGAGCTTTGCTTGGAAGATTCCAGATCTCACCCACGTGCAGATCGAGGATATACTTTGCATACTTTTTCCCCTTCTGGTGGAACTGGTATGCGGGGTGAGAGTCCAAGTCTTATTGATCCTTGCAGTTCGTGGTATGGTCCACTGGGTATAGATTGTATAGAGTTATCCACAAAGAAGAGGGGTGCAAACACGATGCATCTTCAAACATGAGCGATCATATATTAGAAAAGTAATAAAATGAGCAGATATGCCAGTAACGTAAATAAAAAATGGATCATATATACAGTGAATGCCCTGTAGGGCGAGTAAAATCATACAGCATAAACAAGCCCCTAGCCACTCCGGCGTGAACTTTCATCCATAGTGTCTGCTGGTGTTGCGGGCTCATGAGATATCTCAATGGTGGTCTCTTGGTACACACCGCCAAAGTTGGACATTTCCACATCATCATCCTTCGGGACAATATCGTCCGTCGAGTTCTCGAATGGACTATTTTGGGCCTCTTTCTCATTAACAGTAGGCATACTCCGCCGAAACTTTGAGCCCAACCGAGATCCCATGCGGAACCCACCCTTTCGAGAACGAGACCCATTGCCACCAGTTGCGGTAATGTTGGTCTGCCATTGAGAGTCGGTGTTCTCGTAATAGCGGTCGGTCGTGCTGTGCTCGGTATCCATGATCAGATGGCGACGAGTGACGGTGTAAACAATAACGTCCATAAGACCAGACAGGGCCATCAAGGAGCCAGCGACAGCAAAGTAAGTCTTGCTGGGGGAGTTCCCACGAGCGGTTGCCATACGGCCTGCCGCAAGAGGCAGCGACAAAATGACATAAACAAGAGGGTATATGACCATGTAAATCACAACACGGTTGAGACGTTGCAGGCTCTCTTGCTGGCCACGGTGGAGTATCTTCGCTTGTGTCATTCGGCGTCGAAGGTAGAAGAACATGATCGTGTAGAGGACGATTGTACCGAACTCGGAAAGGAAAATCCAGAAATAGTGACCCCAGAGTCGTTCATTTTCGTGTTCGGGGCTTATCCAGCACTGTGGAAGTAAACACAAGTTAGTCGGCTTGTGCTTAAGCGCAATGAAAGTAAAGGTACATACCCAATTGGCCTCCGAGATGACAAACACTTTGGAGCCATATAGACCAACCGGAATGAATCCCAAGATGAGAATAAACATCCATAACCCAATCACACAGAGCACAAAAGTGTTAAATGGCAATTGGCGACCACGCAGTACCACGGCACCCGTATGTAGCGCAATAGACAAGACGAACAGGCCACTACCGGGGTCGCCTGTCTGAATCCACCATCCTTGCAAATAGCAGGCGGCCTCGCCAAAATGAACACTACCACGGGACGCCCAGTGCAAACTGATAAGAAACGCAATGGCTTGCTGTAGGTCGACGAGCAGGAGATTGTAAATAAGCACGACGTATTGGTTCTGAGCAAGCGGGCGCTTATAGTACCGCTGCCAGTAAATGAATCGGTAGGTAAGGAACGACAAGAGGCCAAGAGTTGAACTCAATGAGAGAATGGCTATCACACCCATAACAAAAAAGAGCGAACGATTGGTACCCTCGACGGGAGACTCCTCGCGAAACTCCCAGCGACGGGCGAGGGAGGAGTCGCCTCCATCAGCGTAGAGAGCACGCAAAGCGTGGGTTAGCATGACCATGATAGTAGGGAGTTGAGTTGTGTCCCTAAGTGCGTGAAACCCCCATCAGAGGGGCAAAGTCCTGGTTTGTATAAGGAAAAAATACCATTTAAAGGAAAGGCTCCTCCTGACTGAACACTTGAGCCATGAAGCGGCCTGCGCCGTGTTTGATTATCCACAATAGTTCGGCTTAGCAGGGCAAAGCTTCTTGCCTCCACTCTCCTGACTATCGTCATCCATGATTTTTGATCAGAGGAACAGAGAAAGCGGAGATACCCTGTCCACCACTGTCGTAACAGCTGTATTGTGCAGCACCTAAAGGGATTATGGATAAGGAGTGGCAGCGATAAAGTGGAGAACTGCTGGCGGCTGTCTCTGGTTCACTGCATCGAAGGGAACTTCTACCGAGCCCTATCTCCACATCTCCATCGTTCAAGCGCGATAGGGTATGGTGGCAATTTGTTCCGAAAAATGCGGCGTCGATCGCTTGTCCGAAGACTCGATTTAAGTTTCGCCGGCGCGAAATCAAGCGCTCGTGTCACTCCAATGACCCGCATTAGGCTACGACAACGCCATCGTCCTGCCATTAGGGTGGATTCCCCTCGTATTGACCCACGGTTGGGGGCACAGGGACGGGAAAAAAAGGCACAGTTTGAGCAAGATGCTTTGTTTACCGCCGTGTGCCAAAATCAATAATGGCTTGTTAGTCAATCACGTGCCTCTTGGGGCGGCGAATGATAGTCCAAGACAGAGAGTCAAAGGCTGAAGTGACCTGTGATAGGCACAACCACAATACAAAATACAATAATTCAAATCCTGAAGATTAAGTTGTGCCGAGTACAGTAAGACGGCCAGGGGGTAAATCATGACGCACCCCGGCGGCATCGGGATACCCGACCGTGGGCGACTGACTGCCAGAGAGCATTTAAACTCCTGAATGCTCTTTTCTTGTTAGGATATCTCCCTTTTATGAGCTAAGACACTTCCTGAAGTTCACTGGAATCCTCATAAGAAGCTGACGATCCATAATGTGGAGTATAATACGAAGTAAATCGCTGATTATAGCCGGCAGCGGGGTGAATGGATGTCAGGACCTTTTTCTGATACCGAGGGACTTGGAGTTGAGCTCGAGCCCCCTCTTATATTGAGATCTAGATTCCAAGTGAAATAGCTCCTGTTGATACTTTTGGCAGAAAGAAGGAGCGCCAGTAGTATACTATGCGACTGATATTTTTTTTATGAACCACAAGTAACAGATTACATAGAAGATTACATAGAAGATGACAAGCATCTGAGAAAAGCCACTGGTTTTCATGAGTCGCCTATTACTGGTTGTTGATAGCAGAGCAAGTACAGTCGGGGAAGGGATCCCTCTAGACCCCACCGGAAACTCTCCGTGCGAAGATTGTATTATTGCAATTTGCAACTTCGGCCCAACGAAGCTTGCCCCACATTCTAGATATCGTAAGAGGAGTCCGGCTTAGTTCAGATCACCGCGTCAATCTATGAAAGACGTGCGCATTCTATTGGAGGCGCCACTCTCAAACAGTTTAGTAGTTAACTATTCACTAATCATTTGTCATATCGAGCCGTCGAACTAACTATGAGAGGGAAGAACATGATGTAATTCATCGATAATGTCTTCGAGGGCCTGCAGATGGCTGCCAGTTTATGCGTTGATATCAGCGCCCCCGGCCAGATGGAAGAGCAAAAGCTTTTGCCTCCTTACACTCTTCCTCTCGGTGTGTTCGTCATCGATGGTTTCCACATTGAATAGGAAAGATTTTCGATATACGTGAAATGCTGCAATCCCCGTTTTTTACACTGTGGAGTAAGAATGAAGTTCGTTATGTCGTGGATGTATCAATACCATATCTCATATTTCGGCTGCAGGATGTAAACAGCCTCCATTTGATAGTCACACAATAACCCCTGCGTCTTGGAACAAGCTCCAATTGTCCTGATTTTATGTAGACTGATATAGATTCCCCTTCGGCAGATTCCTTGTTAAGTCAGGCCCTGCGCCGTCTATCCCTTTACCTATAAGCGGTCTATGGGTATACCGATTGACTCTGTTTCCCTTTTACTTGTGTACTTGCGTCCTGACCGCTTCTGTGCGCAAACGTAGATGACGCCATCATGTCTTCCCAGACAGAATGAATACAATGCGTGAGATGCCATCAGGTTAACGAAATAGACCGTAATTCTCAGCCTCGTCGCTCGTTAGAGGCCTTAACAGAGCACCTTGCACTTCAGCTTTGAGTACTTGTGTACCTACTGGATATTTTCTTAGCATTTGGTCCTGTTCTCTTAATTTTATCCTTACATTCCTGCTGTTTGGATAGACAGATCACTCATTGTGCATTAGGCTCCCAGCTCGCAACGAGTTGTGTAGCCAGTTTGGTCGACAATCTTCTCAGAGACCTTCTTTCGTTGGACAATCGCATCCTGCACCCAAGGGAAGTTCTTTGTCAATTCCGGTTTCGGGTTTGATACTTGGATATTTTAGTAGATTGCTCACCTCTCAGGATCCGAACCCTGTTCTGGGATCATAGGAAACCTGTACGCCCTATAACTCCGATGAAGCTGCTCAATAAAATTTATTGAGAACAATATTGGACGTCACCATTAAGCGCTTTTTCTTAACCTGAGTGGTTGCTATCAGCCAAGTCTGAAGGGGCTATTCAGGTCGACCCTATTTCTTAAGCTACAGGATAGATTGGACGTTGAACAAGCCTGGCTACAGCGGAAAAATAGACCATTGAACTCGAAATTGTCTAATAAAGTCCAGAGTGATAGCAGGCAAGAACACAGGCTGTATTAATCTTCAAAGAATTGACCCCGGTTCGGTAAAAGACTAGCTGATAATACTAAACTAACTAGACTTGAAATTGAGAGTTAATAATAGGTGGTACGGACATGGAGATACATCAAAAGATAGATAAAGGTCAAAGTTGTCGACGAGGACAATAGCTTTGCTGGAATGAAATAAAGCAAGTATATAGATATTTCTTGTGCAATGTCCTTCAACAATTAAGTCTCCGTGGCGCAATCGGCTAGCGCGTCTGACTGTTAATCAGGAGGTTGGAAGTTCGAGCCTTCCCGGGGACGATTCTTTTTTTGGTCTTGGTATTTATTGTTCATCTATACAGAGTCTCTCTCTCACTTTAGTCTTACTTTTTCCTCTTTCTTTTCTCGAATCACTTATGAAATTTCCATCGATAACTCTGACTCAGTATCCCAAATGCGGCGAACATAGTACCCCACGTTCCCAGTGCGTCGACAGGGCGAATGTAACCTCAACGCTTGGTAGACATCCATCCGCAGGTAATAATCCGCGGTACACGGTGACATGAGAACAATCAGTCGACATATCAGATACCCCCACTGTATGTTGATGCACATGATCATCGTCAGTCACACTATATCCGCTCTTCGGCCAAGAGTTTGTGTCCTCATGTCTCAGTCTCTCGTCCACTGCCCGTATCCTCCCCGCCCCGCACGGGAGGCCTGTCCCATTCCAAGATACCGCTTTCTCTCCTCAACTATTACGGCCTGGTCATCGGCTGATGAGTCGGTATCCGCTTTATGTCTAAGACTTGCACCGGATGCAGGCCTGTTTTTCATATTCTCGAAATAGTAGCACGCCTGGGTTGCCTGATGTCTGGTGGTTCGAAGATATATAAACGCATCGATGTAGGCATTAGGGACTCTGGGATATACTTCAACAAACCATCCACACTCACCCATCGCGAACTTAGCTATACACCGAAGGCCATCGAAATCAACACCGATTAAATCTCCACATACAACCATCATCCAATTCACAATGAAGTCTTTCATCGCTCTCTCCTCCGCCATCCTGGCCTCTCTCAACCTCGTCGCCGCTGTCCCAGCACCCTCCCCCGAGGCAGTCTCAGTCTCAGTCTCATACGACACAGTCTATGATGTCGCCGGCTCCTCCTTGAACACAGTCGCCTGCGGCAGTGTCCTCGCCGGGAAGTACCCTACATTCGGGCAGTTGCCAGGCTTCCCTCACATTGGCGGTGCCATCACCATCGCCGGCAATGGCAGCCCTAGCTGCGGAAAATGCTACCAGCTGCACTACACTGGCAATGGAATCGACAAGACCATCACCGTTCTTGGAATTGACACTGCCCCTGCTGGATTCAACATTGGCCTCAAGGCCATGAACGACCTCACTGGTGATCAGGCTGAGCAGCTGGGTCGTGTCCAGGCCACCTACACCGAGGTTGATATCTCCCAGTGCGCATAAGCATTGGAAATGGGATGATAAATATGTTACGTGAGAAAGGATATGATAGCAAGGTTGGAATCGTCGTGGGTACTGGTGGATGAGATAAGATGAGATGACGAGTGAGGTTTATCAAATGCATTTCGGTTTAGTTTGTCCAGATTAATATACAAAGCATGAAGCGTTTATCCAATCACTTCAAGCATTTCTTCCACACGCCCAAACTTGTCACGAATTTTTCCCTTTCGTTGGCCTCGCTCTCGTTCAGCTGCATCGATACGTTGCCAGTCCTGCCAAGAAGTTGTGCGTAAGCCGAGGCTAGCAGCCTCAGCCTTGATTCCATCCCAGCCAAGGCCACTGCTTTGCTCGGGGTCCTCTAATAGTGATTGAGAATCTTTCTTGGTTGCCAGATCTTTCACCAAAGTATCCGCAGTGGTGAATGCATCAGCCATAGTGGAGGCAATGACACCCGTCGGGCCACGCTTGACCCACCCAGCGCAATACAGGCCGGGCAGATGGGTGATCAATGAGCCGTCGGGCAGCTCTTGGGACTCACCCAAACCCGACGGGCTCGTGACCCGACCGAATCCATCATTGGGAATGATTCCACGCCGAGAATCAAATTCAATTCCCAGATCCTCCAGGCCAGGCAAGGGAAGCGACTTGTAACCGACGCTGCGGAAGAAGACGCTCGAGGGCAAGTTTACCATAGCGCGTTTGCCACTGGATAGGTACTTGGGCGTTATTTTAGAGCTGGGGCTGTAACGGTCTGCAGGGTCGAGTTCATTGCGGGAAAATTTGGTGTGCATGAGGCGGTATGGGTGCATGGGCGACCAGTGCAGGGAGTCGGGAGAGAGAAGGAAGTCCAAGGACCACGATTTGGTCGCTGTATGGGGATCGTTGGCAGAACCTTTCGCAAGAAGCTGCATCAGTCGTTTCTGTGCCCGGGGTAATCCATTGATTACTTCCTCCGGAGGGAGAACATCCTGCGGAATGGGGTCGAAGGACACAGACGGAAGCTGAAGAAGCTCTCGAATTTCTTTGATGGTAAAAGACGCCTAAAATGTGCAATTTGTTAGAACAGACCTGAATGCTTTGACTGTGGGAGGTGGGGATATCGACCTGCAACGGTCCTCGGCGACCAACAACTCGTACGCGCTTAATGCGGCTCTTGGAGAGTGTCTCCACCGCATAGTCGGCAATATCAGTCCTTCGGAGTGTATCTACATCCGAGAGTAGGATCCTAGCAACATCGAGTGCCACATTACCCTGGCCAACGATAACCGCATCCTCGCCGCTGGTCAGGTCGGGCTGCAGATCGCGATGCTCGGGTAGACCATTGTACCATCCGACAAAGGCCCGGGCCGAATACACGCTACGCAAGGCCTTCTCTCCAGGTATACCAAGTTCTTTATCTTGAGAAGCTCCATATGCGAATAGGATGGCATCGTAATGGGGCTTGAGTGCAGCGAGAGGAAGGTCGTTGCCGAGGTCGATATTGCCGACAAAGTTGAAGCGGGGAGATGTTGCAACCTCTGTGAATTTATCTTCGCAATTCTTGGAAGCAAAAATTAGTCGATCATCATCCACCCAAAGGCACATTGCGATTGTTCAATGGTAATTGTATACGTTGTGTGCTGCTGAATACGCACCTTTACTTCGGGATGATCCGGGGCAACTCCATATCGTGCCAGTCCGAATGGTACGGGGAGCTTCTCATACATATCAACGACCGCATCCTGATGTTTGCTCAGTAGGCGTGATGCTGCATAAAATCCTGCAGGGCCGGAGCCCACAATCGCGACGCGGACTGGTCGATCAACTTGAGCGGCATGGCTGCTTAGGCGGCGGACTGAGTATGGAAGCACCAGCTTCTGGGTCGACCTTAGCACGGACGGCTGACCCAATCGTGTTGTGCACTGGGCACATACGAAGGCCCCCTCAAGCATGGTATATGCAGGGTAAGGACGAGTGAATCACCCGCAGTTTTTTTGAGGTTTCGGAGCTTCGGAGGGTCGGAGTCAACCGCGGGAAATGGGAGCTTATCGTGGCTTATCAGATGGCACGTCCACACGTGACCGTATACTCATCAGGCGTTGCCGGGCCAACTATCTTGTTGATCGCCCTCTCCGCATGCTCTGAGCTCGTCGTCACTGTCAGATCGCATTCCAACTCCTCCATTCTTCATCCATCCACATTCCCTTTCGCTTCAGATTTCCACTTCCCGATCTCCACGTTTCGCGTGGCTTTCCCGGGAGCCTCCATTCGCTACCATGGGCAGATCGGAGCCTCCATTCATTTACGATCGCCCAACCACCTACAGCTTCTATGGCCCATCTGACCCAGCCTTTAACCCCAAGGCCGTGACACAAGCAAGCCGAGCTCGCCCACCACCACGGCCTACACAAAAGGGCCCGTTGGTGAATATCAATCGACACCCAGACTCGGTATGTCGCGATTCTAGTGGCACGGATACAAGATCGATTGTTACTAACAATAGTTTGCAGTGGGGCAGCCTCGACTCAAAGACAACATGGATACCGATGAGTCCCCAGACAAAGAATAGAGTCAATTTTGCGCGACGCACACAGTTGGTCTTACGAGTGTTCACCCTCTTGGGGGCACTTGGATCCCTGTTCTGCTCTATTGTGATCAACAACGTTGCGACAACCGTCATCTGGATCATTCGGGCTGGTGTAAGTGATGCAGCGCAGACCCGCCTAGACTTGACCGCTAATTGTTTCCTAGCCCATTGTTGCAATTCTTCATACTCTCTATGGCACCTACCATCTCTGTCGCTCTCCAGTGAACCGGCCCCCCGCTTCGCAAGCTAGCTATGGCTTGTTTGCCTCCACTTTGGATGCGGGGCTTATCCCGTTCTATGTGTTTACTGCCTTCATGGCTCATGGAGAATACACCAGCGATGCCTACAATTGGGGCACACTATTTGATAACGATACCGTGACCATTCAAGTAGCCGAAGCCACTTTTATCTGCGCCCTCGCCAATGGCGGGCTGCACCTCGTTTCGCTTGCCTTGTCGATCTTCTTGGCTGTTATGTTCCGCAAGATCTCTCATTTGCCTCCAGATATGAACCCACTGGAAGACAATTTGACTGCTCGTCCTCGCAAGAGCCGCAAGGAAATTGATGTGGATGAGAAGCATCTTAGCTCGTCCACCCTCCACTCGATTCTCGAAGACCCGCTCATTGGTCCTCCCCGCTCTATGCCGTTCGTGCATACTCGTGGGCAATCTTTGGCCAGTGACTCTAACCGTGGATCAGTAGATATGATGAACGTGAATCGTCAATCCGTGGTATCCGCGCATCCCCACCGGCTTTCGCACTTGGAGCCATCAAGCCCCGAGATGTTGTTCCAGCACCCTGCCAATCAGCCATACGATTTTACATCGGATGCCCCCGCTCCAGAATACCACAATGTGGCAGCCCGCTCACCCGAGGTCGTAGATCCTGCTACTCATACCCGTCACTTGGCATCTCGCACTGCAGATAGATCAGACTCGGTCAGCCCATTGTCCGGTAATTGGGTCGCATACCCTGATCGCACTCCATCTCCAGTCAGTGAAGCCAATATTGAGAACGAAGCCGATCTTCGCCAATCATCGTCTGTTTACAGTCGCCGCACCATCTCCACAACCACTTCACAAGGTGGGAATGGCTTCCGAGACTGGTTTGCATATGGACAGAAGCCTGCGAGTATTGGAAGCGTAATCCCGGAGGATACTCGTGGAGAATATGCATCATTGGCAATGCATGAACATTATGGAAACGACGAAGACAAGTACGAGAAGGACCTCGGTGATCGCCGCTTTAATATTTTCCCCGACCCTGAAGAGCATGACCGCGACCGTGATGATGACCGCTCTCCTGGTCTTCCCTTCAATCCTCTGATGCTTAACCCACCGACTCCCCAGCCAATTCTCACAGGGAAGACCGAAGACACTGATCCCGTACGACGCAACGTATTGACCGACAATACGAACATCTCCAATGAGCAAGGTCAGGTCGTTGACCAGGATGAATCGGCTGACTCCCCGTCATCAAAGACTCGTTACTATGGAAATCTGGACGAAGAAGGCAAGCCAGGTCTGGACATGTCACGGCACATTAGTGGCCAAGACGACTTGACCCGCAAGCCGACCAAGCTATCCAAGAAGCGTAACAAGAAATTGTCCGCTTACCAATCCCTCAAGAAGGATGACAGTGATGATGAGGGATATGTCAACTCTCCAAACGCAACCGAGGGGGATCGTAAGGGCCGTGTTGTCAGCAATTCCGGCGCAGACACCTCCCGACCGGGTCTGGTGAGTGGTGTTGGTGCATCTCTGTCCTCCTATGGAAGCTACATTGCCGGACTGGGTGTTGGGCGGCGCCGCGATGTGAGCGGTAAGGTTGCCGAAGAAGGCCGCAGTCTTAACGTTGTCGACGAGACCGAGACTCCGAGCCCAACTCCAAGCCAGAAGCCAACCCCAGTGCGGGCTGCTGGATGGGCCCGATTTGCGGGACTGTGATTCACCACGCAAGTGGGAAATGATATCTGAATTTTTTTTTCTTGTTCAGGGTACGGAGTTTAACCATATATTTTTTTGCACGGCATGTGACGATCTATTTACATTTCAGCGGGCCTGTTTGACATACTGATGGAACATTCTGGTTGTGATTTAGTTCTTGGATGTAGCTAGATGGAGAGATGTAACGATGATCCATTCCACTATTCTGAGACTCTGTAACTACCGAAGGGAGTATTGGGTCACCTGACTGGCTTGGTGGGTAACAATATGCCCGGCCATGAAAAGCATCGTCTCGATGCGACGTCAAAACAAAAGCACAGGTTATAGAAGAAATTGTTTGGCGTAATACGGTTGGGCTTGTCGGCTGTAATCACTCATCATCCTCATCTGCGTCCTCGCGCTCATCGGACTTCTCGTCGTGATTGACGGTCTTGATAGTTAGGTTGGAGGTTTCACCGGTCTCTTAGTTAGTCGGTGTCTCCGGGCTGTTGGGTTTGACAGGGTTCTTCCCCTTTGCCTTGGAGGGTGTCTTTGACTTCATGGCAAGCTCGTAGGGATGGGGGCTTGAAGGTGAAATCAAGGTTGTGTACTTGAGGAGTTGGCTTGTCGGCCATGGCCTCCTTGGGTCTAGGAGGCTCAACCTCGGGTAGGAGGAGCTCAGTGGGAATGCCATGGGGGCCAAGGCATGCATCCTTCAGGACAGCGAGGGCATTTAGGCTTGACTTGAATGGGGTAAGGCGAATCTGTATTAACGACTAGGTGATCGGTTGGGTTGTGGCAAGGTACGCTTGGATGCCTTCGTAGGCTTCGAGGTAAGCGGCGGCGGAGTCATTTAGTTTCAATATCTCTGGGCGTGCTCGTTGGAAAATCTCGAGATAACGGGTGAGGGTGAGGTAGTTCTCGATGCTCACGCCGTGGGTGAAGGTGGATTCGGCTTGGTGGATCGTGTGGAAGATGTCTTGGAGCTCCAGCTGGACTTTCCCATGAATTGTTCCTCGAGTTCGTCCGGCCGGTGTTGGATCTGCATGCTAGCCTTTGCGAGGGCCATCCGGTACACAATCTGGGCGGTGAGTTCGGCGACTTTGTCATCGATCTCGTCTGGCTTCTTGGGAGTATTCTCGGTGATGGTCGCTGGGCCCTGTGGTGATGTGATTGTGGGCGTGGCGTTGTCGTCCGGCCTATCGGGCTTGGAGGTGTCGGTCGCGCCAGCGTTGTCGAGACGGGGCTTCTTGTGCTTATGTGGTATGTTGTCGGATTTGAGGATAAGGTGAGAGTAGATGATACGGTGAGTGACGACACGACGGTCTGTTGATAGGGGATATGGTATGTGATTCGTGCCTGGGGGTGATCGATGAGGGTGGAAAGAGTTTCACTTGACACTGAGTTGTGTGGAAGGGAAAAGGTTGTTGAGGAAAGAAAATATGAAGGATGGAAAGTTTGAAGGGTATCATAAAGATCCAAAATAAGAAGATATGAGTATGAAATGGAAACACAGTTACATTACGAGGGCACACCTTCATATTCCCAGCCCTCAATGACACGCTTTCGCCGACGAGAGTTACGCCTGTTGGCGTTACACTTGACAAACAGAGTCAAAGCAGTAATAATACAGATAACAATACTAGCTATGGCAGCCACAAGTACAGTTTTGTGCTCTAGCTGCTGTGGATCAGACTCGTAGGGACATGGAGCCTCGGGCCCGCCTGATACCCAGCAAGATGTGACATCGATGGAATTCAAGTCAACAAAGACCTCTCGCAGGGTAGCGTCGGTCGATGCAGGGTTGATCACGGTCTGTGGCTGGGCTAGGAGATACTTGTAGAGATAGGTATTCTCCAAGCCAGTCCGTGGCACGGCAAAATTGGATCCTGGAGGACATGTGTCCGAGACATTTGAGTACTCTGCTCTGGCATTGGAAATGGTCCACGAGAAAGGTGAATTGCCGATACGACAGGCGCCTCGCCGCGTTTCGGAACAGTTGGTGGCACGCCAGAGACCCTGCAACGAGAGGTCCATGACAGCACAGCGGTCAAAACTGGGCATGTCTCCCGTGCCGCCTCCAGTACTTGCTCCCTGTGGTTCACCAATTGCCCATGCCCATCCTCTCGACAAGGAGACGTTCCGATAAGGCTCGACGTTCGTATCGGCAGTTTGATCGAAGAGAGTTGTATTGAGCATTGGGGACATTCCGCACCCTGTGATGCCAGATATCTCATTGGTTATTGATCCCAGAGTCTCCTCTGTAGATAACCCATGTGGAACCGGAATCTGGTCGGAGAGAGCCCAGGACGAATTGGCTTGGGAGACGTCAGTGGCACCCGCCCTGTACAAACAGCCCGACGCCAGGGTTCCGTTCGTCATGGTAGTGACGTTCACATCAGAAGTCAAATAGCCAGGCGGGAAGATCCCATCCTCATCGTAAGCCACAAGCGGCGGGTCGATAGATCCATATTCGATGATGATTCGATCGGCTTTCGCAAGTTGGATGTACTTTGAGGATGGCCATCCATCGGGTGTACTTTGTGTACCCGCTTCGTCTTCGTGAATTGTATAGTATTCAACAATCGGCATGTAGGTCTCATCAACCTGATACCAAGACTCGTTCAAGTTGCTTCGGTCCTTGGCAAGCTGAGTAGGGGTGTAGAGATATTCTCGCAGAGCCAAACGGAGGAACGAGCCAGCTCGTTCTGTCTCCGAAGATGGGAGGTCCTTGCTCGTGACCACTTTAGCCGGTTTGGTCGGTTCAGCATCGCTACCGGCTACGTGAAGATTGATGACCAGATAAGTTGTATACACAAGAAGTTCAGATCTCGTGGCTTCAAAATACCCGACAAGTACTTCTGAAAGAGTATACAGATCGAGATCATTGGTGCATCTGTAGGGTCCCAACTCATAGACTGTATCCCCATTGGAATCAGTGTAGCCAGTGATGGTGGGGGTGCTTGCATCCGAAGTCGTCGTAGCAGTTTCAGTTGTAATAGTCGAAGTGGTCGAGGCTTCAGTTGTTGTGGAGGTGTATGTTGATACTGTCACATCGACTTTGGCAGGAATTTCTACCGGGCAAAAGGTCCATGTTCGTTGTTCCACAGACCAATATAGGTCTACAACTAGCCGTCTATACCCGACTGCGAGAAGATTGGAGATACACTTGGCGGCATCCTTTCGAGCGTATAGGCCATTGCCAAAACAAGCTGATGAGAGCGACACGGCAGGGTTGGACACGAAATTGATCGGAATTTGGCCAGCTACATCGCGTTCACTCTGGAGTAATGTCAGTCCACGCGACGCATCCAAGATAGAGAAATGTAGACGAACCAGGAGCACTGCTATCCATGTCGCATCACTAATGGCATTTCCAGCATCATAGGAGACCGACATGGAGAAGGATATCGCATGGCGACTGCATGGGAATTGTTGCCAGTTCGAGGCAGTAGTCTGCTGTGATGTGTAATTGGAAGGGCAAGGAACTTTGGGGCTTGCGGGCGGAGCGGATAAGCTGCGGAGCGCAGATCACCTGAGTCGATCTGGCCACCTTCGCCCTTTCCTTTCAGACTCCCCCCAAAAACAGCAACCGCCCAACTCGCGCCTTCCCTCCTTCGCTCCTTCCACTTTTTGGCTTTTTCTTTCACTTCAACCTTTTATCCTCGTCCTTTTCACTCGCCGCCTTCACCGCCCTCACCATGGCGGCGCCTGGTCAAACCAGTCCCCAGCAAATGGCGCAGATGGCTGCTATGCAACAACAGTTCGCCGCTGAAGCCGCAAAACGCGGGATGACCCCAGAGCAATTCGCACAGAAGCAGCGCGAGCAGCTAACTGCTGACGCCGCTAAACTTGGCCTCACGCCTGAACAATATGTTGCGCAGTTACGTATGCGGGCAATGCAGGCGCATCAGAAGCAAATGGAAGCCCAGCGCCAGGGCCAAGGATCCCCACAGCCTGGACAAGCACAGCAACAGCAGCAACAGCAGCCCGGACAACAAGCGCAGCAAGGACAGCCACAAGCCCAACAGCAGCCTCAACCACAGCAGCAGACACACCAAGTCCCTGTCCAGCCTGGACAACCTGCTGATCCCAAGGCTCTGGCCGTTGCTCACTTCCTGCGATCGCAGAACCTCAAGCCGCGCACTTGCATTCTGGATGGACAGCGCAAGGATATGTTCAAGGGTGAGTGGCAATTTTGATTCAGGTTCAGCATCAAGGTCAATTACCTCTCTAACATGATGGTGACTACAGTCAAGCGAGCTATCCGCGCCATCGAGTCACCCGCTTACGCCAAAGCTGCCGCAAAGAAGAACTCCCTCCTCCCACCCGTGACAGACCGCGCTTCTGCTGAGAATGTCTTCAAGCTCCTGCCCCTCTCTCTTCTCGCCCTACGCGTGAGTAAGGTCGACCCCCATGAGGGACATAACCACGCCAAACCCAAGAACCGAGTCAAGGGTCTGTGGACCGTTAAGATTGAGCAACACCAAGAGACCGATCCTATGATGCACTACGTCTGGTTGTACGAGGGTCCTCAGTGGAAGCAGAAGGCTATGGCTGCCGCAGTCGTGGCCGGTATTTTCGCCGTCGTCCTGTTCCCTCTGTGGCCAGTCATGCTGCGCCAGGGTGTTTGGTATCTGAGTGTTGGCATGATGGGCCTACTTGGTCTCTTCTTTGCCATGTCGATATTCCGTCTGATCCTGTTCTGCATCACTGTCTTTGCCGTTCCCCCTGGTCTTTGGCTGTTCCCCAATTTGTTTGAGGATGTCGGATTCTTTGACAGTTTCAAGCCGCTGTGGGGCTGGCAGGAGGTGAGTCCCCGAAACCTTAAACATTTCCCTATAATCTATACTAACAATCCACTCACAGAGTAAGAAGAAGAAAGGCAAGAAGTCCAAGACTACTGCTGCTACCTCGAAGACATCTCAAGAGACCACTCCCTCAGCAACTACGACTTCTGCGGAGCCCGCATCTGCACCCAGCTCGACTCCCGTGAAGCGGGATCTGACTGCACGAGTCGAAGAGGTAGAAGAGTAACAGTTCTTCTCTGTTTTCTTTTCGGTCCATGGTTTTTCATGTAGTTAGGAGGGCGTCCGAGGCCACTAGACATCCATCTTGAGAAGTGGAGGCTTTGCGGAGCATCCTAACTGACCTGTGTTATTTTAATCATAAGATGCCTATTCCGGCGTTGGATGTTGTTGCTATCTTTCTTTGGACCGCAAAAAATGGGACTCACCTAGGTTTATTAACGGCGCCCTCATTCTATTTCTTTGACCCGCTTCCTTTTACAGAGGTCCTTCAATCAGTGACCATGATGATTTTCGGTACATGTATCATGAACGGCACAGATCTAAAAGCTCGAAATTGGCAGTATAGATAGGCTATTCCCACGGCACGATCTCCACCCGATCGTGTGAGATATAAAGCCCCTTGATGGGATATTGCCCTGATGTATTGATGCTAGTCTGAGAACAGATCACAATGAAATTTAATTCTGCCACTGTAGGTGGCAGCTCGAAAGCTGACTCTAGAGTCAAAGAAAGAGGTCCAGTTGAGTACGCTTCAACTGACCGTCTTTCGAAAGATCTTCCTAGATAGGTGGCCCAGAAAATATCTGTCCGTTCACTTTCATATTATGAAAAACCTTTTGTGACAAGATCTCTATCGTATCCCGTGATAAAATGTGAATCTGGCATAACACGCAGCATGCAGTATCTAAGTCCCAAGAGCCTGCAATCAAAAGTGTTGACTCTTATGCCCATTCTTTTTCTGAGATTTGGAGCTACAGTCTCAAAGATGGAGTCGCACTCAGCAAGACAAAAGCTTCCAACGGTGCCAGGGTGATACTCTCGCCTCCAGCAGGGGATACCTTCCCACGATTGTAGTTGGATAACAGGACCTCAGCGGCTCGTCCAGAGAATAGGTTACGCGGCATAGTCCAGGACACTTCTCGCTGCTCAAAGTTTAAGACAACTAGCGCCGTATTGGCCGAAGAGTGACGGGTATACGCGAAGACTTCCGAGTCGTCTGAAGAGACGAGCTCGAACGATCCGTACACGAAGATGTCAGGGAACTTCTTGCGCAGCCGTAGTACGCTCGACCAATAGTGGTATACACTATCTTGATCGGTCACCTGTGCGTTAGCATTCCAGGTAGTGTAGTCTTCATGGACTGGGATCCACGGAACTCCAGTGGAGAAGCCAGCATTCGTAGAATCGTCCCACTGAATGGGCGTGCGGGCGTTGTCCCTAGATTTCTTCCGGTACTCTGCAAGTGTGGCAGCGTGTAGATCGCTTTCATTTTGCTTGGTCTCTAGTAGCCTGTCGAATGACGATATTAGTTCTCTATGTTGAGAGACAGTGGTCTGGTCTGCTTACTCCTCCCAATGATTCAGTGTTTCGATATCCCGGTATCGGTCGATGGTCCAGTCACGGGGAACATTAGCCATACCAAGTTCTTGGCCCTGATAGATGAAAACCGTGCCGCTTTGGAAGCCAAGGAATGTTGCCAGCAACTTGGCCGACAGCGCACGATACTGGGGCTGATCAACCCCAAATCGGGATACTGTGCGGGGCTGATCATGATTTTCGAGATAGAGGGCATTCCAGCCGTTATTCTCATGCATGAACTTCTGCCACTTGGACACAATTGTTTTCAGTTCAGACATTTTCCAACTTCTGGGAGTAAATTTCCCTCCAGCGCCGTGGTCGAGCCCCATCCTGGCACATTCCCGGTTAGCTCCATCAAGAACAGTTGTGGAGTGAAGCCATAGAAATACATACAGTTCAAATTGGAAGATCATACTCAGCTCTCCTCGGTCAAAGCCGACGGCCTTGAGAATCTCATCGCAATCATTGACCTCGGGCATCTCTCCCACCGAGAATGCATCATACTCCTTCAGAATCTGGCCAATTTTCCGAAGGTATTCATGCAGATGCGGTCCACAGGCGTAATACTCGGCACCGTTCTGCCAGATCGAGTCTGGGTTGGAGATCGGAGCATCAGGAAAGTCCTTGTGCTTGCTGATGAAATTGATCACGTCCATACGGAAGCCATCGATCCCTTTGTCCAGCCAATATCGCATGATATTCTCGACAGCTGCACGCACGGCAGGGGTTTCCCAGTTGAGGTCTGGTTGCTGCTTAGCAAACAGATGAAGGTAATACTCCCCGGACGCTTCATCGTACTCCCAAGCGCTTCCTGGTACTATGTGTCAGCGGATTTTGACTTCATCATTTGAGAATATCTCCGGCGCACCTCCGAAATAAGACGCCCAATTGTTTGGCGGCTGTGGCTTGCCATTTTCGTCGAACTTTGGCTTTTTCCAAATATACCAGTCTCGATATTTGTTCGTTGGGGATGATCGTGATTCTTGGAACCAGGGGTGCTGTATATGGGCGAGAATGAGCAACCTGAATTGCAACTTATCTCAAAAAGAGAAATTTGCCCACCTGATCCGATGTGTGGTTGACAACCAAGTCCATAACTAGCTTCATCCCACGCTGATGAAGCGCCTCGGTCAATTCGTCCACGTCCGAGGCTGTCCCATACGGCGGATGAATACCGTAGTAGTCTGAGATGTCATAGCCCATGTCCACCTGCGGTGACTTGAAGACCGGGTTCAACCAGACCATGTCCACTCCGAGATTTTGGATGTAGTCTAACTTGTTGATCACCCCGCGGAGATCACCAATGCCATCGCCATTCGAGTCTTTAAAGGATGGTGTGTAAATTTGGTATACCGAGCACTCTTTCCACCACGCTCGATGCACTTCGGTATCGATCGAGCCCATGATGCGTGTAAATGATAGGGTACTGGGTTAGCAATCAAATGCAAAATGGAACAGAAATCAAAGATGTAAAATTGGGAGAGTTCACCCGGAGACCACTGGCTAGCTTCCTGGACTTAAATATGTCGTGCATTGTGGGAAGATGGAGTTTTTGTCGGATTCAAGCTCGCTCTGCCGTGCCTCGGACAATCTGAGTATGTCCTATGGGTCAGTAGATGGATATCTTTACAATTCTCCACGAATGCATGGGGGTCCACCGGAGCTTCTTCGGAGTCACTCATCTCGAGTGGGGCGATGTGGCGCAATTAACTCAACCTTTCTGGCGACTGCAACCTTAGCATCAGCCTGAAAAGGCCCGTGAGCCCGTGGTCCGTACTAAATTCCCGCAGATAATTCCGCTGGATAACAAACTACCTTTGATTATTTCCTTCGGTGATACCATTGAATCAAAAAATGTGCTGACGAGGGAGATCGAATGGGAACCTAGTACTATCGTTTACTTGCTCTTTCTTTTATACAAGTCTCAAATTCAAGATGATCTAAAGTGAAACGAGTATCATAGAAGCTTACCGGAGCGGCGCAATAGCTCCCAGTCGGTGCAAAAAGCTCTGCATTATACGTATATACCTAAATATAGCATATGCATAATCCAGAACGCATGAGCTGGCCTGTCGGCTGTCCAACCAAAATCTCCTAACACGGAAGAAGCCCCGGCCCAATTCCTATCCATCAGAATGAAACAGGAATTGAAACAGTGTGTCAAATAAAAGAGCTACAGATAGAACCTGCAAAAATATACCTCTTTAGCAGAAGAAGAGAACAACCCGCCCACCAGGCTGTCTATCCTCGCTTTGTCGCATCGTGATCCACGATGGTAGCCTCCTCAGAGAAGAGGTCCAGTTGTGTTGACTTAAATTTCCGTGCCGGTATCTTCTGTTCGAACAGCGTATCTAACTCGGCAAAAGTGCGACCCCGAGGTTCTGGCAGGCGGAAATAAGCCCAGAGGACGCACACGAGACAAAAGCCTCCCAAGAAAAACCCCGCTTTCCCCTTCCAATTCCAAGCGTCAACGTTCAACATATAGGGAATGATGACACCGTTGAGGATACTAAGACAGTTGTACAGGTTCCGGGCCAGCACGACGGTTTTAATGCGAAGTCGCGTTGTAGGGATCTCCGACACCAGAGAGTAACACACAGGCCCGACGGAAGAATCGTAGAAGAATGTATAAACCAACAACATGGAGCCAGTGGCCCAAGAAGTGGCCGTTGACGCCTTCGGTATTGAGATAAAGCCAATGACAAAGAGCAAAACGCAGAGGATGGCCAGTCCGTTGACGTAGAGGGCACGACGGCCGACGTAGCTCATCAACACCCAGGAGAAGATCGTGCCACAAATACCAATAGCATATTGACCCAACGACATGTTGAAAGACTCGGAGACAGCAAGGCCAGCGCGTTGATAGAAGACGGTTGAGTAGCCCATAAGACCTGCGCCGCAAAGGTTCTGCGCTGCCCAGATGAGACAAGCCACCTCGGTTCTTCGCAGATCCACGCCACGGAAACAGTCCCAATAAGTAGTTCCAGAGCTGATCTCCTTCTCGATTTCATTCGTATGGACCATCATAGCAACAGTTTCATCTGCCTCGAAGCTGGGATCTGACCGGGAAGTCAATCGTCGAAGAGCAATTTTGGCTTCCTCAACTTGTCCCTTGCGAACGAGCCACCATGGACTTTCCGGTGCCATCAGAACGCCAATGAAGATAGGAATGGGCCAAACCCACTGCACGGCGAAGGGAATGCGGTAGGCCCATTGATCTGTGCGGTCAGAAAGGGCTTTCAGTACACCTGATGCAATCAACTGGCCAATTACCCAGCATAGGTTGACGTAGGTGGTGAGATAAGCACGTAGTGCAACAGGACACACTTCAGACGCATAAGTGACGGTGAGAGTCTGATAAACACCAAGTGGAATGCCCATGAGGACCTCGCCAACAAGCAAAGTTTCGACATTATGTGCGAAGAAAAGGATAAAGATGAAGGCGACAGTGGCCACTAGAGAGACCATCATCGTCTTTCGGTAGCCGTATCGCTCGGAAATGATACCATTGGCGAAGAGGCCCAAAATCTGTCCGCAATTCATGGCATTGGCCAAACCGGCCTGCCAGGACGCGGTCAGACCATATGAACCATCCTCCATAAGCTGGCCGTACTTCTTGTTGAACGCAGGGAAGCCAAAGAAAGATCCCATGAGGACAACGTCGTACCCCTCCATGATGATCGCGGTAGAGATGAGTAACGACCAACCAATGGCTTTAGGGTAGAGCTTCAGACCCTGCCAGAGGGACATGCCATGCTCCTTCTCAGTGGCCAGCCTGGCATCGTGGATCATTCGGTCCAGGTCCATCTCTTCGACATGGTCAGTCGCGGACTTGGCCTCCATATTTATTGCCAAGCGGAGATATGGACTTCGTAGAGGGATAAAGAAAAAGAAGATGTTTAGTCGACAAGTTGGATATATCGCGTTGTCTCTCAATATTCGTAGCCTGGGTGGGACAGGTGTTGTCGATACTTATATCTCAGTTTCAAGAGTTTCCAAGCCACATGATTGCCTAAGGTTTGGCTTCTCGTCGTGTCCCAACTCCAATTCTCTTTTCCAAGTTAATACCCCGGGGTAAAATTGCGGGGCTGAAAGAAGGATGAAGCCATTCGCGAGGTCGGCTCAAAGACAGTTCTAAGGCCGGTACAATCCGGGCCGTTGCTGAACGGACCTTCTTCGGAGTGGCAACTACGGGAAACTTACTGGACCCTTTGAAACTATGGATGAGGCTTACCCGTAAGATTATACTTTCTACTTCCTACCTCCTCTAGGCCTAGGGTATTATTTTTACGACGGACTTGTCTTTCGGGTTTCTCTTGGTCATGGGGTCAGACATTACGGGCTTTTTTCGGAGTGCTATACCCTAACGGCGAATTCAATTATGGTGATGGGAGGGCAGAAGATATGATAAAATACGGATTGGCCCATTTCCGTGAGCCGGAAAGTCCAGATACATTGTTGGTCCAGAACTCAGAACCTTCCTCATGTCGACTTTGTTAAGACGACTCTACTGGCAAAGGTTATTGTGTTGTATAAGCTCGCACGCTACGAGGACATGCCAAGCAGAACTTTGGTAGAAATTGCATTTGAAGCTAGTTAGCAAAGGTTATTTTGTTGGCCCAAGCTTCATTCATCGAATAAAACTTGTTCGTCGCATGTTAGTCTAAAGAGACATGTGCGTTCCAAAATACCAATAATGGTAGTGGCTACAGTGGTAGTTCATGAGTCTGAATCTCGAGACCGAGTAAAGAGGCCCAGGTATATACGCTTCAACTTTCCCTTTTCCGAAGGACCTTTAGAATTCGAAACGTACTAGAAACAACTGTCCATCTAGTTATTTACATGTTATGACTAATGAGATGATTTCGAACTTTATTCAGGGGTTCAAGCCTGCGAAATCCCACTGTACAAGGTCTTGTCATGTCATCCCTTGTGCCGCAGAACTGCCGCCCATAACTGCCTCCGAAATACACAGTGAATATTCATATGTTTCGTTGATTTCGTAATGGTGAATCTCCGTGTCTATCTAGCTAGAGAGCGATTGATTGATCGATTAACTATGAATGATGTTTACATCGACAGCACATTCGAGGACTGTTGAAACATATATCGGAAATTTTAAAACTTCTAAAGAACCGATTTGGAAGTACATCTTGCAGAATGTGAACTGCCATGCAAATGAGAGGGTTAACTAAAGTATTTGGTAAAAATTCGAACAATTACTATTCGAGGCACCTGGTCAAGCCAGACGCGGAGGTGAAATACACAAATCAAATGGGACGGATTATGGAAGAATGAATCATAGCATGTGAGCTAGAACTGTATTGTAGGTTAGGATGGCTAGAATAGGTCTTTTCTAGATTCTCCTTTGTCACTATTCGGTGGTGTGATTGCAATACATTAGCAAATAGGCTCCATATGATCGTCATTCTCTTCTTCGAAAATAGCCCCCTGTCCGAGCCGACACAGATAGGTCGGGTGGCTGGTTTTTACCTTCGCCACTCGATCTCCATAGGGACTGCGCCTGTTCGCACCATCGAAAGTCGTCCAGAAAGCCGTCTTGCTCATATACTTTGTCTCGAGCCCCATACCCCCATTTTGTGCCCCTAGTGCCGATAATATCCTTTTCAATAGCAAAGTTGACACCCGGCACTTGAGATTCCGTGTTCAACTCTGCCAGTTTGTTTGTCGTAATAAGGGAGTGCACATGACCCCATGAAGTTGAACTTTTGATTTCAGTCAGAGCTCCCTGATTGAGCTTGCTGGAGTGCGTGCGATTGCTGCCTGCAAGCTAAAGTAGCCTGATGAATAGAAACAATCGTAATGTGGGAATTGTGTATAGATTCATCCATCGAGTATATTCCAGGCAAGGACTTGAATGACCTTAGTTCACCGAATTCGGCTTTGGTCATCCGTAATTGCTTTCGGACTGGGGCAAGAGTCTGCACTTGTGTCTTCGGAGACACCTGGAGGCAATTAAACAGCATCGCTTCCAAGCCAGTATAGATATAAATCCGCCGAATTCGCCGCAAAGAGTGCATGTTTTGGTACATAATGCCTGGTAAAAGTCGAGTAGAGTGACGTCGATGGCCATCCGTGTTCGTAGCAAGGCACAGAAAAGGTTCAGTCCATGCGAAACTACCCTTTGATACCGATTGAGAGAGTCTGCCATCTGTCTTGATCTGATATTATCTGTCGAAATTTGAACAAAGAATGCATATCTAGGCGGTATAAGGTGTCAAGCAGGAGCTCGAGGGGTAGCTGACCGAGAGAACCAAGGCCAGCACTCGAAGTCCACAGGAAGGGTGTCGCTATTGACGGATGAATATCGTTGTGTTCGCGATGTGAGAACCAAATCACGGAGAGACAGTAGTCTTTACGGTGGTAGGCGGTGGTTCGAATAATGGCGTCGGTTTGTTCTTTGTCGAAGCAAAATTCGGTGGCAGAGCGATATCCGCGGGGGATGAGAGTAGCCATTCTCGAGATTTGATGGTGCACTTTAGTGAAAGGGTAGACTTCGACAGGAACCGGGAGACTCCAGTGCCTCCTTGAAAGCTCTGAGGTGGATGTAATAGGTTGAACCAGGAGATATTGAACCACACGACTAGCTCACTAGCCTGCTCCTCAAAGTGACCTATCCTCCCCATCCTCATCCAAGCAGAGAGTTGTTCTCCGCTGCCCAAGACTCGATCAGCATGTCAATGTTCCTGGATAGCGGGATAACTGAACATTCGACCAACTTTAGACCGATGCTGCAAAAGTCCACTGATTAGGATGTATTCGAAAGAAAAGCTGTGACTGGTGGAAGACCGAGGGTCTGACAATCACGAAGTAGCTCAGGATTAAACCAGACGAAGTCCAAAACCAATGAATCACGTGAAAAATAGGAGGAGACTAATCACGCCAGAATTCAAAACAGCCCAACCAGTTTTCGGTTTAAACCCCTTGTGGAATGCCGCAGGCTGTATCAGAGGCCTGGGTGTCGACATATTCTGCGGTCTCCTCGGGCTTATCCACCGTAAGGAGATTGGTTTGGGTCGTTGCCCATTCCACAAGTCTGTTGTGACAATCCAGATCCAGAGGCAAATCGAGATTCATCGCATGCGGGACGGCATCTAATCCCAGGATACTCTCCGACTTGTGCAGGAGCGAAGCAAACAAATACGATTGTGCCCCTCGAATCCTCACCAGGGATGTGAGGATAGCGGATAACACTTCCGCCACATTTGCTGCCATGTAGTTTACCTGTGCGGCGGCAACACGCTGGAGCGAACGTTGAGAAAGATGCACCAGAGAAGTTCCGAGATCGTACAGTTTTTGTTCCTAAGTCAGTTCTTAGTTCGCTGTATTGTTATATCCCGGTGGCATCAATATCCTTACGATCCCAATTCCATGCGCATCCGTAGATTCGTGCGATACTGACGCTAGGAAGCCCATCACGGCCCTTCCTGCGGCCGCAGGAGCCTGCAGGGGCAGGATATCCCCGCATTTGGAAGCGTGGTCGATGGCAGTCTGCCACAAGCGGGTTTGAAGCCATTGTTGGGTGACGACGAGGTCGACTTGCTGAATTTCAGGGATCTCGGTCAAGGGCGGTAAGGGACAGGCGATGGATTGGTAAATTTTGGAAAGTGCATAAGTGTCTATTGAATCGTCGCTGTCACAAGCATTCCAGTTATAAAACTCTGGTGTCAACTTCTCAAATACGGATATCAAGTTCACAAATCCGTAGAGTAGTGCGGGCGCGGATGATGTGAAGATGGATGGTTTACGGATGCTACCATGCAGCATGACAGGCTTTTTGCGCTGCAAGGCATATGCTCTGGTCACATTAGGATCTATCTATGTTAGAGGGAAACATTGGCTAAGCTCACCGTTCTGTAATGAAAAGCAACCAGAAGACTCGTCGCCTCAGTTCGGCCTCAGCATGAGACAGCGAAGCATAGGTCTGCTCCCGGTGCAAATCGAGTGCATATGCATATGAAATGCTCTGACTCAAGTAGTACCAAGCATGGCTCTGTCGGTCCATGTTTCCATACGCGGCAAAGAGAAAGAAGGACGAGAGGACAGTGTCTATTTGAAGATGTTCGATAGGATCAAAGTCCCGGAGCGTGCGTAAGGCCTCAGTGACAAGTACCTCCCCGTATTCACTGGAACGGAGCCCACTATCTCCCTGCGTGGCGTCTAGATTCAGCTGTAGATGTGTTGCGGCGCAAAGGGCCAGCAAGAAGGCGTATCGCGGTGGCGACAGGGACTCTACGTGACCACAGTCCTCCACAACCTGATTGGAATCGAAGACAGGCATGATGGGGTACAAGTGCTTTAAGAAGACATTGACATGGGCGAGAAGAACCGTAGATGATACCCTCTGCGGCGGGCAGGGCAGCGAAGGAGGCACATCGCAGCTCATCGGAGGGGTGACACAGGTCGTTGCTGGCGACGACGACGAAGATGATAAACTAGGACGCTCATTGTAGACGGCAAGGGACGGCAGTGCACTCAACACCCGCGCCGTCCGGCCTTTGGGGCCTTTACGTCGAGGTACGGTGTGATAACCGCATTGCAGGTTGACCTCGATGCATTTCGAGCAGGGCTGGGTGCGATTGCATTTCACCTTGCGACGGCGACAGTTATCGCACGCCATTGATCGACCAGTGCTGACAAATGGCAGGTCTTTCGCATTAGTGCAGACACGAGTTGAACCTAGCATCTCCGGTTGATTTATCTGCCAGTTGTCATGGAAGTGCGGCCGCAAGAGAGGGGCGGAAGTAAAGGGGAGAAAATCTGGGGAAAGTGCTTTGTGATGGGATTTCCCCGCAAGAAGACCCCGTTTTCCATCCTCCGTAGACTCTAGGCCTTCTAGGGCTCTGGGCCTTGGGGTCCTCGGAAGTTTAAGTTCAATGATTACTGCGCCGTAATTGGTTCGGACCTTCTTCGGGGTGGCTGTCTATAGTGGCATTCTACTGGAGAAATCCATAAGCTATGCCTCAAACCGGCAACTAGTGGAGCATTATAGGAACGTGCGGGTAAGTAAAGTCATTGGATGGTAGGTTAGGGTCCAGGAACTATGCATATTACTTGCGATGGTACCAGAGATGTATTATTTCCCCCCAGAGCACAAAGCACTGTTCCTTTTAAATGGTATATCCCCCACACTTCGTAGGAGTCCGTGCATTGCATTCTTGACCGAGGTGGATGTGGATCCACACCGAATCCATCGCACTGTACCAGACCTACTTCGCTAACACTTAACTAGCTGGAAATATTGGCAAAAAGCGAAGGAAGAGTGGAAATAGGCCTTGTTGTCGTGTGTATATTGTAGCCCACGATGGGAAGGCATATACTAACAAGCGAGAACCTGCTTACAACCGCCGTACTACACCTCACATACGGCCCTTCTTTAGAAGCATGCAAAATGGCGAATCACAGAAAAATCTCAAGTTGCTTCGGGTGTACCCGACCCTGAGCAGTATGAGCTCCATGAACGATCCGCCGTAACCTCAACTGAGGTATTTGAGGAACGTGGAATACGCCCAAGTTCATGAGAGGCCTCATCCTGTTACAGTAAGAAGCGGCATTCTCATTGGTATTAGTTCGTATCTACCCTACATCATGGGATTGGTATTTGCAAATGCCGCAAGATGAATTTCGAAATTAGAATGTTTCGAAGAGAGTCGGAGATGTCGACACACAGAAGAAGAGAAACAAATGAGGCCAGAGACACACTGTGTGGTGAGTGAATAGCTAAGAGAATGGAAGCCTTGAGAAAAACAAAGACTGCCAGACCTGACAGACCCGGAGAGGTCTGGGTGTAGGCCGACGAAAAGAAGCAAAGAAGATCAGAACGGCGAGGGTGTTATCATTTCTCTTTGGCAAAGAGCCGTCAAATCAAGAAGCAATACCCCACTCCCCCCAATAACTGACATCAATGTCCAATTGACCAAGACTGTCGGACTGGAAATTCTTCATGGTGACGTCTTTTCCCCCAACAGTCCAATTCGCTACCTGCAGGTCCATCACCACTCCAGAAGCAGCTGGGATAATACTCTCACCAATTCCAATAGAGTTCTTCTGCAGACCATCCGGGAATGCCACATTCTCCACGACAAAATCCCGATAACTCTGCAGAGGGTTGATTCGGACTAAGGATGGGCACGGCCCTTCACAGACCAAATTCGACACTGTGAGACTAATCGCTTGATTCGGATCAGGGGTCATTCCACTCATGTAGAAAGGGGATGCGCCGATAATCGCCGTCGGCACAACCATATTAGAATCCCGATAGCGAGTGTGAATCACGTTCAGCGTGTCGACCGTAATCCCTTTAATATCCCGAGTAGTCCAACCCATCTGGATGATGGGATCATTCAAGCACTTCCAGATGGTGGCACGGATTACTGTCGCACCGCTATAGTAGAGCTTGATAGCGTCATCATTGACATGCCAGAAGACATCCTGAACCACGCTATTAGGGTAAATTTCCGGACCGTCTGTCTGGTAGAAATAGGCGCCGACTTGTTTGTAGTCAGCAATCTGGCTGCTGATGGAGTTGACATCCCCGTTGAAGTCCATGGTGTTGAAAGGGGGTGCATTGAGTGTTGGGCCATGGCAGAGCCATGTTTGGCCGCTTTGGATACTGTTATGCCACCACATGCGCAGACTCGTACTGTCACTCTTCACGCTGGTGTAGCTCTCATCCACGTTGGCTTGATAGACATAGTTTTCTCCCGAGAGTACACCATGTCCTGTGGCGTAGAATTTCTGCGCATGCGTGGTGTATTCAATTGCCCCTTTGACGTAGGCGCCAGGAGCAAGGTGTACCCAGTACGTGTTTGGGTCGAGAACCATATGATTTGCGCCCAATTTCCCAGAGACGTCGTCTCTATTCTCGTTCACGTAGTAGACTCCAGGAGGGAAATAGAGAATAGACTTGGAACCCCAGTCGCCATTATTGATCGGACCAGGTGTCATGGTCTTGGTATTGTCCTTGTTCATGTCAGGAATCATATCCGAGGGGAGAAACGGACTCGCGAAAATGACAAGTGCATTGGTAGGTTCAATCTCCACGACATCACCTCCCGAAGACACGTAGTTGTTTCCATCAGACAGGAAAGTGTATAGGTCGTTCTTGAACTCAACAGAGAACTTGCGCCCGTTCTGATCAAAGGGAATTTGAATGAGAATGCCTCCATCGTTCGACTGAGAGATGGAGTATTGAATGGAGGTAGGCCGGATGACCACATCCTCTGGGGGCCCCAAGGCAGAGCCATCAATCGTGGTAATCTTGAGCTCGACATCCTTGCCATACTCAAATTGAGCCCATGCCATGTTAAGACCGATACTAGGCTCAATGGAGATTCCATCGTCAACTGAATCATCGAGCGTGTTGCTATTCGGAGGATCCGAGGGAGAAAAGATCCGGCCGTTGCCATTGCGCGGAATTGATTCATAGACGAAGGAATCTAGGAAGTCATTCTGACCAGCGACGCTGACTTGCACGGAATAGCGATGAGATTGGCGAACATTTTCGGGCTGAACAGGTGTCTCTTTGTTGATTTCACCGGTATCATGCCACCAGGTGCATAAGTCATTCCCACAATGTGTCTTGTTTGTTGGAGCACCCCAGGCGGTGCCTGCTATCGCAGCAGAAAGAAAAAGTAAGATAGAACTAAGAGGGGCCATTTTGAAAGCCTGACGAGGCAGAGGAAGATTTTGTGGAGTCGGTTGTAAACAATTTACAATGACAATTTAATAGGGCCAGTTATTCGGCGAGCGAGGTGCAATTTATAAACGTGCTCCAGGGCTGATCACCAAACTTGTAGCAACAACCGGAAAGACAGTCCACAAAGTAAAATTGATTTTAACCATCCCCCTATAGACCCAAAGACTGCAACGGTGGGTGAATAAGCTCAATAGCGCCAACCTTGCAGTAGCCACGGAGTACAGTAACCCCCCTCCCCCTGTCTATGGCTTTGGGTCTGGAGAATGCGGAGTGCGGGGAAGGGAAATGGATTACGTGCAGCGCTATCCCCCCAAAACCTCTTCGCAAAGTTACTAATCCGACTGCAGGGGTCGTTCATTTGCTTCGGAATTTAGAAAATAGCGAGGCGTTTGCCCCGGAGATTACGGCTTCGGTGATGAATGGAGTATGGGAGTAGTTTCCAGACGTGAGCAGCGAACAGGTTAGCATTGGTCCATTCATTCCTGGGCGAGCGGATACGTAGATGAGCTCCGACGGGCCTTCTTCGGGTGCATTCGTATCACAGAACAACTTTAGGTTTGCCAGGGCCCTATTCGGATATTCGGATACAGGGTATGATATTGGTTGTGGGCGACGAGAGTCCGAAAACTAATCCGACGTAAACCTCTCTGGTCTAATATTGAGTCTTCTCCCTTAAGATCCCGGTCCAGCCTACCTAGACTAGGTAAGGTAAGACAGTAGAGCACTTAGTTTACTAAAGTGTTGGGCAGACCCGACCTGGGCGCAGCCTGCTGGTTGCTCTTTCTTGGTTTAGCTCCAGACGCACCAACTTTTCTCTTTCGAAAGATCTTTCTAAATGTACTTCCAAACGTCTTTCTATCTATTTACTTGCATAGTATGACTGATGAAATGATATCGAACTTTCTTCGGGGGTTCAAACAGATGGAACGAACCATAGTGTATAACCGTTGTTAATTGACCCCAACACACGCCGTATTGTACAGATAAGACAAAGTACACAAGGAAAGATGTTAACAGTCGATGTATATGTGTGAGAGAGACGGGTATCGTCGTTTTAGAACAAGGATGGACAGGGAAAGAAAAGGGAAAGCCCATTCGGGTAGGATGACCCAGACAGGTATTGTATATGCTTGGGAAACACGCTCAGGGTATTGGATGCACTTGAAGTATGCACATGGGTAATGATGACAGGACACAGATGGATAGATCAGGAAATGGGACATTCCCAGCTATCGCTCCTCAGTGAAAGTGGAGGATTATACGACGTAATTGTAGAAAGAAGACAGGATAGAACAGAAGTCAAGTAGGTGGTCGGAATATATGAACAAGACAGCTGGCTGGACATGGCAAGATTTTGGCGTCAAGGGAATTTTGGTTATCGTATCTGTCTTGTGCATAATGGGTTTCATTGGATCATCCTGGATTGCCGTGCAACTGGTTTTGGTAGGTTTCCATTACAAGGCGAAGCAGGGTTGGTTGGGAGGCGGCTTTGTCGTTGGTCTTGTATATGGTCACGAATTTGCTGTGATTGATAGAAGCGGTCGGCTGGAGGACTTGTCGACCAGACCGGGGCTTGGGTAGTTGGAGGATTTGTTGACAACGCCGGTGCTACCTGAGCAGCAATGGACGAGGGAATCTTTGGGAGTGGACAGTTTGGCGGGGGCGCCGCAGGAGGTCCAATGGCCAATCCTGGCATGCTTTTGCGGCGGGACACATTCTGCGCCGTTTGGTCCAGGTTCATCGTGGACACCCGGTGGCGTGGAATTGGAAGTGGTTCCCCCAGAGGCACGTTCTGGGCCGGCGGCTCGCCGTTCATTTGAATACCCAATCCAGAACGACCAACAATGCTGAGTGGGCGAGATAACGGAGGACTGGTTTCGGAAGGCGTGGCACGTGGTAAGCGTGAGTGATTAGTCGCGTTCTGTGATGATCGCACGGTTCTGGATAAAGCATCTTCGGAATTGGAAGGCCGAAGGATGCGTCGACCATTAGGTTCTCGCATAATTAGTATTGATTCCGGAGAGTCCGTATATTTCGAGCTTGCAACGCTGTACGTGGGAGACTGAGGAGGGGAGGAAATGCTGGAGATGCTGAAGTCTCCAATGCTCTCGCCCCGTCGGAGAACACCAGCTAGAGGTGCGGGTGGAGAGCCCAAGGGAGGTGGCCCAGGCCTTGCTACAAACTTCTTGCTGAATGAGGGAACGCTGAAGTTTGGTGCTGGTGGGGAAGCACTGCGTACTAACGAGTCCGGTATACTGGGTGGAGATGTGCTGTGTAGAATCACTTCGTTGCGAGGAACGGCAGGGAAGGACTGTGCTTTGGGAGACATGTAGAGAGATTGGCGTTTGGCATTTCCATGACTAGACGTGGGCGGGCTGCGGGTATAGGTTGAATCAACATCCTTGAATCGAGCTTCATCAGAAAGATTGCTGCCGTCACGAGGTGGCGAGTTTGGAAGATTGGCTGAAGTGAATGAAGACGCTTGGACATCGGAGCTATTGCTGGGACCTGTGGCCTCTGTCCAGCCGGTGGACACCGAATCAGAGCGCGAATCAATTATAGATTGGTGATTCATCGAGGCGTAGGAGCTTCGTCGAGACTGCCAAGTTAAGCCACCAACCGATGAGCTGTCTTCTTCATCAGGCGAACGAAGACCCTGAGGCTGTAGGAACAGACTCGAGATGCGATGGGGGTCCTTCCTCACGATGCTGCGGGCACTGGACTTGCTGCGAAGCTGAGGCTCCTGGTCGTCATCGGAGTGCTTCTCTGCCGTGAACTTGGGGCCTCCACGGACTTCAATCTCTGCCCGAACAGCCGTGAGCCAGGAGATCATGGAGTCAGGGTTATCAAAGACCATCAGAAAGCTACCAGCCATTCGTCGTGCGTTTGATCGGTGAAACCCGAATCGAGAGAAGCGGCCCGATTTGGCGGGCTCGGGAGGCACAGGCCCGCTGTCTGCCGTAGCATTCTGTGAGACCTGAAGCACCCAATGCTTTCCAGGAATGGCATCACTAGCGAAAGCCACCGATTGAGGGCCCAACTGCAGCATCTTCTCGGGCAGACGGTCGTTTTTCCCTTCGCCTGCGTACTGCAGGATAAAGCCGGCTGTGGCCAGGACGTAGATCTTCGTGGTCCACTCGACCTTGTTGATTGTGCCTGACAATGTCCGAAGATGCTTGCGCTCCTTGTGTTCTCTCTTCTTCCGGGCCGCATCGGCTGTTTCATCCGGCCCTACCTCAGCACCTGATTTCCCCGTAGTGGCATGCAACCGTAGAATTGCGTCCGCAGACATGGCTGGCGCAGAGAGAGATTCATGCTTATAGGACTGAGGGTATACCTGGAAGAGTGGGGGCGGCTTCCATCCATACTGTTCTTGTGAAGGCGGCTTTGACTCCGTCTGTGTTGGTCTCGGCCTCGCCGTTTTCAATGTCGCTCGAGGTCGGGGGGTGGTTGGAGAGGCCAATGTCGGGGTTGACACGGCAGTTCGAGGGCTGGTCAATGCTGGCGACAATGGGGTATCTGGCACCGTCACTGTTTGGGTCGTTTCCGTGGGTTCTGCATTGGCTGGCGGGTGATTTTCCTCGATCTCGGCCAATTTTGCGTCGGGGGCCGCAGCCGCACGCTGAGATTTATCGCGAGCGAAAAGATTGCGCAGGCTGGACTTGGACGACTGTCGCTTGACGGGGCTCTGGAGCGGCACCGGGCCCTCGGAGCCATTCGTGCTGGAATATTCGGTCGGCCGGGGGCGCTGCAATCGCGAGGGAGCAGCTTTGGGCGAATTGGCCGTAGGTCGGCTAAAATTGGTCTGCAATGGGGCCAGACGGTGACCTCTGCGCTCGCCAAAGGAGGGCGAGGGCAGCGCCGGGTTACTCATTCCGGGGGAGGACATTGTTCGACCCTCCAGATGGTCTGCTCTCGCGACGGGACTCAGCACACCATGGCCGACGTCAGAAATCGCGATTGATAGGGAAAAGGGGAACGGGGTAGAGTCTCTCAGAGAGGGAAAGGATCATCGGGTGAAGAACGTGGGCGCGGCTGTACGGCCGTTGGGTAACGTCATACGCGATGTGAGATTCGCACGAGGGAAGACCAAGGGTTGGAGGGCTAGGGTGAGATTGAGGAATGTAGAATAGTAAGAAAAGAAGATCAAAAACGAGTGACAGGCGGAAGGACAAGAAATTGGTGTCGGCCGTGGTTGAGGGGGAAGGAAGCGAGAAAGCGACAAGGCTCGACTTTGGGCGAGGCGGGCCCAAAAAAGAAAGTCGACGTGATGCGACGTGCATAAAAATGAGGCCGCTAAAACTAAGAAAAAAAAAAAAGAAAAAATAAATAAATAAATACGTTGGCCCCCTGAGTGGCCCGAAGCCGTTTGTTTAATTTCCCCTTCCGCGTTGACGGGAGTTTGTACTTCGGTATCTTTGCAGATGGAGTACAGCAAAAAGAAAACAGCTATAGTCCTGGGATTTATTGAATGCGATGAGTATTCTTAAAGTAACATCCAAGCTGACATCCATACTTAGAATGTCGATCGCGATGCAACCACCCAGCTGGTCATAAGCTTATGTTTAGTGCTGATTCCAATGCAAATATGGTACGTGATCTCGGACTCGAACGCGTGTATACTGTAGGTACTTGGAGAGTAACCGAGGGAGGATCGCTTCCATATGTTCCTTTAAATCAAAGAACAATCTTGAAAGTTCTTAAGCAATAGAGTCGCAATGAATGGACGCTATTTATGTAAACACCTCCAGGCAGCAGAACTAATACTGTACCACTCTGGATCTCACAAATCCCAACACCACCGCCGAAGATTCAAGCTATACCGAGCTAGGATAAGCCCAGACCCAGCTAACAGCGCGACGGAACTATACGGAGTCTCCCCGCCCAGCCATGTTAATATTCTTTGTTGGTTCTGGTTGGATCGTCGCTGCTGACTGGAAAATCCCGTTGGGCTTCGCTAGTCGGTGGGGACGATCTTCATTCCTGGGACTGGACTGGATGATGCATCGCGTCTGGCATTCTGGTTCAAAAAATGGCATACAGTAGTCATATAGGATAGTTAGTCAATGTTCTCTATGAAAAATAACCAATTGCTCGCCAAACAAAACACCCCAAGTACTGTATATTATTTCCCCTTCACCAACAACGCGTTGGTGGAGTTTTAACCGTTCGCTCCACCTCCAGTCCCCGTCAACAAACTTTCCACTCTCAGTAAAACATCATGCCACTTCTTGCCCGGGTCAGAGGAAAAGTCCGAGATCTCATCGCACAAGGAGACTTAAAATCTCGATCAATTTAATCCAGACAGTTAGAGTCCGATCACGGCCCGCATTTCAACCCGTGCCCGGGCTCAACGGCGCCCATCAGGCCAGCCCCGTTATCGCAGTGCCGAGCCATTGCAATGTCCTTCTGGGTGAGGCCGCGTGGGCGATGCGTCGTCCAGTGGACATCGACGGAGCCGATTCGCTAGGAACAGATTGGAACTTAGCCTTTTCTTACTGCCATGGAATTCCTGGATCCTTCGAACTTACTACCGTCATTGTGGGGTGGTGTTTCTTCGCCGAGCTCTCGGACGCGATGAGATTCACAAATGACTACTCGGAATGATTCAATTAGCCAATTAGCCTCGACCATGGTCAACCCACATCCAACACAGATGTTGTAGTACTATTCTGCTTGCTGTACTCTCATCGTGTTGCGAGTTGCGCCCGTAAATCAGAATGCCCACACACTCACCACCGCTTTGAAGTAACTCTTGAAATAAAACGTCTTGGTGACACCCATCCCGTCAGGATCGAGGGCCCATCCTTGCTGTTGCAGAGTCTCTGTGTCTGGACCCAGCTGCGCCGCATCTTCTCCCTCAGCGAAGCTCGGCTCGACCTTGTAAGAGGCCATGCGGACCGGGTTCAGTGGGGTCAACCGGGGCAATGGTGATGTTTTGGGCACTGAGAAGATGGGTGCTGGTCGTAAGAGTCTCCTACCGAGACGAAAAGCGGGGAAATTGCTCATCCTTGTCGGAGGGAGAGGTTGAAGCCGAGGGTGTTTCGACTTGTGGTCGCTGGGCGAATAAGCACTTGATGACGGAAGACGGAAGCGCTGCGGTGCACGGACCAGGCATATCTTATCGTTGGCAGAGCTACAGGATGTATAAACTAGACATTACATTTGAGACGAATAGTCACATAGTTCTGTTTGATACTCACGGTACTTTGACGTAGTATGCTATGCACACTGATACGCTATCGAGGTCGTGTATTTTTGCAAACCTGTCGCCATTTGTTGGATAGGACTAGTACCACATATAACCCATGCCTTCGCTGATTTAGAACAAGGACCCTCTCTGTAAAAATGCACTTTACTCGGGTGGAAATTTGCGGCTATCTGAATAATTTATAGGGTGCCTTTCTAGTCTAGTAGATCTCAAAATAGTTTAGTCGCGTAGGCCAATATGGCTTTGGAATCTGAATCAAGCTGCGGCTACCTGAGGCCGCTGCTGGTTGGGGCAACGGAAGTCAGGATACGGAAATGTTCTTCAGCCATTTCAGAGCCCAAACACCGACTTGTTTCTTCCTATCATTTCCATATTTTACCTCCCTGATTTAACAAATAACCACACAAGGATCGTTCAAACAACCCCTTCAAATGTCCGAGGAAAGTCAGGAATCGGAGACAGTCCCTTATTGCCACGACCGCCTTCCACTGTACGACTCAGGCCAAGCAAGCCAGGAAGTTCTTGCCTCTTTTATTGGGAACGAGCACAAACGCTGGTCATAAGTTGACTCATGTCACCGAATCCAAAACATGCTCACCTCTGACATTGAGAACGAGCAGCATCGCCGAGTATTATTGCAACGGCTAGAGAAATTCAACACAGACATTTGGGTCCTCGCAGAGGAGAAGCCCCAACCTACCGACACCGACTACCTTCGGAGTTCCGAGTATCTTGCAGAGGGAGCACAACTATTCACTGAAGGCGCACATTTATTTACCGAGTTAGCAACTCTTTTTAAGGAACGCACCATTCAAAATACCGACCTCTATACCGCTATGTCAAGACTCACTAAGGCCGAGTTTGACCTCGAATCTCTTCTTTACAGCGAGACTCGAGCCGGAAGACACGATACGAGCCAGTGCAAGACCACAACGACCACGGCAACTGCTTGGAGAGAGAAAGTGGAGATAGTGCTCAAAGCTCTCATGACCAGTTTCTGGCACTCTCGGTAAGATTGGATGAGATTAATGAGAAACTTGGCCAAAGTCTTCCACCCCAGGATACGACCAATACTTCGAAGACGACTGATGGTACTACTACTGAAAAGGCACCCCAGAGCTTTTGGAAAAGAATTTGGAAGTATTAAGTTCGACATTAATAAGTGGAATGGGGGTGTGCTTAAATTATGACAAGCTGGCTGAATATTGGTTTTATCTTGCTTTGTGCCAACTTGAACGATTCATGCGGATATGTGCAGGCTGTATGAGCTGTTTCTAGGTACCTGATTTGAATTCTAATACTGTCCTTTTCTGAAACGTTTGTTACCACAAATGATAGAACATTGGAAACCACGGTCTAAAAGTCCAATCTCCAATACTGTTTTGAATATCTTCTGTCTGAATCCCTCATCATCGTCCATAAATGAGAATTCACTATAGAATCCGATATTAGTAAACGAGGAGTCTAGTGTGAATGGCAAAATGCCATGGGGCCTGGAAGAAAATCAAGGTATTCGAGGCGCCGAAAGTACACATTCGGACATGGTCACCTCAGCTCTGAAGATAGCCAGTCAACCAAAAAAACGGCTTGTTAAGAGTACATCTGTCGTTACAGTTCGTTCACTAGGTCTAGATTATCCAGAGGCCACCAGAGGCACTAACAACAAATTAATGTAACCTAAACATGACAAACCAATGGAACTTCCTTATGACAGGGTACATTGCCCAGCAAACCCCCGTTCAGGGACCGATTTCCGAAAACGGAAATAACAAAAGTACACATACTACGCTGCCAGCCATCTACCACTCCTAAATCATGGGTCAATGCGCCATCTGAGGAACTTACGAGGGCAGCAAGGGGCATCAGGATGATCTCCTGCAGGACCCTCCCCCGCTGGTCATCGTAGCCCACGCGAATACTCCGCAGTGATCGTCGATCAGATCGTCCATCCGCTGAAGTGGGGGGATAGATGTATGCATGGGGTTGATCAGATAGGAATGCAGTCCATTTGCCTCGCGGATGTCTATTGAATTCTACCAATTACAATTCGATGAACAGAATATCTTCGGGGAATCAACTGGATTGGGGTAATCAGCTAAACCATAGAATTCATAACAAGCACCAAGTCCGCCGCAAAAGCCCATAAGCGTACATGGCATCACCACAACAAAGTCCCCAACTCCCCACTTTGAGAACAGCGCAAGCAAAGACAGAAGCAAGCCAATAACTCGGACAAATAAGCATCAGACAGAGGTGCGCGGGCACATACATGGGAGATGTGTGCCTGCGAGCCATACGGAATTCCATTCGAGCCTCCTCCCGATAATCAACAGAATCAATTAAGAGTCCACCACGCCCAGCGCAAAGGATCCATGCGGCTGAAAAGACATGCACAGAGAATAGAAGTTGTGATATTGCCCATAAATCCCCAGGCAGCAAGCTCCATCTCGTGGCCATCGGCCATTGGCTCGTCTTACGATCGCACATTCCATGTATGTGCATCAAGAAGTTGCCTGATACTTTTCAGCATCAGAATCTGCCTCAGTATTATAGTGGGGAAAAGAAGCTCAAACCCCGGTCAAGCTGTTGCGGCGCGAGTTGACACGAGAGTTGGCGCGAGAGTTGACTCGCGAACCAGGACGGCTGCCCATAGTTTGCCGGATGCGGAGATCCTGCTGAGACCGGGCATACGAGTTGGCACGCGACGCCTCTGGAACCTTGGACATGCGACGGCCCTGCATGGCCATATCGTGGCGGGCCTCCTCGAGCTGCTGGGCGAAGGGAGAACGCTTGCGCAGCACGGGTCCCTTCCAGTAAATCACGTAGACGGCCACAACCAGCGGAAGCGAGATACAGACTAGAGATTCTGGTCAGCTGGAAATTCTCGGAGAGAATGAAAATCAGAGGCGGACATACAGAGAATCGTAGAAGCATATTCGAGGTGGTACTTGCCACCAATGTCTGCAAAGGAAAGATCATGTTAGTCAAATCAAAAAAATCTGACGAAGGGAAGACTTACTCTCAAAGAACGGTGTAGCGGGAATAGTCAGGATGCCAGCCAAGAAATCTCGGGACCATCCATTTCCACCGGTCGCAGATGCAGAGTATGGTCCGTAGGCACAAATCATATAGTCAATGGTGGCCATGTAGATGGCATAATTGGCGATACCGATGATGGCAGCAAAAATCATGGAGCCAATCCAGTGGCATTGAGGCAAGCTGGTCCAGGCAAAACCAATCAATCCGATCGGCAAGCAGGGGACGGTATATAGCAGCCACCACAGACGAGACTCATATTGGGCGCGCTCGCTGTCGGGGTTCTCCCGGCGCTCTTTCGCGTTGCGACGGATGACGGGGAACCACGACATCCAGGCAATAAAGTAGCCGACCAGAATGGGAAGGAAAGCCAGACCCTTCTCCCACGTGTTGAATCCCCATTGTCCATATACCAGCGACAGAGACTGCACAAACATGAAAATCAGAGCATCACTGAAGCCACTCAACAGAGACAGGGTCAACACAATGGGCTCTGTCAGGAACATGCGGAAGGGGCGAATCCAGGTAGCCAGAAGCTCACGAGGAGGGAAACGCTCGCGGAAAGACATTCCCTCGGTAGGGCCGTAGATGTTCGGGTTCTCGCCGCTCTCGCGCATTTTCTTTGCGATCCGATCCATCATCACAGTAGTACGAGTCTCGGGAACCAACAGGAAGTGCATGATCTGAACAAAGCCACCAAAGATCAACTGGATCCAAATGCTCCAGCGCCACGGAAGGAAAGCTTCCACGAAGCCACCAACCACGGGGCCTAGGACCGAGCCACCGACGGAGGAAAAGACGACGGCAGCCACGGCGTACTGCTGTGTATCAGCCTCCCAAAGATCGGCAATCATACCCAAGGTGACCGAACCTCCAGCAGAGGAGAGACCACCCAGAGCCCGGCCAACCATGACAGAAGCAAAGTTGGGTGCAAGGGCCACTGGCAGTTGGAAGACGTTGACAAGAAACAGCGAGGCCTGCAGGATGGGCTTGCGTCCTAGTTCCTCACTCCATGGCGCCCATAGTTCACAACCGAAAGCGTACAACACCAAGAAGATCATTGCACCACAGCGAGCGGCCTGCTTGGAAACACCAAACTCCTCGGAAATCCCCCCGAGACCGTTCGAATACAAGGAGGTATTAAAGTTCATGGAGGTCTGGACCAAGAAGATGACAGTGATGATCAACCACTTGCGTTTCTCGCTGAATGAATATCCGAGCTTGTCATAGCACATATCCTCCGTGAGCTCGATTCGACCAGAGGCATCTGTCGTTTCGAGCTGTGCATCCTTGTGGTCGAGCTTCTCATTCAGTGCGGGATCAAAAAGCTCTTGCTGGGTAGCACTCGAGGCCTCCGAGGTAAGCACCGCATCACGGCCACCTCCCAGCTTCTCTGGGGTGCTCGCCATGCTGGGAATTTCTTGACGGCCGCACAATGTTAGTTTGGTGTTCGGAGGGAGGGAGCCTAGCGGAGGTGTGTATCGCGGGGATGATCACTCACCGTTGCACAGTATTGAGGACACTGACAGATTCACCCGTTCACAATAAAATTCGAAGGATGGGGAAATCCGGGGAAGGACAATGGGAGAGGAGGGGAAGTCAACAAAGGAAGAGGAAATGACCAGTCAGACTGGAAGGAGAAGGACGAATACAAAAGAGCCACCGAAGCAGGGGAGTAGGAAAGAGAAACAGGAAGGCGGGCACTGGCACGATAATAAGTATGGAGAAGACTTGGACAGGAAGAAGGGCAAAGGGCAAAGCGAAAAGCGAAACGGGAAAAAAGGACGAAAATCGATTTTCCAGTTTTGAATTTAAAAAGAGAAGGAGCGCAATGCGACCAACGGGGCAGGTGCGATGCAACAGAAGACCGCCGCCGTCAAATGCGGCCGGGCATTCCTTGGGCCATCCACTTTTCTTCCACTTCCTTTCCCATTGGAAATCACGATACTCTCACTCCCACCGAGATTCTGAACATCCTTCGTACTCCAGGATGGACCACACCTTCTCCAGACTCCTCGCTGTGGAGTTTCCCTTTGGTTCACCGAGACACGCGGGATGCCGACTGATCGCTTTCCCCGTGGGCCGACGGGATACTACTGGACTATACCCACTTTTTTGATGCGGGCCTACTCCAACTCCAACCTCGGAAAAAGAAAGTGGCGGTGTTTCCTACAGCACCTCTCCAGGCCTAACTGATCCTGCAAATGAACATTGGCCATGCATGCTGTGAGAATAACTACGCAAAGGGCTCTGCATCCTTGTGGCGTAAGACCGTGATTCATGCATCAACTTCCACACCCACCAGATGACGCCCCGGAAAGAGACTGCCCCAGGCTGACACAGACCGCAATTGGTCGTTCGGCTCCACTTCTAAGACCATGATGACCGAAGGGCCGATGCCATCGCCTCCTGGTAATCGAATTGTTCGTGGACTTCCTTCGGGCGAGGTCCGAAGACGCCGCTTTGAGGCCCCATGAAAGTCAGGAATGACCGCATTGGGATGTGCAAGAGAGATTGCGGCGCAGGGTCTGATTCTATTCCCTTTCTTATTTTCTGGATGCATGCAACATTGAATCTACTCTTTCTGACCGGAACCTGACCAGACTCAATCCATTGGGGGGACTGCATGTCAAAAAAATCATATGGCGCCCCACGACGTAAGGGGGGAGTATTTTGCCAGTCCCCGGAACGCATGGTTCCCCATCGCAGATCGAGGACCATAGGGGGAGGCCATCAACCGGAAAACCATTACTCAACAAAAATGACGGAGGCCAAACAATCCCCCGCCCAAAATCGCTTCTAGCCGACCAAGCCGAAGAAGATGGCCAAACAAGAGTAAATGACAACAGACTTTGCTCGGCGCCTCCAGGATTCGCGATCGCCCAAGAACCAAGGATGCGACCGACAAGTGACGTAAAGGTGTTCCGGGCGAGGGGGAACTCAGGGCAGTCCTGGCCTATCACACCGGGCGCAACGGCCGTGGTTCGTCCAAGAGGACTCACCAAGACGAGGCTAGGCGGGCGAGATTCAGGAGCAGGTACCACTCATCGGTCACCTTGATGTATGATGATGCTGCTGCTTTGTGTGCAGAGTGGTACACTTACGGGCGTGGCGTTGCGATCGTCATCCGTGCAGGGGTCCCGAAAGTCTTGTTCCGACCCCCCCGGGATCCGGTTACTCTGTGTGTCGATTGTCTGATTCTGGTTTCCAGTTGTCTACCCCAAGCTGATTATTATTGATTTGTCTTTTCACGGTAATGTGGACCGAGAGTGGGCCGCCCTGGGATCCTCCTCAGGGTCGCCTTGCGGTCGCCTTTTCCAGAAAATAGTATCGAAGGATGTCAAAGCGCCATAGTCGCCGACAAGAGGCATCAAGGGCGATCCCAATTCCTTGCAGGCTCTCTCTGCCCCTGTTTGGTGAGTGCGGTATTTCTGACGCTGACATGATGGTCAGGAGACCCCAACATCGCCCAAGTCCCAGTCCCTTTCCCCGTTGACCTCCATGGAACACAATCCGAGAACAAAGTTTGGCTGATCCACCGAGTGGTGGACCCCCAGCTTTGTCTTCCGGAAACGACCATCAGGGCAGAGCCCAACGGGTTCCAGACTGGGAGTCCAGAGATCAGATATGTGTAATGGGAATTCAAGAGCGAGATAGTAGTGAGAACAGATGCAACCTTGCATCTTGCTTGCACATGGCTATCTCACTGCATCGAGTCTACGAATAATTTACAATCGATGATCGACAAGATCGTATCGCAGACGCCACGCGCTCGCAAGGGATCGACCCAGCAAACAATGCAATGTACTGTACTATGTACGTATTTGATAGCTGGAGGGAGTTGTTCAAATAATAATCCTCGTAATTCAATTTGATGGGCACGCTTTCGGAGGCGCCGATGAGTATACTGTATACATTGTGACTATCGTAGAAGGATGAAAGGTCCTTCTGATTCGCTTGGCTAACCACTAGTTAAAGACCAGCCCTGAAGGCGGGGAGGGGAGGCGATGACTAAGCTAGGAGGGCGCCTGAGGTCCCTGGTGCCTGAGGTCCCTGAAGGTCAGGTGAGTGACTGATGTAATGAGGTCACCCCAAAACACTATACTAAAAGCGATTTTTCAGGTCGCAGTATATCGACATTGAGAACATTAAGGTTTGTTCTTTGATTTTCCTAAGTTGCGATTTCTTAGCATAAGAATCAGTGTAGCCCGACATGTTCAGCAAATGATTAGTTACTTGCTGTGCCAAATGTAGATCATCTACGGCAATATATACCGGATTTACCCTCAAGATATTTCTCGACTTAAATTAGTGCATCCTCGCAGTTTCTGCCTTGAAAGACGGTAAACATTATTGACCGAAACCATCGATATTAATGATCAGCCATCCGAGGGGATATTCGACAATATGATAGACACATCCTCCGGTACCATCGTCGCAGACCTGAACTGGAGCCCTCTTGAGCATGAATTACCCTGCGGCTACTCTAGAAATGTTTTGCCCTATACGACAATGGTCTGAACGCCGTATATACTCAATGGTTAGCTGCTGGGCCGGGACCATCCAAGTCGCTGAACCGTATCGTCCGGGCTGCCATAACCAACACCGCGACACAGCAGTTCGTCATCCAGGCACTTCGGAACAAGGGTGCTGTGACCGAGATTCTGGCATGGGATGTGAAAACCCAGCGTACTCTGAAGCGAGCAGACGATGAGGACCTCTTTACTGCTATCCTGGGTAGTCCCAATGGAGCGGGATGTGCATACCTGTTGGCGCAGCACAAGGCGCAGCTGGGTATAAAGCAGTTGTCATCAGTTACCATCTGGATGAGTGGGAGTACATCGTTCACGCTTTCCTCGCCGATTGGTACTATGCGGCAGAACCTGGGCCTCCCCTTTACGGTGGAACTGTGGTAGATCCCATGATGTTTGACTTTTTGGCCGCGGCCGAGAGACGCTGCCGTAGTGATTGAGCGAGTTCGGCGGAGATGCAAAGCAAGGCCAGGTCACGGACATGTTGGATTGTCGTCGTTGAGACCATACAAGGAGCGTTAGAAATAGGCAGAGTAAAAAAGTCAAATGGAAACGGTTCTAATGGTCGCGGATTCTCGGACCTCCCACTCGTTTTGTAATTTCTTCTCTACTTCCCCCACCTCGCGCGGATCCAAGATGCTTCGCCACGCGAATTGCCATAGGGATAGGTTGATAGAGGGCTTCGGGCCTTTGCGATTCAGAGGGCTCAACCCGATCGCTTGGATTCTCTTCTGACACCAAAGGGCGACTCCTAAGCGTCGATAGGAGTCGAACTTGACGGTGCGCAAGGGCGAAAACGACGTCTCTGACAGCAATTGCCATTGTCGCAGGCCAAATGTACCCAAATCAATTTTGTATGACTGGGTCACTGGCTCTGGATCAGGTCGTCGTGGCGTTGGCCACCTTCGTTCGACTGGCTGCCGGAGAAATGGGAGTCGCGGAGGGCCTCGACTACAGCCGCCACTGCTGCTGCCACTGGCGTCATGGGAGACGACGAGATTTGTTGCTCGTGCATGGTCGAGATACTCAGTAACGGTTTGGATTTCTTCCGCCTCATAATCAATGCTCCATTTGACAAAAAGATCTTGCTCTTTCATGCTTTGCAATCGCGCCAGGTCTTCAGCGGGCCAGCTGAGCCGAGACTGACCAGCGGCGGTGCGCAAATCATAGAATAATTGAATCCGCCAAAGTGCACGGGAAACTCGCTCCTCCTCCTCCCAGACTGGTGGGCCATAATTATTGACGGGGGCCTTGAAGCTTTTGAATCTTTGAGTCCATGGCGGAATCCTTTTGAGGTCCCTTGAATACCGAGCCTCAGGATCGACCATGTTATCTGGCCGGAGGGCATTGAATTTCTCCAGGTAGTGCTCAAGGCATACTACAGTCAAATAAGCTATTTGTGCGCATATAGAGAGCACTCGGCGGATTGTCGGAATAGGAGTGTTGTCAGGCAAGTCGTGCGGAAGGGGTGCGCTTGTCGGACGTGGGCCGCCTGGTCGTTGTGGCCTTATATCTTTGACCGTTACATGAATGAAGCCCGTGATAAAGGCGTCTAGGCTCGGGTATGCAAATGAAGAAGAGTCGAGCATGGCCACGAGAGAGATTGATTCCCGGATTTGATCACACTTGTTGTCTTTGGAGAAGATGGCGCGGGTGAGTTGAAGGCCATCGTGGTCGAACACGCGGGAGATGGCTGGCGATGCCCGTAGAAGGTTGTATAGGGATGTACAATCATCAAGACGAGAGACAATGTCGTGTAGAAGCTCAAAGGGTAGTGTCTCCATCTTGATGAATTTAATGAAGAGGGGTAAAGAAAGAAACATCTAAATACACCAGGAGGCCGTAACGTAATTCCTGACCACCCTGGCAACACAGCCCCGCTAGCCAGCCTTCCTAACTACCTGGAATCTTTGAATGAAAATATCTCAATGAAACAAATCAATTGGTCCAAACTTGGCAATCTTACAATGTATCATCTTTTGCCCTACCTCCCAATTCCCAGTACGTATCGACGGGGCTTTCTCAGGTGTAAATCTTGCTAAGTACGCAACTCGCCCTATGCGTGACTATGTCAGAAGAATGAAATGTTATTCTGGTCTGTTCGCTACCTTAGGTAGTTGATAATCGAAAATTTACACTTTCGTACTGACACAAATTTTTGTGTGATTGGCCGCAGGAATATAGATGTTTGGCAAAAATTATACAGAGCTAGAGAAAGAAGCACAATATACTTAGACATCCAGGAATTGGCAAAGAAGCATGCCACTAGGTTCTAATGCCTCGCGGGGGCCGACACAAGATTTCTTACTTACATTTCACGGATGATCTTAGTAAAGCCATCAAACTCATTATGCTATGCTTTGAAATCCTTGTCAATACTCTTCATATCATCCGACAAAGCCCGGCACGGTACTCGTCTTCGCGAAAACATTATCACTACACACAGCCTACACCAACAATTAGTTCTGAGAGGACTAAAGAGGCCAATACGTTGGGAGATAATGCTTTCAATTTCCAAGGCCATGTTCCTAGCGGCAGCGACGGTTTTCAGAGCGGCGTCAAGGACTTCTTATTTGGTAGTGATTTTACCCTCAATTCTTGTGAATGTGACAGCCAAACTCGATCTATTGGATGGAGAATATCTCGAGTCTTCACGGTAATTGAGCTCTATTTATATCAATCAAATGATTCATGCAGAAAGGGTTTAGGGTGATATCTAGATCAGGCCTGCCTTTGCGGTATTTTGTTTTCTGTAAGGCCTTCCATATCATGATAAGCATTAGACGGAGTGTGGACCGCTGGGGCGCCAAGCTTCGGAGATTGAATCAACAAGCTTTCACATTTCTAGTATAGTCCACTGAATATGAATGTCAAATTTCAGACCCCAACTCTAACACAGTACGTAAACTGCTCTCGTTTTGGGATTTGAAACTTGACGAATGGCACGATCAAAGAGATCCAGATGGGAGTGTATTCATGCGGAATTTCAGGATGTCTCAAACTGTAATCGTGTTTCTAAATTAGAAACTATAGCACCACTGAGGAATGGCACTTGGTCGACTTGTCATTGGGCTTCTCGTTCAGGACTCTAAGATATTTAAGAGCCTTGCTTGCCCGGGATAACATATTCTTCTCTACCAAGCAAGATTGTCTATTCGCTATTATCTCTTTCTCATTGTATTGTCCATTCAAATATTCTGAGCTTAATTATGAACGGCATCTTGGCTGTGATACTGCTGGTATGGTCATATATGTCCATACTAGTGGCCGCATCGTCGCAAAACACGACGATTACCACGACATACGGACCTGCTTGAGCTCAACAGCGAAGCATCTCGTACATTCCTTGCCTGTCTACAGAACACCGGCGTTGAATATAAAGTCTATGTCGACCCTGCTGGGGCTACTGTGGTTGTACCCGCGACAAAACGAGAGATTGACTTTGACGGTGTCGACGCGAAGCTGTTGAAGTGTATGATGCAAGTAAAACATCTCATGCACGTGGTCACCGAGTCATCCCTATACGACCACGATGAACATGAAAATGCGGTAGCTAGCCATTCTGTCACGCACGAGTGGCTGAGCGAATAAGGTGCCAATGGTCTAACGGAGATTGGTATACGACCTGCTACGGTCAATCCAACGAACAATACGACTGCCAGGATAGACAGCAGAAGAGATGTCAGACTGAGTGAAAGAAGCGCCAAGAGGCAAACTGGTCTTCTTTTTTTCTCTTTTCCTTTAGAATGGAATGATTGTGAGTCTGCAGACTTTCGAATTAATGGTGTCGCCCCAAATTGTCCCAATGCCTGGTCGGCTTATGGCAGTATCAAATTCGAAAATCCAGAGTCCGATATCTTGCTGGTGGATATCTACCCACACCATCAATGTCAGAAAGGGAAGTCTAGACAGGTTATGATTAATGGGCGCAGCATGGGTATTTGTCAAGCAAGGACAACGTATTCGTGGCAGGGCATGTTCCGCAGATGTATTACCTGCTCGGTATGGATGCCGCCTTATGGCGCGAAGCTACGCTAGATAAAGCAGTGAGTTGCGCATGATCGCTAGATGGGTGTGAGGTCAAGGAAGCCATCCAGCATTTTAGGCCGTTGCTGTGGATGTTCTTGTATTTGTGTTCTGGGGACCTATGAGATAGGTGTTGGCAGATATGTGCGACAACCATGGATCTGACAGTGTATGTAGAAAGAGGAGAATGTGCAGACTGTGCTCTATCTTCAATCACTTAAACATGAATCTCGAATTCAATCCCTAGTTCGTAGCAATTCGATGCGAGGTAACCAAATATTGACACGTAAGAAGTGCTATGCTATATATCGATCCAGCGTACTCGGTATGCTGCCTGAATTATACGGTGTCTATCTTAAGTCGCGAATACTGCTTAGTCAATCATACCGCGCACCAATCGGATATCAACAAGTCTGAATTGCTACGATGCCCCTTTGCTAACAATTTGTATGGGCAAAAACATGACTAAGCTAGGCGGGTGTTTTAGTATTTCCTTTTCCCTGGGGATCCACCCATCCTGCTGTTCCGACACACCCCCTCAGCGATTAGCGAGTGTTGAATATCTTCGCTAGTGTTGAATTCAATCGAGATGAGCGCTGATCTCCTGCAGCAGGCCCTCTCTCTTCTTCTTCCTTCTCTACACCTCGATTAGGTGCTATATATCCTCCATGCGCATCAATTTGACGAAATCCTCGTGCTTCTAGCGCGGTAGGATCTTCGTGAGGCTATCTGCTACCATCTTGGTAGTTAGAACCTATTTGATATCAATCCTGCCTGTGCTGATCTCTTGTCTCAACTAGTGTCTATGAATATCGACGTGACGAAGCTTCGTATCGATTTTAGCATGCTCGGAGGTCAACAACGTGACGGTCTGTTGGTTATCGCATCGCAGGGTGATCGTATAGCTTGGTTTGAACGAGATTCGGTCGAGGAATCGCTTCTACCACTGCAGCGAGCGTGTAGCGTCTAACAAACCAAGTAGCTTAGCTTCAGTAGTGGATATAGTAACAGTAGGCTGCTTCGTAGCCTTCTAATTAACTAGACCTCTATAAACCTAGCAGATATACCCTACGGAGCTTCGTCGATCTTGATTATCAGCGAAGGATACGTTACTTGCTAGTTCGATTGATTCTATGTCTCCTTTGTCTCTAAATTGCAGTGCCAGATATCGTGTAGTGTATAGGTAGCAGATCACCCTATCAACTACTCGCTAGTATTGTAGGCTAGGGTTTCGAAGGAACTATGATAATTTTGCGGCTACTTTCGCTGTATCTAGCCTAGTGATCGTGGTTGGATATTGCACTAAACCTACCTTTCCCTGGTATATCTTGATCTTAGCTAGTGTTACTATACTATCGAATAGCTTTATTTCTTCTATAGGGAGAGGTATATAGACAGGCGGGCGATCGGTTAAGTGGTATTTAGCAGCTATACTGCTGATGTAGGCGTCCTGGTAGAGCTAGAGCTTCTGCTATTTCCGATCGCGTATAATTCGAATGTTTAAGAACTACTCTACTTCTCTATAGTCCGTAAGCTCCTAGTATGCCTCTAGATCCTTCTTAAGCTGGCGAGCTTTCTTTCGTATTGGCGGTGATAGGTAGTTCGCGATAAGGATATCGTCGACGTAGAAGAAGACGATAATACCGTGTATGACGAAGACGTATAGGTCTTCAGGAATAGCTACTAGGCCAAGCTTCGTAAGAACGGTTGATGCTTCCTATTACTAGAGTTTCGGTGAAATACGTAGGCTATAAAGCACTCGGTCAAGTTTCTAGTATATCCCCGGTTATTCAAATCCTTTAGGCATCTTCGTATAGGTCTCTATAGGTAGCTTGCTGTTCAAGAACGCGGTGACTGTATCCTGCTAGCGTAGATCGAGGTTAAACGCTACGACGAGGGCAAAGATTACCCTCGCTGCTCGTGCTGCTAGTATTATAGCTCTTTTATCCTTAGGAGTTATCGTTTCAAGGTCTCCTCGTACGTAGATACGTGCCTTAAGCTTCTACAGATAGCCGTCTTGGTCGAATTTGTATGCGAATACCTATCGGAGTAGTAGGATCTGTTTCGACACATTATTCGGTCGCTTTATCATAGTAAACGTTGATTTCTCCTAGAGAGAGCGTATTTCCTTTACGCAGGCGGCCAGGAAGCCTTCGGCTATCGAGTGCTTCATTATATTCTTCTACCTATCAGGCGCAGGGGGTAGATCGTCTCTATAGTGCTGTATCGGCTTCTCTATGTATAGGGCTACGGCGAATGTGCGTAGTAGCTCTGGTAGATCGTCTTTAATAGCCGGTAAGATCGTTGCGTACGCTTGGTAGTCAGGGTCGGTTCTTAGTCTTCTTCTTCTACTTCCCTCGATGATATTCGCGGCGTCGATTCCGTCGTTCCTTCGCGTATAAAGCTCTGTGTATAGCTGCTGCTCGCTATCGGATAGCGTATCCTCTTCTTCGGCTTCGTGCGGAGGGTTTAGTTCTATCGGCTAGTCTTTATTATCGCAGATATCTCGCTCTTGAGGTTCAAGTATAGTCTGCTGGTCCACCCCCTAAGCAGCGGTAGGGCTAATTTCAGTGGTAACTCGCTCTTCTAGTAGGCTCGGTGGTAATTCAGGCGGCTCTTCTGTCGGAAATGCGCCTGGCAAGTTATCATTCGGAGGCTCCTGGTCTACCTGTAGGTGGCCGTCTCTATCAGGTTCCGGGGTAATCGGTGCGATCACCCCCTGAGGTATATCGCAATCTCTCTGATCTTGAGCTTCCTGGTACGTATGATCTTCCTCTTCTAGCAGGATAGCTTCCTGCTGGCCTTCCTACTAGCCTTCCTGCTAGCCTTCCTGCTGGCCTTCCTGCTGGCCTTCCTGGAGATCTTCCTGGGTGTTTCGATTGACTGACGTATTAGTAGGGATACCGATATCTTCGCGAAGCACTTCTATCTGTTCTTCCTCGGTCAAAATCGTCGGTTCAGGTGCAGGAAGGGTTCTCTCTTCCTAATACTGTATATTAGCCTTCTATTTCCTTGATTCGTCGAAGTGTGCATCTCTCACGACTTCTATCTTCTCTCTCGCAGGGAACTATATCTTCCATATATTTGATGCGATATAGCTAACAAGGAAACCGATTTCTGCGCGGGGAGAGGTCTTCTGCAAGCGTGGGATATTACGGATACGGTAGTACGACAGAGAGCTATATACGCGCAGGTTAGCTAGATTAGCCTTCTTTATCCTTTCGCCGCCGAAATCTCTTCGTGCTTTATCCTATAGCACGATCTAGCGATTCTCTTCCTTTAGGTAGGTAGGGATTCGGTTCAAAATCTATACTGCAGTGCTTACTATCTCTAGCTAGAGTTGTTTCGGTAGCTTGCTCTCGATCTGTAGATGCCTCGCTATCGTCAGGATAACTCCTCCTGATCGCTCCGCTAAGCCGTTTTGCTTAGGGTAATAGGGGATACTATACGATATAACGATACCGATATTGCTTAGGAAGCCTTCGATCTCTTGGCCTGCGGAGGTCTTATTATTATAATGAAATGCCCTGATCGGTAGGTTCTACTAATTCTTGACGAGAGTAATGAATCGCCTTATGCCCTCTCTATACTCCTATTTGTGTTCATGAGTGTATAACTAGTAGAATCGAATCCCTTCAACATAGAAATACGTTATCTATTAGTGTCTGTTATATCTAGGTGGAAATTAGACTAGATCGAAGTAAATTCGGCCGTATTTACTAAAGGTTTAGCTAATCAGTCGTCGTGAGATCTGCTTCGGTGCGCTTGAGAGATTGCAGACCTAACAAAGCTCTCCTCCTTCTATTAATAGTGTTTCTAGTAGGTCTTCGCTGATTTTGACACTATCTACTATTTCGGCAGTCTTCTTTATTACACGAGCGGATATATAAGCAAGTCTTCGGTGCTATCGATCTGCTAAGGCTTCCGAAACGAGTAGTTTCTCTGATCTGCGAACTGCATACGCGTGGGTATCGGTTTCTAGTAAGGATTGTGGAGGATCTCCTAGTTAATCGAATGCCTATATCTTTAGCGGTTTTATAAGATATACGCTAATAATTGGTTCACTAGTAGAATCCTTAATATATTCGGTGTCCTCGTCCTATCGTATACCTTTCTCCTTTAACGTAGTATATAACATCAGGTTAGCATGGAAATTTGGCGAGTACACAACGTTACTTAGGTAAATTAGCCGGGTTGATCTATTAGGGCCTATACCGGTTATAATAGCGCTTCTAGTCCCTTCTATAGCAGTGATTGAATCGCCTGTCTTTAGGCCTGCTTTCTCCGGTATAAAGGTAGTGAAAAGGTCTTTCTAGTTATATATATGTACTGATGAGGCAGTATCGAGAAACTAGCGCTTTCGAATATCATTATTAGTGCCTCCTGTGGTCTTCACGCTTTAGTAGACCTGTTCGATTAGAAAGCCTGTGGTAAAGTAGGAGCTATACAGTTGAGTGATATTGGCTATATTTGTAGCGGGCTTCACTCTATTCTTCTTATTATACTCCTTGACAGACTTCTCTATCCAGGTCTTCCAAGCTATATCTCTCGCAAGACGATCTTCTACACGCTTAGCCTTCTATTTCGAGAGAGGTTTATCAGGAAAAGCCTCTCTATTAATCGTCTAGTAGTGCTAGGGCTTATGAACTTTGTTACTACAAGGGCACTAGCGCTTAGGAATCGGTGGTAAGGATCTCTCTCGCGGTAGTTGCTGTGCTTGCTGCTACGGCTGTAGCGGCTCTGATCTAGCTTCCTCAAAGCCCTGTAGTGTTGAAAATGATGCTTTTGAGATCGTACTAACTGCGCTCGATCTCTGCGGGTATAGCTCGCGATAGGTTCCTCTGAAATTCTCGATCAAATCGCGCGTATCCTATTCTTCCTAATACAAAACGATCGCTTTAAACTTCAGCTGCTACTATACTAGGAGTATCTCTTTTACTACACGGAGGAAATCCTTATTGGCGCTCTTGATCTCTAGCAGATCTAGGCTAACCGCCTGTTCTCTTAGTGAATCCTATTCGTTGATCCACTAGTCGATATCAGCACCTTTCTTCGGTGGTAATGCTGATACCCTCTTCTACTGCGCACGTATATCTTCTTCCGCCGCTGTTGATCGACCAAATCGAGTATGGAGATACACAAGCCGTTCGTACGGGGTTTGGTAGTTGAGCATAGAGGTATAGTAGATAGGATCCAAATTAGCGATGATCCATTCGTTCATAGCTTCTAGGCTCTTGCTCTGTTGCTCCTATTCAGTATAGTCAAGCTTGTATATGTCTATGCGATCTCTCCATTCTCGTTTCGTCGACTCGCTGCCGTCTTCGGGGTATTGCGGCCTTCTTGGTTGGCGAATCGGTTGTTTAAGATAGTCTTCTTCGAGCTGAGGGTTGACTAGGTCCTATACCCTCTTCTAGCGTGTATATATCTTGATTCGTGCGAACCAATTCCTCCACTGCGGTGGATCTTTCAGTTTCTCGCCTTTTAGGGCGGAGACTACTGCTGAATCTATATTGATCGCGTTCTTCTTTAGCAGTCAATTCGATCGATAGGAAGGTCAGGGGTAAGAAGGAGACGTCTGGCCGGGTCGCTATCGCGGATACACCTTGCGTATAGCTTGATTTGACGAATATAGCCTTCTTACTGGCGAATCGGGCTCATAACAGTCGCGAATACTGCTTAGTCAATCATACCGCGCACCAATCGGATATCAACAAGTCTGAATTGCTACGATGCCCCTTTGCTAACAATTTGTATGGGCAAAAACATGACTAAGCTAGGCGGGTGTTTTAGTATTTCCTTTTCCCTGGGGATCCACCCATCCTGCTGTTCCGACATCTTATGGGCAGGTTCAATCATGTGATCTGTTTCCCCGCGATATGCTGACTCATCTCGATGAACATGCCCGCTGCCTAATCCTCCGAGCTTCCTCCAAAGCTCCAATTTCACGAAGCTCCATGCTCTTGACCATCTCGTTCTCTTCATCATATCGATCATCATGCCACCCGACCTGAACTCGCTGCCACCGTCTCGCTCATCCTCAACCTCATCCTCTTTCCCACACCGGAACCCATCCGCCGTTTCCCCGGGCACTACAACCCCCTCCCCCGCCGTCAACCCCAGCTCTACCTCCCCACGGCCCTCACACGGGTCCAGCATCGGCCGAGTATCGGTCTCCGAGCGACGTCGGTCAGCAGCCGGGATGCATCTCAATATGAACGAGACTGGCTCTACAGCCTCGGGCAATCACCACAGTGATGCACCCTGGTCCGAGCATCGCAGCTCGATGGGCCAGGCATTCCGCACTGCCAGTCCCACCAGTCACGGCGGCAGCCCGGTCTTTGCGACCGCGGACCCGCACCATCAGCGGGCCCCATCGTTGGGTGAGCTGCATCAGGAATTGGAGCAGGAGCAGGAAGCACAAGTGGTGAGTCTTATTCCATGATGCGTTTAGTTCGCTACTATTGAATTGTTATCGTTGGAGCAGGCAAGTATTCAAGGCTAACAAAACACTCCTCCCAATAGAACCGTCTTCTACAGATGATCCGCAGCCAACAGGCCCAGCTACAGCAGTACCAGCAGCAAAACCAACAACACAACTCGTCCGCGTCAGGTACAGCAGTCATCGACGATACTACCACTCCAGCATCAGACCGGTCGGCCACCTTCTTCCCGCCTATCCCTCCACCCGCAACTGCGCCCAGTAATCGTCTCTCAATCTCCTCCGTTTCTAACCGTCGATCGCGTCCATCCAGTCAAGCTGCTTCACCGAATCTGCGACCACGGGATGCATCGCGGGGACCCGAGGGCACGGAGGCGTTCCCGAGTCTGCGGGAAAGTACATCCCGACGAAGCAGCCGAGATGAAGGGGCATACTATCAAGCCGAAGCCGCTATGCTTAGCCGGGAGAATCAGATGCTGCGCCAACGGATCCGAGAGCTAGGTGAGTACTCACGTTCAGGCCTTGCCATGCGCCCCCGCAATGCAATTCCAAACAATAAAGGATTTAGTTTCTGTAGCCTGTGCTAACCATTTTCCCCACAAAGAACGGCAAATCAGTGAAATGACCACCTCCACGAGGCCGACTACTTCTACGGCCCCCTCCTCGACCCCGGCACCAGGGCAAGAGGCGCCCGAAACGGCAGATCCACAGGCCGTGCGTTCGGCAGATGCCAAAGACTGAAATGTCCTTTCTTCCAGAAACTTTTTGTTTCCAGGTGGCGGGACAACTCCACCACCCGATGATCATGATATCATTTGCTTTTGGGGGTTATGATAATCAATACCGGCTTTCTGGGGGTGTATAGGCGTATCTAGACAGGAACTGGTTCTGTTCATTTTACCTAGCTCTATGCAATAATGAACCGTCTCAGCTGGCCAGATAAAATTTGAGATTCTGGTTAGCTGAGATTTCAAGAGACCCGTCTCATGAAATGTGGGGTGAAAAAACCGAGAGTGCCATTGCTCAGCTTGCAAAACAAGAATTTCCCCTCGACAACTGGATTCTCTCAGCTATCCCGAAGATCATGTATCGACCTTCGCATTCAGTGATATCCTGGCTAACGTGAGCATTTCATCCCTGATAGACCCTGTTCTGGACAGGTCTTTGCTTGAGATATCCACACGACACTGGAAACCTATAGATTCGAGAGAGATTGAACGGCATTGCTGAGTCTTACGACTAGACTTTGGCAGCTCTTAGGGGGTTTCTTCATCCTATTATCCAAACGAACCTGTCTGCTTGTTATGCTTTCTATGAACACTTGAATATTCAAACAGGGAATGCGATTTAATCATGACTGGAAATAGTGACAGGACCTTTTCTGTTCCACAAAATGAAATACAAGCTGATTTCCTTTCCACTTCCACCATTCATCAAAGTAAATCCCATTAATACTAGCCTGACCGCCAAATCCTCTAGGTATAATGACCCTACGTGAAAAAAACAGGATGAAAGAGTTATTCAGGATATATATGTTATCCATAATGTATTCATGTTGTATCCGCACAACTATACAAGAGAAGCATGTCGCAACGACAGTACAAAGATATCTTCATCTATAGCGGCGCTGAACCCAGATATCACAAAACCGAGAAACCAAAGGGAAGAGAAAAGAAAAAAACCAAAAATGCATAGATGCATGCAACCCAGACAGATCACTTTCTACAGCTTCATAGCTAAAGCTTTACAGCTTGGACTTCTCGGGTTGAGCGGCCAGGTCGGGGAGGAGGACGTCGCGGAGTTCTGTGGCGGCTTCGTTGAGGTAGTAGCTCATGCGGTGGGCGCCGAGACGCTTGCAAACGATGTTGAAGTTGAGACTAAAGATGGAAGTATTAGTATGAAAGTAGACAGGGCAATAAGAGCTTGACGGGGCAGTGGCATACCTGTTCTCGTTGATCATGTAGGCAATTCCGAATCCATCATCAATAACCTGGCTCCATCCGTATCCGTTGAAGAACTCCGAGCTCAGCTGGGAAGAAGAAATGTACCAGGAGCCGGAGTAAGTGAAAGCGGGATCCTCGTAGATCGCAGGAAGCTTCTCGCCGGGCTGGAGCAGCTTCTTCAGACCGAAGAGGTGGCGGTCCACACCGCGGCCGTCGCTAGCCTCGAGAGTGTACTTGGTGTGCTGGGCCAGCGCGGCACGGAAGAGCTTAACGACCTCCTCGCGGGGCACGCTGGGGTCGCAGAACGCGCGGGTGAAGGCGGTACTCTCGTCGGAGACGGTACGCGTGGTTTCGGTGCGGCCCTGCTGGAATTTACGGGTGGAGGCGGACTCGTAGGTGGGGCGGTTCTTGCCGTACATCTTGTAGTAGGCCAGTTGGATGACCATCTGGACGTAGGCGTCGGGGCTGCACTTGAACTTCTTGATCAGACCCTTGCCGTAGCCCTGGTAGGCCTGGACGACGAGCTCGTGCGAGCCGATCTGCTTGCGGTGGTATTGGGCGGCGATGTCGATGGCCTCGTTAGCCTCGTCATTCAGGGTGAACTTGATGGCCTTAGGGTCGGCCAGCTGGGAGCGGACGGACTTGGCAGAGAGATCAATCTTCTTGCCGAAGATCAGGCCGTTGACAAAGTCGTTGAGACGGTGGGTGGGGGTACCGTCCATCATGGAGTGCTCGCCCATGAAACCGGCAGTGCCGTTATCGTTGACAATGAACTGCAGAGGCTTGTCGAACCAGCGGTTGGTGCCATCACCGTGCCAGTATTGGTGAGCACGCTCCTCCAAGGTCACTGGCTTGGCATCGTCCAGGCAGACGACAAAACCAGCGGACTCAATGTCGCGCAGAGCCTGCTCGTTGGCCGGGTCGGCCGCAACCAGCTTCTCGCGGGCAGCAGTCCAGTGATCACGGTCTGCGACAGTCAGCACACCGACCGGCGGGGCAGGCTGGGCAGTCTCGTAGATGCGCTGGAACTGGTGCTCAAGCTCGGACACGTTCAGGGCCTGACCGTCCACGACGAGCGGCACCTTAAAGAACTGGTTCTTGCGGACGGCGATGATGTGCTGGTTCTCGGCCGCAGAGTACTTGCGTGGGAAATCCTCGGGCTGGGCGGGGATACGGCAGCAGTTGAACATGTACTCGTACGAGCTCATGGCCATGGGCTGACCGCGCATGTACTCGGGCTCGAGGGAGCCATCGTCGACCTGGCGCTTGAACTCCAGCGCCGCGGAGGTGATAGCAGCGGCACGCTTGGCAGGGTTGCGGCGCTCCCGGTCATCACGGTAGGAGTAGAAGTAGGAGACGTAAGGAATGACGGGGTCACGGTAACCCAAGTAGGCGGCCGAGTTCCACCACTCGGAGATCCAGTTCTTGATCTTGGGGTCGGCGGCACGCTCCAGAAGGCGCTTCTGCAGAGGCTCGCCCTCACCGCCAGGGCGGATGAAGGCCTCGACGGCCTTCTTGGTACGCTCGAACTCGGCCTCGGACACCAGCGGGTGGACGGACTTGAGGTAGCGCTTGCCGGTCTCCTCGAGAGTTGGGACGGGGAGGCGGGGCAGGGAATCCTCGAAGCGGAGCATCTTGCCCTTGGAGAGATCTTCCTTGTATCCTGATCGGCGCATTAGTTGAGTCTGATGCGATGCGCACGAGTTTGTCGGCTCTTGCGGACACGAGCGCACACTTCATGAGCTTCGTTATGGGCGCGGGGCATGTGATAACTCACCCTCAGGGACGGATGACGCCTTGCGAGCCATGGCAGGAGTCTATACAGGGGGAAGTCAGTTCAATTCTTCGTGCTTTTTTCCTTTGCAAGCTCTTCTCGCCGCGACTGCTCTGCACGTTTTTTTCTCGCATTTCCAGAGCAGCTCACAACGAGATCGGAGGTGGCCGTCTTACCGAGCGGGCGAGTAGTTGTGTCGGAGGGAGCCGGGGCCTTGACAGGGTGGAGAGACGGCTTCGCGCAGAGGCAGCGAACATCCCTCTCAATGGTATAAAGATTGGAGGATGCTTGGGTATAAAGAGGAAGAGGAAGCAAGAAAAGACAATGTGTCGGAGTTTGGTCAGGAGAAAGACCTAATAAGAAACTGGGTTGACCGGCTGAAATGCCTCGGCTGTACGGAGAGCCCCAAGCGGCCAGCGAGGGCGGTGTATGGCTTGGTTGGGTATGGTCACGTCCTGTCACAGGAACATGTGTCGGTCCCGTCCGGGCTGGGGGATCCGCAGTGACTCACTCCGAGGAAAACGACGAGTGACTGAAATACAATTACCAGGCTGGTATGGCTGGGGTCAGCCGCTGTGCCTCGGTTGACTGTGGACAAGTCCGGGGCAAGTCCACAGTGGACCGAAGGCCAAAGGCCAAAGGATTCCAAAAACAAAGGACGGGGACCGGGATCGGTTCACCGAAAGATGGACTGCCGAGCAAACGTCGGAATAATACGTTTGCTCGAAACATGACGATGCATAAAAACGAGCCCTAAATCATGTCACATCGGTATGATCTTCTCGGTCGGTTAGACTTTACGCAAAACCCGCGGTGGGCTCCCCATTTGCGGGGAGAGCTTCGACTAACGTTAAGTAACTTAACTGGGTTACGGAGCGGGACTAGCGATCGACTAAATCAACATCAACTTGGCCGGGAAACCCCAAGGTGCTCTCCGCGGAGAGAGTCATCAATATTAAAGACACTAAATACTCGAAATCAAAACAATACATCGCAGTGAGAGGGGCAGACGTATGTATCCCTGTCCGGCGCGCTCTGATGTAAAGCCACAGAACACATCCCTTCATCCGCGCCCGTTGACCCGAATGGTCAGAACAGCAGGCAAAGAGTAACAAGGCCAATAAAAAGAAAACAAACAAATCACCGCACACCCAAAAAGTCCAAGACTCGCTATTCGCAGGTATCAACAACCCAAAAAAACCAGGAAAACAAAGGAAAAAAGAGAGAAAAACGCCACAAGTCCAATTCAGGACCCAGATAAACAGATAAATAGATGACCCCGTAGAGCATGGGGACCCCACAGATGCCGCATAAAGTGTAGGTGGATCCGGGATAAGGAAAACGTCACTGTAGAGCGAGAAATGCGGAGAAGAGATCTTCGTAGAAAGGCATTAGGAGACCGGCTGGACAGGCGTAGGCTGCTCCTGGCCCTCCAGAGAACGGGGAACTTGCACTCCGCGCTCACGAAGCTCGTCCATCCTGGCCATCGCGGGCCCCGTGCAGATGCGGCCCGTCTGCATCAACGTACGCAGGCGCTTGCGTCGGGCCTCGCCGCTTCGCTCTTCCCCGCGCCCGACCCCGTCATCCACCCATTCCACCCGGTGGACCTTGAAGCTTACCCCGTCGTGACGACCTGTCCATTTGCGGGACTTGAGGCCAAACATCACTGTCGATTCATACTGGTCCACACGGGGCAGGATCAAAAGGGTAATGTGCAGGTCCTTGTCGGCAGGAGGAACGGGCGGGAGTCGGGGCTTGCGAGCCTCCTTCTCCCCCTTCGATCCATTCGCGCGGTCTTCCGCTGTAGGCTGCGGGGCATGCTGGTAGGTGTCCTTGATTTCCAGATCCAGCATGGATTCATCCACATCCTCTCCCCAGGCACCTCGGATGTATCCCGAGTGGATGGCAGCGGCAACGGGGTCGGAGTCATCCGTATAGACGCCTGTGCCCCACAACGCTCGTCGCGCACAGATCTCTTCACGCCGAGCCGCACCGATACGGAAACGGGGGACGCGAACGGTGAAAGTGCAATTCTCCCGCTGTTCAAACCGGGGAAGGGGTTGCGGGGTTGTCGTGTAGCCAAACTTGGCGCTTTCCAAGGACGCTTTGGCACCGGGAGCGCCGATGTGGGGGGTATACAGGGTGGACCCCAGGTGGTAACGCGGCAAGTGCGCCACACTTGACAAGAGAGGTTCGAGATTCACAGTGGTACGGGGTTCCCGGATGGGGGATGCGGCAACAGGGGCGGTGGGTCGAGGTGCGTGATGGTGGTGGTGGTGATGATGGTGATGGTGACCGGCTGGGGCCTCAGCGGGAGTAGATGTTCGACCTAACAAGTTCGAAGGCGTAGGCCGATGCAGACCGCTCAGAGTAGCAGCTTCGTCATCGGCCTTGTGGCGGTGATGGTGGTGACTAGTAGAGAAGGTTAGCACATCTTGGTATATAAAACTAGAGAAAGGTATGATCCCATACTGGTGATGGTGATGGTGCACATGTCGAGACCGACGACCACGGCTGGAGAGCCCGGCACCACCATCGTCCATAGGAACATCCTCATCGCGTGACTTTCTAGATCGCCGTTGGCCAGTCGCCGATGCTGGTCGAGTAACTTTGGCCTCGTCGGCATCCCCATTTATCGAGCGACCAGTGAGACTATCGCGCTTAAATGGACTGGCAATCAGCGGTGTTGACGGGCCACTACCCGATGACCCAGCAGTGACACCCCCAACACCACTGCCGATTCCAGAGAACACCCGGCCCAGCTCATTTTTGATCCCCGGTTCTCCTGAAGGACCAATGAATGGAGCTTGGGCACCCTGAACAGCCTGGGGCAGTGGAGAAGCCCGGCCACCGCGTTTGCCATCGACGCCCACTGCCAGTAGATTCCGGTGGTGAAGCAGCTCATCACTGCCTTTGCGCCGTTCCGGCTCCTCGACTGCAGACAGTCCAAGGGAGGGAGCTGTCGTGGAAGAGGCTGTTACAGGAGTCGAGCCCAAACGTGGAGGTTGTTGCTGGGACTTGCTGAGATAGGGCGACTCGCGTTGTGTGGGCGAGACCTGACCGTGGCCGGTTTGCAGTGACAGTGAAGGCTGCCGACCACCTCCAGGCTGAGATCCCAGAGACTTGGTATAACTCTGGATGGCACCGAATCCAAAGCCTGATCCCGTATCAGGTGCCGGGAAGCGTTTCGTCTCGGGGGATGATGGATGCGAGCGACCGTGATCCCACGCCGACGACGCGGTCGTGTGCCGTTCAAGCGGTTCCCGTTCGCCGTACAACGACCCGAATCTTGTTGACGTGCCAAGCGGGCCCTTTGTATCCAACCGAAGAAGGGTGCGCTCTCGCTCCCGCTCTCTTTCACGCTCTCTTTCACGCTCTCTTTCACGCTCTCGTTCCCGCTCTCGTTCCCGCTCTCTCAGCGCATTTTCTTCCGAGCGGCGATCCCCAAAGATACTACTGAAGCGACCATGCGTTTCCCGACTCTGGGGCTCGAGAGCGCCATACGATGAAGAACTAGCACGTTGCCCAGGCTCGTATCGGTCGGGACCAGCACCGGATGGGCGGGAGAGAGGACTATAACCGGATGGACGCGTTGAAGGATCGGCGTTCGGAGGCTGGCTATTAGGCCGAGCGATGGGCCCGCTGAAACTCATGCGACGGGGCTCATTGTAGGGCGGTTCGGCAGCGGAGATCTGAGGGGACGGATTTGTGGAATGCGGCTTTTCGGGGTATTGAGAGAGTGGTGCGCGTGACAGGCCGCCGAATTTAGCCTGCTCGACACCTCCAAGTAGACTTGACCCACCACCAGACCCAGACCGGTATGGCCGGCCAATCGACGGCCTGGAGAACGACTTCTCGGGGGTATGTGATCGACGGAATGCCGACTGGTCTAGTGGTGATGGTCGAGATGGGCCCGTGGGTGGTGACATGGCGGCAGAGGCGGACAAAGGCGCATTACCGAAGATCGACGACCCCGGGGGACGCGAAAAAAGTGATGATCCAATATCTCGCGCCGGGCGTTCTGAGTCCGATCCTAGCATGGCAGAGATGGACATGCTGCTGCCGGGACGATGGGACGGGGCACTGGGCGCGTCGCGGGAAAGTAGGGATGAGGCGGGCGCGTTGGTCGACTGTGATCGGGCGCCGTAGGAGTGTGGAGGAGAGGGAGGAGGCATTTGGCGGTTACCAAAGGCTGGCGGCGCAGAGTGTTCTTGAGGTCCTGTAGATGGTCAAAATAGTCAGTGGATGCACTTGGAACAGGGGCATCATGCAAGCCTAAGAAAAAGATAGCCAGCGATGCAGTCAGAATGCTGGGCGGCGGCTAGATCCACGTAGCGCAGTTGCAGTCGACCTGCATGGCGCGCGTCGCGGTCGCACTCACCGGAGTACACGGGACTCCCACTGCTGCCTTGGGACGCCCTGCGCCCAAAGCCAGAAGGCGGGTGGTTCATCTCGCGCAATAGCTCAGCGTCAAGAAAGGTAAGAAGCTGATGAGAAGCTGAATCCACCCGGGTCCAAGAAGCAGGACTGGGAACCCGTGACTCCGGAAGCTCGACCGCTAGGCCCAGAAGAGACTAGCTCCGCTATGCCTAATTGGGACTAGCGTTCCCGATGGATCTGCGCCACCGGGGAAAAAGCATCAAGGCTGAGAAGAGGCTGGGGGAGAGGGAAGCAAAAGCAGGCACTGTGGCAGATAGGGGGATCGATGACGCAAGGAGACTTCAGATCGCTAATAGCGCTCCAAGTATCGGGGGGTAACCTTGAATGTTGCGCCTCAACGCAAGACAATACCCAAAGTGGAGCGAGGAACCGGACGGGGGAACGAGAACCACGGGACAAGTCCGACCCCAAGTCTTGGTGAATCCGGGGGACACAACAAACAGACCTCGGAAGAGCACGAGGGAGTCTGTGATCCCTCCGAACAAGAAAATGACACCGCAATGACTGGGGAAAGAAAAACACAAACCTTCTCGATAAGGAGCTCCCTGCGGTTGGGAGTGATTTCGGCGATGCGTGTGTGCGTGCTGCCGCGTTTCGAGGCTGGCATTCCGCCGATGCTGGTGTGCATGCTGGTTCCGCGGCGGAGAAATCGCCGCCCCAGCATTCTCCCCCGGACCCCTTGCGACGCCCTTGATGCACCCGGTGAGTATAGATCTGATGAAGTAGCCGGATACTCGTAGCGACTGGCCGGTCGGGGCTTGTCGCTGTCGGTGCGACGGCGAGGGTCATCGGCGGGTGAGAGACCGCTGGACTGGCGAGCACGATCATCGCGCGGCTCTTGGGAATTGCCTAATGGCGGCCGGGGCGGATACGAGTTCTGATGCAGTCGACGGAAGAGATCCATCGTGGGCGCGTGCCCTGGGGTGGGGGATACGTGTCAAGGTGTGGAGATCAAGAGACGACCGTCAGGAAGAGGGCGCGGCTAAGCAGACTTTGCACGGTGGACGGGCAGGAAGAAAGATAAACAGGCGCTTGGAGAAACGAAGCGCAGAGAGCTGGAAATGATGTCGAGGATCAGCGGTTGATCGCGCGATCCATGCCCGGTCGGAGATAGTGCGCCCGAGAGAGGTGAGGAGGTGCGGAGATAGAGGAGACAGCCGAGGGTGAGGGGCTGGGCGAGAGGATGGATTGGAAGGCTGTAGAGTTGAGGGGATGGTGCGGGTGGGCGGTTGTTAACTGAGGGAGAGGAAGAGTGAGAAGGAAGAATCACAGGTCCAGACCGAAACGAGTCAAGAACGGAGAAGATGGTTCAGGAGGAGAGTCCGGAGGAAAAACGGTGAGCGGCTTAGCGCGGTGGTGGATGGGGCCCAGGGCCAAGACGCATGTGGGGATCGGGATGGGAGAGCACGCTCGTGCGCGATGAACAGGCACATTGGAAATCGAGGAGAAGAGCAGATTCAGCCGGTAGTTCAGATTAGGCTATATATCGAGTATTCTGATTGAATCTCAAGCCTGGAGATAGTCTCGTAGTCTGGCATTGTTCTTGTCTTCCCAGGCTACTATGTATGTACTGTTGGGCGCAGCCCCCTGATGCCCTAAAACTAAATGGAACCATTCTGGAGGAGCTAACCGACGTCAGGCAGCATGCACGGACTTGGTTGGCGGTACTTTCTTATGAGTTTCTTTTTTCTTTCCCGCCTGCATATGTTGTCATGTACATTCTGTGATGCATCACTTTGCATTAGACTCGTGATCGACCAGTCCCTGTCGTACCCCAACCATCCTCGACGCATACTGGATTCCCTGTGGCTGCAGCTGTGTACCTTCACCGTACGACCATGTCTCAATACGCGCCCCCCACTTGGCGTGGCACATGATGTTCTTGAAGACAATTAACCTGTATTCCTAATTCACATGAAACGAATGGATATAGCAAAACAGATTTGATATTGGCATTGGTATTCACATCGACATTGGGTATCATGAAAGTAAGAGGAATTATAACGAAATATGGTAGACGACCAACATCGTATCATACAATACAGATGGGAGGTAGCTGGCCATTGGCAAGATCTTCGGCAAAGATAAATCCATCTTCGGATGACCAAAACACATCCGAGTAAGGAGACCTCGAGCAATCCGCGTTAGGCAAAGGCTCACCCGTGACAACAACAGTAACAGCCCGCTGAACCACTTCAGCACCGTCCCAGTGGGACAGATAGCCCCGTTGACGAAGGAGGTCCAATTGCGAGACCAGACTTGGGAAGACCTCCGGGAGAGACGACCCAGCATCCAGTACAAGCATAAACGTGCGCGAAGGATCATTCCGATTTAAACCACCAGAACTCATGATAAAAGGAGATTGAGAGCTTCGTGAAGCGCCATCCGACTCTAGCTTGGCAATAATCGGGTCCAGGCGCAGCGGCAAATCATTGATAGCGCTGGGGCCCAAGTCGGATGGACCCATCTGCAGTTCACTGTCGTGCAGCCAAACGCCCGTTCGAAGTCCGTCGCAGCCTGCAGCAACGGACTGCGCAAGGGCGTTGGGACGAGGATCCGAGTGAGGATAGGTGCATCTCACGTGCCATTCGCGAGGGCTGAGTCGGGAGGTCACTGGTGGGCGCGGCAGGCCTTTACTGGTGGATGGGCTGTGAAGGAGATGGAGGCATTGGAATGCAGCTCTATAGCAAATGACATTAGAATCCACTTGGTAACCACCCAACTCTTTCCGAATTTTACTGAGGATCACTCACAAGCATACTAGCAGAAGACACCCAGCGCGGAACAAGGTCTCCTTCCATCGTCGCTGAAGAGATGTACACCACCCGCTAAGAAACGATCCCAGGCCGGGGATACACTCGGTTGGAGGCGAGCGGAGCGGGTGGTCATCCAACAGCCATGGGTCGTATTCGTACCGGACAGTTGCTGGCTGGATATCCAGCTCTTGCTTGGGAAGAGCCAAAGGTGTCTCAGGGGCGCCCATGAGGTGGACAAGGCAAAAGATGGACGGAGACCGTGGTGCGAAGGATATTCAAGGAGTGTGAGTATAGCGGTGAGCGGCGGAGCACCAGAGAATGAAGGAAACTCCAAGCTCACGAGAGCGGAGAGAATACGAGGGGAGGTGAGCATATCACTTATAAACTTCTACCTCCGTCAGTGATGAAAAGCTAATCTCACGACTCCCAGCGGGTCCCATCGCGCCATTATGGGCAGTAGATGAGGAGGAGCACGCCATCGAATTGATAGCACCGGGATGATCGACGTTTTGGGAGTTGCCTCGAGATGCTTGAGATCATTGGAATATCCTTCGTATGGGGAACTCGTCTTCTTTTACTCCGTACAGTCCCCCTCCAAGGTATCACACGTGCTCCTTCATGAGATATCGACAGAGGCCTCTGCAGACCTCGTATGCTGTCGTATCGTCCGGCTTCTGAAGGGTGGAACTTGAAGAATGGGAGAAGAGGGTGGATCCCGCACACAATTCGCCAGCCAACTGACGTCTTGCGTGCCAAGCCCACCGCCAAGCATAAGTTTGATGAGAGTCCAGAGTCTTGATCACGACAGAAACAGGGGCAGATGAAGCAGAGGTAGTATTCAACGGGTTATAGCTAGGGAATTCTCTCTCTAGCGCTGATTTTACATCGGATACTACTACTGTTACTGGGTTCTGATGCACCCCACTTTACCCATGCCTTTTCCATACGTTAAGCAATCTGAGTCGAGATTGGCCGTGTTCAAATGGGTGATTGTTCCAGGCTCGAAAAGGATTAGGACTGGATAGTGAGATGACCCATCCTACTGCAGTATCAGATAACTACAGTAACTAGTCTGTACGCAGAGTCCCAGTAAGTCTAATCAAATTTTGTGTTTTTACCCCAAGTCAGGCTCCAGGAACACATTATTATACTCCTACGGAGTCTCACTCATCGTTGTCCTGTCAGACACCTCACTCGCAGGCTATTTCAAAGCTTGGCCTGAGATGATCCATTCCCAGGCCCACCCTTCAATATATTGTTCTCTTGCCTATCGAGTCTCGCCTGGCTGGTCTTGAATAGCCGGGGCAGACCAGTCTCCTCAAATGCCACATCGCCCACGACCATCTTCGCAATCCCCTCCGCAGCCAAAAAGATCTGTGGCATTCCGTGACCAGTAAATCCAGCCAGGATAAATTGATCTTCCTGTCCAGGAACAGACCCAATGTGCGGAAATCCATCTGATGAATATCCCATGACTGGGGAGAGAGAACCATGTCAGTCCAATTTAATCCAGCAATAGGTTTGCATATGCAAGGGGAATCATGCACTTACTTCCAGTCCACACACGATCGGTGTACGCATTACTATCCTCCCACCCTACAAAGTTTCTCTGCATATACCCATCAAAGTAGCGCACGGCATCTTCCAAAACTCGACTATCGTCGCTGACGTTATACCAGTTATTCAAGTCGTGGATGAACGCCGTCCGGGCACCCCCAACCACGATACTCCGGTCAGCGCGTGGGATCAAATAGTCATAGTCCCATCCATTCCACCGCAGAGTATAAGTACAGGTCAAACGTGGAGCTGTCGATGCGGGAGGGACAGCAATTCGACAGCACGTTCCTCGGACGGGGATAATGTTGTTCTGGTATTGCGGCGCAAGAGCAGAGGTATAAGCATTGGTTGCAAGGATCACCTTTCGTGCTATGATAGTGCCGCGCGCAGTCTCCACTTTCCACCTTGCAGCGGATGATGAACCATTGGTTGATTTCGTGATTTTCGACACGGGCGTATGGGTCTGCAGATTCACGCCTTGTGAGACGACCTTCTCAAGGAGGTGGAGCACAAATTTGTAAGCCCAGATACTACCAGCATCATATGTAACGCAGCCAACAGCGCCTTTGACACCCGAGAACTGGCAAGTAATTAGCCGAAGCCTGTGTGCTAAAACAATTTCGAGCCTCACCGATTCTGCATCTTTGGCGTTCACAAACCGAGCCTGCTTGGTCGGTTCACAGCCATTCGAGAGTAACCGTTCATATCCATTTTTAAGTTTCTGGAAATGATCGGAACTCAATTGCACATCAATCGCTTTGGTGACTGTATAGTCGCAGTCAATCTTTTTATTCTCAACAAAGTCCTTCACAGCGTAGACATGTTTAGCTTCAAATGCTGCAACCTCTGCTGCAGCTTCGACGCCATGCTCTGCTTCAATCGTAGCGACAAAGTTGTAGATATCTGGCTTCATATGGCCTCCTAAACCATCAATCAGTATTTATAGGCAGGTCTTTCTCCATCAAATCATATATCGTCTTACCATTCCGAGCTGTAGCTCCAGAACAAGCTTGCCGCGCTTCTAGAATAGTGATAGAAGGTGGCTTAGATCCAGAAGGAGTTTGCTCGAGAATATGATATGCAATTGACGAGCCCGCATATCCAGCACCCACAATAACGATATCACTCTCCTTCGGCAAAGCTTCCGTGGACCGATGGTTGTCGAGTCGATGGGGCTCCGTGCGCCAGTAGGGGAGCATCCCATTTGGGGCTGGAAAATGTTCCGATGACATTTTTTAAATCTGGAAGGAAGATAGCGCGAGTAGGGACAAACGGGCATGTAAAAGTTTCAATTACGGTCCTGAATTTATTGGTGAGAGTTAGTTGTTTTCAGAAATTATTGGGGTCAACTGTTGTCAGTCGGGGCATCTTCCCCTCACCGGCTATTATGACCTTCGAGTTGCCGGCGGGAGAGTTAACCGGCGGATCATCCATCCAGCAAGATCCCGGGTCTGCGATAATCATATCACTGGAACGTAGTAAATGAAAATTAGATACTTTTCAAATCTTGTATGAGACCAATGTTTATCTAATCTCCCTGCATTGAGAACGTCCACCTTCACCTTCGACAGCATACTACCTAGCGGTGTTAGACTACGCTCGGCGGTGATGGAAATTGGCACCCTTTCTCTTACACTGCTAGGCTCACCTAGGTTTAGCCGTACTCGAAGGCCTTGATCATCTCATCTAAATTCTAGTACGAAAGATCGTTCATCCTATCTCTTCGGAAATTTCCAAAACTGATATACGTATACGGCTCTGTTTTTGTGGACTCATAAAGCGCCAAGGAAGATTACCCTTCTTCCCTACCCTGTTAAGGTTATTGATTTGAGTCTATTTTCTTTTAATCATATGACACGTCGGATTATTTTCCATCTGTATCTCTCTAAGCTAGGTGTTTGTACATCATGAGGAGGCAGCTTGCGCAGCAATAATCTTCTCAGCCATGCCCGGCAGGGTCTCATCAACCACGTCCATATCACCAAACAGATTGTGCAATGGCTCGCTTTCCAGCACGGTGCAGTAAGCCCCCTTGAACCTACTCGAATAATATGATTAGTGACTGTGCCATACAGTGGAATATACTAGAAGCCCACTTACCCGGCTGTCCGAGCAGCAGAAACATCCCACATGTGAGCCGCAGCAAACCAGGGAGTCTTCCCGTCATTCTCTGCCTCCAACCGCTCCAACAAAGGCTTATAAGCCGCGAGATCAGGCTTGCCCACTCCAGCGTCATCGCAGGAAAGCAAGTTCTCTGCCGGCAAATCCACGCCTGCATTCGCAAAATACCCACTCACTCGCTTCAGATCAGCGGCAGTAAAAGCCCAAACTGTAAATCCGGCATCACGAAGCTTTTGTACACACTCCGCCGCTCCAGGACGCATAGTGAGTTTCTGGTATTCTCCCATGATCCACGCCAGATCCTCCGATGAGGCAAATTCACGAGGTTTCTGGATTCCTCCCATCCAGAGGATACGGTAGAATAGCGATTTGAATACCTCGCCGAACGGAGCGTATCGTCCAGCCATACTGAGATTGGTGTATTCGCGCTCGGAAGTTTCCATCCAGAGTTGACCCAGTAGCCATGGCTTGATGCCTTCGGCACGCAGGCGGTCTCCTAGTCGGCGATCGATTGCATCGTAAACGTGGTCGTAGCATACGAGAGTGCCCACAATATCGAAGACAACGTTCTTAGATGAAGCCATAGCTATTGTAAAAGTTTCAGCAAGGTAAGCGGTCTGTTTAGATGCTCTTATCACCCACAGGATTCTTCTGGCAATTTAAGATATGCCCAAATATGTACAATGAGACTCGTGAGTCATTTTCAACAAATTGATCTTCAAGAAGAGGAGATACAGTCATTCGAAAAGTGGAGAGAACTTATCACCCCCGCTTCTGGGTCCCCTTCCCGGTGGCTACTCAGCTTTCCCGCCGGGTATGAACCAGTAATCAGAGATAGCAAGATAGTGACATGGTACTAAGCCCAAGGTCTATATGATGCCTGGGATAATCTTCTCAGAAATTGGGATGCCTACCGGATAGTTCATCCTTCACTTCAATGGCGACAATCAACGAGAATTCGTTTGACAAAATCGAAATCAAAGGCACTGGAAACGCTGGAGTGGATATTGAAAGGACCGCAACTACAGCAACGGATCAGAATGGCGTCTGCAAGGAGATACCCTCTGAGTCACTTACAGCTGGCTATCATCGGTCTCTCACCAGACGCAAAGTCATGATGATGACGTTTGGCGCCGGCATTGGCACTGGACTCTGGGTGGGAACTGGCCAAGCATTGCACTACGGTATGCTATACTGTAACCAGTGAATTAGAGATGAGAAATATTAATTTTTGATTAGCTGGGCCTGCTGGAACCGCTCTGGCATACACACTCACGGCGTAAGAGAATCAATGAAGTTAAGCCCCCAGCCAGTTAACTGACAACACCCGCAATAGAATTATTGTTTACGCTCAATATTCCTCGATCGGCGAAATGACAACCTACAAGCCTGTCCATGGCGGCTTCATTCGACAATGCATTGAATATATTGATCCGGCTTGGGGATTCGCGATTGGAATGAACTTTTGGTTTGCCGTGAGTACCGCATCATCGAATGGCAACTCAGACTTACTTACATATCTGTCAAGTGGGTGATGATTATCCCAGCAGAAATCACAGCAGCAGTTTCAGTGTTACAATTCTGGCCGGAGACGAATGTTATTCCTCTCGCTGCCTACATTACGATATTCCTGGTTGTGATTGGCCTTGGTAATACATTCCACGTCAGAATCTACGGATATATCGAGTACTATATGTCATTCATTAAATGCCTAGCTGTGATATTGATGATCTTTTTCATGTTCATTATGACATCGGGAGGAATCGCCGCTACTAATGGGCCTATCGAGTTCCGCTACTGGAAGGATCCCGGTGCCTTCAAGAATGGAATCAAGGGAATTGCCAAGGCATTTGTCCAAGCGGCCTTCAGCTTTGGTGGCGGTATGATACCTTACCTCAGAAATTGACGGAGGGTGACTGACAAAGCCTTGTAGGTGAGCATATCGCCGTTATTGCGGGCGAAGTCGCAAATCCACGACAGACCATCAAAAAGACCGTGCGACCCGTCTTCTGGCGCATGTTTACTTTCTTCGTAGTAAACATCTGGCTGGTGGGAATGTGCGTCCCAAGTAACGATACCGATCTCGCAAGTGCAGCTGGAACACTGGGAAGTCCTTTCGTGATCGCCATCAAGCGTGCAGGTGTCGATAAATTGGCGCACGTCATCAACGGCTTCATTTTCCTCAGTGTGATTTCCTGCGGGATAACAAGTGTGTATGTGGCCTCTCGTAGCTTAACAGCCCTCGCCGATATGAATATCATTCATCCCTTCTTTGGGAGGAAGGACAAGCAAGGTCGGCCATATGTTTCCATCATTATCAGTTTGGGATTGGGTGGTGGCCTATGCTATCTCAACGTCAATAGCGTCGGAGTAGAGGTTTATGGCTGGTTCTCATCTCTGGTAAGGGTATTGGCTTTATATACCGATAATGATGCTAACCTTCCTTACTAGGTTGCCATTGCGACCCTCTTCGAATGGTCGTCATGTTACATCTCCCATCTAAGGTTCCGACAGGGTTTGAAAGCACAGGGAAAGGATCTTCGCACGCTGCCGTTCAAAGGCTTCCTCACCCCATGGGCTCAATACCTCAGCCTTATAATCGTTGTTTTCATTTTTGGCTGTGAGTTCTATCTCGCCTGCTGGCCATTTGACGGCAAAGGTTCCGTGAAAAGCTTCTTCTCTAGCTATCTTGCCGCACCGCTGTTTTGCTTCGACTACTTTGCGTATAAGGTGCGTTCACGGTGGGAATTCCGTTCCAAAGAGTCAAGACTTACGCAAGGAAACAGTTTTATTATAGGACCAAGATTGTTAGGGCAAAGGATATGGACTTTAGTGAGGCTCACTGCTTTGACGAGGAGGAACGTCTCGATGCATTGGCTGAACAGGAGAAAGAGGACGACCCAAACCACTCAGGGACCTGGCTCAAACGTGCGCGTTACTTGATATTTGGCTAGAGTGTGAATATAACCTCACATGTAACGCGAGCTATGTCTTTACCGCAGTCGACCTTGATAATAATTTTACGACTGAAGAAAACCTTCCAAATCAAGCCCTATATCACTCGTTGTCCAGTCCGGAGTGAAAAACTCACTCAGGGCGTTATTCTCCGATTGTAGTAGACTATCCCCTCCAGACGGATCATATGACAGAGGACTGAAAGATGCCAGCTCTTGAGTATTCGAGGCACGCCTGTCCTTTTTCATAGATTGGGTCCAGTCTTTAAATTTAGCGTAAGCCGATGTAGAACTCTGATGGTGGTTGACCGTTGTGCTTTCGCTTCCCTCGTCGCCTGATGATAGGTGGCGAATGGCGGCTTCGATCGATTCGATATATGAGATCTCGGATTCGGATGCAGTGCCACCTAGCATCTGGCGTATCAAAATCATCCCCTGATTCAAGCTATTTTGAAGGCTCGGAGATCTTCCAGAGTTGAGGCTCTCGGCGAGAATCACTAGGAGTGCTGCCCGACAGGAGCTGAATTCGGTATATGAGGCGCGACAGAGACCAATATTATCCGACAGCGATTGTAATGTTGCGAGAATCCCCAACGCACTTTGCACACAATCTTCCACAAGCTCAGAGCGAGGACTTAAAATTTGGCGAATGTCACTGGAGGGCCTCTCTTGGTCCTCATTTTTGAAAATGAATGGACGGCCCATGTAGATGAAGATAAGTAAGTAACAGAGTTTCATGTGCGAATTTTGGCGAAACAAGGGCCTCTTGGGGTCATAGTCTCGGCACTCAATTGTCGTGGGTAAAGATTCCCACCATTCCTTGATATGAATTCTCAGCTGGACAAGTCGTTCAGAGTATTCGCCTAGCACCCTCCGGGGACATCTTTTAAACTGCGATCTAGATTAAGTACAGCATGATTAGTACGAGTATGGAAGACTCGGAGAAGAAAGTCTGTCTCACAGTGTGTCGGCAACCTCGCCCATCCAGGAGACTAACTTGATGAAAGCCATCATGTTGGTGAAATTGGGTGACTGAAAGGCAGGGTGTGACTTCGGCAGGTCTGCATTAATATCTGACCGGGCCAGTGAGCATGGACGCCCGTGAAAGATCCTTGTTTGCCTATCATGTTCATTAGCCCTATTTCAGGCAAGATCGTTCAGGTGTCCAACATTTCAAGTGTGTAGACCGTCCAGAATAACCGGTTCCTCAACTCGATTGTCCGACCATCACAGTCATCCCCAACATACTTCCGGTGCATGCCGTTCTGTATTGCCATTTTCATCGATAGACCAAAGTATGTATAGGACAGGCCTCCGGTGGATATTGGCATGGCCCACGTCGCAAGAAGTAGAAAAGCCTGGACACTTTCGTACGAGGCGGCTAGAAACACATCGGGAATCAACTTGGAGGCTACATGATAGAACACCAAGCCCACCGAGTCTTCAGAGCAATCACTGAGCTCCGCTAGTCCTTCCGAAGTCGAGTCGTGACTGTCATCGTCCATGTGTGCCATTTGTGTTCCAATGGCCAGAACAGCGAAGAAAGTGCACACCCAAGGGATATCGTTGACAGTATACACAGTCGTCAAGTCATAACATAGTGCCAGTTTGTCTTGAATCCAACTCTTCTCTAGGTAGAACGAGTTTAACTCTTCGTATCGAAAAAACACACCAATGAGAAATTCTGCAATTGGCCTTGGAGGTAGCTGGGTTAAGGCTTCGGCGACGATTTGTGCAGAGGACTGGAGATGAGTGGGACGCCAGTATTCCTTGACCTATAAGCGAGTTGTTGTTGTTAGCGCATGATTGAAACAGATGAAGAACCTTTCACTTGGTCTGAAGATACACACCCCAACGTTGACACTACTACGGCCCGAGCGTGTTGTTCGGCGCAGTTTCTCTGCGAAATTCCAATGTGAAAACTCCCCGGAATAGACTAGAATTATTGTTTAGTATTTGGATGGAGTGGTTGGCAGGGTCTGTAACCCACAAGCGACGTTTCCAGACACAAATTGGACATCAAAAGACTCGTTCACTTTCAGCAAGTTCTGCATGTCCTTATTGTTATTTGACGAACATCTCGCCGCAATGCGCCCGATATTTTCCTCGTCCAATGGCACATCTCCAAGACAATGCCGAACAATATGCTCCAGATTTTGAACGTGCTGATCTCGCTTCTCTTGATTTGAATGAGTCAACTGGTTGATGGACTTGGTTGATGACTTCTTTGCGGCTGTCGCTTCTTGGACGTGGCAAAGCCGACCTAATCGTTGACATCTCCAGCAAGGAAAGCCCCCCTCACACTTTTCCTTCTGCTTCCGACACGTATCGCAACTGCCACTGATTAGAGAAGGAACATAGAGCAATGCATTACCACTTACGCTAGCGAAGCACGTCTCCTGGTCATTGAGCCATCATGCTTACGCTTTGTGCCGTGTGATTCTAACGCTTCTCTGATTTCTAGGGACATCGATCTTTATGAAGAATATCGGTGGTGATTGAGGTTATGGACTGGGAATCGGTGGAGGTCGGTGATGATAGTTTGTACGATCTCCTAGGGATTCAAAGGAATAAGTTGAATGGGATAAGATATGCTATCTTGCTTATCACCAGCTCAATGTAGGAGATGCGGGGTAAAACAACGATAGAATGAAGCCAGAGCTGTTCATCCGCGAATGAGAAGGTTGGAACTAAAGTTTTAGTGGGTTGGCGCTCGGGGGTTCGCCGTGCGCATCCTTTTATCAACTGGTGTGTTGAGGGTTGAGACCCAGTGCAATATAAATCAATTCCTCATCCTATGGAAGTCATTGCTTTTTTAGGCTCGCTTCTTCTCTTTGAGAGTGGCCATATCGAGCCTTCTTGTTCTTGAGGTGATGTTCCCGCAATTTCCAACATCTACAAGAAGACTCTCCTCGCTGAGTTCCAATAAATATCGCACTACGTCATGTGCATCTCAAGTAGTTATCAGGAATAAGCAAGAGATGATCATGGCCTTTATTTCTGACCTTTGCTTTTCTCATTCCGCTTTTGTTCAACTTGATGAAAGTAAAATAGCCTGCTTGAACCTGGGACGCCGGGTGAAGAGATAGGCGCAGATCTGAGCATCCATTGGCTCAGTATTTTTTTCTCTTTCTTGTTAAATTTTTAATTGACGTCCAAACCTCGTATCTACTTGCCATGCTCATTCTATTTGGGCTTCGGCTTCGGCCGCCGAGTCCGCTAAATTTTCATTCATTCACCAATTGAGTCATCCTACCCCACAGTAACTAAGTTAGCATCCACCCGGCGCCATGAGTCAAAACGCCGAATTCTTCCATCAAAAAGCTCCGGCCTCCCATAACTGGAGCTTTAAGATCCTCAGCATCGTCACTATGGAAGGTCGTCCATTTGAGCCTATGCTCGTCGCAGGCAATAGTCAGGTCAATCTTTGGGAGCGTTTGTATGTCAAATCAAACTCCCCAGCCTCCGTCTTCTCCAATCTACATATTGGCCGAGCTAATTACTCGCTAGACAACCATTCCTGATTCTGACGTCCTCAACTGCCCTAGTATTCACAGGATGTGGCATCAACTTCACATTCGGTGTCTACCAAGAGCTTTACGAATCCATGTCAAAGATTCCAAATACTCCATTTACGGGGGCATCACCAGCACAAATTGACCTCATCGGAACACTCTCTATCGCGCTGATGACCATTGGCGCCCCATTTACAACAGCATGGACCAAGCAGTACTCCCCACGAGCAGTCATATGGAGTGGCGGTATCATATATGCCGTCGCGCTGATTCTTGCCAGCTTTAGTGAGACTCTTTCGCAATTCATCCTCACTCAGGGCCTTCTCCTGGGAATCGGGACTTGTATGGCCTACATGCCCTCGGTGACAGTCGCTCCCACATGGTTTTCGCGTCATCGTGGCCTCGCCATGGGCGTCATCCTATCAGGTACTGGGGTGGGGGGTGTTGTGTGGCCACTTGCTTTCCGATCGCTCATTGAGCGTGTAGGATTTCGCAACACTCTCCGTATCACGGCGGGTATCTCCTTTGCTCTGATCATGGCGGCCGGATTTTTCATGAAATGGCCGGCCAGCCACATGTCCCGCATTCAAACTGAGAACGCTGCAAATGCTCGCCGTTTGAACTTTCTTCGAATCCCACTGATAGATTGGCGCGTCGTACGAACTCGCAAATTTGCGGCACACGCGTTAGGCGCAGCACTTCAATCTGCTGCTTATTATACCCCAGTATTCTTTTTCGCATCTTTTGCCCGTACTTTGGGATACTCGCAGGCGACATCGGCAAATTTCATTGCCATTTCAAACGCAGCCAATGCCTTGGGTAAAATCGTCATTGGATATGTCGCCGATCGAATGGGACGACTTAACACTCTGTTCCTAGCCACGCTGGTCTCCGCAGTTGCCGTTCTAGCGTTGTGGCTACCTGCAACCACTGTAGCCAGTGGAAGCACGCTTTTCATCATATTCACCATATTCTATGGAATCTTTGCCTCGGCTTACGTGTCCCTGTTTCCGACCAGTTTAGTCGAACTCTTTGGCGTCCAGAACTTTGTCAGTGTCAACGGGGCTCTGTACATGGTTCGAGGACTCGCAACACTACTCGGTACTCCAGTCGCCGGTTTGCTGATCAGGAGCAACCAGACACAAAATGCAAGCCCGAGAAGTTACGAGAACACTAGTATCATGGTTGGAGCTCTCCTGGCCGCTGCCACTTTTGCGGTTCTGTGGGTGAGAATCGAGGCGACTGTAACCCTGGAGGGAGGTCAAGGGCATCGAAGGAAGTGGATGATGTAGAATGCATTTAGAGTCGGTGACGGTTCGCTGTCTTCCAAACTAGAAAATTCTCCGCTTTTTGTATTATTAGGTAGATTCTTATACATAACTCTTAACTCATACATAAGTTCAGACACAAGTTCAGACATAAGGTAACGTAATTTATAGGGCGTTAAGCCTAAGCTTCATGTGCGATAATAGATAATAGACATGATAAAATGCTTAGCCGCTTACAATCAACAGCAGAATCGGCAGCGAAGAGTCTACGCCGGCCTTCTTTATAGAAATTGATTGATATCGGTAAATAAAATGTTGGACTCATTCTTACAACTGCTTCTGAAATAGACTTGCGTAACTTTCATAACTAGTAGTAGGAGATTAAAATTAGGAGGATGCTAAAAAAAGAGCTGGCTTTGTGACTCTTCAATATCCCAACGCAGCCAAGATTGGGCTAGACTAGCCACGGCCAGTGAACCCTGTCTGCTGTACCTGCGGTTGTCTCGCGCCATTCCGATGGACAAGTTCAAATCGGTTTCGGTACTGTAGTGAACTTAGCTCCTCAACGCCTGCCCTAGGAAGAGATTTCTGTAATATCTCGACGGCATCCTGAGGTGACCATGGCAAAACGTGCCTATATACCGCGGCCATGACAGCTCCAGGCACGGCGGCGATGAACATCAACGCATAAATAATTAGCCAAGCGCTGGATGAGCCACCCACCCGAAGGACCGAAACCACCATCTTCACAAAGCTACCGCTTTGAGCCATTTCACCGGCAGTACGAATCTGATTGGCATATTCAAAGTTCTGTCTCAATAGACTGAAATATGCCTCGCCTAATTCGCTCAAAATTGTACTCATGGTCTGCGTAGTGAATGTGCTGCTGTCGCCAAAATTGTAGTTATAATAGCTCGACGCAACCCAACCATCTGCCAGGCTGCCTCCTGGACCGGAGTGGCTGTAGCTATTTATGTATTGGTCGGTCATATTAGAGAGTATCCACTCCATAGTGACATTCAAGGGAGACCCTTGATTCACGATCCCGTTGACTCGCAGAGGCGAAGCACGGTCTAGAAGGCTGATTGAGGTGAGAATCTCGTTCCCTCCGTATGTACACTCAAGAACGAATGGTGGATCCACATCATCGCCCGGGAAGAGGAATGTATGAAGTGGTTCAGCATTCTGTTCGGTGACGACAGAGCCAATGCTGAGTGGATATGCGTAGCCTCTGTCCTGTAACACGGTGGTGTTGATGACGTTGTTCTTTGCGAAATGGTATAGCACCACGTCAGGATTTGCTTGATCACCGTATTTGGTTGTCGTAACACTGTATGATTCCGTGGCATTCGCGCAAGTAACATCGACGATGGTTCCGAAAACCGCAGCATCTAGTCGCTCGAAGGTGTAGGAAGTAGGGAGATCAAACCCAGAAGAAGGCCCCGAGTATTGGGTATAAGATGACATGTTCAACCCAATCCCAGACGTGTTTAAACCCGGGATAGGTTGTGCTGCCAATAGTACCTGATTCCGGCTCCCAGTTTCCCTTTCCGAGAAGGTTGCCTCGCCCTATCGCTTTCAATAATCGGAGATAGGAATCTCGGTATAGAAAACCGCTTAGAAGCGAGACTTCGGCGTTTACCGCAACAGGGTAAGAGGACTTGTCGGGGTTGCGCACCCAAGCCCCTCCAGGAAACTCATTCAGGGAATAGGAAGCCGACGGGTTGGTGACGGTAACATTCGCGGTATGAATGCCAAAGAGTGCGACTGTTGTAGCGCTGGTTAGGGAGGGAACAGTAGATTAATGCCCAAGGAAAAAGGGACTGGCAACAAGAGATCCGAGGGACGGTTCGGACATATAAGTAATTAAACTTGTACGACAGACCCCATCTTGCCAAACACGCTTTCTTTGGCGGACACCTGCCGCATAGCCACAAACTAGCCCCCTGTAGGCGGGCAATTAAGGGAGAGCGATCGAGGCTAGAGTTTGATAAGCTCACATCTTGTCCACTTTTGGCAGACCGTGCCCTTTGATGATCTACGAGGAATAAATGACTGGGACATCGCCCTGTCCCTTATATTTGTTGGCAGTATATAGGGATATCCAGCGGATAGTAATGGCTTTAGCATCTCTGATCAATTCCCTGAGCCTTCATCGAAAGACTGTCAACGAAATAACATATTCTCATGTACGTACGACTTCGGAAAAAGGATCTCATCTGCTGCGCAAAACCAGCCCTCTCACAGCTCCACACCCACAGTCCCTGGACGAGCCCACGGTAACACGTTATGGAATTGATCCAATGCCAGTCAAGGCCACTAGGTCACGGCTGACAGCAAAGAAGGATTAACAGTTAGCTTGCGCCCTATGTTGACATGATCTGTAACAAGAACGCGCCTTTTTGTATGTACGAGACTGCCCGCGTTGTTCCTTTCCATTGAGATGAGCCAACCAAGCGTCCCGAAGTTTGCTTATATTTGGTCTATTATAGCCTTATTGGCCCCTATAAGCCACTTGATCGAAGCGAGGTATGAATTGGCAGTCAGTTCGTAGCGAAATGTGAAAAGTTAAATTCTCGTATTATTGACCTGTCTCTGCAGGTGACTTTGTTGGTCTAGGGTCAACGAACCGATGTGAAATGCTTGTCGCAATGAATTCAAACAGAACTTCCAAAACGAAGCGGCTCTGACTCGCTATATCACTTGCTTTTCCTTGTGTTCCACCCGAGGAACCTTGTTGTGATGGCTCACCGGGTTGATGCCTTGCGCCGCAGGCATCACATTTGGGGGATGTTTGTGCTCCTCACGCGTCCTAACGATCTTCACTTCCCTTTCCCCAAGCTTAATTCACTCATTCGAATGGTACCTAGGTTTGCACTTCTTGCTGTTTTACATGAGCTATCAGAACGCGAATAACATCCTCAATGTCATAAGAAACGTCTCGATCTCAAACTATGCCTATTCATTGTACGGTCATGTGATTACCGATGGTATTTTGACTAGTGGATACTGCTGGCTAAATACACTGGCTAAATACACTGACGGACCGGAACAGCTTTGCTCCGATAGACGGAGGGTAATCAGGCTGAAAGGCACGGATCAGGCAGAAGTTGCCTATTCCGGAAAGGGGACAGCGCAGTGACTTAAACTAGCAAATACAGGCTCATCAACGAACAGTTGAAGATCTGTTATTCCTCTAGTAATAGGTGACTAAGAAAGGGTCAGAAGAGTCAGTGATGAAAAGCAAGCCTTATAGTAATGTGTTATTCATTGCCATAGATGTGGTTGATATAGAAGATAAGATTGAATGCTCGACGATTCTCCCTCCTTTTGACGGCTGTCTAGCAAAACTCTCCGCATATAAAACACTTGTTGGCGATGTACAACTTCTATCACTAGGAATGATCCTGCGACGGGTTCAGCCTCAAGCTTACTGAGGGTCATTATCTTGAGATCTCTGTAGTCAGATCTTCTTGACACGGGTGATGGTGATGAGAGTGAGACGCTAAAACTAACTAGTGCAGGGTACACGTTTCAACGGATCTGGAGATGGAGGATACAACAAGTTACAATACCTGTGGTCTTCGTTGTCGGGAATTCTCCGATTCTGTGCATTGCAACTGCCGAGTACCGTAAGTGACTTGCTTCCCATATCTGCAAGATCGTGACTGACCCTTCTCCCCAGTCTTCACTTGCAGTATCCACTGTCCAATACTCCCCCGCCTTCGACATTACTACCTGATGACCCAGTGACGATAGCCGATCGGCTATTTCGACCGCGACTCTCGTGGTCATTCTGACTCCCCCTCAGATTACACGCTGCTTACAAACAAGCATCCCCCGCGACCGTGGAGAGCCTGAGACCCAAAGGAGTCATCTGGGGGAATACCCCGTACACGACTTCACGATGACAGCGTCAAAATGCCGAGTGCAGGTGCCGCCGTTGAGCCTTCCTGTCGCAATAAACTTGTGGCTTGCAAGGTGATTGGAGGCATTTGAGTTAGCCATTGCCCGCTTTAGGGTTTGGCAGCAAGCCCCCCGGCAGTCAGTCCTCGCCAGACATCCCGTTCGTCTCCAGGGTTCTCCCCCGCAAGAGGTTCCCCGTGGGAGCCCCGCGTTGATAGGCAGTTTTGTTGGAGTTGGCCTGTCCTGAAAGAGCGTAGCTGTCAGCCACCTCCGGGGAGATGCTGGCTGGACGAGACCGGTATCAAACCCCTTAAATTACGTGGAATTGATTCGTCGATAGTCGAGCGGCCGAAAAGCGTAAGCTTCGTGCCTCGGCCACGGTGGAACTCAAAACCACGCGTTTCCCCCTGGGCATCGTTGGATGTCGCTCTGACAGTCCTGGAGATTGATTTTCCTCGGTCGCAAGTTGCTATTCTCGCGTGAGCTTGCCTAGCCGGAACTTTCATCATGGAGATGAACAACGATGAGGCGGTAGGTGGCCCCTATTGACTCGCAAACGGATTCTGAATCATCCGGAGACTAACATCGCGCGTGAAATCTAGACTCTTCGCCAGTACGTCGGATTTGCATGCTCTTGCAGAGTATCACAGGATAAGCGCGTGGCTAACATCTATCCAGACTCGAGGATGAGCTCCAGGTCAAGATCTACCCCGGTACGGAAATCATGACCGATGTCGGCTCGCATCATTTCGTGAGACAGTCGGGCGCATCGTCGAACGTCTTGGTCCCCCAACCATCCCAGGACCGAAATGACCCCCTCGTGCGTATAATCTACAATCACAATATTAGGTGTGGGTGGCACTGTGTGACTATATGCTGACACCGCCATTTTCTTCCCCCTGACTAGAATTGGAACAAGTACTGGAAATTCACCACCATTTTTATCGCGATGGGAAGTAACGTCATCATGGGAATCGGTCCTTTAGCGCTGGCGCCAATGTTTGGAGACTTGATTGAAGCATTTCACTCTGATCTGGCGTCCGTTGTGCAATTTACCGGCGTCTGCATTCTCGTTTTGGGATTTAGTAACTTCTTCTGGTACGGCTGTGTCCCATCCTGGACTTTTATCATTTGCCTTCATGACTCACGACTTGATAATGCAGGGTTCCCATCTCCGATACATTCGGAAGAAGACCCGTTCTGATCTTCGCTTCGCTGGTGTGCTTGGCGTCGAACATCTGGCGGGCTAAAGCAACGACCTATGGAAGCTTCATGGGAGCTTGCGTGCTGAATGGATTCGGTGCTGGACCATGCGAGGTAGGTCAATATATCCACTATGGTACTCCCAACGGGTCAATAGTTGACTGATATTGAATGCGGTAGACTCTCTGCCCGCAAGTCATTACCGATGTCTTCTTCCTCCACGAGCGAGGCTATTACAACACCATGTACTTTGCACTGTACTTTGGCTCTCTCATGGTAAGTGACCTGTCAAAATAGTCCACCGTAAACGATAACGGAGCATACTAATTCTCATTGGATGATAGGTCGGCCCCATCATTGCCGGCTCAATGGCTCTCCATGTTGGCTGGCGTAGCTTCTGGTGGTTCAATGTCGCTGCTTTCGTTTTCATCATCCTTGCTGCGGTGTTCGCCTTCCCAGAGACAAAGTGGCATCGCGCCCATCCTAATGAAATTCATAACACTCAAGCTTCAGCTACTTCCACCCCCGAGTCTGCGTCTGCGGATGGAAAGGAAAAGGAAGAATTGCCCGAGGACTCTTCCAAGAAGGTAGAGACCCAGCTGGAGGTCCAGAGCCCGCCAGCCGAGGAAACGACTATGGATCCATTCCTCCACAAGGGCCAACCTTCGAAACGCCAGTTCCATATCTATCAGCCCGACCCTCACTGGGTCAAGAGTTTGTTTCTCGCATTCTGGGTCCCCTGGCGTCTACTCGCGTTCCCAATCGTCGAATATGCTGCCTTTGTGGTTTCGTGGTCTGCCAGTTGTTTCCTCACGGCCAACCTCACGCAGAGTCAAGCTTTTGGTGCCCCGCCCTATAACTGGTCCAGCCAGTCGATCGGCTTCACCAACTTTGCTTCTCTTGTCGGCGCGATGATTGGATTGGCTACCAATGGACCCCTGTCTGATTGGATCTCCATGCGAGCCACCAAGAAGAACAGGGGTATCAGAGAGCCGGAGATGCGTTTGCCGACTCTTATCCCCTATGTCATTATTGGCATTATCGGAAACTTCATCATCGCTTTTGGATATCAGTACCACTGGGATTGGCGGGTACGTATATCCCTCTCTTGACGCTGATTATGCTCATCATTCTAATTACTTTCTAGGCAATCGTCCTTGTTGGTTACACTTGCGCCGGTATTCAGGTTACAGCCCTGCCCGCTATCTCGAGTACATACGCCGTCGATAGCTACAAGCCCGTCGTCGGATCTGTCTTCATCGCCATCACGGTCAACAAGAACGTCTGGGGCTACGGTTTCAGCAAGTTCATCACACCTTGGACTGAGGCATCCGGATATGTCCCGGCCATTATGCTGAACATGTGCTTGACGGTGCTGTGGTGCTCCTTCGGTTTCCTGTTCTATTTCTACGGGAAGAACTGCAGAAAGTGGACTGCTGGCTCCAGTATTTGGAAGCTTTAGAGGGGATGTTGAGATGTGTACTACCAGTATCTTGCGCGTTCTGTCTCTCGAATTAATTATGAATTAGAATGTTATAATGATGTGTCAGGGTTGATATTCGTGTGATGTGCCAAGTAATACTGTCCTTCGCCAGTCATTCCATCGATTATATACTGGTGCCTGATGTAGAGTTGACAACGAAGAAAGTACAGTATATGTACCTATATGCACAAGATAATATCCGCCAGATGGGACTTTTTGTCTAAAACACAGCCGCCAACCGGTTCAACGAGGGCGATCGGGCTCAGGCTCACCGAGTTAACCACCCTCGTCGCGTAAAATGTCGCACACTCACTCCCTTCACAGTCTCGTCCGGATCGTCGAATGGCCAGCTTTTACCTGAAAGCCCTCAGGCTGATCTCAAGGCTGGTATCTGCATTTGTAGAAGAGCATCATATGGCGACATCTCAGAGCCTACTATCTAGAAGATAAAACATAATACATCAGTGATAAGCGCCGACATCAGGTATCAGATATCAGATATCGTTGACTTAAATATATCAAACAAATTCAACAATAACTTATCTACCAATTCTAGAATCTAGTAAATCTGGAATCAATCTGAGGTATCAATCAATCGTAACTCGTAAATCATGCATCTCTATTCACCCAACCCCCACGATCACGCTCATATCATGCTCCCGGTGTCTGAGCCCCCTCACCCAGGCCCATCAAACCCCCCGCAATTCCATTCATCCTCCGATCCAAAATATCCTCCTCACTATCAAGCGAGGTAATACTCCTTCCGCGGGGCCGTATCGTAACCGGACTTTCGGGAGCACTGTTGACACCATCCGGGAAGTACGAATCTTGAAGATTGCGACTCATTTCCAGGCGTTTGAGCTTTGCGTGGAATTCACGGACGTCGCTAGATTCGTGTCCAAGAGTGGTAAGTCCGCTAAGTTGAGAGGAGGTGAAGGAGGATTTGGACCGCCTGCGTCGCAGGGGGAGATCTGTTGCGGAAGATGACTGTTCGTTTCGGGCGTGTGGTGTTATTTTACTCATAGTCATCTCGAGTGGCCGATCCTCGTCGGCGGAAGATTCGCCTGTGAAACTGCGGTGGTGGTGCTTCTTGCCATTGGCGTTACTCTGTACCACACCTCTCGAACGCTGGGAGCTCTTCATGTTTGAGAGCTGAGAGAGTTGAAGAAGGCTGTATTCAGAGGTTTGCAGGTCCGCATTCTCGAGCACATTCTCGATCCACCGTGCACTGCGGTTGATATACTTCCAAGCGTCGGGGAAAAAGCCAGCCATCTGCATGAAGCCATGTGAGACTCCTGGAATGAGAGAAACTTCCACATGGTCTTTCTCGTTGAATCGGCGCTGTGATTTTTCGAGTCCGAGATCCTGGCGCTCATGGAATCGGTGGAGCTTTGCTTGTCGTAGTCTGCCTGCGAAGATAACGGTATCATCGACGAGTGGATCCCGTTCTCCGGTCAGGATGTATGTCTTTGGGAATTGGGCTAGTAGAGCATCTGGTGCAAGGACGGGTGAGAGATAGAAATCTGTATTGAAGTCAGGCCGGTGGTGTGGTCCAATGTAGAGGATGATCATCGCGCGCATCATCTCCGGCGTGAGGATTCGGTCATGAACATAGGAGATCATGGAAGAGACAGCTAGTCGGGTCTTGAGTGGATTGATCTGACTGGTAGTTTTGGGAGCGGCGTTTCCGGAGACGTGCTCGCTCTTCTCCAACTTGTCACGCAGTGCTTTGGATGTCTCGGCGGCTATATCGGTCTCCGTTGATTCCTCTTTTTGCATCTTCTTGTCTTCAGAGATTGCAGTCAGGTTCTCTACAGAGTGACCTGGCGAAGTGTAGGGTGTTAGCCTGCGATATTGGTCCTGCTTTCGTTGCAGCACGCCACTATTCGTCTGACGACTGCTCTTGTCTTGGATCAAAGACATCTGCTCGTCTGTCATCCAGCTCTCGACTCGCACGTTCAGGGCTGGATACGCCAGAACAAGACCATCCGGTCGAGGAAGGACGTTGTCGCCTTGCCAACCTTGCGCCATCGCTGATTGTAGAACCATCAGCGTCATACCGACGGCAAGATTGCCGCCAGCGCTTTCTCCGGTAACCACAACTCGAGGGCGTGTCGAGCCGCTCAATCCCAAGCAGCGGCCATTCGTCGCCATAATGGTATGATATACATCATAAGTCTCATGGAGTGCATATGGATATGCATACTCGGGAGCCTTCTTGTAGTCAATACTTAAGACTGGCACTTTTAACTGCCCAGCCCAAGAAAGCAATTTATCCTCCGAGTTGCGAGGTCCCATCGCAACAAATCCTCCACCTGGAACATCCAGCACGAGCGAGGTTTGATCTTTCAACGCACTAAGCGGCCCATCAAAGTACATCCATGCGTTGATAGGCTCGGTATGGGACGAGTGCTTGGGTCGGGGGACCCGAATAGCTCGCGGACCATATCGGGTAAGTCGAGGGCGAACCAAGCTCGCCAAAAACCATAGGTAGGGGGTGGTTGCTTTATTCCACGATACGCGAAGATGCTCTAAGGTGAGTGTACCACGAACTCGCCGCACCTTCTCATCAGCCTGCTCTGCGGCGATAAGATAATAGACTGTGAACACTAGCGATGCCAAATCGCGCAGCCATTTAGGCTTGATTTTCATGGCCGTCCAAAACCCGGCATCTAAGCCCGTGGTGATCCATGTTGCGCGGAAGAAGGATCGGGAATAGAGATTGGCTAGGGGCTCTGGGCATTCCAAACCCACGATCTTGGCGAAGTTGCGGCTCACGTAGAGCCATAAGAAGATGATGACTGTCGTTTGCCAGCTGGTTAATTTGTCGGAGAAGCGGGATGATATGGACCGAATAAGCGGAGGGCCATGCTTGTCAGCTCTGTGTCATTTGAAAATATCGAAGTCAGCTCGCTATGTTCCTTATTCTTTGATGAAGGAACGTACTTCAACAGGTAGAAAGACCAGAATGAGACGACCGCAAAGACCTGGATCTTGCGAAATCGAGTCGAAGGTCTTCCTAAAACGTGGTCTGTGAAAGTTATTGATAAGCTTAAACGTATTAAGAAAGTTTGATAGATTTATCATACCTATCATTGCCACATAGAAGGTTGTGTCTTAATTTCCCTTCTGTAGGCTGTCGAGAGACTAGGATGGTGTACTCCGAATCCTTCGGGAGGTCACAGCCTCAGAAATTGATCAGAGCAACGAGTGAACCGAGTATCCAGTATTCGGTAATCAGTATCACTGCTGATCTGAGAACAAAGAGACTTGAAGATGAAGTGAGACTTGAGTGTGGTCAGCAGGTCGCTTTCAGAGCGTGTCAATCACATGTGAGCGCCCCCACACTATCACATGTCAGTGACGCAAAAGCCACGAGGCGGCCACGCTGAAACGGTACTGAACCACTTACTCGCGATGTATGAGCCGTACACTTTTGCAACGATATATTAGCCGTAAAATAGCAATGATTTTAACCGATCAATCGTTTCCCACGTGCTAACTAAGTAGTTTGCGAATTATTCTGACTCAGCCAAGGTTGTATCTTTCCATTTCCTCCTAAAATGTCTGGTCTCTATCAAGCGAGGCGATTGATAGCCCTGAATTATCATTCTTCGAGCAATGAGGGCCATGAATATTTATCATTTCCCATCATTTAAAACTCCCAAATCGAATCTAACCCGCCTAAACCTGTCGACAATACTCCCTCCCATGACTCAACTGCCAACGACACAGCAAAACCTCCCACGGCATACTCAAAAAGCCAGCGATACAGATCCCCGCCGAGTCACTCACAGTCGTAGCCCCTAACGAAAACTCCCGATCCTCTTTAGGCACTCGGTCGGCAATCTCCGCAAATGTGTTCACATAGACTAACCCGCCCAGCAAGCCTTCCCAGAAAATGATGACAAAGACAATATAGACATTCGGGATGAAGTTGAACATGCCGTGGAGGGTTAACAGAACCAGGTTGAGGATTTGGAGGAAAGAAGGGATATAGAGATGGTGCACGCGGAAAAAAGGGGTCGAGGAGCGGGAGATGAAGACTCCAGCTTGGTAGATGGCGTTGTAGGCGGGATAGAAGGCGCGGAAGCTCGTAAAGGGCGTGGCGGATAGTGGGAACAGAAGTGTCGGGCTGACACCTTGGTTGATCACGTACTCGGCGATGTATACCAGTAGCAACGGGAGCATGCTGTAAGTTGATTAGCAGGAGAAGATCCATATATCATCACTCAGAGGGAGCCGTACAAGGGGAAGAAGAGGCCCTGGAGCCGTCTCAAATTACCGCAAAACCGAGCCCACCAGGAAGTTGACTCGTTGAACTGAACAGACTTGTAAGTGTCAGCCGAATGGAGGGAAACCCCCAAGAGTCCCTCCTCTTCACCACGCTCAATCTCATGGCCCTCATCATCATCATCTAGCTCATCGCCTGGTGCTGTCGCGATATAGCCATCTGCAGTAGATCCCTGAGCCCCCAATGCCGCTCGAGGCAAAACCACGAAAAAGCTCAGCGCCATGATCGCCGGCAGAATCGCAGACGCTAGAAGGGTCGCTTGAACCGAAACACCCATGGTAGACGTCGCCAGAGCATAAGCGCCCGCACCAACTAACCCAGCAGCACCCGTCCCACTACCCCATGCCGCAAGACTAAACGGCCCATAGAAATGCGTTAGACCAACGAAGCTCAGCTCGCCGCCGCCTGCGGATAGACTAGCCAACACTATCCCAGCCAGCTTGGAGGAAATAGCCCCACCATCCGTGTAACTCGGACTCGTCGCGACGACCAGCATTCCAACGACGGACAAGAATACAAAGATCACCACTCGCATCGAGTAGGGTACCACGTGGATGAAGTACGGGGCGATCAACTTTGTCCCGAACGAGGGGATGATATCCGCCAGCAGGACGATGCCTTTGGGGACATCCGGACCGACGAGGTCTAATGCTGCGGAGAGGAGGATGACGTAAAGGACATTGTTGACTAGACCTAGCAGTGGAAGTCATCGTTAGTTGATGGACTGTGCATGCGATCCGATCTTATCGGACGGTGAAGCAAAACACACCAAATAGCCAAAAAGCGACGCAGACTCGAGGGTCGGCGCCGCGGAAGACTCCTTTGAGCCTATCATACATGCGAGTCCGCGAAGAACTCGAGGGATCGTTAGAGAAAGACATGGGAGCGTCCTCGGAGGGCGCGGGGTGAGGCATTCTTGAAAGTAGGTCGCATGAGGGAGTCCAGAGGCTACAGACGAGGAGAAAGATGGATAGATGCCCGGCCCATAAGTTCAGGCTAAAAGTGAAGGATCATCGCAGGCACCCGAAGAGCATACGAGGAAAGTCGGGGCAGCTGCGTGCATCACCACTGACTGCCGGAGAGCAGGTGGATGGGGGAGGTCGATGTTCCGCGCGGAGGTCCACCCGAGCGGGTTCCGCTACGCGCGTCATCGTATCTACTCAGGCCCGCGGCGGATGTAAATGTACTTCAACTTGGCAACCCTCGTTCGTCTTGGCCTTATCGGGGACAGAATAGAAGACAACTGGTCGATGTGATCGGAATCTGAATCAGGGAAGAAAACAACATTTCGTCTTCACGCTTCATGTCTACATGTATCAACGATCTATACATCGGAATGCCAAAGGAGAAAATCCAAACTCAAAAACAACGCAATCGCTCCAGCGAAATGGTATATATCAAACACATCGTAGGCGGCATATAAATCAGACAATAATCAAATCTAAGCCTTGGAAACCACGGAAGCCAGAGCCTGCTCTAGAATGTTCAATCCGGTCTGAATCTGCTCTTCCGTGATCGTCAAAGGAGGAACGAAGCGGATGCAGCCATCACCGGCAGTGATGATCAGCAGGCCGCGCTCACGAGCAGCGGTGATGATATCAGCGGCCTTGGAGGTAAAAGCGGGAGACAGTTGGAGACCGAGGATCAAGCCGCGGCCACGAACCTCCGAGATAACATCTGGGTACTTCTTTTGCAGAGCCTGGAATCCAGAGGTGAAAACCTTCGACTTCTCTTGGACAGCAGCCTGCAGCTCGGGGTCCGCGAGGCGCGCGACGATGTGGTAGGCGACTCGGCAGGCCAGAGGGTTTCCACCAAAGGTAGTCCCATGGTCGCCAGTCTTGATATGAGATGCGACAGTCTTGCCAGAGACAATGGTCGCGCCAATGGGGATACCGTTACCAAGGGCCTTTGCAGTGGTCAAAATATCCGGGTGAGCAGCCTCACCAGACACAGGGGCCAGAGTCGGGTTGCCGTGAGCCCAGAAGCTTCCGGTACGGGCCAGACCGCACTGGATCTCATCGAAAATCAGGACAGCACCGACCTCGTCGCAGCGCTTGCGAAGAGCGGCAAGGAACTCGGGAGTGGCGACGTTGACACCGCCCTCGCCCTGAATAGGTTCGACAATCACACCGCAGGTGTTCTCAGTGATGAGGGTCTGCAGTTGCTCGATATCGTTGTAGTTACCGTACTTAAAACCGGGCAGCATAGGCGAGAAGGGGGTCTGGTACTTGGGGTTGGGGGTAGCAGACAAGGCACCCATTGTACGACCATGGAAGGAGTTGTGGAAGGAGACAAACTCGTGCTTGGCACCGGAGGGATCGATAGACCGGCCGACCTTGCGGGCAAACTTGATCGCAGCCTCGTTGGCTTCGGTACCGGAGTTGGAGATGAAAACCTGGGAAGCATCGCGCATAGCACCAGATTCGCGAGTCAAATTGATGAGAAGCTGGCTCAGGGCACCAGTCCAAGGGTTGTGGTAAAGATTCGAGGCGTGAATGAGAGTCTCGGCCTGTAAGATATCGCACGGATTGTAGTTAGCAGTTGCTCCTCTGGGCCTGCGCGTATCTATGACTCCTTACCTGCTCCGCAATAATCTTGGCAATCTCAGGATCACAGTGACCGAGGGAGTTCACTGCAATACCAGAGGTGAAATCCAAGTACCGTCTGTTCTCCATATCCCACAGGTAGCAGCCCTGTCCCTTCATCATCATCGGAGCGGGGCGAACGTAGGTAGGGACCATGAAGGGTGCGCGCTCATTGATAAACGACACGGTGAGCGAGTCTGGCGAGGGATCGGGATTAGGGAGGGTAGCCTCACTCTGGAAAGAATATGAATTAGTCGAATTGTCCTGTTTAATCCTCGGAATGACCCAAATTACATACCTGCACCTGGCGCTTCACTTCCTGAGGAGCATTGGAGGTTGCCGCAAAGCGTCGCTGGACTGGTGACTCAAAAGAAGAAACCAGCCGAGTTGCGCGAGGCACACGGCGCGCAGCCAAACGAACGGCAGACATTGTCAATTGCAAATTGTCTGCGACTTGCAAAAGCGAATTGGTCGTCGGAGGGGCAGTTGGAGGAGGAAATCAAAGAAGGGCCAACTGCTGGGATGACTCGACGGGCGGAGAACCCAAAAATTAAGGCGATATCGGGATCGGATCGGCAAGTCTTAGTCATTTTGGGTGGTTCGGCGCCACCTCCCGAGGCTTGAGGCATTGGAGATTATTATTCCCGCGGCTCGACTTCTCTTTCCGTCTAACTGCTCATTGATCACTGAAAAATCCCTCCCCAAACCCTACAATCATGACATCTTCCCTGCTGTTGCGCCGCGTATGCGCTCCTTCCTTCACCAGCCGACTGGCTACCCGATCGCTCTCCACAACAGCCGTCTTGCGCAGCGACGACGGTAAACCATCGTTCGGATTCAAGCATTCTCCCGCTCCTCCACGCCTCCCCAAAGAAGAACAAGAGATCTTTGAAGAACTGCAACGTCGCTCGACGGGTGCTTTCAGCACACCCCAGGTCAATCAGTCACCGCAATCCGAGGCTCGGCCCGAAATCAAGGTCAACGGCAGTGGCGAGGAGCTTCACCCAGATGCGCCGCAAGGTCTGAAGCCTGAATTCGAGGGCGAGACGAATCCCAAGACGGGAGAAATCGGTGGACCTAAGAATGAGCCTTTGCGATGGGGATCTGGTGGTGATTGGAGCTATGGAGGTCGTGTGACCGATTTCTAAAGGCCAATCGTTTGAGGAGACTTTTGCATAACGCTGGCGTTGATTCACATCTCTACTCTGCCGAGATATTCCGATACGAGACACAATGTATATAAATTGGGGGGTTATCCAGGCCCGATGAACTTGAATCACTGGACTGGACTGGATAGTGTATAATATAGTGGACTGAATGTACGAAAGCACCCGTAACTGATCAAGATTCAAATTCGCTCAAAGTATGAAGACAGAGAAATTCATATGACACAAGTGAAGCAGGGATGGCTATCACTGAGCATCACTTTTTATTCTGCCAGCCGGCCTAGAGTGGCCTTGCCGGCTCGGCTGTCGTTGACTCGGCCCAATTCCCCGCTAATCCACGAGCCGATCCGCGACATCTCCTCGAGGCTGACACCCGTGTGCATCCCCAAGCTGTGGATGGTGTGGACGAGATCCTCCGTGGAGACATTACCGGTGGCACCCTTGGAGTACGGGCACCCTCCCAATCCTCCAACGCTGCTGTCGAAAATCCGGACACCATGCTCCAGCCCGACAATGGTGTTCACCAAGGCCTGTCCGTAAGTATCGTGGAAATGAAGAGCCAGATCCGTGTTGGCAATTCCAGCCGCCTTCAGGGCCTGAAGGAGTTCCATGGTCCGCGGCGCAGTGCCCATGCCCGTGGTGTCAGCGACTGACACTTCATCTGCGCCCATCTCCAAGAGGGTAGCCGTAATTTCGGCCACCTTGGACGGGCTCACCTCTGGACCTTCGTAGGGACAGCCCAGCGCAACTGAGACATATCCTCGCACGCGAATGTTCTTCGTCTTGGCCAGCGTAACGATAGGTTTGATACGCTCCAAGGACTCGGCGATGGTACAATTGGTGTTAGCCTTCGAGAACGACTCCGTAGCGGCTGCAAAAAGGGAGACTTCTGTCGTTGTCGCCGACTTGGATTCTGAGCCGGGCGAGTCTGCCGGGACGCCGGTTGCATCCATGATCTTGACCAAGCTCTCCAACCCCTTGATGTTGGGGACTAGATAATTATAGGCGATTGTACTTTGAGATGGTGGAGGTGATGTGAGAAGTTGTTCGCAAATCTCAGCCGTACTGGCCATCTTCAATCAATCACACAAAACTTGTTAGTCTTCCACGCTGACCGATGCGCCGAGATACTCCGAAGGCCCATACCTGTGGTACCCATTTGGCCGGAACAAAGGAGCCGGCCTCGATGGTGGTGACACCAGTCTTGGCCAGCCTCCGAATCAGCTCCATTTTCGTCTCCATGGGTATAGACTTTTTCTCATTCTGCAGTCCATCGCGAGGGCCAACTTCCACGATACGAACGTGGTCCGAGGCTAACCGCGACTCGGTCGAAAGGAAGCGTTTGGAGAGAGGCGCCCGAAAGGCTGAGAGTAGACGTAGGCGAGAGTAAGTCGCCATCCTGGTGACTTCAAAGAGCAATAACAGACTCCAAGGAGGTATCAGGGAGAAACCGAATAAGCAAAGACGAGAAGAGAGGAGGGAAGAGCCAAGGATTATGTACTGCGTAAGAGGAAAGGAACGAGGGGAGAGCTCGTCCGATGCGGAGAGAGCCTTACTCCTTTGGGTTTAGTGCGCGAACAGTCACGCCCCACCGAAGAAAAAGATAAAAACGATAGAAAGAGTGGGGTGATCTTCCACAACTCTTCAGAGGACTCGTGAATTCAGGATCGATCACTTCTGTCAGCATGGAGGACACGTCCAATACCCCCGGCAGTCAGATGCGACAGCCCAAGAAGAGATTCGTCGGTCGACGGACTGCCGAAGCCCAAGCGCAAAAGGACGCCTCAAGCCAGAATGATGTCGAATCCACGGCAGTGCAGACAGGTAGGTAGGATCTGCCGGTACTGATCGGGGCTCGTTTCTAACGTATTTATGCCACCAGCCGCCCCAAGGAGGGCTCCTCGGACACTAAATCAAGTACCTCCGGAAATCCTAAATGACCCGGAGATCCAAGCCGCCATCGACCTCCTCCCCAAGAATTACTCATTCGAGATCCCAAAGACAATCCACCGAGTACGCTCTTCAGGAGCGAAGCGCGTTGCGTTGCAGTTCCCCGAGGGACTCTTGATCTTTGCGACAACTATCTCAGACATTCTCACACAATTCTGTCCCGGTATCGAGACGTTAATCATGGGTGATGTGACATACGGTGCATGCTGCATTGACGACTACACGGCGCGAGCCCTGGGGTGTGATCTTTTGGTCCACTATGCACACAGCTGCCTGATCCCCGTGGATGTGACCAAGATTAAGACACTATATATCTTCGTCGACATTAGCATCGATACCAGCCACCTCATCGCCACCCTCGAACGCAACTTTAAGCCCGGCCAAACCATCGCTACTGTCGGCACAATCCAGTTCAACGCAACCCTACACGGACTTAAGGCGGTCTTGGAGCGCGCTGGCTTCCGAGTCGTGATTCCTCAAATCATGCCGCTCTCCAAGGGTGAGATTCTGGGTTGCACTTCGCCCCAACTGCCTGAATCCGAGGTCGACGTTCTTCTCTATCTGGGCGATGGCCGTTTCCACCTTGAATCCGCCATGATTCACAACCCGACGATCCCCGCATATCGCTACGATCCATACTCACGTACCCTCACTCGTGAGTCATACGATCATAATGAAATGCACACCATCCGCCGAGATGCGATCGCTACTGCCAAATCCGCTAAGAAATGGGGAATCATCTTGGGGTCGCTTGGACGTCAAGGTAATCCCAACACCATGGCAATGATTGAACGCCACCTCGCGGAGCGAGGCATTCCTGTCGTGAATCTCTTGTTGAGTGAGATCTTCCCCGGAAAGCTGGCTTCCATGTCCGACGTCGAGTGCTGGGTGCAAATTGCTTGCCCGCGGTTGAGTATTGATTGGGGCTATGCCTTCTCTCGGCCATTGCTGACGCCATATGAGGCGCTTATTGCCCTCGGTGTTCGTGAGAACTGGGACAAAGCGAACAATGGTATTTACCCGATGGACTTTTATGCCAAGGAGGGACTGGGTCGGACGAAGCCTGAGCAGACCATTCGTGCGGCTTGATCTGCCATGTCTGTGGTGTCATGCAATTATACGACCATTCAAAATGTTTATACCCCCATATAGAGCACTCGGCAGCAGGTCTGGCCTTGTATACAAAAATCGAAGATAGAGCTCAATATTTATGCACATTGAAATGAATAAAACAATATATTCCTCTTGCTGTGGTCGAACAGGCTCGAACTAGCTCATTCGAAACAACGTTCTCAACCTAGCTCAAACTCAAGCTCTTTTGTGGTACGCAGTTCGGTCTAGAGGATCGTTGTACCCACTCCAGGTCATTACTTTCGTCCCATGAGGGACTACTATTTGACACGCATCAAATCAGTTTGAGCTAGCCCTGGATGATAGATAGCACGTCTCCTTTCTAAAATATTCTCTGTTCTAGTCTATCTAAAAGAATTGCGAATGTCTATGCCCAATGCTACCTCCTCGCAATGCTTTCACCCGCTTTCTCCCAGCTCAGAGCATCCCTTTCTTGTTTCCTCCCCTCGCCTTCTCTTGCTCATACTTAGAAACCGCCTCAATCATTTTCTCCCTTGGTGGCTCACAGCCCGTCCAGAGATAGAACTGATCATATGCCTGAGCAAGCAAAACTTCTACCCCAGTCACCGTATCCCATCCCTCATGTCTCTGTGCCACACTCAGTAGTGGCGTCTGCCTCGGTTTATATGACATATCAATGCAAATACCCCTTGATCCAAAGATGGCGGAAAATTGATCTTCAGTGGTGGTCTCGGCGGGAACAGTGCCCACGATCACGTCCGGGTGTTCAGGAAGTGCGTCAAGACTCTTGATGACTCTGATCTCGAAGACATCCTTGAAATCTTCCTTGACTTTCTCCGCAGTGGCAAGAGTTCGATTAACCAGATAGATAGACCGAAGGCCTGATGTGTGCATAGCATATAATGCTGCCCGTGAAGCACCTCCCGCACCAATCACAAGGCCAATATCCGATCGTTGAGCCGTTCTCGCCGCGTAATCCGTCATGATTCTGTGCAGTCCGGACCAGTCGGTATTATCGCCAACAATATGCCGCTCATTGCCAGTTCCCTTGACAATGAGAGTGTTGATTGCTCCGATCAAACGAGCGGTCTCAGTCTGGCCGGTGCATAACTTGTGGACTTGCAGCTTATGGGGCATCGTGACGCTAGCGCCGCCAAATTGCTTGTCCAGGATCAAATGAGCAACTCCATCGATGTGTGAAGACTCTCTGATGTCGTATTTGTATGGCAGATCATGATGCGTGAATCCGGCGTTGTGAATGGTCGGTGAAATACTGAACGAGATCCCGCTACCGAAGATGTGGAAGTTCTTGGGTGAGAGGGCGTGGTCTGCAAGGGATCCGGATTGGGTCATTTCGCGTGAAACTTATTTCTGATATTTATTGAGAATCAGATATTAAAAGTTTTTCTCGAGATTATGTACAGTGGGCAGATATCTTTGTATACCATCCAAGCTCGGCAATCTGGTCCGGCCATGAGCTTAACCGTGAGATGGCGCCGCCGTCGGCTAAGACATCGTGCCATGATCGAGTGCTCTCGCGAAAGGCAATGAATTAAACCGATGTATTTTTCTCCATCATATTTACAAATGAGATGTGTGAGTCTTCCTATCGTTGAATAGCATCACACGAATTCATCCAGTTCGGAAGATCGACCCTCTGCGCCCTCCTCTCTTTTGCAACAACCGCTAAGCATCATGGAGCAGTCACAATCAGAAGAGAGAACCCTCCATCTGGTCGGTGTGGGCGTCACTCATTCCATAGCTCCGGAAATGCACAACTATATTGCAAAATCACTGGGGCTTCCATGGACGTTCTATGCGACCGAATGCCCGACACTCGAAGACTTGCTCGCCCTGGCAAAGAAGTCTACCACGGCTGGCCTGGTAGTCACAATGCCCTACAAAAATTCGGTCATGAAGCATCTCGACGAGATCGATGACCTGGCAACCATCATTGGCGCTTGCAACAATGTTTACCTCAAAGATGACGGTCACAGACGTCTATGCGGCACCAACACCGACTGGAGAGGTGTTCAAGGCTGTCTCTTGGAAAAGGGCGAGGAGAATAATCGACCCTCAGCAGAAAGTCCAGCATCTGCTCTTGTCGTCGGAGCAGGTGGTGCAAGTCGTGCAGCTGTCTACGCCCTTGCCAACCACCTTCACTGTCCGACCATCTACATTTTAAATCGAGACGATCAGGAGGTGGAGAGTCTCATCAATGACTCGCGGCGACTACCTGCAATCCCCAACATCATCCATGTCAAAACTTTGAAGGAGGCAGAGACCCTGCCAACACCACACTATGTTGTTGGAACTGTACCCGATTTTGAGCCCATCTCAGAGTCTGAGTTGGTTGTAGCTTCGATTTTGAAACACTTCCTTTCTAGATCCGAGAAGGGCGTGTTGCTGGATATGTGTTTCAAACCACGAAGGACGAGAATGATCAAGTTGGCTGAGCAGTTAGATTGGCCGTGTGTCGAGGGTACTCATGTCATCGGTTACCAGATCGAAGAGCAATGGCGCCTGTGGTCGGGCGAGGAGCGGCTTCAAAAGCTGGATCGAGAGGGAGCCTGGAATGTCTTGTTGAAGGCTGCCGAGGAGAGCAAAGGAATCAATTTCTAGATTGTGAGAGTCTGTATAGTCCGATAATCGAATCATGGTCTATAAATTTATCTTAACCGTTCTTTTCTTTCTCTCCAATGTTAAACTAAAATGGCCCTCCCATCTAAAAAGCTTCAGCTCCATCTACTTCCTCCCTCCCCCACTTCCCAACATGTTGGTTTGTCCGGAGGGGATTGGCGGGTATTCCGTCGGCAGTGGCATTAGCCGTGCCCCCGGATATCCCGAAGCCGGTATATAATCGCATCCCATCCCGGAGCTAGAACATCGACCACCACTTACACGTGAGATCTTGAAGTACACTATGCTTGACCTACACTCTCTCCCCGAAGGCACATGGCCTGAGCAGGCCATTCGTAACAACGGCCCCGACAACCTCGTCTTGGAACGAGCAAAGCTGCGCGAGCTTGCGGAGGGCTGGCCCTGCTACCGGTAGATTATGATCTCATAATCCTCAAATTTCCAATCTCCAACTAACGAACCTCCATAGCGATGCTTGTGAATGGGAGAACTTTGAGTCAATCTTCCACGAGGACGCCCATGTATACACGACCTGGTCCGGGCGAGTTCATTATAAAGATTTCATTGCCGCCTCCAAGGCCGGCATGGACAAAGGTGCCTTTATCATGCACCGCTGCCACGGATTAACCACGGACATCACCCCCGACGCCACCCGTGCCGTCACCAAGATGAAGGCGACAATCACGCAGCGCTTCACAATTGACGGATGCGAGGTTGATGCAGAGGCAGACTGCCGATTCTGTTTCTTCTTTGAAAATGTCAACGGCCGCTGGGGCGCCCGGTTCGTTCGTCATTGGTACGAGAAGGACAAACTGCTTCCTGTCAATCCGAACAAAATCCCACGCATCAATGATGAGAAACTCAATTCTTATCCTGAGGGGTACAAGTGTCTTGCCTACTGTCAGGAGCTTACGATGGGTGTCACCGTACTTAAGGATATGCCTGGACACAGAAGACATGTTGGTACTATCTGTGGAGAAAAGCATGATCTGCTATATCGGCTTTCTAAGGACTGGCTGGATGGAAAAGCCATTGATGTATAAGTGGGAAAGCCCGTTTAACCGTGTTTAGAATCAAGTAAAATCATGTAAAAATTCAGATTATGATTGAATTGTGAAAGAGTTATCCTGGCGTCGAGACCCTCTGTATTATGTTGAAAAAATTCTCTCTATGAACTACCAGCTACGTGCACATGGATGCTAGATTACACTTTGCGGTGCCTCTTATGTCCTATTCTATTGGGATCTTTCCATTCGATCTTCTAATCCATGCTCACCCGTAAAGTGTCCTCAAGGGCTCTAGAGATACTAACGAACAAGCTCAGTAAGCGAAAGATCTCGAAAAACAAATTGAAAATTTCTCTTTACTCTAACTGGAGTCGTTGCTGGAATTTCTTCCAGGCTGCAATACCCCTTGCTGCATGCTCATCAGGGACATGTTGGCCCGGCTCAGCCATAGTCCTGGAAAACAGCTCCATCGAAACATAGCCCTCATACCCAAGTCCATGGATAATCGTCCGTGCAACATCCTCCACTGGCAAATACGCACCCCGATCTTCCTCGTACATGAACGTCCTTGCGTTCCGCGACCAGCTCATCCGTGCTGGTTGACCATCCACATGGAATGGGTGACCCGGAACCAGCGGCGATTCCATACGCTCAGCATCCACAACTTGAATATAAAACACCTTGGCCAGATCAACTTCTGCTACCATCCGCTCTAAGGATAGCTTCAGGTCTGCATCTGCATTGGGCGTCTTGCCCGTCGGATCGGCTGGATCTGCCCAAACGCGCCCAGCGATATTGAAGGTGTCGAGGCACATGCCAAAGTTAGGCCTGTCGACGCGTTTGACCACTTCCCACAGTTTTTCCCAAGTATCGATGTAAGTGCTCCAGCACAAGTTCTCGTAGGCAAAGCGCACAACCGGATTCTCTGCAGCACCCATGTCGGCTAACTGTCGTAGATCGGCAGCGATAATATCCAGGTCGTCCGTCAACTGCTCCGCCGGGAGGAAATTAGCGGGAATTTGAATGGTGTTGGTGCTGAGTTGTTTGGCAATTTGAAGCCAAAGTTTCATTTTCTCGATCAATCTGGCGTGTTGTTCGCGGTCCTTGAGACCTTCGTAGAAGAGGAATGGCTGGAGACCGATCACCTCGAGCCCTTGCGCCTGGCACGCTTCATGAGCACGATCTGCAGCGCTGAGAATATGTTCCGCAGAGGGAGTCTCTTGCCCAGAACTCTCCCGTGCAGCGTATTCAAGATCTTCATAGAAGATCTCAATTCCCTTGAAACCAGCCTTTGCCGCTTGGTCGATCTTGTAGTTGAGGTTGTGTAGCCACGCCCGTCCGAGGGACGCGCTCATGATAGCGGGTTGGTATTTCATGGTTTTTTTCTTGTTGGTATTTGCTGGACTTGGATAGATTTATTGGCTTCAGTGAGAATGTTATTCTTTTGACGATTTCGGTGGGATGCAGCTTCAACGTCATTTTGAGGGGCATAGGTTAAAGTCTTAGCCTAGCTCAACCTGAGCATGAGCGGGCTCTACTCGACGCCGAGGGTCAGCCAGATGCCCCACCTCTGTTCGCACTTTCGGTCGAGGGTATATGGGATAACTCGTTGTCTTGAAACAATGACCATGGCAAGCCAGGACTCACAACCCTACTGATGAACATGGAGATAACTACACCTGCTTGAGAACTCGACATTCTAGTGCCAATCAAATTGAAGCTTTAATTTGTACATATTACAGGATACTCTCCGGGCTTTCGTGATGAATGTCTCATTTCTGCTTGTTAAGAGCGGGTTTAGTAAGATTAGTTCTAGGTATCCAAGAAAAAGATCGCTCTCAGTGAACGAATCCATGTTTGATAGACTGCTCACGAATCGCACCTCGCATCACATGAATTGGAGCTGGTCGCTTGGTGAAGATCTCATACTGAACAATGCCTTGCTCAATCAGAACCATAAGTCCATCTACTACCACCCACCCTTTCGACGCACGTGGGAGAAACTGCTCCATCAATCGAGTCCTCGACGGGCCATATCCAACCTGAAAATCGGTCAACTTCACTCTTTGAATGTATGACTAGTCTCACTTACCTCGAGATACACGCCGCCTGTTCGACTTCCAAGCCATTGCTCTGACAGAAGCATGTTGATCGGCCGTTCGCTCCCCAGTTCATATGGCGGAATACAAGAAGTGACTATACTCGGTAAACGACAGTCTGAAGGCCAAGGGTCCTCCGGCGAACATAGCACGTGCAGTTGCAAATTCACTCCAGGCTTTGACTGCGCCCACTGGCGGAAGTAATCTGCAAGCTTCTGCGCATTCTCAACAGATCGGTTATAGATGCACATTCTCCGAACGCCAAGCTCGTAGCATGCGTAAATTGCAGCGTGGGCCATTCCTCCAGCCCCAATAATCAAAGCCGCGGTGCCATCGCGAACTGCATTTGCAGGCGAGAGGTGCTTATGAATGCAGTCTCTGATGCCAATGTAATCTGTATTATAGCCCCGACGAATGGTGACCATTTCACCGTTGGGAAGTTGACTGTGTTCCAGCACTACCGTGTTGACCGCGTTAATATCCTTTGCGTCTGAGCTGACTTCATCAAGGAAAGGTAAGATTGCTGATTTGTATGGAAGAGAGATTGTTACGCCACCGTGGTTCTTATCTTCCAAGAGTCGGTGAATATCTGATAGCTTTTCACTTTGGAGGGTATCGTAAACATGTGGCAAACCACAAGCCTCGTAGGCAGTGTTGTGCATCGGTGCCGAGAGACTGTACTTCACACTTTGCCCAAAGATGGTGAAGACTTTTTTCGACTGCAAGAAACACGCAGTCAATGCACATTGTGCCTCTTTCATTGATATACCCGTCTGGTTCAATGACGGGGGCACAACTGGTGACAAGGTTCGGCCCAGACAAATCGAGGGCTTCCCCAGTGGTCCGGTATTGTAGGCGATGATGGGAATTTTCGAGGTCGATTGCAGATCTTGCAAGAAGCAAAAGCAGAGGTCGTTCTGATCTGGCGTTACTGCTTCGCCTGTCACTCGTATAGCATCAAATTTTGAAGTCCCACAAAGCTGTGTAAGGGTTGACGGCGTGAAAGGTCTATGATGATATCCAACAGGACTTTGCTCATGAACTGTGCCAATGATCTTGGTATAGCCCTTTGCAGAACTGAGTTTGGAGAAAAGACCATTGTCGCATTCAAGACAACATGTGAGAGCATCTGGGGCAAGTCGAAGGATATTCGCGAGGGTCTCGTGGTAACTAAAAGCCGAGTGCGTTGAATGTGGTGCTGATACATCAACGATAATTGGAACACGGGAATGTTTCCTCAACAGGGCGATATGGCGTACTAGCTTCTCTGTCAAGCTGGTGGACTTTAAATCATCGGGCTGAACCAGGAGTGTAATGGCATCAGCGCCAGACTCGAGCGATTCCAGATCAAGCCCCGGTTGATCCAGATATGACACAGGAACTTGTAGAGCGTATGTATGTGATTTGGAAAACGGATCAAGTGAGAAAACTTGGCGGTGATCTCTACCGAAAATCCTATGAAGGAATGCCACAAATACTCTCTCGGTCTCCTTGAGCTTGAGGTATGTGGGTAGCGTTGGGCCGCTCTGGGATTCACTTTGGGTGTGGTTGAAGAAGTCAAAATTGGTACAAGACTCGAAGAAGGCATTCACGACCTCGAATATGCGACTGAACTTGTCTGGGCTGGTACCGGAGAGCCGTTGTAGATCATTCTCATCTCGTCGCACATAGATAACCGGATGTCGCTGACCACATTCGGTCAAAAGAGTCCGCTGCAAAGGACTTGCTGTGCCCCCAAGGCCAACAATGACACAACCTTTGTCATGTTTCGTGAGAATGTCCTTTGATATTTGCAATTCAAGTTCGCGATATCGTGCTAGGCCATGACGAGCTATGAACTCTTGAGGCGATGATTGGACTTCTTGGTTGAAAACCGCGTCGAAGTCAACGAAACGTCTTCGCAATGCGACCGATGCGATAATTCCAAGTGTCTTCTTGCCAGCACCAAATAACCCGACGAGTAATATGGTCGCATCTGAACTATACTGTCGGTGAGCGCCAAGAGCCTCGTGCGCGGATGCTGGTGGCGTACTGCTGTACTTCAAAGGGCCAGGAGAGCTGTCAATAGCACTCATTTCAGATTGAGTGTCTCGAGCATGGAGCAAAGCTTTGCAATATCAGTAGATACTGATTTCTTCTCAATGTTGGAACATACCTGAGCGTGGCTGGTCGTCAAGTCTTCCACAGAATTACCATCGGCTAAAGTCAAGGCCGATCACCTGATCTTTCGCCACCCTCAATCGACCAAACCACATCCATCTCTCATAGGTGAAGCAGTGACTCAATTAATTATGTCGGATGACTGATATGCACGACTCCAATGTCCAGTCCACGCCCGTCGAAAAGACAGCGCATCTATCGTGCTTGTGATCAATGCCGACGTCGCAAATCCAAGTGTGATGGGGAGCAGCCCGTCTGCAAGATATGTCATGCTGCCAATCGAACGTGCACATACCAAACTGGTGGAGGTCGACGGGGCTTACCGTCCGGCTATGTTCGAAGCCTTGAAATTACCCTTGGCCTTGTTCTTCAGACTGTGCCTGGCAGTGAGGGCATGGTGTATACCCTCATAAGAGATGCACGAGGCAAAGGCAATTTCCTGAAGAGTGGACAGGCAGATCATCTTGTGTCCATTTGGCGGGAATCAAGGTTATCTCGAGACGTGAATCAACTCTTGAAACCGGATCACGAGGATGCTGGCAATGATGGGTCTGACTGGGATCCCGTGGAGACTCGCGATCAAGATGAGAACATGGACGATCATGTCGCTGCACCAACAGATCTTGGTTCGAATGAGACCATGATCATGCAGACTGTCCAAGAGCCTTTGCAAAGCGCTCCGAAAGCGATTGATTGGATGATACCGGAAAATACCGCCGACTTACTCGAATTTTACTTCACCTACACGCACTGCTGGTTCCCCATTCTTGAACGCCGGGAACTACTTCGAGCCATGCATACAAGCCGAACTCGCCCGATACCAAGTGAAGCTCCTTGTCAAATGTTACTATGGAGTGTAATCTCTTATACCTTAATTTTGAGAGGATCTCACGATACCAGCTTACCGTCTCCTTCGGCCATCCAGCTCTCCATCCAAGAGCAGCTTCTGGCAGAACCGGCAGCTTTGGATCTGGGTCACATTCATGCAATCCTGATCTTTGTATTGACGCAAATTTCCCTGGGAAATATCCATATCGCGTGGACCACGATTGGACAGGCCACAAGACTATTATTTGACCTGCCACTTGCCGCAAGAAAGACACGATTCCGACATACCTTCAATGGCTGCGTCTTCCTTGATAATATTCTATCCGCCCTTTTGGGGCGTACACCATGCTTATCCTCAGATGAGCAGTTCGAAGAGGGACCGGTAGAAGACGACGACGTAGACGAGTGGGACGTCTGGTCTGCAAATCGCTCCAACACCGTCAATAGTGGTACGAGCGCTCCTTTGCGTGCCTTGAGCTCCTTCAACATCATAAGGCAGCTCATGCAAGACTTGTCGCAAATTTTGTACCAGACAAAGTCTACTTTTCAACTGGAAGATCTTCTTGACAGCCTACGAGAAAAGCAAGGAGTTCTACTCCAGGATCGTCCATATAGCGGACACAGTGCTAGCACCCCGCCTCTCCTGGTGCTACATCTCGCGTCCACTTTTACGACGCTGTCACTGATCCAGAGGTTTGAGCCGGTCTCGCCTGCGGTCACAGACCTTTGCATCAGAATAATTCATCGTGTGCTTGATATACTTGAACATTATCTTGTACTTGCAGGCGAAGTTGGCATCTCCCCGTTGGTTCATTGCTTTGCACTCCAATGTCAACGGAGCCTCAGCGTCACAAATTCCGCATTGAGCTTGGCGGAAAAGGCAGAGTTGGAGAGTCGCATTCACAACTTTCTGAACCTGACCAGGTCAAAAAACCATCTTGGATGGAAGAGCAAACCTGATGACCCATTCACAGTCCCCTCCCTGAACCAGGGAGGCCGGTCTGCGGCTGTAACAATACCAGAAAGTGAAATCACTATGACCAACTTCGCGGAGTCGTCCATGATGGACTTACCAAATATGACCGACACCAGTAAATATACCACTTCCGCAGTTCTCTCTGGCGCGGATGGATATGATGCTCTTTTCGAAGAGATGGTAACCTCATTCCCATCAAGCAGGTATGTCCATTTGCAACTTGCACCCGCTACCTTTATATTGTACAAAACATCGCCTAACAGCCCTTTTAGGCAGGAACCTGCTTTTGCGCATAATCTGGGATTTTATGACGGAGATCTGGACACGGATTTCTTAGCACAACTCCAGGGTCCTTCAGCGTGACCCTCGCCATTTCGGAGAATATCCGTTCGGCTATGTTTATAACCGACCATTCATACCCATACGAGCATACATAAACATATAAGATACCCGTAGCTTAGGCCTTTAATGCCAAATCCAATCATTCCAAAATACAATCATTATTTTCAAAATGCCCGGAATCCTCCTCATCAACGGTCCCAACCTCAATCTCCTGGGCACCCGCGAAACCCATCTCTACGGTACAACAACCCTCGCCGACGTCGAAACCACCGCCAAAACCCTCGCCTCCTCAAAGGGAATCCACCTCGAAGCCTTCCAATCCAACCATGAAGGCGCGATCATAGATCGCATCCACGCCGCACGGGGCCAATTCGATGCCGTGCTGATCAATGCGGGTGCGTTGACACATACGAGCGTTGCTATTCGTGATGCGCTCATTGGTGTGTCGATTCCGTTTATCGAGATTCATATTACAAATGTGCATACTAGAGAGAAGTTTCGGCATCTGAGCTATTTGTCGGATAAGGCTGTGGCTTGTATCGTTGGATTGGGGGTTTATGGGTATGAGGCTGGTGTCGAGTACGTGGCGAGGTATTTAGTTAAGGCCAGTTGATATATCACGTTGTTGATATTAGAGGGTAATATGAACTGCAAGGGCAAATTAAGTTTTTTTAACTCTATGTTGAAGTATTTCGTGAGGTCTAAATAGGGCGATATGAGCCTCTGAAATATTAATAGATTAAAGACCTACTGTCTCCTTCTACTCCTCCTTCTACTCCTCTCCCTAGACGGAGAGGGTTATAGTAGAGAGGGCTATACGATTTAATCGAATAATTTTTTACGATTTCACTTTTAAATTCTTATCCCTAAGGCGTAGAGTGACGGTGGAAAACGCGGTGAACGTACTTGGTAGAAAATTGTTGTTTTAGGGAAGTTATACCTATAGTCCGCCGTAAAAGGCTCTATAGTGAAAAGCGAAGTTACGTTCAGAAGGAAAATCAAGGTGCTATAAGCACCAATAGTATATATGCAGACATGGTCGCCTCCGAGGAGGGCCGGTCGACTAGAAGAAGAATAAAGGGAGCATCATAGCATCAGTTCGCGCTTCCAGGGTAGAACGAGGATGGAGACCGTCTCGCTTGCCTTTACGTGTCTGAATTTGCAATTTAGGCATCCATTTCGCGTTTTGCGATGGAATCGGATCTTGTTTGGCGTCATAGGAGGTGCGTGGACAGAGCCCATTGGGCTTATAAAGAGCTGGAAACGTTGCGCGTTCTGTTACGACATGACCGGGACCGATACAAGTAACGCACATAACGTTAGGAGGAGCTAATGCTAACTTACGTTCGGTGGGCAACGGGCGGGAAATATCCACGCGGGGCGGGAGTCGCCGTACCCAGAGACTTGGGGCGTCCACCATTTTCCAGGGTACGGATCCAGGGGAGATTTATTTACTCCCTAGGACAATCTAGAGCACAACAGTGTACGGAGTACCTTCGTAAGCTAGGAGAGTAGTCATTCAAGATCCACCACTAAGCCAACCAACGGCTGAGGTGATATATTGTATTCATGTCAATCGAACAAATTCTAATCAAACACTCAAAAATATCATAAAATACATAAACCTCCAAGAAACATGGCTCACCCCTTAACATCGTCAGCACTGTCAGTGTTAAAGTCACTAACGCTGCCACGCCGCAACGCGAGCACGTTCTTATTGGCTAAATCATCAGCATTGCGCTCAGCGGTACGTTCCGCTTGACGCCAGTGGGTCACGGCCTGTTCGACGTCCTCGTACATCTCCAGCGAGTCTTGGATGATGCCGCCTTCGTCGCCTTCACCGGACTGTGTGCTCTCGCGGGAACCGCGCTCGTTCATCATTGGGAAGGCTGGACCGAAGCCTCTGGCTGGGACGGGATTGAACATGATTGCGTTGGCGAACATGCGGATGAGTTCCTTCTCCAGCTGGGCGGAATTCACGATACCCTTTGGAGGAATAAGGTCTTCGGTCTTCTGAAGCATGAGCATGTTATTCTTAGACGGTGTACCTGCAGCTGGTACTGGCGATTCGCCGTCGCCCGCTGGAGTGCTAACGGCCTCGGTTGCAGCAGCAACGGCTTTGCTGCCTTGGTGGACTGCGGATTTGATGGACTTGAGATCCTGGGGACGGTAGATGAGATCGTGATAGCCTGGTGCATCACGTTCGCCTAATGGCTTGGCAAAGATCGATGCAAGCTTGTGGGTCGTTACGTCGTTCATTATAGGAGCTGCCGTTCGATGGAAACCTCGTGCGCAGAGCACATACTTGGTGGTATCGATCTTGGGTTGCTCTGGAATAATGGGCTCTTGATCGAGGGACTCGCTGATACCACGCTTGCGTTTGGATCGTCCCTTCGGAGTCTGATCATCTATGATTGCGGCAGGTCCCTTTCGGCGGGTGGCAGACCTGGAAGGTTCGGGCGATTCCTCCCTCGAAACTATTGAGCGACCCCGGCTCTGTGTTGAAGCCGAACTGATAGCACGTTTCCTCCGAGTAGTAGCGCCTTTCTCAATCTTGATGCTCGGCGTGGCCTTGGTCTCCACTGCAGTTACCTGGGTGCGGCGAGTGGGTTTCCTCTCTCGAGGTGGTGAAATATCCATAGCATCGGGAGAAGGTGCTCGTTCACTGATCGGACTCACATCTTCTGGCCGTGGACGTGGAGGGGATGTCGGTGACTCAGGGATGCTCAAACGTGGAGTTCTCTTCCATGGCGTAGAAGATCCGGGCGTATCGATAGACAATCGAGGACGTGATCCACGAGACTCGGAATAGGCTGGAATTATAACACTCGGTGTCTGTGAGATGCGTGGATACCCAACGGGCACCGGGGTCTGAACTGCCGGACTTGGAGCACCGGGAGTGCTTGGAATGGCCGAAGAGAGGGAACCCTTGGGTTGGACCTTCGAAGGAGCCTGTGAGGGTGGAACATGCGGTTTTGTGGTGCTAACATGGGGGACGGCGGTCGCGGGAGAGGCTGCGGAGTAAGGCGAGTGTGGGGGTGCCTCAAGCTGCCATTGCTGGAAGCTTGACTGAGTCGGAGTAGGTTGTTGAGAGGTAGACAAGGGGATGGCAGCTTTGCCCGGGGCGATGGGTGTGGCCACCGGAACATTAGGTCGTGGCGCAACCTGCGAGGGATGTGGTGGTGCCGCTCGAGCTGCCACAGGAGTTGACGGACCTGGCTGTTGGGTTCGTGGCGCAAGTGATGGCTGAGATGGAGGATGAGGCACATCCTGGCGAGGAACCGTCTGCGGGTGTACTGGAGGACCAGCCTTAGCTGGGGTGGGCTGGACTGGAGGCTGAGTTGGTTGAGCGCCAGGCAAACCGGCAGGCGCAGGTGGACCAGGGGCTTCTTTGAGCTGACTTGATTCTGGCCGGGCTCCCTGAGTGACGGGCGGGACCGTTTGAGTTTGGTTCGCGGGTGGGATTATTTGAGTCGGAGGTTCCTGTTGGGGGGTTTCTGGCTTGACTTCAAAATCGATGGATTCGCGACGCTCAAGCTTTGGGGCTTGGGGCGCGCCGACTCCCTCCGCCGTGGGTACTGCGGACTTGACATCCTCCCTCTGAAGACGCTCGATTTCAACCTTAATCTCGGTGTATCGCTTCTCGTCCTCTTTAATCTCCTTCGTCACAAGCTCTTTATACCGCGCATAGAGGTGCGCCACGAGTTCTGGGACCAGAACTGCATGGGAGCGTCCGTCCGACAGCCCGTCTGGTCGCGGGCTGGCGATCTTGCGTTTCTTTGGATTACTTGACCCAGACCCTTCTGTGGACTGTCCATTTTGGCCAAGGGATGCGCTGTCGCGATCGAAGCCGTCGCGTAAGAGCGTCGCGTAGAGATCCTCTAGAGCCTCTGGGCTGAGGCGATCGGCGCTGAAAGCCCCACTCTGGCGCACGAGAGGATTATTGCTCAACAGTGTCGAGATCGAGGCGAAACTGGCCGGGCGCGCATCGGAGGTCGCAAGGGATTGGAAGAAGAGCAAAGACTCAAACGGAGTATATGCGGACAGAGGAGGCATCCCCCATTGCCCGCCCGGTCGGCCACTAGAAGTGAGCACTTTGGGGATTGGGGCCACGATGGTGATGGTGGCGGAGGTGTGGGGGAAGAGAAGGAGGGGAGGGTGGTGGCGGTTGGGTCGCGGAGCGAGCGCGGAGTCGTGTGCTCGGGGATCGCGAAGTTTTCGAGAGACGGAGGGCGGTCGGCGAGTTGAGTTGAGGAGAGAATGAAGGGGTCTTGAAAGGAGGGTGGAACGCGACCGTGGTCCCTTTTAGACCATCCGAGGAGGGTGGGAGATCCAGCGACAGTGAGGATGGAGATGAAAGGGCGAGAGGGCGAGAGGGCGAGGATGAAAGTGATGGAAAATGCGGTGGCCGGTTGTTAGGGACTGAGAATTGGAGATGGAAGGACTGGACGAAAGGGCTGGCCTGAGAAGAACTCGCCAGTGCAGACGGCAGCGTCCGACCGGACGCGGTATTGCAGATTACCAGATCACGTGGACTGTCCGGTGGTTGCTGGAGGGCTGGTCCGGTATGTATGTATCGTGCAATCAGGTGACCACGGTCTTGGAGCCATCTGCCCGGGATCATATCGAGCGTCCGGTCACTTTTACATTCTGGTGGTATTGACCCGTACGGAGTCATTCAACCGCTCCAGTCGTACTGGAGCAGTCCTGTTCTAGTCCAGCCTGCGGAGTCTAAATAAGGTCTGTCATTCCTAAGCTTTCGACAAAACAACCGTTGATGATTTACTCCGCACGGTACTACAGTCCAAGCTCTACATACAGCTCGCTCCGTGCTTCAATGTCGATGAGACTATTAGTCTAGCAAGCCCACGAGCCGATCACTATGATTCAGTCCATTCTTCCCTCGTCCAGAGCAGTCCCCATGTACTAAATCAACCAGGCTAAAACTATCGATCCCAAATAAATTTCCGACCAACTGGGGCCCCTCCCCACGTCAGGGGCTTTCCTTTCGAATCACCAGAAGGAGTTTCACCCCCTTTTTTGTCGGCTTCTCTCAAGTGGAGTGCCTTTTTCTGATAGCGCGGGTCTCTCTGCGAGCCCCTGAGCTGCTTGCTTTTCTTTCCCCCCAAGCCCAAGCCTGTCAAAGCGAATTCGACGAGATCCCATAGATCCACTCGAGCAAATGATCTTGCTCATCTTCCCCCTAATCGTGTTAGCTCGTGAGCATCTTGGTATTGTCGCCAATCCCCCTTGTAATACCGTGACCCTCCCTTGCCGGGGAAGCTCTATGTTGTGTACACATACTCGATGAACTCGTTCGGATTATCGCCATGAAGAACACTTTGATGGGCAGAAAAAGAATATTTCCTCTGGGTATTAAGCACATGACTGGTCGTACGAAACTCAGGAACCATGTTACTATCCCTTTTTTTCCAAAGATGGACGGGACACCATGTCACCTCTACGGAAGAACAATGTTGTACCCAAGCTCCGGTAAGGAACGTAAAGCACTCCGTAAAGAAAGTCACTTGGTGGGCTGCGAGCTTCTCTCCTCTCTTTCTCTTTTTTCTTCTCTCCCACTCCCCTCCTCTCTTCTTCTATCCCAGCTGTGTAGCAGCGACAAAGCTATCAGTCCTCCGTGCTTTGCCTTTTTCTCTTTTGGTATGGCTCTGTACTCCTGGCTTGCTACGTCGTCCCCCCTCCAGTTCGGCGACAACCCGCTTATCGGGGGGTTGTTTGTTGGGGGGTGACGAAGTATAACCTGCTCTGAGACTCGACTGACTCGAACTCCCTCGACAGCGCAACTCGATCGGGGTATCCCCCCTGAACCGGCCCTGTGATCTTTCCAACTTTATCCTCGTGACCTTTTCCCCAAATCTCTTCAACTGTCATCAAATATATTAATTGCGGCCGTGCGGTGCTGTGCCCCGCCCGACCAGTCGCGTATATACCCCTCTACCAAGTCAACCCTTTCGACCGAATATAGCGTACCTCGCAACGAGGACCCCCGGGCTACTGCACAATGACTATGTCCGACATGGAGATGGACCAGGAGTGGAAGCCCTCGGGCAGAATCCGGCCGCAGTCGTACGTTGACTGCTCTCTCCAACTGACTCCGTACGAAGACTTGCTAATTAACCCCGTCTAGGACCATGGCGCAGGCCTTCTCCACAGCGTTGGACAGTGCTTTCATGCTCGACAGCGATGTCAACCACCTTTCCCAGACCATTGACCAGAAGTGAGTGCTGGAGGGCATCCCGCGGCGGAACACGACCTCGCGCGCAGTTCGCATCAGGACTGACCAGTTTTCTACCCCCGATAGGAAGCAACAGATGATGATCCAGGCCCGTGAACTGGAAGCTCTGCAAGCGCGCATTCGCGAGGCCGAGGAGCGCCTCCAGGCACAGACTTCCCACTCCTCATCAGCACCGCAGGAAGAACAAAGTGAGCAGGATCAAACAACCGGTAAGGAATGATGATCCCCCTTCGCCCGATATCCTTGTGATGGCACTGTACTGGATGCGTTTTTCTTATCTGCGATCGTCAGCGGAACACTGATGCAATGCGACAGCTCCCCAAGAAGGATCCCCCGACACCGAGCACCAGCCAGCGGATGAGCAGAAGGCGAATGAGTCGTGATGGATTGATATATAGCTTTTCCCCCACCGAAGGGCCATTCCCTATGCTTTTTTTGACTGTTTTATATACCTCCTTCCGACATGGTTCCATATTTGGGCTGACGGAAACCGACTCGGGGATGGCAATTTTGATGCCGCACCACTTTGACGAAAGATATCCCGGTCGGCGCGCTTTGCTTATGTTTGCGGGTTGGACTTGATTTGCTGAATTTGGAGAACACCCCCCATTTTTGTACGTACCTGGGCTGGGCATGCACCTGGAGCCCCCTCGTTTTTGGCACTGCTATGGCGTAATTGAGTTTTGTCTTTTTTTTTGGGGGGTCTTTTCCCTTCTGTCGTCGGCCCGAGACCTGAAGATCCATCAGCATCGTCATCATCTAAGGACGGATATGCGATCTCTCTGCCTCGTGACTAGCGCGGCGCCATGAAATTCAAATTGGCGCTGCATTCTCTCTTGGGCTGCACGTCTTCTCTCGTGTGTTGTTCCTGCAAGTCGAGATCCCAATGGACTGTGCCGCCGTGGCCAATCACCGAAGCCCGCCGCTCCACCGGTGCCGTCATTGTCCCTGCTTTGGCTCCTCCGTCCTCAAGTTGCTAAAGTTGGACTGATAGCAGCACACCGGTGGAGCTGTCACTCGGACTGGGTTCCTCCGTCCACGCCTGGCAGTGGCAGCATATTATGGATCTCTCTAGGCTGGGCCTGGTTCCTTTCTCCTTTTGGCATGTGGTAAACTCGGTAAAACTGGGTTTAAGTACTGTTGGTAGCACCGACTGATAGCGCGAAGTAAAAAAACGACCTGCCCCTCCTCTTCTTCGCCTCTTCCCTCTTGCTCTTCCTCTTCCTCTCAGTGCCATCACTCCATTGCTGCATCTGCCGCAGTCGAAATATTCCTGCAGTTCATCATTTCCCTTCCTATCCCCTCGCGAAGATCATCCTACGTTTCAACCGCTGAATCCCCCCCCTCAATCGTCGTTCGCGCGCGCCGTCCCCTCCGGCTCCGCATCCCGGGTCCACCTCTATCATGGTCCTGATCGACAAGCAGGAGTACCTCACGCAGGAAGAGAAACGGCTGCAGGAGGATCGGGAACGCACGCGGTACTGGAAGAAATGGGGTCCTTATGTGGCCGAGCGACAATGGGCAACCGGTTGGTCTGACCTGAGCGCAGATGGTGGGTTTCTGTTGGGATAGCGGGCTAATGACTTCATCGCTGTTGCGGCACAGTGCGCGAGGATTACTCGTAAGTCAAGCCATCTTCAAAACGCACTGCAAAGGCTCAAAACTGACGATATACAGTGAGGACGGTGATGCCTGGAGCTGTAAGCTGAAATCTGCAGTTCGAGGGCAAATTTGAAAACCTAGCTAATCGGTGTGGCAAGACTTTACCCACGACCATGCGCGGTCGCGAGTCTTTCGCTGGGGTGAAGACGGTATCGCTGGTGTCTCTGACACCCACGGCCTGCAGAACATTGCTTTTTCATTCTGGAACGGAGAAGAGTGAGTCCATTCCGTCTCAGAAATTTGCGCCCGCGAGATCCAGAGACTCTGACAATCCCGAATTAGTGACTTCCTGAAGGAGCGTCTCTTTGGGTTGTCCAACCCTCAAGGTAATCATGGCGAGAGTATCAAGGAGTGTCATTTCCATGTGGACAATACTCCGACGGTAAGTTGAACCCAGTGCTAGATACCGAGTCCAAGTCTGACGTGCGCTTCCTGCAGCATTCCTACATGAAATTCCTCTACAAATACCCCCAGAAGAAGTTCCCCTACCAAGACCTGGTCGACGAAAACGCCAAGCGAACTCGCTTAGAACGCGAATACCAAATCCTGGACACCGGTGTCTTTGAGGAAAACCGATACTGGGACATTTTCATCGAGACTGCCAAAGAAGCCGACGATGAAGAGGAGCTCATTTTCCGTGTGATTGCATACAACCGGGGTCCCGAGCCGGCCCCTCTGCATATCATCCCCCACGTTTGGTTCCGAAACACCTGGTCCTGGGGCTATGAGAAGGAGAAGGAGAAACCCGGTATCAAGCAAGAAGGTGAACGTGTCGCGAAATCTACCCATCGCAAGCTCGGAGATCGATATGCTTGCTTCGCTCCTTCGCCACCCATTGGAGCTAGTGAGGAAGATATTCAACCACGAATGCTGTTCACGGAGAACGAAACCAACAACCAAAAGCTGTGGGGCACTGAGAACGACCAGCCATATGTTAAGGACGCTTTCCATCGGCATATCGTGGACGAAGAGAAGGATGCCGTTAACCCTGCTAATGAAGGCACCAAGTTTGGTGCTTGGTATGCATTCGACGAGGGCGAGGGTGTACCCCCAGGAGAATGTGCCGTTGTCCGATTCCGCTTCTCCCGGAAGAAGGTAGAGTTCGTGGACGAGGAGGTTCTGGACGACATCATTGAGCAACGCCGTGCCGAAGCGGATGACTTTTACTACCGCATCAGCCCCCTCCCCATGAGCGATGACCTGCGCAACATTCAGCGACAGGCCTTTTCGGGAATGATGTGGTGCAAGCAGTATTACAACTTTATCTGGGATCAATGGAGTAATGGTGACCCGGCTGAGATCCCTCCTCCTGCTGGTCGAAAGGGCATTCGGAATGAACAATGGCGGCATCTGTACATCGATGACATCTTGTCCATGCCCGATTCCTGGGAGTATCCTTTCTTCGCCGCTTGGGATACCGCATTCCACTGTATCCCATTGGCAATGATCGATCCCGACTTTGCAAAGAAGCAGCTGGATCTCCTCACTCGTGAATGGTACATGCACCCCAACGGCCAACTACCAGCCTACGAGTGGAACTTTGGAGACGTCAACCCACCTGTGCATGCCTGGGCCGTCTTCCGCACGTTCAAGATCGAGCGTAAGATGTACGGCCAGCAGGACCTGGATTTCCTCGAGCGCGTCTTCCAGAAGCTCCTGCTGAACTTCACATGGTGGGTGAACCGGAAGGATTTTGATGGCAAGAATGTTTTCGAGGGAGGTTTCTTGGGGTTGGATAATATCGGTTTGTTCAACCGGTCCGAGCCGTTGCCCACTGGTGGTGTTCTTGAGCAAGCGGACAGTACTGGTTGGATGGCTTTCTACTGTCTGACCATGTTGAATATTGCTTTGGAGCTTGCCAAGCACCGACGCACCTATGAAGACAGTAAGTCTAGCACTGAACCGCAGGGAAACGCGTATCATTTACTGATTTCTATCCAGTTGCATCCAAGTTCTTTGAACACTTCATCCTTATCAGTGATGCTATGACTTACCGCTCTGGTGAGGACAGCATCAAGTCACTCTGGAATGAGGAAGACAAGTAAGTTTGCAAGTATCTGCGGCTATGTTCTCTCTTGTGCTAACCAGTTCAGTTTCTACTATGATGCCATTTCCTATGGCGGTCCCTGGACTCAACAACTGCCTATCCGATCGCTTGTCGGTCTGATCCCGCTGTACGCTGTCCTCACTCTTGAGCCAGAGATCATCAAAAAGTTCCCCTCATTCAAGCGACGACTCGACTGGTTCATCGAGAACAAGTCTGATGTTGTAGAGCGCAATATTGCCAGCATGAAGACCCGCGGTAAAGATAACCGCCTTCTGCTCTCGCTGGTCAGCAAGGACAGACTCGAGAAGATCTTGAAACGCATGCTCGACGAGACCGAATTCTTGGCCAAGCATGGCATCCGATCCATGTCAAAGTATCACGAGGAGAACCCATACTCCATGGACGTGAATGGCCAGACTTTCAAGGTCGGCTACGTGCCAGGTGACTCGGACAGTGCTCTGTTTGGTGGCAACAGTAACTGGCGTGGACCTATCTGGCTCTGTGTCAATTTCCTGCTCGTCGAGTCTCTCCTGCGCTTCTACATGTTCTATGGCGACTCGTTCCAGGTCGAGTGTCCAACTGGCTCGGGTGATTACATGCACCTTGGCCACGTCGCCGAGGAACTGCAACACCGTATGCAGCATCTCTTCGCCCGCAACGATGAAGGTCGTCGTGCTATCAACGGCCAATCTGATCTGCTCGACTTTGACGAGCACTGGAAGGATTACCTATGGTTCAACGAGTTCTTCGATGGCGATACCGGCCGTGGTCTGGGAACTTCCCACCAATGTGGCTGGACAGGCCTGATTGCCAAGGTCATCCATGACACAGGGTAAGCGTCACCCCGTATTTAACAGGTCCCTTAAGATAAAGAATACTAACAAAGCCCAGTCTCAACTGCCGCCTCCCACAAACTCCCCGCTCCCCCTTTGCCGCAGCATCACACTACTTCGATGACATGTTCACCCGCTCCGGTCGGCGCCGCAGCCAAGGGCGCCCCGTCATCCGACGCTCATCCACGAACCGGTCCATCGGCAACAGAAGTGACTTCAACTCCACGATCGCCGGCGACGCAACCCCAGCAGCTTCGGCCGTCCTCGACGACGAGGATAGCAGCAGACCGGTCAGTCGGCGGGATAGTAGCTCTGCGTTCCCTCAGAACGGCGATAGCGACGAGCATTTGCACAATTATGTTGAGAGTCAGTTGCAGCGGGTTCGGAGCTCGGCGTCTATTGTGGAGGGGTATGAGGATGAGCTTGAGACTCAGGCGGAGAAGCAGAATGGTCATTGATTACTAGGGGGAAGAGAAGAGCTAGTGGTGGATTGAAGTGAAGTGCCTGACGAGAGAGAGGGTTGGGACGGGATATAGAGTGTGCCCGGTACATTTTTAATTGAGATATTATCATGCTGATGGGTGCAGATGCTGAGATACAGAAGACGGGAGTTTATGTCAAGACAATTACAGATACATTAAGATTGCATGTGTTGAAGAGCATTTCATTGAATATCATATTTCCGGTTGTTCATTCCTCGTCCTGCAGCACTCGAATACACCAAAACGCTAGCTCAAGGTAAATTCGATGCCGAAAAACGGCTACTCTTGACGTTTTTACGGGATTCTTAGTCATCGATCAGGCTAGAATTTTGGAAGCTCCTCGTAGACGCCCGTAGCTAACCGTTCAGTATTAGTTACTCCTTTGTTGTGACTTTCACTGTTACGTTCGTTAATGGCTGTCCTGTTGACTATATTAGCATTAGCAATGCCCACGGATGAATTTCTATAGAGCCCTACGGTTGGAAACCTAAAAGAAGCAAGAGACAATATATTAGGAGACACGAAAGGACACAGCAGAAAGACGAAGCATCGGCATTAGAGACATCTGGAGATTGGCCAAAGGATCAATTCATGTAAAAATCGCTATCTTTAGCCCACTTAATACAATTTAGTAAATTTAATGGATTTTGAAAATTTCCTATTGGTGTAGGTGGATGGTTCGACTGAAAGTACGTTAGTGGCTCAATCATAATACGACCCTAGACCTATGGTCTACTGTATGTACAATTATCCAGGCAACCGTAACGCTACGTGTTGCTGCCCTTCAAGATCATCCCTTCCCCAGCAGGCAACGAGCACACTATTTAAAGAACAGTCCAACCTACATTCACATCCCTAATACCATCAATCCAGAATTCTTGACCATGCCAACCAAATCAGAACTCCAATCGGACCTAAGCCTGGAGGCGCTAGCGGACCTCCAGGTCCCTAGCGACCTGCACATCTCCCCAGACGGCACCAAGGTCGTCTACGCACTGCGACCATTTAGCAGAAACCACGAGAATGCCACCTCTTCTATCTGGATCGCTGAGATAGGTAAAGAGAAAAGCAGTCGCCAGATTACCTCTGGTCTCTTCAACGACGAAAAGCCGCAATGGGCTCCAGACAGCGCTTCCATCGCATTCAAGTCTGACCGGGCCCAGCCGGGCAAAAGCTCCGCTATTTATGTGATTTCTCTCGGTGGGGGGAGCCATACCCCCTTACCACGGCGGAGAATCAGAGTGGTATTGCCTCGTTCGAGTGGAGCCCCAATGGACGGTTTATCGCGTATACCAGTCCAGATGAAAAAACAGATGAACAAACCCGCAAAGAGGAACGGAAAGAGGATGCTAAAGTATGGGGGCAGGACTTGAAGTATCACCGATTACGCACTGTGCATGTGGCAACAAAAGAGACGCGTATTCTCGTCGGCGGAGACAAACATGTCCATGCTTTCTCGTGGAGTCTGGACGGACGAGAAATCGCATATGTCGAGCATCAGGACCCGGATATAAACTCAGCAGGATTTCATGGTGCGAAGATTTGCATCGTCGATCTAACAACTGAGATATCCAAGACGATCACCAAATTTCCGGGACCTGTGACTCAATTTGCCTGGGGAGAGGATGGCGTTTTCTTTATTGCGGGAAAAGTACCAACGCACTGCTCGACTTCTCAAGGCCTCTACCGTCTTTCCATTCCAGATGGCACCTACATCCAGCCAGATATGAACGAAGAATACTGCTGCCTGTATATGAACAAGAACAACTCCTTGCTATCATATCGGGTCCAGGCTGGACTCGAGGATGAGATCGGCTACATTGACGACAACGTCAGGCGTCATGTCTACCGTGAAAAGCATGATATTGCCTCCTTTGATGTCTTCAAGTCGCCAGGTTTATTGATCACGGCGATCACCAAAGGGGACGGCTCAAATCCTGAAGAGGTCTTCTCTATCTCAGGATCTGCCAACCCAGTCAAGTTATCTGATCATAATAATGCACTTGCCGCTCTCAAAATCTCCAGAGCCTTGCCTATCGAGACCAGAGCCACGGATGACTATCGTCTTGATGGTGTGATGTACTTTCCATCCAAGTACAAAGAATCCGATGGCCCGCTCCCGACAATTCTCCTTCCACACGGGGGGCCTTACTATCGACTTACGATCGGGTTCTCGGTCTGTCACTATCTGGAGGTTCCACTCCTGGTCTCGGCTGGGTACGGCGTCTTGTGCCCGAACTATCGTGGCGGCAGTGGCCGAGGCCAGAAACACGCCGCTTATGCTCGTGGGGGGGTGGGCACGGTCGATTATCAGGATTGTATTGACATTCTTCATGCCGGCATTGAGAAGGGATTGGTGGATCCTGCTCGTGTGGCGATTGGAGGTTGGTCACAGGGAGGTTTCCTTTCGTACCTGGCGATTACTCGAGACAAGTTCTCCTTCCGAGGTGCATGCTGTGGAGCAGGTGTGAGCGATTGGGATGTGATGACCATGACGAGTGACGCATATTGGTTCGAGGCCGACCTTGCTGGTGGCTCTCCATGGGAAGTTGATGAAGATGCGGAAATCGAAGTCGAAGTCGGCGAACTAGAAACGGGTATGGCTAAGAGCGGAATAGATGGCTCAGGCTCGATTTCGCACAAGCAATGGCTTCGACAGACGGCCTCGCGAAAAGGAAGCGCCCTGTGGCATATGAGGAATGTCAACACGCCGATCTTGATTCTTCATGGTGAGGAGGATGTTCGTGTGCCATTGTCGCAAGCTGTTGCTTTCTACCGAGCATGCATTCGCAACAATGTCCCTGTCACGATGGTGTCTTATCCTCGAGAGGGCCATCTCTTCCATGAGAGGAAGCATATCGTCGACATGTGGAAACGAATGAGGCAGTTCTATGACTTGCATTTGAATTAAAAGACGCTAGATAAAGGGGATAGTGTATATGTACCTGGATCGCTCCCGAGGCCCGTAGCAGTATTCGTTGTTTACAGGCAGCTGCTTTGGCTATAATTTTTTCGCATTTATTATATTACACGTGGATCCGCTTCATAGATGGATATCTCACCCAAGTCTATATCAACTTCGCTCAATCTACGCATCTACAACCTAACCCCAACCCCAAGACATAGAAAATGAAAAGAAAAGTGTATTGTGCAATTCACAGATAATGAAAACAAATGGAAAATGAAAGAAACCAGAGGGGCACAACCAATAAAGATCACACCTCCCTTTTTCCACTTTCAAACCAACGCTACCGTTCATGCAGGACGATAATGCTGAGTATAAAGTCTAACCTGACATGACCCCCACTCGGACATCCCGAATCCAGTGGGGAAACGCTCAATATTTCGAGCAAGTTGTGCTATTTTACATTTACAGGGCATCGGTCAGAGCCTTGTTCATCTTGGCGATCTTGGAAGACACGCTCAGGTCGATGGTGCGGTCACCGATCTCGACGACAAGTCCACCAACAAGGTCGGGGTTAACCTTGGTGACGACCTTGAGCTTCTTGCCCTGGCTGACCTCGGACTTGGCGACGGCCTTTTCGAGGCGGGAGATGGTCTTGGCGTCGAGCTCCTATATGCTGCGATTAGCACTGCCGATTCAAGACGAATGTAGAACCGGTTGCAATTGATTGCAATTGGGTGTCAACGCACCTGAGCAGAGGTAATGTTCAACTCAACCTCGCCACGGTGGGCGCTCATCAAAGCACCGAACTTCTCGCAGACACCCTCAAGGGAGGCGAGGCGGTTGTTCTCGGCCAGAGTCTGGAGGAAGTTCTTGATGATCTCGGCCTTGTCGGCACCGGCAACCTTCTGGAGCTCCTTGATGATCTCCTGCTTATCGGCAATGGACAGGGTAGGAGCGCCGAGGATGGTGATCAGCTTGGGGTCGGCCTTCAGGGTCTGGCCGAGGGTAGCAATGGCCTTGGCGGTCTGGTCGAGGGCAGCGGACTTGGAGGAAGCAGTGTACTAGAACAAATCAAGCGTTAGAAAAGGAAGTTTTCATCGTCATTGGCGAGTGTATCATGCGGAGTTCGTCTCCGACATTCCGTTGCAGAGAGGGGGCCCAGCCAGCGGGAGGGGTCGGGGCAACACGGGGACGCCAAAAAACTTCGACATCACAGATGACATGACTCGCAAAGGATCGGATGCATACCAGAGCAGTAGCGTAGGTGCCGTCAACGCCGAACAGAGCGACGGGGGGGCGGACATCCTGGGCCGGGGTGGCATAGGTGCGCAGGCCGTTGAAGACGGGACGGGCGACGGAGAACTGCTGGGCGGCGCGCAGGCCGGTGCGGGCGACACGAGCGGACATCATCGTGGAATTGATTGTGAGGAGAGCCTCGAGGGGGAGGAGGAGACCAGAGGAGTTGGGATGGAGGAAGATGCGAGCGACGGGTCGGAGGGCTGGACGTCGTGAAGGTTGAGAGTTGCAGGTCCGACTTCTTCCCGAGTCACGTGGTAGCACTAGCTGCTGAGGTAAGCCGTCTGGTTTTCGCTCGGTGGTGGATGTGGAGCGTGTCGTTTGATAATGCTCATGGTCAGACTCAGTCTGCGACTACGAAGGACAATTCCTATATTTCTCAAAGGTGCGATTCACTCCAAATATAGGCATCACCACGAGGGGAATAAAACGCCAATCTACACCTCATTTCCCCACTTCCAACCGCATAATCGCTTCAATCGTCCTACTTCACCTACAAATTACCTCCAGAATAGCAGATCATCAATCTCTCAATTCTTCATTCCAAGAACAAAAACGCCCAGAACAAGCCCATAACCACAAGAATCCACTAATGTATGCACCACGCCCGAAACGCCGTCGAGAACCCGATTGATCGCATCTCCATCAGAAACGCCAGCCTGGGAGATCAATCACGAACAGGCTTCTCATGCACAGTGTACCCAATCCGTCTCCCACCGACCCAGATCCTAGTCACTGCGCAACATACTGTCCACCAGATCGCCCAGAGGTCCCCAGTAATCCTTGCCGCTCGCCAATTTGTGCTCGTCGATAAACAGGACATAATGCTTGAAGCTGGTGTTTAGGTGTGGCTCAAGACCGAGATGTACCACCACCGGGTAGTGGTGGCAGTAGATGTGTGCGTAGACTCGGTAGAGACGCTTGAAGATCTGACGGAGGAGACTAGGGAAGGTCTTGGGGAAAGGGACGCCTGTCGATACGGGCAAGTTAGTGATGGATCTCAAACTATGGAACCGACACTTGAAACACGTACCGATACGGCTAGGGAACATCTGCTCATTGTCGACATTGCTCTGCACCCAACTCATAAGGTGCTCGATATATTCGGGGGCAGACATCTTGGTTGGCCGCTTAAAGTTCTCGGAGTCTTGCCAGAGGTACTCGAATCTGGAGGGCCGGTCAGCCTGGATGGTGGGCAGGGGATCAGTCTCCTGGCATAACCATACTCATCTGTAGCCTTCATCTCGGGGCATGATTGTGGGGAGCAGAACTCGGTTATGGAGCCGTAGAGGAGGTTAATCTGGTTGTAAAAGTCGACAACTATGGCCAAGCAAGACTGTTAGCGTGTTGTGCCATAAATGAGGATCTTGACGCTCCTACCATTCACGGCAAGCCATTCGTTCAGGTCCTCGCCCTCGGGCAATTTGACAGCCTTCCGCAGACTGCCACTGCCCAGAGTGGCCTCGGCGAACTGCCTCAGTTGGTAACTGTTGGTGCCCTTGGCCGCGGAGCGGGGCTTGAATGGGGCTCGCGTTCGCGCATTGCTGGGAGGAGTCAGTCCATACACGCCTTGTTTCAATGCGCGCACCGCTGGCGACAGATAAGAAGGAGGTTCAAGGGAAGGAATATGGGACGTGCGGGTAGTCTGGTAGATTCCCGACGGGCTCCGACTCAGAGAAGGAGTCCGCGCCGGCGGAGAGCGAGACGCGGGCTCGATGGGAGTCGAGAGATAAACGGGGGCAGGGGCAGCGGGGACCGACATGGTGGTGATGAAGGAAGACATTTCTTCGCTTCACACAGAATGGGATATTCCAGAATCTAGGCAATGTATCCCTTAGACGTTCTTTGCGGCGGGAGGGGGGTGAGCGGTGATCGCGACGTGCCTGCATTCCGATGTCAGAAGGCTTCGGTCGGGCGAGTTTGTTTTTGGCGGGGAATGAGATCGGGCAATGACGTGTGTAAACGTACCAAGAGGTCCAAGACGAGGATTTGAGGTGATGCGATTCTTGCAGAACACGGTAGGGAAGAAAATCAAGGACACCGAGTAAGGGCCAGGGCAAGGATGTAGTAGTCAGGTACAGGCTGTAGTTACTGGTAGGACGAGGAGTAGTAGTTGGGCCTGGGCAGCTTTCAGCTGCTCCACCCGTTTCGTGATCCCGCAATCGGATCCATGGAAATCGGACATCAATTCGGAGATGCGTTGCCCTGGTGATCCCCATCCTCCCCTACGTCAGATCACTACATCCCACGATGGTCGAAAAATAACCATGGCAATTCATCATCTCATTCGAAATTGAACCGTTTCAAGTATAATAACCTTCAAGTTCACTTTTCCCCCTCAACTCTCGGGGTTGTTTTCGTCTCAACAAACCATATGCTCCCGTGTACTCCGTAGATGCATACGACGATGTCAATAGACCCTCGATTGAAGCACAGCCAAGCACTGACTGGAACATGGCTAACCTAGAGCATTAATAGATGACTAGCTCTACAGTCTACATGACCTATATGACTCAGGATATTCTTCCATCGGGATAATTTGTAAAGGTAGATAAGGAAGAGAGGCAGGATCCCACTCCGCAACCAAAACGTTCTCTACCCAAGACAACACGAAAGTTCACCGAGCAATACCCAACATCAATCCATTCCAGTCCATGATATACATCAGTTTCTCCTAATGCTCACAAAGAGAGAAACTCCCAGTCTCAAAAACAGTGTTATTAACCTCCGCCCTCACGCTCCTCTCCGCCATTAAATCAAGCCTGTAAGCCTTCGCTTCATCCATGGTTATAAACGTGGCAGGCATATCCTTCTCAACCATATTCTGCAGCTCTGGCGGTAGGTTCTGCGACAACAAATCCTTCACCAGCTTCTGTCTCCCCTTGCCCCAATCCTGCTGTTGGGGAGGCACGTTTGCAGAGGATATAATCCGCCTATGAGGATCAATCAGGAACAGTGCCACAATCTTCCGGTGGCCTGGTTTGGTTCGATCTGCAAGTGAGAAAGGAGAGACGCAGTGTTGGACCACGTTAGGGAAAGTGAGCAGACGTCCCTCGCGACAGACCACACTTCCGAGGTTTTGCGTGACATTGGTATTATCGCGGCTGTCAACTTCGGGGCCAAATCCGTACACGGCTTGGAGGAATTCGTGGGATTCCTGTTCATACATGACATCTTCAAAGTAATCCTCGCTGCGCTGGCGGAAAGCTAGTGTGCTCTCGGTGATATTCTCACTGTCGTAGTAGTAGATGGCCGTTGCGCAGATCCGTTCGTTCTTGACCAAGTTAGTGAAGAGGCCTAACAGTGCAACGTCTTGAAGAAGAACTTACCAGCTGTCCCTCAATATGCCAGCTACCCCCAGTATACTCGGGTTTCTCGGGGGTGAGTTCAATATTGGCCAATTTCACAATCACCTGCAGCCCTTCCTTCTTGAATGCGTCACACAGTCCAATGCGGCCCCAGCTCTCAAGGTTCGGAGGCTTGAACTCCTCTGGCTCAGGCTGAATGATAACACGAGAGCTCCGGTACACATTCCAACGTTCCTCATATGCATCATCGTCCTCGTCTGAACCTTGTCTCCCTGGTTCATCTTCACCATCGTCTTCATATTCAACAGACGAGTAGTGAATCCGTCTGTCGTCGAATGGTCTGTAAGACAATGTCTGATTCCAGAGTGGCACTGCTTGCGTGATGACTTTCTCAAGAACTTTATATAGTTCTCGATGCTTGACTGGATGGACATTGTTGACGTAAGAAACGATTCGGCAATCTCCATCCTCGGTAAAATTCACGTCACAGGGAAGCCATTGAAACTTCTGACTGTATGTACTCGGTTCGGAGATAGATCCAGAGGCTCTTTCATGAAGCGGCACATTGTCATCCACTGGTACTGGAAGCAGGTCACCTTGCCCCACGCTGCTTAAGCAGGTCTCCAAGTCAATCGTTCGATCGGGCAGGATACGAGATCGACCAAAGATAACCGGAAACAGAGAAGGATGAACCAAATCAACAACCTGCTGGTTCGAACCGGGGTGATAATCCTTCTGATCTTCGGGGACATCTTCGAATGGCGCAACCGCTTCCTTCAGGGCTTGCTGCAGCTCTTGGGAAATAGCGGTATCGGACTTGACGACCCCGATATCAAAGACGGTAACGTGGTCAGTCTCTTTGAACGCTTCAGCTTTCCACTGGAGCTCTTTAATGATCCAGTCCATCATTTTGGAGGACACGTCTTCTCCGCTTTGAGCAATTTCAGTGCGCCATTTGGAGGTGATTTCCTCGTCAAAGACCTTGGCAGCGTCAGCAAAGAGTGTACTGGAGATAGCCCGTTTCGATAAAGAAATACCTTCTTGTCCCAATCAGGCTTGTCAGTGATGCTATTCATCACCTGCATCATGACAATCTCTCTTTTGATATCTAGGTTACTGCAGGTTGCATGTTAGCTTCCACTTTGTCGAGGATCCAACGTCAGGCCCCGTCCTACTTTGCATAACCCTCTGCGATTTCCAGAGCATTGGGAAATCCAAGTTGTCCTCCTATATTTCCAGAACCTCTTCGGCTCTAAATTCCATTAGTAAATGCATTCACATGGAGAATTGGTGTCTAACTTCGGGGCGGCTGTTCAGCGGGGCATTGAACCCCGGCAATTGGGGTATCGACGTGGTCGAAGTCATCTTGGCAAGTAAAGTGTTATTTGAAGTTGATCTTGAAGTTGAGAAGGGTTGTTCTTCTTCCCCCCTTTTATACCAACTCAGATTATCTCAAAGAGCTTAATCCGTCAGTTTGGCGTGGGACCAGTCAGGCAGAACCCAGGCAGAAGCTTGGCACGCCAGGCAGGCGTGGGCCCGTTCTCGTGTTCGGCGTCGTTCGATTGGGTGAATGGAGATTTGACTAGGTGACTTGGGGTGCGGATTGCCGATTGGTGTTCCTGGATGGATGCGACCAAGCCAACTGTTTTGATTGTACGCAGTACCTTCTTTCGCGATGCGGGTGTTCATGTTCAGCATCTAGCGGATGTCTCCACAGAGCGGAATCAACTCTCAACCTTACCGCGACAACCGCGGAGCCTGACAAGAGCCTAGAGAATGAACGAGGAGGAAATTGCTGAGATAAAAGGCACGTATGCTTCGAAAGCTGCTTCTCAGCACGGCACCAAATGGCAATATCGATACGATTTACATCTCTACAAAAGGCGTGGCAAATGTGTTGACAAGGATTATGTCCACAGGAACTAAGGGATATCTAGCTCGAATCAAGCCTGCACTGCAGGCACCAACAGGACATCCCATGAAATATATAACATCTTCTAGATCGCATACCCCATGTTCTCTTCTGGCAGCTGTTCCCGCACAGTCTCACCATAGACTGTCAAGGGAATAGAAATTTCAAATGATTCGCAACCCAGATGCTCCATCGCAGACAAAACTTTGCCGCGATCATCGGAGGATATCGTCTCGAGCAATCGAGTGCCGGAAGGGCCCTGACCGGGCTCTCCATGCGATTTCGGCGTTACGAACTCGAACCGCAAATCCCAGTCAAGAGTCACACCGCTAGTCAGAATTGTAGGCGTGGCGGAAATAGGGATTGCAGGGCTGAACACAACCCTAGTTGCATATAGCGTGTTCTCGAATAGAGAGGCATGGATGCGGCGGGTGGTCCGATGAATGCTTGCACTCGACCGGACTGCAATTGTGGGCATGACTTTCTCGGAGGTCTCGAGTGATGCTCGCACAGCATAGCATGGGATGGAAGCGTCACCAAAGTCGACAGTGGCGATCACAGTCTCACCCAGTCGATGCACGGGACGATTCAGTACCACAACGGCGATCCGTTGCCCATCGCGAGCAATCTCGAATCGATTGGGGCTGCGTCGTGACTGCGCAGGTTGGTTGCTGCGAAGGATGGCAAAGTCAATTATGTCTTTACAAGACAAGGCACCCGGAGGGGGGCCATCATAGCTTGATCGTCTTTCCGAAAGGGCTCCAGGCGGAAAGAGCGAATTTGAGCGAGCACGCTGTTCGAGAATCTCATCGACGTAAGAAAGGAATTCTCCAGCGGATTGCCATGGTCCGCTGATGCTTTGGTTTTTCACGGTCACGGGTGTAGTAGGCCCAAGTTTTTGCACCTTAGCTTCGTCACGCAAGATCACATATGGTGACATCAGGTCGTGGCCGAGAACATCGCCTTTGTCTGTTCATTTGTTAGATATCCACAATTGCTCTCGAGACGGAGATTATTCTTACCGTTGACGCCGCTATAAACGCGGAATGGAATATTAATGCGATTCACTCGCTGAGACTCATTAGGGCCGCTAGGCCGCTGAGTACCAATGACCAAATTATAGGCTATCTTGATCGCCTTGCCTTTATGACTCGCCGGGAGTCCCTTGGGAAGTGCGAAAGAGAATGAAAACGATTGTTCTTCGCCCGGAGCCAGTCTGAGATCAACGAAAAGGAGCGACTGCGGAGTGGAAAGCAACGGAATGGATCGCGACGAAGCAACACCGCGCATCTCTCGCAGGCCATCAAGCTCGTTGTTCGACAGGAGTCCATTGATCGACTCTTCAATCGCATTCCACTTGAGAGCTCCCCAGAACCCACCACCCCCTTTGCGTGAACGATCTCCACTCGCCGAGCTCGGCCGTCCTGGCACCCCGCCTGTACCTGCTTGGCCACCGACGACACCTTTCCGTTTGACCTCGTCAAAAACTGACTGGTTCACCAAAGATCCATCTACTGTGAACGACGCGCTGATCTGTGCATAGCCCATGAGTAGCGCGTGGCTATCGGATGGCTTTGTGGCTGATATAACACTCGAGTAATGCCGTCCATGGCGTGGGGTAGGCGGTGGTCGTGCGGCTTGTGTTGAATAATTGGTATACTCTGATGCCAATGTCTCGCTCGAGTGATCACTGACCGAGTAGAACTCTCCACTGCTTCGGCTGCTTCCATTCACGCTTGTAGCGGATATTATGCGCGTGACCTGCTGATGCGATGGTGCGGCCAACGCCGTTGAGTCCTTGGATACCGGCCTTCCGGGTGAAGGGATTCTTTCCATTGACTTGGGAGAGGGGGAGAGAGCAGGGCGGGTGGTACTTGGATCAGTCGACGGAGGGGCAGGAGGGAATTTGAAGTCGAAAGCTGGTAGCTGTTTCCTTTGCGGCGTGGAACGTATTTGCTCGGTTGGAGCAATGGGGCTGGTTGCAAGAGAGGCAGGTCGACTTGCTCGCCCAAGGTTCAAAGTGTCGAGTTTCAAGTTGCCTGGCGCGGACTCGTTTGGGGACTCTGTGAGTGGAGGACCGCGTATTGGAGCCCTCGACGCTAGTGGAATTATTAGCCTCTGTGCTCTTGCTGGCCCACGACCTGTCTAGGATGATACCTTTCCGATGGGAGTCATCGTAGCTGTCATTCCTCCTAGGGGCAACCTGGAGACTCGCTGAGCGTCCATGACCCCTGGCTGGTCGATTCCGGCCATAGTTCTGCGGCGGTGGTGTCTTCTCGGGATATCCTTCGCTCTCAATCGATAGAATTGATACTGATCGTTTGTGACTGTGGCCGGGCTGCCAACTTCGAGGGGTAGAGGGGCTGCTTGTCGGCGGGAAGCTATGCGAGGAGACAAGCGGGGAGCTCAGTGACGAGGCGGTCCGGTGAAAAGGCTTCCTCTTAGAGCTAATAGAGTATGATCGTCTCCCTGAAAACAGACCCTGGGGAGATTTCAACGAGAAGAACGAGTCGGAACCGGAGCTGCTCGTGTGGTTCGCAACGCGAGACAGCTTCCGTTGGTGCTGACCACCCTCACCCCCATGACCTGCTTCAGAAGCAGTTTCTGCAACATTCTTAAAGGTAATTGTGCATTCCACTTTCTCTCCCGCAAAGATCGTCTGATCTTTCCATTTCACGAAGACCTGGATGTTCGACGGCATTGCGACGCGGCGTCAGCATGTGGTCCGAAGCCGGTGGCTCCAGACCTCGATCTCGGGAGGTTGCGCGCAACAATCAGGGGTTAGAACCAGATGGCAAACGGTATGCTAACATCTGCATTCTGTCAGATTGGGAGGCTCATAATGGGGAAAGCTAGGGTCGGCGCGGTCAAGGAGCAGGACCATGCGAATGCTTGCCGAGGTGGGTTTGAGGGAGAGAGTTGGGGTGGTGGCGCCTCTCCGCTAGGAGCTCCGGTCTTGACCCCCAAATGCATGAGGTGAACTCCTATTTTGCCCCGCTGTGACACAAGCAGCTTAAGACTGTTGTAGTATAATGGCATGGCCATTCTATTACAGTGAATTTCATCTGCCTTTTAAAAATTAGGTGAACATATCGAAGCAGCTTTCCAAACATTCCACTGCACGGAGTTATAAGATTGCGAAAGTTTACAGACACAGAGGCGCGAAAGGCTATCGTCCAATGGAGAACCAAGTAATTATATAGCGCTATGCAGTGATATGGTAGTATACAGATTGCGATTGACTTCGATCGCAATAATAGCTGCAACGGTCGAGAACAGCTGGCTTTCCGTGCAGCAGGGCACTAAAACTCCCTCTCGCCAGGCTTATACAGCGTATTGGCATCAGAGTACGGCCGAGAGGCCTTGGTCGATGGCCGAAGACCCAACTCAGCCATGCGACTCCAGATCCGTTCGTGACGCTTCTCCCATCGCTTGCGACGATCCTCGGCCTCGGTTTCCGAGGGCCTCCATCGACTTTTCAGAATGCGGCGAATGGCTTCTGGGGAGACCTTGAACTCTTCCGCGAGGACAGCGGTCGTGAATCGTTCCGGAGCGGTCGCGTATAGATGACGAATACCTTCCAGCGCATCGGGTGACAATTTCTTGGGTGGATTCCACCCGTTGGGGAATTTCTTGTCCAAGGCATCCTTTTGAGTTCGCCAGGGGTCGGGCTTCTCCTTTTTCCTTGGGGTATTCTTCACATTGTCGAGCTTATTATCCTTGCGCAAGGATTTACGCTCATCGCGCTGTGATTTCGGATCATCCCGACTGGTTCTCTCCTTCTTTCCTCTCTTCTTAGGACTGTCGGTTGCACGTTTATGGCGCGGCTCCGAGGCCGTAGTTTCTTCGATTGCAGTTGAGGGTGAGGGAGGTGGAGCAGTAGTAGGTTGGGTAGTCTGAGGAGCGACCGATGTAGTGATTAAATCCGGAGACTGATTGATCTGGATCTGGCAGGCCCTTGGGGTCGAACTGAATGGTCGGTGTTGATGCTGTACTGAAGGACGAGACCAGCGGAGATAAGTAGGGCGTAAGTCACGGCTGAATTCCGAGCGAAAGACGCTGCGAAGAAGCGACGGCAAGGCCAATTTGGCCGAGGCAGCACACTGAGTGGCCATGATAGATATAAGCCGCCTAGGTTTGAGGTATTTTGAAGAGGAAACGCAAGGTGAAGATGAAACTGGAAGGGAAATTCCGCAGTGGCGATAAGATAGAGTGTTGCCTCCTGAAAAGTCAGGCACTAAGGAGAAATGCCAAGCTTTTGTATTTTCCAGAGGGGCCAAGTCCAACACAATAGATTATTATAACACACACCTGGCTGCGATTGCTCCTACAATATTGCACAATTTTACACAGGTAATGTGGGCTATTTTGTAGCTTCCAGCTCACTATCTCATTTCGAATAGCTTAGAGGATCATATTTTCCGCTGTCGTGATGGAGTAGACCACTCTTTGGATCTTCTGTCATGATTCATTAAAGCAGCAAAGTGTAAAGACCATTGAAATTGAGGGAGGTAAAAGGTTTCTCTATCCGATACTCTAAGGGCCTTGTGTCATAGTCATCGCTCCTTGGACCTAAATTTAACCTTCTGGAACATGAGCTGGTCTGTCAAATCCCCAGATCCATCCTTGTTCAGGACCGAATCCACTTCCGGGGCCAAGAAGATCCGGAAAAAGCGGTTCAAGCGGGAAATTCATGCTATTTCCTGTAAACACTGTATCAAGCTTATTAGTTGTGCTACTTGAACGTAAGCTGAGCGACTTACTTTGATCAAAATCGAAGAGCGGTTGTGACATGACTGGGTCTGGGTCCTCTATATAGTTGAAAGAAGCGTCGTTGTCCATACTTCCCAGACCTTGGACGGGCATTTTACTACTTTCGTCCATATTCTGTGCAGCTGAGTCGTCCTTGCGATCGCTGGATTGAGGTACAGGCCCTGGTTCACCCTCGGAAGAATTTAGCATCTCCCTTAACTCTTTCTCCATTACCAACTTAGTCAATTTCTCTAACATCTCTAAGCCTTGTGTGGTGAGAGAAGAATGAGATCGTGACTTCAAAAGTGACTGCATGCGTATCAGTCGACGTAAACCCATTTTAGACTCGTGGCATTGCGGGCCTAAGGGTTCAATGCTTATCAATACGCAAAGCATGACACCAGCAGTGAAGGTGTGCATGCCAATGAATGCCACCGCATAGGTATCCGCGGCAAGGGAGAAGACTAGGGTAGACTCAATATTAGAAGTAGCCAAAGCGGCATCGCGACAAATTTGTAGAGACAGGTTCACTGTGTCTCGAGTCAGGATATTGGTGTCTTCGATCTGAGTCTCCGCGGTGGTAATTGACTTGTACGCCAATAAAGGACGATGGACGAGAATTCTGGCATTTTCGTAGGCAAGTTTTAGGGCCAGAGCCTGCAGCTGATAAATATGAGCCTCGAACCTGGGACCGGAAGCACCAATATCCTGGTCCATCTCATCCATGGAGGTGTAAGTTGTGGTTTCAGCATCACTGAGCTGCAGCACATCAGGTATCTCGGCACTCCATTTTTGCAAGCGAGTGTCAAGGTTCGAAACTTTGCGAACAAGATTCTGAAGACCGGAAGGGCCACCCGACTTGCTTTGCTGACTCTTGCCCTTCAAGGATCCCAGTCCATACAGATCGGTAAGAATGTCATTGATGATGACGGAGAGCTTGGACATCAAATACTTGTATGAGAGGAGAGTTGCTGGACACTGGCGTGTAGCATCAAACGGCGTAGGCGAGTGGCCGGTAACAGACTTGGCCGACGGGTCCAGGAACTCCACGTCACAATCCGAGTCTTTGATACTATGCGGATAGCCATAGGACATGGAGCAAAATGTCTCGATCTCGTAAATAGCCCACCAGCAACGTTTCCGCGTCTCATTCTGTCGATTATTCTCGGGTGTCATTGCTCCTGTTTGGGGCAGTTTGCGGTGCAGATTCAAAGCTTGGGCAATACGCAGTCCACAACCACAAACCGGCCATGCCAGCTCTGGGTTGCCATGGTACAGATAGTAAGTTCCTAACAGAACACAAGTTTGTACTGCCTCTAGAGACCCCAGAGAAACAATGTCGAGTATCTTCGCTCGGGTGGTTGACAGAATTCTTTCTTCGAGGTCAACAGGGGAGACACCGTGAGCCTTCAGTAGATTCTCTCTGTGTTTGCCCACATAATGTAATGCAATGGCAATGACAACAAGGAAAGTACTGATAAATCCAGGGTTTGGACAGCACTCTATCAGCTGTTCCCTTGGCAAGTCGTACATCTGCTGCCACGTTTGCCGGAAATCATCTTGATGAAAGATGAGCATGAACCAGTGAATCCGATCAAAGTAAGTATCCACCAGTAGATTTGCAACCTCGCGGGACGGAAACAGCGAGACCAGCTCTGCTATTGCCGATCGTGGCCCTTGCAGCCAAGGATGTGATGGATGGGGCCTTGTGAGCCTCCTCTCAGCGGAACGTGAGATACTCGGTATTGGGCTCGCTGATCGATTTTGTATTTGACCACCAGGTAAAGCAGTGACCGACGATGTATCAGTGGTAGTAGAACTATGCAAATGGAATGCCTGGTTGAAGGTTAGTAAAGTGTCAGCCGTGCAATATCGCATTTACTTGCCCTTTCCACTAGTGACATGGTAGAACTAGACCAGCGCGGCTTGGAGCTGCCAACATCATCAGAGTTCTCAGTTCCTGGTGTTCGCTTGCGTTTGGAGGTTTTCTTGTTCTTTTCATTATTCGAAGGTGTTTCAATCACTCGCCATTGGTCTATCGTTTGGCAGTCGATCCCAGCACGGACGCACAACGTGCAGGGGCGTTTGATGTCGCACTATAAAGGTCAGCGAAGGTTGACTAGAGATGGAGGATTATGTTTACTTTGAGCTTCTGTCGGCGGCATCTCTGACATGCACTGCCCACTTTTGATCGTTTCGCCTGGGGCGCCATAGTGAATGGTAAGTTGTGGTGAGCGAGTTGTTCGGAGAAGCAGGAATAATGGCTTGAAATGGTAAGTTTTCCGGTGGAACGGATGACAAAGCTCCAATACAACGGGACCTGACGCCACTTCTCACACTTTTATGGACATTTAGGGTACAATTGATAGATTAAAACACGGTAATCATTAAGCAGCTTCAATTTGGATAGGCAATGGAGATCGATGATTCGAAGAAAGTTCTGTAATAGTCTGTTCCCGTGGAAGGATGGAAGTATAGGGAGATGACCAAAGAGGAAATGATTCCACCGGATGGAATTGGGACTCTGAACAACAACTATAAAAAGGACATGCAATCTCATCCAAACCGAGACACCAACCAAGCCATCAGACCTTATTCAGGTTCATTCATACTTTATACTACCATGTCTTCCAACCACACCATTTCCGTGACGCTGTCACAGCTCGCCAAGATGATCGACCACTCGCTGCTCCACCCTACCATGACCGACGCCGACGTCCTAGCGGGACTCAAAATCGCCAGAGAAAACAACGTAGCCACAGCCTGCGTGAAACCATATCACATCCCCTTGGCCATCAAGGAGCTAGCAGGCACCGATGTCCAGGTGTGCCCCGTGATCGGATTCCCCCACGGCAACAGCACCACCGAGATCAAAGTCCAAGAAGCTACTGCTGCCGCCGAGGCTGGCGGTCGCGAAATCGATATGGTCGTCAACATTGGCAAAGTCCTCGGCGGAGACTGGGAGTACGTCACGCGAGAGATTGACGAGATCAACCGTGCGGTTGTACGTCACGGCGCCATTCTCAAGGTCATCTTCGAGAACGACTATCTGCAGCCTAAGCACATCATCCGTCTCTGCGAGATCTGTACCGAGCTTGGCGTGGCCTTCGTCAAGACCTCGACCGGGTATGGATTTGTCAAGCAAGCCGATGGATCGTACAATTACCTCGGTGCGACGGTGTCAGATCTCAAGCTCATGCGCCAGCACTCAGGGTCCAAGGTACAGATTAAGGCGGCTGGTGGTGTTCGCACACTCGATGATTTGCTGCATGCCATGAGTCTGGGCGTAACTCGCATTGGGGCTACGGCGACGGTGGCCATATTGGAAGAAGCCAAGAAGCGTGGGATTAGCAATAAGCCGACGACAGTTAGCTTCAAGCCTATGCAAGAGAAGGCGGGCGGATATTGAAGGGAGATTACCCGAATGTGCGGTGGAAACGGAGATGTAAATACTGAATCTTAGGTAGAAGTCAAGATACTGTTGTGGTTAAGCGATCCATGAATGGCTGGCTGTATTTGTCTGCTATGTTGAAAGATAGGTTGTAAACTGTGTTGAGATTCCGCTGCTCTAGGTTTTGTTCTGTAGATGTTGTGAGATATATACATTGCCGAGAAGGCAGTCTTTCCAAGACCAAGTCCACAAAATCTACATCGAAGAGCAAAACTAGGCAATCCAATACCGAATACTACCTAGATACCTATGAATTCCATTAAATGCTCAAGAATCCTCGTCAATGCCACTAAGCAGCGGTATCTCGACACCAGCGATGGAACTAGCATTACCAGCTCATGTACGGAGTACATTGGCAGTTCAAAAGTCTGAAACCAGAGACCAAGAAAAAAAAGGCCAGTCTAGATATGCCTCGACTTTATGTTTTCACCGGATCTAAATGTCCTTTGAACCCTCTTTCTAGATATCCCGGGCATTTTTTGTTCAACTTGCCTTTTAAAGTATAGCTGATGAGATGGTTTTATGGAACACCCCTGTACGTTGGACCCACCAGTTCATTTCATGGGCAAACTAAAAGACAGCTAGGGCCAGCCAGTCGAGACAGAGATTCGATGAAGAAACAGTGACTCTGATCTTGTAGCCTTCTTAAAACTTATAAAACCACCCATCTCCTGTCATCTTTTAAGGTTAAGATCTATTTGTTCTCGTAGCTGCCCCCTTGAAGCTCGAGGCCATGCAGCAACTCCACTCGGCCCGTGCCCCCAGAAAGGGCCCTAAAACGTTAGTGAAGATTTAATTCGAATAAATTAATGTCCGAAAGAATCATAATTGACCAGTCCAAAAAAGAGAGGTTCGCCAGATTCCTTGGATCGCCTGGAATGATCCGCCCGGTTAGCGTGGAATGAAGCTCCTCCATGTTTATGTTTTCCCCTCTCTCACTACGACTGGGATTTTCCTCGGGAGCTCCAACTTCAGCTTCACTCTCTTCATTTCCTCCAGCTTTGGATCGCTTCAGATCTTCCACTCATTCTCAGCCTCAGCCCTTGGTGATCACCGAGCCCAACACACCACCCCCCGCCCTCATTCGTCATTCTCTCTCTCTCGTCTTGCCTCCCCCTCTCCTTCTCTCCTCCACTTACTCCATCAGATCAAACATCTCGATCTACAACCCCCCCGCTCACAAATGCGCTCGACCTGAAATGCTAAGACCCCGCGCACTCAGGGGACTCTGACTCTTCGCCCGTTCAGTTCCCCCGAGGTGATGGCCACCACCGCGCCCCTCAGCGCGAAATCCAAACTCGCCGGCCCTGGCGCCTCCTTGAAAATCACCCCGTCCAATTCTCCCATCCTCCGACCTGGAGCTCGCACTCCAAGCAAATCCTCACATCAATCGACCTTGTCCCTCCAGACCGTGCTGGGAACCACCACCACAACCCCCAATGGCTTCTCCAGTCACGATCAGAGCAAGAGCTTTGCGCTGTGCGCTGGCTCTGCAGCAGTCCTCGCCGAACTCGATGACGATGGAAACCTCTCCCAGCGCTTCTTCCGAGCTCGCCCCTCGGCAACGAGCGTGAACCCCACGACCACATCTTTCTACAGTCAATCTACTCCTCCCGCAACTCCCGACCCCCGATCCCGATCCCTCTCACACATTCGCTCAAACCCGCATCTGAACGTCCCCAATGGATCGCCATCTAATGAAGCTGCTGACAGCGGCAGTCCTCGTGCCTGGTCGTCCAGAGAAAGAATCAAAGCAGTGACTAGCGTCTCCATCAGCCCCAATGGTCGTTTCCTGGCCGTGGGAGAGACTGGATATAACCCCCGCGTCCTTATATTCTCCACCGCTCGAGACGCTTTACCCGATGTTCCCCTTTCCATCCTCAGCGAGCACACGTTCGGAGTTTGTAGCCTTGCGTTCAGCCCGGACTCGCAATACTTGGCAACTCTGGGCAACCCGAACGATGGGTTCCTCTTCATCTGGTCTATCAACCTCAAGAATGGATCTGCAAGGCTCCATTCGACCAATAAATGCACTTCCTTCGTCCGCGAAATGTGCTGGGTGGGCCAATCATTGGTCACGATTGGTGTTCGCCATGTCAAAGTATGGCGACTCCCGACTGCCAGACCGGTCTCTCCTACAAAGTCCAGGTTGACTGTAGATGGGGCCCCATCGCCAAATCCTGCTCCGAAAGCCTTGTCTGGTAGAAATTGCCTTTTGGGACAGCTGAATGATCATACATTCAGCTGTATCAGCAGCATTTCTGACCAAGAGGCCGTGGCGGGTACCGAATCGGGAGCTGTATGCCTCCTTGATGATCGCGAAGGGTCCCAGAGATTCTCTTTGGTCACGCAAGTTGGATTTGCCGTCACATCACTGACTGTGGATTTCGATCGAGAGTCGGTATGGTTGGGTGGACGCGGAAGGAGAATGCAACGATTCTCTTTCGAATTTCTACGAACGCCCTCTATATCTTCTCCTATGTCTCCTGCCAGGTTAGAGAAGGTTCTCGTGGATAAGAAGACAAAAGCACCTGCCATCACCTGTATGGGCTCGCTGTCTTCACACCTGGTCACAGTAGAAGCAACCAGGGAGATCCACATCTACCCCATCGAGAGTTTACCTGATGAGAGCGAGCAAGAGCCTGGGGAGACCTCTATGCCAGCGCACCGAGATCCAGTTCTGGGCATTCGTCCGCTGAAAGGACCCAACAGATTCTCTGCAGACTTTTTCTCGTGGTCTCGAAATGGCTCAGTCAATTTCTGGGATGCACGCGGCAAATGCCTTGATTCGAAGACGGTGACGGTGGAGCAGAGCGTGGCAGGGGAGGAAGATGTAGCCAACGAGCTGAAAGTTCTCAGAGCTGCAGGCAATGCAGACTGGTTTGTCGCTGGTGATAAATTCGGTGTTCTGAGGTTAGCCTTTCCTCCTTACCTTCCGACAAGCCTCAAAAGCTAACGCACTTAATTCAGGGTTTACTGGGGCGAAGAATGGGAGTGCATTGACGAGGCTCGTGCTCATGGAGGCGAGATTACCGATATTGCCATTCAGAAAACAGAAGGTTCCTGGTTGGTAGCTAGTTCTGGCCGAGATCGCATGGTGCAGCTCTTCCAGAGGACAGAATCAACCTTGCAGCTGGTACAAACCATGGATGATCACGTTGGCGCAGTGGGACAGATCATGTTCCTGAATGATGGCGAGAAATTGCTATCAAGCTCCGGGGATCGCACGATCCTGATCCGTCAGCGTGCGACCAGAGACGAAGATGGTGCAACCTCCATTGCATATCTCATCACCAAAGTCATTACTATGAAGGCCTCTCCGGTATCCATGGCTCTTTGTCCCGATGACTCCAACGTGCTTTATGTCTCAACCATGGACCGCTGTATTTTCAAATTCGACATTCCATCTGGACGACAACTGCACTCTTTCCGGGCATCAGACTCCGAAGCAAATGATGCAGTGATCATGAGCTCTTTGACCGTCACCACCGAGATCCCAGGCCAAAGCCCTAAGCTCCTGATTGGAGTCTCCAGCACCGACAAGTCTATCCGAGTATACGACTTGGAGAAAGATCATTTGCTCACGGGAGAATTCGGTCACACCGAGGGAGTCAGCCATGTGCTGCTCCTTGAACACTGCCAAGAATCCGATGACGGTCCAACAACCAAGCGAAGTCTGATTTCGGCCGGCATGGACGGTATACTGATGATCTGGAATCTCTGCGTGCAACCGAATCTTCCTCCAGAGCTTGCTCAAAATGGACGAGACGACGAGGGCGGTCCGGTCAAAGAATCAACTGCAGCCAAGCCTCCACTCCGGAAAGTCCTTTCTCGGAGTGAACTAGCTGGTTTCCAGCGACCCGACAACCCCAGTCCCCTTGGAACGCCGACTCCTGTCCGTGAACTCTCCCCGACACTGATGAGGAAAATGTCTAAACTATCCCTGACCCCGTCCACGTTGAAGCACAACTCTCTCGCCGAAACCCCATCTCCTCCGAACCGCCGCTCCCCAATCTCCTTCACCCCAACAGATCAAAACCGAAGATCCCCATCCCCCGTCAGCCCTCGAACAAAGTCATACTCCTCCGCATCCAAAAAGCCCAGCAGCGCAAAACCCACTAATCGCCGTACCTCAATGGACTTCCGAACACGCACCAAAACATCCACCCGAAGCGAATTCGGAAGCCTAGAAATGTCCACCGAACAGCTCTGTCGCACTCTCCGAACCTATCGCAAGAAACTCAACGGCTCGACAAAGCACCTCCACGCACAAAAGGAGCTCGAGCGAGAGCTTAATCTCACCTTGCGGGCGGTCGGCACCCGGTTCCAGAATAGCGACGAAAGCGCCGAGACAGAGACGGATAGTAGTGGCAAGGATATGGATCGGAAGCCGAGCTATTCGTCTATTTCTTCTCGGTCTTCGCATCTTCCTCGTCATATGCCATCAACCCCCTTGCTGCGGCATAAGGGGATGCGACAGGTCTCGAGGAGTCGCTCTTACGATGCCAATGGTGATGAATGATCCGATCCATCTTTACCTATACATGCCATCTCTACATTCTTTCTATTGCCCTTTTATTCTTCCTCTAAGTTCTTGCATCCCTTCATCCGGGCTCATGGAGTGGGGAGACTTTCTCTCGTTCTTGATTTTTTTTTCTTCCCTTCTATTAGCGTAATTTGTTTTCTCTTCTGATGATACCCACATTATTACCTCCGCTTTGGCTATGTCTCCAGAGCTTATATTTACAATTTAGACTCTAATTTTCATTTCTTATTTGGATTACTTGGCTTGAACAAATTGATATTCAAGAGTACCACTGCTGGTTTCTAGTACTGCATGATACATTCCTTTATTCTCTTCTCCATCCCTTGCATAACCACACACTAAGTATAATATAAAGCTATCCAATGCCCGACCTAGAATAATGCCTTCAACCTCGATTGAAACAAGGACACCAGCTCCTCTCCCTCGGGAGTGCCCATCGACTCTGCGAGCAGAACAGCCTTCCGAGCCCAGCGCAGACAAGCTCTGTCATTCTCTGCTGAATAAAAGTCCATGGCCTGGTTGAATGAGGATGTCGCGAGGTATCTAAGCTCTGAGATTGGATACGCGAGTTGGTCTGTTTCTGGTAGCGAAGATTCTCCCGCAGTTAGATCGCCATCTCGGCATTCCTTGTATGGATCAGACACACCGCTAGCGGCTTTGAGGACTTCATCAATGACTGATTCGGCCATGTCGTGATAGGCGTGTGGCCATTCCTGGGATAGATCAGGGAGCTGCGTGGTTCTTTCTGATTGTGCTGTGGCGAGGGCAAATGTGAAAAGATGATGGTAATAGGGTGAAAGATGATCTAAATCGATCGGGATGCCTGTCCCAGCTCCGCGGATGATTTCCAGAATTGTCTATTCCAGGAAGTTAGCACCACTAGTATAACCGGAGTACTCTGCGCGAACATACATTAAGAAAAACAGCTCTGTGCGCGTCGGGCATTTCAAAGCTAAGAATACAGTTGATGAAATGATCGAAAAGGGTTGCATCATAAATATCCTCGCTGTCACAGAGTATCGGGGCCACAGCGCTCCACTGTTTCAGAGCAACAGCGGCTTCGAATTCATTTGCGGAGAGGTTGCGAAGAGTGTCCGTATCCAGTGGGTGACACTCTGAGTCCAGTGGTACCTGGTCTCGAATTGAGCGGATTGCTGTGTTGATTTTTGTGTATTGTTCAAGCTACGAGATATCAGTGTTGTACTCAAGGTGAGGTGCAGTGTTTGAACATACCTTGATCTGTGGATCGGTCTGAGATTGAACGCAAAAGACACGTATACTGACTTCGAGATACAGGAATTGGTAAACAATGTAACCGAGTTCAGGTGAGGGCATCTTTTTCTCTGTTCTCCTTTCTTGGCGGTTCGAAAGCATGAATTTGTGATTCTCGGTTTGGATAGACTGAGCTCTTTGCCTTGAAAGATCGATGATCTGGGATTATAGCACAATGTTAGTAGCGTCCATCTTCAGCATGGCAATTTGTCGTGAGCGAACCTCTTTCGTGGTTTCCAGTGCTTCCCTGGCACTTTCTGGCGTGAATGTGCTGAAGATATGCAAGGTCAAGTTATAAGAATCCGTACAAACGGACTCTAACTCGTGAATCGAAAAGTCTGAGTCCGTTGTGTTGAGTCCTCGCTTGGCCCATTTTAGGACTGCTATAATCAGCATCGATTCCAGGAAGAAGGAGAGTAGGTTGCAACTAACCTGAATATGCCAAGTGAAATATATCGTCCTCGGTCGAAGTCTGTCCTCTTTCCAGTTCGGCAGATAGTATTGAAAGCGGGAAAAAATATGAATCTGCCATTGAAAGTGGCTTGGCAGAGTCGGATCCGACTTCCTCAACAGTAAATCCCTCTTGAGTGCTCTCCAGATTGCTTGTGAGAGTCATGAACTCTTGAACGCAGTCGATCACTACTTTTGAGTTGTTCATTCTTCCTGCCTCTACCGCCCAGCTTCGAAGGAAGTTCAATTGATCGGAATGAGATGTATGGCTTGACAATCCACAGAGGTATGTCTTCACTGGCAGCCTCGTTAGCAATACTCTCTGAACTTAAGAAACCCGAGTTATTTACAGTTGATATCCTTCCCATCGTGCAGTGCAAGTTTGAACGCAAGGCATTGGATTTCGGGGTCAGACTTGAAAATGCCATTTTCAGCATAAATGTGGTCCAAAATCTGCCGAGCCAAAGCCACGCTGTTGTTATCGGAGCAAAATGTAGCCAGTCTTCTTTTTTGGCCGTTAGAATCGCAGCATAAGCCCTGGAATTAACGTGTACGTACTTTTGAAGACTGAAACTGACAGATTTGTGGCAGTCTTTGAAGATTGCTGCACCCAAGGTGAGGTGGCACCAGTTCTCAGCGATGTGCCGATGAGAAGGGGTCCTCGGATCCCCATACATGTTCAGAAGGATCTGGCACATCATGAGTGGCATGTTGAAGTGAAACCATTGCTGGGTCTTACCGTGAAGAATACATGGGTCGCTTCCTGGCTCACACTCTCGAAGCCACGGGCTTCAAGACAGGCCAATGCATCCTTCATGACAACTGTGCTTAACTCGTGGGGAAATTCGAGCTCGCATGACATGGAATTGACCATCAACGGCAGTCGAAGGAAGCATTCTTCTACCCATTCGGGCTTGCCGTATGGCAGAGATTTCAGAAGCGACTGGTACATCTCGAAAGCAAGGCCGATACTGGCTGGGGTCAGCTGTTTAAATTCACATAATATGGACCGATTTTTTCCAACGCACCTTAGGCGCATCGAATATTTGATATACCCGAGCACTCTGTGAAAGTTCAGCAATCACGACTCGGTGATTGTATTTCAACAACGCTTACACATTCAGATATTCCTCCGTATGATCAAGTCCTACAACTATAGCCCCCAAGACTGGAATCCTGTTAACAGCAAGACTTCCACAACGATCAGGAGCATTACCTTCAAAGAATTGGCCACTGTCTGGTTTCTCCATTCGCCGAATGATCTCAAGCTCGAGGAGTTGCACTACAGAATCTCCCCCGTATTTCTGAAGTAGCTGTGAGTCATGACTTTGAACCACTTAAACAATCTGAAAGTCAATGGTACTCACGGTCTTCAGTGCAGTCATCTGCTCCTCGAGCTTTTCCGCTGCCTCGGGGGTGTCAGTCCTCATATAGGCCCATGCTGTAGGTTGTTAACTAATTTCTTTGCCTTCCGCTATCTGCCCACATGACTGACTAAGAGCATGCCGAACATGCAAGTGGAAGTTTCCTGAATTCAATCCCTGGTCTTTCGGGTTCTCTTGTAACTGGTCCAGCGCCACCTCGAGCCATTTCAGTGCAGCATCGTATTGGCCAGCCTCCACTGCACTCCGACCAATGCACAAGCATTCCCCAACAATAACAGATCGATTCTTGAGTTTAGACCTTAGTGGAACCTTTGTGAAAAGGTGATCAGCAATATCAGGTCGACCCTGTTGCCAAGCCTAGAAGTCTGATTAGTGGACATACACACTGGAAGACAACCCCGAGCCGTACTAAGTGTACACGGAGCATGTAGTATTCAGCCGATATAGAGTCCATCTGACTCTGATCAATGGCTGAGGCGAGTCCTTCCAGTAAATCGAGTCTTTTTGCTCCGACTTTGAGTAGTTTGAGAGCGTAGTCAAGTGCGGTAGTGTCTGTCACATTCATTAGTTGAGATTCGCGCATATGGACGGAACTGACGTGCCCATGCAAACCCGAGCTGCTTCAAAAGCTAACTCCAGAATTCTGATATGACCTGAATAGTGGGTTAGTTACCTGTTTCCTTGTCGTACTATCTTGTCTGGTTGTCAAAATACTTGGAGCGTTGAATGGCGACGCAAGGTCCAGTAGTGCGACAGTCACGAGCAACACTGTCAATCCTTATCAGACTCCCTTTCTAAGGGTTATACACAGTCAAGGCATACTTCTGCTGTTCATTGCCATTATCTGCTTATCATGCTGGCTTGCTTCCATCACCTGGGTGCGACAATCATTCCATAGTTCTGTCCCCACCGAGTCCAATTTTGATCGATCCGAGGCTGATAGTTTCGAGAGATTGGTGACTCTCGCAATATGTTCTTCGATGGTGTGAATCTTGTCCTCAATGGAAATCTTGGAAGCATTGGCCGGGGTTCTGATCTGCCGTGCTGAGACGACCAGGGCGGTTAATTCGTCTGTCAAAGCACCAGCTGCGGAAGACACCATGATGGCAGGCCTGTGAGATGGAATCGGACGGGTTACAGAGAAACAAAAGCGTTGAGATGATAGAATTGAACTGAAGTGGATGTAGAGGAGGTTGTGAAGTGTTCAGGTGGTCGAGGATAGTGAGGGTTCCAGAAAGAGGTCACCTGGTCACCTGGTCACCTACACAATTTCTAGCACGCTTACGACATTGGAAATCTACGGACTCAAGAACAATAGTTCTTCATATTGATCAACGGCCGGCCATCATAGACCACGGACTTTATACATTTTCAGACTAAAGGATACAAGCCTCCAGACTCGGGGAATCAAAATTCAAAAACATGAAAGAGGCGCGAACTGACGAAACAAGGGGAAGCCCGCATTTTTTTACCCAATCCATACAAAACCGAAACGAAGCCTGGAAAAATGAAAACATCCTAGAACAACGACTACTTGTGTACACGATGCAAGGGTAGGAAGTTTCCAACGATCAGAGATGGGCTATTGTGGACCACATTAGTTTTTGGTTCATCGCGAATCCCAAGTTCGAGGACGCTTACATATTGTGGTTGTCACGTCGGATGGTGAATGAGAAACAGCATGGAATACCCTCGCCCGTCGGGTTACTCGGGCTCTTCAGGGTACAGCTGGTGAGCATGGCTTTCTGGGTGTTGTCGAAAGCAATGGCGCCAAACTTCTCCCAGTAGCTCACGAGTTGATCCTCGACGAAGAACTCATGGATCGCAAGTTTGCCCTTTAGAAACATCAGCAAAGTTCAAAAATATGGGATCAGGGAAATCTCTCACATCACGCAAACTCTCTATAGGTACGTCGATCAGTTGTGCCATCTCATTGTTACCACGGAAGATCTCGCCTGTACGTCGCCAGCAGCAGGCCGGAATGGCCATACTGGCGAACACACGGTCATACTCCATCAGACTCCGCTCAAACCACATCTCCACAAGGATAAGCTCAATATCCGTCAGGCTCTGCATGCGTTCCCGGAACTTGGGTCGGAATTTGTCAAGTTGTCGAAGAATTTTCTGCCGAGATGCTTGGTGCATGTTCTTTTCCATGTACTGGTTGAGCCTGGCATAGCCTTTTACGTAGTTGAACGGCTTCAATAATCCTGCATCGTACTTGGCTTTCAGAAGCTTGTTCATGCGCTCCTCTGGTGGGTCTGATCCGGACGGATCTGCTGCGGTCATGTAATATGTCTCGCGAGCCTTGTCATTACCCACTGTGGAAGTTGGGCGCAGAATGGAGTCTCCCTGTGACTCTTGACTCTGCGCCGCAGGCGGAAGCTGCGCCGGCGGGGGCAGACCGTTTGCGACACCAACTGTGTTCATAGAGTTCATGAGAGTCGGATCGGAGTAGATGCCCTGCATACTCTGGTCTTGGAACAGTGCGCCGTCGTCCAGCAGACTATTACTGAGGAAATCTCCCAGCAAGTTGTACTCATTCGTGACCTCCGGCGCATTGAACATGTATGAAGGATGGAGCGAATGCATGTCTTGAAATTGATTTTGGCCGCCCAGCCAGTCGTTGTACGCCATCACTAAGATCCCGCGTCAGTCGGTTCTCGAAGAATCCCCAGAAGTCTAACCCCGCTCTGCACTCATGCTGCTGAGGGTGGGTGTCAATACCTTGACCGGAGGAGGCAATACTCGGAGGCTGTACCGAAGAAGGCGCTATTCCGATCGTACCGTCCGCGAGGATCTGCTGACCCGCGGGATCTGGAATATCAACACTCCCTCGCATACCTTGAACGTTGGTCACCTCATTGTTGGACGAGCCTTCCTCGTCCGCCGCGGAATGCTCTTGATCTCTGCGTTTTGTGGGTTCCCGGGGCTCATCATGACACAGATGGCCGATATTGCGTTTTATACAACGAGTACAAGGCCGTTCCTACGCGCATTGAAGCTGGTCAGCAGGTACATTTCTCTGGGTTGTGACCGGCGTTGGCAGCCGGTTTCTTGGGTGATATGAAGGGTTGGAGGAGCTGAGATGGGAGGGGAACGTCGTACCGAATCGCAAGTCATATGCTGTCCCACACAACCAAGGGATCTCTGTTAGCAAAGCGATTTCTTCAAATAGATTCGCCGTACAAATATAAAGGCGACCATCTGTGGTGGCAGAGTCCTTCAAGGACTGTCGCGAAGCACGCCCGAATGCGCGCGAGGATTAGCGAACTGGGGAGCTTACCGAACGTCGACAATAGACACAGGCTGCAAATATGAATCACACATCAGTAAAATAAACTAGTCAATCGCCATGCGAACCAGGCTCCAAAGGTTTGCGCCCGTAGATCCCAGTCGCATACCGCGCGAACGGCACCTTACCGTGATTCACCTTGCGGCGCTTCTTGGGACTGGAATGAATTCCTGTCCCGGAGGTTTCGGACTTGACTGCAGATGCTGCCGGCGAGTCTTTTGCCCGCGCATCCTTGCCTGCGTCTCCTGTGGCCTTGGGCTTGGCAACGGCAGCGCTCTTGTCGGACATTGTGCCCGATCCCGCCGCGGATTTCTCAGTCATTGTAAAGTTCAGGAATCACCAGGACTGGGCGATATGGCTGCCTGCAGACATCGACCGCAGTCCAAAGAGCAGAGGCGAATGAAGCAATGTCGTTGTGGGGGGGTTGAAGGTGGTTTAGGATGTCGAAGTTCTGAGGGCGCGAAAGCGGAGTCATGCCGGGCAAGTCAGCGACCCCTCCGAACTTCTCCGCATGTGCAGAGTCCGCTTTGTCTTGGGGGTTCCCCGAGCTTTTTCAGCAGTACCGAGTCGCGGGGACACACCTCGGTATAGTTCCAGGCCGTACCATCTTGCTGACACTTCAGTGCAGTGTTTAGTTAATGATTTACATATACTACAGGATTTCCATGTGTATGAGCGATTTTTAAACCATGTCCTCATTGTAGAATTTTCCGCCTTATTGGGCACCGGGACGTCCCTGTAATGCCCTTCACGCTTGTGACGCGAATCCCAACAATAGAATCCATCAAATCAGACAGGAGTCGCATGCTCGGTCCGGCATATACCCTCTGTGTCCTGGTCAGATATGCCGAATCTCGTACTTTCCCTGTCTGCCGCCATACACTTCATCCTTCACGTGTGATTGAACGCTGGTCTCGGTGCGTGGTAAGCACCATAGTACCGGCAGTGCCTGATGGAGAGATCGGCATCTGAGCACACGACAGGGATATCCAGGGCAGAATCGGATGGTCATAGTCAGGCCATGAATTCCTCGCGGCTGTGGAGTGATTCAAATCCCATTGACCCTTCCGGAGCCCTGCATCTACGAACATTTGCCATGTCAGTCGCCCAAAACGGGGCTTGTAATCTGCATGTTGAAGTCTGTCGGATACTCCTTCAATCGTTCGGGGTAGTGTACAAGTCTAATGCGGCTTGCGACCGGGTGATTGCTTCTCCGAGTCCCGCCAGCGTTGCAGTATTACTCTGCATGGATTGAAGGTGGCCATGCAGCTGCTTCATCAGGCCCCGAATCTCTGGGTCGTCGTCCAGCTACATTGATCGCAAAGGTTAGAGCAGGGGTTTCCGTTAGAAACAAATGTTTGAAAATCATACCTCATCCAAGGTTATTTGACTCTTCTTGGTGTTCACAAGTGTAAACTCAGCGCCTCCTTGGCGATGGGCTTGAGGCAGGTCGTCAAGCCGGCGCAAGACGGGATGTTCCTGTTGAGAGAATGTCAGAAATAAAGCAAACGGTGATTGGCGTCCATCGATCCTGCAGGGCCTTTGCGCCTACATTTTTCATCTGCCTCTTCCTCTCGGTCTCCGCTCGCTTCGCATTCCTTTCCATTTCTTGCAGTGACTGTTTCTCCTCGGCGAGTAGTGCCTCCTCTTTCGCAATTTCCGCACTCAGGAGATCGGCGCTATCATTTATCGTGGCCAAATTCGCTTCTAGGGTACGCTGCATCTGGTCAGCACTCCTCGGCGGCTCGTCGTCGATGGGGGACGTACATGTTCGTCGAGCGCAGACTCGTAGTCAAAGTTAGAGTCCTTTGTGATGGGCGGGAATGGCATTCGAGGGAGGCGTCTCCCAAGACTATGAGTTCATATTCGAGTCAGCAAGTGGGTAACTGACAAGCGGCGACTGTGTTGCCGGTTCGCCGACAGTGCAGCGTGATAGGGAGGATGGAAACATACTTGTTCACCACAGCGCGAACCGCACTCTGCGCCTCGATGCGCTTTCGCTCATTCTGTTGGCGCACTATCACTGGGCGCTCGAGCGAGTGGAACAAGTCCCGGACCTTATCCTGGACAGGCTCCGGCAGAGTGGTCCATTTCGTCTTGATGGTTTTCTCAGGGATGCGGCGCACAGTCGGTTTCAGGTATGCGTAGCGCTTGCGAGCGTCATTTTCTGGGTTGCTGGTCTCCTCGTTGCCGGAGCGCTTGCGTTTGGGGGGCATGATGGGATTGGGGCGAGTGGTGTTGTGGTGTTGACCATGTGAAGTCGAGGCTGGCTAGACGCGTCGCCCAAAACAGAGCGGTGGGGCCTGTGAGATCGGCAGCTAGTGCTGCCCCTCAAATTTACCTTGTTCATACTTGCGCCGCACCCCACGCCTTAAGAGATCCTGATATCTGCAGGACATCTAGCAGAGGGCCTACACATGAGAAAGTCGCCAAGGCTTGTATGAACACGATCTATAACCTGGGATTGGTCTGTTCTAACCCTGGGGTCTTATATAATTCTCAGCAGGTCCCCCTCGATCTAGCGCAACCCACGTAGCCGAAACCAGTCGAAGCTTACATGGTATCTTTATACTAAAAAGGATTTAAAGGTGCGAACTCATAGTAGAAAAGCGCGAGTACCAGCGATGATGGCAACTCGGCATTGAGATGTAGCATTCATGCTGCGAGATATGAACGTAGCACATGTGGATTTCCCCCAGATGCGAAAATATGTGAAGGATCTTCGAGCAGAGAAAATGAATCGGAGAAAGGTTGACAGAGACAGAGAGGCAAGAATGTACACCACAACAAGAAAACAAATGCCTCCCCCGTGTACAAAGAAAAATTGGTATCATATGAAGAACGAACGCCCACTCGCCAGTCTCCAGTGGAAGACTGAAGCCACCGACCCGCTGAACCGCTTGGAGTGCCAGAGAGAAAACGACAAATAAGTCATGATCACCCGGGGAATCAATGACAAAAGAACAAAGGAACACATCATGGTCACATCACAAAGGCATTCATCTCATCTCATCGCGGCATTACTAGGCCATTGATCGCTTTCATGTCCGTCAACTGACTCTGCAGGATTTCATTGCCACGGAGGAGGTCCTCCAGCCAGTCTGCGGCCTGGGTGAGCATGGCACTTTTACTGAAGCCACCACCTCGGAGGCCGGGGACTAGTGAGCAGAGATCATCGAAGCCTTGACGGATGAGGTTGCGCCGTTTTTGCTCCGAAAGAATGTGATTAGTCCGCTTTTGCTCTTCGGAGAGGTTCTCTCGGGGGGCTTTGCTAGTTGGGGTGACTCTTGCTTTTCGGGATGTGTCTGTTGACGCACGTCGGCCCTTGGCGATGCTGGGGGTTCGTGATTTTCGTGATAGCGACCGTGAATCATCATCATCAGAGTACTGATCACCGTTCGTCTTGACAGTACGCTGTTTCTTGCGGGGCTGGGCGCTATCATCCTCGTCGGCCTGACGGAAGGCAGTGCGTTGACCATAAGCGCCAGCAATACGTTCAGGGCTGGGAGCCCGAGTGTTGGCTGCGCTGGTCTGAGGCTCGAAGCAGTCAAGATGATCTAGCAGTTCCCTGGTGCGAGTCTCCATGTCGGGCTGGTCAGGGGGTGCCACATAGCCTTGATCCATGAAACCGCCGTCTGAACCCCAGTGAAGTCCGCGTGTTTTGCGAGAGGGATGTTGGTCTTCCGGAATAGGGTCTCGCACGTCAAAGAGCATTTCAGAAGTGTGAAACCCGGTGGGGATCCGAGGGCGTGATGGCGAGGAGCTGGATGCTTGTGCGGGGGCCATGTGCTGGGAATTGCGACGATCGTGAGCACCATTCACATTCAGCGGTTGACCGACGAACGCATGCTGGTGGGGTAATGGGGAACCGAGATCGGTGCTATTCATATGGTTTTGATACAGCATCGAGGCCGCCGCATAGATGTCAGGACCAGCAGCGCTGCTATTCATCAGGTTCATTTTGAGATTTTGTGGTTGAAAAGAAGGTTGGGACAGTGACGTTGTTGATCCCTCAAAGGTAGGTGGAAGTTCGTCAGTCCAGTCGAAGTTCAGACCGGAAGGTTTGTTTTGCGGACCCCGGAGCCAGAAATCGTTCGTAAAGTGATTAGTATTCATCGTAGTGAAGAAGTTATCGAGCATATTAGATTCGTCATCGTCAAGCAGAGGCAGCCCTGGAGGCAAGGCCGGCGCTTGTTCGAAAGGAGTGTCCATCGGGGAGAGGAAGGCGTCTAGTGACTCGTTAGTGATGACGCGGAGATAATGCGTCGCCGACGTGTGGATAACGTAGAGGCAAACTAAGACAAAGGAGACTCACAGCCAAAGGGTCCAGCGGATGGTGGAGAGGAGCGTCCGGTTTGTACTTGAGGGCCTGATCCATCCATGATCGAGAGGCCCGATTAAAGCTACAAGGACGCAACTGGAGCCAGAGGTCCCGAGTTAAGAGATGCTGCTCTGAAGGATCGAGAGCAGCGCTGACCAGGACGACAAGATCATGCCTTGGCTATCAAGTTCGGCGTCCGAGTATCGCCCGAGCTGTACAGAATCAAGTTCACCGACTCGATGTCGCGAGGTAGACGGAGCGGATTCGGGGCTCGAAATGCGAGGAATATGAGGGAAGGATAACGAATAGCTGTTATGGAATGGAATTTCAATGAGCCCAAGAGGGTGTCAAACGACAGAGGAGGAGAAACGAGAAAGGAGATGCTCAAAACTGGGGTAGTTTAGTGTTTCCTCATCGCCATCCACATTCGCATCGGCGGAGTGACCCTCGATCACATGTGAATTTTTTCTTTCTCGCAGGTCGCGTGACGTAACGGCAATACCAGAATTACCTTGAAATTACAGCCGCGCTGGCGGGCACAACTGGGTACTTTGGCAGTACTTTGCGGGCGGTTGGCAGCGGTACAAGCTACCAGCCTGGTACCAGTCCCGTACCGCCTGCCGTCTAAACTCCAGGGGAGCCGCCCCGAGGCCCTGAGAAACTCGGCATCGCGGAGAACTTGACCAGTCCGACTCGGGTCAACGTGGAGTACCCCATTCTTCTTCCTGCTTGAGAATTCACAGGTTCGAAGGGTGCCAGGTAAACTTACTCGGCGCCTTCACTCATTTTGGTCACGTCCCAAGATCCCATCCGTCTCAATCCACACCCCACTACGCCGTTGGTCTACACGCCTCTGAGGTCTGTGCTGTGGATCTTCTCTCCCCCAGCCTTGTTTCTTTGCAGTTTTGACTGAATCTCGGGGATTTAATGGCGTCCGCCAGGATTCGATCATTCCCCTGTCTGGCCCTTGGCTAACCACCCCCCGGGCCTTGTTCAGCCAGAGCCCCGCATCAACCAACGTCTGCAAATTGCTTCGACGGATGATCGGCCACGACTACAGTCCTTGTCGTGCCCCTGAACACGTCCTAACAGCTCGTTGGTCTCGGCGGGCACTTACTTCCCCTTCAGGAACCGAGGTCCAACCCCATTCGACCCTCTTACATTACCCCCCTACATAAGCTTCCCCCGTTACACAGATCCACGGTTGATCAGAGGTGAGACGCAAAAATCGATCGTGCAGCTGTCAGGGTTGCTTCCCCTCAATCCTGTCCAAAAATACAACCCAACTTGTTGGACGCCTGCAATTTGCTAGTCCCTGTGACAACGCCTTGTCTGGGCTGTCATCATTGTAGGGGGAAGAGCGAGGAGAGCTGTGATTGGGCTAGCTCTTTACTGTCCCACCCTCTAATTGTCCCGGACGTAGTCCTGGGAATCGCCGATTAGTCGCATCTCCCAAGTGTGATGCTTATTCAACCTCCCCACGGATCTGCTTAAGGAGGTTACCGGCGCGATGGAACCTGCAGTCCGGCTAAGTTTCCGTGACAAGCACTTTCGAGTCCGGGTCTTGAAGCCGTAAGTTCTACCGACCTTCTGCCGAGTCTACCGGCCGTGTCGTATTCAATGTCAGGGCGAATCCAGCGCTAATCGGCCCACGATCTGTAGCATCTTGCGTGCCTATGCCTTGGGGTATTTGTCATCGATCACACCAAAACTCGTTACCTATGTCCGACGATTGAGAAGTCAGGACTGGTCTTTCAGACAATGTGTTCAAGAGGTCAGTTGTGGACATTGGGTGCTTGAGATGATGTCACCGTCCTCCCACATGCTCAAATGGCTGCCGATATGTGGCTGCCCCGAACAGCACAGGCTGACCCTGAGACCTACAGCTTGCTCGCGTTCTCGCAGGGCCTCTACGGGTCAACAGCTTCCCAACGTTCTGCGCAACTCTCGTTGGTGGATCAACTTTGTTCCCAGTAGTACTATATCGAATCTACGCATCGATCACAACCAGCCTAGCTCAAGGTGACATCCGAATTTCCCAACGGGTGAACCGACTTGTTCGATTCGTCACTGCTTTTCTTTCAGCATGGGTCAGTTTCGACCTTTTGAACAGGAACCGGACCATCTCACGAGAAGAGTTCAAAGCCAGAAGGCTCTCGTCGGGCCAAGATGACTCTGGCAAGCAGCCGGCCAATGCCCTTGAGCGTCCACACCCTCAATTGGTCGGGCGGACGATGGATCTCACAATATTCACCGTCACGAGAGCTGTGGACGTGATAGCCTGCATGGCGTGGAGCCGTTGGGCTCGCCATCGCAAGGCCCAGAACCGCTGGACCATCGTAGAATCCTACGCTCCTGGTCTCGCTGACGCCGGAGTCTTTGCAATGAGTGCAGCGGTGGTCATGTGGGCATGGTTCTATCTCCCCGAGAGATTACCCCGAACATACGAGAAATGGATCGGGGAAGTTGCCAAAGTGGACACACGGCTGATCGAGGCCCTCCGTCGCGCGCGTCGCGGGACCTTTGTATACGGGAAGGACACTGGCCAAGCGCCCCTCATGGAATCCATGTGCAGAGACTATGGCTGGCCTGAGGAATGGGGCGATCCCTCGAAAACAATCCCAATTCCCTGCGAAATGGTGCACATGGGCTGCGGCCCTAATTGTGAGGTACACGCGCTTTCCCGCTTTGCCAGGACCTTCAAGATTGCCTGTGCGACGTACATTCCACTCCAGATCGTTCTACGCCTGCGAAAAATGAGGGATCCGGCCGTATTACGCCGGGCACTCTCCGAGGGGGCCCAGTCATCTGCCTTCCTTGCGACCTTTGTCAGTCTCTTCTACTACTCTGTCTGTTTGGCCCGGACACGGATCGGACCGAAGGTCTTCGATCAAAAGACAGTCACGCCGTTGATGTGGGACTCTGGTCTCTGTGTGGGAGCAGGATGTCTCATGTGTGGATGGAGTGTGTTGGTTGAGCAAGCACGGAAGAGACAGGAGTTGGCGCTATTTGTGGCACCCCGGGCTGCAGCCACCGTGTTGCCTCGATTGTATGAAAAAAAGGTATGTTCCAGCCTCCTCTTGCCCACTCGGCCTGTGTAACGCTCCCGTGGCCCAAGACCGTCTTTCGACCCTGAGGAGAGAAGGAGGGCATGGTCGGTTGCAGGCGCTTCAACTGTCACGAGTGCTAATGCGTTTTTCTTCCTTTTCAGTATCAACACCGCGAGCGCATTGCATTTGCGATCAGCGCCGCGATCCTCCTCACAACTCTTCGGGAAAGGCCGAGTTCAGTACGAGGTGTTTTCGGCCGCATTGCGACAAGTGTATTGAACTAGACTTGGCAGGAGGCGGTGGTGGGTTTTCATTCAGCATTTTGTATAACTAGTATTACCTTCGCGCTCCTTCGAACAGACGCAAACGGAGGCTGTTCTGTGGAGGGTCTCTCGACCAACCTCTATTTAATATGCATTTCTCAAAATAATGTGATCCATACTTCTGGTCTCTATACAATATATTCGGCACTCTCATGATCCCGTGTGGTAATATTGCGTATGTCCTTGTTTACTTGAGCTAGAGATGAGCGGTCCGGGTAAATCGAATGGCGACACAGATGGTATTAATCTCAACATCTCAATATCTCAAAGGGAAGACTGGCGAGTATCCAGCGAGTCACTAGATCTTACAATGGGCGTCGATGCAGATCCCGGCCTTATCGATAAGACAAGTGTGTCACGTGCAAGGTTGCGGATGCCTTCAATCGCCGGGATTTGAGGTGGTCCGATTCCTCCACAGATCTCAGAACAATGATTTCCAGAATGGTCCCCTCATGGGGGCGCTGTACACTATCTGGGAGCATTCCTCAACGCTCAATTTATCTACGGAAGGGTATTCTCGAGGCAGAGAAGAGGTACTTTTCAAGGAATTCATTCCTACACCAGAAACAGCATGCCTCCGCGGCACCCTTCAACACACCGCAGTCGCAACAGCGCAATACCTCTACGATGTGAGTATTATTCGCTCGAGGACCATGTCAATGGAACGTATACTGACACATCTGAACAGGTACTATACAATCAGCATGATCCTCGGAACCGTCGCACTTGCCTATGGCTCCGTTCCTCTGTACAAAATGGTGCGCCTTACTCTTCCTGGCAATTAGCAATTGCAAAAAAGAGACTCAACTGACATATGAAAATAGATCTGCCAGCAGACCGGCTGGGGCGGCCAGCCAATCCTTACCCATCGAGTCGGCGACGGCGACACAGCCTCACGAGTGACCCCAGTGACCGACTCCCGACGTCTTCGCATTACCTTCAACGGATCCGTGTCTGATGTTCTTCCCTGGAAGTTCACGCCGCAACAACGGGAGGTGCGAGTGCTGCCTGGCGAGACGGCCTTGGCTTTCTACACGGCAACCAACAAGGGCCCCCAGGATATCATTGGAGTCGCAACGTATAGTGTCACCCCGGGCCAGGTGGCGCCATACTTTAGCAAGATCCAGTGTTTCTGTTTCGAGGAGCAGAAGCTGAATGCGGGCGAGTCGGTGGATATGCCTGTCTTCTTCTACATTGATCCCGATTTCGCGACGGACCCGAATATGAAGGGCATCGATACGATCACATTATCTTATACATTTTTCAGTAAGTGGACTTTGTTCTCAATCTTTCGCGACTGTGCTGACCCAAAGTAGAAGCGAAATATGATGACAATGGTGTTCTGAAGCCTATTCAGTCCTGAGGCAACTTCCTTGAAGAGGCAGCTTGTACCATTGGACAACATCTGGCTTAGGCCAGCTGATACATGATCAAAAGTCATATACCCCCCTAGTAGGGCTCCGACTCAATCCTAGCGGAGACCTCACTGCAATCTCTCATCTCCACAACAATTGTGACTGTACAATACCTCTTGGGGCAGGCTGTGGCCCACAAAATCTGTTAGAAATATCAAGCTGTACATATATAGACCAAATTGATATTTAAAACACTGTAATGATTTATGTCTCTAAATACCATAGTGCTTCTCAAAGCAAAGCTGCTGGTTCCTTGAGGAGCGTGCACGGACCACTGATTAATTAGGCGCGCTCCCGACGCGTTTCCCCAATCTCGCATTTTCTCAAAGCCCTCTTCAAGAACGTCCAACGATCACGTCTACGATCACAGTGCACTATGGCTTTGCTCGTTGACAAGCTGCGTCCTCGGACGCTTGATGCTCTCACATACCATCCCGAGCTATCTGATCGCCTCCGTTCCTTGGTAAGGCCAAACATCTGCTTCCAACCAAGCCAGTACTTTGTCACCTAACTTTCCTTCGATTACAGGCTCAGAGCGGAGACTTTCCTCACTTGCTGGTCTACGGGCCATCTGGCGCTGGCAAAAAGACACGCATCATTGCGACCCTCAAAGAACTATACGGCCCCGGTGTCGAGAAAATTAAGATCGATGCGCGAGTCTTCCAAACTAGCAGCAACCGCAAACTCGAATTCAACATTGTCTCCTCCGTCTACCACCTCGAAATCACTCCTGCCGACGTTGGAAACTACGATCGCGTAGTTATCCAAGAATTACTAAAGGAAGTCGCTCAGACACAACAGGTCGATTTATCCGCGAAGCAACGGTTTAAAGTCGTTGTAATCAATGAAGCCGACCACCTCACTCGTGACGCACAAGCCGCGCTGAGACGCACGATGGAAAAGTACAGCCCGAATCTGCGATTGATTCTCCTGGCCAACAGCACCTCCAACATCATTGCTCCCATTCGCTCACGTACCCTGCTGGTCAGGGTAGCGGCACCAACTGAAAACGACATCTGTTCGGCACTTCGAGTCGCCGCTAAGAGGGAGGGGTGGACTGAGGCTGATGGTCTGAATAAGAGAATTGCGAAGGAGAGTGGTCGGAATCTGCGCCGGGCATTGCTCATGTTCGAGTCTATCTATGCGCAGAAGTAAGTGGCTCGTCAATTGTTACCAGCAGAGGCGTTTCAAGCTCTAACAGACATGCAACAACAGTGAAAAAGTGACAGACAGCACTCCAATTCCGCCTCCAGATTGGGAGGCGCTTCTCTCGGTCACAGCGGATGAAATAGTAAAGACTCGAACACCAGCCCAGCTTTTGCAAGTGCGCGCACGGCTCTATGATCTCTTGACGCACTGCATTCCACCGACTACCATCCTCAAGGTATGTTTCCCTATCCTGAATGGATCCTTCGGATGCGTGATTGACCGTGCTTCATTCTAGACATTGACCTTTATGCTGGTGTCACAAGTTGACGATGTGCTTAAGCCGGATGTGATTAAATGGTCTGCCTTTTACGAGCATCGGATCAAGCTCGGCAGTGTAAGTTATCATATTTTCTTGGGAAGGTCTGGATGTGTGTGCTGATATATGTGCCATTACAGAAAGTGATTTTCCACCTCGAGGCCTTTGTGGCCAAGTTCATGCGCATCTACGAGAGGTTAGTCCATCCCAAGCGATTCATTGAATACACATCCATTGACATCATTATAGCTGGACCATGGGCATGGACTTCGAGTGATTGTTCAGGGACAATGGTTTCGAGACAAACCAATCGATGAATGATGATTGTACACTATGCGGCCAGGCTCATTTCGCGGCACAGTCCAGCTCCTGGATTTCAGCAGTTGCGCAGTATTCGACTGTTTCTGGATATCTTGGTACTCACTTCCTATCTTTATTATTCTTAAATTTTCCTCTGGCGCATCGTGGCATTTTCGAGACGGATTCTGGCGTTTTTGTCTCTTCATTGGAGCTATGCATTGAAGATTCAGGTTTTCACGCCGGTTCTGCTGTACTTCGTGTATATGTAGAAAACTGACGACACGGGATATCAACTCGAGACTCGTATTTATTTCCGTCAAGGATCGGCAGTTATCTCATTACATTTGGGGTTGAACCCGAGTCGATTGTTGGACCTACGTCATCGCATATCGTCACTGGCCCAGGTTCCAAGAATACATTTAGATGTCACCTCGAATGCGATATTCTTTTTACCCTTCATCAAGACTACCCTTTCGCGCATCTCAATACTAAACTCGATTTTCTCAAAATTTGATCCTAATGTCCGATCCTAGGCTAGTTGATATGGAGCCCGGTGGCGAGAGCACACAGTATTAGAACCCGAGCATAGAGCTCCAGTTCATGATGAACCGATATTAACACTCTTTGTGACTAGATATGAATCCATTCGCGAGTTTACTCAACCGCCGGAAAAGCAGACCGGGCAGCTGGGTGGTAAATGAGGCCTTTAAATACCTTACACGAGTGAGGTTTGGGATAGCTAACAATCGGCTGCAGGAGGCCAGCCGCATACCAGGAGTGAAATGAAGACCACCTTCGACTCGGGCGAAAATGGCGGAGCGAACGGAGCAAATGGAGAAGAATATGCTATGGCACAAAAGCTAGGAATGGGACAAGGCGCGGAAGGCTTGAACAAAGGTAAATGACAGTCATGTATCCTTCGGTCTAAACTCCTAATATAACGACAAAGGCATCTAACCCCAAATATGGTGCTTAACAATTCAAGTATGATGTGCACAAAGCTGACAGATAATGTACAGAAAATCGGAAATCCGACAACCCAGTCGATGCAGGAGCCGCGAGAACCAGAAGAGAGCAGGGGTATGGGCCTGGCTCCGGCGTCGGGGCTTAATTTGGCACGGCGATATCGGCAAGGAGAGAGATGACGCGTAGGTCATGAGAGAAGACGTGGCGGTTTATTGAGAGGAGGTAGGGCTGGAGGAAGTAGTCTGGGGCGGGTTCTCGAGGTCGTTGGTTCCCAGGGGAGGGTTTCTGCGTGGGCGTTTGAGGGATTCGAGGGTCACACCATTACCGAGTTTGGTGATTCCAACAACGGGCGGATCATCCTTCTTGACGAATTCCCAGAGACCTGGCTAGAATTAGTATGGAGAATGCCAGACCAAGATTGCGAAGCAAAATCAATGACATACCCGGCAACTTGTGGCCAGCCAATCTGAATGCCTCCCGGGCAACCTTTTCGTGCAGATCTCCCTTCAACTCGAAAACGACTCGGCTAACGGGCAACCGAACCGTCCAGTAGTCGAATTTACCCTTACCCTTACCCATACGCTGCTCATTACCCTTGGTGTAGACACCAACGTTGGCGCTAACGCGCTTGTACAACTTGTAGTTCATACCACGTAGCCGCCTCTTGATGGTTTCCTCTGCAATCTTGAGAGCCGAAGCCGGCATCCGGCGGTCGTGGTCCTTCATGCGAAGCCCAAAGTCTCCCCACACCACTGTTGTTCCGCGAGTCGATCCGCCCGTAGCGACGTGCGGGCGACCCTTGGGGGACTTCGATTTCTCGGCAAACTTTGGAGTCAGCCAGTCCAGGGCGGGTGATGTGGTAGAGAAGCATCGTGCCAGTGAGAAGGTAGCTAGCGATCCCGACAGGCCTGTTTCGCAAATGTCAGTTTGGCGGCGTGACCACCATTGGCTTGGAGAGAGATTGGTCGTACATGTTGGCCGGGTGCAGGCCGACAGAGGCCCCGCGAGCATCTTCATCTGAGGACCCATTGTGACCGGGGAAGGCGACCAAGGATGCAACGAGCGACTGTGGTTGCTTTACGCAGGGCAACGACACTTTTCGATGTCCGAGTTCCACAAATGCACTAAGCCCGATCGGGTCTAAGTACTGTGCACGTGCCCAACGTGTTCCTTAGTCAGCAGTCACGTCTCCCGCTCGTGTCCAGCGCGTCACGCAGTGTTGCCTCACTAGGCGGCAGGAGCTTCTTTCACTCTCAATTGTCTTCGTGCTCTGTCTCTGTCCTTGGCAAATTATCTCGATAATTGAGCCAGGATGCCGTCTGATATTCGGAGCTTCTTCGGAGGCAAGCCAGCACAGGCTTCGAGCACTGCTCCCAAGCCCGCAAAAGAGGTAAGCCCGAATATCCTACATGGGATCTACATTGTCTTCGTCTCTGCCTTTCTGGTTTTATAATCTTGTCCAGCTCGCTAACCTGGGATTACACCATGAAGGATCCTTCCACTGCACGGAAACGACGTACGGGCCGGTATTTTGTCCCTTACAGTATCCAGTTCTAATGAGATCAATAGGAAGCAGAAAAGTGGTGGACGATAGCGATGACGACGAAGATGTCACCCCCGTGAAAGCGCCAACACCTAAAACAAAACCGAAAAGTCAACCGTGAGTTGATTGCCTGTCACTTGGAGCTACTTCAACTTTCATTTGTCTGACGAATACTGCGTTGAAATAGGAAACGCGAGGAACCGAAGGGCGAACCTACAACTAGCTCGGACTATTTTGCTTCTAGCAAGAAGCGAGGCCGGCCTTCCAAAGCCACAACTGAGTCGAAGACCGATGAAGGCCCTGTGAAGTCCTCTCGAACCACCGCACGGGAAGCTACGAAGAAGACCAAAACGGTTGTTGACGATGACGAGGGTCTTGGTGGAGATGATATCTTTGCAGGCCAATACAGCAAGAAAAAGGATGATGACTATGTTGCTGCCGACAGTGACGACGACGATTTTGAGGTGCTAGAAGTCAAACCGGCAACTGCAGCATCTAGGAGGTCACAAAACAAGCCCTCAATTCTTGATGAAGAAGATGATGCGGTCATGGAGGATCTGCCCAAGACTATCCCCAAACCCGCTAAGACTGGTCGAAAGCGAAAGTCAGAGGCTCTCATTGACGAAGATGAAGACGGTGACTACCAAGAACCGAAGAAAAAGCCAGCATCTCGAGCGAAGCCATCCGCCTCTCCTGCTGCCAAGAAAGCAAAGTCCACGCCCAAGAAAAAAGAACCAGAGCCGGAGAACCCTGATATCCAGGCGATCTTTGACAGCATCCCTACCATTAGGCCACCATCACCACCTGCCAAGACTGGAGAGACCAAGAAGTGGCAGTTTGGTGCACAGCGTTCTCGCACTCCTCCGACTGCTGGCACAAAAGAAATGCCTGTCGGTGCCGAAAACTGCCTAGCAGGCCTCGTGTTTGTGTTTACTGGAATTCTCGAGACTCTGGGTCGTGAGGAGGGACAGGAATTGGTGAAGAAGTATGGTGGCAAAGTCACTGGAGCCCCCAGCTCCAAGACCAGTTATGTTGTCCTCGGCAGTGATGCTGGCCCAAAGAAACTGGAGACTATTCAAAAGTTCAACCTCAAAACCATCAATGAGGATGGCCTCTTCGAGTTGATCCGGCGGCTGCCCGCGAATGGCGGCTCTGGTCAAGCTGCCGAAAAGTTCGCCGCTAAGCAGAAAGTGGAGGAAGCAAAGGTCTTGAAGATGGCAGCCGAAATCGAGGCGGAGGAAAAGCGAAAGGAGGTGGAACAAGCCAAGTCCAGGGCCAAGGCTCAACAGAATGGCCCAACTCCGCTTGCATCTCAGGGCCCGCCGGTTGATGATCAACTTTGGACGACTAAGTATGCGCCCACCTCAATCAACATGATCTGCGGTAACAAAGGTGCCGTTGAAAAAATCCAAAGCTGGCTGCGAAACTGGCACAAGAGTGCCAAAGCGAATTTCAAAAAGGCTGGACCGGAAGGCTTGGGCGTGTATCGTGCTGTTATGATTCATGGCCCACCGGGAATTGGTAAGACTACAGCTGCACACCTTTTGGCGAAGCTGGAAGGCTATGATATTGTCGAAACCAACGCCAGTGATACCAGAAGCAAGAAACTTGTTGAAAATGGCACTTTGGGTGTCCTCGACACGACATCTTTGCAAGGGTACTTTGCCGGAGAGGGAAAAAATGTTCAAAGCGAGAAGCGGAACCTAGTCCTGATCATGGATGAAGTCGATGGTATGTCAGCTGGTGACCGTGGAGGTGTTGGTGCAGTCGCAGCCATCGTCAAAAAGACCAATATCCCAATCATTCTTATTTGCAACGAGCGGCGGTTGCCCAAGATGAAGCCCTTCGACCATATTACCCTCGACGTTCCGTTTAGACGTCCGTCGATAGACCAACTCCGTGCCAGACTTTCAACTATTTGCTTCCGTGAGAAGATGAAGCTCCCCCCATCTGTGCTGGAGGCTCTGGTTGAAGGCTCCCATTCTGATATTCGGCAAATCATCAACATGTTGTCTGCCATGAAACTGGACATATCAACCATGGAAGATCAGTCAGCCATGGATCACGACAAAGGCAAACAAATGGCTAAGGCGTGGGAGAAGCATATCATACTCAAGCCATGGGATATCACCAGCAAAATTCTCAATGCGCAAACGTTCGCAAAAAGCTCTACGTCGACACTCAACGACAAGACTGAACTTTACTTCAACGATCACGAGTTTAGCTATCTCATGCTCCAGGAGAACTACCTGCGAACAACCCCCACTCTTGCAAATAGATACGAGGACGAAAAGGAGAAGAAACTGAAGGTACTCGAACTGATTGACAATGCAGCATCGAGTATCAGTGATGGAGATCTTGTGGACCGTATGATTCATGGGACACAGCAGCAATGGAGTCTGATGCCGACGCACGCTATCTTCAGCTTTGTACGGCCGGCGAGTTTCATATATGGTAATATGAACGACAGGCCACAATTTACCAGTTGGCTTGGCCAGAACAGCAAACAAGGTACGATTAAACCTCCATTTGGAGCTTGTTATGGGTGACTTGACTAACTTTCATTCCTTCCAGGCAAGCTGACACGTTTTGTCAAGGAGATCCAAGGGCACACGCGTCTCCGTACTTCAGGCAATCGTGACGAGATTCGTCAACAATATATGCCCTTGATCTGGGACAAGACTGTCAAGCGCCTCAGGGATGAGGGCAAGGAGACTGTGGACGAGGTCATTGACTTCATGGATGCATATTTCTTGACGCGTGATGACTTTGACGCGATGGTGGAGCTTGGACTTGGGCCGATGGACCAGTCAAATGTCAAGCTGGAGACCCAGACAAAGGCCACATTCACGCGTCTTTATAATTCACGCTCTCATCCACTTCCATTCATGAAGGCGAGCAATGTCATTGCGCCAAAGAAAGAATCCAAGGAGAGGCCTGATGTGGAAGATATCGTTGAAGAATCGGATGAAGGAGAGGTCGTCGATGAGGTCAAGGGTGACGATGAGGAGGAGCTGGATTTGAAGAAGGACAAATATGTCAGCGTACCCAAGAAGAAGGCTGCTGCAGCCAAAGGGAAGAAGGGAAAGAAGGCTGCTGCGACGGATGATGATGGTTTTATCGATGATAGCGAAGAGAAGCCGAAGAAGGGCCGCAAAACCAAGGCCAAGGCCAAGGCTTAGGATGCATGTTTTGTACTATAATACCTTCTTATGTTGCAGCCTTTTTCTCTGATGATTGCAAAGCTTCCGGTCCAAATTATTACGAATAAGATGACTTGCCTGGGAAAACCTGACTTTAGGTGCATATCCATCACATGCCATAGGAATTCTAGGGGTTCGGTCTCCAAGATCGTCACGTCTGAATACAACGATACGGATATTATCGATTATGTATTGTCCAAAGGGAAATATCCCACAGATTATTTAATTGACAAAACGTGATACTTCGAATGACCACTGCAGCGCGGATAGAATCACTCTCCAACCTCACGATCATCGTTCCAACGGACCCAGCTCATGACTCGCCAGCTAAGAGTCTTCTCACGGATCTTCTTTCCCCAGATGAACAACGGAATCCAACAGATAAGAACGCCGCCGCAGATCGCTGCCATCTCGCCGTAGGCCACATTGTATCCATGCGTGTCCACCCACGGGTTAGTGTAGAAGCCCAGCAGGAAACCAAAGGCAGACTTGAAGGCGAGCTGAGTGACGACAATCTCTCCCGCAATAGGGCGATAGCTGTCAATTGTATACACGAGAGATACATTCGTCGCTTGAGTGATAGTGAAGTTGACTATAACAACGTTAGAGATGGACTTTATCTACGTGACCTTTCCTAGAGACAGAACTTACTCAATCCAATACCTAAGGTAGGAACGATCCAATGCATCTGCCACTTGATGCCACAGCCGTATAAAGCTAAGGCAAGCGGTCCGGTAATGGCACCGATCATGATAGCTGGGAGTCGCATCTCGGGCTCTCGAATACCACCATTGCGCCGAGTGAAGAAATCAGCGACCCAATCGGAGAAATTACCACCAAGGATAATACCGAAGAAGCACCCAATGACGGCCGAGAAGAAGCAAAGACCTGATTGCCATGCTTCGAACCCATAGGCAGTGTTGAACGCTGAAGCCACGTTCGAGGTGATGGCGGTGATGAATCCAATAGTGACTGACATGACTAGTGTCGCCCAGAGGACAGGGGGCAGAATCAAAAGTCCCACGGGGCGAATTGTCATATGCCAAAGAGATTCATGGGTATATTTACCGTGGTATAACTTGAGGCCCTGAATGAATCCGGCACTGCGCTCCACCGGGGCTACCTCATGAACTGAAGAAGTACCTGCTTCTTCACCCTTAGTGCTGCGACAGATACGCTGCCCTGAAGAAGTCAGGGTGGTGACCGTGCCGTCGGGTGCGATATTCCTGATATACGCCGTCTCGGGGAAAGTGGCGTACACAATGAGCGTGACGCTCCCGATCAAGGCGATAGCCACGTAGTAAATGTACCGCCAGGGATGGTACTTGACAATGAAGCCATCAATGATGGCACCACTAGCAACGCCTAGATTCAGTGAGGCATTGTATAACCTAGGGAAGAGGTGAGTGAATGACCGGTTAAGATATAGGCTGAAGGAGACATACGCAGTGATTGCTCCACGCTCATGCAAGAAAAACACGTCGGCAATGGTCACAGGTGCTAGACACTCTCCAGCACCGGCAGCAATGCCCATGAAAATTCTAGCGACAAGGAAGTTGGCATATCCTTTTCCAACCGCACACCAGATCGCAGTAATCGTGTATAGAGTAAACGCAGTCACGTATACTGGGCGACGGCCGTACTTGTTAATGAGTGGCATCCAAACCAGATTACCCAGACCCTGGAAGAGCGCAGTACAATTGAAGAAGTACGCGGTTTTGGCGATAGGGCTGGCCATTCCGGTTTCTTTCCAATTGGGGAAGAAGTCTTGCGCCGTCTGGAGGATGGCTAGAGTCGGACCGGCGGCGAGGAAATTGCACAGAATCATAGCAAAGCAGACAGCCACTGCGGTGTATAGTTTGAACCATCGCGGCCTGGTAATGTATAAGAAACAAAAGCATGTAAAGAGCAGCGATGATATGAACAGGGGGTCAATTACCAATTGAGAGGATCTTTTGGATCCGACGACGGGGTTGGAACGAGAATGACCTCGTTTGTTTCAGCATCTCGCAGACGCAGATGGCCCAGTGTCTTCACATGGGCGTTGCCAGTTTTCTCATCGAATCCAGCCCCGCCGACTGGTCGACGTTCTCTAACTTGGGTGTCCGTCATGGTCGAGGATGGTCTTGGGTGGAGACTAGCAGGAAACCATCACTCAAGGACGGTGCAGCTTTGCGTTATATACATGCTGCGATGCACGCAGGAGCTTCTCGAGACCGTCAGTCATGCGGGGCCCCACGTAAGTCTGGGGTAGTTGAGTGAGGCCCACATCCCGGAGCATGGATGAGGATAGATTCGTCGCCCTGGGCTGGTTGGGCCAATCGCGAGTCCCGGTTGACGGGATGTGACCACTCCAGCTTCTTTTTCGCCCTCAAATTGAGCGTAATAGAAGTCACCATTTATCCAAAGCGGCTTTTGTGGAGATCAAGATGGTTGAGCTCAAAAATTGCCGTGATAGACACCTGCTTGCTGCAGGATAATCGTTCCATGACCAAGTGATCATCGTCGCCCCCGAGTCCCTTGTCGATGTGCTGTTTCGAGCAAGTGGAGGACCGATGCCGACGCGTGGACAGAAAAGGCCGTGGCTGAAACTGTCCAATCAAACTTTCCGATTGAGGCGGCTATACAGCCCAGATGTACGCTACTCTAATAAATAGGCTTTGGAAGAGCTTCATAGGAACGAAGTCAACCAGTGTGGACCGAAGAGAGAGGACCAGCTTCCTTGTTTGACCATCTGCCCGATAGGAGTTAAGCCGAGTCCTGGAGATTTGATCGATACAGGGCAAGCCAAGCTATTTGTGGAGGTTCCTTCAGCCAGTCACTTTCCAAGAGGCATACTTACCGTTGTCCTATTCCACGTTTCATAGTTGACGAGCTGTCTTCTACCTCGGAACTAGGATCAGTCTTTTTATTGACCATAAGAGAACATATAGAAATCAAAGTTTCTAACATCAAACCTTCGGAATTAAAAACCGAACACAGCATTTCTCTACTATAGAATACGTGCAGTCCTAAATTACCACAAGCGCGACCAATTGTGAATACTTCATCTTTTCCGGATGGCGCCGACATGTTCCGAGCATATCAATAGCGGACGTTGGGTCAACCCTTCGCACACAGTCTAATCACCATTATCCTTCAGTGTCGGGTCCACTTACTTCGGGTGCATCAGAATCCCACTGCTGCCACCGGCTTTTGTTCCTTTGCATTCGATGGTAGGGCTGTCGAGGTCGTTTAGGAGCTTGGTCTCTCCATGTGTTACGAATAAGAAGGTGTGGTATAAACATCTAAAAAAAGCCTGTTCGCTTGCAGCACAACTATGTGTTCGGTCTTCTCTCCGTGCTTGTACTGTAGCAGAACTAGCCTTGTTTTCCGATATAATTGTGGACTAGTTCGGTGGAATTGACTTCATTTACTAGCTTGGCACTACTAATTCGCCGGTGTTGTCGGTTCAAGCTTAAGACGATGTTCATACCCCTGAGAACAGCGAATAGACACAAGGGTCTATAAAAGACTTAACGTATGTTTTGTACTCGCGCTATATATCTGCTTAAGAGGAATACTCTGAATCTCAGACCTCTGGATTACTGAATAGACATCTCTCTCCCGATAATCTACTAGCATTCGGGATCAAATTTTGATACCAGATTCTCAATCCAGCTACAAGATCCTTCGGACTTGAAATAGCAAAGCATGAGGTTTCGGAAGCGCTCTCGCACAAGCTTGGGAAGAGCGACTGGTTTTCTTCCTGAAAGAGCATGGGGGTTCTACAAAGTATTGGGTTCCTCCTAGTCCAATGGCCATATGATTAATATTGCCCAATATGCTCTCCTGATACTATGAATTATATTGGGGTCCGTACATAAACGGTGGATTTGAGGTAGGAAAATGACAGGCTAGGATGTCGTCCCGTCGGAAGTCCAACAACAAGGAAGTAGAGAAAGTAGTACCGGTGGGAATTGAGAGTAGACAGAGCACTAAAGAGCCAGATCTATATTATTAGTCCATACGACTAGCTATATGACGTTGGTCAAAAGTAGGAGAAGGCGTCGGCGATTATATTGATTTGAGCAATGTCTGCGAGACAGGTAGCGACTAGGTGTTGGAGTTTTCATAGCAGTCTATCTTGATTTGTCCTGAATGACTATACCTACCTAGTGCACGTATCCAGGTAGTTCTTACAACTTCTCTCAAACAAAAATAAACAGAGCGCTCTCCTCGGCTTCAAAATGGTATGTTATTGTTGCCTTGTTCAAACGAGATAAGATATAGATTGCGCTTAGGTAAAAACAGTCGCCTCGCGTAATGTAACTTTAGCTCCTACGGTTGACATCGTCATTCTTAGGACAAAAGGCCGATCATTTTGCGAGTCATTACCTCGGTTGATCAATACTAGTCGAGAACTTGAAGTCAAGCAACGTGTCAAGCGTCATGGGTTCGGACCGAGCTAGGACACTCTATATACAGTGGCAGTTCAAAAGTCTGAAACCAGCAGAGACTAAGGAAAAAAATCATCTAACTATGCTTCAACTTTACATTTTCAACAAGTCTTTCTGAATGTCTTTTGAACCCACTTTCTAGAAGTCTTTCTGAATGTCTTTTGAACCCACTTTCTAGATATTCCCGGCATTTTTCTTCAACTTGCCTTTTAAAGCATAGCTGGTGATATTCGATGATTGCCCGAAGATGCGCCGGCGGAAACACCGTTTGCGCATCCACTCCGCGCCGGGTCCATACCCAAAACGGTACTCTGCCCCTAGTTATCGTGGTAGGAGGCCATTATAGTAAAACTTCCACCAATGAGAACGTCCGTTCCATAGTCACATTCATTTTATACAAGCTACCATCCTCTGCAGGATTCATGCCTAGCCCACTGGTGAAACAGGGTCCTATCTGGAGGGGCAAGAACCCAAACATTAGATTGCATGGAGTGATTGCTGCCTGTTCAGTATATCCACCCTAGTCAAGCAATTTTCCTGCATATTGAAAAGTCCCTGATCTAGTTCTAATTCGATTCGTTCTTTTCAAAGTAGATACATGAGTATAAAAGCACGCCTATCTCGCCTTTGTCCGAGAGTTCATCAAAACCATCAGGCTCTCGATTGAAAACCGACCCTTCCAACATGATCTCTAGCTTAAAACTTGCCCTCGTTGGCCTGCTTAGCGCTGCTGCGGTCCAAGCAATTCCCGACACCGTTCCCGAACTCGATGTGATTGCTACGTCCACTCTCGAGGAGCGCGCTTCCACTTGCACCTTCTCCGGTGCCAAGGGTGCAGCTTCCGCGATCAAGTGGAAGACCTCCTGCTCAACCATTGTCTTGTCTTCTGTGGCTGTTCCCGCTGGCACCACTCTTGATCTGACCGGGTTGAAGAAGGGAACCACAGTACGAAGTTTATTCTATCAGGACATAAAAACTTCCCACTAAGCGATTTTCTAGGTCATCTTCGAAGGAGAGACCACCTTCGGCTACAAGGAATGGTCCGGCCCCCTGGTTTCCGTCTCTGGAACTGACATCACTGTCAAGGGAGCCTCTGGTTCCGTCCTCAATGGAGATGGTGCTCGCTGGTGGGATGGAACGGGAACAAACGGCGGCAAGACCAAGCCCAAGTTCTTCTATGCCCACAAGATGATCAACTCCAAGATCGAGAACATCACAATCAAGAACTCCCCTGTTCAGGTCTTCAGCATCAATGGAGCCAACGGTCTTACTCTGGACGGAATTACTGTTGATAATGCTGATGGCGACAGCAAGGGAGGCCACAATACCGATGCTTTCGATGTCGGCTCCAGTACTGGTGTCTACATCACCAACCCTGTTGTCCACAACCAGGATGACTGCTTGGCAGTTAACTCGGGCACAGTACGCATGTCATAGCGGAACGATAGTCCAGAATATGCGCTGATGTTATCTAGGATATCTCCTTCACCGGAGCCCAGTGCACTGGAGGTCACGGTATCTCGATCGGCTCTGTCGGTGGACGGTCTGATAACGCTGTTGAGAAGGTCAATATTGAGAACTGCAGCATCAAGAACTCACAGAATGGTAAGTATAACCGACTTCAAAACATTGATCATCCGCGCTAATTTCTGAATCTTCCAGGTGTCCGTGTGAAGACTGTCTACGGCACGACTGGCTCGGTCAAGGGCGTCACCTACAAGGATATCACTCTCTCTGGCATCTCCAATTACGGTATCGTGATTGAGCAGGACTACAAGAATGGCAGCCCTACTGGCACTCCCACTAACGGTGTTCCCATCACCGGTCTGACCCTGAGCAACGTCAAGGGAACAGTTGACAGCAGCGCGACCAACGTCTACATCCTGTGTGCCTCGGGAGCTTGTTCCGGCTGGACCTGGAACAGCGTTAGTGTCACTGGTGGAAAGACCAGCTCCAAGTGCAAGAATATTCCCGGCAATGCCAAGTGCTAAAGGGTAGAGAGAATGTGTGGGTGAGCCATGTCATCAAGCAGCGCGTGGCATCTAGTTGCATGCGGTGGCAGTCCTACTGGGTTTTGTATGATAAGTTAGAATCTATGTATAGTAGACACCAATCTGAATTTTATTCTTATCTTATGGAGATTCCTCCCTCACTTGGCCTGGGCCAGCGTTTGGCTGTAGGACCAGCGTTTGCTCTTGCTTGCAGGATGTTGATGCTTGCAGGATGCAGAGGGTCTTCTGGTTTCTTCCTTCTGTTTCTTCTAGATTGCTTTGTTCGATGGCCTATATAGGCCATCTCCCGTCTTCTTCTTCTTCCTGTCCCTTAGAGGTTTCTCTGGGTAGAGATTGATGATCGTTCCTGTCCTGCTTTCCTGGCTTCCTCTGCGTAACGGCGATTTTCGCCGTCATTATCATTGAGCTCTCTTGAGGTATAGTCGCTTATTCAGCCCATCCTGGCAACGCAGTCATATAAACATGACTTATCTATAAGTAATTAATACCATAAAGCAAGGCCGTAGCGGGGCGCTCTTGAACGCTTTGTGCCCCCTATATCCTATTGGGCTGGGGTTCCAATTGTCCAACTGACATAAAGGAGGATCGGTTCTAAACTTATGATATGCTTCTAGAATGAGTGTGGTCTGCAAACCTCCTGTCAACATATCCGTGGATACAGTTTCTTGATACAGTATATTGAGTCCAGCTTGATCGCTACTAAGACGAGCCACGGGACAATGCTTATTTTGCTCGAAATATTCAGAGATAATCGTTACCAAGCCCAGTGCAAGATATCTCATAATACTCAAACGTATAGACACGATAGAGGGCCGCCAAGGTTCATGGGGGAAGCGGTGCGGGCGGGGAAGTGATCTGCGGAGAGAACCGCCACTGATCAACCTCCGACCCTCCACACCCTGCGCCGCTCTGTTGACTGCTTGGCTTGCGCGTTACTTTCCTTACGATCCAGGCTGGACCTGCTTAAGCCACACTAACTCTTGTGCTTCTTCAAAGACCCATATCCGCCCTTTACAGCCTGCATCTCCTTGCGAATGCGCTGTCAGAGCTTGCGGATCTCACCCTCGTTGACCGGGAACAACCACGACCACCACGCGATCCCCACCCCCGCGCAGCGTGGCCATTTGGCGCCCAGGGAGAGGTGAGCGACATATGAGACAGCGAATATGTCTCTTCTCAATAATGAAGAGTAAGTGAAGGCGAGAATGCTACCCATCCCTTTTCTTGGTCCCGCGACCACAGCGGACTAACCGAGGCCTAGCTTCACCATCTGGCAATTACGCTCGACCTACCTCTCCACGATCAAAGATGGAATTGGAGATCGCTTGATCAATGTCAACAATTCTGTCCTCAATACTCCCGGATTCCGCGCTGCCGGCTGGTCCACTGCATCAACAAACAACGCCCACGTGAAACGCACCCACTCCCCTCCCATTCCAACCACAGCTGCCGTCTCCTCGGAATACTACCGGCTAGCTGTACGAGATGCGAATGCTGCAAGAAGCGAACTACAAGGCCTCGGCCTTGAGGACGGCGAGGACGATGAGGGAGGCATGGTGACTGGTAAAAGTCATATGGATATGATAGGGCGACGCCATCCTGGACGAATTGGAAAGAAGAAGGGCAGGCGGGATCGCCATCCCGAGGCTCAGCGACAGGTCGAAGAAATGGACGACGACAGCAGTGATTTGAGTGATGACAGCGACGAAGACGGGGATAACATGCAAAGGTGGGCCATCTCGTTCCAAGCGGTGTGCGGCGACATTCTGACAGGATACAGTGCTGTCGACCAGATCAAGTTTTCCAAGATGCCCGTGCGGCGAGATCGTGCTGGTTCCTCACCCATCCGCTCGGCTGAACAGCGTGAACGACCGGAGGTTATGATAACCTCCCCCTCAACGCAAACGGTGACGGGCCATTATCGGACAGGATCGCTAGGCACAACGATGCCAAGTAAAGAGCAAAGGCCACGGAGAGACACCACTACAAGCAGTGATTTGTCTACTGACAACGAGATTGAAACACATGGATACAGGCCTGGACAGGTTCAATTTTCCACCACAGATCAAGTGGTCGAGCGTCCTCGGAGGCGACGCGAGAGAACAGGCAGTCGAGGAGCTGATAGTATCATGCTCGAAGACCTGCATGAGCAAGATGAAGACTCAGGCGCCGAGTCCGTTGGATCTGCTCTTTCCTCTGAATTTGACGCCACCGCTGGTTCCGGGTCACTGCTCTTAACGGGGGTCGGCATGACCGGCCCCTTGGATTCATCCTCACCAATGGTCCTAATGCACAAACTACCCAGTGGAACCGGACCAAGTGCCAATGCGTCACCGCGAAAATCCAAAACTCCAGGCCCAGAGTTCCAAGAACTCCCACCTCCACGGCCTATCAGCACAATCCAGCCAGTCAGCTTGTTGACGAAACAACTCAAGTCCCGTAAACGTGCACCGAGTAACCCAGTTGAGAAGTTTATGGTTCTTAATGGGCGAGGCCTGGACGATCCACTCTATCTGAAGATCTACGCCCCATTTTCATCAGACCCCGAGGAGCCCATGGACTTGCCTGTCATACGAGAATCTAAGCTTTCTTCGCATCCTGCTCCGATTACAGTCGCGGAGACGATTGGCCTTGCTCTCTGGAAATACTCTGATGACTCGCGCGAGCCCTCTATTGATCGCAAAAAGTTGACTGTGAATCGATGGGCTCTTCGTATGGTCGACGATGGAGAGGTTGAGTACGACTTCCCAGCACTTAGCCGAAACCTCCCCATGACGGACTTTACTTCAAACAACAACCAAGCAGCAAAAGCACGCGGACGCTCACGGGGCAAACCCTACGACGAATTTGCCTTGGTGGAGGCCTCTAAGGCGGAGTTTGAAGAGAACGAACGATTATACCCCAAGTATAGCCAATACATCGAGCCCGACGAAATCGATCAACAGATGAACCTTGCCGTTCCAGCAGCCATCCCCGCCCAGCCTGTTCCGGCAACTAAGACGATTGGGGGCCGTGTGAATCCCATCCTGGGCCAGCCATTCTCATCTGCCCTCAACGATAACACATTGACTCCCGCAGATCGGCCGGTAGTCCCAGTTTCCCACGCCACTCCTCGACTTGGTGTCTCCAAAACGCTGAAAATCCGGTTCATCAACCTGGAAGCTTCTGCTCATGTCATGACCATGAATACTTCCTCCGACAGTTACATAGCAGAGATTCTGGACTCTGTGTGCAAACGCTGGGGCCTGGACAAAGGAAATTATCTTCTCAAGGTGATGGGATCAAATACGATCGCACCTCTGGACCGTACCGTCGAGGCATTAGGGAACATCACTGAGCTGGACCTTGTTCGTCGCCGATTTGGCGTGGGCCCTCTTGCCACGGGTGGCTCACCAGGCAGCTCTTCACCGAATGCACCCTTGATGGTGGATAGTAATAATCCAGCAGCAGTCAAGAAGGGGAAGAAGAGCAACTTGCCCTCGTCCTCGCAGAAACAAGACCTCATCGGTGGATACTACCGCCGCTACCATGTCTTCCGCAAGCAACCCATGTCATTCACCGCCACCAACCATCGCATTCTGACCTTTGACAACGACTATATGCATATCATGCCCGGGGAAACTGGAAAGACCGTCTCTAACGCCAAAACGCGCTCGATCAACTTCAACGAAGTGGTTGGCTCCAAAGTCAGCCGCAGACACCCGAAGAGTTTCCGGGTGGTTGTTCTCCGTGGCAACGATGCTACGGAACAGAAGCGCTACGACTTTGAAGCGCGTAACGCGTTGGAGGCGATTGAGATTGTTGATGAGATTAAGAAGAACATGCAGCAATATCGCACTTGATCTTCTGGTGATCGCTTTGGTTTGTGATTTAAGACGGGTTTCTTATTTGAATTGGTTCAATAGCTCCACTATCCGGAATGGTGGTGGTTTTTGACTTGGTATTTGTATCTATTCGCGTTGCAATTGATAGGCATCCATAAGGATGTGAACGTTTTATGAGACTTTTGACTTGTAGGGGTGACTTGAATCTTAAATCGACCAACGCCCCTGGCCGATAAGATAAGACTGATAAGACCGTATCGATAAGCACGATAAGCCCTGTCTACGTCGCAACTGCCTCAAATCAACGGATGTTCTTTTTACATCCAACTGCCTCCCACTAGCACCACGCGATGGCACAGGTCCTGCACACTGCACAACCTTGAGGATGGCCTCTAACACGCCTGATGGCGATGCCCCAACGGCACAGCCCTCGGACGACTACACACACCCCAATCGAAGCAAAGGCCGCTTCCGCTTCAAGAGCAGCTCCTCGCGAAGCAGCAAACACCACGACCGCCACGAAGACCACCACCACTCCTCCGAGGATAGCTACAGGAAGCGCCGCAGCAGTCTCCACAGTAAACACAGAGAAGAATCCCACCCCTCAAAGCGGCGACACAGACACCATCGCTCCCGCGAACCACCCGACGACTCAACCCAACCACCCCCACTCTCACCCAGCGCCGCCTTCCGCGAATCCCTCTTCGACGCACTAGGCGACGACGAAGGCGCCGCATACTGGGAAACCGTCTACGGCCAGCCGATCCACAACTACGCCGTGCCGGAGGTACCCAAGGGACCGGACGGGGAATTGGAACAAATGTCCGACGAGGAGTACGCGGCGTACGTGCGATCGCGGATGTGGGAGCGTACTCGTGAGGGGATGATAGCGGAGCAGGAACGGCTGCGGGCGGAAAAGAAGAAGGCGAAGCAGAGGGAGAATGAGGCTGGTGCGAGGGAGGGGGAGCGGGTAGCGTTTGAGCGGGCGATGGAGGAGAGTTTGAGGCGGGGGGCTGAGAGGAAGAGGAGGAAGAATTGGGAGGGGGTTTGGAAGGAGTACTTGGCTCGGTGGGAGGAGATTGCGAGGGTTGTTGAGAAGGGCGCCGCATCGGCGGGGACGGAGTCTACACAGGATGAGACGGAGAGCCTGCGACTTCGCAATTTATTGTTTTGGCCCGTTGAGTCTGGGAAACGGCGGGATGTGAGGCCCGACTCGGTGGAAGAGTTTATGCGTCATGCGCCGACGGCGGATTTACTGGCTACGCTGAAGACTGAGCGGGTGCGATGGCATCCGGACAAGATCCAGCATCGATATAGCGCGCTGGGCATTGAGGATGAAGTGATTCGCAGCGTGACAGAAGTCTTTCAGATCGTGGATCGGATGTGGAGCGAGGAGAGGCAGCGAGCCTGAGCCTTTTTTACGTGTTGCTGGTTGAGAGCAGGATATACCCAGAAGACGGGTCTCTGAATGGACTTGTTACGATTATTACATTTGACCAGCGTTTGTCCTACATAGATCAATGATACCCTCCATGATACCAAGTAAAATCCTCGCGTTGATAGCTGGTCATGATCGCGACCATTTGATGTAAGACTACAGTACCGCGATGCGTGGTGCAATTCAGCGCTGGGCAACGGACCACTTCAATAACGGAGCCTTATTGCACATTCTGTACTCCGTAAGTATAAGCAAGACGAACTGATCCCGGATCAATCTCGCCCCAGGAGTCATGTATATGGTAGAGCCCAACACTCACGTCAAGTCTAACTCAGGACTTCTTCATAACTTTATAAGAGTAAAATGCTACCCAATCAACCAAATGCAAATAACAAAAGCCGAACTAATCGTGACTGGATTCATTTCAAAATATCACAGAGAAGCTGCCTCGACAACGCAAAGTAACCACAAGGAAACATCAAAAGCTATGCAAGACCCAATCGTTCGACAGCCAAGGACCAAGGAGACAGGGTAGAGAGAAAATATGTAACAGGCACTGTAGGTATGCTCCCTTTTTCATTTAGGTGTGATTTTTTTTTCCTTTCAAATATGCACTCGTTGACAAACTCCCTAGAACCGCGAGGCTCGAGCCTTCGTCCGGTAAATCGTCCATCCAAAGTAGCCACCGACACAGGCACCGAAGAATAGCACAATCTTAAAGAGGAACCAAGACCAGCTACCGGACTCCTTTTGACCGGAGCGGCTGCCGCTACCAGGACTACGGCCCTTGGAACCTTCGGAGCCCTTGCTACCAGCGTTGCGGTTCAGCGCGTACAGGTTCTCCGCCTTGAGAGAGACAATATCGTGGTTATCACTCAGCTCGCCGGTCTCGGCGGAGAGACCCAGGTAAGCGACAGAGGGAATGGCGATGTTCGTGTCCTCGGCGTTGAGGGTGAAGCAGTTGGTCCAGGAATCCTCCGTCTTGTACTGCAGGTCCAAAGTCAGGGACTTGTCCTGGAAGTAGGTAAGACGGAGCTTAGTGGGGATGGGGGCATTGCGGAGGCCACGCGCGGAGCAGCCAGCCAATTCGTTGGCCTTGCCGTCGTGGGCCTGGTCGTAGGTGGTCGCGCCGTCGCCCATCATGGCCATGACGTAGGGGGAAGGCCACGCCGGGGCGGTTGTTCTTGTATGTGTCGACGAAGATGCCGAGACCTTCGAAGCGGTCGGTTGAGCCGAAGACCGGGCCTTGGGTGGCGCGCTGCTTGGTGAGCCAGAGGGCGAACCCATCACCGTGGAGGTTGCCGGTTCCGCGAACCTCGAATTCAAGTTCGATCTGGAGATGGATGTGAGCCTTGCGAATGCACTGGGGAGAGCTGGAAGAGGTGTAATAGCGGTCTCACCTCCCAATTGGTTGCGGTTAGAGGTACGCGAGAGAAGATCCATCCTTGCTGCGACGGTCGGTCTGCGGTCAGACGAATATATCTAAAGAGAAACATGCCAATTAGTATTACAGAGCAAAGAAATATCCCAGTATAACAAAGAGTAATCTCACTTATCAGCGCGAATCACCGTATCTCCTCCGAAGTCGAACCAGCGGCTTTGGAAGTCCGAATCAAGGTATGGCTATCCAGCTTGTCAACAAGGTCGAATTCCCCACAATTTGACTCGGAGCTTGGTAAACACGGCAAACAAAACGCTCAAATAGCTCGAGGGATCTCATACCGGCGCAAGAGTATGGGTACGGAGCTGGAATACATCGAAAGATTAGTACCTCGGTAGCGCATGCGCATAGACAAACAGCAACCTACCGGGATGCTTTTAATATTGGGGTCGTCGCCAGCATAGCCGTTAACAGGGACGGATGCCAAGCCGGCCAGACACAGCAGAGAAGAAAAGCTCGGGAGACGCATTGTATTGAATTAGGCCTTAGGACCCAATTGGTGGGCAGCTCAAGGAGCGAACTGGGGTGGTGGGAGGGGGTGGGTTCGATTGGCGAGGGAGTTAGGTGAACGGCGTCGCTAGGACCCCCGAGAACCCGCGGAGAGGAAGGGAGAAACGTAAAATAGCAGAAGAAGAGGAAAGGTGGAAAAAGTGACGAGAAAGAGAGAGCGGCAGTCGAGAAAGATTCAACAAATGGGGGGTTCAGAAGAGGAAAGGGATGAGGACTGGGGTAATTGAAGAGTATAAAGTGTACTTTCAGGCCGTCTCTTGTGATGCTCCTACTGTAAGGTGTCCACATTGGCCCCAAAAGTGGCGCAGGCAGCCCGCACCAGCCACTCAACGCTCGGCCTCGTTCAGATTTCCCGTGAACTGCTCTCGATCAACTTCTTCTCCAATTCATCATCCTTTCGATCAACCACAAAAATATCATCCACCATGTCCTTCCTTGGCTCCGGCGCTTCCAAGTCCAACGAGGACATCAAGACTGCCCTCCTGCAGCAGGTTCAGCAGGAGGCGGCCATGAACAATGCCCGCGCTCTCATCGGAGTACGTCACCAGTTCCGCTCTTGAGCTGTCTACTCGCCCTGCACACACGCTAATACAATCGGATTTTAGAAAATCAATGAGAACTGCTTCGATGCCTGCGTCACCGCCCCCGGCTCTTCGCTCTCCTCCAAGGAGAACTCCTGCATGTCCAGCTGCATGGAGAAGTACATCAACATGTGGAACGTCGTCAGCCGCAGTTACATGCACCGCATGAACGAGGAGAGGAAGAAGATGGGCGGTGATGTCGCCGGTCTGTCTCTGTAAGAGACAATTCGTCAGAGACGTGTCGGTGACGAGGCAACCAATTCAACCAACTTCACGATGCCAACTATCGAGACATGATGTCTACTGCGGCAGAGAACAGAACGGAAATGACGACAATCCAACGAGGGGATCCGTGTACGAATAAAGACGGCCGGAGAGCCCGTGTACATTATGGGCAAAGATCTTGGGTTCGGGATATAGAGGATTAAAGGACAATCCCCCTTGTATATCGAGACAAAATCAAGAAAAAAAAAAAGTCAAAAAGCCAAATCCCGAATCACTGAAGTGATAACCCCCAGCCCTAAGCAAATCCATAAAGGACGAAACAAAACTTCGAGTCCAATTGCTATAAGAATGAGATCGGTAGGTTTTCCATAGGATATAAGATCCCCCCCGGTTTTTCACGGCGACTCTTGCCGGCGCCCCAGTGCGAAGTCCAAATCCCGCGCCCTTGCGCGAGCCTTTCATCTCGTCATTAAATCATACAAGCACTCTTAGAAGTCGGGGAACAGGTGGCCGTAGCTAGCAAGGGTATTAGTGGGGGTCATGATGGATATACTCTGGGGCAGAAAGGGAAAACGTACGCATCTTCACCCTCAATGCCGTAGTGCTCTGTCTCTTCGGGATATTTATCGTATTGGCTTGCATCACCTTGGCCACCGCGAATGGGCGGGATATAGGGTGCATCGATATCCTTGCGAGCTAGCCGGTCCCAAGTGACCTCGGCAAACCACGCGTGGTTCTTGACATCTTCGGGGCCCCCGTGCAGGTTACCCAGACGCTTGGTCAGATCGGAAGTAATCAACTGTGACAGCAGATCGACGGCGTCGTCGTGGAGGTACGGCGGATACTTGACCTTGCCGCGCAAAATGTTCTCGTAGATCTTCACTGGGGAACCGCTGTCCCAAAAGGGGGTGAAACCGCACAGCATTTCAAAGATAAGAATTCCCAATGACCACCTGGTGACCAGCAGAGTTAGATTGAACATAAGAAGAGTTGGCTTTAAATGGCGCGAGCTGAGGGTGGACATACCAGTCGACAGATTTGTTATAACCCTTGGAAGAAACTACCTCTGGAGCTAGATAGTCGGGGGTACCACAGAGCGTCCAGGTAATATCCGGCACATCCTTCGCGAAGCCAAAGTCGGTGATCTTCAAGTGACCATGACGGTCCAGCAAAAGATTCTCCGGCTTCAGGTCACGATAGATAATTTGATGGGAGTGCAGATACTCCAAGGCGAGCGTAACCTCCGCCGCATAGAATTTAGCAACTGGATTGGGGAATCGCTGTGGAGAAACAAAGAAAAGAGTTGCAAAGAGTTAGCGATATGTTTGCGTGTGGGGAGCAGGCTGACGAGAGGGGGCCGCGATGGCAAGGAAGCGGGGGTTGTTGCAATCAAGGGCAAGGCCACACGTACTTGTGATTTTCGCAGCAGACTGAATAGCTCACCACCCTCGACGAAATCCATCACCATATACAGGTTTCGCGAGTCCTGCCAGGTTCCCCACAGAGTCACCAGGAACGGATGCCGGACGCGGTTCAACATTCGGCGCTCGTCGTTGGTGTGTTCGATCTGTTTCATCTTGACCACCTGGGCCTTTTTGAGCACTTTCATGGCATAGAAGCGATGATTGTGTTTAGATTGGACGAGATGAACCCGACCGAAGCTACCAGTGCCGAGGGTGCGCTGCAGCAGGAAGTCCTCTTGTGAATACTTGCCCTTGGTTGTGCGTTCTTGTCTCTGCTGCTGCTGAGCCTGCTGCTGGGGCTGGGGCTGGCCTTGAGCGTGACTGGCATTTCCATCATGGTCGGAGCTGAGGGCCTGCGAGGCATTGGCCGGGGTATTTATGAGGTTGTTAATGCTGGCGGCATGGTTGGACTGCTGCGGCGAAGCTTGCGAGCTCACGGCGGGTTGCATGGAGGCGCCTTCGGTAGAATCGTGGGAATGGTGGGAATCGGGGACAGTATGAGAGTTCTCGGAGGGTGCAGGCAGCTCCGACGCGAGGGTTTGAGAATCCTTCGTTCGCCGCTTCTTCAACAGACCACCTAAGCTCGGCATGGAGGACGGCGAGGGAGAGAGAGGGCGAGGGCCATAGAAAGACGATGGGGGGTTGGTTCGGCGGGATGGGGTTTGGGAGGAAGTAGGTGGGGAGGGGCGGGCCGAATGACGCATTGATCTCTGGCCGAGAGACCACCAGAAACGCCTCGAGTTTGGTGCTCTTTGCCCACTTTATGATTTCAGAAAACACTAAGAACGAAACAGATCAATATAGGGCTGTCCATAATTAATAGTCTTTCCAGTCGGTATATTCCCGTTTTTCTACTCGAATCCATTGCCTCGAGGGGAATTACACGATTCCGTGGCCTTGGTGCTGTGTGGCTGTGGGTTTCTTTGACCAGATCACTCGATCCATCACGTCCTTTGTCTGTTGAAATTGGTGGGTTTGCATACTTGTAATCAATCTCACTCGACGCAGCCCAAGCTCTGAACCTATCTTCACTAATCATCCATGAAATGAGGGATAACAAGCTCTTCTCCAACCCATTGACCACCCCCTCAATTCCCCCACAGACAAACCGGATGACGCCGATGACGTTACGAAGTGGTGTCGACCATCCCGGCCTGCTGCGAGGTGCCATCCCGTTCCTCCCGAGCCTCAATGGCTTCGGATTGGGCGAGCGGGGGAGAGTTGAGGGGAAGTTGAGGGATCGATTAGGTTTTCGGCCTCGAATCGACTCGCTCATGACTTTCTGGTCGCTTTTGGCTCGCTCGCTCGTCCGAATTTGGTTCACCAAGCTTTTGGTGGCCGTGGCCCCTAAATTCAGGCATTCACTCAAAGTGTATTATGTAATAATTGCAGATCTGGATGCCTCATATCTCAGGTAACCAAGGAAGTGGCTTATCGCCGCCGCCCAAGTGGTCCGAGGGCAAAAGTAACCAAAAAGTAACCAACCAACAAAACTCACATAAAACACCTCCCTCTGTCCACCTCCCTCCAACATGGCGCTGGTAGCCTACTCCGACTCCGAAGCCTCAGACGCCGAATTCGATACCACCCCCGCGCCTCCCGTCGAAAAGTCCAAGAAACCCGATGCAGGCACCGGCTTCCAGGTCGATCGCGGCAACCCGCGCAAGATTCGCGTCGCCCTACCGGACTTGAAACCGGAAAATCCTACCGATGCAGAGGATGGTCCTGCACGCAAGAAGGCCAAGTTGGGAGGAGGCGCTGGAGGCGCATTCTCGGGCTTCAACTCGTTCCTGCCTGCGCCCAAGCGGGTGGCCGAGAAGAAGGCGCCAGCAGCCACGCGCAAAATATTCAGCTTGAAGACCGGTGCTGAGCCTGGGTTTGATCGCACGGCAGACGCGGAGATGAGGAATAGCCGGGCACTTGATAATGACACTGATGCTGGCGACGGTATCACCCCAGTCGCCGGCAGCTCGGACCAATCTACGACTCCATCGGACTTGCTTGTGAAGAAGACAGAGGTTGGAGAAGTCAAGCTTCAAGGAAACCCGATGATGTTCCGACCACTTTCTGTTGCGCGGAATCAGAAGAAGAAAAAGACCACAAAAGTCGCCCCTCAGCCCACTCCCTCAGCACCGGCCTCCGTGGTACCAAAGCCAACGGAGGTCGCAGCAGAGCAGTCGACAGCACCAGCTTTTGCTCCTGCCCCTACACCGCCCAAACCAAAAGTCAGCCTTTTCTCGCTATCATCCGAGGACACAGCCACAACAGAGACGACTCCGGTGACCACGGGAACCTATGAGCCCTTGGTCTACAATACTGCGTCCGAGGCTGCGTCAGCGGACCCAGCGCTGGTAGCAGACTCGATGCCTACAGATGCAGCATATTATCCGACCAACGCCTCTGTATCATCATCCTTGGACACAATCGCCAATGACCTGAATTTATCAAAGTCGGAACGCCGACAATTATTCGGCCGCAATGCCCCGTCGGCCGACTCCCGTATTCTCACATTCAACACCGATAAAGAGTATGCTTCGAACCAGGCTATCGGTGAAGCTGAGATGGCTGCTACACAGCACAATCCTGTTCGTGCTATTGCGCCTGGCAAGCACACCTTGCAGCAGTTGGTCAATGCAGCCAGTAGTCAAAAGGATGCCCTGGAGGAGAGTTTTGCTACTGGACGGAGGAACAAGAAGGAAGCGGGTTCCAAGTATGGATGGTAGGGGTAGTTTTGGAATAGCCCGGCGTGTATTTGAAATCCTCATTGCTCTTTCAAGCCACTGTATTCCATTGTTCTCGAGATACCAATTCCATACTACAATTTTCCCATCATTCCATCATGACCCCTTGGAAATTATCTCTGCAACATCTAGAGGAACAACCAATGTAATATGTAATCCACATTCATGTACAAACTGATTCTAGAAACTCTATAATAAACATGCGAAAGCTAAAACGCCCTTTTCTTAAAATACAAAAATAACGCCGAAATTGCAAACCCACTTTTCAATGTAGATCATGAAGACACATCCACAACCTCCGCAAACCATTGCTTCAGCGCAGTAGCCAAAACAGAAGGCAATTCACGTACATCACGGACAACCAAGTAGTAAGGGAAGGGGAAGCCCTCCAGATAACGCTTCATCCGCAGCTTCATTTCACCACCCGAATCAGGATCAGCCTCGAAGCTAGCCTGCGAGAGATCAAGAATGGAGCTGCCCTTAACAGCATCAACGATGATAAAGACAATCATAATGCGCTCCTCTAGAGCCTGGCGCACCAGACGGCGGATCGTATCGTGATCTTCACAAATACCATCGGAGATAATGAGCTGCAGCTGCCAGAGATCCGCTGAGCCAGAGCCAGGAGAACGCTTCCAGCGAGCCTCGCGGAAGAGCGCGATAGAATCGGCAATCAACTTGCGCACATTGGTACCGGTCTGCTGGTAGCTGAAGTGCTGGAAGACCTGCATACCGGCCTCGGACGAGAACGGCTTGCCAAACTCGTGCGCAACACGGACGTGGTCTTCATCACCGAAACCCAGCACACATAGATCGCCGGCTTCCAGCATGCTCAGACTCTTTGCCACCAGGGCCAGGGTCTCAAAGGCAAGCTGGCCAGAGCCACTCTCCAGCATGGACTTGCTGTCGTCGACGGCAAGCATGATTTGGTAGTTGCGCTTGGAGGGGATGGAGCGGCGCATCCAGATCTTGTCACGCTTGTACTGGGAGGCAATGTATGGGATGATGCGCTTGATGTTGAGGCGTTTGCCGGTGCGGAAATCGCCGCGGAGTTTGGTGGCCATTGTGGGTGCCAGGATGAGACGGAGTTGTTCGGTGAGAGAGAGGGAGAGGTCGTTGGTGGCGTTCTCGTAGTGCGACCAGAGACGACGGGCTTCGGGCTCGGGGGTCAGCGGTGGCAGGGTGGATGAGAGATGGATGGCCGCGAGTTGCGAGTCGACTTCATCGAGTTCTTCATTTACGTCTTCGGCACCGGGAGCGCCGTCGGCATGGTCTTGCGATGTGCGATCACCCGGGATAAAGGCCCCAGCAGTCTGGCCGTCAGTGGGAGCGGGTTCGCGGTCGATCTGCATCTCGTCTTGGAGCTGGTTGTCCAGTGCGTCCTGGAGCTCATCCGAGATATCAGGGAGAGCTTCGTTCTCTCTTGGCTGGTTCTCGGACTCGACACCCTTGTTCTGATCAAGACCTTTGGCTTGGTCTTCATTTGCCTGACCGAGAGCCTGCGTGTCGGCAACATCATCATCGTCCTTGAGATGCTCGAAATCGGCATCCGCCATATCGGTATCTTGAGGAAGAGGTTGCGAGTCCTCTTCATCCTGTGAAGGGTTCAACACCTCTTTCTGGCGGCGGTGCCATTTCTCAAGGATGTCTCCGAGCTTCTTGAAGGCTTGCATCTGAGGCTCATTGGGAGCCGAGTCCTCAGCACCACCTGCATCTCGACTGCGCTTGCTCTCTTCGCTCTCCTTGGCAGCACCAGTTTGCTGGTCAGCGTTGGCATTGGGGTCGCTGGAGCCACTCTCCTGCTGGGCATCGCCGGAGGCTCCTTTGTCTTCGTTCTGATCCTGGTCGGCGGCAAGTCCACCATTCACCGCATCGCTCGGGGCAACTTCATCACCGGCAGCTTCATTGTCATCCTGCTGAGCAAGGAACTCGTCTTGCTCTGGCTGTTCCGGCTCTTCACCACCAGCCTCATTCTCCTCCTCTTGTCCCTCGCCTTCGTTGGTCTCTTCTCCCTCCTCGCCCATCTCGTCATCCTCACCAGGGGCCTGATCCTCGGGTGCCATGTCGACATCCTCATCCCCAGCTTGATCATCCTGCTCGTCGGCCTTTTGCTCATCTTCGGGGAGAGGACCCATGTCAGAGAGATCATCCATGCCATCGTCATCCTCGCCTTCATCGCCATCGCCTTGGTCATTACCGTCCAACTGCATCTCTTCTGGAAGCTCTAAAGTCTCTTCCTCCTTGGTCTGGGGATCGGTGACATCCATGTCTTCGCGGCCAATAGCCTCGCCTTCGTCGTCAGGCGCTTCTTCCTCATCATCCTCTTCGTCTCCTTCCTCTTCCTCACCCTTGGGTCCTTCTTCTCCATCCTTCTTCTGTTCCTGTGCAGCGGCCTGTTGGTCATCCTCGGCCTGACCCTTTCCTTCTTCGTTCTCGGTCTCCTTCTGCTGCTCATCGTTTGCTCCATCCCACAGCTTCTCGTCAACGGCACCGGAGTCTAGGTCATCGACACTGCCGACCTCCTCATCAATGTCATCGTCTTCATCTTCGCCATTATCATCCTTGTCTTCCTCGTCGCCTTCTTCCTCTTTGTGGTCGCCGGTCTCGCCTTCGAGCTCTTCTTGGTCCATATTGACAGCATCGGCAGAGTCTTCCATCTCATCTTTCTCGGCATCCTCCTTTTGTGCTTCTTGCGCGAGCTCCGAAAGATCCTCATCATCTCCAACGTCCTTGCTGATGTCTTCCGCACCTTCACCGTCGCCAAGACCAGTTCCGCTCTCCATCTTACCCTCTTTGCCTTGGTCCTGTGACGCTTCCGCAGGGCTGCAGAATCCTTCCGATGCGACCTGAGTAAACGTCTTGGTCAAGATGTAAGAGGTCTTGCAGATCTCTCGGTGAACCGAGATGAACCGATCGGTCAGGTCCTGGCAGATTTGATAATATTTGGTGGCGATCGGGAGGATACTGGCAACCAGAGCTGCTGCCATGGGCAGAGCATTGGAGGACTTGTCCTGCAAATTTTGCAGCTTGTCGAGAACGTCAGCCAGTGATGAAGTGATCTCATTGAGGTGGACTGCCCGGGATGCTCGAGAGAAGAACTCATCGCTTCGTGACATGAAACCATCGAAAGTGATCGCTGTAGGGACATCCTTCAGTTGCTGCAGGCCAACGAGCATTTTGTCGACAGCAGACAAGAGACTCTCATCAAACTTCTGGATTGATACGGTGCCCTTTCCGAGCAGGCCAGCAGGGGAAACACTGCTGGTCTGAAGCCAAGGAGCGATTTGCTCCAAAGCGAATGAAAGTTCCGGGCGATCCTGTATCCATGTCTTCAGATCAGCTTCAAGCTTGCTGATCAATGACCATGTTCGCTGGATGAGCTCTTTCTGAATCGTGGAGGCAATTCCAGATGGCAGGGACGGATGTGACTGCAGGGATTGGCGGAGGTCGTCGAATGCAGCCCTCCTTGATTTTAGCTCTTGAGAAAGGGATGTCACTGGGAGGCCGGAGAACTTGGCGTGCACTTCAATGATCGTCGATGCAAGTCCAAGGATTGGGCTTAGCCAGGCGACAACTCGGGTCAGACCCATCAGTTCCTCACCAGCAGAGCCGCCAGCCTTAATGAGCGAGCCTGAGCCAACAGTCCACATGTGCCGTGCCTTGTCAAGGGTAGACTTGAAAGCTCCCAAATCAGACAGTGCTGGGGAAAGGACACCTCTCTGGCGTCGAATGATGAACAAAAGGTGCTCAATAGAGCCCATGCTGCGGAAAACTTCGACGTTGCTGAGCTCATCAGAGTAATTGCGCGAAGCTAGACGAGCGCGAGGCAGCAGATCGAGAAGCCTGTGGAAGTAGGAATCGGCACTCAGAACTGACCCTTGTGTGGTGGCATTGTTTTCAAAGGCAGCGCTGGTGGAGAGCACCTGGGCAAGGGAAACTTGGGCTTCAATCAGACTTGTGCCAGCATTTCGCTTCACACCCATCTCGAAGAGGCGCTTCAGGGTATCTGCATAGAGGCGGCGCTTCTGGACCTTGAGGTGCTGGACATCATCTTTATTCTCCTCAGTCAGAGTCTTTGGGGTCAAGGACTTGAACTCATTGATACCCTCAATGATGGAAACCGTGAATGATTCGAGGTCCTTGGCAATATCAAACTCGGATGGGATGGTCGAATAAAGATTCATCATGTTCCGAGCCGTACCATCCGGGTTCTGGAATCGTAGAGGTCTGGACGACCACAGCTTTTTGTTTGACTGGCAAATTGACAGGACTTCTGGGAACAACGCCGATGGTAGAGCATTCTCCTCGAGGTGCGACTCACTAGCAGAGTCTCCAAGTTCAGGAAGGCCTTGTTCAAGGACTGGCTGGATGGGCTGAGCGAGAGCCTCACGGTACTTGCGCACGAGCTTGAACAACTTGACATGGGACCTCCTGGCACTCTCCTTCAGAGCAACGATATTGATATCTTTCCAGCTTGCCAATTGAATTTGCTCCTTGATGTCTTTCTCCAGGGCTGATCTCTTTTCCTGTAGGATCTTGTCAACCGACGGCTCAAAGGGTCGGAAATGGGACAGGAAATTGCTGAGTGCGGACACAAGCGGCGCTAGACAAGCGTGGTCATTGACGAATGCCACGAGCAGCGCCTGGAAGTCTGATACAAGCTGGAGGCGACGAGTGAATTGACCCAGAGAAGTGGAGTTAAAGAATTGCTCCAGGGTTGAAATGACACCCTGAATGTGCTCACTCATGTCTTGCTCGCCAGACTCCGCCATTTGCAGTGGGACGGCCATAAGAGCTTCGTATGCAACAAACCACCAAGAGCTAACATTGTCATTGCATCGCTCTTTCTCCAGATCCAAGAGCTTCGCCCACGTGGACAGTTCAAGGCGACGCCAGCTGATACTCATGGCTGTGATCTCGTCGTACAGAGGTGCTGCTGAGTATTCCCTACTAGCGACCAGCTGCCACTCATGCACGAAGGAGTGCAGTTTCTCAAGCTTGGTCAAAAATTTGGCAACAGGCTCGGTGTGCTTGAACTGGAGGATTTCTGAGCAGCAGGTGATGACATCTTGGAGAACGGCATGCTCTGGCCAGGCAGTCTGGATTTGTGCAAAGCGAGATTGTACCGAAAGCGTAAGATCAACAAGCTTCCGTGCTTCACCAAGGTTAGAATCGGTGTAGAAGTTGTAGTTCTTCTTATTGTCTTGAGACCCCTCGCCCATGACATCTTCAAGGAGTAAGAAGACAGCGGGAAGATGGTGTTGAGGTGGCACGGGCGCAAAGGAACTCTTGTTCGAAGCCCACATCGATCCCAGGAGCCGACCAGATTCCTTGACAAAAGTAGGAAGTGCCTCGTCGGTGTGCTGAGCGCCGACAATCTTAGCGTGAAGAGATGACAGTCGTACGGCAATCATGCGAGGGTCAACCCGGCCAATTTCTTGGGCCTCAGAAGCCCCTTCATCATATGTTGGGAAGAGCTGATGCAGCTCAGCCTCGTTGACCTCCTCTTCGTCTTCCCACGAGCCTCGGTAGCGGTAGAGCTCAGACTTTTCTGCTTCCTTCTCCTGGTCCTCTCTGAGCTGGGTTTTCCACAAGTGGTGGAAATCGGAGAAAATGCGTCGAATAGTTTCTCGACCAGACTTGATATCGAGCATCGTAGGATCCGCATCCTTGGCTGTCCAGAGGGCGGACAGTTCGTGGAGTCGCAACTCCACGGCGTTGCTTTGGTTGGATGGCGAAAATGCATTGCTTCCCGATAGAACAGGATGAAGAGTGCCACCCAGGAAGGGCGTACGCTTGCTCAAAGACAGGATATCCTGGGTACTGCCGGAGTGGTCGCCTTCACTTGAGGCCAGGAACAGACCAACATCGAGAAGCTGGAGGAAGCGGACAACCGGCACAGTGATGTCGTCGTAGGATCGATAGTATGTGCTGAGGCGATTGCTGAGCTGGGCAATGTTATCACGTAGAAGCTGGATCATCTCCCGCGATTCCGCAATGCTTTCAGGTGAGTCAACCATGGCCTCTGGATTTCTGTTGAGGACAGAATTGATCAAGTTCAAGAACTCTCCATGCAATAAGCTCAGCTCAGATTGCTCAGGGCGAGTCACAGATGAAGGAGGCGGGACAGATCCCAATTGATGGATCTCCTCCTGCAGGAGAAGGGAGCGCAGATTCGATGGCTGGCCAGAGAACGTGCCCTCGAAGGCAAGAATGGCGTTGGACTTTGCACTGATCTCATCGAGACGTTGATAATGTCGCTTGCGTTGGACGACGAGACCAAGTGAGGGATCGAAGGCCTTGTCTGGGACAAAGAGGCGAAGAAGGATGACTGCTAGTTGTACGGTTGCGAGCCCAGTGAATCGGGCAACATCCTGGCCGTTGGAGACTGAAGCCAGCGAGGAAACAAGGGCAGGCAGGGCCTTCTGGGCCAGAATCCTGACGTAGTGGCCATCCTCAAGGCTTGAATCGAGCGTAGTCGTAACAAGTGTTGCATCCTCAATGCCATGTCCTGTTTCAATGGAGCGCAAAACAGAGATCAGACGCTCAGCAGACTCGGCAGTAAAGAACTCCTGGTGACAAGAGACCAGCTCGGCTGTCAGAGCTGCAAGAGCACAGCTGAGAATGCTAGACTGCTCTGTCGCAACTTGTCTGCTGCTCATTGAGAGAGCCTTTGAAAGCGCTTGCTTTTCTGCTTGAAGCAGATCCATTTGGCCCAAAGTTGTGTTACCGACAGATGTCAACCGGTCCAGTAGCGATACTGAGATCACGCCACCAACCGCCAATGGAGAGCTAGAATTCTTTCCGGCGCCCGAAAATAGGGCGACCCTGTGAAGCAACTCTGGTACTCGACTGTGTGTAGTTGAGGAGTCAAGTGAACGTGCACGGCGACCAGCAAGCAAGGACACCACTGTCTGGACAGGCTTGTCGGCGCCGAAGGAAGATATGTCATGATACTGGCATATTGCTTCGAATTCTTGTGAGAAGTAAGGATATTGAACAGAATCAGAGCGGCGAACAGCCTGGCCAAGCTCGGCCACCGTCTGCTTAATGCCATCGAGAAGCACATCCCCGTCAGCACCGTCTAGCAGAATGAATCTCTGCGCATCAATCAATGAGTTCCACACATTGCTTAGCTGGGAAATCTCAACGCGCGTCTGCAACGCCAGATTGGTGAAGTCAGACACTGTAGTCTCCAATTCGATCAGAGATCTCAATTGCTCCTGTGATGACGGTGTAACATGTCTCCAGGAATCCCAGATCCGTTGCATGCTGAGACCTGTAGTCAACGCCCATCCAGCTTGGAATCGAGCAAGGGTAGTTGAGAGTGCTGATTCTAAAGGCTTCAAAGATGGAGATGATTCAAGAAGAGATGCGCAAACCCTCCTTCCAATCTGCAGGTAAACTTGGAACTCTCCTTCATTGACCTGACTGACATTGGTTGCTCTGTAGATGTCCCAGCACAGGGAGATGATCGTTCTTAGGGCAGCCACAATCTCTGGCGAGCCAAGACTAGCCTCGTCTAAGCCTTGAATATAGTCGTACAAAGCTTGGCCGCATTCAGACAGGAAGCTGCCGACAGGCTGAGTTGTGTCTTTCATCAAAGATTGTATGCGACTGGAAGCCAAGGAACGCTCAAGTCGTGTCATTTGACTCGGTTTGAGTTGGTTGGCAGAGTCATTGGAGTGGACCAGCTGTTGTTTGAGACGATGGAGTTCAAGCCTAAACTCTTTGAGATAGGCTAAGACAACCATCCTGGAGCGGTAATCGCTGCCTCCAGTGACTGACAACAGGGGCTCATTGACAAGAGGGTGAATTGGCTGGAGTCCGCCCTTGATGCTCAGAGAGGCCCCTGCCATGATGATATCACCAGCGACAAAGTTAAGGGGTCTCCATTGGTCATTTTCCTGGAGCATAGAAATGTAGCGTTGCAAGGTGTTGGACACGACAAGTCTCTCCAGATCGGAATTGGTATGGTTGGCCAAGAAGGGACCGGGGGACTTCTGAAGATAGACAAGATCTGCAGGGGAGAGATGATCCAGGCAGACTTCTAATGAATCCTCCGTCCGGGCAGATGATGACGGCAATGCAGTGTTCGAACTCCAAACATGACGCAGGCGATAGATTGCGGACTCGCATGTATAGGAAGGACCCGTCGTAGTCGAGAACTCTTGACCCTCGCTTGGCATAAAGCAGATCTCAATACATCTGTTTCGCATGGCACGAGACAATTCGCCATGGCGAGGATCCATGGTCATAAAGAGGCGGAAGTTTGGATGAGGAGTAACGATGCGTGCGGATCCATCCTCGGTTCGCTGCTCATTCAGGATGAGGGTGCCATTGGGCTCAGTCAATGAGTTCAGTCTATCCAGAACAGAGGGGTTGCAAAGATTTGCGTTGTCGAGAATCACCCAGGATCCATTCTGAACAGCCCGAGTCAGGACACCCTCAGTCCACTCAAAGCCAACCTTCATCTTATCAGAGTTGTGGATGGTATTCAAAAGAATCTGGGCCCTCTCAAGGAATTGTTGCAAGGTTGGATCTGAAAATGACTGGCAAAGGTCTGAAAGTGAAGAGACCACAGTTTCCAGTGAGGTTTCTGGGCTTTGGAAATGCTGGCAGATTTGGAGAGCCAGGGCCACGGATTCGGAGACGTCCCCCGATGCGAAAGAATGGATGATCTGGTTACGCAAGAAGATCTCAACATCATGAATGAAAGATGAGACCTCTCTTCTATGATCGATTTGCTCAAAGCCGCCAATCAAGTCCATAGTGTCAGTATCAGCGCTCAGAGCGAGTTCCTCCAGGTTTGCGCCATTGATAGCTGCGAGTTTCTTGATCAAGGTCGTCTTTCCACAGCCGGCTGGGCCAACGAGAATGCTGGGCCAGGAGTTGTCAATGCAAAGGATAAGAGACTCGAGAATATGAAGGTCATTGGGGAGAATCTTCATGTGTGGTGCAAGCGAGCGTTGTAAAAGAGGATCTCTGGTCAGAATACCCAGGCCAACCTGTAGATAGTCCGGGGTCAGGTTATGGAAGTAGCTCTTCTGGCCAATTTCGCAATCGTTGAAAATGCGGTCATAAATCTCAGCAACTTGCGCACGATCATCTTGACTCCTGAACCTTTGGCTGATGACGATGTCCAGGAAGTGCTTGGTTGGGATCTGTAAATCTCCCCGGTCGGCCAATTTAAGCCATCGCTGGATGTCTCGCAGATTGACTTCCCATGGGCCACCGACGGCTCCGAGTTTGCGTTCAGTCACGATCGCGGTATTCAGGCTGGAGATGAAGTCGACTAGCCTTTCGGTCTGGGAAAGGGGACTTCCAGGGAAGAGCTTGGTACAGATCTGCTTCAAATCTGCATCGGTGAAGCTGTCTGCATAGACGACGGTGAAACGATTCACGAACGATGCAGGAAGACCTTTTCGTCCACCCCCCTGGTGATGAGGGTTTTGTGCCGCAAAGAGGACGAAGTCCGGGTGACGCTTGAAGGTTTGGTCAAGTTCGGCAATATAGACCTGCTGGCGGTGATCCAGACAAGAGTTGAGACCTTCAAGGACGGACTGTGAGGCCAAGTTCATTTCGTCCAGGAGGACCCAATCGCCGCGCTGCATTGCTCGCAGGAATGCAGCATCACGCCAAGTGAATTGTCCAACATCTCCTCCTTCAACAGGAACATCGGATCCGAACAAGTCTGTGAGGTCTGTCTGTTCTGAAAGGTTGATTCGAGTGAGGGGCTTGCCGAGAGCTTTAGCAAGGGCTGTGACGAGTGTAGTTTTACCAACACCAGGGCTACCCTCCATGAGGATGGGCTTCGAGGATTGGAGACCACGGGCGATTCTAACCGAGTTAGCAATTGTGGTCGGCGCATCCAAGGTGAATTGCGGATCGGGATCTGTCTCCCCAACGGTTGGCAGAGAAAACGGACCGACCTGCAGGAAGCCGGGCTTAAGAGAGACAGTCGAAGACTGCCAGTAGATCTTGGAGGCGTCAACACTGAATAGTTCGCCCAATTTGTCTAGACACTTTTGTCGATTGCCATCTAGATTATGCAGAGAGATTGCAAGCATTGCAGCTGGGTTGGCACCGAGAGTATCGACAAAGACCATGGCTGCACCTTGAACGATAGCGAACAAAGTATCCTCATTTTGGCAGGTGTTCACAAAGTCAACCCAGGCAAGAAGATCACGAAGAGAAAGAGAGGTTGTGGAAGTATTCTGGAAAGTTGCCTTGAACCATTTCGCAAATCGAAGCATCGACCTCGCAATCTTCTCATCTTTCAGGGTCAATCTCATCTGAAGGATAGGGAGAATATCCTCGTCCTCGGATAATTGAGGAGCCCAGATTTCTGTCATACGGTTCCGCAGTGCAGCTGAAAGCTCTCGTTTGCCGTAGTCACCACCGGGGTTCATAGTTGACAAAAATTGGAAACCTCCATCAGCCACAACCATGGAATCGATTGGACCCTTCTCGGCCAGGAGGATTGATCGATGAGGTTCCAGAACACTATTCAGTCGTTCCAAGACAGAATCATCAGCAAGAGAGATTTCGTCAAGCAGGAAAAATTGACCAGTTTTCATGGCAGTAATGAGACTTCCGTCAGACCACTCGAAGAGAGCGTTGCATCGAATCAGGTTCCTCTCAATCTTGCGCAGAAGGTCTTGATCTCTATCTTGTCTCTGCTGGACATCGAGAGCTGAAAACTCATGTTTTAGCTGTTCAAGCGACGAGTTTGTCGACGGCTGCCCATGGACAAACAATTGAAGGTCTTCGAAAAGCTGCTTCTCAATTGCTGCACGGTTTCGGATTGGCCGTTGGGCACCAATAAGATCTCCAGTCTCCAAGTTGACATGGGCGTTCACAATAAACAACTCCCGCATGAAAGCTTCAGCAACGGCCTGGCAGAGCTGTGTTTTACCACATCCAGTCTCTCCAACGAGAAGAACCGGCTCGTTGTTCTTAAGAGCTTTGGAGACCAGGATGAAAAGGCGCCGCATAGCCTTGGTCCAGACGATACCAGCTGGCAGTTCAGCCATCTGAGGAACACTTTGCTCAAGCTGCGACTCGCTGTACAGCACGTCTTCGTCCAAGCGGACCTTCATGACCTCTTCAATCACACTTTTCACGGCAGCCTTCTCTTGAGGGTTGCGAACGCGTTCGCCCAGTAGCATATAGCCGTTCACTGCCAACTGTTCGCGGTCATCTGCATCGCGAAGAGCCCAACGGAACAAATCACGAAGAGTAGCAAAACTGTTCTTCTGCTCAAAGAGTCGGTTGGATTGACGGAGCAGGGAAAGTTTGCGATAGACCGCCACAATGCGAGAACAGAATGAGGGAGCAATCTGAGAACGCTCCTTGAGAATGAACTCCAGTTCGCTCTCGGGGATGTCATCAAAGTGGAGCTCAAGGAAACGATTTCGGAACGCACGAGAAAGCACCTTTCGGCCACCGTACAGACCGGCAGGGTTTTGCGTAGCGAAAAGCATGAAGTTGGGATGAGGGTGGACTACTTCCTGAGTCTCAGGAATGAAGAGCTCACGATTATCATCAAGAAGACGGTTCAACGCCTCAAGGACATCGGAAGGGGCCAAGTTCAGCTCATCAAGGACTATCCAATACCCATTTCGCAGAGCCTCCACCAACACACCCTCTTGGTAACGCAAGGTTCCATCGTCAGAGGAGATGTAGGTTCCAAGATACTCTTGCAGGTCTGTATGTTCATGGTTGTTAATACGAACAAATTTGTTGCCGGAGACCTTGGCCAAGTATTCAATCATGCTGGTCTTTCCTGCTGACGTGGGACCTTGCAGAAGGACAGGGAAGCGACGTGTAGAGCTGGCTCTGACCAAATTCTTGAGATTCTTCTCAATAAAGGGAGTAATGATGTAATGAGGCTGCTCCTCTGGAACCAAAGGACCACGTCGCATCCAGTAATGTTTGAACTGAACGTAGTCGTGGCCATCCTCGGGAGGTCGGGGGGTTCGTCCAAGTAGGGATTTGGCGTTTTTTGCGTTCTCGAAAATATGCTTTTCCAGCAAGGGAACAAGCAAGCGTTCGGATTCCAGGCTCAGAACAGTCAAGAAACTCATACTAAAACCCTCAAAGATCGCTCGTCGCAAGCCATATACATGGGCGTGATCAATGACGTATATCAAGGCTCGAACAAGAGTTCGAATACTGAAATGTGGTCGCTGTCCAGCTCCGTCTGTGAGCTTGTTCTCGTTGCTGAGTTTCTTGGTCTCCATGTATAGCTGGGCAAGATCGGGCGCGGCTCTTGGGTCACCCATAGTCAAGTTACCAAGATATTTCTCGATCAGAGCCAAGAGATCATCCAGCTCGGTATCGGGTGAGTGGACATAAAACTCGGTAAATCGGGAACGCAGGCCAGGCGGCAAATCACGTTTCCCGGCGTCCGTCGCAGGATTCATAGCACCAAAGATACGGAAGTCGGGATGGCCGAATACTCGCTCAACATCGCCAGCCTCGGAGAGAAGAACAGATGGGGTGCCTTCACTACCGTGATGCAAAAGACTGGCAATGTTCTCAAGAGTATCGGGGGAGGCCAGGTTCACTTCATCCAGCAAGACCCATTCACCATTCCTCAAGGCTCGAACAATTTTTCCCTGTACAAAAGCAAATGCGAATTTTGCGTCGCCCTGGGATACCTGGGCTTCGAAATCCGCAAGCTGGGCTTCGAAACTCTCCCACCGCTGTCGCAGATGTTGATATTTAGGGGAGTCCAGCTTTCTCTTCTTGGCTGGTTGCTGCTCATCACCATTCTCAGTCTCCTTCGAGGTGTTGCGTGCAGGATTGAACACTCCATTGGCCAGCCGGAGAGCCTCATGCCAAAGATTGACCAGACGCACCCAATTACCTGAAGCAACACTTTTGGTCACAGAGGAAAGGAACTTCTGGTTCTTTTTGGCCGAGAAGGTCAATTCGAACAGCTGAGTGAACTCGTCAAGCATTGGCACTGCCATTGTACGAATACTGACAGGCTTGAATCCTCCAAGGAGGTCGGTACTTTCTGATTGTTGCGACAGGTTGACGACAGTGAGCTTCTGCCGCATCAACGTAGCAAGTTGCTGGATCACAGTGGTCTTGCCAATACCAGTCTCTCCAACAAGCAGGACGGGTTCAGCCATTTGCACTGAGGCGGCGACTTGCTCCATGATAGCCAGCGCTGATCTGGTCGAAGCAAACCGTGACGCGGCAGCAGCAAGCTTCTGTGCCGCACCGCTTGGAACTTTGATTTTCTGCAAAACCTCCCGGCCAAGCACCAAGGAGTTGTTCTTGTCGTTGTAGGCTGGTGTACGTTCCTCAAGGCAGAATTGTGCACGTTGAGGGGAAATTTGGAGAGCTTCGGCAACAACAGCAGCGAGAGAGCTTTGCATAGACTTCTCAGGAAGATACTTGAGGAAGATGTCCACAATATCCAAGAGGATCTCGTCCTCGATACCTTCTGGTGTAGCTTCAAAGCCGGTCTTCGCGCCAAGAAGTTGTAACCTCCGATGCAGTCGACTGCAAAGCTTGATCAGGTCACGGAAGCCCGGTGTCCGGCCCTGGGAGCCCTTGATCGCTAGGGATCCATGAAAGGCAGAGCATACCCTCCTGTAAACCTCCATGATGATTGGCACACGAGACTCCAGCAAAGGGAACTTCTGCAAAATGACATCTCGCATCTCGTCGACGGAGAGAGAGGCCACGGGTACTCTTTGCCACAGACGACTACCGAGCATCGAGGTATTTGGCGCAACTTCCTCTCCAGCAATGTTGTAAGAAGACTTCATAGTGGCGATGATCTTGAACCCTTCGGCGCACTTTATCTGCTCCCTTCGGCTCGCGATCGTCAATTCCCCTCGCTCAATTATTGGTAGGATGAGACCGAGGACTTCGGATGGAGCACGGTCCAGGTCTTCAATCAAAACCCAACGGCCTTCTCTCGCAGCCTTTGTGAGTACACCGGGTTGCCAGGAGAAAGATCCTGTGGCAGATGAGGTCGCGTACATTCCGAGCAGACTCTTAGCATCCGTCTGCTCGTTGAGATGCAGTGTGACCATCGATTCCGCCTGGCCCATTACACCAGCAATGTCATTAATCAAAGATGTTTTGCCGGAGTTAGGCAGACCGACCAACAGGATCGGCTTGAATCCAAGAAGAGACCGCGCAATACGGCGGATATTTGCTGCTGTGGTGGGGGTCTTCACGATGGAAGAGGAGATTGGCTCCGCATCTTTCAATCGAGGAATCAAGACGCCGGAAATATCAGCAGACCTAGATGTGAAAGCACCTCGGGTCCTGTCAACGAGGGCCATCGCGTCGCTCTCCGATCTTGACAAGTTTGCCTGTCGAATATGCCTTTCCAGAATTTCCCATCGCCGCTCCTCCCACAATCCCAAAAGTCGGTAATCAATAGTGATCCCTTCCCAGTTTCCTTCGATAGGGTCAACGCCGGTATTAACGCGCAGCATATTTTCGGTGGCTGAATCCGCAGCATGCATGTAGAGGGCAAAGCATCGGACGGCAAGGTATCGGATTACTCGGTCTTCGTGGGGAAACAGAGATTGGAGTTGAATAGGTGAAACGGCTTTCGCGAAGGTGTCCAAATCGAACGACAGCAGTCGAAAGAGTGCGAGAAGTAAGTTACGGGTATCATTTGGTTCCAACTGTCGTAATGTCAATTCCTTCGACCCAGCTAGGGCTGAGAGGGCTCCAGCCTGTGACAAGGCATGTTGGCTGGCAAAAGGTCGAAGATATGCCGCGAAAGGTAGAATGCGGGCAAATGCCGCCAGGATATGAATAGAATCGGCATTGAGATCTGATCGAAGCCATCGAGCTGCTAGATCGACCACGATCGGTTCGTATAGTCTGAAAACAGTTTCTGTGAACTGGCTGTTCAATGCGCCAAGCGCAAGCGCGTGAAGCTGTTGAGTCCCCGAGGCAGACCGAACGAGACTAGCGATCTCGTTTGGGAGCTGCTCGAGGAGCTCGGACTCTGTGAGAGTCCTCTCGTAGACGGGCCTTCCATCCATACTGAGCCCGGCCGCGTAGAGGATCTCCTCGCAATTAATTTGATTGCAAGTTGAAGAATGAAATTCCCCGTAACTTTTTTTTCTGCCGCGATGAAAGACCCAGCCCCACCGGCCTGGAGCACTCACCGCCTCCTAATCGGGATCATTAAGCCTCCCGGAGCTTGCGCCAGCTCCGATGATCAGTCGTCAAATCTGTCTACGGTAACGGTGTTCGAGCTATTTCATAATCGTTCAGGAGATGCTGGCTCTGTGGAGCTTTGATGGTTCAAGATGTCAATGACTGGTCAGAGCTCGGGCAGCGATGATCAACCATACGCGACACGTCCAGCTCTACCGGAACAGGAACCTACGAGCCCCCAGCTTCAAGACACCAGTCGAGGCGCAGAGGGGTTTGAGCCGTACGTGTGATTCCATACAGGGCCACTTCATTTGCTAATGTAAGCCTTTATACAGGATTTCTTTCAAGCGAAAACAAAAACGCCAATCCCGTTTCAGCCTATCTAGCCTTTTCACGAATACCGCTGGCGGTTCGAGCACTGAGCTTGGGTTCACCAGACTACAAGGCGGACAAAATGGCGATGCCTCGCCACTGGAGCCTTATGGACCAGTTGGATTGAATGGGGATCCGAACTCCAAAGACGGTGGTCCCCTGGACTGGTACGTGGAAGGCCCCGGTCGCCGAGTAGGCTACGACGATTTTACCGCCATCGATTGGATCTATGAGTACACGAAAGAACGTCAACGGAAACGGCTACTGTACTCCAGTGGTCAGGGTGTTTTGGGCTATGCGCGCAGAGTCATAGAAGCCAGCAACGTCTGGTTTGTCCTCATTGCAACCGGTATCGCTGTAGGAATCCTTGCTGCAGCCATCGACATCGCGACGGATTGGTTAGGAGATTTGAAAACCGGTTACTGCAAGAGTGGCAGTGGAGGTGGCAAGTTTTATCTAAATCGAAGCTTTTGCTGCTGGGGTCTAAATGGTAAGCACGCCCCGTGGCGCTCCTTGGTGGTACTCACGCTGTTCTACAAGCTTACGAAATACCGTGACGAATAGATTATTCCAAGTGCATGGACTGGAAACCATGGGGGAGTGCGCTAGGTGTATCTTCAACCGGAGGCCAGTATGCCATCGAGTACATATTTTACACTGTCTTTTCGGTATTCCATCCTGCCTCTACGCGCTATTAGAAGATCTCTAATCTCAACCAGGTTGTATTCGCTCTATGTGCTTGCCTGTTAGTACGACGGTTTGCAATTTATGCAAGGCACAGTGGAATCCCCGAGATTAAAACGATTCTTGGAGGAACTGTCATCCGACACTTCATGGGCCCGTGGACGCTGACTATCAAGTCGCTTGGGCTGGTAGGTCTCCACATCCTGACGAGCCTTGTTCCGAGCGAGTGGCTTAACATTTTATCCCCAGTGTCTTGCAGTTTCATCCGGTCTTTGGCTCGGTAAGGAAGGTCCACTGGTGCACGTTGCATGCTGCTGCGCCAACATAATGATGAAACCCTTCGACAGCCTCACCGGTAACGAGGCGAGGAAACGTGAAGTCCTCTCTGCTGCGGCGGCGGCAGGTATCTCTGTCGCCTTCGGTGCTCCCATCGGAGGAGTCCTCTTCAGCCTGGAGGTAGGCACAGAACGACCCTCGGCTTGTTCAATTTCATTATGTCCTGTTCTTACTAACCGTTCATAGCAATTATCTTATTATTTTCCAGATAAGACAATGTGGCAGAGCTTTGTCTGCGCTATGGTTGCTGCTGTGACTTTACAAGCATTAAATCCATTCCGCACGGGAAAAATTGTGCTCTATCAAGTCACGTACACTCGAGGGTGGCACCGCTTTGAAGTCATTCCATTCATTATCCTTGGCATTGTTGGCGGTCTCTTTGGGGCATTCCTCATTCGTCTGAACATTAAGATCGCCCAATGGCGACGATCACAGTCATCTTCTCGGCCCATCGTTGCGGTCGCCATAATTGCTCTCTTGACGGCCTTGATCAACTTCCCGAATCATTTCATGAGAGCCCAAAACTCAGAACTCGTCCAGGCACTTTTTGCAGAGTGCAGCAGTGAAACATATGATCGATTCGGTCTTTGCGTCACGGGGACCAAGGCTTTCGGTGTAGTTGCTATCCTCTTGCTCTCTGCCGCGCTCGCGTTCTTCCTTGCTTCGTTGACCTTCGGGCTAGATATTCCGGCCGGTATCATCCTGCCGTCAGTTGCCATCGGTGCACTCTATGGTCGCGCTCTCGGAATACTAGTGCGAATGTGGCAGGAAGCCTACCCAAAGGCATTCCTCTTCGCCAAATGCGAACCCGACATTCCATGCGTAACACCTGGGCTGTACGCGATCATTGGCGCGGCCTCAGCCCTGGGTGGTGCAACTCGAATGACGCTCTCCATTGTTGTCATTATGTTCGAGTTGACCGGCGCTTTGACTTATGTCATCCCGATCATGATCGCCGTGATGTTGTCCAAATGGTGCGGTGATATTTTTGGAAAACGAGGCATTTATGAATCATGGATTCAGCTCAATGAATATCCGTTCCTCGATCACCGCGACGACACCACCCCACCAGACGTCTATGCTCGGCGAGTAATGACGGTTGTCGACGATCTATCTGTCATCACCGCAACAGGCCACACCATTGGCTCACTTCGAAATCTCGTTGCTAACACCACCTACCGTGGTTTCCCGGTGATCTCCGAGACCTCCAGCCCTATTCTTCTTGGATATATTACACGCAATGAGCTCTCGTTCGCTTTAAAACATTCGACTTCTCCCGCCAACCGCAATCTCTCGGAAGACACTCAGGTCTTCTTTATCCACCAGCCATTTGCAGATCCCGTGGAGACATTGGATCTTCGGCCCTGGATGGACCAAACCCCCATTACTCTCAACAGCAATATCAGTTTCTTGATCGTGCTGCGAATGTTCCAACGGCTGGGTCTACGATACGTCCTTTTCGCGAACAAAGGAATATTACAAGGCTTATTGACCAAAAAAGATGTTTGGTCAGTGCTTAATGGTGTTGAGTTTCGTCGGCAGGAAGCCTTGCGAGGCGATGAGTTTCAAAATACACATGGGGCCGAAGAGGTTGGCCTGCTCCAAGGTGATGAGCAAAGCAGTCTCAGTGGTTCACTCAGGCGAAACTCGCTGTGACGATGTTTTTTTGTTATAATTTTGTACAACGATCTTTTGCATAGTGTTTCTTGGCGGATCATGCCCCAGTTACTAAATCCTGCTCTCTGCTATAGAATCTTTCTTGAACATACCTCTGGGTCCCCGGGCCGATCAAAGGACAAATCGAAGAAAACATACAATCTCCCTATCTGCTGATCCAAACCGAGTTGATTTGTAGATCATGTTCGGGATAGAAGCTGAATTAAATTTGATCAGATATCTTGAAGAGTTGTGTGTTTCTCAGCCCCCAATTGCTAGAGGTGACCTCGGATATATTGTGACGATATATTTTCGGGAGGGGCTCAAATTCGCGGCTAGGATGGAGGTGCTGAGAATACAGAACCACGCTTAGCAAAATGAGCTTTCTAGGTGGGATACTGACTGTACCCAGACCAGTTTTAGCTGCCACAAGTATCAAAAGTCCACAGAATCAAACGGACCTCGTTTTCTATATCCTCTATATCCTCAACTCCTCCACTAACCTCTGTCTTCCTTCGGATTTCATCTAACACCAGGTCACGTGCCTTTCTATACCTTCCAGATCGATTTTGTCACATCTCACCGCACCTTTACCGCCCTACTCACCGCTTTCATGAATTTCTGGCCTTGACCGCCCAGGGCCACGATGCCTCCCCACCTTGGTTCTGGACCTTCTGTCTCGACGGGAGCTCGTTGGAAGACGCCATATCTGGTATCAGGATGATGGTTGATCCGTTCGAAGTGCGCATGCGCTTCACCCAGCAGTTGCAGTATCTCAGCGCCTCGGTCACCTCCTCCCAGAAAACTGCTCAATATGCACTCAAGTACCGCGACTGGGACGAGGACCTTCACTCGTGCATTCTGGAGCAGCTGGAGAGAGTACGCATAGTGCCTGGGAATTCTATTCGATGAATTAGTACTGACCTGCTTCACTTTATAGAACAACATGAACAACCGGGCCAACATCATGTCCTTCATCGAGCAGTTCTGCGATATGGCCACCAAGGAAGATCACCTTCCCTACGTTCGGATGATCCAGCGCGACATTCTCCGCATCGTGGATGCAGTTGTCCCTCCTGATGGTTCTGGTGCCGCCAATGTTAAGCACGTTCGACGAGTGCTGGGCAATCTCAAGGAAAAGGGGATTCTCTCTGCTGAAAGTGTGGAGGAGATCGACGCCGCGCTCAAAGACCGTGACACTCACCCCAAGCACTATGACAACGAAGAGGAAGGGGTCTTGGAAGAAAGTGCTCAGATCAAGACTGGTGCTCGCCTGGACAAGCGACAGATTGAGCAGAGAATCGAAGAAGACCGCGAGCGGAACAAACGTCTGAGAGAAACCATCTGGGCCGTGAGCGGAGATGATATAGATGAATGCGAGCAGCTCTGGGATGAGTGCAGTGAGGCAAACTCAGATGACTTCCGCAACGCCAGAGAGGAGGCCTTGGCCCAGTTACAAGTAGCTGCTGAAATGTGCAGAGAACTGTGTGAAGAGCTCTGATTTTTTCAATGTCCGCATAAACATCACTGGCGTTAGGTTCTCTGGGCAAACTTTCAGGTGCAAAAGGATCGGGTTGCATTTTACGGCGCTATGACATATGAGATATGCTGTGATACCCATTCGTTGTCTAACAGGTCCTGTTCCCAAGTTCAATCAAGGATTCTTATTATTCTCCTCACTGTTCGTATGTCTCCAACGTAGTTGTCCACGAATCCCAAGTTCCAAAAGAACGACAAAGAGATTTAGCCTGGCCCTTTTAAGTTGGAGATCATCTATGTAGTCCTCTGAAAAGTATTTAGTGACCTTCTACAATATCAGCTCTCCGTAAATACAAAATGCACCCCAGGAAGCGAATAAAGTCGGGACTGGCTATAGATCGAGTAGATCCAATGGTGCCAAGACTTTGTGGGGATCGGGAAATTTTAAGGCCGAGCGATTTTTTTTGGGCTGGCGCATCGCCCTACGGCTTCGATCACCAGTACCTAGCTTTGGGACTTGTGCCGTCTCCCTCTTTTATTCTTGTCTTGTCTCTATGTTCTCCAATTTTGTGACTGCAGCGAAAGGATTATTTGCGCGTCACGAGTCTGAAGACATCCTCGCAGATCCTGCTGGTGCCCCCGCTGCAACTACATCCGATATGGTGACCGCTACCAGAAGAGGGACGGTCACGACCAAAAAGCCGATTACCAATGGTGCTGCTAAGCAAGGAAAGCGAAAGGCTCAGCCTGTGACTACAGAGAAGTCAAATGACAAGCAGAACAAGCGGAGGAAGAGGAATAGCCTGGAAGCCCAGGATACGATCAATGAAGATACCACACCCGATGCTGTGACCGAGTCAGCTACAGACGAAGAAGATTCAGCGCCCAAGAAGCACTTCCGGTTTGGCAGCGAGGACCCAGAAACCTCTGTTCCAGAGACACAGCCCGAGCCGGTTCCTGCGAAGCTTCAGCAGGAGGAAGACGAGGATAGCGATAGTGATGATGATGTGCCTGAGACGATTGACAATTCTGCCCAACTTTTGAAGATCAAGGAGCAGGCCAGGAAACAGGAGAAGGCAAAACAACAGTATGTTATATCTATGTCCTGCCTACTTTCTTTCGTTCCAGTGAACTAACACACTTCCTACCAGAGAGGAGCACTTGAAGAAGGAAAAGCGCCGGAAGCTCGATGAGACCCGCAAGTTGCAAGCCAAGTCCAAACCCAAGGAGATCACCGCCCCGAGCGAGGACCTTTTGTCCGAAAGCACCACCACCGTGCAAGGCGAAAGCACAGAAGATGCCCGACGACGCACGCTGCCCGCTTTGCTCCCCGACGATATCCTGAACGCCGAGCCTGTCGTTCGTCCTCCGACGCCGCCCGCCGAAGATAACTTTGGATTTGCTATTCCTAAGAAGTCAAACAAGCTCAGGTTCCTGGAGAAGACCGAGAATGCCCCCAAAGATGTGCAAGTGGGCGATGTCACCATTCGAGTGCTTGATGCCCCGTCCACGAAACAAAGTTCGAAGCCCGCGTTGCCCCCCAAAGCTTCCAAGAGTGGGCGGGGTCTGAAGGAGGGTTGGCTCAAGCAACAAAAGAGCACAGCGCACGTCAACGGTCTACGGAGGACAGCGGGTAGCTCGTCTGGCTTCAAGCGTCGATAATTCCTATCGCCTGTGTATTTTGTCGAAAAGTTGTCAAAGGCGTATTATAGCACGGTCCCTGGGTCACGGTCTTGCATATTTGTTTGATGGAGTTCCTACTGTACATAGGTTACCATATTCCCCTTCTAAGGGGTCATGAAAAATCAAAACTCAAGTATGAATCTCAATAAATACATTCTTCGGTTGTCCCTTTGACTTTTTCTAAAGCATGTTTGATCTGGCATGTCCTATGTACCTTGTATTTTCCACCGAAACGCGGATCGCCTCCAGATTATTAAGAGTGGGGACTGTCGCAATTCACGTGGGGAGCTCCGACCTTGGAAGCTCTGACTTTTCCCCAGCTTCATCGCTCTTCAATTCCCTCTGGCGCTTGTGTCGCCTGCTCAATAACGATGTCTACAGCCGCAGAAGAAGCTCCTTTATTACCTCACGCAAATGCGGCGTCACCGCGGACGACCAGGCCATCCCGGTCGGTGACGTTTAACCCGCTGACGACAATCAGTACCTACGGTGGTACGACCTCCTCCGATCCTACCTTTCGCCCTCTTCAAACCGGCTCTCCTCCGGTTCAGAATATCAATGCTACTGGAGGGGCTCCTCGACCGGGCAGCCAGCCCATGCTCTCGGCCTTGAACAGCAAACTTCGTCGTCGCAATAGTCATGGCGCTCCCTTGACTACGCCGCCCCCGGCTGCCCCCAAGATTGGACCACAGCGAACAACCAAGAAAGCACAGAAGCTCAAGCTCCTTCCAGACCCTGTTACGGCCGAAGAAGAGGAGGGCTTTGATGGAGACTTTCCTCGAGACGTTTATTCACAAATTACCCGCATCAAAGAACCTGCAGCTCGCAGCCATGCAGCTCGACTGGGAAAAGCCGACCGCGACCGCATTCCACGAGTCACCGCATACTGTACGGCCAATTCATATAGATTGGAAGGCGTTGTCAAGTTTCTAAAATCCCGCTCCAAAACTCGCGGAGCGAACCCGAAACTGTTCGACGAGTGTGTCTACTCCCCATTTGATTACCAGTACGAAGAGAAGCAAAAGGGAACCCGATTTTTCCCCAGTGCTGGAGGCAATGGACACCATGAGCGACGAGCTAGCGAGCGGAGATACTCAGATAGTGTGGTGGAAGTGGAGGACAACACAAAATCCCGACGAGAAGATCTCATCGACTTCCACGAGGAAGCTGGCCGTTCCGGTGATGTCAGTTCCGAACATGCAGTCTCCACTCCACAATCAGACGAGGCCTTTGAGATCGACACCACCATTCATACTCCCGAAGTCTTCCTGTTTGACTATGGAACCGTGGTGATATGGGGCATGACCCCAGCACACGAATCCCGCTTCTTGTCTGATATATCCAAGTTTGCATCCTCAATATTGAGTCCCGACGATACCCAGATCGAGAATTTCAACTTTTACTATGCGCGAGAGTACCAGGCGAGGATATACAACGATTTCATCTCCTTGCGGGAACCACGAAACCACATGATCAAGCTGGCTATCTCGCATGCGCTAGCTCAGTCGGTGAAGACCTCACTCTTTGAGGACCTGCTGTCAGAGACCATCTCGGACACCGCACCGCTACCGGCTCAGATTGCACAGACTGGTAGTGTAAATCTCACACGTCGGCAGATTAACATGCAAATTGGCGAGTTGTTCATTCTGCGAATCAATATCCACTTGCAAGGATCTGTCCTGGATAGTCCTGAACTTTTCTGGGCCGAGCCGCAGCTTGAACCCGTCTACCAGGCAGTCCGGAGCTATTTGGAAATGGACCAGCGAGTCAGTCTGCTTACTGAGCGATTGGATGTCATTGCAGATCTTTTGGCTGTGCTCAAGGATCAATTGACGCATCGTCATGGTGAATATCTTGAATGGATTGGTAAGTCTTCGAGAGAAGGAGAAAGATGTATCAAGAATGTTGCTAATTTACGGCCCAGTCATTGTTTTGATCGCAGCCGAAATCCTGGTGGCGGGCATCAATATTGTCGTCGACTTGTATGCAGGTGTCGATTAAGCTGGAGTGTTTCACTGAGAAACACTTAGACAACATTCTCAATGATAATCGGGAATATACCCGCTGCAGTGTCTAGGCCCCCGAAAATCAACGTCAACGACTATGAGCCAGTGATACCACAACGTCTTCGACTTTCAGGCCAGGTTTGCAAGTGTGCAACACCTTATTTGCTCGACATCTCCATGTACCACTATCCTACCAGCCAATCATCTTCCCTGTACATGAAGAAGAGGCTATCCCGTCATTACCACAATAATTCTGTCTGTCTATTTCCTGGTGTTGGTGTCGGTGTTGGGTTATTTTGCCAAGGGAACGGAGTCAAGGCGCTTGCTTGCAGTGTACATAGGATGTTCATGTTCATGCAATCACCAATGCATATGTATCAAATTCGATCGTCATTCTACTGCCACACAGTTCAGGATCTGTATTTCAACTACGTTTTTGGTTTCTGGAAGAGAGTTCAGTGTAGCCCAGAGTGATGATTTTGGTATTGTTTCATCATATTCAAACACGAATCACCAGTAGATCAAAAGCAAGCCATCAAAATAACCCATAACCAGCGCTGTATGAAAAAAATAAATAAGACCCAGACAAAAATAAGACGGATCATAGCCCATAAATAGAAGGATAGAGACCAGACCACAATCAGATAAAGATTGATCTCGATCTAGAAACAAAAATAGTACCAGTCCACCGACAATCCCATTCAATATCAAGGTCCACAGCCTACCCCTGCTCAACCTTCGGCTCCTTGCTATCCACATCCATAGGCGTAGCCCCATCGTCAGCACCCGTCTCGCCAGCCTGTGTATCAGACTGTCCATCCCGGGCATCCCCCTCGCCAGGGGTCTCAACGTCCTGTGCCCCATTGCTGCCAGTCTTCACGCGGAATGATGAGGTGAGCTCCTGTTGACTCGGGGCTGGGGCCAGGCGTGGTAGGGACGCAGAATTAGCGTCGCCGTCTCCTGCTTCGCCGGCGTTCTCTTGAGCGGGGGTATCTTCGTCAAGGCCATCAGCAGGCATGTTTGATTTGCGGGAGCGCTTGACGCGGAGGGGGCGTTCTTCGGGCTATGATGGGGTCAGGCGGAGGTTAGCAAACAGCTCACAATATCAAACCATCTTGTGGAAACACAGACACCACATTCAAATATCCATAGACCAAAAAAACGGAGACTCAATAGACCAAAGCAGATCAAGCCAAACCAGGAAAAGAGAGAATTGAACGTACAGTAGGAGGCTGCTCATCGGAACTACCCTCAGTATCATCCTCCAGATACCTGCCATTCGCGCCCTGCGACGCCCCCGCAGCACCACCAAGCCCATTAAACACCGCCGCATCAGACATCATCGCCGCCGCACGAGCACGGAGTTCCGGGTCCGCCGTCCCAGCGGCAGCTTCGTCCGCCATACCGGTGACTTTGGCAAGACGCTCCAGCAGCATGCAAGACTCGAGGCGCATCTTCTGGATGTATTGGTAGCCACGCTGGTTGCGGGTGCGCATGAGTTCGTTTTCAGCTTCGACCTCTGCGAGGCGTTTCTTGAGGGCGGCGCATTTGCGCTTGTAGGCGATTTCGACGCTGGGTGGGTTTGCGGTTGTTGCCGGGCGGGTTTCCATTGTGGTGTGGTGTGAGAGATTGAGGGCGGTTGAGAAGAGAAGGCGATGGTGTGTTTATACGTGTATTTGGTAGTTTTGTGTGTTGTTGTCTTTGCAATTGGGGGTCCAATGGATGGATGATGAATGGGTTCCGATGGAGGTGTGGGTTCGGAGTGGATGTGGTTGGTGCGGAGCGTGCAAAATTGGTGGGTGCAAACGGCGCAGACAGGAGGAAATGCACAGTCGAATCTTAGATCAAGATTTCAATGGGTATATAGGTCGTGAAGGATCACAAAGAGCAGTCGAGGTCCGGTTCCTGGGGTGTGAAGGAGATGAAGGAGTCGAACGTTTCTACGCCGCGACATGTTTCTGCCGCGATATCAAAGGCGGTGAATGCTCTCATCTTGATCATTTGCAACTAATTGAACTAACTTGACAAGGACACCAGAAACACCAAAAGCCAGTACACCCTTACACGATCAACTATGCGCTTCTATCTAATGTCCACCGGTGGTGGGGAGACCCAGGAAGACCTTGAACGAGTCATAACTGTTGCGATAGTCAGCTACCAAGCCTTGCTATACCCCAGAGAGGAAGGGAAGGCAACTTACATCAACCACTGGAAGCCAGTCAGAGTACCCAGCATGACGATACGCACGGGCAAGCCATTCCACAGGCCAGGGAAGCCAATGTTGCCATAGATTCGAGAGACGGCCTTCATGGCACCCTCGCCAGCTATTCAATCTGATCAGCCTCTATCCACAGGAATTCCTCGCTCTCGAAGAAACAACAGATAACTCACGCTTTCGATCGGCATTCAGCTTGCTGACCATCACATCGGCTGGATGACTGACAATCGCACAGAAGATACCAGCAATGTATCCACCCAAGAAACTCACCCCAGTCTGCGCCAACTGGCTATAACTCTCCTTGGGCTTCCCCAAAGTCCGATAGATCTGATTAACCGTCTCCTCAAAGGTCGCAAACTTGGTCATGGTATAAGGGATCTGCCGCGCCCACAGCGGATACAATCCCCGATAAAGACCCGCCATCCCCTCTTTCGTGACAACACGGCTCCAGCCCTCGCGCAGGTTATTCGCGTAGGGTGGCAGGGAGGTCTGCATGCGGACCTTGATCGCCTCGAACGGGCAGAGTGCCATATCGGCGAAGAACTCGGCTGATGCGGATGCGCCCAGGAAGACCAGGGTGCGGTTAGACTGGGGGAATAGTGTGTCGCCGTACATATGCTTGAAGTACTCGTAGAGACCGTACTTTCCGGCACCTTGGAAGGAGTAGCCCAGGAAGGTGGGCGACCAGCCGAAGAAGACGCCGCGGAGGCCTTCTTTGGCGAAGATGGAACGCCATGCGGAGATGTTGGATGTGTAGATCTTGGGATCGACTTGACGACGGCACTTGACCAGGTCGAGAGGTGTCACGGCGGTGTGAGTTGGTCCTGTTGGGAGAGAGAGAGAGGTATTGGGTCAATTGAACTGCGGGGAAGGGGGAAAGAGAGAGAGAGAGAGAGAGAGCGCGATAGAGGGAGCTATTAGTGACATACCACAAGCTGTCGGTAGTCGTCAATTGTTCAGTTAGCGACTGTCACATTTGATCATACCTTCAATTCAGGATATGGATGGACCAACGACATACCGATAATGCCGCCGAGGGCACAGCTGACGAAGTACTTGCCCGAGTTGGGCTCGATCTTCCCAAAGGGAAGCCTGCGTTCCTGTGTGGCCATAGTTTCTGGTTCCTAGATCTTGAACTCCCCTCTAGACACAATGCAACACAATGCAAAGAAAAGAAGTAGAAAAGAGAAATACTGTAGAGCGGCGAGTGTCCAAGGTACGCAGGACCGGATAAGAGAGAAGAAGAGCCGAAGCACGCAGGACCTTGGACATAACACCCAAAGGCCCAAAGCCCATGGCGTCAGTGCACCCTCCCATTAAGATTCCTGCATAAAGCATTATTGCTTATCCCTCTGGCACTACTCCTCAACCGAGCTCCACGAATGACGGGAGCGGGTACGCCGGCACCGATTGGGGCGGGAGTCTGGACGGGGCTTATCAGTAGTCTGCGATCGTCGATCTTCCTAGTAACTTGCTCCGAAGGACTGTCCCAGTGATGCTGGTCAAGCCACGTTCCAGTTCCTGACTGTTTTATTCCATAGATTTATCTTCTAATTTACTAACAGAGATCTCTAGTTACCCATGGCTGCTATGACAGATGAACTGCCAAGGTATCGATGCCAGGTCCCGCATGACGTCACGAGATCCGAGCGGTGCCGCCGACCCACTCCACCGAGGCAGTTGGCAGTTTGCAATTGGCAACTTTGCACAATTAGTTACTGTAGGTAGTCCATTGTAGTTATGGTAGATACAAGAACCAGTTATCATGATTATGTACAGTCTCTGTCTACCAATTCGCCAAGGTTTCCTCGAATGTGGACTCGTTATCTGATATCACATCCGAGACTCCAGGCGAGGGTGACATCGCCTGAATACAGACTCGAGCTGGAGTAGCTCCATGTGCAGATACATCATTTCACAAATTAAAATGTACAAACCCCATCGCCCATGATGTTCCTACTAGATTTAGGACCGACCACGGGTATTTCGGAAAGTCCAGACTCCCCTCGGATACGTTCCGCTTCGCGCGCCAGAATCAGCGCCAATTTAATGCCGAGCGATGAGCCGCCTCTCAAGAGCACTGTGCTCATCTGCTGCATTTGGGCCGGGGTCGGCATGCCGCAGGATATCATACACCACAGCGGCCAAAGCAGACCATAGGCCTGCGCGGCACGAACCGGCCGCCAATTGTCGCTGGGCTTCTTGGGCCGTCCGAGAGTATCGACATCTGATAACCAAAAAGGCATGCTGCGACACATATCCGGGATCATTTCCCGGATGACGGACCGCACACTCTTCTCGTCAAATTTGCCCTCGACCGGTGCTGGGTCTCCAGATTGTTGATTCTTCTGATTGATGGAGATGAGAGTGTGGTTAAGGTTGAGGAGTTGTTGCTGTAGAATCACGCGGACAGCACGGTAGCAACCCCGGATCACGGCGTTGGAGATGCGGTGGGAGGTTAGGAGAGGTTCCCCTTTGGCGGAGTAGACAACTAACGGGAGCCAGTGATCTGGGAGATAAAGAGTCCATTGAGAGAGTTCAAAGTCAGACTCTTGACAAGCGGCGATCCAGGATTCGAGGGTGGCCTGGTCCGGTGGATTTGGGGCGGATTGCAAGGATATGAAAAGCTGACAGAGTCTGGTTGTTGCAAGCATGAGACTCTCAACAGGGTCGTTCTCATCCAGCATGCCCATAGCCCAGTCAAAATTGCATCGGGTCTTGCCTCCCAAAGCGAGAATCTCAACAACCTGCACGGACAAGATCGTTAGCAAATGGTAGCTGATATGGTAGGGTCTGGAAAAAAAAGTCTTGGACATACGATTTGCGCCCAGGCAAAGATAAACATCTCACGTCCCAGCTGATGCCTCAACTGACTCTCGCCTCGCAATTTCGTAAGAAGCTCCAACCCGGCCGTATGAGAACCGAACAAGCCATCCCGTTCACCAGTGATGTCCTCGAACAACGAAAGAAGCACAACGGAAGCATAGGTCTCATCATTAGCCACCTGGTCCGGCGAAGCCAACGCCGCCCGCAGGCTGCGAACCGCCTTCCCATAACCCTGTCGCGCCTTGATCATCAGCGGCGGCGCATGTGCCACATGGGCGAGAGTCACCAGCGCTGTAGCGTTTACGGCCCATCGCAGACAGGCAGACGGTGATACCTCGGCTCGAGGGCTGCCCTCGCCGTAGCGTGCATACAGCGAGGTGATGTACTCGAGATGGGCCACGCCACCTTCGTCTTCGGCAGGAGTAGTGTATTGATCAAAAAAGTAACAGAGCGCGCGGTGTTCCCACGTTGGGTCCGCAACGCGGTACACTGCTAATGCCGACGCTTGAGGCGGGCGTGCTGGCGGTTGTGCTTGACGCTTGGGAGGAGAAGAATTGGAACTAGAGCTGTCGCTGGAACCGGAACTTGCATCTTTCTTTGCTAGCCGCTCAAATTTCCTGGATTCATTGCGGAAGATCGCATCAGACCGGTAGCCTGGACATGGGCGCCCATAGACATAACAGTGTCGACAGTTGGGGCGGGCTTCATCGCACTAGAAATTGGAATTAGTTTGTATTGATACAGCGGCTGACATAGCGTTGGCAGCTGGATGATGCATATAAACATTCATCCCACACATGCTATCAGTGGATACACAACCCCATGGCCGGATAATATTCATTCTTACCCTGATCTTCCGCTTTCGACAAGGGTAACATCCAGTGCTCGGCTTACCCTCATAGACCATTGTTCAGCCGCGACTAGCCCAGCCCAGACACACAAGGCTCCAGAAATTGCAAGAGAGCAGAGTAGTGACTAGTACTCCGTCCTCCGTCCTACTAGGTGCGAAAAGAAGGCTCCCCGCCTGTAGATCTGGGGGAGAAGCTCCACAAACGGGGGGGGACGGGTGCGCTATATCCACTGTAAACTGCCTGATCCGAGAACCACTCATGTGCATAGTAAGGAACGAAATGCACAGCGAGGCCTTGGACAGATTGCAACAAACAGTGAATCACCGGGAGTTGATATTCATGGAGCCCACGCTGAGGCAACCCCTAGAGAGAGAGAGAGGGATGTTCAATCTGATTTTGGAGTAAGCTTGCCTTAAGACTTCCCATATTCTTCTAGGAGTACGCATGCTCACGGGCATCTAATGGATGTTAGGTCATCTTGCCCTGCAGGTGGGCGGCTCAGGTGTGAAAATGCCGGATATGATTATGATTATATTAAGTGCTGATATCATTTTGTGCGATAAAGAAAAAGAAGCAAAAATGCAACATTGACAAGTGTCAAGTTCGAACCGTCTGACCGTGATACACTCCGTAGGACTGCGTGGACAAACCATTGGCTTCGTGGTCTTGTGCCAGTACTGCAGAAAGACCTGCGTCAAAGTCACAATAACCATTTTCAGTAAAGAAAATGCTCCTACTGTAGAAAGCTCCCGCAGGTTTAGAAGTCTGACTGAACATCGGAATCTGTCACAGTCACTCTACAAGTTTGATCTAGAAATATTGCCCACGCTGTCTAGGGAGACAATTCGAAAGAGAGAAGTTAGAGCATGTCTGGTAGGATTATATCCCCAACCTCTTACTTCGGGCTACAAAAATAATACTGTATTCGGATTAAGTTATTCGGATTAAGTCTCATTGGAAGTTTCTGTGCTAAGAGACCCCGATAACCTTACAATCTCTTGAGAAGACATCGAAACTAGCAGGCTGATCTACAACGAAACTCTACCCAAGTGAGCACCATCTTAAAGTGAAAATGCAATTCATTCAAGTGCATATAGATCGACCTTCATCGCGCAAAAGTAACAACAGAGAAATTCCAAGGCCGAGGTATCATCAGTCCCCAAAAACCAAATAAAAAAAAGACGAGAATCAGACTCCGAAATGACTCAGGCCAGACCCAATGCTGGCAACTATGAAAGGGCAGAAGCCTGGAAAGGCATGGTAAAGATCAAATTCAAGATCAAGAGAACTGCACAACGGACTATTCCTCTCCACAACAAATTTCAAACTCCACAGATGACGGACATTTTCTCCAAGAACAATGAACAAAGAACAGAAATCGCAACACCAAATATGCAATGGCTTGGTGCTTTGGAAGGCACGGAGAATGGCGAATGGGATGGGGGCTGGGCTGGTAAACGCCAGCAGAAGGGGTTGGAGGCCAAAACAGATCAATGAATCAAGAGAAAGGGATCAAATGAATCAAAAGACAAGAACCCACCGGGCGCTGGTACACAAACAATGGAAATTCAAAGTCGTTAGGTAGATAGATCGCGGGTTATATTGGAAGGAAATATTTCGATTCTCGGGGTCAGGGTTCATATCAAGATGGGGCATCGGGCATGGGCTGGTCACTGTCGCTGACGGAAGGTATTGTCGGTGGAGGATCGGAGAATAGAGTGCGGGGACGAGAATTCATGATGAGCTCGCTGTCGGCTGCCGAGCTAATACCTGGTGTACTAGAGGCACTCTCGATAGCCACAGCGTCGTCGGCATCATCTGGTGGTGGAGAGAATGACCAAACCTGTGGGAATGTAAGCATGTGTGATAAAACAGGCTAGACATTATGCCTAGTGGGTGATGAACAAGGACATACCTCCATGACCGTTCGACCAGACCGACTCGCCATAATGACAGCCTTCTCCTCCTCAAAGGCAACCCTCCAAACCGCCTCGGCCGGACTCGACAACTCCCGCAGCAGCTGGCCGGTTTGCAAGTTCCACACCTTAACCCGACCATCGCTGCCGCCACTCACAATCCTAGTATTATCAAACTGAAGACTGGTCACGCTATTATCATGAGCCGCCAACCGGTGGATCGGGGCCATCTTGGTCAACGACCAGACCCGGACAGAACCATCCGAGCCACCGGTAACCAACGTATCGCCACGCATCTGCAATTGTCCAACCAAGGACGTATGCCCTTGCAGGATGGCGTGGCACTGTCCGGAATGTGGGTCCCAGATCCGGACGCTCGTGTCCAAGCTTCCCGTTGCGATACGCCGCCCATCGAAGGCAATCGCGTAGATCTGGCTGAAATGTCCGGACAGCGTCCGTACACAGCGACCTTGGGATATGCTCCATATCCGGGCCGTCGTGTCATAGCTGCCGGATACAACCAGATCGTCATGAATCGCGAGACAGCGCACACTGGCCTGATGCCCGACGAGGACATTGCGACACGTCCCCGTGACTAGATCCCATATACGGAGGGTCGTGTCTCTAGAACCCGAGATAGCAGTATTCCGATCGGACATTTTGAGACATCGTACTGTTGACGTATGGCCACGCAACAGATGTATTCCCGCCCTGGGTCAGAAATGAATCATCAGCGCTGCAAATGGTGTTGTGACGGCGCGGAAGCCAAAACTTACCCAGTCGCCATGTTCCACACCCGCACCTCTCGATCACATCCTCCGCTGACCAAAACGTCGTCCCAAGGAACCATGGCCCAGACTCCCATCACGTGGCCCTGGAGCGTTTTTTGGTTGTCCCCATTGGTATCGTAGACATGAATCTTGGCGTTGTCTAGGGCGACGACGATATATTTCGAGGTGAGGTGCAGACTCGTTACTACGCCCTGGTCAGGGGTAATGTGTCGCTGCGTGCACCTGCCACCTTTATTCCAAGCTGATTCCACCATGTACTTCTGCTTAAACTGAGATCGATACGACACGGGTCGGGTTGGGCGCCGCCGCGATTGGAAGCTGGTCGGAGGCAACCACTCGCCCGACAACGTGCGGGGTAATCCAGGGGCAGTTTCAACGGTGGAGTGGTCGGTTGATGCTGTTAACCGTCGGAGACTGGCCATAGCGCGCGAGTCCGAGGTCGGTTCAACGGAACGAGCGGTGAACGAGTCCAAGTCATCCTCTTCCGAAATGCGGCGCACCGAGTATGCATGTTTCTCGCAGAGGTTCTTCCACGTTATGTCATCGTTGAGTAGTTCGCGCCAGCGTCGGGATACTTGCGATGCTCGGGCGAGTGTTTTTGGATCGTCGATAAACGATAGGACCTGGAAGTTAGAGTGACACCCGGTCAGTATTACTCATTCTTTTCTAGCTCATCTTGACCGCGGCGGTTGTCTTACCCTCAAGCACAACTCATTCGGAAACACCTGAAATGGATCCTTTCGTAACCTAGGTCCCACGTAGCTTGAGACGAAGCTCAGCTGCTGGCTATCACATACATCCAAGATACCCTCGAGGAGTTTCTGCTTCCGGGCGTTGGACAAGGTGCTGAAATGGATGCGCAGATTCAATAGGAAGGCATTCTCCTCCTCATCACTGGAAAGCCAGTTCGGTGGACGCTGGTGGGGAGTAGGACTGGGCGCGGGAGTTGGAGGAGAAGCGGGCGCTGAAGGTAGTAGATTTGCGGGAATCGGGGTGATGGTTTTCTTGGGGGCGCTGAGGGAACGAGCAGGGGTGCTGGTAAAGGAGGAGACAGAGTCGCGAGTCGAGGTCGTGGAGTGTGAGTCCAGATGATCGGACAGGGGCTGGGAGCTGATCGGCCCATCCGCCATGTCGCTAAACGCTGGATCGGGATCCATCGCGAGAGCAGCCGTACGGGGGTCGAGACCCAGACCCGCTGGGATGATTCCGTCACTCTTCACCGTATTATTCGATGATGTAGTGCCGTGCGCCAGACAAGCGTTGATTTGCCGGCATGTAGACAGTAAAGAGAGGCGTTTTGGGGGACGCTGGTCTGAGGGCTCAGAGGGGAGAAATTTGGAGAGCGGTATGAGGGGCGTTTGGTGTCGTATCGGAAGGCTGGCCACGGAGTGACCGAGGGTTGAACAGGAGTCGAAGATGCTGGGGAGATAAGCGCAAAATAAAAGTCGGATCGAAAGCGACGGGGTTTGACTGGTCCAAGCAGCAAGATTTTGGGTCGAGGCTTCTTTTTCTTCGGATTTCCTTCTCTCTCCTCCCCGAGGTTTAGCCCAGCTCACAAAAAGGCGGAAGAATGTCGGAGAGGTTCGATCAGAGAAAGGGACATTCCCGGCGGAGTCGATGTCGTGACCGGCGGGCCTTGATTCGACTGACAAAGCCGCCAAGCTCCCACCGAAAAGGCTCCACTCCGTGCGATGAAACACTCCGCGTTCTCCGTATTCCGCCTTCATCTTCTCCCCCCAACTGGGTCTGATGGGGGAAAACGAGCAGACCCGAGCAGGAGTCTGTGAGCCTCTTGCTCCTCCCTCTTTACCGATACGTTGCAATGGCGGACCCCGTTCGTCAGAGGCAACGAGGCAACGGAGCCACCAGCAGATCAGGAGGCTCCCAGGCGTCCTCCCCCAAGATTGACTCCCGAGATGGGCCAAATTGGGCCCAAAGCCGGCAGCCAATCTACGCCTCCCGTCTGGCGCCGCAAATCCAGGCCTCCCAAGCGCGCGCGACCCAGGCCGATGTCCGCAATGCTGGAATGCTCGCTACGGACTTTGGCTGCCTCGTGGCTGGACTCCAATGCGCCACGCCAAAACTAGATCGGGTCTTTAGATTAGATCGCCGATATTACCGATATCGACCTTACAGTTCGCCCCGAGTCCGTGGGTAGCCGGGCGGCTCCAAGTCGTCGACCATGGATCAACCCGTCAGGCGAAGATGATTCAGACTGACGAGACTGACGAATGCTTTCATCACCCAACCTAGCATGGTGATTAAAATATGAGCGCGGTACCCCCTGCTGGGGACGTGAACATTCGAGGGATCCGGGACTTTTATAACAGAATGACAGGTTCAAACGTTGACTCTCGCCCAACGTCACGCTACGTCGATGTGATCGTGAGAGAGAAACATGCAATTATGACCACCGCCACACGCCGGCATTATACAGAAAAGGTAAACAGATCTAGTAGCACATTTGAAGTTCCTCCTGGTGGTTCTCATCCAACCAGGCACTTCATAGCGAAGAAAATGAAAAATGAAAAAGGGGGAAAAAAAGAAGAAATGGAGAGAAAGGAAAACACGAAGGACTTCATAGAAAAAAGCCGGGGGCTATCCAAGAATGGATGTGTTTCTAGCAACATTGGTCAAACAGAGAGGGTATATGGTATATGGCCCCGAGTCAATCTCGCTGCAATGCCAAAAAGGTGAGAAGAAGAGAAGAGAAGAGACAATCATACGTAGCTCATAAAGATGATGAGCAGTATGAAATAAGTAGAGGATATGAAAAATGGGAGAGCGGTTTAATGGGCATGTCCAATCTGCAAGAAGAGCGGTAGGATCATGCCCAGAACGGACGCGATCAAGTCGCGCATCGACTTGTCTGAACCAGTTGGCAGGTCACGAGAGTCTCCGTAACCATTCGTGGAGGCCTCCCGCGAGCTCGAGGCTGGTCCATTTTCTTGCATCGTGTGCATAGCAACATACCTAAGCTGTAGTTAGTACCTCTGCAAATATGCCCGCCGGAAAGAAGCTACTCACAAGAAAGTGCCGCCGGAGAACAGCAAAAGCATTCCAGTGCGCCAAAGAGAGCCAGCCTGGTCACCGCTGGAAGATCCAACCATATGTGCAAAGAGGAAAGTGACCAATGCGCCGACGGGGGCGGCTAGACTAAACACGAGCAAATGCGCCCTTGCCGTGCGGCTCGACAAACCCTGCTTCAACAGGATCGATGTCAGGCCAAAGGATGCAGGGGCCTTGTGCACCATAATAGCTAGGAAGATAATGAAGCTGAGGCCTGTATCGGTGCTGGATGCCCCCAATGCAATACCATCTGCCGCGGCATGAATTACCAAACCCATTGTGGTTGCAAAGCTGTGGCCACGGCGGGAGCTCGAACGACCTGCGTCGAGCAGGCCACCATTGCGCATGGGGGAGGAACTGCGCCGAAGGCCGGACCCAAGGTTATCGAGAGAAATGTGATAGGGCTGTCGATCAGGTTTGGTCGGAGAAGCGAATTCGGGGAGTTTGTCGATGAGGTACATTAGAATGAATCCACTGATGAGGGCAATGCCAATCCAAGCATGCGGGGAGCTCTCTTCCTCTTCCTCCTTCTCTTTCTCTTCCTTTTGCTTTTCACTCGAGGTCTCGTCCTTGCGAGCATTCAGCACATGTGATTCCTCCAGACCTGCGTCCCTGTTGACGAGCGGTAATAGGTGGTCATTGTCGAGCCCGAGGAATGACACGGGTGTACCAGACGGCGTTGTCGAGGCATCGCCATCTCCATTCAGTATTTGGGTAGAAACGAGCCCCTGCGAGGGCCAATCGACATTGGTCGCGCGGGCACCGAGAGTTTTCCGGCTAACAGAACTGGCGCTGTAGAGGGTCTCAATGCCCTCGGGTATAATAACGATCAAAGATGTACCGACCAGCACTCCCATACCAATCGAGGAGATTAATCGCAGCTGGGAGGGGGATAGTGTAAAGGCAAGAGGTAGTGAGCCGACAACAAAGGACCTATACAAGGGCGCAGGCGTTAGCTTTCACAGGCTTCAATATATTCTCCAGCGCACAGCTGGCAGCGGTATCTCACGTCACTGCCATCACAATGCTCAGAGCGAGCAGAGTGAAGAGTCCTTCCATGGTGTCCTTTTATCCTCTTGTCCCGAGCGTTCGCAGTTGTGCCACCAGCTTTACAACAAGTCAATCATGGTGCCCAATCCGGTCACAGGGGAAATCAGAGTCGCAGCGAGTTCACCCGATCGAGAACTGCGGGATTTCAGGAGATTGGAATGGGGAAAGGAAATGGTTGTTCAAGGGCGATCGGGAAGGAGGATGGTGAGATTTGGACCCACGCGGCCTCAGGTTCTCCGATTCACTTCTCAGGCACCGCCCGCTAAATTTGGAGCAACATGCCGATTCGGAGCCACAATCTGCATAAAATGATTGATAAGGTTCTACCCCTTTTGCCCTTCCAACGTCTTATTGAATTCGCGTGTTGAACTCTTAAACATGGTTATGGACGATGCTACAGTCTGCGGTCCAACATAAAACAAGAGCCATTGCTCCATAGTGAGACCAGACTAGATGATCTGGCCTCAAATAGTCAGGTTAGTCAATTGTACGACAGTTCTTATGCTTGCAACATCTCCATGTTATAAGGAAATGGTTCATCCAATCATGGACTACGAATTTTCTCTACGATGATATCGTTGGTCTAATTCATGAAAAACAGGCTAGCATGTATTGGATATCACTTCTTTGCAACTATCGCAAGCCAGATCGATATGCCACCAGGGTAAAGTTGGTCGGTATGTATACACAAGCTTAACCACTGACTTGCTCTTTCGACCCGCCTATATATAGACTTGTCACAGACATATTCTCCCGTATCAAATTCAAACTTTCCTTGATCGGGTTTATAGATCACTGCTTTGCCTTGGAAGGTCTCAAGTTCCCATCGTCTTTTGTCTTTATTGTCTTCATTCTCATCCCCTAGCTGCGCATCGACAGTCGCGAACAACACTTCCAGGCGAGAAAATTGTGACACTAATTCATCGAATGCATTCCTTCGCAGGAACGACTCCGGTAGAGCAATATGCTTGATGTCCCCTTGGTCCAATGGTTTGTCGCTTCTGATGGTTTGGCGTCGCTAGTACTTTTGACTAAAGTGGAGGCGAGCTGATCGAGACAGCACAGAATCTCCTGTCTGGAGAGGGACCTGCAACCATGAACCAATCGAGTCATCATTCCGCCAAATGGCCTATTCAATTAGCCTGCCTTATGCACTTTCAGATCAATCCAAAACTGATCTGTCCATGATTCGTACAATCCATTAAAGTAGATACAACCTGAGAATAAGCTGCCCAAGTCGAAGTTATCAACGCCCGAGCCATTCTATTGAGATACTCGAGAGCAAGCAAACAAAAGCAAACGATCATACATCACGCCTGGTGCTTCGCGTCAACGTCTACCAACTCTACCACACTGTGCGTCTCCGACCGAGAAGTGTAATTGACTGAATAGCTGACAGACTTGTTGATGTTGCTGTTCTCCCCGGTATGTCTGTTGTAGCCCTCCATCGTGTGCAATGCGTATGTTCGTCGAGCAGATCCAATCAAACTAGGGAACCAGCGGCCAACCAGCGCTCTGAATGCAGGTAGACAGGCACACATGACAGAGATCTGGACCTCGATCACGGACCAATGAATGAGAGGATACAATCCGAGAGTCTGATTAATTCCCCAGCGATTGTTCCAGAATACGACAACTCGAATGATGGCGATGATCGTTAGCCTGGTGAGGTTATCAGCACTGACACTCAAGTTCGAACAGACGGAGGGAACACATACACCGATCCCACAAGGAACATCAATGCCACGGCAATCTTCTTTTTGAATGGCAACTGCAATTTAATCACCTCCCATATCGGCATCAGGATCAAGACCGCGTCAACGAAGATATTGACCAGACAATTGATCAAGATAGAGACGATGAAATTGATGCACTTTCCGGATTCCTCGCCTGTCCATCCAGTCCACGTCAGACGCGTAGGCAAGCAGCGGAATGAATCAACAAAGGCCCAGGTAATGCCGATGGCAGCGTTAACGCCAATAAGGGTGTATGCGACATATCGGAACGAGCGAGTCTGGAAGATTCGGAGGAGAAAAAGGCACACGGAGATCTTTGCGAGGGAAATTTGGATTTTATACATCACGGCAAGTCCTTGGAAGTACTGTATTGTGTTAGAGACTGGGAGTTGAAACGTCAGCACCTAAGAGCTAACCTGATAGAACTTGGTGATGTCGTCGAACGGCACATCCCAGATATTTCGGCCAAAGCCATAACGAATCACTGACTGTTGTTAGTCCAATTTGATCGTATTCCATTGTGACTCAAAGAAGTGCGCTTACTCTCGCAGTTAAGAGCATAGATAGCAACACCTAGTAACTGCAGCTCAATTAGTATCGGGTTAAGGATAGAGTTACTGGAATTCCAGTAACGTACAAATGCGCCAATAATCGTGAAATCATCCCAGCCCCAACCTCCCGCAAGACCGCTGCTCTTGGCGACGATTCTTGCAATGAAGAAGAAAGTGGCCAAAATGAAGGGAATCAGTGATGAAGCAGTGATCATGGGAGGGCCTTGAAGTGGAGTGATGTTACACTCTTTCTCATATAATTTATATGTAGCTGAGAGGGTTAGTTTGGGATATTTTCGATCAGACAGAGATGAAACGTACTAAAGTACTCCTTCGTGGTACAAATGTTTGAAACACAGTCCAATAGCGACGTTGAACGCGAACTACTAGCGCAGAAACACGAAGTGTTGTTGAGCGAACAGCCAGAAAACAGCTGCTCATCGCAAGCCATCTGACCATGAAGAATCAGCAAAAGATAGCAAGCGGTGTTCGTCAGAATTTCCCATACTGCACACGAAGGAAACTCATTGACCCCGACTCTGCTGCGTGTAATCCAATCACGAGCAGAGCTAAGAGAACAAACAGACATCGATGAAACCTCATAGCGACGGGTAGACAACCGCAAATTCGCCATTGCAAAGTAACAAAATGAAAAACTCTTCTTGACCTGGGCTATCGGCAGCTTTTGTTTCGGCGTCGGTATCAACGTCCCGGTTAAGCAGCGTGGAGCATTGTCTCGCGTGTGCAAAGAAGAATCTCGATCCCCACATCTAGGCGTTATCAATTTCGCACGATGTCATCAAACTTTCGGCTCTAACAGCTGTTTGTTCGCCCATGCATTCTGTTGTCGTCGACTACTCCGTACATACTCTAAACCACGGATGTCGGGTCCAGTGAAACGAGTCCTAAAGTGGTTCCACCCCGGTGAGAACCTAATCGGGAAGGTGATCCGTTCCAATTTTTTGCCATTAATACGACTTTACTATGCATCGGGGTTAATATCTTGCGAGAATCCACATTTACGTTTGGGAGAGCTCCGATTGTCTCCGCATAGATCCAAGGGTAAGTTCAGCCTCATTGGGACTATGTCTGACTAGAAGAAAAATATTATGGCATCGACACGAACTGTTTTGAGCTATCACACGTGGCAGAGATCTGGTCCCTGAGAACCGAATTTAGAGAAAATTAATCGCCGCGTGGCTTTCAGCCCAAATTTCAATCTCGTTATCTAGATCTCGAAGTCATACTAGTGTTGTAGTTTGAACGCCCTGGTCGTTTCGAAAAGTGGAACAAAATGTTGATCATGACGGCAAGAAATGACCATGGAGAATGAAAATATCCCCCACTCGACAAGATCATAGCCGAGTCATCTCCAATCAAAGTGCTCAATGCCGAGATCAGTTATTGATTCCCTTTTGTAATCGCAATTCAGAAGTGGAGAGGATTGAAAATATGAAAAAAAAAAAAAAAAAACTTGGCCTCGGACTAGCCGAAAAGCCCGTCCAGCCCATGCCAAGACAAAGGCCATTCAGACTTTGCAAGAGAGCGCATTGTTGATGTGAAATATGTATTCCGCAGGTATTGTTATTCTTCTTCTGTGCACTAGACTCCTAAATATTGCAGCCGCAGATAATTCACTAGGCTTTCGTCAACACCGAATGCTCGATCTGGCATTCAGCCAAACAACTTTATTGCTAGAGTGGGTGTTCTGAGTTAGATTATCAGTATGCTTTGACAAGAGCTAAACATGGACTAAAGTTTGAATTTCACTGTCGGCTACACTTAAGCAGAATTATGTGCGGGAACTAGTGCTGAGCGCTGCCGAATGCAGATTAACTTTGCGTACCTTGCACGCTGGACTGTAGATGAACGACACCGATTCAAGCTATAGACTTGCAGATAACACGAGGGGTCTTGCATAAAATACCACTTAAGAGCTTCCCCATCAAGCTAGAGCCAATCACGATCGTTGATGATTACCCACCTCTGTACTTGATTTTCTATGCCATCTTGGCTTCTCCCTCCTTTTCAATACTCAGCCTACCTGCGATTACGTTCATAGAATATAACCGAACAGGCCTCTGCATTCTAATCAGGGCTGATCAGTAAGTACTGTATAACGTATCATAGCCATACATGACATTAAACCCTGGAAGGCTCACAAGCTTCTTAGTCTGATTCTCTACAGAAGCTGTAGAGCAAAAACGAGACCTTTTGCTAACGACGGCAAATAAATCTTTCCACAAGAAGCAAGTCCGTCTGGTTGCCTACTAACATCCGGCCACCGACTCTCTGATCACTCGATCTCAATGAATGCACCGAAAAATCCACGATCCCTTCTTGTCCCTGCGAGTTATCACACAATCAAGCCCTTCAGTGATTGGATGACAGGTGGCGTACAGGGTTACCGTTCGAATCGGAGGCGATCCAAGTGCCATCGCCAAGTGTTTCGAAGCCATTGATCTCGGTGGATTGTGCCCCAAAGCGGCCAAGAGGCTCGCCAGTGCGCAAGTCAACCTTATAATAGTGGTGCCACTCTTTGTCGTCCAGCTCGCCTGCAATAGCTACAACCGCAATATCGGTGCTCAGAAAGCCGCCGGTCCAGTGCACAAAGGAATCACCATATTCATAACCGAAAGCTGTGATGGGCAACTGCAGGACCTCCTCACCACTGGGAAACTCGTGAAAAATGACGTCTTCTTGACCGTGGTCGACGGTCATAAATAACTGCCCGTTGGGTGCGATATCAATCAGCGTCCGGTCGTCCCACCCATAGGAGTGCATCTTTATGCCGCTGCTGTCGGTGAGCTCCGCGAGGAAGATGATCACCCCATCCTGCCCCTCGCCCACCTCTAGCAAGATATGACGTCCGTCAGGATGTTGGACTAACTGGGCTCCCTGCCCGACGGTGTTTAGCTCTTCCTGAGCGACCAACTCGCCCGTCCTGGCAAGCAGAACAACCAATAGGTCGGGGCCACGATCCATCATCGCGTCAGGCCGATACAGCCAAACCCAGGTTCCATCGGGGGAGAATATGCACTCGGTCCTGGGTAAGCGCTCGGAGGTATGAGGCTCTAGCTCGTAGCACCACTGCAGGCCACCATCCTGGTCGACGCACGTCACCTTGTTGCGGGTTGTGTAGACTGCGCGGTCGAGGTTTGGGGCGGCCGCATGACTCTGAACCTCTTCGTTGGGCTCAACACGGTACGTCGCTACCGGTCCTAGGGGCTTATCTACGCTGCTGGGTACCTGGTAGGCGCGCAGCTCCTTATGTCGGTAGCGTGTGATCACAGGCTTCATGACAGAAAGCTAGGAATCCGTGGAAAGATGCAGGGCCCTTGTTTGAGTGAGTACAACAAGAGGTAAATGCGGAAGACAGTAAAATGGATGGAGAGAAAGATAGAAATTCAAAGACGAAGATATTCTTTGGCGTATATTGAGTATATGATAGTGAGAATGGTCGGACAACGCGTGCTTTCAGGATAAGAGAATTGCTCAATAACTAGCGGGGTTATCAAAGATTGCGATCGCGATCGCCTGTAGAATACGAGGAGGCCACGAATCAAGACTCCGCTCATTTCTACATACCGCTCTTCGGCTATTTTTGTACATTTTCTCTTACAGCAAACTGTTCTTATAGCAAACTGTTCTTATGTATAGAAAGATTATGTAAAAGAGCAGTCCGCTAACGAAATATTTAGGCAACGCTCTACCTACACAAGCTCACAATCTATTAACCTCGCTATCCCTAGCCCAGGCTCCACCTTCATTGATTCCCCATCCATTTTTTGAGAAGCATTGTCTGGCAAACCCCCCCCCCCCCCCCCCCCCCCTACATATAGGAGGAAGCCAACCGAAATTCCAGAGCTCGGGGGCGGTGTTACAATGGAAATCACCACACAAGATGCGGGTGGTGTCGCCGACGAGGACTACGAAGTTCTTGAGGCAGGCTTTTCCGAAGGGCCTGGTGATTCGAAATTGGCAATGATGTTTCAGCGTGACCTGTTCGCAGAAGAGCCGTGGAGTGGTAACCCTCAATCGGACAATTACTTCTCCGACGGCTACTGTATAACCCTCGGATCTGGCCAAACGGTATACGGAGGATCGGAGCAGGTCTCATTCTCGGGATCCCAGGGACAGTTTGACTTCTCCGGTCATGCAGCCAGTATCCTCAGTGTCGGTCAACAACTCATTGTTGATTTTCCGAACTGGACCTGGGGCTCTTTCAAGAATTCCTCAGAAAGGTCGTGACCTGGGGTGTTCCCAGCCAAGTTCCTCAACTGAACGGGTTTTCTTGATCTGACCATTTACGGGAGTACCACAAACGTCTTCTTGTGACAGCTAGAGTTGGATGATTGTCAAAGAGAAGGGAGTAATGGCAGAGGTGAATCAAACCGCACTCTATTCTTTTTCAACAAGGTGTTATGTGCACGCTTACAGCATTCTACAATACAGACTGACTGACTGTTCATGTCCAATATCTGACAGTACCTAGTATGGCTTAGAAGCTATCAAATTTCACAGCCATACACAGAAAGGGTGATGGCGCATCAAGCGCCACTACGCAAGGAAGCAAGAAACAGAAGGGGAGCGAACAGATCTAGTTCGAACTATCTGGGAGAACTATCTGTCCAAGCAAAAGAAGAAGGGGAAGAAGCAGGCCTAAATAGGCCTCGCTAGCAAACGCCGGGCGCTGCCCTGGAAATCTCCATCAAAGGGGCGGCTTCAAAAACAGTGGCGTAAAGTTTCTGTCTAACCTTTTCACCCCCATGACCCTTGAAAGGTCTATAAACCTCAAGTAGGCAACGTAAAGATTTGTTTGGTACAAGTTCACCTCCAAAGAGGAATCAAACTCTTTCAACCAACATCTTGTAACAAAAATCAATTGAGAAATGGAGAGTTTTGAACCAAAACTGTACAGTACGGGACAGGAATGGTTCTATGGATACCTAGATTGGGTTTGAATTTATTTAACTTCGATAGATAATGGTGACAGAGTGGCCAGTGAGCATACCATATTCACATCAGCGGTTCTAGGGGGACGAGCAAAACCTTAGGGGTCCTTATGACTCTACCAAAGTAGGCGCTCCAGCTTCATGAACAGATCATCGTGAATTTCGACCAACGATATTAGAATCTTCTGTATTGCTTATTTACCACAACAAAATAGCCTTTCCCCAAGAAAGTCCCATCATGTTCACCTGTGCCCTAGATGTAGTCAACCCTTGCCCGGCACGTATACTTTCCAGTTGTAATGGCAACCCAATCGGCTACAGATATCCATCAGCCCTTGAGTCAGCCTACTAGACTCTGAGTTCCACATTGGGGCGCATCCCAAAACATTTGACATTCGCCAACTGGTAGAAATGCTTATCCCTGATCTGTTGCTTTCAAGTCCTGCCAGCAGTGAAGAATAGTTCTCTGAGCCGGGAAACATCGTCTGAGATACTTCAAGATATCACAGCCACTAATATAAGGCTTAATTTCCCCTGAGAACCCGTATTGGGATGATGCACTTTCCAAAATACGTGGAAGATGCAATGGTCTCACAAGAAAGTTATTTTTGTTTGATGTTCCCTTTCGCTAAAACAGTTAGTCGAGATATTCACGTCCGCCTGGCGATCTACCTAATGGAGCTATCTCACCCAGAGAAGGACGTGAGACGGCATTTGAAATCACCGTGTATTTCTCACCTTGATGCGATTTCCTATTTAGGCCATACTGGGACGGAAGTTTGACGCTAGCCCGATACTTCACAGTTCCGTGTTAGCGGGTCCCCGGATTCGGGCCTCTCCAGCATTTCCGTCCACTTGAGCTCGAATTGCCGATCTCTCCGCATATTATATGGGTAAAGGGTTTAATATTTGAAGAATAAATATGCGGCACATTCCCACAATTCGATGATCGGCGGAGTCCAACGTTTTACTGATCACTTTTGCAAAATCTGTCACCATGACTGATACGGCCAAGTCCGAAACCCATGCTCATTCTACGCACGATGAAAGTGCTATAGATGAAAAGTATGATCCCTCAGCGCAGCCGCATGCAATTGAGGCTACTTTTGATGCCATTGGAGGCGCTCCATCTCCATGGGGTCGTGGTCACTTGCAGTTATACGGGGCATGTGCCCTTATTTACTTGTGCTCGACTATGAACGGTACGTGGTGATCAGTCGACAGGAAGACATGGATCGTTCGGCTTCAGGCTAACATCAGCTGAATTCAGGATTTGATGGATCGCTGATGGGTTCGATCAATGTTCTTCCTGAATACCAGGCATACTACAATCTTGGCTCAAGTGGCTCATCGACAACTGGGTTGGTCTTCTCGATTTTCAACATCGGACAGATGTCGGGCGCTTTATTTGTCTGGGTCAACGATATTTTCGGCCGCAAAAGAACTCTGGCCGTCTCAGCTTTCGGTGTCTGCTGCTCAGCTGTATTCACTGCTCTCGCTCCAACTTTACCTTCATTCATTGCCGCTCGATTTCTGCTCAGCTTCTGCTCGACCATTTGCTGCGTTGCCGCGCCTATGCTACTGGTTGAAATTGCGCCTCCACTTCATCGCGCTACTGTGGCTGGTATCTACAACACTCTTTATTACATGGGAAGCATTATTGCCACATTTAGTAAGCTCATCAATTCAGGCTGAAACCCCCACTGAAATTATCACTAACAGCCGAATAGCAATGTATGGTGCCAACATTCACTTGACCGGAAATCTCAAATGGCGACTCCCTCTCTGGCTCCAAATTCTGTGCCCAGGGTTGGCATGTCTGGGCAGCTTCTTGTTGCCTGAGAGTCCTCGCTGGCAGATTGCCCAGGGGAAGTACGAGGAAGCCCGACGATTCATTATCAAGCATCACGCCAATGGAGATGCCAATCATCCCATCGTTGCCATTGAAATGCAGGAAATTGAAGATTCTCTCGTCGAGGTCCAATCACGTTCTGTTTTCGCCTGTTTTGACTTACGGAGCTTGTTCAAGTCTCGTGCCCGTCTCTATAGGGTTATGCTAGTGGTGGCTATGGGTTGGTTTGGACAGTTCTCAGGCAACAACGTGGCTAGCTACTATCTGCCTATCATGGTTCAGAATGTTGGGATCACGTCCACGAACATGGTACTTCTATTAAATGCAATCTATGCGGTCACTGGATGGGTTGCTGCAACCATTGGAGGTATGTCCTCTCAAGTTTCAAGTTGTGTCAGGAAAGAATTATCACTAATGGAGCAACTGTCCCACAGCTCGTCTACACGATATCGTTGGTCGCCGCAAAATGCTCATGGGCTCGTGCCTTGGTATGTCGGTTACACTCGCGATTGTCGCTGGTACAGCTGCGTCCTACGAGCACACTGGAAGTGTCCCATCAAGCTCTGCCAGTATCGCCTTCATTTTCATTTTCGGGGTCGTCTTTGCAGTCGCATTCACGCCCATGCAGCCAATTTACCCAGCTGAAGTCCTGGCCAGTATGTCAATGTTCCCTATATCCCTTTCCACCGCCTATTATGTACTAATACTTCCCGACCTATGCAGATGACATGCGTTCGAACGGCATGATGGTCTTCCAGATAACCGCAGGATGTGCCAGTTTTGTCAATACATTTGCTGCTCCGATTGCCATGAAGAACATAAAGTATTGGTTGTAAGTGGATCTTTGTCTTAATACAAGCCCATGTTCCCCTCTGACACCTGGTAGCTACGTCTTCTTCGTATTTTGGGATATCTTCGAGTTTGCTTTCATCTACTTGTTCTTTGTAGAGACCAAGGGCCGAACTCTGGAGGAATTGGATGCAGTCTTCGAAGCTCGTAACCCACGGGAAGCGAGCACTCAGAAACTTGGCACACGACGAGACTGAGAGTCAAGATCATCTATGAACCTTCCTTTCTGTAATTATATCTTTGAAACCTTCTATATGAAGGCATGAGAGTGAGAGGAAGTGGGGAGGAAGGCGAATGAAGGCTTTATCACAATGCCCCCACGCCCCGCTATGGAGTGTCGCACTAATAATACGAGGCACGCGATGAGTGAATAACCTCACCAAACCTCCATTTCCCCCACGATGACCGGAGCAACATCCACTGCCCAACCGCCGTTGCGGATCGGAACCCGACGATCCAATCTCGCCGTCATTCAGGCAGAGGGCATCCGGGATCGACATAGGATGCCCGCTTCAACCCAGAAAAAGAACAAATGTTTCAAGGTAGGCCATATTTGCTCTACCTCTCACGTAGGACCAGACGTACCTTAGCAAAATATAAGGCCCATTTGTTGCTTTTCCAGTAGCACTTCAAATCTATTCAGTCTAACAAAAAAGCACTTCCTCGGCCAGCTTCGCGCAGCTAGTTCGGCGCTATTTCTAGAGCCGACCTTTCTGCATGCTTCAATACCCCCAGGCCTAACGTTACCCCGCAAGCCTCGGAGCAACCATCCCAATCAAGGCAACGGTGTTTCTGGGGATCGCTTAAAAGTTCCTCCCTAGAAACCAAAAGGCCAAGCGAGTAAATACTGGCACTCGCTTCCGTCTAGTGGATTTAAGCCTCGTCCATGGATGCGCCATACATGGTTAGCTATAACCTATCAAGCTGCCCCGAGCACGTTTCATCTCTCATCCAGCTTACCTCATTCCGTCTTTTTTTTCAACAATCCCTCCAACCCGTGGAAGGTGGACTCAAGTCTTCCTCAATCGTCGAGAAAGGCCTTCACTGAGGATCATTCTAGTAGACCAGGTCGGCACCGAGTTACAGCTTCTTGTGCTGAATGTCGCCGCCGGCGCATTCGATGTGATGGCCTGACAACACCATGTCGCCAATGTGTCTACTACGAAGTTCCTCAACTCTGTCACTATCCGCCGCGGAAGCAAAGACGGAATGTATCATGGAAGTAAGATACTTCAGTGATTCTAGCGTTTTAGGATCTTATAATTAACAAGATAGGTCCCACGACGAGCTTTCCAGTTCACATACAAAACTCCAAGGACTTGTTGATAAACTCTTCCCATCCTGTTCGCTAGATGATTTTATATCCATGTCGCGCGCGGCTCTGGTAGGAAAAGCACAAACTTTATTACAGTCCTCTATCGCCTCAATGACAGATGATCAATCTGAAGATGGTCTTCAAGATTTGGAACCGCCCCCTGAGCGTGACTTTACGTGGGATGAAGTCTCGGGTGATGATAGCGACGTCTCTCGGGTTGCCGATGACATTAATGGTCTGGCAGTGTCATTGGATTCCCTCAACTCTCACAATGCATCATACCTGGGGTTCTCTTCGGTCCCAACCATACTACGTGTCATTGCCCATTTGTCACCTCGCATTCGCCAGGTAGTCCCTCCCAGCCTCGAGACATTGAAATCTCCCGTACCCACGGGCGAGAGTCCAGAGAGCAATGTGTCCGCCGACATCGATGAGTTATCTTTGATCAACGCGTACTTTTTGCATGTCCATCCTATCACGCCAATGATTGACGAGGCCGACTTTCGGCGGCGCTTCGCTGACGGCGAAGTTCCTGAAAATTCCAAAACGCCGTGGCTTGCCCTGTTTAATATGGTACTTACAATGGGCTGTTTTGCGGAGGACAATTCGCAGTTCAGCAAACACCATTTTTTGTACAAGCGAGCCTTATCATATCTGAGCATGTCATCGTTCGGCTCAGGGCATATATACACCGTCCAAGCCTTGGCTCTCTATGGGGGCTGGGTACTTCACTATTTGAACAAACCAAATACAGCCTGTGCTGTCATGGGAGCGACTCTCCGCATGGCTATTGCTATGGGCTTGCATAGGGTACAGATACCGAGGCATTACCCAGTCAATGCCCAAAGCTCAGGACATAGTTCCATCGTACGAGGATACGTACCTGGTGGTGCATATTCTGTCTCGACACTTGGTCCGCTGCGACAATGGGTCGTCCTGGACTTGGCTATTGGAATCCTGGAACAGTATTAACGTCCTCAACATCTTCGCTGGCGAGTATGGTATGTATAAGGCAAGGCACATCGATAGTAGATACAATGAGTAAACTCACAACTAAACCAGGATTACGGAACGATCTCGCTCACTGCAAATGAGCAATTCTGCAAGATTGCAACACGAATACAAGAGCGACTGGTCGAGACGCCCTTAATTACATCAAATGAGATCCAAGACTTTGATGAAGAACTTTTGAAATGGAAAGGATCCCTGCATGTATTCCTCTCCGATGCCCAACACTGCCCACCTCATCTGCGAGTCGCGCGAGCAGTGCTCTTGTGTCGATTCATGACGACACGTCTCATACTTTACCGACCATACCTCTTGAGCGCAGCGATACATCAGAAGCCGTGGTCTAATGCTCCTCAACTAGGGGGAGCATTGGTCGTCAAGTGTCTGGAAATTGCTCGCGCCGGCGTCGACACCATAGGTTCGGATTGGTTTCCAAACCATATGTTATGTTGGAATCATGCGTGGCACCTCTTTCAAATCTCGTTGGTTCTGATTCTTGCTCTCGCTTCAGATGCAAACGGAGCAGAAAGTGCACTTTGCACTGAGTATATCACCAAGTCTATGGATCTTCTGGCCCAAATGGAACCCTTCGATGCCGGGGCCACACGGGGTCGACTGGTCATTCAGCTTCTACATGAAAACATTAGGCATCGGGATGATTCTATGGCTAATATCAACCTTGATGCATCTAGCTCTTTGGTTCTTGATCTTCTTGATGAGGAAATGATGGGTACCGACGCCGAGTGGGTCAATTTTCTGTGTGGTTACAACTGATATTTCTCGCGAAGAAGTCTCCAGAATTGTCAATCAGTAACTCGTTGATAGCCCCGTATCAATCCAGATCGTCATAATGTATGGGCTAAAAGTGCCGGGCGCAAACAATAACAATCTGGATGCCTCCTGAATAATTCAGGCACGGCTTTAATCTTATAACAGATAAGCCGAGAAATCAAAGGCAGCCTCCGATTTTCCAGCAGCAAGACCAGCTTTAATCTTATAACAGATAAGCCGAGAAATCAAAGGCAGCCTCCGATTTTCCAGCAGCAAGACCAGCAGCCTGCAAAGCCGCCCAGTTCACATCATTAATACCGACCTCATAATCCCAGTCCTGGTGCGGGTCCGCATTCGGTAGAATCTGCCAATAAAACCAAGGGATACCAGCAGCAGTAATTGACGAAGCCCAGTTGTCAATGTTGGAATCTCGAGTGCTCGAGCTGAGTGCACTTCCGCCATTGCAGTTATTGTTGGAAGCATCAGTGTAGCACGATCCCCACTCCTGCATGATGAGCTTCTTACCGGCATCCTGGGCCTTGGTCACGTACGGCTGTAAGGCGCTTGTTTCAAAGTCCCCTGTGCCATATGCATGAATTGCAAGCACATCAAGAGCATCGCAAGTAAAATACGGATCCAGGAGAGAGTTGGCGAGCCAGGCGCCGCCTCCAGTTGTGACCAAGATGCCCGAATTTCCAGCAAGATTATATTTGATAGCTTCGGCCATGGTGCATTGCCATGCGGTCAAGGCATTGGGGTTTTCCTACGTCTTTTGTTAGAAATTTGATCACATTTATGGCAATGATGGGCATACCTGGTCATGCATTGCTTCGTTCTGAGCCTCAAACGCGAAGATGTACTCCGAGCTTTGGCTCCAGGTCTTGCCATTGGCAGGATTGACGTGGGCAAGAACATGGGCAATCCGCTCCTTGAAGTACTCAATTGCATTGCTGTCAGTGTAGAAGTCGCCGGTACCATACCACTGCCCATAGAAGTCATTCGCGGCCTGAAGAGCATTGTAGCTATGGATGGAGATGAGAAGCTTAATACCATAGCTGTTCGCCTTCACCATGAAGTCGTCCAGGCGGTTCAGCACGGTATCATCCCAGTCATCCGGACTACTCCCCTGAAGACTATTGAAGGAATCGATTGGAGTTCCCTTCACAGTCCCCGACTGGCCTGTTCTATTTGTCAGTCTCAAGTCAAAACAATGAATTAGAGCGGGAAAGTCTACCATCAAGCCATACTCGCAGCACCTTCACACCGGCACTCTGCAGACCAGAAAGAAGAGTCGTTGACTGGCTATCAGTCAAGCCAGCGGCGTAATAGAGATTGGACGCGGAAAACGAGTTCGCGGCCAATGTCACGGATAAGGAGGACAAGCCGTACAAGATAGTAGTAATGGAGAACAATCTCATCATGAAGATTTGGGCTTATTGTTGCAAGGATGAAGAGTTTTTCGTGATTTTGAAAATTATCGCTCTATTTCCCATTGTTTATATCCCCCCAGCGCCGGGTCTATCATGTAAGAGGCATCTGAGTTGCAGGCGGATAAAGGCCCGAATCAGAAGATGTCTGCAGATTAGCACATTCCATCAAATTTCCCCATGTTCCGCACCAAGCTATACTGGAAATGGTTTGGCAAGGGTACACGATTGTCGAAGAATGGCACATTGGGGGTTTCACGTCCGGGAGCTAGAACGGAGTTTGGAAAGCCCGTTAGGACCACTTCCCGGGTTGGGCGATGCAACCGAAACCAAGGTGACACCGAGGCCTAAGTTATTCGCGCTTCATGTGTACCCCATATTTAGGAACATGCTAGGCAATGTGGGATTGTTAAACTTTCTTCAGCAAGATGCGGAGAAGTAAATTCCGGGGTCATGTTGTGTACCCGACAGAAACCCTTGCTAGGCCTTAAAGATCACGGCTTCCCGTTCTCGTTGCAACATATTTTCAAGTACAATTATTTGAGTGTAACATATGACATCAAGAAGAGATATTCCAACTAATGAAGCGAACATTTCTTAATTCCACCATACTCATATCTCATGGCACAAGACCCTGGCCTACAGAGCATGCTTAGGCAAACGGAAGCCCAGATACGGCAGATACTTCCCTGGATGCCAGTAGATGAAGAGTGCAACGCAGGGATAGATGACCAAGGCGTCAAATACGTACAAAGTCCACTCATGCGTATTGAGATATCCTGTCACGCCTTCGGTAAACTCCACTAAACGGTAAATTGAACGGACCTGTCGGAAGTCGTATGATTATTAGTGGAAAGATCTCCTTCTGTGTCTCATGGAACACTCACCAAGATCAACAAAGTAGTGAGGTTCACCACACGCAATAATGCTGGCCAGTGTTTTTTCTTCGCAACCCCATCGATGACGTAGTCCTCTTCTCCAGACAACTCATATCTCTCATGAATAGTCTTAGTAAATTTTTTCGAAGTGAAATTGAACCGGACAGCAGCCACAGAGAAGAGACCAAAAGCAATTAGCTGTACAATAACACCAGCCTGGGCAATGTGCTTCCCCCGATTGAGCTTACTTGCTCCATCTGGGTCACTTGCATCAACAGAAGAGATCATAACAGCTCCAACCAGCTGGAGAAAAAGAGCGACAACATCGAAGCCCACAAAGAGTGGTGTGATGAACCTGGGGGGCACCCAACACAAGCGCAAGGTTCGTTCCTCACGGGGAACAACCAGAAACAGGATTCGACTGAATAGGATATAACAGCAAGCGGCCATGAGGACTGGCGCGAGAATGATGAGGGAGAATTGAAGGACGTAGATGGGCTTATCGGTGACGTTCTGGGTCGAGATACAACGGCCAATGTAGCCGACTGCCTCCACTGTGAGCGGTGTTAGCATGAATGTCGACATAAATTATTAAAAAGTAGCATCTTGCTTACTTGCTGCAGCAATGACCATGACAACCCAGACCCAGGATTTATATCTGATCCATTGCACAAAGGTCAAGAGAAATGCGATGCCATATAGCACAGCCGCTACGATGGCGACTGCTAACGACGGGTTATAGCGGTAGAACGAGGCATTGCCGGTATTTTGGAGGGAGCGTTCCTCAAAGACCATGACTTGCAAATCTTGAATGTTTTGGCTGGGGAGTTGTGTGGAAAAGTTGAAGAAAAGTGCTGGGTCAACACAGCGGAGCGAAGATTCGCTTATTTATCCCTCGCTCATAGATCGGTCTGTTAGACTTAGTATAATATTGATATATCGGGCGGCAAGCCACAATAATACCACAAACGGTGGGCACTTCGTCTTCTCAAGCGGGAGACCAGGACGACCAGGACGACCAGGACGCCATTGATGTCTTTGATCAATTGAGAAACGCGTTCTGGCTAGGCGCCGCACCCTGGGAAGCTAGCATCTTTTAAGGCCTATATCTACCGTGAATCAGCAACTAAGCCACATCCCTGACGAAACAATTCGGTGTTCCGAATGCCGAGAGCACAAATTGCAAGTCTTCTGCTAGCTTCATTTGTCCATATTCGTCGAACCCACGAAACAGATACCCAATTAGGAAAAGCGGCCCCATATCAATGCCGTAGCTGGTCACCAATCAGCCTTCAGTAGGCTCCACCTCTGACATGGCTGAGCCTCGCGGGTCCAGTCGCCATCTGGATTTCTCTGCATCTCTGGGAGATCTCACGATTGTTTTTACCCCTTTTGAACCCCAGAAGGGTTTAAGAGAAGTGAGAATGAACTACATGATCGGATTGATGACCAAATATGCCTTTTTACGGTCGCCCGAGCAAAAATTGCGAGAGTTGTCGAGAGAGGCGGATCAAGGCAAGTCCCAAATACTACTAGCCTTATAGCGCGATTGATAAACCCCAGACTTGGAAACCAATAATCTAATATAAGTATCTATGGGTTAGTGTGACCGTCTTAACCCGGTCTGTTCGCAATGCAAGCGAGCGGGGAAACCGTGTGGTGGCTATCGCGACGTGCCGTCGTTGCTGTTCCGCAACGAGAACGACAAGACGGCCCGCCGGGCAGCAGCGGCAAAGGCTAAGTCAGAGGCTCGTCGCAAGCTTATGGATAGCTCAGAAAGTTCAGAGGAAGGATCGAACATATCCACATGCAAAAGCAGATTGGACTCGTCTTCATCGAACTATGTAGCCCAGCCAGACAAGACTCAGACGGTCTTGGTACCCCCGATGCCAGCTGCAGTCCCCTCTACTGTGGAGGAAATAGGGCTCAGTTTCTTCTTCAATCGGTTTGTAAGTGCTATTTCGGGGCTTGCGGGAGATCTCCCATATGGACTGGAAAGTTCTCCTTTCCTCAAGGCCATTCTCAAGCAGTCGCCCCTGCGCGATGCAACGGTCTCGGTTGGACTAGCCGCCATGTCCAATGTCAGTCAGGACCGAGCGTTATCACTAACGGCTCGGGAAAAATATGTGGCGGCCATTAATGTCGTTCGGAGGGCAGTTGAGAACCCAGAAAAGGCGAATGCAAACCAGACGTTCCATATAATCGTGATGCTGAGTATGTACGAGGTATGAGCTCTGGCCCACATGGCTTCCTGCACTGCAGACCATCTCCTTCTGAATAACTGACTGAATACTTGCAGATGGTATGTTGCGCGCCCAATGAGATCGATTCATGGACAATCCATCTTGACGGGGTGGCGGCGCTAGTCAAACAGGCCAGCTTTAACGATGCGCTAAAATCCGTCAACCCACGCCCACATCTGCAGTATTATTTTATTTCAATTATCAGATATTTCCTGGTCCAAGGAGTCATGCCCTCAGAGCTGCTCGATTGGTCCCCTGATCGCATCCCCGGTGCCAAGCCAGATCAGTTTCCCACGATCTGCCTGGTCGATATTCTCATTCGCTTCATGAAGCTACACTCTTCCATTCGAGACAACCCAGACCCTGATTCAAGGTTGGCTGTAAGCTCTGCTCTGCTTTGCGAAGCAGAACTAGAAGCCTGGGAAAAAGACCTTCCAGAGAAATGGAAGTTTTCGTTGAAGCAGTCGAATGACTTCCAGCGCACGTTCAACGGCATGTACATGATCTACAACGATGTGTGGGCGTCGAGAGACCTCAATCATTACTTCTGGGCGCGATTGAAGGTGAATGAGATGATTTTGCGTCATATATCGAGGATACAAACTCCAACGCTGAGTGATATCCAGCAGCGACAAAGAGTACTGGCCATGATTTCGCTGATGGCAAAATACATCTGCGCTGGTGCAGCGAGTCAAATGGGGGCCTTTGGCTGTGGAATACCATCTATGGGCCTCACAAATCTGCCACAGCTGCCACCGCTGAATGGCGTATTTATGTTGATGTTCCCTTTGGCAGTTGCAGGAGGGGCTGTTGGAACTGGTGACGAAGTCCATGAGTGGGTACTTGGGACGCTTCAGAAGATCGGGCAAACCATGGGCATTCGGCGAGCCTTGGAGATGATACCCACACTGAAGCAAGTCCGTGAGCGTAAAATGAAAGAACTGAACATAGTGAGATGAGAGTAGCTCCGAGAACAGACAAGTATAAAAAGTCGAGGAGAGAAGTACAATACTTTAACCATTGTCTCGGATGTCCCGCTAGTCCAGATTAGGTAATACTGAAGCTACCATCGACGCGGTCAGACGCGCCTCCTTCGCAGCTGCATCTTCGCATCCTCGCAACTTCTGGACCTCACCAATTAGATTCGTTCCAATACACATCCAAGATGGCGCTTGAGGATGAATGTAAGGCGACTCCATCCACGCGCTTTCTATCGCATTAGCTGACAAAAATTGGGTTCTAGGGACGTGCGATGCCAACGATGCGCTTCAAATCACGGTCGTGCAGCCTAGCGAGACGAAGCCGAAAACTCTCTCGACCTTTCACCCTCAGTTCACCTACCCCATTTTTGGAGATGAAGAGCAAATTTTTGGATACAAAGGCTTGATCATCCGTCTGCGCTTTGCCGCCCATGATCTCCGCCCTCATGTTCACATTTCCTACGATGATCGATTTAAGGCGGTTGGCGACATTGCTGCGACGGATCTTCTTGGCGCTTTGAAGGAATTCGTTCCGGAGGGTGAGTCCTAATAGAGCACAGATGACCATGAATACATTAGCTAATGGTGAGCAATCTTTCCGAACAGAGGCCTTGATCAATCTGCCCGACTATGAAAACGCTGTCCAGGAAGACTCCTACGCAAAGGACTTTACACCTCCCGGCAAGCTGGTCTATAGCTACGAGGCGAACGAGAGGAACTATGAGATCTGGGCAGGATCTCTCGCGGATCCTGATGTGCGATGCATTCTTGACCGCGCGCAGGTTCTGGTGTCATTATTCATCGAGGCTGGCACACCATTGGCGACTGACGATCCAGAATGGACTCTTGAACGGTGGACGGTATATTTTGTGTGAGTTTTCTGGTCGTGTTCCAAGGCCTGGTAGGTTCAATACTGACAGACACAGATACGAGAAGGTGACACCCCCAACGCCAACCGCCTCATCCTACTCCATTGTCGGATACGCCACCACCTACCGTTACTGGCTATACCAGCGAGATCGCTCCATTACGCCTACTGTCAAAGATGACGCCTTTCCACCTCCCGAAATCAAGCTTTCAGAGCTCCCATCACGTCTTCGCATTGCCCAATTCCTAATTCTCCCTTCACATCACCGCGCGGGTCACGGCACACACCTCTACACCACCATCCATGCCTCGTGTATTGCAGATCCCACAATTATCGAGCTGACAGTAGAGGATCCAAATGAGAGCTTCGACGCTCTTCGTGACACGGCCGATTTCTGTCTCCTGCAGCCCGAATTTGTCAAGCGCAAGGTCAACCTCAACCCCGATCCCAATGGGGCATATTCTCGCAAGCAGCGCCTTCGCGCTGTTCCAACCGCGGAGCTCATCCCTACCGATGTTCTACGCGACATCCGCACATCATTCAAGATCGAGGCTACTCAATTCGCACATATCCTGGAGATGTTCCTTCTTAGTCAGATTCCCCCAAGCCACCGCTTGGCAGGCGGCGCCAACCTTACACGGCTATTAATCAAGAAAGCAAAAGCCGACGATCCTAACGATCGGAGGTACTACTGGTGGCGCATGCTTACCAAACAGCGGCTTTTCAAGAAGCACAAGGAACTGCTGCAAGAATTGGAGCTAATCGACCGGGTAGAGAAGCTCGACGACACCGTTCGAAATGTGGAGGAGGGATACGAGATTACTCTTCAGGCGGTTGAGGGTCGCTTGCCAGGCGGTGCTGCAGACCAAGAAGCTCCTGCTCCTACAGGCTCTCGTAACAAGCGCAAGCTTACCATTGAGGATGACGAGGACGAGGATGAAAATGGAAGCGAGGCAGCCAAGCGCCCAAAAGTTTAGAATGAAGGCTCTAATACGGAGAACATTCTTTAATGGCTAGCTAGGATCCTTGGGAATCGGGAGAGGGATACATGCCACTATCTGATGCTAAAACCTTTTAATGCTCCAACCATTTGGCAATGAATATCAGATGTTCATTCGATAAGGATATAGTAGACACAAAAATCCGTGCAGAGAATTGCATAGATGAGAGGGCTTGCTGAAAAAATAGGGGACGAGTTGAGGTGGTTTAGTGATTAGCGCTTGGAAAGCTCTCCAAGTAAGTCAACCTGCAAGGAGCCCCGATGGGCTGGGCGTTCGGCACATCATTTTTTCCGGCATCAGCCTCCATCACAGCTGTAGCGGAGCTCGGGCGCAACCACTACTATCTTCCAACAACCCCGAATAACTACCCCAGGCCCCTCCATTGGGCTTATTCGCTGATTATTCACTGACTTGCTCGCCCTCTAATTGCGAGTCTGAGTCCTGCCCGCACTGATTACTGCTTGCGCACTACCGATCGTCCCTCCCACCTTCGCGCTTTCCACACCGAATCACACATCACAATGGTATCGCCCAATTGTCCGGCCTACATTCAAAGTACACGCGCTAACTCATCTTCTTGCCAGTTGCCTCTCGGCCTCCTTACGGCCGCACAGGGCCACCCGATGCTGGTCGAGCTGAAGAACGGCGAGACTCTAAACGGCCACCTGGTCACCTGCGACAACTGGATGAACCTAATCCTGCGCGAAGTCGTACAGACCAGCCCCGAGGGCGACAAGTTCTTCAGATTGCCTGAAGTGTACATTCGTGGCAACAACGTACGTCTCTTCCCACGCAAGGGCGATTCGATTCGATTCTTTGCGCAACGCCCTTCCTTAGCCCGTCACTAACGACTCGCTAGATTAAATACCTCCGTGTCCCCGACGAGATCATTGATATCGTGAAAGAGCAGCAACAGAATCAACCACAAAACCGCCGCGGTGGTCACGGACGAGATGGGGACCGTGGGCGAGGCCGCGGCGGCCGTGGTGGTCGGGGCCGGGGCCGGGGTGGACGTGGCGGTGGTGATCGCGGTGGTCTATGAGCGATGTCCGAAGATAAATGACTTGCATGGTTGAGAAACTAAGATGAGGAAATGAGATACCCTGCAGCAGAGAGTGGGTAAGGTCACTCGCTGGGAAATCCCCGGGTTGGACGAGCATTGGCCGTGGCGTATCTGGCTCTGTATTTTTCAGTGGGAACATGGGTTTCTGGATCGTTTGTGGTCTACGAATATTACATATTGAAAACCCAGACAGCATTCTTTACGTGGTCTCCGTAAAAGTAGACATCACCATGCCAAAGGGTCCCACGAGACATATCGATCCCAGTCACGTGACCATGGTCAAGTCTCGTCGGATTATCGCCGCGACTTGCATGTGTCTCCGAATCCACGGAGCAGTTCGACATGTCACGGCGGGTGCTGGTTCTTGATGGACTCTGGTACTCGCTATGTCCGTCATTCAGCCCATTGACTCTGACTCGTCCCAATCCTCTATTAAAGCAGCGAAAACCAAGCTCTCGACCAAACCCGCCGCCAGCTTTTCTTATTGCGACGCCGCCGCGGCATCGCTGCTACAGCAGCAATGCCAGCAAAATTGATGGCCGCGCCCGATTCGAGGACGAGCTGACACTCGACGATACCAATGATGCACCTCAAACTCTTGCCAACACCATCTCACCACGGAACGAGCTTCGGGAGAACGAGCGTGATGGCTTCGATCCCGAGTACACATCCGAGACCCATCGTGAGGGCCTGGACCTATGGTTACCGAAGCAGAAGAAAATAATGAACAAAAGCCCCGGCATCCCCCAATCTGCCGCCGGAAAGAGCAGTGACAGTCTGGAGACACTTTTACAAACGGAAATGGCCAAGAAGCCTAACATCACGTCTGCGACAAACATGTTACGGTTGTTAATACAAGATCGAGGTGTCAAGCCCTCGGCGCGGCATTATAAGGCTCTCATACTGGCGAACTCGGATGCGTTGCATGGTTCACCGATGTTTGTGAGGAGCCTGTTGGAGGAGATGGAGAAGCAGGGAATTGCGGTGGATTCGGGGACGCTGCATGCTGCGTTACAGGTATATCAAACCCCCGAATTGAAATGAGATTTTTATGAAGAGTTGACTTTCTAATACTTGATTCTGATTTTTCAGGCACTCGCTGTACATCCAGACTTCTGCCTGCGCCAGGAAGTCCTCCAGAAATTACGTGACCGATGGCTTACGCTCAGCCCGGCTGGATGGCATTTCGTGGTTACGGGACTCCTTCGCGAACACAAGTTCGAGATGGCCCTTGAACAAGTTGCCCTGATGCAACGGAAAGATATTCATGTTGAGGATTGGTTGCATAGCTCAATGATCTACCATCTCTGTGACTTGGGCGAATTGGACGAGGTGCTTCGCCTGATGCAGGTTCGAGTCAGCCAGGGCCACGATATGACGTCTCGACTATGGATGCATGTGCTGCAGACTGCAATTGAAGCGGAACACTATATGATGACACGTTTCGTGTGGCGACGTATGGTCGAGCTCGGCTACCTCCACCCGCCGACTGCTGTGTGCAGCGAGGTGCTGAGACTCGCTGCCGGCGTCAGTGATGTTGAGATAGCAAATTCTGTGTTTCGCCATCTCACAAGACGTGCGCTCTCCCCGGCTTTGGAAGATTACCAGCAGCTTGTTGTGGCCCACGTCGGCGTGGGCGACCTCCCTGCTGCGTTTGGAGTCCTTTGTACAATGCACGAAGCTGGCCTGTCTTTTGATCAGACGAGCACCCAACCCATCCTCACGTATATGATTCACAGCAAGACGGACCGCCGAGAGGCTTGGCAAATTCTCAAGAGATTGCAAAATGAGAAGCACGGCATTCCTCTCGCAAGTGTTCGCGTCATTGCCGAATTATGTGAACACGATGCCCAAAATGACCCGACGGTGGTAGATGACGCCGTGGGGTTCTACAATGAGATCCACACGCTCTGCCCGCAAGGTGCCGATCTCCAGGTCTACAATGCACTGATTCGGATGTGTCGCACGGCGGGCAAACGGGAAGCCGGCATCTTCCTAGTCAAAGAAATGGCCACTCTGAACGTCATCCCGGATGCCAGCACCTTTGAATCCCTCATTCTGATGTGCCTTGATGCGGGTAACTATAAGTCTGCGCTCATGTACTTGTTAGATCTGTCCAAGCGGGAGGCGACGGTCAATCCAAAAGTGAGAGAGGAAATCCGGAGTCTTTGCGCGCAATCGGTCAGCGAGTATGCGCTGCGGCTGCAGTATCACCCTTTGATTCAAGGTAAGGAAGATACGACTTTCTCGGATCATACCACCCAGACGCCTCCAACGCCCAACCCACCTCGCAACCCTCGCCCCAAGCTTGGCCGTGAGGAGAGAATTGCCTATAACAAGGAGCGACGACAGAGGAAACGCCGCCGGTTGGCACTGGAGCGACTAGCGGCAGAAGGCAAAGTAAGCCCAGATGCTAGGAATGACCTAGAATTAGAGGGTTCTGAGGATGAGATGGATGAGGTGGATGTAGATGAAGTGGACGAGGTGACCGAGGGGAAGAGCAAGCCGAGCTCTACCTCATCCAAGGCAGGCGAATAGCAAGCTCGGCGTTGCATCGGGAGATTTGCTCGCCGCTGCTGTTTCGGCTGCATGCCGATGCAGGTGCATGCAGCATCGCCATTTTCATGTGTCCCGGATCGGATAGATGAAGCGGGTGTCTGTTGTGCGACGGAGATGATGGCTTCGTGCGACAAGGACCTTGCCGGATATCATCATTTTTGGCTGTACTATATTTCCAACCCATCAATCCTGTAAAAATTTGATCATGAAATGACCTGCAGAACCACTCGTTGCATCCGTTGATTCCTGGCATTGCCGAGCTTGGCGATAACCAGGTTCAGATTCAGGTTCATGTTCAGGTCCAGTAGTTAAATGTTCGTGGCGCTAACCGTTTCGAATATCCGCAAGCCCCAGTTGACCCGCCATCGAACGCCACGAACCACAGGGCTGCACGCTGCTCTCGCTCGCCTTGTTCCATTGCTCCACTGCTCCAGTGGGGCCCACTAAGCCCCCAAAATAGCGCGAATCGCCTTTAAACGGCTGGGGGGACGATCGCCCGTTCGAACCTGTCGGATAGTGAGACTCGGTAGGAGCGTCAGACAGGCCGGCGCTTTCAGGGATGGCTACTGAGCGGGTTGGGCTTTTGGTTTGTTCCTGTAGGTTACTCGATCAGCGTCATGTACGAACTCGTTTGTCATTGGTTGATTAAGGTTGGTTTATCCCCTGAGGATGACGATCATTCGGTGGACCGGGAGAAAGGCAATGAAGTGAGTGGTTGGAGTTGTTTGGAGTGGAGTCGGAGGAATTAAAAGTGGGTTGACAGTCAAGTCCAAAGGGAGGAGGAGGAGACGAACAGACCAGGACTGCCCCCCTCGATTCGGCTGCTTCTTCCAACCTCCTGTAGCTCTTATCTTTCACCTCTTCATCCTCTCACTTTGCTCTCCCGTCTCTCGATTATATAACACCCCATCGCTGCCTTCTTTCCATTCCAAATTGTACATTACCATCCACCCCTTTCCACTGTCTATACAGTACTCCCTTGCCAATATCAACCATCGCCACCACCATGCAACTCACCTCTCTCCTCCCCGTTCTCCTCTCCACCTTGAGCCTGACCAGCGCTCTCTCCACCGGCCAAGCCGCCAACTGGACCGCAACCAACTTCCAACTCGAGTGCTCACCGGGCGGCTGTGCCTATCGTTTCAATATCAGCGCGCCCGCCTCCGAGAACGCGCCTAGTTTCAAGACCTACTGCGAGGGCCTCACTCCCAATGCCACGGCTTGTGCCAACAACACGATCATCGCTGCAGTCAGCCCCTTGGCCAACCCGACGTGGAATGTCAAGGTCCAACACGAGTGGCATGTCATTGAGGAGGAGTATAATTCCGAGGCCACCTACTGGCAGGCTGGCAGTGCCAATGTCACCGAGACCTCCAAGGCCTTCCTCATCAAGCCCGACGTGTTTTACGGCGTCGCCTAAGTGACCCCCTTGTCTGATGGGTCTTTCATTTCTTTCTGTCTCTTTCTTCTCATGACTTGTCTTCTTTCATATGTTTGGGAATGGGAGACTTGGAGTCTTCCGGCGTTTTTGTAATGTGATGGCTTTCTTTCGGGCAGATCATCCTATCTGTCTTTTCTTCATGATTGGCGTTTGGGAAAGGATGAGCCCTTTGAGAGACTTGGAACTCGGTTTGCGCCTCGGGCGCGTTCTCTCCTTACAGCAAGTGGAAAAAAGAGCCGGCTCTGGGACGGAATTTTCTTGTACATACGGCATATTCAGATTGTACAATATTGAAAACTGATCACACCTTTAACTCGCCATCTAATTCATAGATGTACCTGACATTTGATGTCTCGCAGTAGTTTCCGCGCTAAAATTAAGCCTCCAGCCCATCTCCGCGACCCTGTGACATCATCGGCTGCGCCCCAAGCGGCCAACGACCAACAAACAAGTTCCCGCTTAGTTGCAACACGCCGTCATTCAAAGCTCATAGAAAGCTCAACAACGCTCTCTCCTGGTCAGTAATTTGACACACGAGTTGATCCAATGACCTAGCTTCGCAAATCACTCGCGAGCAGAGTTCCTCGACTCGCGCAACATGGTACAACCCCTGGTCTTCCCCATATTCGGTGGGAAAACAAGACACTAACCCAACCGCCGCTTCGACAGTCCTCAATCCTCCGGCAGATCGTGGCAGGCCCACGCCTTCAACATCCAGAAGCTGGCCTGGATCTGTGCTACGTGACCGATAACAGTAATATAACCCCCCTCCCTCTGTCTGGCCAGACTCCTCTGAGAGACACTTCCTCGTCCGCCTCGACTAATACTCCCACCCCCAACTTCCCCAGTCATCGCAACGTCCGGTCCATCCGCAACATACCCGCAACTAGCATATCGCAATCCTCTCAATGAGCTTGTCAAATTCCTCGACTCCAAACATGGCGAGGACTGGTGTATCTGGGAGTTTCGTGCCGAGGGCACCGGGTATCCGGATTCCGAGGTTTACAATCGCATTCATCACTTCCCTTGGCCGGATCATCACCCGCCGCCCTTTGCGCTGATTCCGAATATTATGGCCAGCATGCGAAATTGGCTGCATCGACTAGACCCTGAGACTGGGGACAAAGGCACAAGCGAGACGACTGCACAGAAGAGAGTCGCCGTGGTCCATTGCAAGGCTGGCAAAGGTCGCAGTGGAACCATCGCGGCGTCGTATCTTATTAGCCAAGAAGGCTGGAAAAAGGAGGATGCACTGCAAAGGTTTACGGATCGGCGGATGCGGGTTGGTTTCGGGAATGGGGTGAGCATCCCCAGTCAACTGCGATACGTCGGGTACGTCGACCAGTGGGCGAATCAGCTGGAGAAGCGATACGTGGACCGGCCAGTGGAGATTCTGGAGATTCACATATGGGGACTACGAGATGGCGTCAAGGTTGGGGTGGATGGATACGTGGACGAAGGCAAGAAGATCAAGAGTTTCCACCTGTTCCATCGCAAAGAGCGAACCGTCGTCGGTGCTAGCGATAACAATATAACGCCTGCGTCCACGCCCATCTCCACGCCCTCGCAAGATCACCTCAGCAGCAAAGGAACCTCGCCAGCTCCACCGATCAGCACATCCGCAACCATGTCCCCACTCGCCTCGCAATCCGACTCATCAAGCTCCATGTCCGAAATATCGCGCCGCGCAACAACAACACACAACCTCTCCGCCGTGATATTCCGCCCCAACAAGCGCATAATGCTCCCAAACTCAGATGTAAACATCGATCTCGAACGACGCAGCAAGGCCTCCTACACAGGTTTTGCCATGGTCACCTCGGTGGCGCACGTGTGGTTCAACGCGTTCTTCGAAGGCGGCGCCGAGCACGACTCGGGCGTGTTCGAGACGGAGTGGGATGCCATGGATGGCATCAAGGGTAGTGCGAGGAAGGGCATCCGCTCGTTCGAGCGGTTAAAGGTTGTATGGCGGTATCCGGCTGAGCACGATGCACGGATGGATTCGTCTATGGCTGGGAGACGCATTAGTGAGCCGAAGCCTGGGGAGCCGATTCATGAGAGTGTTCCTGCGGACTGGAGGGGGAGAAAAGTGGTGAGGGTGAGGACGTTGGGGACACGATGAAACAAGAGAATATCCCTCCGTCTAAGGGCCAGGATACCTCGAAAGAGGATTCCCAGACTGGGTCTAGCACGGGCTCAACGTTACTGGCTGTTGGTGCTGGCTCGCTACATGCATTAGAGCGGCAACTTGGATTGCGCAAACAGACTGATGAAAGTAAGGATGTTAGTTTGGCGGGGAGTGATGATGAAGCCCGTGAGCGGACGGATGAAGAAGGGCGAGCGAGGAAAGCGAAGGTTGTGGAGGAGAATGGGGATTTGGAGGGGGTTCAGTCTTATTATTCTAGAAATGGGGGCGCACAAGGAGAGAAGGGCGATGGAGGGCAAGGAGGCGAGTCTAGGGAGTCGTGAGTATGTTGATATCGATGGAAGCTGGAAGTATACAAAAATTTCCGATACCCATGCTTTGTAGACCTCGGAATATCAATGGTCGTTCTCTTTATTTTTGAAGTCTATCCATGATTGATTCATCAGTATTCCATTGATGGAAGAAACGAAAGACGAGTGTATATACAAGGGAACGGGTAGCTATTCCCGTCAAGTGATAGTTTCTTCCGTCGGCCATCTCAGTCTAATCGTGATTATTACATTGACAGATGTAGTTAATAGTAACCAGACAGCCGTCATCCTGGTGATAAGAACCACACTTTTTACAGCCGCCGATATTGCAGATGTTCTGGTAGTCATTCCAAATGTTATTACCACTGAGCCTGCAATCGTCACCCTGGAACGAAGATGCCGCAGCCTCGAGTCTGATCACCCCAGCAGTTCTCCCACTACAGAGGCACAATTAGCAATAGGTTGATTGTAGGAGTGTTAGCGACACCCAGTCACGTCTAACATGTGTGGCCCAACCTCACGACTACTTTGGAGTCGCAACATGGGACGGAGTTCTCCGTCCCTTTCTTGTTGAATAGCAATAGCCCCCGTGGTACGTGCAAGGAGTACTAGTCGAGGTTCCGGATCCCGAATTCTCCAGCTCGCTTCCACTTCTGCCAGCGCCGCTTCCAACCCAGTATTAACTAGCATCCTTGGATGGCCTTCGTGTTCGAGAAAGGACCAATGTACCGGAGCTCAACCTCTCGACCTCTCTTCATTCTCATGAATTCTACTCACCTGCACCATGGACATGGATGATTCCTTGACTCTCGAAGCTGCCTTTTCCAGGGCCTTTGTTCATGCGTGCTACCCCGGTGAGCTGTCAAAGATCCAGGAATCCCTCGCCAGCGGGCGAGTAACTGCCGAGGATCTCGATAACGGAGAAAAGGATTGACTTGCCGCAGGATGGCATGAGTCCTTATTATCTTGCGGAGAGACCCAAGATTAAACCTGAGTATCAAATTGTGAAACACTGTGGGGCAGATTACCCAGAGGATATGACCACCGGAATCTTGAAACTCTTCAGTGCCTTAGAAGACGGTGCCCAGTATAGCACCGGCGGACAACTCTCGGGTTGCACTACTCTGTTTGTCATCAGTCGCAAGGGGATCTATGCAGCGCACTTTTTTGAAAATGTCTCCTTCGACGCTGACTCGGAGTGGCTGGAGTCATCGAAGACGGGAACGAACGAGGAGATATTCCAAATAACCGTCATCGATATATTAACGAACGGAGGAAATTATCAACCCAAGCTAGATGCGAGCCTCATCGAAGATGATTATGTCAAGGCCTATCTTTTACGCCCAGCAGAGGCCTAGGATGCTGACAAAGGCGGTTCCTATGCAGCTCAATGGGACCAGATCCGGAGTCTTATCGGTAATCTGGTACCAAAACTCCAAGATCAAACACGCTGGACGGATATGCCGTACGTGGCGTTGGATAAAAACGATCCCAGACTCAAAGATGACGACACAACCTTCGGAGTTAACCTCTTCAAATATGACCCAGCTCATAACACTGGGAGACGCGCGAGGAAGCAACTAGCCATGATATGGTTTGAAGACGACGAGGTGCCGTACCATAAAGATCAATGGTGAGCGCTAGGCGGTTCATTGGATTACAGGAAATGTTGTCACGTTCTTCTGTGAGTGTGTGAGCGAGAGCGAGAGCGAGCACGCGCGTGGTTCATGAATAGGTCGCTTTTCCACGGTCATGTTTAGACCTAAATATACGGCATCTCTACCCTTAAAGTACACTAATCGCTAAGGTTAAGAATACTGGTTCATGCCAAGTCGGGACGCAAACCCTCTGAATGTCCTGTGGGAAACCTTTCACCGAAAAGAACTCGATGTTTTAGTATATTCTTTTCGAGTCTCAGTAGAAAACTGAGTATCGAAATCTACTAGTCTAGCAAATCCCAAATTAGTTTCAATTACGCATACGCCGGGTAACACTCGCACAATGGTGCTTTCCTGTCATGGTATTCGTTTGAACCTCATTTACGTTTTAGGTCAGATTCACCAACATGAATCTGGACTTTCTCTCTTTCTTCGACAAGAAGATAAGTCGATGACAAGATGACACAATCTGCGTGCGGTCTTCCCCTTTTGACTACAGAGAATGATTCCATTGTCAAGGGGCATTTCACTCAAAGCTTTCACCATGGAATAACATATTCCCTCCAGTGTCCTTCAGTATCGGCCTCTTTGAACTTCTCAATACCACCAACAACACCGTCTTTTCCCACCAGCCAATCACCCATTTCCACTCGTTCAGCCCACTTTTCCAACACTTTGTGTAGGTATGAGCTACGTGAATCCCAAGGTAAATATCCACTATAACCACTAAATAAATCCGAATGATATAGTTGATCAGGCCAGCTGTACGGAAAGAATGGGACACCATTGCTACTTCGAGCAAACCCATTGCTGCCAATGTTGAACGGTAGCAGGAGTCGAGTCTTGTTGCCAGATGACCAGTTGTAGGTTTCGTGGACTGGTTCAATGTAGAAACCAGTGGGGATGTTCGAGGCATTTCCGTCGGGAAACCAGGGCCGACTCCAAGGTGACTTGTTCTCCTGATCCCCTCGAAACAAAAGTAGAGGGAAACAGGATGTCGCCTGACCAGCCCTTAAACGTTCTGGAAACGGGTGGTTATTTCGGCGTTCAGCAAATGGCTGATTTATAAATTCGTCCGAATTTTGGAGTCGGATGCCAGGGGCAATATAGCGAAACCTGAGTTGGCGGCCGGGAAGAGCCGACAGAAAGCTCCCAGTAAAGGAATCCAGTTTTGTGAACGAGGCGTCAATTACTGATTCGGAATATGGTAGAGCTATTTCTTCAAAGCTTGGATTTTCGAGGCCTTGTTCATGGCTCGAACTTGAAGGAAGTCGAGTCTCGATAGCATCAAGAAGACGGGTAAAGGCACTGACAGCCCTCTCAATATCCATTGGGGTATGTTGGTGAATCTCCCATGGGAAAACTCCGAACATGTCGTCCAACTTTTCCTTTCGACGATCAGAATATGTTGATATTTTGCCCTCATCGATGATGTCTAGATAGGCTTGCAGAATATGTTGTAATGGGCGCCATGCCCACCGTCTCATATCAAAGAAGACCATATCGATCCAGTCTGGGACGAAGGAAGCTAGCTCGGTTTCTTGATCAAATCTATCCGGCCTGTGAGTCTTTTTCTATTCTAAATTCAAGGAAGCTCTAATGGGAATCTCTCACAATATACCGACTTCTTCATCACTCTTCGTTCGTGTCGAAGGATACAGCCACACAAAACGATCACCCCACAATCGGAGAGAAGAGTCTTGGAAGAGTTCAGGTTTCCCATGGAGCGCTATTAGGTAATAGAAAAGATGAAAATCTGATGAAGCGTCGAAAATAATAGCTCTTGCCGACCGCAGGAATCTGATTAAGTTCGGGTTTAGGCGAGATGCGAGATCGAACGGAATTGGGGACGACTCTTCCCACCAGGTCTTGGACGGAACGGAAGCGACATCTCGTCCGGCTCCAATCCATGCACGTTCAAGGATCTGGTTGTGAAGCTGGGCTGATAAATAGGGGTCGAATCCGGTCCTCGGCATCTTGGGTGGATAAAAGATAGATTAAGAGGGGTGTATAACCAGGGCGACACGCGGTCAGAAGACAACAGTTTTCCTGAACATTATTGAGCGATGCGGAAAGAAAAGGGGAGGCGAGGAGTGCAAGGAAGACGTGAAGAAAATGGCACGACGAGGATGCAGGGCGAAAGACCAAATCTACAGTGGGAGATTTAGGAACTAGAGCTAGACTGGAAGTCTTGAAACTAACCCAGAGAGGCAATTCATAGATCATAGGTCCACCGTTTACAGTTCAAGTCGAAAGTCTTGAAATATTCTAACATTCCCTCTCATACAAGATGTAAAATACAAAGATGCAATGCAACTCAATCATCTATCTCACCAATTCTAAATGAATGCTTTCTACAAAGGCACAAAGCCCTCCATGTGCTTCCGCGACTCCTCGTCCTCCCGACGCAGCCGATCAGACTTCTTCCGCTCATAAACCGCACGCACGACCCGACGAAGCTGATCCTTGCCCTGGGAGAAATTCGCTTTCGCCAATCCCACGACAGAGTCAATCTGCTCGGGCGTGTAGATAAAGTTCCATGTGGACAAGAAATCGTCCACGTCGGGGTCAATTGAGTTGGGTTGGGGTGCAATCGGGTCGGCTGGGTCTTTGGTTTGATTTTGTGATTGTTGAATGGAATGGGCTGCTGCGAGGGGTCGAGTCTTGCGGGCTGGAGGGAGGTTAGGGGCGGAAGGATTGGGGATGAGAGGGAAGTAGACGACGGCGATGCCAGCTTCAGGTCTCATTAGGTGGAAGTCGGACTCGGAGTGGTCTTCGGCGTGGTCGGGATGGAAGAGACGCTTTGAAGGTGGGGGTTCGTCATTTGAGATGCGCTCTTCTTGAGTGCCGACCCAGACATTGCAGTATCCAAGATCCGAATCAGCAGCGCTTTGGGGACTGTTTTTATTCGATGCACCTCCCTGGTGATTCTGTGACTCGACAATCTTCTGGTTGGCTTGCTCGCCTGCCATGTTCTGGGGCTCACGCAGAGCCTTTTCCGTCTCTGCCAGGGTCTCGGTTGCTCGAGGCCAGCCTGCACCGATGGGCCAGCCCTTGATGCCCCGCTGTCGTGCGTATCCATCCACGACGGAGAGCCAGTTTTCTTGTTTTATGTCGGCGGAGGCATCGAATGCGACAATAACATCCACATCTCGGCCGGGTCGAATGAGCGGGTAAATGGGCAAGTTGTTGCTCATGCCAGCATCCATAAGACGCAAGTGCTTGTCCTGGAATATAGACTCTGGACAAGAAGCCGGCAGTCTGTCTTTCATGCCCATGACATAATTTGGAATAGCCGCGGGATCAATAGGGTGCACTCGAATGAGATCCTCATTCTTGCCCTGGATAAGACTGTCGATTCCTCCAAATCCAGCAAGACCTTTGACCAAAGGTCGAATCTCCTTGTAGTAGTGAGAGAGCGTTGCACAGAAGGCACTGCCCCAGATTCCCATCAGCCCAGGAACCCGCAACTCGGGAATAGGGTAGACGTGGGAAGGCATCTCATTACGCCCGTCATTGAAGTGCCGTCCCAGCGCCCATGTAGGAATTCCAGCATTGAGTTCCTCACAAAAAAACTCGTATGGAGTGAATTCAAACCATTGGAACCAAGACTCCCGTTTGGCTTCTTTCATCAGATCTTCCGGCATTTGATGTCTATCCTTTTGGACCTCTTCAGCCAATACAGGAATCTCATGGCGAACCGCCGTGTAGATAGGCATGGGATGCGCACCATCCAACAAATTGACACGCTGGTTAGAGATCTTAAGATCCCGATCGCACACGCCTAGCTCTCCACGAGGAACCAAAAGTCGTGCGGCAAGCAACATACCATAAATGTCTACTAATCCAAAGTCCGCACCGGGGTCTGCTTTCAGCTTCTCAACTAAGCCACTGAGGAGAAACTTGTTGGTAGGCGCGGTGGTTAGCAGATTAAGTGCTGCTGGTGGGAAAGCAATGTGCACACCCAGCCGGTTTTTCAGGTGATCGACGAGCTGATTGAAGTTTCCATCGGCGAGAGAAGAATGGTAAAGAGTTTGTAGCCAGCAGCTACCGCTCACTCCGGCCGTATATGTCACACAATCCCACAGCCCGGCTTCCTGAGCTGCCAGGTAGGACCCGGTTCCTGCAACCAGGGCGCGCAGCCCGCCACCAGAGCCGCACATGGCAATGACTGGGATATCGTCGGGGTGAATGTCCTCTTCAGGGATATCCAAGTAGGAAGCCAATGCTTTCCTCGTCCGGTGCTGGCGGTTCTTTCTGAATTCGAGCTCCTCCTTGCAAAGGTCACTGCTCACTCGTACCTCGGCATCCCTCAAGATCTCCGGGTTGATATCTGGATCATGCGACTCCTTCCAAATTTCATCTGCTAGCGACCCCGGTGACATTGAAAGCTCCCGCTGGAGTTTTTGAGCCGTAGCTGGGAGGAATCGCGCCCAATCGGGCATGATATGCTCGGTAATGTTCCCTCCTAGGTCTCCCCAAGATCCAGCTCCAACAGTATGTTTGACATTGTCGAGCTTCTGCGTGAGCTTGAACCATACGGAATCCTGGTCGCTGTGTTCGGGGCTTCCCTTTTCTCGTGAAGGATCGCTCCGAGACTTGGAATTGGCCTCACACCAAGCAGGAGTGGTCGTAAAGGGAGCGCTCTGCGGAATGCGTCGATTCCATTCCCCCGCAGTGTATGCAGCGAGGGCCGCAGGAGGTACTGTCCATCGAAGGCGTGAGATCCTCGCGGCGCCCATTTTGGCGAGGGGCGAGCGCGACGAAGAAGCTGCAAGGTGCATGCAACAAGCTTGGCCAGCTCTGGGCCACCATTGGTTCTTCTTGTACTGTAACCCTGCCGCGGGGAATGACGACATGTCATGTGACACTATTGAGCGGAACCACAGACGGGCCGAGCTACTGACCCTTTTGGGCCTAGCGTAAACACCCGTCCGGGGCGGAGCTTATCGAGTCGCTGCGGCCAAACATCCCTCGTGGACCCCCACACCTGGGAGACATGACATGACGACTCCTGGCGACTCGGCCCGGTATCTCTTCTGCGATTGAGAACATGGTGGCCCCCAGGAACACCGCATTTGCGGAGGAGAGCGCCGAGGTAGAGGTGCTGTACGCCAACCTCGAGAAGCTCAACCGCCTCACCAAGAAGATCCAGGGCTCCCTGGTGCGCTTGGAAACCAGCGGAAAGGTTGTGAAAGAGGCTATTGGTCCTATTTACAGCAATACCCAATCACTGCAGATTACCAACAGCAACATTGACAAGGTCAACGATGCCATTGACCGTCTGCGCCAGCCTCTCGATGCGAAAAGCCGCGAAGAGGGCATCATCCGCGCAGGGTATGTCTTAAGATGCTCCAACGCAATGCAAGCCCGGAGATACTAACTTGACTTGTCTATCTAGACCAAAGATCTCTGGTCTGTCGCAGTATCTGTCGGCGATGAAACGTGTTGAGAAAGCGCTGGTCGACCTCAACACGACGAACCTTCGGTCGAACCAGAAAGCAATGTCCGACTTTAACGCCCTCATCAGTACAGGAAGCAACATGTTACAAGATACTTTCAAATCCGAATTATCGCAGCATGTCACACCTATCGAGCCGCTACACTATCTGACAAAAGGTATCTGCACCGGATACCCCGGCACATTGCGAACGGACAACGCTAACTCCAGCGTGTACAGAACTACCCTTCCCTTCCCTGCCCGAAGAAACTATCTCACAACTGGCACAGCTGTGCTCGGCAATTGGGTCAGCAGCGATTCATGGGCCTCAGCGAGGAAAAGGCGAGAGTCCTGCACTCAAGATATACTCAGACGTACGCGGGCCGTATCTCACCGCTAGCCTCCAGAACCTGTCGATCGCATCGCTCAACACCGTCAAGCGACGCCCGACAGATGGCCCTTACAAACAAGGTACGAATGGAATTGGGATTTATTCGAATGCCCTGGAGGGTTTCATTGTCGCGGAGCATGGGATTATCGTGCAGATCTTCACCGGGGATCAACAAGGCCTTGTTCTCCAAGCCACCTTCCTCTCGGCAATGGGGGAGTACTCAAAGACTCTACGTGAGCTGAACCAATACATCAAGGCCAACTTGATGACGGATTGCTTCTTGGCATTTGAGATTATTGAAATTGTGACTGCAATGTCTTATCGCATTGATTCCAAGACGGCGGAGCTCAAGAGTCTATTGATTGAGGCTCTACGACCAGTTCGTGAAACTGCCAAGTCATCGCTTTCGGAGCTTCTAGAAGAAACCAAGCGCAAAGCTGCCACTGCCCCTCTACCCCCAGACGGCGGCTCTATACCTCTTGTTGACGAGGTGATGAGCTCCTTGTCTACTCTGACCGGATACTCGGGGCCTCTTGCATCTATCTTGACATCACTTGGAGATGGCAATTGGCGCTCCAATTCGAACACTGCGGGCACGGCTCCTCTAGATGTTGGCCCCGACAGTGGCACCTTGTTCTCTCACTTCATTCTGGACATGATCGAGGCTCTGATGAACGCATTAGAATATCGCGGCCGAGGATTCCACCGATCAAAGGCTGCGCTTGGTGTATTCTTGTCCAACGTGTTCTGCATCGTTGATCGATCTATCCGACAAAGTCCCGAGCTAGCACGTTATCTCGGTGCACCAGATAGCATCGCCCGAATTGACAGCTTCCGCAAACGTGCGACATCGACATATCTCGATGCGTGGAAGGATACGTCACAGTGTCTGTTGGATGTGCAGTACACTTCCCGAACCGGCGCACGGCCCAGCTCCGGGGGCGCGGTGGATTCCAGCGCAATTGTCAAGAATCTCTCGTCTCGCGACCGGGATGCCATTAAGGAAAAATTCAAGACGTTCAATGCGAGCTTCGATGAGATGGTGTCTCGGCACAAGAACCTTCATATGGAGCGAGAGGTACGGTCTGTCCTGGGCCGAGAGCTGCAGGCTGTTCTGGAGCCGCTCTATGCTCGCTTTTACGATCGTTATGTTGAGATCGACAAGGGTCGTGGCAAGTACATCAAGTACGACAAAGCCAGTCTTGCAGTGCAATTGGCGCAGCTGTCTTAGACTCTGCGCTGCACTGTTGCACCCATAGATTTTTTTTCTCTTCTATTTTATTTCTTGCTTTCTAGCGAAGAACGAGTAATACCATAATCCAATGGCGCCAGATTCACATGTTTTATCTCTAATTTCATCAGCCCATCTCACAAAGGTAGTATACACGTGACTCGCCCCACGCCAACCTTGCGATAACGTGATAAGCCCCGCTACACCCGATGATCGCAGCAAAATTTCCCAGTTCGCACACTTCTTCGCCCTCGCATTTCAAGTCGATCCTGTCGCTCAGTTTGTCTCTCGGGTGTTTTCCGATCAGACCCGGCATCATGTCCGCCAGCAACGATGTCTACCAGACCCCCCTCAACTCGCGCTATGCGAGTAAGTCATTCCCTCCGCCCGGGCCTAATGAGGGGACCCATAATTGGATGGCAATGAGCTCGATAGCTAATGGAGTCGACTTTCAATTGGTTAGGCACGGAGATGAAGTATCTGTTCTCTCCTCGCATGCGATTCTCGACATGGCGCCAGCTGTGGATCTGGCTCGCCGAGTCCCAGAAAGGTACGAAAACTAAGAAGACCGGGGGGATGAGTCGAAGGAACGGGGATTTGCACCGACATCGGATGTAAATTTGAAGGCATGGGAAACAAGCAACCGTTCAATTGACTCGTTTGTGATGTTCTAGAGCTCGGCTTGCCAATCACCGATGAGGCTATCGAGCAGATGAAGGCTCACGCCACCATCCAGGATGACGAGTTCAAGGTTGCCGCCGAGGAGGAGAAGCGCCGCCGACACGATGTCATGGCTCACGTCCACGCCTTTGGCCAGGTCGCCCCAGCTGCTGCCGGTATCATTCACTGGGGTGCTACCTCGTGCTACTGCACTGACAACGCCGACCTGATCCTCCTCCGTGACGGTCTCGACATCCTCATCCCCAAGCTTGCCGTCGTCGTCGACAAGCTTTCCCAGTTCGCCCAGCAGTACAAGGACTTGCCCTGCCTGGGCTTCACCCACGGTCAGCCCGCCCAGCTGGTCACTGTCGGCAAGCGTGCTTGCCTGTGGATCCAGGATCTGCTGATGGATCTGCGTAACCTCGAGCGCGCCCGTGATGACCTGCGCTTCCGTGGTGTCAAGGGTACCACCGGTACTCAGGCTTCTTTCCTGCAGATCTTCGAGGGTGACCACGCCAAGGTTGAGAAGCTCGATGAGCTGGTCACTGAGAAGGCTGGTTTCAGCTCTGCCTTTATCATCTCTTCCCAGACCTACTCCCGTAAGATCGACGTGGACGTTGGCAACGCCCTTGGTTCCTTTGGCTCTACCTGCGAGCGCATTGGTATTGACATTCGTCACCTGGCCATGCTGAAGGAGGTCGAGGAGCCCTTCGAGAAGGACCAGATTGGTAGCAGTGCCATGGTAAGCGTGATGGGCCAATTGAACTCTTGAAGGTGGCTGCTGACTGCTTCAAGGCTTACAAGCGTAACCCCATGCGCTCCGAGCGTCTGTGCTCGCTGGGTCGCCACCTCCAGAACCTGCCCAAGGATGCTCTGGACACCTACTCTGCTCAGTGGTTTGAGCGCTCGCTGGTGAGTGTCTGCAATCTAGAAGCTTGAGCGGAGCTTGTGGCTGACCTGTACTAGGACGATAGCGCTATCCGCCGCATCAGCATCCCCGAGCTCTACCTGACCGCTGATGCCTGTCTCATTCTGCTTAGTATGTGTTGACCATTGCTTGTTGGAGACATTGCGTCCCCGTTCTAACGTTCTGTAGACAACGTCAGCTCTGGCTTTGTCGTCTACCCCGAGGTTATCAAGCGCCATGTCAACGATGAGCTTCCCTTCATGGCCACGTGAGTAACTCGAGTTTTCCCCCCTCAAAGCTAGAACCACTGCTAACATCTACCTACCTAGTGAGAACGTAAGCGCCGCGTGATCCTGCCATGACCCGATTATTAATGCTAACACTCCCCAGATTATCATGGCCTGCGTGAAGAAGGGTCTGTCCCGCCAGGACGCCCACGAGGAGATCCGTGAGTGACCCATCCTTCAAGCGTGAATATCTTCCCATCTACAATCACAACCTAACACGGCATCTCTCTCTTTTCTTCTAGGTGTCCTCTCCCACCAAGCTGCCGACAACGTCAAGAAGCTCGGCAAGGACAACGACCTGCTCGAGCGCATCCGCCGCACCGCATTCTTCAACCCCATTCTCCCCGAGCTGGACGCCCTCCTCGACGCCTCCACCTTCGTCGGTCGTGCGCCCCAGCAGGTCGAGAAGTTCACCACCACCGAGGTCGCTGCCGCCATCAAGCCCTACGCTTCGCACATTGCCAAGGGCGAGACCTCTGCTCTGCACGTTTAAATCCAGTTCAAAGAATGACCAGGGACACCTCAATTTGATGTTCCACAAGACGGGCATGAGAGAAGAAAACAAGGTGATCACAATAAAAAGATGATGGATGAAATATAAAGGCAGATAGGAGTTGTATATTGGCCAGAGGTACGCGCTATGAAATGAGACTTTTTAACCTGTTACCTCCATGTTTACCCGTGTTATCTGCGTAGGTGGGGGGACTCGTGGACATGGGCAAAATATCGATTAAGGTACTGTATACCGAATGCAGAGATGATGAATCAAAATCAAAATCAAAATCAAAGGAACCACCCCCATTCTAGCTATAAAGAGAAGAAGAAGATAGAAAGAAGCGAACACATGACAACACTCAATCACCATCGCTTCGGAGGGTAAATGCTGACTTTTATGCAAGTAATGAGAAGAAGAAAAAGAAACGTATAAAGGCTATGCATAAAATCAGTGTCATCGGGCAGCAACAAGGAATCAAATCAAGAGAAGAAGAAGAAGAAGAAGAAGAGCAAAAGTCAAAACAAAAAGCAAACGCTATGGGCATGCAATGGGTACGCAATAGGTAAAAGCCAAGTAATATGTCCAAGTCGAAGGAGAAAAAAAAAGGAAAAGGAAAAGGAAAAGGAAAAGAATATCCAGAGGGAGAAGAACTGGTCAAAAAAACAGGGAAGCATAATGAATCAACGTGGTCGAGATCAGATCGCCGGGGAAGAGACGGTTGGCGGTGGGCGAGTTGAGAGTTGGCCCGATCGTCGGTCTGCAGGAGGTTCCAGGTTGTCAGATCACCGTCCGACTGCGTGGTTGCATCACCGTACACGACATGACACCGGAATTCGCAGAGTCGGGGTCTTGACAAGCTGGCATGCAAGTGCAGCGCAGGGTCCGGATCCAGGCTCTTTGCGACTGACTTTGCAAAGGTGAGATGTCGATAAGTATTGGCATTGGCAATGGCATTGTATCAGGCATTGCCGTCCAGCAGGCATCGGAAAGATCACCGGTATAGCCGCACGAAAGGATCTATCCCCACAAAGGTCGCGATGTCGCGCTGCGAGAACGAACGCGGTCCTCTCATTTAAGTTGGCACGGTGAGAGCGCCACAAGGCTCGCTGCTCCGTCGAAAATGACCAAGGACCCATCGAGCTACCTCAAATCCTCGACTTCGAATCCTTCGGCAACCGTAATCATTGCAGAAGAATGTCTCGTGCTGGTCCGCACGAGGTGGAAAAGGTCTCCACTCGTCATGCATCGAGACGGGTAGAGCGCGGTGCCAAAATCACGATCATGCCACGATTGCACTGAGTGCAGACTTCCAACCCAAGCAGCAATAGCAGCCTCGAGACAACTCGCTGCATCGCCAAATGCCCTCCCAGCTAAAGCACACCGACCGAGTCAAGTGAGAAGAAGGAATCACAAAGTTCCTGATCCCTCATCCCGCCATCTCACCCATACGCCCATTTCCCGCATTCCCCATCCGTCCCAGCCTCCACCCAACCGACACGCGACCAAAAAAGGGTCATCCCCCCAACTCACGCATCAGCAGGGGCGGGCGTACTCGCCTCGGACGGTGTAAACGGCAAATAGAACAAATCCCGAATCAACCACAGAATATACAGCACACCCAGGACCCAAAGCGAGGCCATGAGCTTGTACGTGGATGAGCGCCAGGTGACGCGCCGGATAAGACGGCGGCCATTGGGACCCTCGATGGGCCCGCGGCGCGGCGAGGCGGGTGGCATTTGGCCGTTGGCCGTTGACGTGGAGGAGAAAGGGTATGCCACGGCCTCGTTCATGGGCTCGCTATGGGAAGTTCGACGGCGGGACATGGTAAGGACTGGTGTGTGGGGGGGGGAGAGAGAGAGAGAGAGAGAGAGAGAGAGAAGAGAAGAACAGAGAGGAAATTGAAATAGAATGGGACTTTTTTCGGGGGAGCAGAAGTGGGGTTTTTGGTTCACAATCGCAGATAGTCCGAAGGGAAGTATAGAATAGAGAATAAGACAGAGAAAGGGAAGAGGGAATCTCGTGACTCCGGAAGTAGTCAGAATGGAGAGGTGAAGCCAAAATGCAGTATGAACCAGAACCAGGTTAGAAGGAGACCTCGATTATCACTTCGAGAATCGAGAAGAACCAAAAAAAAAAAAAAGGCGTAGAGCGCCGTCAAGGAGTAGCGTGGAGGGGCAACACGGCTTGTCTTCCGAGTCGCCTGCGCTTAGGCGTGTCTGGAGTTCTTTTGAGAGGAGGAGGAGGAGGGGGGGGCTATTTTAGGCGATGGGGGGTTATTCACAAAGTATATCACTGGAGGTATAGGATGACACCCACGAGAGGAAGAGAAGAGAGAGAAAAAAAAAAGAGGAAAGGAAGGATGTTTAGCCCCCACTCGGTACGAGAGATATACTTGTCCACAAGCGAGAAGAGAGAAGTAAAATAAAAAATAAAAAATAAAAAAGCGACAAAGGAAATGAGCAGAGAAGAAAAGAGAGGGAACCTCCAGCAAAGCGAGGGGGTCCCACCGCCAGGAAGCAGCAAGAGCTCGAAAAGGGAATGTTTGAGTCTCCACGGGTCCGCCCTGGGCTTGCTACGACTCCGATCGGCGAATCGACGGGGTGCCGAAGAAAGGGGAGGAGGATTGGAAGATCTAGAGGGGGAGAAATGGAAGGTAGATGAAGTGTGGGATTCTAGAGATCAAGAGATTTGAAAGTAATATCGCTAGAAAAGAAAATGTTGTCAACTATACATGGAATGGTTCCTATAGATCTACAGTACATCGAGTTGGACAAAGGCAAACAAGGCAGGGGGGCAGGAGACACGGGGAACATGACAGCCCGGAGCTGAGAAGAGTGGGAACTTGGAATCATTATCATAGACTCAGCCATTGCAACAAACAGGGGACTAGTGGGAATGAGCTAAGGGTGGATTCTGGGAAATGAATTCATACAGTTATCATCATCATCATCATCATCATCCTCAGAATCATCCTCAGAAATCCAAATCCAAATCCTCTGCGGGGAGTGTGTCGTGCGACAAAAGTACCAACGGGACATGGCCCTAGCCCACGACCCTAAATGCCTGGGCCCATCCCTCTGTCAGAGTCACAGGAGAGGGTCAAGAGTCGCGACTGGACTGTATGACTTGGGACTAAGACTAGTAGAGTTAGTGGAGACTAACTCGATAGGTGCCAACTCGGTTAGTAACTTTGTAGCGAGTAGTTCCTTAGTGGAGGAAGAGTTGGTCTGCTTTTTCACACAACCCCTGACGTAAGGAACCTGTATATGACGAGCATCTAGCTGAAAGTACGGAGTATTAATATTCCAGTGATGAGGAGCATGAAGTACTCCATAGTTAGTACAGTAGGATAGCACAGTAATCGCAGTAGACAACCAGCGCATCATGCTGTACGCATGAAGATAGTATGATACTCTAACAGGCTAACCACGACTATCATCCGTTGAACTATACAAAACAGGGAACTAACTAGTCATTAAGCCTGTTGGCTAGCAGTTCAGCAGTCAACGAGGGCTGGAGCTTGTCTGGGATGGTGATCGCCCCCCACCTTTCGGGCAAAAGGGGAGATCCGGGGGACGGTTGGACTGACACATGCGACATGCGAGATGCGATGCCCTGCGGGTGTGAAGTGATGGTATGGTTCACATGAGACAATTAGAAGATAACGACAGTATACTGTATCTCTTTTCTGTATCTTATTTCAAGATTGACTATTTAATATGTGATCTCTCTAGACTACCTTATAATTGTTCACTCCAATTCCACGATTCCGACCAGTTCGCTCCGGAATATTGCATTTCCCCGTTCGGCACGATCCTTTTCCTGAGTGCCCCGGTCCATTGTAGCAGTAGTATGGGGAAGACGAGGAACAGAGGAACAAGAATTATTCTACCGGAGTCTTAGGGTCCAGCAAAAACCAAAAAAAGGACCAATGATCATTTCCTGGAATATCACAGTCGAGCATGATCAGATGACCTTCCCAACCTTCATGTATCGGCACTTTTCTCGCTTCTCGTAGGTTAGCGCGTGGGCGAGCAAGCCAATTCCTCCGACGCCGGAACCTGACGGTCTCTTGTTGCGGGCGCCGGGAATGTCCCCCTCCCCCCAAACCTCGGCAGACGAGTCATCCCGTTCCTCGTCACGACCTCCGCCAACTCTTTTCCTCCACACACACGCGACACTCTCTTCTCCCTCTATACACTGCTGCTGCCCATTCACCCCCTCTGAGAGTCTCTTTCTTCGTCTTCCTTTCCCCCCCCCCCCCCCTCTCGGCGGCCATTCGGCTTGAATCGTCGCACGATGTGGAAGCCGTCAGAGCGCCTGATGGAAACCATCAGGCACTATGCCAGCTTCCCCGCAACCGGGGTCTCGCTGAGGCAAATGGTCCAGTTTGGGGACCGACCTTCCACCGGTATGGCCCTCATAGCTCCCGTCGACGTTCTCCTATTCCAAACCGCAATGGGAATCCTCGGTCGAGAACGGCGTAAGACTGATTCATCGCTGTAGGCACCTTGTTCCGCGCCTCGCAATTCCTCTCCGAGGAGCTCCCGATTCGTCTCGCGCACCGGGTCCAAGACCTAGGCGAGCTACCCGATGGCCTCAGTGAGATGCCCTCCATTAAAAAGGTGCAGGATTGGTATGCGCAATCATTCGAGGTATGTATTTGCTTATCACGTTCTTTTCTTCTTGTTTTTTCTCATGTTCGACGATTTCCCGCCGTAGCGGCTTCCATTGCTCCGTGGGCGTGACTCACTAACGGCGGACCCTCCCAGGAAATCATCACCCTCCCCCGACCCTCCCTGACCCAAGAGGTCAGAAACCGCCTACTCCGCCCGGGTCGCATGAATGGCGGCTCCCCATCTAAGATTCTCTCCGAGGCGACGCAAAATCCCAGTATCCGCGAGGGCCAGTACCGCTCCTCTACCACCGCCAATGGCACCATTAACGGAAATGGAAAACCGCCCGCTGTAGCCGCCGCCGGCCGGCGGTATTTCGTGCCCGCCGATGGCAATGTAGACTGGCCCCCCGAGCTGAATGATTACAATCAGCGATTCTCCCGGACTCTCCAGCAGATTAAGCGACGACACGACAGCGTTGTAACCACCGTGGCCCAGGGTATTCTGGAGTGGAAGCGGGAGCGACAGCGCATGCAAATTGACTCGACAATTCAATCCTTCCTCGATCGGTTCTACATGTCCCGTATAGGCATTCGAATGCTGATTGGACAACATATCGCTCTTACGGAACAAACGCACGTCAAACATCCGAATTACGTCGGCATCATTTGTACCAAAACCAACGTTCGCGATATCGCTCTGGAAGCCATTGAGAATGCGCGGTTCGTCTGCGAGGACTACTACGGTCTATTTGAAGCGCCCAAAGTGCAGCTGGTCTGCAAGGACGATCTGAACTTCATGTACGTGCCGGGCCATCTGTCGCACATGCTCTTCGAGACCCTGAAGAATTCGCTCCGTGCGGTGGTTGAGCAACATGGTGCCGACCGCGATCAATTCCCCGTGACCAAGGTCATTGTGGCCGAGGGCAAGGAAGATATTACCATCAAGATCACCGATGAGGGTGGTGGTATTCCCCGGTCGGCGATCCCCTTGGTGTGGACGTACATGTATACGACTGTAGAGCAGACTCCCAGCCTGGACCCGGACTTTGATAAGAGCGACTTTAAAGCGCCCATGGCTGGCTTTGGCTATGGATTGCCTATCAGTCGGTTGTATGCGCGCTACTTTGGAGGGGACCTGAAGTTGATCAGTATGGAGGGGTAAGAAAATTGTCCCAGTTCTCTGATTCCTCCCGGTGTCTCAAACTAATCCTCATTTCACTCATAGATACGGCACCGATGTCTATCTCCACCTCAACCGGTTATCCTCCAGCTCCGAGCCCTTACAATGACAACTACCCGTCATGAGAGACGGCCGGACCCGGTTCAACACCTCGCACCGCCTGCACCCTATTTACATCGAACCGGGGCCCAAGTCCGGCCCATCTCGAGGACTGACGCCCATGAATGTCCAGGCACATCGGTCCCGCATGCGCAGCCGCGAAGTCTCGGAGCGCAAACAAGTCGGTGACGCAGAAAGTCTTTTCCACTCGGAGCAGCGACGGAAAGACGATGACGAGGAGATGTGAGAGCCCTCTCTGACTGTCCCCTTGACTGCGTCGTTTTATGCTTTTTGATTTTCTCGTTTGATGTAAACCGTGAGTGTGGTTCTTTTTCTGACTGGCGTTGCTTTTCTCTTTCTTAGTGGGCAATTTGCGCGGGCCTCGCCTTTCCTGCTTCTTTTCATCTCGCTGGTCGTTGTTCATATGGACAATGGCAAGTCTTACGAACGAAATACGACGGCCGAGTTTAATACTACTTGGGGATGGAATCCGACCTGAGAGAGCCTCGATGCGATACACCTCGAAAAAAAAAAAAAGGCAGACGGAAAACGATACGAGAAGAAAGAAATAAAAAACAGACAAAAGGAAAAAAAAAACGAGCCCGCCATCCGCGATCACTTTCCCCGTCACAACCAAAAAGGCCAGAGAAGCTGTCATTCTCTTGTTGGCTTGTCGGATTCCCTCCTTCTGAGATACCCATTCCTCACTGCCATTTCACCATCCGCCCTTCCACCCCTTTTTACCACCTCTTTCTTCATCCTATCATTATGTAGTCGGGATCTTCGTCCCCGACTCCTCCGGTCTGGTGTTTCAAGTCAGGTTGGGTCTGGTTTTCTGTATAGTACTCTTTCTATTCTGTGTTAGCGAGCATATATCATTACTGGAAGACTGTCACCAACAGTCCAATGGAAAAACAATCAATTCACCAATCATCACATTCATTCATTTCATGATTCCATCATCGATCTATACCTACCACTCTCAAGGCCCCCTCGACCGTGCCCGACTCCCCCTACGACTCCCCACCCTCGAACTCTCCCCCACTCCCTCCACTCGCAGAACCCTCCCTCCTCCCCCGTCCCAACACCCCAACCCCCCGATCACTCTTCCGCTTCACCCGCGGCTTACCAAGCGGCCACCAAGAACTCTCATCCCCATCCACAACCTCCCGATACGAACCCGGAACCAAGAACGCAGTGGTATTATCTGCGCCGGAGGCAGTTTCGTACGCACGCGACGAACTAGACGTCGAGCTGGAAGCGTGATTCACGGGCGGGAGGAATTCCGATTTGGACGCTGGGACGACGAAGCGTGAGGCGTAGAGCTCGTTTTCAAGGGAGGGGTTGTCGGCAGAGAGGAGTTTGGCTTGGAAGCGGCGGCGGGTTTGGGGGATCGTCTGGCGAGGAGGATGTTAACCAGGAGATCCCAACAGTTCATCAAGGATGTATTTCATGGCTAGAAAGAGAGGGCAGTCATAAACTCACCCGATGCGAATTAAGCGCATGCGTCACAAGAAGTTCCCAATTCGACAACACCGCCAACGCAGCATGTTGTTCTTCACTAAGATGGCCCTTCGTGCGGAGACGGCGCGGTCTCGCTGGAAACCGATCCCGAGTTGGAAGGAATTCCAGGCTGGTGTCATGGTCATTTCTGTTGCCTGGTTGAGAGGGGGTGTTGTGTACGTTTGGAACGGCGGAGTGGGGGTTTATAGCGCGGGTTGTGAAGTCGTTTTCTACTTTTATCAGCTCTCTTCTCTTCTTCTGCGTACACATCGGTTTATACCCGATATAATATGGGGAAGGGGGAAGGGGAAGAGTATGGCGGGCTTGGATAGCTAGACGAGTACGACTTACCATCTCTATCATCTTCCATGGCAACGCCCATAATCCGCTCGTCGAATTCAAGGTCGCTATCGTCTTCGGCGAAATGGATGAGTTCGCCATCTGGAGGCTCGAGTTGCATGCCGCCGTCTTCGGAGTCGGTGTCTACTGAGATGTAGGTGTTGAGATGGGTGCCTCCGGCTGAGAGATGGGGCTCCGAGTCGGACGCTGTGTCGGTGTCCATGTGGATTGTTTGGTGTGGGGTTGTGTCTCCTGGGGGCGGTGCGTCATTTGACATGGTTGATTGATAGGGTGGAGTATTGTTTGAGAGATGGCGAGATAGTGATGGGATGTATCCGCCACAAAGATGGAGAATTTCACTGTTGGCTAAGCTGGTTCGAGGGAGGTGTTGAGTGTTGATATGCGTGTGGAACGCTTGTGGAGGGCGATGACCATATGATGTTCTAAACGGAGATAGATGGTATCACACGACGGAGACTACCACACAGAGTGTCAAGTTCAAGACTCGGGTAGACAGTTCCAGCTTGATGATTCAATCATCAAATGCTGATCGAGAGAGCTGGTACAATTGATTTGATAAGGTGGAGGCGTTTTGATGCAGCAGAATCTGCAGTGAGCGTTAGCTAGTCTGATGTGACTAATTCAGTCTTTCTTACAAATATTCAGAGAGCATCAACTACGGGCTTTTTGAGACTAGCTGACAGTCACTTGGGTTTGATATCAACTCGTCAAGGGAGAGACGAGGTGGTTGTTTGTGGATGCCTCAGGCGAAGCAAGCGGGGATGCTGAGTCAGCATGTACGAACAGCCCAGTCGATGTATGTGCTAAATTACGATTCTATACATCGGCAAGTGGGATTACGGAGTTCCATTGAAACAAAATGAAAAGATACTATGAATAAGTATAATATCAGGTATCGGATATGACCCCAAAAAGGACGAAGATGAGATGCCCAACCCCCGCAACGCCAAAACACAATGCCGCTAAAACGACGAAGGAACAAATTCAACGACCAGGAGAGCCACCTCGGCCCTACCAAAAGGAGACACTTAACAGCCATGCATATAGCTATTCTGCGGCCACGGGTAGCCAGCATCCTCCCTGAAAAGAGTTATTAGCAATGTGAAGACCAAAGAGAAAGAGCGTGTCGGGTCACTCACCAAGACGTCAAATTATGATTATCATACGCCTTGCGATGCGCCTCGATATACCCCGTCGTTTCAAACCCAGGCGGATCACACGTAACACTAATCTCGTCCGGATCCTGATAAATCCGAACATAGTCAATCCGCAGATACGCAGGCATATAGTGGCGGATACTCTTATTCTGCGGCGCAAAGTTATCCGCCATACCCAGATTCATGACCAAGCTCATCGGTTCGAGCGGGATCATGCGTTGACCGATATTGCCGTTCGGACCGATGGCGCGCCCATCCAGGGTCCAGGTTTTGTCGGCGCCGACGAACCAGGTTACATTTCCTGTAGCTCCGGGGGTGTATTCGAAGGCGAAGATTTGGTATTCTGTGCCGTTGTACCAGCGGCTGTTTAGGTTTGTGAGACCGGACATGGCTTGTTGGTAGATACCGCCGCGGTAGGCATTTATTTGTGTGATACGTGGATCGTAGACGGCAGTGTAATCTAGGGGAGAGGATTGTTAGAGAATGATTGACATGAAGGAGTTTTGGGAGGAGACTGCCTACCGTAGTCGGGCATATACCAGATATCAAAAGGTGCCGCTTGCAGAGACTGCGAGGCCATTCCAATGTACGGGCCGTCCCCATTCAATGGGCCAGTACTACCTTCAATAACATCGATTTCGGGAGCACTACGAGCATGGCCGGGGCTGGGATGATCGGACCCAGGACAAGCACAGCCCGGAAGCCGCATACCAGGGAGGAAGTTGATGCCATCGGGAGAACTCTGGTTGGGAGTGATTCCAGCATCACAACCATCATGGTAGCTGTACGGCCACATTCCATCAGTCGTCGCAGCATGACCCGGGCGACCCAAGTTGCCCATAGCCCAGAAACCAGGCCAGAAACCCTGGATGTGTCCGTCACCAGGAAGAGACAGACTGGCTTCTAGACGGCCACCTTTAAAGCAAAGCTTGTTCCAGCTTTGAATCATGCCAGATCGGTATTGCAGGCCGTGATTTTCGAAGTTGTCGAATCGGATTTCCATGACGCCTTCGTTTGTAGTGACAGCATCGGGATCGTACCACTAGGGTGCGTTATTAGTCTTGATTCATTCGGTGCTCAAGTCGAGTGAACGAACCTCTTTATCCATCGTCACACCATACCATAGGTCCACCGCTTGGAAGAAAGGATCATCGTCATCGTAGAACGTACGACCAGGCATATTGAACTCGTCCGAGAACTGCTTCATATTAGAGACTTCCACTCATCGAGGTACTGATCCACTCTTACCACCAGCTTCCATTCCTTCCCATCGGCGTTCATCTTGGTCATCGCTTCTTCAGGAGTATCCGGATCAATCAATCCTCGTCGAATATTACTCAACAAAGGCGTCTCTCCAACATCCAGACAGAGAAAGTCTCCTTCCCTGCAAAGTTGAGCTGGTTTCAAAATCCCCTCCACCCAAGTTCTATAAGCACCTAGGTTAGCAACCTGAGACTCTCACAATCCAGATGACATGTTCAAGTCCTTACATGACTGGGTACCCAATGAAGAGCACCAAAATTCCCACAGTCAACAGCACCAACCCACCCACATTCAAAACACCTCGACGATTACAAACATCACAATCCCGGTCCTGATCCGTCGGATCGGGATTATGCAGATAATCATCCTTCTCCACATCCTCAGGAAACAGCAACAACCCATCGGTCGGCATGATATTAAACTTTTCTGACACAGTCTGCGTGTTAACATCATACTCATCGCTTTCATTCCGACTCGGCGCCCGCGAGTAATCCTCAAACGGATTGAAATAAAACCGACTATCCCGACTCATCGAGCTGACACTCGACCGCGCCGCTGACCGCGCAGACCAGCGATCAGGCGATCTCGACCGATCCTGATCATCTCGAGGCGTGGGCCGTAGCTTAGGTGGCAGTAGGAACTCTGATGACTCCGGGGCATGGGCAACGCCGTACGGCGACATGCCCTGGGCCCCGACGGCCACATGCGGCTCGGGACCCTGTGGTGTCAAGGGTCGAGGAATAGTCCGGCCTGTCAGTGGAGCATAGTCCTCATTTGTTTCGAGAAAAGGGTCCGAGTTCAGGTGGATGTGAGGCATCTCCTGCTTCGGGCTGGATGTTTCAGAATCCTGGTCCGACATCTGAACGGCGTCCTTGTGAGTTCAGTGTTCTCAAAGCCGGGTCTGATCCGGTTGTCGTCCGTTAGTTGTGCGTCTTGACAATCAAGACGTTGATCATCCAGTCTGAACAGCTGGGTCGTATTCGAGGTGTGCTGAACAATTGCAACCGGCTGGCCTAGTCCAATTGCTCTTCTTCCCGGTGCCCGATGCTGTTGTTTCTCCCCCTTCTTCTCCCACGATCTCCAAACTGGCAAGATAAAGATCGAAAAGGCGCTCAATTGTGCAAAGTCGTCAAGTCCACGTCCAATGGAGGCGAATGAGTGGACAGGACCGCTTGGACTGCATCCAATGTCCCAGGTGAAGACGATGTATAGCGTAGCGGGAGACAGCGTGGCAACGACGGAGAAGAAAAAGAAAGACTTCGAGCACTAGTAGTGCCGAGAGAAAAGACGAGCCTAGATTGCACTTCCTGAGGGATTCTTGTCTGGGTGGACGAGGGGAGTGGAATGCCCGACTTTCTGGCCAAGGGATCAACCCGTGGTATGCGTACAGTCCTTGGACGAACTAATGGACGGCACAGTGATTGTAGTTTGAATAACTTCAAGCTCCTGAACCATCCAATATCACAAAAGTCGATTCTACCGCCTCAAAATCTATGCAATTGATGGTGAGCTTGGAATAGTTGGGCGCTGGTTGCTCGATGCTGCTGCTCTTGGGGGTGAAGCCTGCTCCCAGGGCGAGGCACATTCCGAGCATGCCCTTCCCAGGGCAGCGAGGAATGAGGCGGGCATGAATGCTAGCCAGGAATCTGTCGATCGGCGTTATTCCTTCTGTGGGTGCAGATCGATTCAACGGCGGAAAGCTCTCGAAGAGTATACGCGGTTAATGCCATAGAGAGTGAAGAGTCAAGAGAAAGTTGTTCCGGGCTTGAGGCAGGCTTCAATCTAGGGTATTGCTTAGGAAGAACTACCTCTACCACTTCCAACGACCTGGATCACTTTAACTAGAACCATACTGAACTACAGCCCTCCATTTCACTTCTATGAGTAAAGTTGTGATATTTACACAGCGGCTCCCAGATCCAAGGCAGCGGCCATTCCCGAACACGCGTCCCTTGTTCTTCGCCTCCCGTCGTAACGGAATGCCACGATGCCCAAATGAGCAACTGTCAGCACCTCAATCAAGGATGTTACAAGAATATTAACGCAAGCTCAAATCCCAGGCATGAAGTACCCAAGTTCTTTCCAGATGGACATTCCCTCATAGTGTAGATACAGTAGAAGGGCATATATGGCCACGCGGGCAAAACGTTGTCAACCTGGCTTCTCCATAAACAGCAGAGTGGGATATATATCAAGCACACTCTAGCTATCCAGTAGATCCCTTTTCAATTACCATAACCAATCAACTCGGTAATAACTCTGCTATACCTATACATCATGCATCATTCATCATAAGTGCCGACAGCAAAACACCCATCAGACCACAATCCCATACGGTAAAAAAACAGCCAGTTGACTGACCCATTTCACTCTACGTCTCAAAAGCCTTGGCTCGCAGACCAACCACCCGGCCGCCAGGTACATCCAAAGCTAACACCCAGTACTCCAATTTCGTACTAGTCAGTTCTACCCGGTACACCTTGACGTCGACGCCGGACTGGTCGGCATCACCATCCTTTTCCACGGCCGCCGAACGCACGGCACGCAGGACGGATGCATACTGATTCTTCGGATCGAAGGAGGAGGGGCTCAGGGTTGAGATGGACTCGGCGAGATCGACAGAGGGGGAGATGAGGCGGGAGAATTGATCTGGATGGTACGAAGGTGGGTCAGAGTGCATCCATCGAATATCCAGGAAAGCGCACGCCATCAAGGGTAGGGTAGCTGGGTAGATAGCAAAAGGGATTCATTCCCTCAGGCCTTGTCCCATCCACCCAGTCATGCATGGGTCCAGGGACCGCGCAAGGCACGGGTAACGCAGGGCCTTCGGGGGAAGCACATAGTATGTAGGAATCACGTACCTGCGCTAGGCCAATCTCCCTTGGACGCGCCATCCCACCGTAGGGCGACGGGCTCAAAAGGCTCGTCTGCGTCCGAAATGTAATACGCATCGACCGACTGCAGCGACGCGGGGATCTGGGTGTTGGCGTCCACTGTCTCGGTGCGGGCGGTCTCGCTGGCCCCTTGCTGTTGAGGGCGGCCGGCGTTGAGGTCTGCGTTGGCCTTGTCCAGGAAGGACATGTAGGCGTCGTCTGAGGACATGGTGATCGAGGATGTGGAGAAGGGTGTCGTTTGGAAAAGAGCTGTCGTTGGTGACTTTGGGCTTTGAGCTGCGGGGGAGCTTCGGACGTTGGGTGTGGAGATTGGGAGGGTCCTTCGTGGGTGGCAGCTGGTGAAAGTTCCGAAAACTAGACGATGGAGCTGACGAGTTTGAGTATGGTTTTGAAGCGAAGAGGTATAGGCTGAAGAGGTTGGCAGGGGAGACCGTGCAAAGAGCTTCGTGGTTGTTGGAGTGGGAGAAACTGAGGAAGAACGTGGGATGACGCAATGGAGCTTGGATGGCGGCCGCATGACTGCACAACCCAGTTTGTGGAGTCCAGTCAGAGGAAGTTAATACCTGGAATTGATGAGCCAAAAGCTTGTAGGCCACTGAGGTGGTCAAGGCTTAGAACAGAAAGTGAAAAATGGAAATCTGGAAAGAGTTGGGTTCCGACGGCTACGACAGTTTTGAGCAACTCATAACTGTAGACAATGAATGTCCACTAAGTCAACCGTCATAGCATGAAAATGTATTTCTTTATTTTTTTTTTACGCTAGATAAACAAATGCAAGCCCAAATCTACAATCCTACGAACATTTCTACATTTACAGCAAAATAGCATCATAAAGGTATTGTTCGCTTTTTTATTGAACTTGAAATACGTCACGGACACCAACCACATAGACTCGAAACACCTTAAACAGTCTGGATAAGATCCTTCTTGAGGGTACCCATGAAGGCCTTCTTCTCCTCGGCGGTCTGGAAAGCACCGTGACCAAACTCGGAGGAGGTGTCGATCCACTTGAGGGCGACCTTCTCGGTGGCACGGCGGGAGGTCTGGGGGTACAGGGTCTTGCGGAGGGTCATGACACGCTTCTTGACACCGGGGACGGAGCCCTTGACCATGACGAAGTCGTTCTTGACCTCACCGTAGTGAACGAAGCCACCAAGACTGTGAAAGAGATGTTAGTAAGACGCTTTTTTTTGGGAAAGTGAAGACAATGCAAGGTGTACATACGGAGTAATCTGCTTCTTGGAGATATCGAACTCGGTGGAGGCGTTGCCCTCATCGGAACCCTTGCCAATACGGAAGACCTTGTGGTTGCAAGAGGTACGGTGGTGGTAACCCATCTGACCGGCACGGGCAACAGTCCACTGGACGTGGCTAGGGTGCCAGGCACCGATACAAGCGACCTTGCGGAGACCCTTGTGCGTCTTGCGGGGCAGCTTGGTGGTACCCCAACGGGAGGTGACACCCTGGAAACCGTGACCCTTGGTGACGGCAATAACGTCAATCATCTCGTCCTGCTCGAAGATGGTGTCGATGTCGATGGTCTTCTCGAAGAGGTTGCGGGCAAAGTCAACCTTGTCGGCAATGGAGCCGCCGTTGACCTGGATCTCCATAAGGTGGGCCTTCTTCTGCTTGATGGGGGTCTTGCGGATCTGGGTGTGGGCGAGGACACGGACGACAGTGCAGTACTTCTTGATGCGCTCGAGCTCACGGGTGACGGAGGCACCGGAAGACTCGGCGTGCTGCTTGGTGTACTTGGTGAAGGCCTTCTTCTTGGACTTGTACCAGTTCTTGTAGAAGCGACGCTTGACCTCGTCGCTCAGGTGCTCAGCCCAGACGGTGGTGAGCGAGCGGAGACCGCGGGGAGTCTCGATGTAACCGACAACACCAACAGCAACGAGCTAGATAGTAAGAATGTTAGAGTGGGATCCAGAATGGTAGGAAAAGGACTGGTGAGTTCCAACATACAGGAGGGGTCTCGATGACGGTAACGGCCTCAACGATCTCCTTCTTGTGCATCTTGGCACCGGGACGGTCAAGGTCACGGACGACGGTGGTCATACCGGCCTTGTAGCCCATGGAGGCAGTCAGGTGGACGGGCTTCTTGGCGTCATCCTTGGGGAAGCTATTCGCAGAAAATGAAGTCTCAGCACACGGATCCCCACACATTCAAGGAAAATTTTCGCAATCTCAGGAAATTCAAACGCACCTCTTGACCTTTCCGCGGTGGCGGGCAGCGCGCTTGCGCGGCAGGTAGGCCAGGGAGCCTGTAGAGAGAGAATCAGTATCATCGCACAGGAGGTTATGTTATTTTTTCCTGCGTGTCGAAATTTCGACTCGGCGCCGCAGGACAGCGTATTTGAGAGATCACGAACCGTGGCGAGGGGCTTCGAACTTCCGGTGACTCCTGAAATGAGAAGGGATATTAGCAATTGCATTCAGTGCAGTGATCGAGTAGCCATGGCGAGGTGCGACTCACATCTTGACCCTGTTGTCGTTAGCGTGGTGAGGACGTCGAGAAACTGACGATCTGAAAGTGTGGAAAGCATTTTGCGCTTGCCGAGTTGTGGGCTGAGTCAGCAGGTAAGCGACCCCACCGCTGAGTTATTCCCTGCGTGAGTCACATGATAGGTTATGTCACGTGTCACGTGCACGCTTTAGGCTTTTAACTTTTGGATGAGCCGAGTTCCCCCCTGATTGGTTGTTCCGCTCAGCTGGTCGAATTGAAGGCATATTCAGATACTCCAGCTACGCCGTCAATTTTGTTCTGCAGACTGGCGGGTCAAGTTAACATTTCATATGTACTAGTTATGCTTGATGTATCGGATTGTCAATTGTCTTCCCATATGGTAGAGAAAGTCCTATTCCCGTCTGCCAGGGCATTGCGCTCTGAAGGTGTCAGTCACGTCCTTGGTCAGAGCTTGCAACTGCCCTAAGCTGTTCTTGCCTGTCCACATCCCAGACATTAGAAAATATAGAAAATTGGATGATTGTGTACATTCGAGACAGAGCTTCAAACCTGGAGCTAGCTCTAGAATACTCGCATAATGAGCAATAATGAAGTTGGGCTCTGCGGGTCCGGCAATATATTTCGAATACTGGTAGGTTCCCGACCCTGACTTTGGGTAGAGTACATTTTCCCGGGGCATCTCAATATTTACTTTGCGCAACGCTCTATTCTAGGTAACTTCTCGTACAACCTAAAGCAATATACAATGCGAAATCGAACTATACTCAAGACTGGAAGTAATTGATTAGTCGCGCCGTGTTCTCAGGGGCGTGCTGGGCCCTTGGACCTCGCGACCTAATGATTTAACCTCCCGTTGTATTATTCGACCATTGAGATGACAGGTTGACTCGCAGGCTGCAATGTTAATCTAAAGTCATACTGTCCATTATACCTCGGAACCTAGGTTCCACCTTGTGGACATCAACCTAGTTCCATAATATCTACCGTGACTGGACCCGATCGAACACGTTTATCTACCCAATACCACAACCTACAAACAAAAATACTAGAAAAACAAGCCTTCAATGACAAAACGGCTGGATTTCCTATCACAAGATGCCTCGCATCGAAAAATTCACAGGGAAAAAAAGTTAAAAGAAAAGATCACTTTCAAATAAAGATAAAAAAAAAATCATCAGAGGCAGAAAGAACGGATACAGGACACACAACCGCATCCGGTGTCGACTCACCCAGCCCAACATCAAGTGGGTCTGGGGAGTGTAGCCGAAACGACATGGTCTTGACCACCAACGTTAAGGGTTAAAGGACATTCATACCGTACATGACGCGGGAAGAGGGGGAGGCTGAGGGGGTAAGAGTGGGTGATAGAAAGGACACGGGGGAGAAAGAAAAAGGGGGTGGAAGAAATTTGAGATTGGACTCGACAGTATGCAAACAGGCAGACACACGAGACATAAAATCATTCGTGATTTACTTCAGAGATAACGCGGGGGATATTCTTTTTAAGAAGTCTCAGTCTTTGAGGGGGTGCCTTGGCGACCGTTGCTGACTCCGTTGCCGTTGGTCGCAGTACCCGCAGCGCTGCCGTTGGGGCTGCCCTTGACAGCAGCACTGGCCTTCTTCTCGTCGTCTCCATCGTCATCGTAATCCTCATCGACATCCATCTTGCGAGCCGCGGGCTCGAGCGAAGAGGGGGCCTCCGGGCGAGGAGCCTCCTCCTTGACCGGGGTGTGGGCTGAAGGAGGACCCGAGGGAGGGCCATTCGGAGGAGGAGGAGCAGCGCCCTCGGACATGGGGGGAAGGCTGGGCCCACCAGCGGCGTGAGGAGGCATGTTTTGAATGGAAGGCAGGGTGGGAGGGTGGTGAGCCGCCTCCGACGGGTGGTAGTTCTCATTGGCACGGCGAGCATCCTCGCGGCGAGCCTCGGAAGAACTGCGTCGCTGCATCTGGCCAGGAGAAGGCAGACGAGCGGGGGGACTCGGACGACGGCTGTTCTGGTCATCCAAGCGGGCCCGGGTCTCATCACTGGCCTGCTTCTTGACGGGGCCGGCCTCGGCCTCCCAATCACGTGCACGCTTCATGGCAGACGGGGGACGGTCCTCGCCACGCTCAAGAGCAGCGGCCTCAGCAGCAGTCGCAGCTGATGCAGGGGCAGGAGCACCGGAGGCGATACCAGTGGTACTACCGCCAGGAGTGGGGGCGAGCGGGCCGTGGTGGTACTGCTGGTGAGGGTAGCCCGAGCCAGGAGAGGAGGGACGCTCATCGCGGATAGGGCGAATCTCGGTGGGAGGAGTGAAGGGGCGATGTCCGTAGGGAGGAGCAGGAGCACCAGGAGCAGCACCGCCGTTAGGAGCTCCGGGAGCGGGAGCACCAGTGGGTGCGGGAGGAAGAGGTCCACGAGTAGCAGAGCCAAAGGGTCCATTACCGCCGCTGGGGGCACGCTCATGAGCAGAGCCCGGTGCGTTTCCGAGCTGGGGCAGGGTGTGAGGCGGAGGGGGATAGGCATTTGGACCAGCCAGCTTGGGCGAGCGAGGAGGTGCGCCAGCACGAGCGGGATCAGGGAATGCCCGACCAGGCTCCTGGCGAGGGCTGGCCTGGGGAGCACCAGCGGGACGCAGGACATCGCGCTGATCAACGCCGTTGGCAGGCGGCAGGGTCGTAGCCTGTTGCGGGTGTAGATCATTGGCACCGCGATTCCAGTCAATCTGGCGAGGAGGAGCGGGGGCCTGAGGCGGAGGACCGACGGGAGCAGGGGCCGCAGCGGGGGCAGGACCACCCCACTGAGGAGCAGGGGGAGCCCCGACGCCGGGCGCCTGATAAGCCTGAGGGTGAACATCCTGTGGCTGAGGAGCTGGGGCGTTGTTCTGCTGAGCAGAGCCAGACAGCTGGCTCTGGAGAAGTTGCAGACGAGCCTTGATGTGAACGTTGGATGGGTCGAGATCCGCAGCCCGGCCGTAAGCATCGAGAGCGTCGGCAATCTGGTTGTTGCACGACTCATACAGCGTACCCAGATCATACCAGACCTCGGAGATGTATGGGTTCAAGCGAATGGCACGAGAGTAAGCATCAAGGGCATCACGGTACTGATTGATCTGGTAGTAGAGGACACCAATCGAGCACCAGAAGGTGGGGTTGCGACCATCGCGGTAGACGGCCTGCTGGTAGGCTTCATATGCCTTTGGGTACTTAGCCTGAGACATGTAGCAGCGACCGAGCAGGTACCAGCTTTGAGCGTCGTTGTTGTCTGGGAGGAGCGAGTTAGGACCAACGTTAAGATGGTATGGTGTACAGAGATATTCTTACCAGCACTGACAGACTTCTCCAGGTACTCAATGGCCTTTTCTTGACTCGCATAGCTGTTGCTCTGCTGGTGGTAAAGCCATCCAAGCTGCTGAAGAACCTTGGCATGGTTGGGGTCACGTTCCAGAACGCGCCGATAAGCAGCTTGGGCAGAATCGAACTAAGAAAACTAGGGTGAGTATGACGCGGCGAAGAACGGGATTGGGTTTGGAAAACTTACATCCTTCTGCTGCTCGTGGACGTGGCCGACCTGGAACCAGATGTCCTCCTCGGTGAGGGGACGAGGTGGGTCGTTGACAATATACTTGAAGCACTGGGGAACAAAAAGGAAAGGCGTCAGCTTTCAACCTCCACATCACCGATATCAATGGCTGACGTACATCAAGACTTTGGTTGAACTTCTGCTGTTGCTTGTATATTATGCCGAGACGGAAGTAAATCTCGTTGGCCTTCTCAAACTCGGGCGCCATGCGCATGACCTGAGAAAAGGCCTCTTCGGCGTGGTCCAGGGATCCATAGCGATCGTACAGGATACCAATACCGTACCACAGCTTAGGTTCCTAGATGGAAAATGAATGTGAGCCTTTGTGCCTTTCCCAGTCTCATCGTCACGTGGCTAACATCACTCACCTTGGGGTCGCGCAGGTGGTACAGAGCCTGCTGGTAGGAGGTGTAGGCCTCTTGCAAGTTATCCATCATCAAGTGACAGTGACCCAAGCTGCCCCAGGTCTCGCCGCTGGTGGGGTCCAGCTTCAAGATATTCTGGAGGTATTCGATGGCCTTGGGGAACTGTTCCTTGGTACGCAAGATGCACGAGATGGCGTTCATGGCGGGGATGGACCATTGATTGTGGCGCAGAGCTTGTTCGTACGCGTTCATTGCGCCATCCAGATCACCCATCAACTCGGTCAAGCTGCCTGTAGAAGTCACACCGTTAGTACCCAATTGCAAGGTTCCATGCCTCTGGTTCGTCGCCGATGGAGCTTCTTCATACCAATTTGGAGCCACACTTGCTCATTCAGAGCGGCGATCTTTTGAGCCGTAGTGAGAGAAACTCCCTTTTGGCCTTGAGCGGGAATCGCGGCAGGAGGCATGTGGCCATTGGCCTGGGCATGGGCGGCCATGGCGGCAGCGTGGTGTTGAGCCACACCGGCGGTAGGGGAGGGCTGCGTATGCGACATGATCGATCGGGATCGGCTGTGATGAGATTGTGGTTCACCGTGATGCGACCCACGAGTCCCGCGACCTTTGCGACACGATGATGCAATCTACCCGAGGATGAAGAGACCGCGGCGGGTGAGAGCTGAACTGTGGAGAGCAAGCGCCCGGGCGTGATGAATCGCAGATTCAAATGTCGCGCGAAGACGGCAGAGAAGATACCCCACGCGATGTCCGACCGGCGGGGGATGGATAGTCCAGCGATGGGGGGTGCGAATTGGATTGAGATGCGCGACCCAAGATAGGGGCCGAGATGGGCGCGTGTGGAGGTGTTCAGGGAGCACACGGGGAAGGCCCCGAAGTCTGGATACAGCGATAGAGCGAGAGGAGAGGAAGAGCAAAGGAGTGGATGATGAAGATGGAAGTATAGCTGGAGAGGAAGGATGAGATTGGGGGGGGGGGATGAGGAGGAGGATGCAGGGGAAGGGGAGGGGGAAGCCGGAAAGCGGGAAGGGGAAAAGGATGAAGCCCGAGAAGAGAGAAGGGAAGAGTCGAGGGGCTGGCAGGAAGTGTGAAATTTGCCAAGCGGCGCTAGTGGTTGTGTAGCTGGCTGCGGCCGTCACCAGAGAAGAAGAGGAGAGGGAGACAGGCAGGGCCACTGGGCCGAGGGGGGAGTGGGTTTGGGTTGTGGGTTTGACGAGTTTGCATTGGGCTAAGGACAGGTGTGGGACTGGGGGGTGTAGCACGACTGGAGCTAGGTACCTCCAGATGATTATTCCTGTCCAGTCCTCCGTCGTGGAGGAGCAGAGAGGAAGAGGGAAACGGGACCAGACGCTAAAGGACAGAGTCAGTGGGTCCTGCGCAACGCCAGCATCACCACGCCAGAAAAGAACAGGGTTGGCCCCCTCCCGGGCTTAGCGCGGTGGGGCCGGATCTGGAGGCGGTTATTGTCTGGATTTTCCGGTTGGATTTTTCTCGGGGGGTTTTTTGGGTGTTCTTGAATTTAGTTGGAATTATGCATTTCTTTACCCAGCAGCGGTGTCGACACTCGACAGCAGACAGCGGATGCACACTTGTCCTGGTAGGGCCCAGCAAGAAGGTACGGTACCTTCCTACTGTATGGACTCTAAGTAACTATACTGGGGATTTCCAGCTTATACATAGCTACGATATAGTACGATAATATATTACACCTATCTACAGTTGATACACGATGAAATATCCAGAGTATAGCATTTCTGCTCTCTCGGATTTCTCGTCTCTCTCGATACGGTAATCCCTCTCTGAACCCGTGATGAAACACCTCATTCTTCACTCACCACGAACTCTCCCCGGTTGGGCCGAGTGGCGCCCTAGTGGGTCCTCGGGGTGGATACCCCCCGTGGTCGCTGGGGGCCACTAAACTACTGACTAAGACTTTGGGCTCTTTTCTTGGCATTTGGCTCTTTTTTTTTTTTTTTTTTTTTTTTTTTTTTTTTTTCTCTCTGAGGCTTTCTTAAGTTTCTCCCTTCCCTCAGGACCGGGACGAGAGACTAGTGCCTCATTAGGACTAGTGCAACTGTTCCCCGTGCCACTCCGACTTTTAGCCTACATCCGGCAACTGGCGACTCTACTGGTGGTAACCGCCCTCAGACCCGGTTGGACCGTGCGGCACCCCAGCTCGATCCCTGACCCCTGGTCGGCTCCAAGACCATCACCTCCTCTTCCTACTGCTCCATCCTCCGCCTGCTGCATATGTACCGTACGCGGGACGCGGTACAAAGTATCTGTGGTGGACACAGCCCTGCTTCTGACCTTCTACTGAAGGTCTGTCCTCCGCCTTTATTCCGCTGCATGGCCAGCTCATCTCCCAATCCGGAATGGTGCAGCGTGCAGGGCTGTCGAGCGACCCTATCATCGATGGATTTGATAATGATATTTACATCCAGCCGAGCAGAGATCGATGTGGAAAGTAGTATACTTAGTATTGTCCATATATCTGATCTGAGCTACTGCATGTCTGAATGCGCTGGTTGGAGATGGAATGTCTTGAATTTCTCCGGGGTACAGCCCGGGACTTGGATGTCAGTGGATATATATAACTAACCTATATATGGAGTACATTTAGAAAGTACATACCATGTACTCCATCCATCATACACACTACCCAACTTCTTTCTCTATACTATACTAACAGTACTCCGTACTCCATACACATATGCTGTTAGCCCTCCCTTCCTATATTCCCATCCTCCTATAGGCAGGCCGATGCACCCCCCCCCCTCTCCTGCAGGGTTCCTTGACTTGCATACCAGGCATCTCTCTCACCCGTTTTAAGCCCGACAACCCAGCCAGTCCAGCCAGAACAAGCGCCCCCCTCCCAACCCGAAGTCAAAAGTCAAAAGAGCCATGGCCCCCTCCAGCCTCCAGCCGCTAGTGCAATTCGCCCCTTCCGTCATGACCTTCCAGTCGTTCCCGCTCCCAGTCACTTACCCTAACCGGTTTAGCAGCAGTCTCGCTTCTCTCCACAATTGAATTGGCATTTTTGGTGATTTTTTTTCGTTTTTATTTCTTGGGCCTGGAGTTATATTTCCCGGATTCTTCGTCTCTAGTTGGTTGCTTTAATCCTCCTACACGACTGAGAGACTGCCTGTCGCCCCTCGTATTCTTGGTTTTCTATTGTGATGACACCCTACATACAGATAGCTCCTTTATCGTACTTTCTTATTTCTTATTTCTTTTTTCTTATATCCCCCATTATTATTTTTCCATACCCTCCGTCTCACCTCCCTCCTCCACAGCCACATCAGCCACACACACCCCTTTGCCGCATGCCAGTGCATGCCAGTCGACGACGATCTTGATTATGTATCTTCCCACCCGTGCTCTGGCCCCGTGGAGCCTGGTATGTGTCAATGCACTGTTCTTCGGACCCGAACGTATCACTCCGTAGTAGCTGCAACTTTGTCCCTCAACCTTTTCATTGTTGATGACTGGTTTACGATGGGTTGCCCTGCCCTTTTCCTTGACCGTTAGCCCTGCCGATCCAAACACCTTCCACAACCCACCCATCCACGATTCCACACCGACTGTATATACCTGATCCACCATCCTCCATAATCCAATGTTGTTCCCAATCAATTCCTCTAAGAAGGCGATCAGGCACCTATTTCATAAATACCATGCGATTCTTCCTATTGTATTCCTGCCCTATGAGCCAGTATACTAGATAGTCCTTCCAGACCCTTAGCCCCTCTCCATAATCCATCCAGACTGTTCGCTGTTCATTGTCCACTCTCTCCTGTTCTCTTTCCAGGTCGCATCCATCCATCATCCCTGCTGCAGCCTCGATCGGCCCCCAATATGTCGTCAGCCCGGAGGAATCTCCAGTGGATGGATCCACCCGGGGCGTGGGTACGAAGCCCCTCTCCATTCTCTTGATTATAATTGAGCGAGAATTTGCTTCTGATTATTTTGTTTTCTGTTGTCTGCTACCTCTCGCGCAGGGGTTGGACTAGCCGAGCCGCCACTGCCGTTGCGTCGCAGTACAGTAGTCCAGTCCATTGTGTGGCCCCCTCTAAGAACCTTGGAAGAGCTTCACTCCATACAATCGGTTCCTTTCGCCGTGCTATATTTACTCCCTGGACCAATGGCTAGTGGACTCCGACCTGGCTACGGAGTACTCTTAAAAGTACTATCAACGCTTGCTGTAGTTAAACGAGTTCCTAGCTTTCAGCCAAGAGGGAAGGCTACAGAAAATCTGGTTACCATTCCTCGTCACCTGATTTGACAGCTTCCAACTCCCGCGAATCCCTCGTTCACTAGTTTCTCCCGAACGGATTCCTTGGCTTAAGTACCACACCCACACTGGCACACACACACACAATCACAACCGCCATCCCAAATCGCTGCCACGGTTACACAACCGAACCACCCCCACCCTTCAACGTGCTATACTCCGTAGACGATCGTCGACAAGCTGCCTGTAACCCTCGAACTCGCGTCACATTAAATTCCTCTAGAGTCCCACGACACCCGTCACTTGCATTACATGACACAATCTCAATGACCATAACACGGGAGGAGAGGATCTGGTGTTCCTACTGTACACCCCCTTCCTCTAGCGGATCCCTGCAGGCGCCCACCAGCTCCGCTTCGGAGAGAACACGGATGGAACCGAAGGCAACTGAAACCTCCTCTGCGAGGATAGTCACGTAAGACTCGGTATATGATGTGTTAGAATAATGCATACATACAAACCTTCCACTGTTAGAGAGTCATCTGGATACTGCTTTCGTTAATTTCAACTGGATTTCATTCGGTCGCCTCGGTTGGGCGTCTCGGGGCATCCTGTTCCACGGAGTAATCCACGCAGCCGCGCGCATACTGTAGCTCTGAGACACGAAAGTCGAGATACCTGGGAGGAGGTCCACTGTGGAGACTGCCGTGATTCGGGTCCGTCGCGGCCTTAAGTACAGAAGTATTTAGGGGGGGAAGGCCACACACTCTCGCGAAGACGTGGGAAAGAGGGGGGTTATACATCTCCATTCTCAAAGGACGAAGCGTATACCATATATACTACTCTGTTGATTCTGAATTGTTCGGAAACCCGTATTCACGACTCTAGCGCGCTTCGGCTCGATGCGCCCACGAGAGGAGATAGTCGCGCAACTTGTTTATAGGATCAAGGGCATGCTGGTGAACTTGGCTCGGTCGGTTTATAGAATGAAGACCAAGTATTTAAGCTGGCTGGTTTGCGTTTAGTAGAATATATACGGCCATTGCCCTAACATGGCGAACCCACGGATTATATCGCAAAGCGATGCGACCAGAGCAGCCGAAAAGCGGCGATGCACTGCGCAAAGGCTTAACCTTCAGTGCCAGTCTATAGCTTCGCCTAGTCAAGCTTGGCCAAGGAGAGTATGCGATAATGTTGGTGTAACACCCGTAAGAACATAGTAACAACAAGAATAAGTTCAGGGTTCATCAGCCTAGTCAAAACTGCTCCCGCTATAGCTGTCAGGGATGTGCAGCAATATCCTCCCGACTTTATCAAGGCTACAGCATCCGCTCTATCAAAGTATTGTATACTGATGGCCTAACTCTGTACCATTTCACTTGACATATAATAAAGTCATTATATACTACACATGGAACAATCAAGATATAGCAACCTACTACACATGGAACAATCAAGATATAGCAACCTACACCTGGCTATGACCCCATTATATAAGTACATACGGTGGACACCCCGCGCACGGTCCACCCACAATGGGGACCACATCCAAGCCAGGCAGCTTCACAACCGATACCAGGTCAGGTCCACAGGATTTGTGGGCACGCCTGCTGCAGCCACAAACGGAGCCCTTCCAATCTGCTGGGAGGCTTGAATGGGGCATTCAAATGGATCCATTCAAGTAACGGGTCATGTGCCCCAACAACGGGCGGAGGCTGGAAACCTGTGGAGAGTTAATTCAAGAGAACTAAAAATCCCTGGACTTGGCTTGAGGCATCTAGCATACTCCCTGCTTAATATGTAAAGCACCAGTCGACACACAGAGAGGAGTCATGCAATCAGCCACAACAAGCATTGAAAGCATTGAGTCTGTGACACTTGACCCTCCCAGAGTGTCGGCGGGAAAAGCAACACAGTACATGGGTACATGGTGGAGGGTGGGGCCTTTCTAGGCTAGCTACTTTGCTTTTGCCTTTTTTCTTTCTTTCTTTTTTTCTCCTTTTTTTTTTGCTTTTGTAGCGATTCAGTGATAAGCAATGGTATCTGCTTAGAGCTGCGATAGGGAAAATTGCCGATTTATGGTGATATCATATTTGAGATCGGAGATTGGTCCCGTGCGGCTGAGATCGACTATTGATGATCGACTTTCAAAGCGTGAGTTTAGGGTCGATAGCTTTGACAATAAACTAGGGTAGTAGTAGGTAGCTTCTCTGGGATAGCGATCCTTCCTCTGGTAAAAACTATTGTACCTGAAAGTTTGAAGTATCGCGTGCTAAGGGCTGGCCTGGTAGATCGGCGTGGGAAATGGGTTCGCTTTAATGCGTTTGCATTTAATTGAATCGTCCACCTCGAACCATCGCATATACAATACCAGTCATAGGTCAAAAAGAAGACAAGTATGTTCCATAGGACCCAAGAATATTGCATCATTGCATCGTACACCCTTTCAAACAAGCCTGGAACAAATCTCCCAAGCCCTGCACGTATCCGGCTCGCGGCTAACATTGCATTTTCCCGGGCAACCAGGCACCCTGCATCCACCCTGAGATCGTGTCAGCCGGAGTCTTGGGAGAAGGGATGAAAGGGTGAGTAAGTAGACTTAGCACTATGTATACAGTACATACAATACTACAGATAGTACGACAGTAGGTATAGATATACATACTGTCAGTAGGGTTGTATCCACCCTGTACCTACTGCTACTTATTTTATGACGAAGTATAATCATATACCGTACGATACAAACTGTACTTATGCAGCGGACCCTGTCGGCAGGATGAGGGGATTCGGAATGTCTGACAGGAAGCAGGGGGGATGTGCCTGGGGCGCGATCTGTTGTCGGGCTGAACCTTGTTTGTTGTGCGTGCTCGGGAATGATGCCGGCGATCGGATGGACCCCTTGCGACATGCAGCTGGCTTGATCTATCGCGCTTGGCTGTATCATATTTTGGGACTTTAGGGTTTAGAGTGTGGGAGCTGAGTGGTCTCACTAGGGTACTTTAATTGTATTGGTTGCGGATGAGAGAATTAATTGATAAGGTGTACTACACGTGGGCTTTGATTGTGACTTACTGACTGGACACCATGATAGACACATAAGTGTAGGTATGGAGCTGATTGGGACTGTGTTCTTTCAAGGGATGCCCTTCTACCTGAGATGATCTGCTAATAGCCCTGCTTCCTTTACTGGGATGTTTCTATGTCTTAAGAACGAGGTCTTGGAAAAGCTGTTTACCAGTCTACGAGATTTTACTGACCAGGCTATAGAATTGCCTAATATTCATACACGATTGTATCTCTAAAAAATTCCTTCACTTCCAAATCATCAGTCTCGGTATCGTCGCGCAGATTCTCCTCCGACAGCACCATAATCACCCAAGCCTGATTCGTGCATCGTAAACTTCAAATCAGAGATTCCATATATCGAGATAGAGATCATGTCAACAACCGCACAGATACATGAGAAGACAAGAGCCACAATACCACGGGTAGTAAAGCCTGCAGGAATGAAGCCAGGAGGTTTATTCTGTCCTTTCAGATCCAAGTCATCCTCGGTGTTTTCCGCAGCATTACTTCCCAGCTCATACCCGCAGCCTCGCAGACATCCATCCGGTTTTGCGAGAGACTGAACTGGTCCTGGATTGTCGTGGGATCTTCCATAAACGTCATCGCAAGGCCCTATATTATATACTAGTCAATGTGACAATGAAATAACCAGACACCCGGGTTATTGGCAACGAAGCGGATTACATAGTATCCACCAGGAGGAAGGACGAAGGTATCCCGTCGGGCAGGGTATGTTGGGAACGCGGTATGGTTGGAAGGATTAAAGGTCGCGAAGTCTGTTCCGGCATCGTAATCGTAAAAATTGGCGCCGTAAGCTGGGTATCGATCCAACTATTGGAAACTGTGCCCGTGCAGGTGGAATGGATGGGTACCGGTGTCCTGGTTACTGAGAATGACCTCGACTACCTCATCTTGTTCGAGCACGATGGAATGGGTGTAGTCCCTGTAGACAGTTGAATCAGTTGCTAGATCCCCAGCATACTTGACGGTATATAATGTCGGTACCTTGGGAGCTATATAGGTGATGTTGTTTAGGAGAGCGTAGCCATCGCCATTGTCGAGATTCTCCATGATCACGGTGACCTCAACCGTCTTTGTCGGGTTCTTGTAAAGCTCCACTCTAGCATGCGGAACGAGTTTGATGTCGTCAAAGGGGTAAATTTCCGAAGAGTCGGAAATTCCAATGTCATATTGTCGTGTGCCGCGCGTTAGAGTCATATTCGAGCCAGTTGGTTTGGTGAAGCTGATGCTGTAATAGACGGCAGATACTGGAGTGTTTGGGTGCACGAGTACTGGTATATGGGTGTCATGGTTTGTCATAACAGTCTGTCATTGAAAATTATCAGAAAACTTACTCATTTATAGGTAACTATTCTCATGTGTTTCATGCTTGTTCAATCTATGACTTTTTTGCGTCACAGATCATACAAGATCTTTTTGGAAATCCATGTGATGTTTGGAATTGTGGTGATGCTTGGTCTTTTTATGTGAGTCCTACAGCCCGAGTCTCCAAGAAAGGCTTCTGACAGAGATTATTCAGACACACAAGCTTCGACGGTCCCGAGTGGGTTGGATATCTGTGGTCACCAGTCGCATTGTGGATTCTCGATCGACTTGTGGGTGTCTGCCGCCTGGTTCACTGCGATCTGAATGCTCAATTTGGGAAACAATTCCCGCGACCACGTCCTCCACGGCCATCTACAACGCAGAAAGTGATCTGATCACACTCGAAACTACCCCGGGAAAGCTCACCGAGACGCCAAGACCAGGCCAGCACAACTTCATCTACCAAGGAGGCGTGCTCAAATTCTGGGAGAACCATCCTTTCTCGTTGGGTGCCTGGGTGCCTGCTTCTGAATTCAAGAACGAAGGGTCTTCTATGCCAGTGTATAACCAGAAAAAGCTGATATTCTATATCTGGCCCTATGACGGCTGGACTCGCCGTCTTCGAGATCAATGTCGCAAAGCAAATAGTCCTTTGCATCCAAAATTTCTCCTCGAAGGACCATACAGAGCCACTACATCGTTTTGACACCAATTTGATCGTTGTCGGAGGTACAGGTATAGCAGCTGCGCTACCTTACATATTAGCTCATCTGGAAGCGGACCGGAAGAGCGAACGTAAGACTCTGAAAATCCACCTTGTTTGGTCAATTCGTCAAAGGCAGATGTTCTATCGGATTTTCACGAACGAGTTGGCAGCAATCCTGCAGCACCAAGATATTACGACCTCTGTCTACTGCACCAAGCTCGATATAACCCCAAGGGAGTTCGACTCGGATGATTGTGTACTTTCCAAGAACTGTGCACCAGAAGTCATGAGTACGAGGGTCGGCTCGCCGGCTTCAAATGGTAGCCTGCGGTTCATGCCTGGTCGCCCCAACATACATGAACTCATCATGAGTGAGATGGGAGAGGCCCGGAATAGCTCATCGAGCATTGGCGTCTTGACTTGTGGACCGGCACAGATGGCTGACCAGTACCGAGATGCAGTGTATGAGGCGATGAAGCATGGCTTCCATGAGATAGATTATTATGAGGAAGCTTTCGGATGGTGATCCTGTTAGAGCTGGAAAGGCCAGACAATGACCATAGAACAGCGATCGCGAATTTAATGAAAATGAAGAAGCTGACAACCCGGTTGGGAGGACAAGCCTTTTGAGATCTATAGTGCATAGGCCATTGGACCCCCTAGAACAGAAAATTGCTCGTTCCGACTAGCTAAAGAAGTAATCTCTTTCAATTCAAAGAGCGGTAACGTGGTGTTCTATCGACATTCGATTACCGTTTGACCGGGGGGTTCAAGCCTGGGGCCAATCAATCCGAGCTGCCACACTCATTGCTAATGGCGACTGATAGTGCGAAGAGCCGATTGGCAGACTTCATAGCTTGCTATCAACTCCGTGGTCGGGATTTGTTAAACAGTGAATATCCTGTGACGAGTAGTCTGCACATGCCTCCTCTGTGCGGAAATATGGCTCAAAACTCGGGTTGATGCATGGCATGGCTCGCTCTACAATGCGGGTACAAAGAGATGTGACAGATCTCCCCCACCCACCACCTACCTCATCAAGGATGTGCGGGCAGCTGATGATCGACGGATGTGAACCTTTGCTGTGCCATTACCGAGGTCGGACACATGGAAAAAGATGCTGTCAAAATCCAACCGTATAGATAACTAACAAGGTAATTGAATCACAGCAGACTGTGACCAGCCTCTCGCAGGACAAGAATAATTCGGTAGACGACCGGTCCGCATCCCCGACGTTTCAGAGGCCAAGCGGCGCGGCACTCAGGAAGAGCTCAGGCCGGGCCACGCAAGCCGCGGATCTGACTGTTCCAGCCAAGCGCGCCGTAAGATGAATGCTGCAAAGTGCCCTGAGAGATGCCGAGATCTTAGGTTTCCTCCCTCTAGAGGGGGACCAAAAGGTGAACTCTTGGGGAGCAGAGCCAAGGCAGCCTAGACCGAGATCAACGGCGAGTCGGTCAGATGCTCCGGATGAACTTGCAAGTATTGACTCACCGGGTCTGGGCAGCTGGGCGGCGGAATGAGGAGTTGGAGAGCCAAGACTAGGCATCCTGGAAGTTGTGGTCGGGGACAAATTGAAGGACTAGGGGTATATGGAAGAGATAGGATAATATGTAATGAATGACAACCTCACCAATAGCTCGGAGATTATGAAAAATACAAAGCCTGTACAGAATCAGTGCGGTATGATTTTATTCGGCGATTAGTATGCAAGATCAACACTGCTTGTCCCTTCGGAGGTATTTGCTTGATCAGGGTGCATATGCGCCCAGACGGTCCCGGTGCAATATTGAGGTGTTTTACCTAAGAACTATTGGAACGGAGCATACAAGGAGCCCTCTTTCTGATACAGAGTCCCTCCCTTCCTTTCCTTTCCTTTTGTTTTTTGTTTAACGCTATGTTCAATGGATGCCAATCTCTCGGCGTCTCGGCAGGGCTCGGCAACACGGCAGCACGGCATGGAATTGGGGAGAATGTGTCAGAGGAAATTGTCAGATAACCAAAATAACCAGAGAGGATATGGGCATAACCATGATATATTGGTACTGACTTATAAGCTCTAGCTCGCTGGACATAGTTACCAAGTATTGAAGATTAAACTGCAGAGGATATTTGTTGATTTTACTTGGTACGGTATAGATCACGTGTGTTATACAGATACACGCCGATACCGTCATCCAACGCCAAGGCGCCTCTCAGTGCGGATCGTGAGGCAAATAAGCCAATAAGAAACTCTTCCAGGCCACTGGTGGGCCGAAGTTTGGCTTGGCAGCTTGGCATTTGGGTAAAATACCGTTATGGAACAGACTCGTGACCATTCCAGATTTCCGTCTCCCCACAACATCAATCACTGGATGTTCCCCCCAAGTCCAAGTCCTGGTCAATCTGCACGACAACAAACGACAGACCAAGGAATGGACGACGATCCAGGACGATTCACAAATCCAAGTATCGGAGAGACCCGTGATCGTCCTGATGGATTGGCTAGCTCTGTGTCCACCCATTATTGCCCTCTTTACCAATTCACTCTCAATAAATTACCTGCCAGCGTACCACCCCCCCCGACCCTCAAAATGCCAAGGGCTCGGCACCTGGGCGCCTTGGCGCAGACTGCAAACAGCAGGAAATGCTCCTCCGCTGCCATGGCTCTTTTTCTGGCTCTTCCGCTGTGCGGTCCTCTGTCTTATAAGTCTGTCTTTCCGCCCTGATCTCCTTTTCCTCCCCGGTGAGAAAGTCCCTCCTGGTTCTGCCGTCTCCTCTCGTCTCTCCGGCACCCTCAAAAGACCGACACTTGTGTCTACCCCTCGTCCGCCCCCTGATGAGCAGTGTTGACTATACTACTGTAAGCCGGGGAGACCATGGAGTGAGCCCTACGAAACCCTAGTCGCCTTCTGTGCGCCTTGTACGACCGTCGGCACCACCTCCGTCTCGTCTTGTCCTTTCTCCTCTCCTCTGGCTCGCCATGCGGCCACCGGAGATGTCTTATAGTCCTGCCTACCACCAAGGCCAGGACGCCCTCGGCGCAGCAGCTCGCAATTCGATCATCGCCCCGCTGCCTGATCGATCTATGGAATCTCGTGACCCCAATTATCCAGCTTCGTGGCGCCCCTCTGTCGACGGCACACCCTACGAGGGGAGTCTTCGATCTTCTGGCCCGCGGAGATCCCTCGCCCAGTCTCCGGAAGCTTCACGGCGCTCTTCTCGAGTCGACAACGAGTCCCCCGTCACTCGTGTGGTGGTTTCAGGCGGGGTGATACACAAAGAAGAGCGCTCTCGTGGCAGCTGGGCTGACCAGCCCTCTTTGATGTCGGCCGATCATTCGGGCACACCTCGCACGCAAAAGCGAGGCGGTCCCGTAGATATACCTGCGGTGGATAGTCAGGATGCGCTACTGATGCTTGTAAGTAGATTCATACTAGGCTATATTCACTCAAGGTATCTTGAGCCCTAACATGGCTTGATATAGTTCCGACTCTCCGTCCCGGTCCCGATATACTCCCTCGGCGCAAGCTTATACACGTGCTGCGCCTTGATATTCGCCCTCCTCATCTCTCCTCTCCGACTCTGCCCTCCCACACCATACCTTCGCAATACCTCATTCAAATCACAGCTGTGCGATCTCCTATCTCCAGCCCTACATGCCCACGAGCGCCTCGTACGCATGCGGCCACCAACATCACACCGATCATCCTCCACACAATGGATCCAAGCCGAGATTGACTCTGAGCAGCACTCAACGCTAGCCGAGACAAATCGATACTACGCCGTTGGCATGTCTATCCTTGTGTTGACACTGTCGCCCTTTTTCAGCATCGCAATCCTGCTGTTTGCATGGACGGCTGCATTTTTCTGGGTCTTCGCCATGGTCATGGGCAACCCGGACGGAACAGAGCGCAAAGATGACGGCCGCGCCGCCGTTCTTGGCGTCTGCAAATGGTGGCAGACGTGGCTGGGCAAGGCGCGAAAATCGTCATAACACAAGCCACAGACCCATGCGGGTCTACCATACTTCCCTCATGCCCCATGGGAAAGAAAAATATCTCGTCCCACGCCGGACTACCGGCAAACATAAAGTCTCCTTGCTACATGATGTACCTCGTCATGTATGACAAAAAGGAGACTCACGCGAAATGACCCCCTCATTGAATACCTTCATCTGCCAATATTACCCCCATCTACATGGGAGGCTACTGATTATACATGTTTTGCATCTTTCCCCCCGACCGGGATCCACGGAGTCCTGGATTGGCCTTGCTCTCTTACACTTACATCCATTGTTCTGTTTCCATCTCATTATGTCCATGGTATCGGAAGCGGGCGCATATATCCTCTTGCTTTTTCTTATCTCCCCCCTCGGACTCAAGTTCATGTTTTCTTGTCTTGTGGGGGGCCTTTCTTGCTTTCTTGCAGATCCTTGAGGGCAGAGTGGTGTCTTTCTTCGACGATGACTCTTGTCTTTTGTGACCTACGTCGGGACAATCACCTGCACTTGCTGTGTACTTGTATGTATTACTTTTTATCTGCGAGAAGGGGGGAGGTGTACGTATTTGTTGCTCTTGCTCTTTGGTTGAGCCAATTGATACCCGGGTTTATTGCCTTTATATGATCATTCGTTTACGTAGTCCTAGATGGTTTGTGCCCTGAAACGAGGAACGAGTGAAGGGGTTTACTCCCCAGCGCGAGCTGCCCGCAAAGTTTGGCTTGCGTTTCGTACTGCAAAACCCTTGCCCGGTCTCGCCGCTGATTCGTCAATTTCGACGCCAAGAAGTGTTCTGCTTCGCTCGAGTCTATCCTGCCTACATTGTCTCATTGCTCGTCGACTTCTCCATCCATCTTAGCTCTTAGGGTTCTAGGGCTTCGTTCCGCACTTCTATGTTTCCCTTCTATGACTGGCTCGTGCTAGCTCGTCCTTGCTTGGATAACTCTCTTCTTGACTTAAGGTTTTCTTAAGGCATTGATATTAACTTCCGCGCTTAGCGTCGCTAATTCGCTGGCTTGTGGAATCCCCTCGCTCGTCTACGAGGCTCTATAGCTTCACTGACATGTGAGAGAACACTGAGTGCTGTTAGAACTTCGGTTGCGGTTACTTAGCTTTGTAGTTTGACTCGATTGTTCGGTCTATTCATGATTCAAACAGATCCAATCGGCTTCAGCTACCATCTTCCGTAACTATAAGCACGCTACGACCGTATAGCCTTGGCTCTTGCACTCCCGCTAGGCCCGATATTTTCGACTATTACCTCATAAAAGAAAACTTACCTGCTTAGCTCTTTTGTGAGATTTTAGTTCTATTTTTCATTCTGCCTAGTTTTAATTGTATATCCCAGTCTTCAATCCATTTTGACTTTACGGAGATGTTTTTGTATCTATGCACGCCTAATCATCGCACGCTATACCGCACATTGCCACGTAACTTAGTGTATATATAATTAGCTGATCCTAGCGAACATGCATATATAATTACATTAGACTTTATTATCACTTAGCTCCACTTCACTTTCGCACTGATTCACAGTAGTTTGCGATGTTGCGATGTCTGTATAATTCCCCGCGAGTGGATTTTTAGCACATACGACCATAGGGTATGGAGAACAGGGCTTCCCGTCTGCTCAGCCGTACTTAAGCCACGTATAGTACGCAGAAAGTTCTCAATACGCCCTAAGCTCTAGAATGGCGTCGGATTTGATCTTAGGGTAAGTGTGGGTGATATAGGTAAGAAGTTTGAGGACTAGGGTGATAGAGGTGAGAACGGGGTAAGAACTAGGTAAGAACTAGGTGAGAGCGCGTAAGACCAGGGTATGGATTCTCACCCTGATCACCCCCTCTCCCACTTGAGTCCGGGCTATAAGTATAAGCCCTAGGGCGTATGTCTGGTCTGCTATTATTATTCTCTTAACACGTAGCAAGTCAAAAGAAGATACTCCTAAAGGACTTTCAAAAGAAACTCGATAAAAGAATTGCACGTGCTACGTCACGTGGTTTCACCCGCGAATATTAGAATAAGCAGGAACAAGATAACAATAACTATATGCCTTAAAGAGCTCGCTCTAGCTACTCTACGGAAGTATAAAGACACGGCAATAAATTAGGCATTATAAGTTTTGCTATCTATAGGTACAGACCGGGTCACTTATTTTCGTAGATAGAGACTTTCTCGTAACGAAGCGACAGATGCTAATTTTTCTAAAAATAAACCTAATCCTACCCTACAACTTCTGAAATCTTTTGCCGAAGACTATATTGCAATAAGAAAAAATCTACTAACACAGAACTCTGCGTATCAGAATCTTATTAGCTTTACTTTAACTTCTTACCTTATGCCTTCCCCTCCCGTTTCCCGGCTCAGAGACCAGCTAAGCTAATAGATGCTCTATAGCATCTTACTTTTAATATTAAATGGGGCGCTAATAGTTAAAACGCTAGGTGACGATTGATACTAAGCTTCTAAAAGGATAGCGCTATCGCGACGATAAAGACTTATAAGACTGTATCTAAGTTACTGTGAAGTTTGAATACTAACTCTAAAGAACTAAGACCAAAGAACTAGGTTAGAGAACATCTAATTCTTAGAATAAGTTTTGCTTTTTAGGTGATAGTTCATAGTGTAGCTAATAGCGCTTTTAAGGGGCTTAGTACGGTAGCTGATGTTCTCGCCGTGAGACCTCCGAAGGGGAGAGAATTATATACGCTTGAATAGAAAAATAATAAAAAGGAGCGCCCTTTCTTTAGGATAGTGACCCCGGAAGGGCCCTAGCAGAATAAAGCGTTATCCTTCTCCTCCCTACGCTACAATTTTTCGAGTCTAGCTTAGCGTAAGGGTTTCAAAGACCGATTACGGGTACACGGAATTCGCGGCGGCGTTACAAACTGCATTAATCGTAAGCAATTATAATTCTCCTGATATATTCTGCGCTGATCTCTACCTAGCTTTATACGCAACTTGCTGTCGAACGCGCACAACTCTATAACAGGAAATCTAAATGCCTAGAAGCTTGGAAGAAGGACTTTATACAAAAGTGGTGGGATTTTGCATACAACGAATACATCTCCGGAAGCGGATTCACAGAATACGATAGATGTCACGGGGTCTATCTCGGAATCATGGAGGTTAGGCATCCAACCCCGCCTGCCAGGTGTTCCGGAGATTTCGGTGATTACGGATCAGGCTCGCGATGGGATGCATTAGTCCCGATGAATTGCAGCCGATCTCGGAATAATGATGTTCAGCTCTCGAATCTGTACCGATCGAATAATCCCTTTCATGTTAAATAGTTAGCTTGGAGGCCAGGACTATGGGCCTCCAAGATTCAGTCTTGTTCCAATCTGACTTAGTCATTTTTCTCATTCAACATCTTCCTTCTTCTTACCTAGTTGACAAGTCTCTGTCCTGTATACAGCCCCCTGACAAATAGCTTCCACGGGTTTAGATATATGTGAAGGCCAGGTCTCTCCTTGATATTGAACACACGGAAGATAAATATCTGAGGCGGTACCGTTTTCCACTTCAAGGCTCCAGGACCGAGACTGTGATTATTAGCGATGCCGTGCTTCTCGGGGTGTAATGATATCCTCACAAGATTTTGTTGATTGTAGCTCATATAAAAAGGCGGACTAGGAGGTGGCTCACCCATAATAGCACCATTTCCCTCCCTCAAAATCCATTTACCCTTTCCACTCTCTATTTCTATACATACCCTGGCCACCGGTCCCTAGTTCTTCTGTTATGAAATTTTTGATATTATCTGCAGCTTTTGCTGTCTATCTTTATCTCCTGCGTCCGGCCATCTTCTCACCTACGGCTGATGATAATGTCAGCTTATTATTGCCCGGGTTCTAAGGCCATGTTCTTCAGGCAGGGCTGATCGAAGTGGTACGCATCACTGGTGGTTCCTTTCTTCGCTGTATCTCACCGTTCCTAAAACGACGGCTCAAAAACATACCTCGTACCTGCCCTCCAAGTGTAGACCAGGCCTCCTGTGGAATACCAGGAAACAGATTCACCGCGATAAGTGCCATTAGTTCCGCTCAATTAGCTAATATCGATAGTCATGGACGGTAGTTATCTATCCACCTTGCCAAGAATTGTCATGGGCTTATATGAATGCGATAGAATAGCATCCATCTCATGCAATATCGAAGGGTCTACCTACGCATTCTGTCACGCAAAATATGGTAGTATCGATGTTCAAGGGACCCTGGCCCTAAAGGATCTTAATTGGTGCAAGTGCCCATCACCATGCTTTACGTGAGTGAAGGCCATGCAATAGCAAATACGAAACCAACAACCATGCCGATCCCTGCGGCACGACAAAAATCAAAACTCAGTGTCTGAGATCTTTCCGCCTGACATTCCTCAACCTAACTCAATCGACGCCTAAACATGTCAGACCGCACGTGGCCCCGTATCTCGTTCGGACAGCAGTAACAGCTGGGTAGCTCCAAACTTAGAATCCAGGCTTTCGTGCCTGACATCCCCCAATCTACCATTCCATGTTCAGAAGCAATTGCAACTCTCAATGAAAGATCACGGTTAGGTCCGGGACTTCTCGCGTCGGATATAACCACAGCTAAACAGGGGTAACACTCTCGATTATTGTTCATTAAATGATTATGTTAATAATACAATGATCAACTCAGTGTAAGGCCTAGACCAATGCATAGCAAGAATTATATCTCACATATTGAAAAGTATGAATAGTGATGTCCCCCCGCTTCCCTCTGTAAGCTGCATTCCCTTGTCGTGTGGTACCACAATAAACTCCCCCGGTGATAAAGAAGCTTTATTTATTTTGGGAAACCCATTATTTTGGTCGACTTAGTCTAAACCAACTACGACCAAGTGGTTCTTCGGGAAGGGCGGATCCAACATTCCTGCCCTTGTAGTCCAGACGACTGGGTTGAAATCCGCTACCATGTGCCATGGGTCATCACCAAAGACTATTCCGGTTTAATTGGAGATTGCTTGCAAGTTCGACTTGTCCTTATGGCCATATTAAAATCCTCATCGATCTCCTATATTACTTAGCATGGTTACTGCGCAGAGACACTCAAGGTTACTTGCATCATTTTTTCACCGGTATGGAAGTCTGATTATTGTGAAATCTATAACAGCTTCCGCCAATTTCTAAGAGATAACAAGCTAAAAAAAAACTAGACATGACTAAAGACAGAGAGCACGAACAGACTAGCAAGTCTTTCTAATAACCTTGTCTTCTTCAACAGGACCCAAAAACCACCTATCGTAGCTCTGTCAGTACTCCTACGCAAGGGAAGAAAAATCCAAACTTTGGAAGGGAGAATGACTCACGTTAAATCCATTTCATTATCCTTCTGGCACTCTTCTAGAATAAACCCATTAGACAACCAGGCAAAAGTCAATTCCTCTTCTGGACACAGGCTTGTCCACTCAAAGTCTTCCCACCGGGGGTTTGAAAGTAGCTTGAAGTAATGCAATCTCGAACCCGGATGAAGAGATATCAGTGGGCCATTGACCTTGCCATTCTTGTATGTCGATGCACAGTTAGAGTTCCATGCTGTCTTCTCCAGCCATGCGAGGGCTTGTCGCTGGTATGCGCGCGGGATGTGTGCCTTTGGAATCACAGAGCTGTAGTTTTCTGTCTGGAGCTTTTGGATGAACCGTGAAATGTACTCTGTGACCCGTTCCAGTGAGGAGACCACGCTACCATGGCCAATAGGACTGGCAGGGCCGAGATAAACGAAGTAATTAGGCATGTCGGCTGCAGTGACAGATAGGTAGCATTCCGGGGTTTCTTCCCACTTTGCCTGCAAATTTGTGTTGTTTCGACCGATTATAGGAAAGCGGGGGGCAAAGGACATGTTGAATCCCGTAGCACAGATGATTGTGTCAACATTGAATTGTTCTCCAGAGTCGGACATTAAGCCGGATTCGTTGAGGATTTGATCCCACCCCAGACAACTTCAACTTTAGGTGAACACAATGCTTCCAGATATCCATTTCCGGGAGTGGTGCGGCGACATCTGTCAAAATAGAGATCTCAGAAATGATCAACGTAATTAAGGTGAAGTTGTCCTACCCAACAGAGAAATCAGGAATAAGCCGCTTCTGCACTTCCGGTCTCGAAGCTAGCTTCTCATTCATCTGGGAAACAGAGTACTCCCGTGCTTCTCGCTGCTCTATCGAATCTTTCAGGTATAGCCGGAATCGAGAATTTAATTCCGATTCCACCTCCTTTCGATAAGCAAGATACTCCTCTGGATGTTCCCTCCAGCGTCTTTTCTGCTCCTCAGAGAAAAAAAGGTTCGCGCCATTAGGGCCAGCAAACTTTTGTGCAAAGCTAGCAGTGACCCAGGTCCGGCTACGAATGAAGACATAGACCTTCTCGACCTCATCCAGAATCGCAGGGAGAATTTGCACACCTGTACTTCCGTTTCCGACCAAACCGACCGTTTTCCCCTTCAGCTTCAGTTGATCCTTTTCAGGCCAGACCGCTGAGTGTACCATCTGACCCTGGAATAGTTCTCGACCGGGAATAGTTGGCCATTTCCAATCGTTAAAGCAGCCTGTTGCGTTGATGAAAATATCGCATTCCTCGTTGAATGGTTCGTCCACCTCGCCCTCTTTATTGGCATCCCGGTTACTGACCCTAACCGGTCGTCCATCTGTGCGGACAACAGTGACGCACCACTTCTGTTTGGGTTCTAACCATTTCGCACCGATTACTTTGTGGCAAACTTTGACGTATTGGCGGAGGTTGTGTTGATCTGCCACGGCCTCCATATAACGGTGAATATCCGGTCCTTTCGCATAGTAGCTCGGAAAGTCGGGATAGGGCGCCCATGAATACTAGAAAAGAAGACAGAGAATTGATTAGCGGGCAATTTGGAAAAGCTGTAGACAGAATCATCAGTACCTGGTAGTTATGGATTGGAATATCACAGCTGTGAAAGTTTCTTCTCAGTACGTTGTTCCAATCGTAAATGAAAAGGTTGTCTGCCAAAAAGATAGAGTCCTTACGCGCATCTTTGTAAAAGCAAATTAGGTCAATATATAAATAGGTAAATTAGGGAGTCGCATTAAACATACCCTGGATATCTGTTCTCAAACCAAGTCCCTCCAACAGACGCATTTTTCTCGTAGATTTGCAAGTGCACATTCGCAAGGCGCTGGGTTTCAACCTCCCGCGCGAATGCGAGCCCACTGAATCCGGCGCCAACGACGATGACTTTTAGGGGACGAGCTGTCCCAAGGGGAAGTCTCGACAAAGAGTATGCGATGTCATCTACTATCTTGTAAGGTTCTGTTGCCTCACCTGGTGCAGGATTTGCAGGAAGGAGAGTTCGAAAAGCCTCGAGGGCCTCTCGGCGAGCAAGGTCAGTGGTATTGAGTTGCTGCATAGTGATTCTGGATGGTGAATTCAAAGCAGCCGGTCTTCGTCTTGGTTTGCAGGATAACCTTTTTGCGGGACAACGTTGGCGCTCGAAGGTATATATAAAGAGACACTGGGTTAGTGGAGAGCTATTACAATTTGGTCAGTATCAATGTTATGACAAACTGAATGACCATCTAATGGAGATTCCCACATTGAACAGGTTTAGTTCCTGGATTCCGTTATTTCTTTTTCCGGTTATGTCGTTCCGTGGAATAAAATGCCTCGGAACTGGGCTTAAGCTTCTGCTGCTTTTGTAGAAGAAAAAACATTCCATAGTGAGCAATTCTCTTATGGTATTCTAACGCAAAAATAGATCAAAATACAAGTCATAAGAATAGCTGGCTGATTTATCCCGAAGGTAACGTTCTGAGCAAAGATTCCCAGTCCATCCCTCCAACCAAATCGTCAAAGGTGTCTTCAACTCCTACAAATTCACCCAACGACGGTAGGATGATGTTTATCTTTGAGGTATTCGGCATCTGAAATTTGGGGCTTATTGGATCGTATTCCTGCCCGGCAGCCTCGGATGTCGTTCGCCAAAGCCCAGTCACTGATGCCGACTTATCCTGCATGGCGTGCATATTAGCATCGCTTTCTACGATACCAGGTAGCGGTATCTCATAGTCGTAACTCCCATCATCGCAATTGAATTCTGTAGGGGACAAGACCTCTTGGAGGGCCTCGCAGGCCCGGGAAGCGCCCGCAGTAGTCAATGCGAGCTTATGGAGGAGTGCACTCGAGCGGTTTTTGGCTCGCTCTAGAGTTTCCTGTGAGACTACTTGATCACCGTTGTCGTCTTTACCTGACGGTTGCTCCTGCTGGTGCTGCTGCTCGTAGATTATATAGTAGAGACTCTCAATGAGGGCGCTTGTGAGGACGTGGCCGCTTGGCTTGTGGTATCCGAATGTTTCTGTATAAGTTCGGACAGCTTTGATCGTGGCGAGGCAGATATGGACGCAGCATTTCCGACGTTCGAAGTCCGCCTCCGGGTCTTTCATAGGGTTGTGACGGATACTCAGACGTAACAACGCAAATCGCTGCCCGAGAGTAATTGAACAAACTATCAGTAATCGTGGCTAATAAGATAGATGGCAGCAACCAGTAATGAACTAGTAATAAACTCACCAAGAATACTAGTAACCGCCGTCTGACTTCCTTCTCGCTATCGCCATTTTCGATATACATGTTCATCTTCTCGGATTTCCAACGAAGGCGCGAAGGAAGGCGACGATATGCCAAGATAATTTTCATGTCTGTCAATTGCAGCTCCGCCCATGCGTCATCTTTTCCCTCCTTGTCCTCCTTCAAATTTGCCCTAGAGGAGAAGAAAGTGTCCCAAATTTGAGCCCAAAGCCGACCATATAATATCATGCTCTGCAGTAGCTCATGATGAGCTTGCAGACTAAGACTACTGTCGTCTTCAATGTATTCTCTGACTGCACACTCTGTCTGGCGAACGGAGTACGCAATGCCGATTTTCTGTGCGACTCGCTTGTCAAGGAAGAAAATGGTCCACCAGAGTGATTGACGGCAGGCAATATCTTCATCCTGTGTGTTATTCGGCCACCGATTTTGGTTGTTCAGGTTTATGCAGAGAGCCGTCTGAAAGGCTCTGGATATGCTCTGGAATGCCACCTGCAACATTCCCAGCTCGAGTAGATAGGCGGTAGCAGTGGTATGATACACTGTTGTTTGGAGGTCGTTTCCGTGCAATTTTCCGAAATGCTCCATTAATCTCACACCCTGGAAGTAACGCTTGGCACCTGGGTAGGGGATAAGATTGCCAACAGTAGGGGATGGTTGTGTCACTGCTTCTGCGTATGCTAGCATATTGAAAAGAAAGGCAATGATTTGACATTGCGAGCTATCGACACAGACTTCTCTATGATTTTCATCGTAACCCAACGATCCCAGAGCAGTTGAGAGCTGATCACACACTCTATCTTCGTGCAGGCAAGGGAAATAACACCCGAATTCTGCAAGGAAGATTGTTACTTGGGCCCATAATATGGTGGGCTCAGGAAGCTGGGCGACAAAGTCGGGTTCGGCAGTAGAATCCTTTGGAAGCAGCGGCACTTTCTGAGAATGATTTCGACATCCCAGTTTTCTGAGAGCATCAATCTGAGAGCTCAGGCCGATGGGATTGGACCCCGGGCTTTGAGCGTGGAACACGTCTGTGTCTTGGAAAAGTCTTCCATAGTTGTAAGGGTCGAGCGAACTGGTATATATGGAGCAGTTGAACAGGCTGTCCGGACTTGGGTGCGATTTTGCGCTATCTATCATCATGCGTGGACTGGAGGATAGTGAGAGGTCATGTCGTAACTCTGGAGAATTGGATGGGACCAGTCCCTCGGAGTTGTGGCCTTGAATGAGTTCATCGACCTTTTCTTGCAGCTGCGCGAGCTGATTCCTGAGTGTCGATCGCGGTTTTCTTCGTTTTTGGAGGCCGTATTCGGAGCGAAAATCCCTTTAACTGCGAATTAATGGAATGAGTCTCACAAATTAGAAGACCGAGTAGCATACCCAGAGATAAAATCCTCATGGAAGCGTTTTTTGGGCTTGGGCCCACGCGGGCCAACATCCTCATATTGGCAGTTGGCGCCTCTGGTTCGACAGTTCGAGCATAGCGGTTCCCCCGAACACTGATACACACCGTCTCTACATTAGTTCTCTCAAGTGATCGAAGAGATATGCCTGAGATAGTTAAAGCAAGCGCACTAACCTTCACTTTCCGCCGCTGACATTCGCCGCTTTTTTATATGTCAGCAATCAATCAGTCGGTAGGTTGACAAAAGACAAGGAATAGCTTACCATGCATGCGAAGTGTATTTGTCCCGCTTCGCACCCGTTTTCTGTGGCAGCACATGCTCTGACATCTTCCATAATCTTATTATGATCGTTGGTGAGTTTCTAAAAGGGGCGTGAATCGCGTGTTAAGGTGCGCCTTATAGGAATAAGAAGAATGCGGGGAAGAATTTACTAGAGTACAGGAGCAAAATTACCCCACAGATTTATGGACCTTGGCGCCGGGACCCGATTGGATACAGCCAAACAAAGAGTACGAGAAGTGTGGATCCTTGAGGTATGCATAGGGATTTAATCCACCATTTTCGTGCATTATTAACAATGCCATAGGTTTGCTCCATTAAAGTTACTGAAGCCGGGTCTTTCGGAGAAGCGAGTGGCAATCTTGCCGATTCAACACAGCCCCCATCATTTCATCCCAGGCTACTAAACCTGCTCGGTCATAGCCACCTGGCCCTTAGATTCATCCACCTCAGTGTCTATCCCGTCTCCATTTGGGTCTTGCTGGCGACCCACTACCCCTTCCTTATCTCCAAACATAGCGGCAATCTCCTCCAGCGGCTTGTGCAACGTGTCTGGATACTGGAAGAACACAACCACCGCCGCGATGGCTGGAATGGTGACGAAAAACAGGTAATATTTCCAGCTAATGTGCTGGATCGCCGTCGGGGCAGCGAGAAGCCATACCATATTGGTAATACATAACGTAGCCATACCGATCGCGAATCCTTGAGGACGCAGATGGCTAGGCCAGATTTCAGCGACGTAAAAGTAGGATGCCCCGTCCAGGAACAGAGAGAAAGTCATCTGGAAAATGAAGATCATGGAAGCGGCTGCGGATAGACCCGCTTTGTTTGTCGTACCGAGATAGGAACGTTGTAACAGCATTTCAATCATCATGATCAGGGCACAAGCCAGCAGCCCGAAGGAAATCAACCATGTACGTTTGACACGGTCGACAAAAATCATAGCTGTCAGATTGAAAACCAATCCGCATAGCTGGAAACCGGCTTGAAAATTGAGGATTTGGGCGGTTTCGAAACCCAGACCACCCCAGATGATTGTGCCGTTGTCTGCAGCATTTGGTTAATTTTCTTTGCTTTCCTCATGTTTTCCCCGAACCTCTGTTCGACTAACATTGAGCGGGCTCTTACTTAAAATAACGAGAATGCCGGAACTCATCAACGCGAATTCCAGGAAGATAGTCATCCAAACTCGGCGACGTAGACTAGCCTGTTGAAGAATCAACTTGTATGACCGTTGATTCAAGGTACTGATAGCATCAAGCTCGATCTGATGCTCAATCAGGTGTAGCTCGTGTCTCGCGCACTCGTTGGTGGGATCAGGCTGAGGATTAGCATGCGTTCGTACTAAGATATTCAAAGCCTCAGTTTTCCGGCCTTGCGAGACGAGGTAACGAGGCGACTCGGGCACCCAGTAGGATGCAAAAATAGCGATGCATGGCCAAGCAGCCGATAACCCCATCGGACCTCGCCAGCCACTCTTGCCGCCCACAAAGTAGAAGCCGAGTCCAATATACGAAGCTACAGCGTAACCTGTCATCATGGAGACGGTGTGAATATCCACCATGATGCCTCGAATCTGTGGAGGTGATAATTCGGCTATCCACACCGGAATTGTAGCGAGAATGATGAACGACCTGGGAGTTTAACGATCCAATGATTAGCATGCGACATTAGAAACTTATAACCAATAGAGAACACAGGAACGCACCCAACACCACTACAGAACCGGAAGGTAATAAACATGGCCACATTAACACCACCAGTCATCACTGCGGCGGATATCAACAGAATAATATTGCCCACGATGGCAGAAATTTTGCGGCCCCATTTATTGGAAAGCCAGCCACCTGTAAAGGCTCCAAACACTCCTCCGGCATAATAGAGACCGTTGATCGCACCAAGCAGGGATGCCTGGTTAGATGCCTTGTCGAGTCCCATAGCTGTCACAAAGGATGGCTGTGTAAGTGTAGTTGCGATGATTGCTCCCGCATAACCATAGGCAAAGGAGCTGAGGGCAATCATAATACACTTTCCTGTGGTGTACAAGTTTGCTTTTAAGCTGGCAGGTCTGACTGGATTGAGCGATTGGACATCCATAATGAAGCCTTCAATCGATTTGAATTGTGGTTTTAGACTGATATAAAGCGTTTTAATGCAACTCCGTTATTGAGGTAAGTATTTATATTCCTTCCCGAAGCCAACTTCCATTACCCCGGAAGACAGATCAACTCCCCGCAACACGGGGTAAGGCTGGGTATAGAGCAGGGTCAGCGATTTCACCACTTGTCTGTGCATGCACAGTACCTGGTATATATTGGCTCACAATTTGTGGCTTACAGCTAGAACATACGTTGGGATTTTATTGTAATTTCCCAGAATCCTTTCGTGGATTATTTTTAGCTACAGCAGTTGAGGAGATTTTGGTAGAGCTCTTGATCAAATAACGGTTGCAAGGTACGGGAAGATTTCCAGGCCTTGGCTGATTTAATAGTAGTAGAGATGTATTTGGGAAACTGTGGATGAGTTTTGTGCAATCGACATGGCAGTCTGAATAGTAGAGGCAGTAAACTATCAGATGAGGTTTTCTGCGGAACATTATCGATTCTGGCTTCCGGTTCCGAGCAAGTGGTCTGGAGCCCAGACCACCACAAAAATCATCACCCCGACTAACTAGTCCTTTCAAAATGATTCGATAGAATTTTTTGGAAGATCGGACTACATTTAAGGCAGTGTCGAAAGCAGCTTGCTAGGGAATTGCACTTGTTGTAACGAAAGTCATGGAAGCCTTCCATTTCAGGAAAAGATAAGGAGAATGGAGTATCATTTATCCTAATCATGCGGGTTGATTGCTAGCTAAATATATGTAATATCCATCCTCCAGTAAGCATATCACTATTTCTATGTCCAATCACCGAAACGCTACTGGAAACCGCCATCGGCATTGAGAACCTGGCAGTTAGTTAGCATCATTGGCCAAAATGAGAAAAAAAAAACAAGGAGGAAATACTCACACTCGCGTTTACGAAGCTAGACTCATCACTGAGCAAGAAGAGAATGCATTTGGCAATTTCTTCAGGTTGAGCCATTCGCCCAAGCGCGGTTCTGCTCAGCAGCCTCTCGTGGACAAGCTCCATAGGTCCCAATGCCTTTGCAAGGGGGGTATCGACGATACCCCTAACCATTATAATCCATTCAACATTAGTCAATCTTGTTTGCTTATAAGTCGGAGGAAGAGGAACCTGGGACCTTACGGTGCAACAGCATTAACTCTCACTCCCCTGGGGCCGGCCTCAAAGGCCGCTGCCTTTGACAACGCAATGACACCCGATTTCGCAGTTCCATAAGGAGAGTTCCAAGGAGTTCCTCGCTGACCTGCAATACTGGAGACATTCACGATGCTTCCACCATTGCTGATGTGTCTCAACTCCGACGCAATACTATTCTTCACTCCAGTCAAGTTCACACTCATCATTGCATCCCACTCTGGGTCAGTGATAGTATCAAGAGCATATCCCTTGCCTTTGAAACCTTGGGTGCCAATCCACCCAGCGAGGTTTGCTGCGCCGTCGATCTTCCCAAATCTCTCCTTGGTACCTTTCACCGCAGCTTCGACACCGGAGGAGTCGCCAACGTCGACCTGGAATCCGATCGCCTCCCCGCCCAGTTGCTTGATTTCATCCAGAACGGACTGCGGATGGTTCAAGTCGAGAAGTCCTAGCTTGGCGCCTTGTTTGGCGAGCAGGAGCGAAGTCGAGCGGCCTTGGCCTGATGCTGCGCCGGTGATCACAAAAACCTTTCCTTTGAAATCGCTGTACGACATGTTGGGAACGGGAAGAGGCAATAACCAAAGAGTCAAGTGAACTGGGTAAACTTGTCAGGAAAGTTGAAACAATTGAAGTGATGGTGAGGTCTGCATCTCTGCCTGGAATTGAGGGTCAATTTATTGTGAACATGCGCATGAAGTTGCCCATCGGACACACATCTGAGATGTCGTGGAATTTCTTTCGTTTCCGAAAACACACTCATCAGACTTATTCTTTCTATTCTCCTCACTATCAGGCAAAGTTAATTTTACCTATCATACTGAATATTTGGCAAATTACCGAGGCTCGGAACCTCTGCCACCGGACACCGCGTAATTCCGATATGCTCGAAAAGACATCGATCCCGGAGTAGAAAAAACACAATAATTCCAGAATTATGGGGTACGCATGGCATCGCCCACTAACATTTCCGTTCCCAACTCTGTGGCCAGTCAATAAAAGAGCCTATAAGTAGGCAGGAGCACATGCTGAATTTCATCTGATCATATCTCGTATCAACTCATTGCGTCCGCATACTTGGCTCGAAATTTCAAAATGTCAACCAACGGTGTCAAAGATGGCCAAATCCCGCCAATCCAAGCCACTGAGACCTATAAAGACAAGCATCCTGTGGCGTACGAACAGTCCAAGCTCCCCTTCGACCACCCGCGACCTATCAAAGTCATCGTAGTCGGGGCTGGTATCAGTGGTATTTCTCTTGCTCATGCCGTGGAGACCTCCCAACTTCGAAACGTCGATCTTCAAATCCTTGAAAAGAATGCGGGCTTGGGAGGAACATGGTGGGAGAACCGTTATCCCGGATGTGCATGTGATATCCCATCGCATAACTATCTTGTAAGGAACTACACATTTCATTATTAATTCTGCCCAACCGTCGCTAACGGATGTTCCAAAAATTAGTTCACCTGGGCACCCAATCCAAAGTGGTCTTCTTTCTATGTCTCGGCACCAGAAATTCTTGCATACTTGAATGATGTTGCCGATCGATTTGGACTGAGAAAATATATCCAAACTTGCCGCAAAGTGACTGGTGCCCGCTGGAACGAAGCTCGACAGAAATGGGAAGTGACGTTCAAAAAGACCGACGGACGACGCATGCTCATTTCCAGCATGGGAGGCATAACTGCTGGGGAGGTGGGCGAAGATATTGTTGAGGAGTGCGATGTGTTCATCAACGCCAGCGGCTATCTCAACAATTGGCGATGGCCCGATATTCCTGGCCGGGAGCAGTTCCAAGGTATCCTATCCCACAGCGCAAATTACGACCCTAGCCTGGATTTGCAACGAAAGCGTGTTGCTGTTATTGGAAACGGAAGCAGTGGCATCCAGGTCACAGCAGCCGCTCAGAAAGTGGCCGGCCATGTTTCAGCTTTCATTCGATCCCCGACCTGGATTACGGCCAACCTAGGATCTAGGTTTATCCAGCAGGGCCAGTCGAACGTTTACTATGACGACGAACAACAACGCAAGTGGAGCGAAAACCCGGAGGAATATCTCGTATATCGGAAGGAGGTCGAACAAGAGCTTAATGTCCGATTCCCATTATATGTGCGGGGTACCAAACTCCAGGACATGGCCAGGGAGTTCACGACAAAAGATATGCGGGCCAAGCTCGCAGCAAAGCCGGAGCTTGCAGACATCCTTCTCCCTTCCTTTGCCGTGGGATGTCGCAGACCGACGCCGGGCCCTGGTTACCTCGATTCGCTTTGTGCTGACAACTGCGAAGTGGTATGGGGTGAAATCGACTCATTTACTAAGACGGGGTTAAGGTCAAAGGATGGCACTGAGCGGAATTTCGATGTCATCATTGCGGCTACCGGCTTTGACCTATCCTTCACGCCTCGTTGGCCGATCGTTGGTGCCAACGGAGTGAACCTGCAAGAGGTCTGGAGCAAGGACCCTGCATGCTATCTTTCCGTTTTGGCCCAGGATATGCCTAACTACTTTATCTACATGGGGCCTGGCAGCCCGGTTGGCCATGGCAGCATGATCACGTCAATTGAACGGATCACCCTGTATGTGGTAGACATGATCCAGAAACTTCAAAGGGAGAATTACTCTTCATTCCGGCTTCGTGATGGTAAGGCAAAGGCATACCAGTTCCAGATGATCAACTGGCTCCAGAAAACGGTTTGGGGAGATGACTGTGCAAGCTCTTTCAAGAATGGCGCCAAGGACGGAGAGCTTCATGCATTCCACCCAGGATCTAGGCTGCATTATTTTGAACTTCTGCGACGGCGCCGATACGAAGATATGGTCTGGCAGAGTCGGTGTGAGGATACGAAGCTGGATTTTGCATGGCTGAACAACGGATTTTTGGACCATGAGCTGCCGGATCTTGCTCCAGGGGAAGTTCAAGAAGCGGATCCTACGTAAGACACCTAACATCACACAAGAAGATGACTTGAGCTGACATGGTTTTTTTTTCCAGCTGGTATCTCAATCAACCAGCAGAGATACTTGGAAAGTTTATCGATGCGACTGGTAACTAGAGTGAATAGCTTCAATGGAATTCTTTCTGTCGATTTTCAACACGTCTGTACGCTGATATTATAGCTACATATATCTTGTAGCGATGCGAATACTTAGACTCCATGCTGATTTGTGATTGTGATGGAATTTCCCTATAGGATCTCCCCTTCGTCCTGCCTGCCGGCTGTTTCTAGGACCAGCCCTTGTTCGCCCTTATAGGGCCTTTCCTTTCCCCTTTCCTTCCTGTTCTCTTGTTCTCCTAGACAGACAGACATAATCGAACTTCCCTCTGCCTTTTCCCTTGCTTCCCTGCGCTTGGCAATTCTATGGTAATCAGATTGGATTCCCGTTCCGGAAGTCTACTGTCAGTACTTTCTACGAGCTTACAACTTGATAAATTAAGAAGAGGGGTCCCGGGAAAGAATGGTAATTTGCAGGACTACTGACAAAAGATAAGTGGGGGAAAACGAGGCGGCGGTCCAAAACTCGTGAAAAAGCGAACTTTCCATTGCACTCTACCATTCGCACCCATTTATTCAAGCAGAGGCAAATATTCTTACAGTTGTACATGTATTTGAGGTACTGTTATTATTGAGATCAAGTAAGGGTTGAATCCAATTTGGCCTAGTTAGCGTGCTCAGTCACCACCACAATTTCCCGTACAGTACGTAGATGTTTCTCTGCCAGTGCTGCGTACTTGCATCGTTTCCTTATCTCAGGCCCGTATTTGTAGATCAGAAATGGAAGTGGCATACATAAAACAGACAAGAAGGCCGGAATGCACGAAGCCCAATGGATACCCAGCCGTTCATACATAGCATTTGAGAAGAGAGGAAACGCTGCGCCAAACACAAATCGAAAGACACTCATACCGGCCATGACGGAGGCTGAATAGATGGTGTACGTATCAATGAGATAGCTCACAATGCCCATGTAGACGAGAAGTAGTCCGAATCCAAATGAAATCAAGGACGCAACGCTGACCAGCCAATGGACGGATGGGGAATTCGTCCATGCGAACCAGAAAAGTCCAGCAGGAATTGTTAGGGATGCTGCCATACAAGGTGGGAGCCGAGCTTCGGGAGCCGGAGAGTCGCCGTTGGTGCATTGGTGTTGCATTTTGGTGTATCGCTGATTATCATATAGGCTGTAGATAACCCCGCAAAACACCCCTATCATGACTCCGATGAAGGGCAAACTTCCAACGCCTTTATTCCAGCCTCTGTAGTCTTCATAGACTATCGGGAGTGCTTCGAAGAGCATATATAGCGTTCCATAGATAAGAGCAGCGTATATCGTAAGGAATAGGACAATTGGCTCCCTGAGAAGTAGCATCCATGGGCGTAAGCCCACCGTCTTCAATCTCTTCGTTATAGTGGCGCTCTTCCCTATCTGGAGGTCGAGTTTGCTTTCATGGCATTTCCCTGTGAGACAAGATAGCTTTTTCGCACGTCTGCGCAGGATGACTGGTGCATACGTCTCAGGGACAAAGAAAAGCATAAGAACCCATGCCAGTGCTGCGATAGCTGACAGGAAACCCTCAACCCATCTCCATCCTGCTTTCATTTCCAAGAAGCCGCCAATAATTGGCCCAAGACAGGGACCTGGTCATCTTGTTAGCCAGGATCTAGATATGTAGAATATTCAGAGGGTTATAGAAATGAGGGGAGATGATACCTAGGTAGGGAGTTGATGCAAATGACAACAATGCCAGGCCACGTTGCCTTGCCGTAAACATATCCGAAATCACGCCACTCGCATTTGTCAAAGGCGAGGAGCCAAAGGAGCCACCGAAAAATCGCATGACCAAGAGCATTTGGATGTTCTGGGCACCAGCGCAGCCCCCGGAGAAGGCAGCGAGGCCCAACAAGGATATCAGGAACGGGCTTTGCCTGCCGATGCTTTCACTTAAAGGGGCCCATATAAGGGGCCCAACAGAAAATCCAAAGACGAATAGTGAAAGACCGGCGGTAGCCAATTCTTTGCTGATACCGAATTCGACCATGATTCCATGTGTACTACCCGCATACGCTGAAGATGAAAGGGACACTATGAAGCACGCAAAAGCTGTCACAAAGGTGATTGTGACTTTCTTTATTAGGGTGAATTGCATGGGATTTTGAGGGTCGATAGGCAGCCAGGAGACAGCATATGGGTCATCTTCAGACCCTGAACCTGGATAACGATGGTGCAGAATTTCGGAGGGGACACTTCTCGACCCGAAGTTCCAAAATGGAGTCTTCTCGTTAAGCTGTATGGCTTGCAGGGTAGAGGTGCGCGCAATCATGATGGCGAATGAAAATTGACAAAACCTAGGGATTGGAATATGGCATTCATAAAGGAGATTATATTTCCGGAACATCGCAGCTGAGAGTATCGGAATATCCTACTCTCGGAACTACAAGCTACCGCATATCCGACGTACTTGCCTATCCATACGAAAGAAAAGTGAAGATGAAACAAAACATTACTTGGGCCTAGAAATTCATAAATAAATAGTACATTTCTCTAGCTTCAGATACGAGAAATAGCAGTGGGCCGGACGCGCTCAATTTGAGCAGGCCAGATGACATCAACGCCAATCTCTGCAGCAGCCTTCAGCACCCAGTCTGGTTCTCGGAGGAATTGTCGTCCAAGAGAAATGACATCTACTCCCGGCTCTCCTTGTAGATTACGCTGCACTAAGTCCCTGGCCTGCTGTGGCTCAGTGATCATACCGACCGTGCCTATCAGGAGATCGTTACCCTGAGCCATGAGAGACTGCTTAATCCTCCTGGCAATTTCAACATGCTTTTGCCCTCCGTCAAAAACATTGAAGCGCGCTTGATGGTGGTTCCCCCCTGAACTCACATCCAGCAAGTCAACTCCCAAGTCTGGCAGCATCTTTGCCAGTTGAATTGTGCTCTCCTCATCCCAGCTCCCCAGCTCTGTCCCAATATCGCTATCCTCCATCCAGTCCGTGACGCTAACTCGCACAAAAAGGGGCATTCTAGCCGGCATCACCGCTCTCACTGCGTGAATAACCTCCACGAAGAGACGAGTCCGGTTCTCGAAACTGCCACCGTACTCATCCGTTCGCCTGTTCGTAAGCGGACTCAAAAACTGATGAATCAGATATCCATGTGCTGCGTGTATCTCGATCACATCCACTTCCGCTTTCACAGCTCTCTTCGCCGCGCTCGCATAACTTGAAATAAGCTCTCCGATCTCCTCTCTTGTGATCTCTCTAGGAACATAATAACCCCCAGAAGGATCATCATTTCCTTTGCCGTCCCAGGCGAGCCCACCAGACGGCCCGACCACATCAGCAGGCCACCCGCCGTCTTCAACGCTGGCTCGAGCACTGGATTTCCCCAGTTGTGCCGCAGCCAAAGGTGACAGAGTACTGGCTTTCCGTCCCGCGTGCGACAGTTGTACGCCACATGACCCACCTTGTGAGTGGATAAAGTCGGTCAAGTTCTTGAGAGCTTCCTGCTGGCTTTCATTCCACAAACCGGGGCAGTGAGGGCTGATGCGGCCATTGGGCTGGACACCAGTCGCTTCGATCATGGCAAGCGCGGCACCTTTGAACACATTGTGGCCAATCGTCGTAATATAGAGCGGTGTAAGGACTCCCTGTTGGGGACCGGAGGAGGCAGTTGAGTAGAGACACATCGGGGATACGCATATCCGGTTGCGAAGCGTGATAGAGCGAATGGCTAACGGTCGAAATAGATCCGGCGTGTTCTTATCCATACTCCGGGGGTTCCTACCACACTTGGATGGCATTTGGCTTTCAGAACTGCCTGAGAAGGAGACATGATTGGTTGAATTGCGGAATAGGAATACCCGAGGATGCCTGTTCAAGTTGCGACTTGGTATTGTCGCTAATCGCAAGAGATATGTCTCCTCACGGCCTTTCGAAATGAAGGACGGATATTTTCTGATGATAATGTGCAGCGAATCTTTGCGAATAGGCTGTAGTTTTTTAATTGAAAGGCTCGGTAGCGGAATAACAAACGAGGTCGAGTTTTTCCGAAGAGGATTTTGGGCAATGTCGGGACTCGGCCCCTATTCCTCATGGCGTTGCTTCCGCGAAATCATTATAAATACATAGAGTGGTTGACTATCATTCTATTTTTCACTATCTGCATCTTGTGTTTGATTTTAGCTGCATCTTCGCAGTTTGGCACCCAACATGCCCGAGTTCAATCTCAAAGGCAAGAAAGCACTCATTACTGGAGGCGGCTCTGGTCAGTCAATCCTCGCTTACCCCCTTGCCTCCCGCTCTTAGACTTTCCAGGAATAATTCGGTATCTAACTACACTCAGGTATTAATTTTTCTCTCGCAAAGGGCTTATACAACTTGGGCTGCTCGGTTCTAATAGCTGATATTTCTCTCCAACAAATCGCCAAAGAATGGCTTCTATCCACGGAAACAAGCCAGGGATCACAACGAGCATCATTTCACAAAACCGACGTGAGGAAGTGGGCCCAGCTTGAGGAGTTATTCGATGTTTTCGAAAATCAGTTCAACGGCGACGTTCCCGATATTGTGGTGCCGGGTGCTGGCCTGTATGAGCCCTCCACGAACACTTTCTGGGGTGATCAGGACAGCACCAATGGGTCACGCTACAAAATCTTCGATGTGAACATCCTGCATCCGATCAAAATGACGAGAATTGCAATACGGAGAATGACTCGGGCAGGGAAGAAACCCGGTATAATTCTTCATCTGTCCAGTATCGTGGCTCAAAAAGCCTTCTGTGACAAATCCACTATACTCAGTGTCGAAGCAGGCACTTAGCCAATTTGTAAGATGTATGGAGCCGCTAGAGCGCTTAGCGGGCATTCGAGTCGTTGCTGTTGCTCCTGGGTGAGTACTCACCTACTCTATCAAACAATTCATACTCGCTGCTAGATCGGGACAAAATGTTTGACTGACAAGCTGATGTTACAGTGTTGTCGATACACCTCTATTCAGGGATAGTGCTAAAGCCCGTGAGCACATCGACCTAGAGAATGACTTTCTTCTCCCTGCAGAGGAGGTTGTAAAAGGGATGATAGCGTTAATCACGGACTCCAAATATCCTTCTGGAACAGTACTTGAGGTGGCTGACATTGGAGGCTGGCGAGAAGTAAAACTTTTGAATGATAGTGGGCCTGAGGGCCGAGCATCGTCATCGAGAGCAAAGGCAGTGGAGGCCATAAAGTTTGTGGAGGAAGCTATAAGAAACGATTTTCGAGGACCGCGACTGTGAAGTGATGAATTTGCCTCTGCAGAAATCACCTGAAACATTGGTCAAATTGTCAATTATTGAATTGCAACGCTAGTTTCACCTTACGTATGACTTATAACACAAGTAAAAATTGCGGTTCAGAGCCCTGTGTTTGAATGTCTTTTCGCAGCCTAATAGTACGGATTTTCCGGCAAACACAGTAGGCTGAAACACTTTCCCGCTGGCATATCAATCTGATAGACTTCCGTATAAAGAGAGCAAAAAGTCTTGAAACCGAAGTCTTCACTCGATACAATTCTATCAGGCGTAGACATCAGCGCTGCCAGGGCGCTTGATAGGAGTGTATTAATCGACAATTCTAGCCAAGGCTAAGGCTGGGTTTGCCCTCCAGTCAACCTTTATCCTTTTTTTTTATTGTGGTTTATCTCTGGATATAATAGGGTGGGAGGACGGAAAAAGCCGAGTGGAAATGTATTGAATGTGTTTTCTCTCTTTTATAATAGGCTATTTCAAGCCACACTAGGGCAAAGTGATTGTCTCCCCCCTTTAGAAGAAGTGGCTGGTGGTGTTCGGAACACATATCATCTTCCGGAATCATTACGATCCGCACGGTATTTCCGAACTATGCAGTGGCAATAATCCTGTCAAGGATCACTTATTTTTAAGCAGCTTAAAAGTCTGACAGTAGCATCAACTCAGCTTCTATTTTTTCTCTTTAGTCAAACAACATTCCTCTAAGATGGCAGCTCTAAATGGAGTGGCTCTAGTAACTGGTGCTGGTAAGACCCCGTATTTTACAATACAAACACAACCCCTTATCATCTTGAGACATCGCTGACATTTCTTCCTATGCAGGGTCTGGCATCGGCCGCCAGCTCTGTATCGCATATGCAAGAGCAGGATGTGTGGCGATCGCTCTGGCTGATATGGACATTAACGGAATCCAAGAAACCATATCCTTGATTAAAAGTTATGGTTTCGCTCTTCAACTACTCGCTCTACAGGTGGACGTCACCCAGATGGCCTCGGTCAAGAATATGGTATCGGAGACCATCAAGGCTTTTAGTAGAATTGACTATGGTATGTTTTTAAGCACTACCTTTCCCCACGTTCGTAAGCAGAAATGAAAATAAAGATTAACAAATAAAGCTGCCAACGTTGCCGGAGTCACAGCCACTGCCAGATTGCCAACAGCTCAATATCCCCTCGATGAATACGACAAACTGTTAAATGTGAACACTAAAGGTGTGCTACTTTGCATGCAAGAAGAAGTGCAAGCTATGCAGAAGCAAACGCCGACTGTCACACCGGGAGTCGGTGACAACCCTCTCCGACAGCAACGAGGTAGTATCATCAACGTCGCATCTATCACTGGATTTGCTGCCCTTCAGAATATGATGCCATACAATGTGTCAAAACATGCTGTTATCGGCGTCACCAAGTCCGCGGCGATTGATCATTCTCGCGATCAGATCCGCATCAACGCTGTCTGTCCCGGTATGACGGATACGCCTATGGTTGGAGCTCGGAACACGTTGACGAAGAAGGGCAAGACCAGCAATTGGGCGGTAGAGGGAAATGGACTACAGAGGCTGGCACTGCCGGAGGAAATTGCTGATGTTTGTGTATTTTTGAGCGGTTGTGGCGCGAGTTATATTTCGGGATCGTCAATTTTGGTTGACGCTGGGCATCTAGCCGCGTTGAGGTATGAAGCTGGCCTTTCCTAGTCGGCAGAAGTGTATTCGAATTTCTAGTATCTGGTAGAAATTTTTTGTATCCCAATACAGTGTTGGTCTTGAGACATATCCTATCTCAGAATTTCAGGGGAAAGTCTCATGATCAATTAATTCACTATGAGTGTTTGACCGAAGGAAATACTTAGGAAGGAATTCGGCCACTAATAGGGAGCCTAGTTCTGATGATAATATGAAACGTCTAAACTGACTAGAGACCATTAAAAACTGGCAGTAATGAGTTCCTAGTATCCGTGAATTCATCCATAAATATCTCTTATTAATAGCATACAGTAGACCTGTACTGTACTGCACTAGCTTTTTTCATATCTATTGCAGGGAATGGGACCACCCTGGTGGTGATATAAACCAAGAACTTCGCCCGTAATGAAGAGCAATCAAGCCTTGACGTAGCGCACGGAAATAGGGGTATAAAGAGTTATTCCGCGGAAAGCGGATACCAGCTTCAACCTTTTTGTTGGAAAAGAGAAACCTTAGTTATACAGTAACCAATTCACTATTCTAATCCTAGGCCTATTAGGCATGAGATACTATGTTGCCATGTTTATGCATATCCATAATTCCTGAAAGTAGGGTTAACCTGAGGAAATTATGATACATTAAAGATGTTTTCCCCCTATCTAGTAGCTTTTTCTGTTCGAATTACTTCCGAATTTTTGAACTGACTTCAAGATCAAAAAAAGCTACTGTACAAATTGGTCGCGTACATCAGCAGTCTGCAAAAAAATGCTTCTCCAGTCTGTTGCAAACTATATGTCTCAGCACTATTATGTTGTGACTATCATTTCGGTATTGTGATCAGCCAAATCATCTTCTTCGACTGGATACTAAACTCATTTTCATAAAATATATAGATCTCACTCGCTATCGTGGTCAAGTATCTCTATGAGATATACGTCAACCCTCTTGCCCGATTCCCAGGCCCAAAATATGCGGCCGTTTCCCGAATTCCAAATCTATATCATACATTTAAAGGAGATCTAGTTGACTGGGTCACCGAGTTGCATGTAATTTATGGGAATACCGTGCGTGTAGCTCCCAACGAACTAAGCTACTCTACCCCAGAGGCATGGAAGGATGTCTACGGTCACGCCTCTGCCGGCAAAAAAACAACAGAAAAGGATACCCAATTTTATGGACCGTCGTTTAATGGTGCCCCAGATATTATTCGCGCTCTTGGCCCTGATCACACCCGCTTCCGCCGCAATTTTTCCCATGCATTTTCCGAGAAGGCCCTCCGTGAACAGCAGCCACTGATTCGCCACTATGTGAACCTGCTGATTGACAAATTGCAGACTCTTGTGCATGAAAATCCGCAAGCACCGATTGAGATCGTCCATCTATACAATCTCACCACATTCGACATTATGGGTGATTTGACCTTCGGGGAATCTTTGAACCTCTTAGCTGGAAATGGCGATGACAGCTGGGTTTCCACGATATACATCAGCATGAAAACCAATGCACTTCGCAGACTTGGACGCTACTACCCTTGGACTGCTTTCTTGACGCGGAAGCTTATTCCCCAGGCTCTGGTAGAAAAGGCAGCGGCGCATTACAAGGCGTGCAAGGAGCGCGTAAACAGGCGAATTGATCCATCTCGGAATATCCACAGACCTGATATCTGGGGCATTGTTATGAATCAGAAGGAGGGACTCCGCCTGAGCCAGGAGGAAATGTATGCGAACTCGCAGGTCTTTATGGTTGCTGGCACTGAGACGACAGCAACTGCCTTGAGTGGGTTGACATATCATCTTCTAATGAATCCAGATAAAATGGCGAAGATTGTTCACGAAATCCGGAGCACGTTTATTGAGGATTCGGACATTGAGCTCGAAACCTTGGGACGGATGAAGTACTTGAATGCGTGTATTGAGGAGGGTCTTCGTGCCTACCCTCCTGTTCCGGTTGGATTGCCTCGAGTCTCTCCTGAAACTGGCCTTGTGGTCTGTGGAGAGCATATTCCTCACAAGGTACGTCTATTAAAGTCACTTGATACCTGCTTGTCCATTTTCCTCTATAACTCGTTTCTAACGGCGGGGAATAAATAGACTGCACTTTCGGTCAATCACTGGGCAACCTATCACGACCCTGAAAATTTCAAGCGACCAAATGAGTATATTCCAGAGCGATGGATAAGTGACGAATTTGCAAGTGATAACAAGGCGGCCCTTCAGCCCTTCTCATTTGGGCCACGCAATTGCCTGGGAAAGAAGTATGATCTGTCTATCCCTCTGTGTTCTAAGAGTTCTACCTAGGGTCTAAAACTAATTATTGTTTGCTTGTTTAGTTTGGCATACAGCGAAATACGCTTGATCCTTGCCAAGGTCTTGTATCGTTTTGATTTCAGCCTTGTTCCCGAGTCTGTGGGCTGGGATAAGCAGAAGACCTTTTTCCTGTGGGAGAAAAAGAAGTTAATGGTGACTCTGAAACTAAGAGCTGAGGTTGCTTAGGGAGATAGCGTAGCTGCGGCGAGGTTATATCCTTTTTCATCAAACTTGATTGGATTTTCGATGTATTTCATTGTATTGATTCTGGCTATGTCTTGGTCTATGAGAAAACAACCCTGTTCTATCTGTTTTTCATTGCTCTTGATTTTACTGTGAGGTAGCAAGAAAGGTCAGGATCCTATGACGCGTCATCTAAATACATCTATTCCCATTGTTTTGATATCATCTGTTAGAATAACTCCGGTCACTTATGAGACTGATACCTAGGATGGGAAAACGGAACAAGAATATAGACAGGCATAGGCAGGAGTAGATACATTTCTGAGGCAAGATTCGCGCCAGAATAAGAATAGTCAAGAATGGCCGAAAAAAATGCTTCCGTGGTACAAATTGATATCCCAGGAACGGAAATATAGCGACTGCGAGAGTTCCGTGGTAGTTCAATTCGTTTCCATTCCGACTGTATCTAATTCCGTTATCGTGTAGTTCCGAGGCCTCACAATTACTGATACATGTCTATAGTATGCCGAGCATACCATATAACTTCACAAGTTGCCTCAAGTCTTCTCTCCGTCAAGTCAAAAATAACCTCATCCTAACTATCATCTACCATGTCGCTCAATTTCCAAACCGCCCCGGTTGATCCGGCAGTCTTAAGCGCTCGTCTTGACTTTCTCGATGAGTACGAAGCCCAACTTAAAGGCAGTCTGCAATGGAACCAGTGCGAGTCTGCAGCCGAGTATCGAAGAATGCGCCGTGAGGGCTTGAATGGCTTCCCAAAGCCCGTTTTGAACCCAAAGGCAAGAACGATAACTATCAGCGCTCGAGACGGACACAACATTGAACTACGCATCATCTCTCCCTCGCAACAACAAAGTAAAGGAGTCTGGCTCCACTTTCACGCAGGTAAGTTCATATGAGATATTTGACTTAATCCTTTGTCATGGCTGCCACTAATCCCGAACCTTCAACGTGTCAAGGAGGTTTTGTGATCGGTAGCAACGCATCCTACGATCCCTACTTGACCACTCTGTCCGACCGTCTCGGCTTTACAATGGTCTCTGTGGAGTATCGCCTCGCGCCCGAGAACCCTTTCCCCAAACCATTACACGACTGTGTTGATGCCGCCCTTTACTCTCTGACCCCAGAAGGCCAGAAAATGCTCGGGGCGCCGCTCAAAATCCTTGGTGGCGAATCCGCGGGTGGCTGGCTGGCTATTTCCACCGGCCTATCCCTCAAACGAGACCACGGGCTTAACGTACGATCAATTCTCGATGCCATTGTAACGGGGTACGGAATATATGATATGACATACACCCCGTCCCTACTGGAGCACACACGCGATATTATTCTCAGTAAGCAAGGCATGATGGACTTTGTTGAGGCGGGATTCGCGCATATCCTTAAGGCCGAGCGCAAGGATCCGCTGGTGTCGCCGTTGTATGCCGATCTGAAGGGGATGCCCCCAGCGTTGTTCTTGACGGGGGCTATCGAGCCACTGGTTGACGATAGTGTCTTTATGGCGGCAAGGTGGTTCAGTGCCGGGAACCAAACGGAATTATGTGTGGTTGAAGGGGCATGCCATGCTTTCACGATAATTCGCATGGGAGAGGCTACTGACGATGGTATTAATCGAATTGTAAGTTTTGTCGAGAAATATATCGGAACGGCGAGTCGACAGACCAGTTAGGATGTTACGGGGTACTTGGCACTGAAAATGGATAATGAGTCCAATAGAGCCTATTCAGAGAACTTTTCTCAATCACTAAGAAGATTTCTTGAGATTCATCTATGTAACAATCACTTTCAGCAGTAATAGAAAAGTAGAACACCATGCATGGCTCAGTTGCCTCGAGGTTAAGGCACCTGCAGAAAGATGGTTCAGAATCGGTCAATCTTATGTATCATTTATGTCCAACTTCCCTACTAATTATGCAGTGGAAGTTGGCGTGCTTCGGCCGCCGGGCCGACCAGTCCTGGAACACGAAAGCGGGCTGAAGGCTCACAAACAGCCGCCCCTACTACTAAAATTACGTCTGTCTATTATTATCATTCAGTTATACACGAAAAAGAGCCGAGACCTTCCTGCAGCGCTATGTCCTGCGTGGCTCAAGTTGGAGTCCGTTCTCCGTCCCTTTTCGTTTTCTCTCCCACTAGTCAAATCTCTAGACTTGAAGCTTCTTATTTGAAATATTTGCTCAATCCACTGCATTCTTCTCGCGCTCTCTCTAATATACCTGCTTCCTATATAATCGCACCGTCCCGCCATTTTCTCGGCCTATGGGTCGGAAACTTCTTACAGTATTTGGCTTAGCTGTAGTAACTCAATTCCATGAATTAGACTTCCAGGACTGCTCCCCAGAAAGCTTGGCCCAACAGATAACGTTTGAGAACTACTTCCAGGCGGAAAAGAGCTTTTCCTGATGCAGTGCGCTATTTGGGAGTTATGTTTAGTCATAATGGGCTCCGGTAACTAAATAATCCCTTTAAGTGCGCCACCGGCACAACTCCGTAGAGGTTCCAAGGCACCTGGTGGGCTACCGTCACGGATATAGCACCCTAGTATTATACAGCCAGAACTGAGTATTAATCCTACCAATGCACCATCAGCGGTACTATGTATTGACCATGTCGTTAGCTTTCCGAGTTGTCATCTTGCACATGCCAACCTTATGCCATCGAAATCAAGCATAGTGATATGAGTGGGTCTCGATCAAGGCTGGATAGTGGATTATGAAGGTAAAGATCTTCCTCAGTCCCGCCAATGGGCTCTTTGCAGTCCAGATCGGGAAAGAAACGCGTTGATCTCAGATTCCGCTTGCTGATCAAGCAAAACAAACGATAGTTATAGAAAGCTTGAATCCTCGACCGGAAAACTTTCGAGTACCTCTGTCTTCTTCTAACGTGCCTGAATTATTCGTGCCAGCCTCTTCCTAACAAGGAAAGTCATGGAGCCCAGGGGGAAAAGACTTCTGTCGAGAGTTGTGGATGATGCCGCTCAGCGTGAGCCGGAGAGACTGTTTGCAGTCATTCCACGGGGCCTGAATATATCTGATGGCTTCCAGAATCTGACGGAGGAAATGTCTCATGTCGTCAACTCTCTTTGCTGGTGGATTGAAAAGACCATTGGACCGGCAATCTCCCAGGAGAGGCTGGCTTATATCGGGATGAACGATGTCCGATACTGCGTGTTCGTCCTCGCGTGTCAGAAATTGGGTTACGAGGTGTGTAAGAGTTGACGTAAATACTGATGGCAACCAGGCTGACTCATCGTACATATAGGCATTTTTACCTTCCACAAGAAACTTTGATGACGCTAATGTTCACCTGCTCAAAGCAGCTGACTGCACCAAGATTTTCTTCAGCGAAGAGCGGCGCACTCGAGTCCTCGAAATTCAAGAACTGTGCCCGAATGTAGAGATCTTCTCAATTTCCACGCTCCAGCAGATGCTTGCTGATGCAAATGGCCGACTATCTTATATCTACCAAGAAGCTTATGATGACGTGGAAAATCACACATTTGCATCATCCACAGTTCTGGAACTACCGGTAAATATATGCCGTCAAGTACTATACTCATATACTACTGGCTGACTTTTTCCAAAATAATAAGGCATGCCCAAGCTTGTACCCCTGACCAACGGATTCTTCAAGTGCAACGACGAGTTCTCGCGACTACCCTGGCCCGAGTCTCGCCAACCAGCCACGTTCTACAGCTATGGTCAGGAGGAGATCGTCCTTGCAACAACCCCCTTCTTCCATTTGATGGGCCTTATCTCGTTTGTTATGTCAATCTTCCACAATGTCCCTGTCTTGATTGGCCCTGAGAAACCACTCTCAGTGGACCATTTGGTTGAACTCATCGAAAAGACTAGTCCGACAGCTGGGGTTTTCCCGCCCTCAGTCTTGGAGGATATGAGCAATTCAGAAAAGGCGCTTAAGTCTCTCGGGACACTCCGGAGTGTATTCTTCGGGGGCGCGCCATTGGCGCTTGATTCGGGTCGTCGCCTACGCCAGCATGTACAGGTTGTATCTGTTATCGGGTCCTCAGAAATGGCTTGGCTTCCAGCATTGGTGCCAGAAAGCAAAGAAGATTGGGCCTACTTTGAATGGAACCCATCTTATGGAATTGAAATGCAAGCTTGAGGTGACGACTTGTTTGAGATGGTCATCCCTCGCAGGGAAGACTCACGCAATGTGCAAGCCATTTTCCATACCTTCCCCGACCAGGATGTGTACAGAACTAACGATCTGTACACGAGACATCCCACGAATCCTCACTTATGGAAGTTCCATGGAAGGGTTGACGATGTGATCGTTCTCAGCAATGGAGAGAAATTCAACCCAGTGAACATGGAGAAAACCATTGAGGGACATCCTCTCGTCTCGAGAGCCGTGGTCATCGGTCAATCTAGGTTTCAGGCTGGCTTGCTTATTCAACCTACTGCCGATGCTCCGGAGATGTCCCACAATACTTTCATTAAGGAAGTTTGGCCGACAGTTCAAGAAGCCAATCAAGTTGTCGCTGCTCATGGGCGAATCCTGAAAGAGAGGATTGGACTTGCCTCAAACGCAAAGCCCTTCAAAACGACTGCAAAGGGTACAGTGCAGCGGCAAGCAATACTCCGGGATTATGAGCAGGAGATCAATGCCATTTATGATGCGGATTCAGCTTTTGACCTGGACGTGCCATTCCCTGAAACCACGGATCGCTCGAGCATCGTGAAATATGTTCATCAAATAGTTTCTCGGGCTTTTGGAAAATCTTGTTTTCTCAATGATCAGAATATCCACAATTCTGGACTCGGTTCACTCATGACGATTCAAATTGCCAAAGTCTTACAGCGAGGAATTCAACAGCATCGGCCGGAGACGAAGGAGGTGACGATTCCCCCCCAAGTTGTCTACGCAAACCCGACGGTAGAGGGTCTGGCTCGATTCCTTCATGGAATACTGGAAGGCACGATTCATGATGACATCCCTCGCAATGAAAAGATCCATCAGTTGATCCAAAAATACACCGCCACTCTCATTGCAAACTGTGACAAACAACTTTCAAGCCAACCTGGAACCCCCTCTGTCGTGGTTTTGACTGGCTCTACTGGATCTCTGGGAACATACCTTCTGCATGATCTTATCAAGACTCAACGATTGCAAAAGTCTACTGTCTTAACCGCTCGGATGCCGCTCACCAAAAGAAATCTTTCAGCGAGAAGGGTCTTAATGTGTCACCGGATGAGTGGGCTAAAATCGAGTTTCTCCAAGCTTCGGTGGGCGAACCTCAATTCGATCTGGAACGGGCAAAATACGAGGAGATCTCCAGTCTGGCAGATACCGTCATCCACAACTCCTGGAAGGTTGATTTTAATCACTCAGTGGACTCTTTCGAGACACACTTCAAAGGAGTGCGCAATTTCATCGATTTCAGTCTGCAAAGCCGACACAATGCGCATATTCACTTCATATCCTCCGTGAACACGGTAGGGGCATGGACGAGACAGATGGGATTGCTTGTGCAAGCTTAACAAGCTCCACTTATACATGAACCCAATCTAAACTGCATACTGTAGCTGATCGCACCATTTGCCATTATACAACTTTAAGGGAATTGTAGCCCCTTAAATTATCACCGAGTAAGCGCCAAAGAAAGTTTTCTTCAAGAGTAACTGTACACTTTCGCGACAGGACAAACATTCCGGGGGGGGAACCCACTTTAAACATGCCGCGAAGGCAAAAAGGGAGAGTGGTGCAGATGTACCTTGCAAATTGGACCGCTCATATTCAACAGGGCCACTGAGCATGTAGGGTATGGGCAGGGATTCGTTTCCTCTGAAACCAGGAGGGCAGGGACCCCTGCTGCTTACATTGCAAACAGATAAGGCGTCTGCGCCCAACGACAGTGATGCAACAAAAGCCCACCGAACACTTTCGAGGCTCTGAAAAGGAGTACATACTTTCCTTCTCTAAAGAAAAGGAACTAGTGGAGGTCCTCTCCTTTCTTGCCAAAACTAAAGATGGGTCGGATTATATCCCTGCCATGTGTGTCGAGCAGGACCTCAACGGTGCAGCATTGAAGGCTCTGCTGGCGATCAATAAAAGAACATATACAGATGGGGATGGCTTACTTCAAAGTTTAAAAATGAGATTTGAGAACATTTTTAAAGTACTTCGAAGATCACTATATAGTTCGTTGATCTCTGCCATTTGTTGTAGCTTCTGATTCGAGTTTAGCTAGAGCGAGGCAGCTCCACGGAGATCACGAAACAACTTCTAGAGATGATTGTGCAAATATGCTCAACTCGAATTGCTTCTAGATTGCGGCTTACTGGCAAAAAATAGGAAAACTCCAAAGCGTCTATCAAAGACATTCTACAAGAAGCAATAGAAGGCACTCGGCAAATATATCCCCAGAAGCTACTTCGGTCTAACCTAGAAGAAAGCCTGTCGTTATTCAGAGCAGAATCCAAAATCGTGATCTAGTCCGTCAACGAATACTCCAATTATCGTGTTTCGTCTCGTCTTAATAACATTGTGGAAAAGATATATCGATTACATAACGTATATGGCTTGCAGCAACTTCTCTATCTGATTCCCTCTAGTCCCACAAAGGTGATCAAGCAGGCAGCCTTCATAGCTACTCTGCTCAACATTATTCGAAAAGTGTCTAGATATAAAGAAGCCGCTCGGGTGCTTTATCGTATTGCTAAGAAGTTTCCTCTTGTCCGAAATATTGAGATTCAAGTAGCAATCCTTCCCTAAGAGGCTTTCGATCGACCCTATTACCCGGTATACTCGCCGAGTCTTCTAGTCGTGCTATCTCGTTTAGGGAAGATTAATGGTAAACAATATAATATCTCCTAGATCTCCCGATTTATAAAAAATAGCAAGACCAAGAATCCGGATGACCAGTTCTCCGAGCAAACAACTAAAACTCTCTAGGAAGCCAAGATCCATACGGAGATCCAGCTAATCGCCTACTGCGAAATTCAATCGCCGCCGCTGTTCCCGCGTGCTATCGCTTCCAGCAAGGATGCTTGTTTCTTGTGCTATATATTCATCCAAAATCATGACAAGATGCATACATCACGTACACATGGAAGATTGTACCCTGGTTGGTGACTGCCAATGCTTTTGTCTTTTAAGACGCTGGAGCACCGATTCAATGAAATCCTTGTGGACCACGCTCGACAGTCTATCAGAGCTCGAGACAAAGGTCAAATGGGTGCTTATCCTCACTCGAATGAAAGTACGTTACTTCCTATGTTGGTCTCAGAGTCGACAATGAGCGCTGTACAAGATCCGATCGAAATCACCACGGGAGCAGTGTCGTTTTCTGGTGTCTCTCCAGGCTGCGGAACTGTGGAAACAGCGGCCTCAACTGCAGATCCGCCTAAGGATTCTAAAGTATTTAGTAGCTGTGTTCTAGCGCCCAGTGACCCGTTTACCGGCGTCATAACTCCGCCTGCCTTATTGCCGTTCTTCCTGGCTGGCCCTCTGTATATCTACCTCCAGATAGAACAAAGTTCGACTTCCAAATCCACAGCAAGGTGTCTTGCGTTCTCCATTGAAAGAACGAACGTCAACCAGACCACAAAGCTACCTATCGGGTTTCTAATGGTGGACGTGGTGGAACTAGAGAGGGATATGATATATGCACTCCCAGCAGACGGGACGTACTACCTCACAGCTCACGATATCGCAGTGAAGATTGTGTGCAAGCAATAAAACGGGGTATTCCCTAGCTAGCACCGATCGTGGTCTTCGGGAGATCTTCTACTGAAGTTAACAAGGGATGAGCAACGACCTTGGTCCGAGGTAGATCTAAAACGGAGAATAAGTTTAAAGAGCTCTATGGTATTTGATTTGCTATCCATTGCCTATCTTATTATTTTTGTTTCCTTGGTTTTGTTTTATTTCCTACTATTGCTACTCTCTTATTATACTAGGGTCATGATGTTGAATGCGACCGAACCTAGGTAATTATAAGCATTAATAATAACTATAGAGTGACCTTGGTTTCAACCGCTACGTGTTAGGTCTCTTAAGTTAATGCTAGACAAGTACGACTAGATAGCTAAGGCTCGGCCTTCTAGAAGGGATACGCAATTCAAAACAAGTAACAGATAAACATTTCTATGTGCAGTTGCCCTAACAAACTTTTGCTCGTAATCGAATCATAACAAGAAAACAGGTTCATCGGCTAGAACCTGAATGAAAATCCGAGTTCAACCCCCAAACGGATTCACCAACGAGGGGGTATTATGAGGAATATCGTCAACAACTAAACATCGTCAACACTAAACATGAATGCGAGGCAGCGAGGGACGGCCGAACAATCGAAAGATCGAACAAGATAGAATACTTCACGAACAACACCGATACCAATTCTTCAAGAGTGGAAGTAAAAGGAAATGGAGACGATTTTTACCATCATTTCCCTCAGGCACGACCGCGACCAATACCACGACCCATACCACGACCCATGCCACGACCCATACCACGACCCATACCACGACCACTACCACGACCACTACCACGGTTAGAGAAACCACCACGACCGGGGCCACCGCCACGACCAGGACGAGGTCCACCCCTGCCAGTCTTACCACCGGAATGGCGCTTATCGACGCGACCAGCACCAGAAGCACCGGGCGTCTTGGGAGCACCGAGACCGCGACGGCCCTGAGCTTGGGTCTTGGATCGGATATCTTGGCCGATAGCAGCAGCATCGTCCTCATCGTCCAGATCCATTTCATCACCACCGCGCTTCTTAGCCTGACCCATCTTGACCTTGCCCTTCTGGCCTCGGCGGACAGCATCGGGACCACTGACGGCAGCAAGGTAGGCGTTGATACCGCTACCATCCTGAGCACTACCGCTCATTTCAACGTCAGCAGTCTGCTCATCACCAAGGAGGAGACGGCCATCGGCGTCGAACTTGGCAGCATGCTTCTTCTTGGAGCCAGGGCCGGTGTTAAGGAAGCGCAGGCTGGGCTTGGTTGTGGAGATGTTGGCTAGCGCATCGGGAGCGAGCAGATCCAACGGGTTATCCTCCGGAGACATCTCACGGATGTACTGGTTACCCTGAGCAGACTTCTTCTTGCCGCCGCGGCCCTTGATGCGAGCCTGGCCCTCGGTGTCGACGTCAATAACGCTCGCGTCATCGTCATCATCCTCAGAGTCGGAGAAGTCGGAGCCGTACACGGCCTTGTCAAAGGCGTTACTAGACTCCTGTTGACCGTGACCCTTGCCGTCTTCCTCCTCTTCATCGTCCTCAGCAGCACCCTCCTTCTTCTTGCGCTTGTTACGCTCACGCTGCTTGCGAATATTCACGACGAGCTTGCGATCCTCCTCGCCAACAAGGTTCTCCATGAGAGGAGCACCGAAGCGGCGAACCAGACGGTCAATGATACCCTTCACCTTACTGCGCAGACGACCCTTGTGCTCCTTATTCCAAGCCATGAGGTTGGGAACAAGAGCAGACAAGCGCGGACGCAGAGCGTCATCGGGGAGAATGACAACGGCGACCTTGACGAATCCAAGGACGGACCGGACAATCTCGCGGTTGTTGCTGGTAAGGAAGAGCTCTACAGTCTGGACAAGATCCGAGAGTATCTCAGAACGCAGGTCCTTGTAGAACTCAAAGAAGAGACGCGACAGAGCAGTGACAGATGCAGCGACCATGTGAGGCGATGAGCCAGCCAGACCAGCAGACACCATGGTGAAGAACTCTTCAATAGTGGCTGGAGCATCGGGCGAGTCATCAGGCATGTGGGGCACCAGGGAGTTGCGAATCACAGTGCCAGGCGGGTTGCGCTCCGAGTCAATGGTGCGACGAGCAAGATGGATCAGCAGATCAAAGGCGGCGGTACGAGCTTTCTCATTGCTCTCCTTGCAGCCGAGGACAACCTCTGACAGGATTGAGGGAATGAAGTGCAAGTCAGATGTGGGCAGATTCGTGACCAGCTCGTCGATGGCAAGCATGCGGTCTCGGCGACCAGATGCGGGTGTCTTGTCAGAAGTAGCAAGCATGAGAGCCTGCAGCTCAGCGCTGCGCTCCTCCAATGCGGCGCGGCCAGTCTCGGTGGAGGCAAGGCGGGGGATCAGCTTGTAAGCCTTCTTGATGAGCTGCTGGTCGGGGTTGGGCGAGGAGCTATTGAGAATAGCCGCAGCCATGGCAAACAATCCGCTGAAGCTGGAGCGAGGCAGGTAGATAGACATGGCAATAACCAGATCGATCAGGGTGTGAGAAGTCGGCGGCATCTTGTCAGATGAGGCCTGCTTGGCGGGAGCGTTCTGCTCCTCCACCAGAGACGATTCAAGCATCGTGGTTACACGAGTGAAAGTTTCATTGAGTTCCTATAATTTGAAGATATCAGTAAAATTTTCGGACGGGGTTATTATATTCTCCACATGGAAAAGACTGACCTGCTCGGGGGTGACGCTCAGATAGGCATTAATGCATTGCAGGATGTAGCCACGGTGGTGAGGGAGAGTCTGGCTGTAAACGTTGAACAGCACAGCCAGCAAGTTGCTGGAAAATCCGGCCAGATGGGCAATGTTCTTCGTAGCGGCCGCCTTGGTGATGCGCCGCTGCAAGATCAAGTCGTCCTCATCTTTCTCCACGGACAGGATCGCCTGGTTGGACTCGACAAGGTTTTGGAGGGCTCGGCAAATCTCCACGCGCAGCTCCGTCTGCTTGTAAAGGACATTGGACAACAGCTCTGCAAAGGTCTGATCGAAAGCCTCTGTGAGATCAAGTGGCAGCTCACAGTAGCCGGGAAGAATGCCCCAGGTCTGCTGAACCAGAGTCTCGAAGATCTTCGTCTCTACCGGCTTCTCGGCGGACTTGTAATCCATCATCTTCTGGTAGAGGGCCTCACTCAGAGGAACCATTTCCGAGCGGAAGTGGCCCAAGTTTGTGTTTGTGACCTGATCACGGAGGATAGGCAGCATCCAGACACGACCGGGTTGGCCATTCTTCTGTTGAATGATGTTCAGCGGCAGAAGCTCGAGAACAGCCTGCGGACCCATAGCCTCAATGGCACTGCCGAGAACACTGTCCGCCTCCTTCTTGCCATGGAAGGCCTCGTTACTGCGCAGCTCGCCAATAGTCGTGACAATGTCGACGAGGAAGGGGCTTGAGCGCCACTTGAAGCAGTCAAACATGGCGGAGCACACGTTGAACACCTCCTGCCAGGCAGCCTGGTACTTAACAGAGAGCAGGTCGGCAGCTGACCGGGCGAGCTTCTCCAGAGTCTTCTCATCATAAATGGAAGCATCCAAGATGACGCTGTCGGGAATACAATTGTGCAGGAATGAGATCAAACACTCGGAAGCCGAGACACGAATATTGTGCGAAGGGGAGGCCAAGAATCCAGAAATGAGTTGGAAAAGTTCGGGCAACTTCGCAAAGGTGTCCTCGGGGTTGATCTGAGCAGAGACATCATATCCACGGGACAGCACCGCTATCCAGGGAGGAAGAAGCTGCGAGTCGTTCTGTGCGGGCTTGAGCTCGGAGATGGCGTCCAACAGACGGGGGAGCTTGGATGACGAAAACTCATCCGCCATACCCTCGAAGATCACCTCGAAGACCTCGAACGCGCCCATGGTAATGTATTCGTTGGTAGAGCGGGAGGCATTCATCAGCAGCTCGCACAACGCCTCAATCTTCTTACTGGGCCAGCCACCTGATGCGATAGCGATGGTCTTGACAAGCTGCAGGGAGTGAATAATGAGGGGCTCGTGGCTGTCGCGGTTGGCGTCGTGTCGGCCCTTCTTTTGCTTAGAAGCCACCTGAATGCTATCGCCCAGAGTCTTCATAGCAGACTCCGCGCACATATCTGCGGCCGGGTGGTCGAGGGACGGACTCGGGGGAGGCGTCTTGAGAACCTTGATGAGCGCTTCCTGGGCGCGCTTCCGAACCTTGGGCCGGTGGTCGACCGAAAGGCTCAGCAAGCCGGCCGTCGCACGGCGGGGGCCGATTTGAGTGTGAGGCAGATTCCACGCGGCGGCATCTTGGGCAATGAGGAGCGATTCGAGGCAGCCAATTGATGGCCGCAAGAGGGGGGCTTCGACTTCAGGGAGAGAGAGGGCCGGCGCGAGGCTGGTAAGGATCTGGGAGAATTTTGAGCGAAGGATCGAAGCGGGCACGAAGGTGGTGGTGATATCGAGCAGGTAGACGACGGAAGTGGCGAGATCCTTGTTGACGATGCCCTGCTCGGCGGACAACGACTGGGAGAGGAGCGCAAGAAGCGCAGCAAAGTATGCGGTCGCGGAAAAGTCGGCCTTTTGATCGCGAAGAGTATCCTCCACTGCAGAAAGCACCACAGCAGTCTACATTTGCATTGATTAGCGGTCTGTCTGGGTCTGTCTGGTGATTTTGGATCGATCGGCACGGGAGAAGGACACATACATGGTGCTGGTTCTGCAGTTTAGGAGACTTTATCTTCTCAAGCTTCTCCGCCAGAGTCGCCATGGTGATTGTAGACGACGAGGAGGAGAAGGACAGAAAAGCGTGCGGGGGGAGGCTGTTCTGGCGGTGATGGAGAAAACTCGTGAGAAAAAAAAAGGTACAGCGGGATCTTGGCGGGTTATCGATAAGCATCTATGAACCACCGCCTTTGAGCTACAACCAGTTTTTCGAGGCCTATTTGAGCATAACATTCTTAGAAAAAAAAAGGTAGAGATCAACCGTCAAGTGATGAATTGTTACTATTGAACATGAAAAAGAAAAAGAAAAACGTGTATCCCAATTGGGATATCTTGGTCGTCACACCCTTGTCCACCAGCATCCCACCACCTTCCAATCAGCCACTGGTATGTATTCGCGATAGCCAATGCGACGAACAGAATTCGCTTCGAGTTGGAGGACTGCCCCCTTATACTCGACGTCATGATGCATCTCCCCTGTAAGCTGGATACAAGCCGCGTGCACAAAACTCATTGTTGCCTTGAAAATTCTTCAAGGCCGATAAGGAACTAGGCCCTGGTAGAAGACTCCCCATCTTATCATCTACATCTGAACATAAAAGGTTGAATCCAGCATTGGGGTGTTTATTCACCCCTAAGGCAAGCATCGTCGTGTATAGGATCACCCAATCGTTCCGAAATATGCAGTACTGGATTCGAGGCCGTCATTCGAACGGCAGGAGGATCGCACAAGCAAACACGCAATAGAGCCCCCTTAAAACAAAATCTCACCGCTATGCTCTGGCTCAAATCCAAGGGCCTGGAGCTCCGAGTTTCGCTTCTTATCTCCGAGCTTGCGCTTGTTGTCTTCCTTCTTCTTCAATTCGAAGACCTCCTCGAATGGGGCCTTGGTCACAGAAAGAGGGATGTCGTCCTCACGATCGAGGTCCTATGGAGGCATATGTTAGTATTGCAATCTCAAAATGGCGCGCCATCTGCTCCTTGTGCGAATTTCAAGTGATCCTTCCACGTACCACCTCGCCCAGCAGAAGGACATTCTCGCCGCGCACGAGGAAGATTCCGCGCGGGACATCGGCGTAAAGCTTTCCAGCGTAGATTCGCTCAATCGTATCCTGCAGAACAAGGTTCGCTACAAGTTTGCGCCAGCAGAGATGGGCCTATGGTAAGCCAATGCTTCTCGGTGAGGCCTTGCGACATTCATACCGAATTGATCCCAGCTTCGCAACACGCCAATCAGTTTTCTCCCATCACGAAGGACCAGAACAAGCTTTTCTATACGATAAAATGGGGTTTGGGTCAGCATGAGGTGCTTTCAGAGCTACCCATTCCATCTAGACCAACGTACTATCTGTCAAATCCAACAGTTGTGCGGCAGTCGTGAACATCTGAGGGGGAGTTGTGGGGGGCCGGACTGGGTCTGGGGGGCTGAAGGGCCGAGCGCATTTTGCTGTGGTTGCCTCTGTTGTTGCTGTTGAGACTGTGGCTGCTGCTGCTGGGCGTTGCCAGCAGTCTCGTTTAAAGATAGCCGCTCCATGTCGGCGGGGGGTGGTGTAAGGTGGGGGTGTGGGAAAACGGAAGAGGCGAGGGCGTGGGCGACGAAGAGTTCGATGGGAGTGTTAATTTGAGCTCTGGATTGACGAAGGCCCCGTCTGCATTCTGGTTGAAGCTACGTATGTCGTATTCGAGAGAGCAGTCAAGTCCGCGACGGCCAGAGCGAGTTCTCCGAGCCGGAGATGGACATCAAGGGCGGTGAGTTTGTCTTGTTTGCTTGGGAGATCGCGGCGGACTGGTTGCTCATGCACAGGACTTATATCATGAAGGAAATTTTACTATTGCTATTGCTCTGCGGTTCCTAGGCTGTTTTTAAAGAAATTTGCATTGTTCGATTCTTCCATTCCCTTCCATTCTTTACCATTGTCTATAGAGAACGAATATCAACTGTGGCCTAGATACTGCTTTCTGGTCGGTACCAATTGATCATCTATTACACATGGACCAAGGGGCCTCTCAAAGCTCTACTCGAATAACGATCTCTGCATCAGAAAAGCCCAATCAGACGTGTAACAAGGACGTTGTTGCATCGCGTGTAGCGGTGAAGCAAGCAGAGTGATTGATATACACGAGCACCCCGCAACGATCATCTCACTGCATGTGTTGTTTGCTTCAACCCTTTCTTTCATCGAACAGCACCCTCAAACTCGATCCACCGAATAAAGAATCTGTCATTGAATTTGTCTTAATAAGATCATCGACAGATCTATCTATCGAGACCACCATGTCATGTGACCAGATCGGAGGTATCAGGTGACCTGTCTAGACTTGCAATAGATCTGGCAAGGGAGACAACCAACTTCTTAAGCTAGCCACTAAAGTCTCACTCGGTGTAGTTTGAGCAAAAAATTGAGGCCAAGTCATATCCTCCATCCCGAGAGACCCGCTAACCGGACTGTCAGGCCCATATCAATACAAAGCCAGCACAATGTTGAAGTGCAACCCAGCAGACAAAATACAACTATACAAGAGAAGAAACGGCTAAAAAAAGAGCTTCTAACAAAAACAAAAGGGGGAATAATTCAAATCAAATCAAACCAGGCCAAAAGAGATAAGATCAAAACAAGTCGCAAAACGCTCAAGGGGCTCCCACGACAAAAAACCCAACTTTTATATCAATCCCTCACCCTCATCCTCATCTCATCTCACCCCCCTCACAATACCACACTAACACCCCTCTGCTGCCCACGCATCCTCTCCTCTCTCCGCCGACTATACGGCGCACAATACGGCTCATCCGCAGACCCAATACTAGCCCGGACGCCGTCCTGCGAGCGATGATATGCCGGGCTCGACGGCGCAGGCGCAAGCTGCATCGCCTTGAACTGGGCGTCTGAGATAATCCGCCGCCCGTACAGGTAGCGCATCAGCTCGAAATCCGGTCTACTCCCCGCCAGCGTCTGGCCATGCTGGTAGTGGTCTGTGGCGACGTGGTTGAGCAGGCGGCCCCAGGCGGAAGGTTGGTGGTCTTGCGAGGAGCCTGCCGTGCTGGGTGGTGAAGGGTTGGACGTGTTGGATTCAGTTGGTGAGGCAGGACTGAATATAGATGACCGGTCTGTTTCGAGTCCTTGGTCGGTGAACTCTGTGTCTGGGCAGAGCGGGCATCGCGCTGTTCGTGGTGGTGGGTGTGTGCGGAAATGGCTCAGGACATGAGTCCTCCACTGTGTGGCATCGTCGAAGGTATCGTGGCAGTCCAACATATGGAACAGACATGCATAAATCCCAGACTCGGCGGGACTCATATCCAGACTCGCATTCGCATTCGCCTCCATATTCAGGTTTATATCTGAATCAGCCAGCGACGGCACCGACGGCGCGGCCGTACTCCACGATGATGAGGACGCCTGTGAGCGTGGACGCCTGCTGCTGCCAGCCATACCCGTGATAACAGGCGCCATGGCATTGTCCTCCAGCACCGAGTCCCGCTCACCTCTCCCCACAAAGGCAGGACCAAGGACCCGTCCAGACGCAGGCCCAAACATGACAGCCGACCCGCCGTCAGACCTAGTCTCCACCGATGAGATCGACGGAGACTCCGACCCGCTCGTCAAGCCCGGGACAGTCGGCGGGGATGACGATGGCATCCGGGTGGCACGGATGATCACCTCACTTTGCTTTTTGCGGATAGGGTTGCTGGCACTACCAGGCATCGCGGGGCGGGGGCTAGACAGGAACCGCTTTGCAAAAGTTCGATCTCGGACTGACAAAGTTAGAAACTCGGAAATCGTGGAAGGTACTTCTGTTCTGCGAGGACGGGCTGAGGGAACGAGATGATCGAGATGATACTATGCTGGGGCGGGCTGGTTCTTGATTTCCTTCCTGGTTGCCTGCTCCGATATGCCCCGTGCGAATGCGCGAGGAATACACGGGCCTTGCGCCGGTCTGACTCTGCGGAGGGAGTGGACGGGAGTGGTCGTTGCTTCGTCACCGGAGGCTCGGAGATTACCATGAATACCAAATCGGAAGGTTCCTTGTACAGTACCCGATTGTACACGATAGGGGAAGAAAGAATGACTGGACACGGAAGAATGAAGCCCAACCAACAGGGGACAAGACACAAGAAACAAGAGACGAAAGACCTGATATACTTACATCTAGATCCCCAGCTCTACACTATACCTCCGCAAACACTCACCTCACCAGCCACGATCAAATCGCAATACCAACGACCCAGTCCGTCCAGTCAAGGTACAGTACCTACCCAACAACCAAGGCAGGGGCGGACGTACCCGCACGTACCTTAGTCAAAACCATCAGCATGCGCGACATCCCAAGAACAAACTGGCACAGCCCGACCACTCCCAAGGCAAGAGGCGCGGGGACATACCGCAACGAAGTGGAGCCACCAGCGCCGAGGAAGCACTCAATCTACAGTTAGCGCGGTAGAATGCTCAGCTCAAGCATGCCGCACTATCGGCGGAGGAAGTGGTGAAGAGTAGTGGGGTAGAGCTGTGGAAGTCAATGGCGAGGATTGGGTGCTTTGGTCGTTTCGTTCTTGTGACGGAACTGGTGGTAAGGTAGTTTGATGGTTCATTTTTTTTTTCGCGCTAAGATAGAGCGGAGGGCGGGGATGAGGGGCTAGGCTAGTGTTTGTGATGTGAACTCGTAGTAGTATAGAACGTAGAGGTTGATAATGTTGAGATGGTTGTAGTTATCTGATTGATTGTTTCCCGGTAAACACGAGGGATGATGCATTTTGCTTTGTCTATAGGCAATGGCAAGGCAATGTAGTATCCTCTCCTCCTCAGTGTCACCGTTGTAGTATTCGCAGTGTAGCCAGGTGGCATCTCGTGGGGGCTGAAGCTACCTTGGACTAAGGAAAATGATACTCTGAGATGACTACGGATTCTACAACAATTTACACAAGGAAAGCAGTATTGAAGATAATCAGTTTTCTTTCATTTCCAAGCTGGAGCTAGGAGAGCCAATTAGGAGAGTTGAGGTAAGATAGGAACATCATAATCGATGTATCAAATAGAGACCACAGGTCTCAGAGAGGAGAATGACAAAAGAAGAGAAGAATTTTGGACGCGAAGGCAGGGAGAAAGGAGTAAAAAGAAAAGGAAAACAGCCACGGAGAATTTCCCAGCCCATCTATTTGGTAAGAGACGCCTTGATCAAGCAACAGTAAGAAAAAAAAAATTTGAGAAGAGAAAGGAAAGATACACCGATCCAAACCGACACCGTTGATGCCTGCAACCCAGAAAAATGCACAAGTCTATATCGTTTCGTAGCGCGCATGACAGCAAATTCAGAAGACATAAGAATGTGGGGCTTAGAGGCCAAGTCCCACGGAGAGAAGAGAAGAGAAGATCAGAAGCGGTCGGCTAGATCGCCGCCTGCGACGGAATTGTTCGTCGACGAAGACATCGAAGAGAAGCCAGTGGGCGGGTTGAGCATGTCCTGCACTGCGACCTTGGGCACCTGTGGTACAGGCAACTTGCGCTGTGTGCCGTCCGATTTTGACATGATGTCGGTGATGCTGGGACCCATGTGACCCTGACCGGGGCTGTAGTAGTTGGGGCCCTCCGGTTGGGGCTCCATGGGCGCGAGGGCGGGAGTGTGCTGGAGGGACAGGTGGCGGATGGAAGGCAGGTGCAGCTCGTTGGCTCCTAGAGGGCGCAGGCGGGGAGAGTGCGCAGGAGTAGCCAGAGGAGTGTGATCAGGGGTAGGAGAGAGCGAGTCGTGCGAGAAGGTCGGAGACGAAGGAGCAGTCGAGTTGGGCGAGTTGGGGCGCGAGCGCTTCACACGATGTCCGTAGCCATCATCGTCATCGTTGGAATGCGACCGAGTCATGTTCTGAGAGATGGCATAGGCGGAGAGCGAGGGCAGGCCACGACCGTGATGGCGCGATCCGTACATGTTGTGTCGCGATCCGGGGAAGCCCATGTGGTCGTCCCGCTCGACTTGCGAGGCTGCAGTCGCCAACAGATTGATGTCCATACCGGACGAGGCGCGCTCTGAGGTGCGCGAATAAGGACCCAGGTTGGAGCGCATGTGGTTGGCATAGTTGGAGAAAGAGTGAGGCGGAGAAACATCCGGAGACCCGATCTGGGAAACAGGCGCAGAGCGAGTAATGGGCTTGCTGGGAGGAGGCATCATGTTGGCCGGGTTGACCATGTTGGCATCCTGGCCAGCAGCAGCCGCGGCAGCCGCAGCCAGGTGCTGCGCCTTGTTGCTTCGACGGGAGTTGGGGTTGTTGTGAATGCGCGAGTGACGAGTCAGCTCGTCAGAGCGGCTGAAGCGCTTAGTGCACCCAGGGAACTGGCAGGCATGGGGCTTTTCACCAGTGTGTGTGCGAATGTGACGAGTCTGGTGCTCCAGGCGGTGGAAAGCCCGGTCGCAAAGAGGGCACTTGTAAGGCCGGGGAAGGTCCTGGCGGACTTCCTCGTTGGCGGGGCGAGCACCCTTCATGAGAGGCGGCAGCAAGCTGACCGAAGAAGCCATGGAAGGGTCTGAGGAAGGTGAGGTGGTCGATTGGGCAGTGGTGGACGAGGCCGACTCTGCTGCTTCTTGGGGGTTCAGTAGATTTGAGAAACCCACTGAGGCCGGAGGAGACATGTGAATATCTCCTTTTGGGGATGAGAGAGGACTGAAGACCGGATATATAAGCCGGGAAATGGTTTCCAAGTAATCCTTTTCTTTGTGATAGAGAAAGGGAAACGTAAGATATTGTGCCGAGGCGGACGATGTATCTGCAGGGGTGGTGGTCCAGAGCTAGAGTCGATCCGGCCGATCAGATCAGCGAGGGGATGGTCGTATGTTGGAAAACCTCGGACCAAGGACGGAGGATAGGTTATAGTGCACGAGAAGGAGTGCACAAGGGGGAAAATATGGGGGATGCAGGAAAAGGGAGGAAAGAAAGAATCTGGAGAGGGCGATCTGGGGAGCAGGAGATGATAAAGGAAGGGGGAAGGAGGGGAGGATTGAGGAATGGAGGGGAAAAATGAGGAAGGGAGAAATCGGGGAGGGGCTCGGAATCGGCGCGAGTTGGTTTTTTGGGGGAACAGAAAAAAAAAAAAAAAAAAAAAAGAAAAACTCAGAAAATCAGAATGGAGAAAAAAAAGAAAAAGAAAAAAAGAAAAAATCAGAGTCCCCAAGGGAGCAGAACTTATCGGGATCGTAACAAGGTTGTGAGGGACGGTGTGGGGGAACAGGGACCGCGACTGGAACTGGGACTGGGGGGGGCGAAAAGGGAAAAAATCGGCGAAAAAAAAGGAAAAGAAATGGGCGAAACACCCGAAATGGGGAACTGCAAAAAACGAGAGGACCAAAGGGAGGCAACGTGCACCGGGAAGATCATCGTGGGCTATTTCCGGCTAAGAGAAATTTGGTGTCGATAGGAACATGATACTACATACTACTCCAGTAGCAAGAGACGTCCGATAGGGCAGTACTAGAAGAAAGATCTCAGATAGTAGATCGTATGTCGAATATTTCTAGTATTCCCCGACAATAGAACTATTCAACTATAGAAGGGTATCCGGTTAAAAGCGCCATTGACAGAGACGATGAACTGCTGGAGGACGGGCATAATCTGACGGCCGGCTGCGATGGCGTGGTGAAGGAGGGTCAGAAACCAAAAGAGCAGAGAAGAAAAGGGAAAAAAGAAAAAAAGAAAAAAAGATGGGAAAAAAAGAGACGGAACCCCAAAAAGGTCTGGGCAACGTACTCCATAGTCCACAGTCTCCATACATACCACAAGTGTGGGGACTTTCCGGACACGACCACCCCGAAAGGTCCTCTTCTGATTATCTCATACTTTCCATTCCTGACCCCGTGGCCTGATTTCCCCCGGTGCGTGGCCCTTTCTTGCTCTTACCCTGTACGCCATAAATATTACTCCATACTTTCTGTCCCTCCATACAACCACTTCCGGCTATCGCGCGTCTGGAGAAAGCTTGGGGGGGGGGGGGGGGGGGGGCGTTCCCTTATCTTCGTATCTTTGGAGGAGGAGGGGAGGGGCATGACCTGAAGGATTCTATTAACCTCGATTGCTTTGTTTCTCTCCCCTCCTCCTATTCCCATGTTCATACAAGCTGTCGTTAGTGACTCACACAGAGACAATTAGGCTTTCCTCATTGTCTTAACTTTTTGTAGAACCAACCTCCGGAAGAAAGGATGGTTAAATGGATGATCAACGATGATGGCATCACCAGTGGCGATGACGACGGAAAGTACACTCCATAATCCATCCCCCAGCCTTGGGTAAGATCAGAACGAAACAGTCCAGACCACTGGGGAAAAGGTACAGTGGCAATACTTTTGAACGCTGACTGTATGTAATCCTGAGAACCTTAAACGAAAGATTGTACCCTTTCGAGACAATTGGCACATACCAGAATCTACGACTGGACTGCAAAAGATAAGGAAACAGCCCCTTTTGGTCTTTTTGTTCCCTCATCCCCCAGGCCGATCGGGCCACCCCCAACTTGTTCCTCCGCCAGTGACGAAGGGGCGGATCATCGATGATGTCGACACATGATACATGATTTGGGCATGATTTAGTCATGGGGAGGAGGAAAACTCGACGAGGTCATCCAGCCAAATCCTTCCCGACACTCGTACGAGAACCAGTCGGGTCACATTGGGATTGTCTTGGATCCAGTCGATCTGATTACAGTCCGGAGTAGACTACTGTATCGGATTA